AAGCGTGCAGGATCCAGGAGCCGCACTGCTGCACAAGTAGCGCCTTTGGTATGGGCGCCCAAGCTGCACGCGCGTGAGCGCAAGCGTCCGCTTCCAAGATGCTGCGGGCACAGGGAACTGCCGTGCTGTGGGGGTGTGAGGCAATGGGACGCAGGGATTGTCGTGCCCGTTGGAGATGGCCTGAATCGTAACACGTAGAACGACGGGTAGTGTGGACCTTTGAAGGCTGCCATGGGCTGGGAACGATTGCTATAAAATCAGTGGGGGCAAAGTCTGACAGCTGAGAAAGCCGTCCTACGCAGCGCCGCTCTCACTCAGCACATTCCAAGGCAAGTAAAACCCTTCAGCGGACCGCGTAGGCAGCCTGTCGAGAGGCTCCTGGTGGCGGGTGCATTTGCTGGATTGCCCAGAAAAAGAAGATCAGACCTGACCCGTAGACTGCAGAAGCCCGGTCCTGCCCGTGATAGGGCTGGACAATGTCGAAAACCTTGCACGTGCATTTAGTCGGTTCATAGTTGTACCTAGTTTCTCATCTCGCATAGCCTTAGGTGCCTGAATGTTTGAGACATGGTCTGGCAGTGTACCGCAATGACAGGTAGGCCTTCTAGAAAGTGATCTCCGACTGCTAGCTTCGATGACGAATATTATGCTTTAGCCGACATATAATACAACAGGTGTACGACTATAGTAGGCTAGATAGGGGTACGAAGGTTCGTCTGGTAGGACGCTGCACGACTTTCAGGGAGACCAAGGCGAAACAAGTCTTGTCCACATAGTTGCGGCAATGACTTGGCTCGACACGGCATGAGGATAGGCGTCCACTACTCGACGTCGCGTGTCGGCCTCGGTGATGCGCCGCCGTCTTCATCGGTGGCATCTCCATGGCCTCAGACTCGACGTTCACCCAAGAAGCTTTAGACAGGTTGGGCATACGCGATCCCATCGTATGCCGCAGAGCCTACGGCAGAACCGGTGTGTGTCGTTGAGCGCGACACGTCGGCGAATTGATTCGTACGGAAGCTTGGTAGGGCCATCTGCATGCAAGGTTCTAACGGCAGACGCATCACCACCAGCATAGCCTGCATGAAACAATATTACTCCAGATAGCTACTCTCTGTTGGGCTAAGATGATTTTTGAATATGTAGTCTGCACAGACAAGCGGCATGGCACTGCATGAACCGAATACGAGCATTGCGGTCGTGAAGCGAAACATAGCTGATAGAACTTGGAGAAGGCTTCGATCCGATGCATGGATCGTGTTCTCGTCCGCCATGGACGATTGCATGACATGAAGAACGACCGAAGATTGCATGGAAAGCTAAGGTTAGGGTCGAAAATCTATCCCTCAAGGCACGCCGTTCCAATGTGTCAACCATACTGTCGGGTCGCTCTCTCGCTCGCGCGGCAGGCGACAAGGCTGTGCAGCTGAACAGATTAGTTTGCCCGACAGGCAGGTGGTATGATGATAGCTGCGATTGCAGGCGAAGCCTAGTCGGGTCACTTTTGCTAGCTTCGATCACGCAGACATGACGGGCGTTGCCAAGTCGTATCTGTATGGAGCAAGACGGGATGGTATGATGACTGACAGGTGCTGGCGTCAGGCTACCGTCGACACATGGAAGGTTGATGGAAGCAGTGTTTTCCGTGGCGTGCGGGCAAGGTAACGCGAATACTGACCTCATCTTGCGCTGATCACTGCCATAGATCTCCCTGCAGCTCAGGAACACGGCAAGCAAAGCAGGGACAATCCAGCAGTGCGGTTTGTCGTACGCCGGATGAGGCAGCACATCCGTTGTGAAGACCGTACAGTGCGGGAGGAGCCGACAGATGTCGTTTGTACCACAATACTACTGTGAGTTGGCGCATCGAAACAACTTGAAAAGTAGATGGAGCAAGCTGTCCTTGTCAAATGGAGCAAGCTGTCCTCGTCAAATGCCTCAACAACAATGATCAGCATGCCTGTGCAAAGCTTGAAGAGTCGTCAAGCTGGTCGATCAGCGGAAGCGTCGGCTGCCGATGAAGCCCAAGCACACTCGCCAGCCGCGATGCTTTCTCACCTTCTAGATGCGCACTGGAGGTTTGCCGAGACTGGCCGAGCAGGACGGCGGCATGGGCGTAGGAGTTGACGAACTGCACACGCCGGCGCAGTCATGGAATGACACGATGCTGCTCGGCATCTACAGACACTAGTCAAACACGGGTGCCCTGTGGTGTGAACGGTGCACCCCACACAAGTGTCCCCTGTATCTCGTGGATAATCTGCGGGAAATGAATATATTGCAGAGCGATTGGTAAGGCGTCCAGGTATTCCTTTGCGGCGCCGGCGGCCGTGGATGGGCGACATGGCAGGGTGATGAGGGTGAAGGACCAATAACGGGTGCCATGTTCCGACCGTCTGGCTGGCTGGCACATGCTAGATGACGAACACCGAGGAGGGGTTGCGGGTGGTCCGGGCGCACCTTCCTCGCAGATTTGCTGGAGAGGCAAGAGCCCACGACGGCTCCTTCCCTCAGCCACCACTACACCCAGACGACGCATCCCCTGCCAACCAAGACAATGGAGCTCGACAAGGACAACGCCAACCCGACCATCTTGAACCCCTCGGATCTGCCCTCCCGCCGCAGCGAGTCGACGGTCAAGAGGCGCGATGATGGCGGGACAGGCCTGTTTGATGACTTGATACCGCGCTACAACTACCTCAGCGACCCCTTCGACGATTCGGCGTCGGCAAGCGCATCTGATAGTGACGACGCACGCGAGGACATTGACGAGCAGGAAATCTACGGTGGGCGCATATGCTGGCTCTCTATCAAATTAACTTTGGCTGACCCCGCGCATGGCAGACCTCATTTCCACCATCTGCGACCCTGAACACCCGTTGTCTCTTGGCTCGCTATCTGTCGTCAACCTGCCTGACATTCACATTCTGCCGCCGTCTTCACCGCTTTCCAATATCAGCACTGTCGTTGTCGAGATCACCCCGACCATCACGCATTGCTCTCTCGCCACCGTCATTGGCCTAGGTGTACGCGTCCGTCTCGAGCAGGCTCTGCCCCCACGCTTTCGCGTCGATGTCCGCATAAAGAAAGGCACCCACAGCACTGATGAGCAGGTGAACAAGCAGCTGGGAGACAAGGAGCGGGTTGCTGCTGCCCTCGAGAATGGCACGCTGATGGGCGTGTTGAAGAAGATGCTTTCCACGTGCGAGTAGATTGGTCCGTCGCTCTATTCCCCCCAACAACAAACTTCACACGGAGATCTTGGTTCCGTTCAATGACGTGCCCGAGATTATCATCTCCGACGCATCCGCAATACTATAACATTGCGTACCATGGCATCATCGTCCAAACGGATATACCTCCATGTACCATGTACGGGCCCGATCATAGCTCGCCAAACTAGGAAATGCCTCGGTTGGTCACAATATTCATGCTGTCCGGCAATATGTAAAACGCTCATGCAGGAAGGGCGTGCCCAATCCCTGTGTCGATCCTTAGCGTCATGTTGGATACAACATGTTCCTGCAGGCTAATGTCGTGCACAAAGTCAAATTTGACCTCACCACAAGTCCATCGCTCATGAAGAGCTTGTTACCGTTATTCATGTATGCGAAAACAAGTTTCGATGGCGTTCTTGGCCTGAGTGGGCTTGGATGAGAAAGTGGTGGGCTCATCATAACATGCGGGTGATTTAGCCGCGAGCACACCGCAACACTTGGTGGGCGAGAAGACTATTAGGCCGAGTGGGATCAGGATTAGACGTAGAGTTGTCGATATCTAAGAAAGAATCAGATATTGCACATGCAGCTCTTAGATCACTCGATAACCATCTTCCAACTGTTCATCAGTCCAACTCCTCCACCCTTTCCTTCATTTTGTCCATCCTGCTATGCAACTCCATCAATTCCGCTTAGTACTGACCATGTCTTGTCATGAACTGTTCCTATTTCGCCCTCTGTTCCTCGACTTCCCGCTCCATGTCCCGTATCTGTATCTCAGCCCAAATTCCACCGAGCACTAGGATGACTAGGTGCGTGATGAGGGACATGATGTGTGGGAGTCTTGCGTGACCGACGCAATTAAATACTGTAAGGGCGATGAACACTGTGGGTGCTGCAAGGAGTCGAGGTGAGCCAATAACTTGTGTCTATATCTCAAACATTGCGGCTGGCAAGTGGGTAAAATTGTTTGTGAAGAGTGGTTGTAATGATGCGGAACGACGTGGAACGATGCGAAATAGACTATTTTGTGCGGTCGCGCGCCTCCTGATGATGATGATATGCGACAGCTGAAACTTATGTTAAATTGTGAAATTGATTTTGGGTAGGTAAGATGGCAACTTTGGGAAGCCACCAACAGTGTGAAAGAAGCAGCAACGTGGTGTTTGCCCACACAAACCGAGAATTGAATGACGAACCACCCAACGTGCAGCAACGTTGGTGTGCATGGTTGTTACTACACTTACTTTAAAGCTCATGGTCGTTGAACGTTTAGTAAACTTTCGCTATCAACTAGACCTCACTTCGTCACAACTTCAATATGAACGACTTAGCAAACATGCTACAAGCCAACAATTGATCCCTCAACGAAACAAACCTCTGCAATGCAGCCTCAGTCTTGGCCATTGTCTTCATTCATGGGCTACTAGGTACACTCACTGAAGTTACAACCCAGGCCTTTGTCATTAGATTTGTCCGCATTGCAGTATTCCTGAAGACACTGTTTCCAAGGCTCGAAAAGATGCGGGCCAAGGCGAAGCAATGAAGCTCGGGGAAATGAGTCACAAGTTTGAGAAAGGGAATTCATGTGGAGGATTTATCTAGACTAAGAAATTGAATAGGTCAAGCGGGCAAACACATATGTAGCTGCGCCAACTTGGCAGTTGTACACAAATCACGTTAAAAACCATCGACTAAGCAAACGCGTGAACCTCCACTCACATCACTTCTCATCCAGTCTAGGTTTCTAGCCCGCCCACGCATCTCAAGTCCCTCGCGGCCATGACACGGCCCCCAGGTCAATCCGTATGGATTGTTATGCCATGCATCCTCTTCTCCCTCTTCGTCGCCCGCTTCCTCATCGAAATCTTCGCATCACAGTACGAACGCGGTCTAATCATAGTTGCTAAAGCAGCACTCATCTTCGTCATAACGCTCATCCTCACTACTACGGCTGCGAACTCTCTGTTTCAGCCCACCCAACCTCCTGCAGAACGACGTACTAGGAATGTACTGCAAAAGAAATGCAAAGTCTCCCCAGCAACCGAGGAGCGCGTACGTACCTGGCGTGAGAACACCGCTCCGATTCTACATTGGAGCTCCGACTCATGTGATGAGGTGGAGGAGGAGGTGAGGGAACGGAGGAGGAAGAAGAAGAAGAAGAAGAAGAAGAAGAAGAAGAAGAAGAAGAAGAAGAAGAAGAAGAAGAAGAAGAAGAAGAAGAAGCTCAGCAGAGAAAAGAGGGAAAGTCAAGATGAGAAATCGTCGAGGAAGAGGTTGTCGAAGATGTTCAAGTCGAAGAGGTATGAAATGCTTGGAGTGAGGAGGGAGACGGTTGAGGAAGTTGTACGGGAAGATGCTTTGGTTTAGAGGGGATTAGGGTTGGGGAGGAACGAATGGTTTCCTAGCTATGGCGAAATAGGGACAAACGTAGACAAGCGTACGTGGGTATCGCACGTCTATGGAGCTTGTTCGGCTTGTTTTCCCCTACAGCTTCCAGACTCGCAACTGCCAGATACAAAGGTGGCAGTAGGCATTACAGGTCGAGAGATGGTGCGATGAAGCGCGACTATCAACCCGGTCAGTCAGAGTCGATAACACACAAGCGATATGCCACATACCTCCGCAAACACATCAAAGTATCCAAGACACTCTCAATTCCCTCACCTTCTCCCAGTGTCGCCCTAGCAACCGCAAACCTTTCCAACAATCTTTCAGAGCCTCAACTTCCTTTCATCTCCCTCTCTCCACACCCTCAAGCCCGAAGCCCAATCCTCGACATCGCCCTATAGTCGCAACCTCCGCCTCCAGAATCTCCAGAATTTCCCTCTCAAGAGCAGTATTCACCGCGATACCCGGATATACGCCTCCGTCCGTAGATGGCCTTGCCGTTGTGATACCACTCGCATTGTGTAACGATACTCCCTGTGTTGCATCCATAATCTGGCTGTTTCTGTTCTTACTTTTGTTCTGCCCGACCATCGCTTCGTCGTGGTATCCTGTTTCTCGCTCATTGATCGGCATTCCAATCGGTTGGAACCATCGAAAGTAAATAACTGCCCAGATCACGAAGCCGAGAATCCCGCAGCCACCCAGACCGCACATTAGGCCGATAGCTGTGGGGGAGAGAGGTTTGGAGAATTCAGGCGCGGGGGTGTTTGAGTAAGTTTTGGTGGGAGTGGTGTTGGAGTGAGTTGGTGCTGACTGGACGATATTTGTCATGGTTGCTGCGAGTATGGTCACGACTTCGAGGGCAGTGGCAGACGCGTAGTAGGTGGTTTCTAAGGAATTCATCATGTTTGCGAGAGCAAGTGGCGACGTTGTGACTGGAGTATAGGAGTGACGTCCACGACGTCGGCAACGTCTGGGAATGGACGGAATCCTAGAAATGTCTCATTATTAACCGTTTGTGGGCTGGAATTGGAGTGAGCAAAAGTGAAAGTGAACGCGATCTGTACGTCGCGTTTGGTTGGCTGTAAAGTGGAAGGGAAACTGTGCGAGCCCTAGTCGCTTGTAACTGTGACTGTGGAATAGACCAAACTCATGGAAGAGCCCAGAACATACTCATTTGAAGGACCTTGATATCAATGGATGTTTAGATAGATATTGTAGGTGTGGGTGAGTTGGCAAAACCAAAGGGGATCATAGATAGGCAAGAAAGCAGCAACATCGACGACCAACCTGACGTTGCTTTGAAAAGGCGATACTAACGTTAGAGGTTCTGAAGGCGAAGAGAAAGAGGCCGGGTCGACAAGCCGAGCAGAGACGTATAGACTTGGAAGGAGAAAATCAATGGGCGAAGATATCACCTCGCTCTTCTCATGGGTATATTCCTATCACCATTCCTGCAGGCGCATGTTGCGTGTATGAAACCTTCCAAGGTCACCTGCCGCTTTTACCTCAATTGCCCAGCTCTTACGCTTGATCGCAAACTCTTGTGTACCGTTGGTCATGATATCATAGTGCATCTTCGCATTCTCATCTCGTCCTTCATCATACCACCACTCGAAATGGTAGCTTGATTACGCGTTATCATAACACCCTATCTCCCTGCTCTCTCATTTCGCCTTGTTCTTCGCCGCTTCAGCCTCTCTCCTTGTCGCATCCTCCAGCAAAGCGGTGTCCACAGCGCCGGAGGGAAGGTGTACATATCGGACGACGGAACCGCGGATGAACATGTCTTTTGTTGAGCACTATCGCCAAGTCAGCCCTTGCTCAGATCTCAAGACCTCCTCTGCCTCGTTCTAGGCTGGCTATATTGCCCTAAGCAGGCGAGTGTCGCAATGTACAAAACGTACCAAATGCGGCCACCTCAGCTCATCCACCGCTTCTGCATTGTCCAGCTTGATGTTCAGGTACTGGTCCACGCTCTTGAGTGTGCCGCGGATTTGGACTTCGTTCTTGAGTTCGACGGTGATTTCGTGCTCGACGAGCGTTTTGAAGAAGCTATTGCGCTGCTGTTAGCACATGTGTGATGATGGGTGGGGATTGGAGACGGACCTGAAGAAGAGCATTGTGTATGGAAAGGGCACGTGTTTGCAGTGGGGGATTGAATCTGTAGCTGGGCTCAAGTTGGGTAGAGTGGTCGCGACTTTGGGTGCATATGGCGGAGTGACGAGGTTATGCGCAGCGCATGGACCGCGTGGGGTTCGCGCCGCCGCGAGCGAGGCTGATCTGCCGCCTCACCATGTGCCTCTCACATCAGCACCACAATCACATTGGTGTATAGCGACACAAGACCTACGAGGGGACACTCAGGTGTGATCGACACTATATTCGTTCATGTACAAAAGAAATTCGCTATGTGGTATCAACCTAGTCCAGGCAAGTCCAGCCTATCCAACTTCATCTATCCTACACCATCGTAACCGTATCACATCATATCCTCTCCTCTCTATTACTTCCTTGCCCAACCAGTCAATGTTCGCCATCCCGCATGGCCTTGTGCACCCTCCTCTAGCACGTTGACAACACCTTCCAATAGCTTCTCCTCATCCTTACCCATCTCCATTTGCAACCTAAGCAACCACCTTTCCCATGCCCAGCTTCCAACAACACCCGTCAACATTGCCGCATCCATGGTGGTACCAAAGACTGGTGGGTCCTCGAGCTCAATCTCGCCATCTTCTGTGATGCGACGCTCTTGATATTTTGGCTCGGCGCCAACTGCAAGTGTGTCACGCCAGTTCGCTGCCGTCTTGCCCATGGGAAGTAGCATCCACGCTCGTTGTACGTCCTTGAAGCCTGCTTTCGAGACGCGCGGGAGAAACGTCTTGGTGGGTTGTGCATCGTAGCCGCGTGTCTTGAGGTTGAAGCCGAACTCGACACCCATGGCTTGAGCATTGCGGCCAGCATGGACGACGTCAGCATCCATGAGGCTAAAGTCGAGAATGCCGCCAGGCTTGAGGCAGCGGTAGCACTCCTTCAAGCAGAGGTCGTATTCGTCCGACGACTTGCCAACGGGCTTACTTGTCTTGAGGAGCTCGTAGAGTGTACGTGCCGAAACGACATCGAAGTGACCAGAGGGAAAGGGAAGAGTCCATAGGTTGGGAACGGTGAGGTGCTTGTGGTTGTCTGGACCTTTGACGTTGGACGACATGTTGTTACCTGCAGTGTACACGGTAATCACCTTGGCGTATGGGTAGTCGTATGCAACATCCCATGCCCAGTCATTGGTAGCGACACCACCAACATCGAGGATCCGTGGAGCACTAGCGCGCGTGATGCATCGCACTGCTGGCTTGCTAAGGAGTTTGCCACCGTTGAGTTGCTTCTGTGCTTGTAGAACCCAATGGATAGGCAGCATCTGGTCGAGCGCTTGACGCTCCATCTGTGCACGCGCAATCCTCTCCTTCAGAACAGTCGGGTCATTGACGAAGAACTCGGACACAGGGCGCGGAGGCGCTGGACGATCTGGCTGGCAAAGCTCAAACTTGCCCAGGAGCTGATCGCGATGTGCCAAAGGACTGCAACGGCGTTGTACGTGCATGGCCTCAGCACGAGTCTGGCGGTGGATAAAAGTATCCTTCTTTTGGCACCGAGAGCGAAGATACTCGAGGCCTTGGACGTAGGTAAGGATAGGCTCATCAGTCGACTCCTTCACCGGGGACTTGGCAGGCTCATCAGCAAACTTGACCGACTTCTTGACCACGGCCTTCTCGACCGAGTTGCCGCGACTGTGCGTGCCGCTGGAGAGACTAGGAGAGCTCATGTCATTCATGTCTCTAAGAGCAGCTTGCAGCTCGTCTTGTTCCTCTAACCACCGGCCGGTCATCTCAAGGTTAGCCGTACCTCCGGCATTGTAGTTCTCATCGTACTGAAAGATAGTCTTGCTAGGGTTGATCTCCTTGATCTCAACGTTCTCATCGGTCGGACTACTGAGGATGACTGGGCGCGATGTCGACAAAGGCTCATCGAACCCGTCGAGGGTGGATCCGGCCAGGGTCGAGTTTCGCGGCGGGAGAGCTGGTACAGCTGGCATGGGATGCGGAGAAGTGTTCCTTCGGTTCTCTTTCTCCCACGGAAGGTTGTAAAACCTCTCGGCAGTCGAGGTGTTTGGGATTGACTCTTGTCGCTTGGGAATGCTCCAGGTGTGACGAGCAGTTGATTGAAGTGACGAGAAGAAACCACCAGGAGAGGGGACCGAGAGAGCGGAAATCGGTGTACTACCAGAGGACCCGTTTCCGAATATTGTTGAAGGTATGCTCAAGCCAAGACTTGGTCGGGGAACTTCTTGCATCTCGCCTCTAGGCTCAACCGCCTGAGGCTGCTGTTGCTCCGGTTCCTCGTACTGCTCAGTGGATGGCGAGTTCCCTAGATGCTGAAGAGTCTCCATGGCCTGCAAGTCGAGTTGCATAGGACCCCATGAGTCGGTGCTGGAAATGGATCCGCGCCTACGTTGCGAGACTGGAGTGGCAGGGCAGCTGAGCTTATCCATCTCTTCTGATGTGAGGCTACCGTCTAAGGATGGGGCAGCCGAGCGCTCAGGTACATGCAGGTTGTGCGAGTCGATCATATCAAGGAAGTGACGAGATGGAGTCAGTACTAGCGATGGAGTAACGGGCATCGCCGAGTTCGCACTCTTCAACTTCTCAATGGTCGGCCATGCGGATGGAGAAGGGATAATGATCGATGGGTAGCGTCTCTGCCTTGGCTGGGTCGCAAGCTTCTTGACTGACGCGGATGCATGAAGAGGTACCTCAGCCTCATCATCGGTAATGTCGTAGAGGGAATCAAAGTCGCTGTCTGCACGACTCGCCCGGCTTACTGGAGGATATGTAGCCGAGTGAATAGGAAAGCGTGGCGATGGCTGCGGGGTCATATCGAATAAGCGTGCCTTGGGAGTAGGGAAGTCGTCGACACTGGAAGGTGACACAGCACTGGGTAGGTATATTGAAGAGGTCGAATATCTTGGGGCGAAGTAGTAGGAGGATATTGTGGACTCGTCTTCGGGAGCATTAAGTGACTGTCTCTGATCCAGCGGAGACAAGCCATGATGAGAGTTGGCCATTGTGCCAAGGGCTGCAGGATGGTATACTGCGGGCTCCAGCATCTCTGGCATGATGGTATATTGCGGTGACGTGAGCACCGCCGCGTGCTAATATTACTAAAGATACCTTTGAAAAACCGAGTAGGCGGGAATGCGGCGAGGGTGGTAGGGGTCCAAATACAGAAGTACAGGGAGCCGAATAGAAGCGATATTAAGATGAGCAGGAGCCCAAAACTGCGCTGGTCAACAGCTTACTGGTAAAAATGGAATTGCTTCGATCAACGAAGACTTAGCGGAGGAAGGGACTCGGAGAAGGGCTAGAAGTGAATGGCAAAAGGAGAGTAGATGCGGCGCGAGCGCGATGGTCAGAGGATATATCGCGCGTAGACGCCTACTCGTCGAGTGCCTGTGGGCTAGTGTTACTGTGGCATTCGTCCGAGCTACACTGCCAGTTGGCCGTCCACTCGCATAGAGGGCCGAGTCTAGGTGGAGAGGCGGTAGCGGCTCAAGGACGGCCACGACATGGCGAAGACGGTGGAGATGGCATGATTGGCCAATGTAGGTTTATGGTCAACAAGGTCTCTACCATGCGCTAGAAACTTTGGGCTAAAGGAGCGTTGCGATGCACGGTTTGGTTGGGTGTTTGCTATGTAAGCGCCGGGCTGTGCTATTTGCAGCGCTCGCGTTCTGCGTGCTTGTCCAATGACAAGACGCAGCGGCGTTGTACTGCATACTCGCCCAATAGTGCCTCGTCAAATTCGATTCTTGTTGCGGGGCAGAATATTGTCTCACGGCCTTGGATCGTACGCGAGGCTGTGGTTGTGGCTGTTCCTAAGGCCGTCATGTAGTCATCCCGTGCCATATGAGATGGAAAGACAAGGCCGGGGTGCCGAGACCAGTCGCAGCCATGTGGGTAGTGCAGACACGCGACCAGCCATGCGGTTGCCGATCAATGGGATATAACAATAGCGTAGGTTTCATTCGATTTAGAGCATTGACGGCCCCATATGGGAAACGTTGTTGATTCGAAACGTAAAGTGGTGAGTTGGGAGGTTTGCATGAACAAGAAGGGAGGTGAGGCGTGCCAAGCAATGCAGCGGGGCATGAATGGAGGGGCAGGCGTGACGCCGCTGATGCCGTCAACACCAAAAAGCTATCGTGAGCTCCGTCACACTAGCAATCTCCACATTCACCCAATACCTACCATTGGCGCTCCACCAAGTCATCTATACACACCGCACTCTTACTAGAACCGCCCGTCATGTCACCGCCTGCCATCATCGCGCCGTCGATTCTTTCGGCAGACTTCGGAGCGTTGGGCAAGGCATGCTCCGACACAATCTCCCAAGGCGCCGACTGGCTTCATGTACGCGATGTTGAGTTTTGAGTTGCATGGTACGCGACTGACACGCGCAGGTCGACATCATGGACGGTCACTTTGTGCCCAACATGACCTTCGGCGCGCCCGTCGTAACCAAGATCCGCTCACACGTCGATCGACCGACCACTGCACACGGCAAGGGAACATTTGACTGTCACATGATGATTGCCGAGCCCAAGAGATGGGTGCGTGACTTCAAGAAGGCGGGCTGCGACCTGTACTGCTTCCACTACGAAGCCGCCGTCTCGTCAACCGCTGCAGACTCGCCCAGTGGAAAGTCGGATCAGAAGACATCTCCAAAAGAGCTGGTAAAGTTCATTCATAGCGAGGGCATGCAGGCAGGCATTGCAATCAAGCCGAGCACACCGGTCGATGTACTGTGGGAGATACTGGAGAACCCAAACAAGGACGAGGTTCCTGATGTGAGTTTATCACCCCTGCACTGCCATGCTTCCGTCATCACAATCGATATCACCAAAGGGCCGCACGCGCTATATGGTGGTTAGAGAGGCCTCGGAAGTGGTCGAGCAAGGCGAGGCTGGGTAGGGCTGACCTTGTTGGGGCGTGGGCGGCACGCAGTGGCGGCGCTTAGGCATGCCAACATGCGCAATGCCCGCCGTCAATCAGTCTCGAACTTTGCGCCCCTTCGAGAAGCCTGCCACATGTCGCCCAACCGACTATCCGTTCATTGGCCACCTGTCGATCCGGCCGTCCCAAAGGTTGCACATCGGCACCTACCCGCCCACGCCGCTGGCAGCTCCCGCAGGATCGATAACCTCAATATTCAAGGCCCGAATCTGGCCAGGTCACATGCGTCGAAAGTTCAATGCTGACTTTTGTAGATGATTTTAGTTATGACTGTAGAGCCTGGCTTCGGTGGGCAGTCTTTCATGGCGTCCGAGCTGCCCAAGGTAACCGCGCTTCGACAAAAGTATCCGGAGATGCACATTGAGGTCGACGGAGGCCTGAGCGAAAAGACTATCGATCAGGCCGCTGATGCTGGCGCTAATGTCATCGTTGCTGGCAGTGCTGTTTTCGGCGCTTCAGACCCCGGCGACGTGATCAAGAAGCTCAGGGAGGCGGTCGATAGCAGGAGAGGGAAACTATAGAAATGATAACGATCCGGGTCAACTATTGATAATGATGATTGCAGATGAGCGCATGTACAAATAGAAATGTTAGAAGCTTACGATATAGGTGTAGATAGAATAGACGATGGTTCACATCGTATCTGCACAGTTGCTGACATGCGTCGTCGCGATGTTACACAGCATGCCGGCTAAATTCTACGTCCATGGTCACGCTCGTACATGACTTCATATCCACGAAGATAGAAGATTCGGCAGATAGCATTGACAGGGCTGGATTTCTCTCTCTGCATACTAGCCTAGTGGGTGTCAAGATCGTACGTTCTGCTATCTAGGTTCTGCTGCTGACCATGCTAAATTGAACGAAGCGCAGCTTCCAGTGCACAACGAGTAGTAGCACCGTGATCACCTGAAGTCTTGCGCTGAACTTAGATTACAAAGCAGATCAAAGCCATCTGGCTAAGATTGACTTTGATCTCCTTCGCGTTTCTTGCCTTGGAGTCGCCGCCCAAAAGTGACAACGCGTGCCGCGTCATCAACCGGGTCTTGGCATTGCATCGAAACATGCTCCGCTAGAACGTTCTCCCGTTGTTATCGCAATGTGGAGATGAAGTGCGACTACAAGGACAGTGGGAGCTATGTTTCAACTGGACAAGTTCATAGCGCAGAACGTACCATGACGGTTATCATGGGTCTCCTAGAACAGATGTATCTCAAGCGCCAAGCTGAGCTTGAGCAGACAAGCTGCAGATATACGTCATTCGCTGCTTGAATTTGACAGCACGAATATCTCTTGACTTTTGATACGGCCATCGTAGGCTGAGCTAGATCTTATCAAATCCATAGTCTCAACCGAGCAACGGGGCTAATGTCTGTGCAAAACGCTCAAGTCGCTCCACAGGAACAGGATGGCCAGTAACTGACGAGCTAAGTAGTCGTAATCTGGTACGAATACCCACCTAAGTCAAAAGTTGATGTTGAGCTCATGGTACGTAAGCTCATGGCTCATTCCGCGTTTCACGTTGTCTAGGCCGCGCCATGGAACCAAACTACAGTGCTCGCAAATTTACGTCCCTAGTCTACAAGCGAACTAAACTGATTGACGGTTCTTCCCCGAATACCCAATGTGAGGAAATCATGAGCCACGAGTCGAACGGCAGGCGTCAAGTAAATGACTACTCCTTGACCTCGCAGCCACATACGCGGCTGTGGGGTAGTTCTAGAGCTGGGGCATCTCAGTGCTGCGTCATGGTATACCAGTAGTGTCATGTCGTTAGATTTTAGAGAAGAGTTGCTTCGGTATAAAGACATCACATTGTGCCAATCTCATCACCCACCCAACAACCTTCATTCTCAAAGCATTTCCACTTCTCTCTTTTCAGCTTCGCTTCGACAGCACTGTGTGCGTCCATTCACTTTACTCTCATTAGCACTGTGTGCCTTCGTTTCAACAAGCAATACACCAACACTACTACTACAACATCCATTTCGCAATCTACAAGCCTATCAAAATGGTCGCCTTCTCCCATCTCGCTTTCGCGCTCGCCGTCACTGGCTTCAGCTACGCCCAGTCTTTCAACGGCGAACTTCCAAGCAACCTCCCTTCGGGCATGCCGCCTATGGGAACTGGAATGCCTTCCGGAATCTTCCCCAGCGGTGCCGCTCAGCCATCCGGCCACATGCTTGGTGGACATGGCCATCGCGGACCTCGTCCCAGTGGCGTTGCTCAAGCCCAACGGGCACAGGAGAGCGGGGCTCCTTTTGGCACTGGCATGCCTTCTGGCTTCCCCAGCGGTATGGCCCGCCCTACTGGTGGCATGCATGACGGTCATGGCGGCTTCGGTGGACATGGAACTGGCTTCCCTGAGCCGACTGGAACTTTCTCAGCTGCTCCTACTGGCTTGGAGAGGCGTCAGGAGTCTGCTATGCCTTCAGGTATGCCGTCTGGTTCCAAACCTCCCCACGGCCCTCATTCTCGTCCGACTGGCATGCCTTCCGGTGCCCTACCTCCCCACGGCGCTCGTCCTTCGGGTGCTCGTCCTTCGGGTTCTCGTCCTTCTGGGATGTCTCGCGGTCCTCGCCCTTCCGGCGGTATCCCGACCGGCCCTGTTCCTAGTGGTTTCTCTACCTCAATCGTTCGTGTTTGAGTGAGTCCAGGACGTGTGTGGTAAGCGTAATCACCATCACATAAGTCAACTGGTGGTGATATACCTGTGCGATAATCCGTCGGATGGAAGATGAGCAATCGTGATAGAGTGATGGCCAGTGTTGCCTTGCAGTTTGTTGTGTGTTTGCTTTGGCTTTGTTAGGGTTTCTTGTTTAGTTCTTACGCTCGTTTATCTGTACATATATCACAAAAAGAATATACTCGGACAATTTGGCCTGATTTCCATTCTCTCTACGCTAGATAAGCCGGAGACGTGCAATTGCCCAACATGCAAACTGCTCATAGCTTCAGCTGACTTGCATCAACCCAACTTCGCATTGATGTGAGGAAGACCTGGTCAGAACGCCTGCTCTTGGTCTTCATTGCTAAAAAGCGCCCCACAAGCCTCAGTGGTACCGCTGAAGAGTACAACACTAAGGCTCAACATCAAACCTGACACTGACTTCCAACCCAAGAGCCGCGATTACTGGGACACAGAAGGCTAGATAGGCAGCGTTGTTTCGTATTCACCCGGTAATAGCTTGTAGGTGCGCTTCTCCTCGCGCTCGTCGGCAGGGTCGATATCTTCCTCTGGTTCATACTCAGATCCACTAGATTCCTCATCAGATTCTTCTTCAATGTCGTCGTATGGTCCTGTGCGTCTTGGTGACTTCGAAGCGAACACCCTGCTCATTCCGCGCATTCGGGCAGTATGCTCCATGACCTCCTGGTATTGACTGTAGCGCCCCCTCCTTGATGCGGTGGTAGTCCCACCCTGAGGCGCACCGCTTAAGGGCTGTGCATGACGTGCTTCACGGGCGTGCAGCAACGCAGCAAGTGTCTGTCGACGTTGTTCTTCCTCAGTTTCCATATCTTCCCCATCAGTAGAATCGTCGTAATCATCGAACTCAATCAACGGCTCGTCGCTGTCGTACAGTGAGTCTCTACTTGAAGCGAAGTCCTCGTGCTCGAACAGCTCTTGTCGGCAAAGCGGACAGCGGTTGTTGTTTGCTGTTCTAATCTCCGTCTGCTCGACGATGCAGTGACTGCCGAATATATGGCCACACTTGAGTTCGACGGGTACGTGCCTGGAAAAGGGTTTGTCAGTATGCTACAATGGTGGAGTCGAACAACTTTTTCTTACTCGCTGTTGTAACTGTCGAGACAGATGCTGCATTTGGTCGGCTGCAGTTGCTCGATAAATTGGTTCTTGGTTACCATTCTAGAGGTCGAAACAGAGCGAAATTGGGATTGTTGCGCCTCTGGTGTCTCAGTGGGGTTGAGTGAGCCTTGGGTTCGAGCGATCCCCCAGTGAGGTCGGGGATAAGGCCTCATGAAGTGGGTAAAGAGCAGGGTACGATAGTGTGCGCGAAGCAAAGTTTTGGTCGTGTCGCTTTCATCTTCTAAGTATTGGCGCTATGATTCAATCACTGTTCACTTCACCAGTTACTCCGCTCGCGCCCAAAGGATGTCAGGCATGCTGCTAGATTATGTTGACCTCACTACTGTATTCACCACGACAGCTCACCTTTATATTCTCCAAACGATCAGTTCATGGTACTTTGCATCGGAATAGTCGTAGATCTGGAATTGGATTTCAGCTCTAAGTCAGAGTCTATACTATTGGCGTCTTCCAAGTGGTGGCAGCTGCCATGGTGTTGGTATGTGAAATGCATTGTGGAAGCGACAGCCAATAGAGGGAGACTTCTCAAAGCTATAGTATCGCGTTGAATAGGGAAGTCAGATGGTGAAAACTGAAGAATGCTCGTGCCTTGGGATTCGACAGCGACCGAGAATGACATGTGACAAAAGTTAAGCTTTCGACGAGCCATCACTAGCGTGTATCCATGCAGCAGATCGCCGAACATTTTCCTAAGCTTCTCCACACAACAACTTCGCACCCTCCAAATCGTCTCACGCAGGTCGTATGAGCTTTGAGATGGCGAAACGAAAGCGCGGCGATCGCGACGAGCGACCTCCTACCGATGTTGGCCTCGGTGCAACATTGGCGCACATGCGCGGCGAAGCGCAACCCGACGGAGCGGCAACAACCACGGCTAACGGTGATGAAGAGGGCTGGACAGTAGTCGGCGGATCGAAGAGGAGACGGAAGGAACGCGGCCCACATGACGACCAGAACAGGCGCCGCGCCTCAAACTCGCCTTCATCAACCCGCAGTCCTGACCGTTCGCGCAATGGAAACGGGCAAGGCACGCGCAAGGAGCGATCTCCACCGCCGCAACAAGAGGCGACTCTCGACAACCCTTTCGCGGGCAGAGACGCGCAACTGGGAACTCGAACTGCCTCTACCGATAACCCGTTTGTCACATACAAGGCTGGCTCTGAACAGTCAAGTGAGAACATGACAAGGGAGGAGCGCAGGAAAGAGCGCAAGCTGCAAAGGAGCTATCCGGCCATTGAGCATTCACATCATGCCCGCCTGAACTCGCACGTGAAAATTACAGACTTGCAGTCGTTGGTGCTCTACTTGCTTGCAGATGGTAATGCGCCGCAGTGGGTTTCTGTACGCAGCCGTGCAAATATCCAACAGGTCGTAATGCTCATGGTTCCGGGATTAGACCTGGGCATGTTCAACGGCGAAGTCGCTTTGGACACTACACCACAGCCTGACAATTCTGCTGGAGCTGAGACAACGGACGCGCAGACTGATGCTGTGTCAACAGCTGAAAAGGATGCAAAGCCCAAGCGGCTGAACGTTTCGCGTGATGACTTCTATCCGGCTAGTCTCAAGGCGGACAAATTGCCTGCATCGCTGAAGCCTCTCGCTGATATTTTTGAGCATGTGTGGCCCATCAAAGCTATAGGAGAGCATCGCAACAACCAATACATGAGGGTGCATTCACCCATTCATACTATGCTAACCTCACAAATTCCCAAGACTCAAGAAGAGAAGCAGATGAAGAAGACTGGGAACCACAAAGGCCCCACACCACAGAATTCAAAGCATTGGGAAAACAAACGTACACGCATCACCGAGTACATCGCCTCCCTCATGGAACAGCAAGAAAACGAATACGTACTGCATCCAGCTATGTTCACCACGTCGGAATCCAAGGAGGCCAACTACGAGAGAAGGAAGCTGGCCCATCAGACTGCCGATGATGGTTGGGTTGATACTAATGTCGCCACTCTAGAGGATGGAGAAGTGCCCGAGATGGAAATTGAGCAAGGCAGCCTGACCGCTGGAAGACACATCATATCCGTCGACTGTGAGATGTGCAAAGCTGAAAATGACCAGCTTGTACTCACACGCATCAGTCTATTGAACTGGGACGGCAGCACGGCCCTCGACAAGCTGGTCAAGCCAGATGTCACCATCAAGGACTACCTGACCCAGTGGTCCGGTATTACAGCGGCCATGCTCCAAGACGTCACAACCACTCTCGCGGACATACAGAAGGAGTTATTGGAACTGATCACACCGCGTACGATTCTAGTGGGACACTCGCTAAATTCCGACCTCAATGCACTCAAGCTGACCCATCCCTTCATCATCGACACCGGCATTCTGTACCCACACCCCCGTGGACCGCCATACAAGCAGTCGTTGAAGTGGCTTGCGCAAAAGTACCTCAAGCGCGAAGTCCAGAAGGGGTCGTCAGGCCACGATAGTGTCGAAGACGCTCGGACATGTCTCGATTTAGTCAAACAAAAATGTGAAAAGGGTCCACGCTGGGGATCGGGCGACACAAACGCGGAGTCCATCTTCAAGAGGATGGATCGCTCAATACGACCGAAATCGAACGACGCACATCGTGCTGGAGCTGTCATCGATTGGGGTGACCCGAACAGAGGTCATGGTGGTCAAGCTCAAGTTTCCATAGGCTGCAAGACGGATACAGAGGTAGTAGAAGCTATTGAGCGTACGTTGAAGGGTCAAGCCGAAGGCAAGGATGGTACTACAGACAAGATTGACTTTGTCTGGGGACGTCTACGCGAACTAGAGCTTGCAAGAGGTTGGTGGGACGACGCGAAGACGGCCGACGTTGAGTTAATCCGACAAAATGCCTTGCAACGACTGGGTCTTTTGAAGGATGATAGCGAAGATACAGATGTCGAGGTTCATGGATCTGAGCTCGGCGACGCCGTGTCCAAGACCATTGAGCGCATCGGGCAGATATACGACGCTTTGCCACGCTGCACGGCCTTTATTGTGTACAGTGGGACAGGCGACCCTCGAGAGATTCGTCGCTTGCAAGCAATGCAACAGCAGTATCGTCGCGAATACGCTACGAAGAACTGGGACAACCTTAGTGTCAAATGGACAGATACGGAGGTGCAGGCTCTTTCCAAAGCCTGTCAAGAAGCTCGCAACGGCGTGGGATTTATCGTTGTCAAGTAAAGCACGAATATTCTTGTCTCGCGCATACGCGTACTACGTGCAACGCAACGTGTCGTTGTACACGGTGTCCGAGCGCATATCGCTTGACAGACAGTCTCGGACAGTGGCGCATAGTCAGATAATCGGAATGCACTGCTTTAGAGGCTGGACACTTTCTAGAACATGCATTGTGTTTTGCAGTTATCGGTAGAAAGCATTAAGCACGGATAACTGTTGTGCCAAGAGCGTAGGTACTGCATGACATCAATCAACATCCCTGTCCACTCTCCCCTTGTGTGAAGTTAAATTAGCGCAAAGCTTTTCGCCGCCTCCCATCGGGGCGAAGATTGCGGAACTTCAACTCCACCAAAGTATAATCCAATTCTGCCAGCGGGTAATAGCTGCCTCAATATGTACTTGTTTCTAGCGGCGGTCGTTCCTCGTACCAACTAGGGCAATGCCGCTGATGAAGCCATGGACCGCAGCCAGGACGAATATTCTAGTCTAGATATAGTCACGCACATAAATTCGGGCATATAGCCTCGGATACTGTGTTATCCTCGATTTGTTATGCTTATTGGCCTATGTCGTAGATCAGACTTGGCACTTGTAATCGTCGCAATTTGGTAGTAATAAACATAGCCGGCGCTTGTTCCGGGATGAGTTAAACTGCCCCATCAACGAAAGCTCGGTAGTAAGAGCCAAACAATGATCGATATGCTGTAACATAAGTACACGCCCGTACAGGTCGGTACATGCATGCATTGGACAGTGACGAACTGCCCATATCCGATAACAAGAGGAGATGACACCTGAAAAACTCAGGGCTGCCGTCACGCGAGATGGAACAGCTAGCGTATTGCGCTTGCGACACGAGACGGCTTCAAGGCTTTTTCGCAATAGAGCCCATCTAAATTGATAGCGAGGCACGCTAACTCCACTCGGACTCATGCATGGCAAATCATGGAATAACTCCTGCTAATTATTTTACTTGCCCTTTCCTTCCTCTGAATTAGCTCTCGACTTCCAGGGTTTCTCCTCCGCCGCAACCGCCTGTTTTTGTTGGGGCCTACCATTCTCCCTCCTCTTCGCTTCCAATCTCACTGCGCTTGCTGAAACGGTATCCTGGACTGAGACGCGTATATTCGTCGCGTACCAGAAAGCCGATAGTTCTGCTTATCCAGCTACACATTCTACAGCCCAACTTTTAGTTGTTGCTATCTAGACTCTTCGTGCAGCATCCCCGCTCACTTGCAGTTATCGACGAGACACAATTGGGTCAATGGGCTGTATCAATGGCGGGCTCTAGGCGATCCGGTATTGGTGAGATGGATCCAGACCTGGCAACACATGAACTCCAACCATCCATGGCCCAGCCGCTGGCAACGGAGGTTGCGGAAAGTGCTGATGAAGCGTCTACACGTTCGCCGCCCACCAATCGTGCGACAAAAGCATTCTGTAAGAATTGCAAGAACAACATAGGAGATTTCTACAACTCCTGGTATAAGGTCACCGGCAGCTACTACGTCCCCGCGCTTCTCGGCTCTTACAGCTCTACCTTGCGACCCATGGGCAAACTAAAACCGGCGTCAAAGGGCACCAAATTAGCAGGATGGTAAGCTCATTCCAACGCTCACATTGGTCATTTCTTCGCATTTGTTTGTCGCACCTTTCCCTCTTATAGCCTTGACCGGCTATCAACAAACTCCCGACATATGGGTGGGCTTATCCCGGCTGCAACGCGTAACATGGTATTTTAAGTTTCCTCCTTTAAGCGTACCCACGCTAGTCGTACCAAATCTTTTCATACTATAGATTAACATCTATCAAACCGGTCCGCCCCGCGTTATACTTCCCGCATTCCGTATTACTATTCTTTTGTTCTCTCCAGGGCTTTTGGGCTGACTCTGTAACAGTACTATCCAGCCTTTGTCTTGTCCCTATTCTAGTTGTCACAAGATAGCAATTGGATTCACTGTTGTCACCGCACCTGCAGGAAAGGGTTCTTTTCGGTAAGTAATATCACCTTGGGGCGTTGCAAGATTTCGCACGTCCTTGCATACCTGTTCCCAATGTTATTCGTGGGAAGTCATCGACATTCATTAGCATGGTGGCTGACATGCGATCTGCTACAGTGGACGAGACTTCTTCAAGCTGGGTCGCATTGAATTGCAATGCGAGTTAGCAAAAAATCAATTCACCGTGGTCGAACCTGAACTCGACACCTCGTCAGATCTGCTAGCGAATGAAGACACCCCTAGTCCGTCCTCATCAGTCGCAACACCAAACGCATCATCGGCTGAAGCCATGGAGATTGACTCGCGCGCGCCATCTGTAGAATACGCAGATCAGACTCACAGCCGGTACGAGCAATCTCAGGATCGTGACATACAACAACAACAACAACAACAGCAACCGTCACATCTTATCGAAGGCAACAGGCACTCAATAAAAGCACCACAATCAAGGCACTCCCCTTCGATACGGGGTTCTCCATACGCTGTGGCTCAAGATATGCCAAGCAATTCATTGCAATCTCCTTCACTCTACCATCGAGGGGCTCATGGGTCTCACAAAGGACCTGGTGTGAACTCAACAAGTGGCCAGCTTGAGGCTTCAACAGAGGCGTCTCAAGACCGGTCTGCTATCGAGAAACCTCAAACGAACGGCCATCACTACCCTCGTTCACCACAAGATGTCGGTATAGACGCTATGGCGCGTCTACAGACGCAGATGTCTCAAAACAGTGGCGCCTTAGCTGCACACACTCGCGACATAAGACTTGGCCAGGAGGCGATCGGGTCAATGGAAGAAACAATCCGAGAGTTTCAGGCCAAGTTCGTCCGACAAACTGCCGATATCCAAAGAATCGAAGCGCTGGCTGCAAGGCTGCAGAACGAGGTGCAAGGCATGCGCCATGCGATGGAATCCATTAATCATGAGTTACAGGCGAGTCGGATGCAGAGGCAGTCAGCTGGTTCGGCTGTGCCTCCCGTGGTTCCATCTTTCGCGGCTCAAAGTTCAGCAATGGAGCTTATGGCGCGGCAGTTGCATGACATGTCGCATAAGACGAGTGACTTGGATAACCTGAAGCTTCATGTCGAGATCATGAAGGACAAAATCTATCGACTCGAAGAGCGCGCTGGACCAGAGTCTTCACAAGTACCGCCACATCTACATCAGGCGCCACAAGGATCGGTAGCGCAATCTTCCCAGCCTGCTCTTGTTGCCTCTACATCACACCAAATTACATCAACAACGACGCCGAGTAACAGAGCACCTCAGCCAATACTCAATGGACAGCTTCAACAATCCTCGTTTGGTGCTCCTTCATCAACGGCTGCCGCCCCAAGTGCTCAGCCCATAAGTAACCAGACTAGCGGATGGGCTGCCGTTAACGCAGGGGTGAAACGGGCCCATCAGGATGGCGTTGAGACCCCACAGGCAGGCAATGCCCATGCACCTGAACCCCCCAAGAGGCAGAGATTAGTGGAAGACGGTACTTCGGGCTACACATCTTCACAACAAACACCCATTACAGACCATCGCTTCCAAACACCTACGCATACAGTACCATCTCAGCAAACTGTTCCTGAATCGGTGCATAGGTCGCAATCACAACAACCGTACCATGTCCCTTACGCTACACAAGATGGCCCCTCGGACGCCAGTTCGCAACCCGAGTCTCAGCGTATGATTGAGCATCGACCGCGCGGGCGTCCACGTGGTAGTGGAGGTCCTGGAAGTCGGGGTGGTAGAGGAAGAAAGAGCATGCCAGCCCAACTCCACGGTACACTCGGAACGCCTGAATGGGAAAGAGATGATTGGCAAGGTGTTCCCGATTCGCAGACCAGCCCAGCCGGATACTACAACCACGTAGAGCAACCAGGACGAGGAGGCATTGCGCGCCGCGGCAGTGGTGGCGGAGGTGGTCGTGGTGGCTACGCAACCAGTGACCGTGCTAGTAGTCTAGGTCTACAAGGCGTAACAGGTGCTATGAGCTTTGGATCGCCCAGCGACCCGTATGGGTTGGGAAAGAAGACGCGCACCAAACCCATTAGGAATGCAGATGGAGTGTTGATACGCAAAGACGGCCGGCCAGATATGCGTTCGCAATCTTCAGCAGCTAATCTCCGCAAGGTACACGAGCGCAAAGAAGGCCAAGCAAGCCACTCACCCACAGGCTCGAGCTTTACGCCTACCAACCTCCAATACACGACTTCAGTAAACACACCAGACACACCGAGTCCAAGAGGATACGCTACCGACCCAAACGCCACCGATAAACACAACGCCATAATGGGCAAGATATTTCCCGATGGTATCGACGCAGCATGCAAAAACCAAGACTACACCCGGCAAGTCTTTGAAGAAAACTACGATCACACCGTGCACCCACGATCGCAGAATAGTGACCCAACAAAGAAGAAGGCAGTTCAGGTTAAGAAAGAGCAAGTAGACCGGAATAGAGGTTCCAAGACACGAAACCAGCAAGAACAAGACGGGGATGTGGATATGGATGGGACTGAGGACCATGCAGATGATGAGCGTCAAACACCTGATGAGGGCAGCAGTGACGCTAGAGGCGGCGTGCGGCTGGAAGATCAAACCCAGTACGCAAACATGCAGGAGAACAGTAGCACACGAACTGCTTCGCAAACTATTCCAGAAACTCAGGCAGTGGATAGTTCGGTCACGATTGGAGCGGGGTCTACGCAGACTCAGTAGCGAGACGGCAACGCGGTTGAAGATTGGTATTTAGTTCTTGGCATTGTATATTACTTGTTAGCTCATCCATAATATTCACTCATATTATGAAACTTCTTATATCAGTCCCTGATCAGCTTCAATATGGCAGTTATCGTGGGACCGGTGTTTGAAGATGATCCCAGCGACTGGTGGGCATGCCGCAGAAGCTGACCTCATCTATCATTGTATGCAAGGCCAACTGCCGATCCCTGTTTGTTTGATGCCCATTACCATGCAAAGTAAGGATATCATATATTCTCGTTTTCTCTCACATTATTGTATAGCTCGGTAGCTGTGCTCGGCACTGAAGTGTCAGTTGCCGCTTTATGGCTCGTTGCAACCACCCCACAGTATGCTACATTATCCTGTGAGGTGCCTGATTGCTGTAAACGATTGTTCAGAAGGACCTCTTTTCGCTAAATGCATAATTATGGATGAGCATGATAGAAGGCTTCATATATATACGGGCATACTATTACTGCAAAGACGAGATCCGTGATAAAACACCAGATTTGTAGAATTGCATCAGTGAGTTCATCTTCAATTACATTTCGACTGGTTGATCATTAGAAATACATTTCTCAACACCCTGGGCGCTTCTAGAAAGGAACGGTAGGAACCTTCTCTGATCCGTTAGTCCTCTCGGGGTAGTGAATCGCGCCTTCCGTAGTAGCACAGTTGGTAAGGTAGCTAGCGGACGCATTAACAGAAATAGCGTTGCCTTCTTGGGGACGACCGTAGACCTAATAGTATGTTAGCACTAGCCCAGCACTAGTTTATAGACAACCGAAGGGATACTTACGTGCTCGTAGTACCAAACCTCGCTCAAGATAGTGTAGCCCCTATCAGTCGTGTTCTTTCCAGCCTCCGTAGCATTGTACCTGGGTCCCGAGCAACCCAGGAAAGGAATTCCGCCATGCTGTTCATACAGCACATCCACGAGATCAGAGTACGAGTATGTGGTTGAGTTGGAAGGCGTGATACCCTCGGCGGCAAGCCAATCGAAAGTGGGGAACCTCTTGTAGTACTTGATAGCCGTCTCGAAGAAGTCAACAACATCTTCGTGCTCGCGGTACTGCGGACCGTAGCAGGGAACATTGAAAGTAGAGAAACAGGTGGCGTGCTTGGAGAACTCGTGGCCCCAGAAACCGGGGTTGTCTTGCTGCCATGCGATCCAGTAGGTGTTCATGTATTCTAGTAGGTCGTAGCGGCCAAAGGGCTCGAGGAAGGTTCCAATATTGGATCCGTTGTAGGGTGGGACAAACGTTCCATTTGGTAGGCCGTTTGTAGTGTTCGGTCCCGGGATAGGGTCGTATTGGCGGCTCAGGTCGCAATATTGCGTGTAGCTGCCGTTGCAGAAGTCGGGCCAAAGACCATGGAGGGTCCATGTGTCGGTGGGAAGAAGTTGGCCTTCAGACTCGCCGCCGGTGTATGTGTTCCAAAATTGAGTGCTTAGCACAAGTCCACCAAAGGTCTCAACGCAGCAAGAGTCGACGTTTGAGGGATCTTGTGAAGGGCAAGATAGGAGTGGCTCTTGTAGCTGGCAGGTGTGGTTCAAGGGGCTTTGGTTGGGGTAGAGCTGTGCATTTGCCGTAGTAGCAAGCAGAGCCGCGGCTCCGGCTTTGGAAAACGTATTCTTCATCTTATCGAGACTTTGAAACTACAAGATCGATAGAAAAAAAAGCTATATTATGATAGAGACTCAACCATGATGGGAAACCGGCATCTATAAAGCTCTCAAATTTTTGGCCACGGCCTACCCAGCCCGCTGCAGCCCCAGTCGGTCCTTACCATATGTAGAAGGTACTTCTTCCAGACTCCTGGTTAGAGCTCCGGCGGCGGCGATGAGCGAAAGATTCACAGTACCTGCATGTAAGCTAGACACGCTCACGTGTCGATCCTATTGGATGATAAGAGAACAAGGCTACACATGCCGCGCCATGGTGCTTGTACCCACTTGAGCAGTCTCCGAGGCCATGATGCTGGAGATGCACGTTGAGATGCAAGATTGGTGGGTAGAGTCAGCCACGATTACGGCTTTTGACCGCCATGCAGGAAGAGTTGGGAATTGCGTCTCGAAGGATGGCTGGGACAGAACGTGGGTTGCTCGATAGGTGATAGGGTCTAGCTTGGTTAGACCTGCTCCATGACGCTCCACGACCAAAGACGCATGAATGCGACAGCTTGCATCGCAATTCCTCAAAAGATATTGAAGGCACCGCTGGACGACTTGAAGCTGTCCAGTCTTACACAATCCCCAAATTTCCAATAGCGCCTTGAACGGTATTATCGGGCCAACTCGCGCTCCGATGGGCATTGCCTATCTCCGCCTCCACATCCGCCATTCGTCGTCATAGCATCACCTACACGACACGCAACAATGCGCGCCCAACTCAAGCCCTTTGTACCCTCGCGCCATTCTTTAGGCACTACAGAACATCGAGAATGTCTCCCTCATCCTCCATAACCGCGCTGCCGCCACACAAGCCAGACACCTACACAACAGCTCACCACATCGGCAAGCCGCCCACAAGCTTCAAGAACCCATGGCCTTCATATAAGAACGACGGCGTAATCGCCGCTTTCCGCACGCGCTTCAGCACCCCGAAAAACTTCGTCCCCATACCCGCCGATCGATTAGGCCTGGTCGATGTGCGCAAGCCCGACTTCAGTAATACGAAGAACGGGTTGAAGGCAACATGGATAGGACACGCTAGTTTCCTGGTCGAGACAACAGCTTCAGAAGGAAATCAGAGAGGGATGCGCATCCTTCTCGACCCTGTATGGAGCGACCGCGTAGGACCTTATAGCATGGTTGGTCCTGTACGGTTTACACCTCCACCATGCACCATCGACGAGCTACCCGAAATCGATGCTGTTTGCATAAGCCACGACCACTACGATCACCTTGATTCCGACACGCTGAAGAAGCTGAATGCGAAACAGAACGGAGACTTGCGCTTCTTCTGTGGGTTGGGCGTCAAGTCCGTCTTGACGGGGCTTGGCGCAGGTATCAAGGCCGACCAAGTCGAAGAGATGGACTGGTGGGATGGCATAACAGTATTCAAAAAGGGTGCAGGGGGCGTAGAACTAGTATGCACGCCTGCCCAACACCGATCTGGACGTACGCCCTGGAACTTCGACGGCACCCTGTGGTGTAGTTGGATCGTCAAAGAGCCCTCTTCATCTGGCAAGAAACTCTTCTTCGCTGGAGATACAGGATACTGTCACGTTCTGTCCGACGATCAATACTCACACCACGATGCGCCGCATCCACCTTGTCCAGCCTTCAAGGAAATCGGCCATTTATACGGTCCTTTTGATTTGGCGCTTGTGCCTGTTGGTTGCTTCAAGCCGAGATCGGTTTTGTCGGGTCAGCACTCCAGTCCGGAGGATTCTCTGGCTATACACAGGGATGTGAGGAGTAAGAAAAGTATAGGTATGCACTTTGGTACGTTCCGTGGTGCGTACTCCGCTAGCTACGAACCAGTCACTGAGCCGCCTGAACGTTGGCGAAAGGGTGCAGAGGCGGATGGTTTGAAATGGGGAGTTGATGTTGACTTGTGTGATATCGGCGGCACGGTTGTGGTGTAATAGTGTTTTGACGGTATTGTTTTGGTACGGTTACTATGCGCTTCTCTAAACCTCTCTTCACTTGTAGTGATTAATATACTATCTTGTGGCCCGTACAATTTATGAAATCGTACAACCATGAACACTCTTATATCATTATTGCTCTCCTGTACTCCAGATCATTTGTCAGTAACACTCCTTTGCAAAGGAGAAGAGAATGATTCGAAAAATGCATCATGTCTATTCTCATGGCAGAAGAAAAGTACCATCATGATTACTCATACAAAGCCAGTATTGCCTTCTAATGCATGTACATAAACTACTCTCGACGCACCACAAGTGGCACTGTCTAGTTGTACTGCATGTAGGTAGCAGTCGAGTTGAACTTCAGGTTACCCTTGATGACCTTGTCCACAGCAGCCAAGAAGTCCTTCTCGGTGGCGACCTTCCTCCTCGCTCGGATAGCGAACATACCTGCCTCGGTAGCTACACTCCTCAACTCGGCACCTGTGCTGTTGGGGCAGAGACGAGAGATGAGCTCCCAACGGATGTCGCGCTCCACGCTCATGCTCTTGGCGTGGATACGGAGAATGTTGGCACGACCTTCCATGTCTGGTAGCGAGAACTCGATCTTTCGGTCGATACGTCCTGGACGCATGAGGGCAGGGTCGAGGGTTGAAGGTCTGTTGGTCGCGAACATGACCTTGATGTTGCCGCGAGCGTCGAAACCGTCGAGTTGTGTGATAAGCTCCAACATGGTACGCTGTACTTCGTTGTCGCCTCCAGCACCGTCATCGAAACGAGCGCCACCGACAGCATCGATTTCGTCGAAGAATATAATACACGCCTTCTTTGTTCGCGCCATCTCAAACAGCTCGCGCACCATCCTAGCTCCCTCTCCGACATATTTCTGGACGAGCTCTGAACCGATAACTCGGATAAAGGTGGCGTCAGTTCGGTTGGCAACAGCTCGGGCGCAAAGCGTCTTTCCGGTTCCTGGGGGGCCGTAGAGAAGAGCACCCTTCGGGGGGTCGATACCCAGATTGACAAAGCGCTCTGGTGATAGCAGTGGCATCTCGACAACCTCTCGTAACTTCTCAATCTGCTCTTTGCAACCTCCAACATCGCCGTATGTGACATCGGGCTTGTCCTCAACCGTCATCATGGTAACCGAAGGGTCGATCTTTGGTGGCAGGGGAAGCAGAATCTGGTACTTGTTCCGGTCGACACCCACCCGCATACCCTCCTCGATGTCGGTGGGTGAGACGCGTTCTCCGAGGTTGACAACGAACTTGGCGATCTGCTTGACGTTGATGACATATTTGCTCTTCTCCGAATCCTTCTCGTCCTGTATTATCTTGGTGCATCGTGCGACCTGGAGGGGCTGCTCTTCTGACATTCGTTGGCGGTCGGCGGCGATATCCCAGAGATGTGGAGGTGCGAGACCGGTATCTGATTCCTGGGGGAGTCAGCAGGGAATGGTTGGGGCTGAAGGGGCATGTACCTTGACGCCAATCTTTTCGTTTATCGTCTGTTGCTTGTCCTTGATCTCCTTCTCCAGCTTCTTGAGTTCGGCGCCATAGGGTGCCGCTCCGTATGTCTTCAACACCTGGATGTCCCTATCACGTCATTAGCCCATGCTTGCGTCGGGTGTGTCCTCGCCTCTTACTCGTCGGTCAGAGGTGTGATCTTCTTCTCCTCAACCTCGTCGTCGGCGAAGTTCTTCTGGTACTTCTCCCAGGACTGGCCTGTGGCTGAAGGCATGTTTGCGGTGTAGGCGGCGACAGTCGGGCGGCCAAGATGGTGTTCGGACTATGCGTGCAGTGGAGTTATGGATGCGTCCGGGTAGAAGCGACAGTCGGAGCAGATGCGGTAGTTTGGGTGGGAGTATGGGGTTGGTTGTTGTGTAATGGGTGAAGGTGTAGCTGTGATGCGGCAATGGCCCGGCGAGTCGGAGCTTGTGGACTGGCCGTGCGCTACGTCTATCGCGTTCTCGAAATATTGTCAGTTCGCGTCCAGGCACCAAAACTTCCCCGCCAAACCTTCACGATACCCCTCTTTTAGCTTTGTTCTTCCTGTATACTGAAAGATGGCTGCTCAAGTTGCAAATGGCGGTACCGGTGGCGGTAACACTGCCTTCAAGGTGCGCTTCCCTACTGAGCTATGAAAACATTGACTGACTTTGGGCCAGGACAAGGAGAAGCCCAGAGCTGTTCGTAGCGCCAACATCATTGCCGCAAGAGGTACGGATGCCATATACGGCCTTTGCGAAGTCTCTTACTAACTCAAAATGTATAGCTGTGGCAGATGCGATCCGAACTGTATGTCCCACCATGAGGTGCGGGGAAGAACCGAATACTAATGTTTTGGCAGTCTTTGGGACCAAAGGGCATGGACAAGATGGTAAGAGATGGGCGCAAATCGCTGGCCATCACAGCTGACTCGTTCAGATCCAAACCGCCAGAGGCCAGACTATCATCACAAACGACGGAGCCACCATGTTGAACCAGATGAGCGTTATGCACCCCTCCGCGAAGATGCTCGTCGACCTCGCACACGCCCAAGACATTGAAGCTGGAGACGGCACAACATCGGTTGTAGTCATTGCGGGAAGCCTGTTGGGCGCCGCTGAGCGGTTATTGGGCAAGGGCATCCACCCCACAGTCATATCAGAGGCTTTCCAGCGCGCCGCGCAAGAGGCGATATCCATATTGACCGAGATGGCCATCCCTATCTCGCTCACGGACAGGCAGACCCTCCTCAAGACCGCCACGACGGCACTCTCCTCCAAGATCGTCGCTCAGGAGCCCAAGCTTCCTATCATGGCTGTAGACTCGGTGCTCAAGGTCATCGATCCAAAGACCGCAGACAACGTAGACTTGAAGAACATTCGGATGATTAAGAAGTCGGGCGGTACCATCGAAGACAGCGAGATGATCGACGGACTGGTACTCAACCAGCCAGTAGTCAAGAGCGCTGGTGGTCCCACATTGAAAGAGAAGGCACGGATAGGTCTCATCCAGTTCCAGTTGAGCCCTCCCAAACCAGACATGGAGAACCAGATTGTCGTCAACGACTACAGGCAAATGGACAAGATCCTCAAGGAGGAGCGAACATATCTGCTGAACATGGTTAAGAAGATCCAGAAAGCCAAGTGCAACGTTCTCTTCATCCAAAAATCCATTCTCCGAGACGCTGTGAACGACCTCAGTCTGCACTTCTTGTCGAAGCTGAAAATCCTGGTCATCAAGGACATCGATCGTGACGAAATCGAGTTTATCTGCAAGGTGCGTTTTCCAAGGAATTCTTATGTGTGTAACAAAACTAATGCAAAGCAGAGTACTGGCTGCAAGCCTATTGCCGATATCGACTCATTCACTGAAGACAAGCTCGGTTCGGCAGACCTTGTCGAGGAAGTACAGGCGTCAGGCGCGCGATACGTCAAAGTTTCGGGTGTCAAGGCAGCAGCCAACACTGTCTCCATCGTCTGCCGAGGTGCCAACAATCTCATCCTGGACGAGACTGAGCGATCTCTACACGATGCTCACTGCGCCATTCGCTCATTAGTCAAGAAGAAGGCGCTACTTGCTGGTGGTGGTGCCCCAGAAATCGAGATTGCGCATCAGTTGTCTCTCAAGGCGCGTGAGCTCTCTGGTACTGAGTCTATCTGCTGGAAAGCTTTCGCCGACGCCATGGAGGTTATCCCAACAACGCTAGCGGAAAACGCGGGTCTGAACAGCATCAAGGTTGTCACCGAGCTAAGGCATAGGCACGCACAGGAGCAGAAGAATGCAGGTATCAGCATTAAGAGCGGGGGTGTCAAGAACGATATCAGCGAGGAGAACGTACTACAGCCACTGTTGGTCAGCACCAGCGCCATCGAGCTTGCCGCCGAGACAGTCAAGATGATTCTGCGAATCGACGACATCGCCTTGTCGAGGTAAAGACCCGCGAAGCGACCGACATGGCAGCGAAAGAAGCAGTATACCACGAGTAATGAAAAATTCCAGGAGCTGTTGATGCCAAATACTTTTTGGAATATGCCCCGACTTTGCATGTGAACGCAACGCCTACGATGCATCTAGCGCATGAATGTTGTAATCAAAATCTGCACGTGAGAAAGCATGGAACTGCAGTAGCGGGACACGTCGTTCTCTGCAGACTGACAAAAACAGACAACCCATGAATCATGTTTATTTTTCCGCGTACCGCATTCGGATATCTCATCTTACTTACTGTAAACGTTTTCGACTTGACTCACTTGAAAAACGAAAACCGCGGCCGTGGACATTTGCGCGCGTACTGAAGGAGTTACTTGCATGGATGATCTCATACTAGCATACTCCCTCCTGGTTCATCCGAAGTAGATGCAGTGCTTTCGGCCTTGATGTGCTGTGCTCGTACGCAGTGTATGCGTGTGGTGCGTCGCTACGATAATGCGATCGCCCTAGCTCAACGACTTTGTTGTGCACCTAACCTTTCAGAACACCGCAGCATGAGAACCGTTTCAACGCATCCAGACTATCGGATGTGTAGCGCCAGATCACACCACCAATATACTAGTTTAGATGTCTAAACTGAAAGATTTCAGGGCAACAAGCTAAAGATATCACAACACCCATGACATGCATCCACGAAAGCCACGCACAAGTACTATGACTAGTTCAACAGCCATTTCCTACCCTAACTATTGAATCTCTCAGCCAAGTGCCAGCCACATCCATGTCACACGAGCAACGGTGCGAAAAAGCAAAGAACCGCGTGGAGAACCTTACCTGCAGCCACCGTACTCTGTCCAACGGCTTTCCCATGCGCAGTTCCGCATGACAAACATGATATGCATATGCCATACCTTTTTCTTCCTCTTTCCTTTTCCTGTCGATCACCTCGGCCAAAGCTACGGGATGACATACAGTTGCCACAACTCAAACCTTTGACTACAAACGATCAACAACGTCCCCCCTTCCCAGGCACCCAATCACCCAGGAAAACCTCATCCATCCGAGACCCGACACACTACGATCAAGGTAACCGTAGCCGTGATAACCGAACCGCGCGCGATACGCGCCGCGAACCCAAGATCGAGAATCCCTCTTGACTGGGAACGAAAATCTGGACGGAAGCTGAAACTTAGCGTACCATGGATTTCAACGCAGTTCGGTTCGGCATCTAGTTTGTTAGTGTCATTCGCGTATATTGACATGGGAACCCGAGAACTTAAAGGCTCAACCTGATGTCGTAGTGGAGCTTCACCGGAAGGGAAAAAGGTGGAGTTGAGGTGAGAATAAGACTTGATGGACGTTTCAGGGAGCGATTGATATCGGATGATCTTTGTAGTGCGGCGCGATGTCATTGTTTAGTTTGGCATATGACGATGGTATGGGTGGATATGTAGGATTAGTTGATGAGGCAATGGTGAGATGGCTTTCTGTAGAGGCGTGTGTGCGTGCGGAGGAGTTGCTTAGTTAGGATGATTTAGGGAAGGTGATGTGTTAGGGCAACGCTGTGTTTGGCTATACCGGTAACTCTGATCCTGCTATTGCAGCAGAACACGCAACCTACATGCATCTTTGTCATCGCCACTGAACTGCTTACTCCCAGCACGGTGAAACGCATACAACATATGCAGTACAAACTATTGCATACCGATTGTCGACGCGCTGTAATGTTGATCCTTTCCTCTCCACTGGATGATAACGACGAACGTCATACACGACCCATGTTCTTAACATCTATGCAATATAGATCTCTCCACTGTGGATAATATGGCTAGCCGCAGTTGTGTGAAACATGTGGGGAGATAAGATGGGGTGTTGCAGACGGATAGGCAAAGTTCCGGGAGCGAAGACCTAGTCATGATCGTTGGGGGCGATCAATCCTTCCTGAAAAAATTTGATAGTTGAAACGATAATCTCAAGAATGAGGTGGTGAGTTTGCAACTGCCGACGTGGATAGAAAATAAAACACAAAAGACCTGATATCGACATGGATATGGAAAACGTGGTTTTGGCAGAGCGACAGACCAATGTTGGTTGCTGCCGGCTGGGTATCATTCTTGATAAAAGTCTTAGCTAGCTAGGTAGTAAGCCAGCATGGTAGCTGGATGCGGGAGATGAAAGGAAAACGCCTCATTCATGCATCTGAATCGTTCGAATCGTTCGGTTCGTGCATCGTGATAATCGTACAGTTGACCCGTAAATGTCTGAAAAACTTGAACAATGGAAGAAGACCGCTCGCTGAAACGCAGCAGACCTGTTGGTCCTTATTATGAAAGACAAGGAAAAGTGCATGGGAGAAGTGGATTAATAAATGTAGGTTGAAGTGTGAATCAACGACTCGTTGCTTTGAGGCTGGCACGCTTCAACAAGCGGCTCATGAGATTTCCGCGTGGCTTGGGCTTAACGTAGAAGGCGCCCTTGGTACCGGTCATATCGTCGGTGAAGACCAGATCTTCAAGTGCCAAAGGGTCATCTTTCGGGGCTTTGGGGCTCGAGCTTGAGCCTTGCCAGCCGTACAATTGATCTTCGTCAGCCCGTAAGTCGGGCCGGGTCAAAGTCATGCGTAGTGTCATCTCTCGGTTGAACTGCCCGTTGACGGAGTGAACGGGTGAAGGAGCTGGCGATTCGACCGAGAACTTGCGATGCGAGATCTGGCGAGAATGCATACGGAAGGACAAGCCGGTGCTGGAGGGGGTAGTGGGTGAGTCCATGTCGGCTACTGAGCCAGCGTCAGACTCGAGTCCCAGGTTCTCCTTGTTGTTGTCTTCGAAGAATGATAATTGCCCATCTCGGAGGAAGGTGTGCATGTCTCGACTGAACTTACGGGCATGACTGTCAATCTGGGGCAGCTGGAAGTGCGGTGTAGCGGAGTCATTCCCAGCCGACGATGGGAAACCGAACTCAATCGCTTCATCAAACTTTTGGGGAGACGCAAGGTACATGCGCAACTTCCTTCTCGCCTCTGGATCCTGGTAGTGGGTTGCTTCGGTGTCGACGACAAGGGGTGAAGGCGTAGAAGGCAATGCGTGGCCTGCGAGGGAAGAGGAGTGCGCACGTTGGTGAAGTCCTTTCGGCCTAGCATTGAAGAAAGGAGGGTCCGACATGTGTGAGGATCCGTGGCGGACAGGGTGGGAGGTAAGGGACATTGTTCGTCTCATGTCAGCCATGTGCATTTCTCTTCGCGTGAACATGGGCGTGGCCATGGCGTCGAGATATAATAAATGGCTATTTCGGTCCTTGTCCGTGGCAAGTGTAGCAGACGGGCCGAAACAAGCGCGGGAAGGGCTGACGGTCGAGGACGCCGATGATGAACGTCTTCGTGAGTGTCCACGTTCAGGAAGGTCGACCGGGGGTTGAGAAAAGTCGAAGTGAAAGTCGTTGAAGCGTTGTTGTGCCCACTCGGTATCCTGGTCGTTGGGAAGGACTGCGTGTTCGTGCCTTTCTTGGAGGAGTGCCTGCTCTTCGCGGGAAAATTGTTGCTTGCGTACCTTTTCAGGCAAAGAAAGAAAAAAGTCCAGCTCGATGTGGGAGATGTCGTGAGATTGCACGGCCTTTTCCGATTTGCGCCTACGTCGTCCGGTGCCGAGTGATAGTGAAGGCCGGTGGGATTTGGACGAGGTGCTGGCCTGGGACGAGCGGCCTGATGTAGGCTCGTCGGAGGCCTGCTGTCGGATCTGCAAACGCTCCAGGGATGAAAAGTACTTTCTCCTGTAGCGGCACGGGTTAGCATTGGCATATCATGGCATAATTGACAGACCCTTCATCTACTGCAAGGTACACAAAAGTCATGGTGGGGGGTTCGGTATATGCGCGTGCATAACGCGCCCTTATCACACGCCCCAACAAATCAGAGGCGCCGAATTTACTTACTGGACTGAATACGGCAGGGCGTCGAATTCCGCTTGTTGTAAAGGCAGAGTAGTGCCTCTCCCTTTGCTCTTCATGGCTCAGGCTCGGAACTCGACGTCGGCGATGGCGCAACGGCTGGCTCCAGGCACATATGTGTGATTTGCTCGATGCTGCGAATGGCGGCCTTGACGCCGTGGCCAAGCTGTGCGTCGGGCACGTCTCGTGGAAACTAGTTGAGCAATGCAATACTTTCTTCTCAATGATCGACCGGAGGGCTAACCGAACAGCAGCAAGCGAAAGTCCGAAGAAGAAGGAATTATATGAAGGCCAACAGAACGACTGCTGGGGAGATAGAAACAATCTGTGGGCTTAGCACCGTACGACTCTCGCTCGCACTTGGGGCGGCTGCACATTCGTGTCGCGGGATGCCACAGCTGCAGGCTAACGCGCCGCCAGAGATGCATGCTTGCTCTCCACCTCACACCTAGGCCCTAGTAGAGCCGTGGCTGATGTATCCGAGAAGAGGCCAGGGCGTGTGCGTTCGTTGGTTGAGTCAGTTTGTGCAGGCATACCTCCTCCCCGCTTCTCTCCACCTTGCCCGTCCGCTGTTTCAGGCCCGCGGCCGCCAGGTACACGCCGTCAGCGGGGCCACGATACTTAGCGTGTGACACACCGCTGGCAAAGCTACCTGGCTCATGGAGTCGATACATGCTCTTTATCTGTGCCTGATTTAGCCTCGTCAGCAATATGCTTGCTTCTGGAATCTTGCATTATTACCCTATTGCCCTACTGGGGTGTCGCCCAAGTGGCCGGATCAACACCGCAGCCAGACGTGTCACGGGTTAATATCGCACAGATCGCCGTCGACAACCACACGCCTTGTACAACGTCGAGCATGCGCTGTGTAACGATAACAAGCTGAGCAACCCACACGCTCCATACGATCTGTCTAATTGCAGTCTATTGCACAAGTACAAGCAAGGGTATCTCAAGAGAAGCGCATCCGGCTCCGGCTCCGGCTCCGGCTCCAGCTCCCACATAAATGTTACCGCTCCCTGCAAAATCCCTAATACAATTCCCCAAACATCGGTGCGGTACCTGATCCCCAAATTGAAGGCTGACACACGTCTATCCGGAAGACGGCGATCGTGTTCGACCCCGCCATCATCTAGTTCCGCATCGAGAGGGATTAGGCTTTCGGAAGCGTCTACTTAGGCGTCCCAACAGCCTGCAGCTTGGACGCTGGCGGATCCATTAATTTCACCCACTCCTGCACAAGATCGATGTTTATTGTCAAAGAGATTTGTCCGTAAACAAGCATGTTCCATATCTTCAGGCACCCGCAATATCATCTGCGTTGGGGTACCAAGTCAGTATGGTGTCCGTGCCACAATTTGAAGGGAGCACACGTACAGTAATATTCGTCATCCAGACCTTCACGGTTGGGAAGTACTGGCTCCTCCAGCCCGACGTCTTCGTATCGAACATTGAGCAGACGGATCTTGAGCCCGTAGCCGCCTATGAAGGTGGCCAACTTGTTGGTATCAGCGGTAATGGGCTGTTGGTTCAGCAGCATGAGCAGTCCATCAAGCCACTCGGAAGCAAGGGTGTGACTCTGAGGATGCAGATGCAGCAGGACAGATTCTTTCCGCCCTGCACCTGAACCGCTGGAAGCCTGTCGCGAGTGATTGGATGGCGGCAGGTAGCCGTGGATCGTGATTTTGGTTGATGTAGAAGCCCGCTCGTGGCCTGGTAGGGTTCTGACCGTACTGTCAGATGATGAGGTCGACGGAGCCGAAGCCGAGACATTGCTCACGACCGAAGAGACAATGGATAGGTCGACTGTACATGTGTCAGCCACGGCGGTAACGTAAACCATAGAGGACGCGTGGATGCGTTACACTTACTCTTTTCCTGCAGTGTGTCTAACCTCGGCTCAGTCGCCGTCTTCTCGTCAAAGTCAGCATAGTGCAGATATCGCCGGTTGTGTGACAATCGAACAAAACGCCATGCTGAGGGTATAGAACGATTCAGTGTCTTGCTGGTTACTGGACCCGCAGTCGTGCCATAGTCGATACCCATGGCAAACCACGCCCCTTGAAGCAAACATCTTATACGCTGCTCCTTTACAAACTGCAGGGCCTCGTGGTTGAGTTCATCACGGACTTGGCTGTGGAGTGTTAGCTTAGCGCGGGTTACGTATAAACATGCAGCATACCGTAAATGGTGGCCCCACGCGTCCTCGTACGTCAGCTCCAGCACTTCCATCTGGAGCTCTCGAAGACGCTTGAGCTCGAATTCAGCCAGGTCTTCCTCAACATCTTTGACGTCCTTGATGCGTGGCGCCTGACCCACAACCTGCTCGATCAAGATGCGGATGAGCTCTTCGATCTTCTCAAAGTCCTCCGTCTGTGCCCCAGCGGCCTTCCATAGTCGAATGAAGGCATTCAGGCCGCTCGTGTGCAGCCTCGACCAATGGAGAAGCAGGGGTTTGAACGCGCGGTCAAAGTTGGCCCGCGAGTCGGTATGCCTGTGGGACTCCACATCATCAAACTTGTCCACTTCGAAGTGTTCGTACAGAGTCTGAGTAACAGATAGACTTGCACGGGCAATGGGACATCGCTGCTCGAGTGGCTCTGCCGACTGCTCTAGTAGAAGCTTCTGAAATCCGTCTTCGTTCTTGTAGACGAAGTCGGTAATGTCCATGAGGCCTAGGAACCCAGTGTTATCAAACTCCCAGGCGGGCGATTCAGTCTCGAAGCCCAGACGTCTCCATTTGTCTGGATTCTGCTTCTTGCTCCCTTTAGTGTCTGATGCCGGCTTCTCTGGGCTGCTCGCTGTGTGCAGACCTCGGATAGCTCTCCTGTGGTCCGGGTTCTCCAAGTCGACCTTTTCTTCCCTCCAGTTTCGTAGCAGTATCTTGGTCAACGACTGGAAGTCGAGCAATGGATGTGCCAGATCCTGTATCGCAGAGCTCTGCATGAGCCCGTATACGCTCTTTATCACACCTAGCTCCTGTAGCTGCTTTATGAACTTGGGCCACTCAAAGGCCGCGTCGTTTGCGATGGCATCTCGCATGAGCGCATTGATGAGCTGCAGGGAGTTGGCACATAGCGCGTGGTCGGCCGACGTGATCTTCTCGACGAGGGACGGTAGAAAGTCAGGCTGGGTGTCGACGGCGGGCTTCAGGCGCTGGAAACCAGTGGTTCCGTCTTGGGAATTTCGATGTGAGGGGTGACCGACAATGGCGGCGAGGACTGACATGGCACCGCGATTGACATTGACAAGAGGTTGGGCAACTACGAGATCAACAATCTATTGCACGATTGTTAGTCGTCCCGAAGCACTCATTTCTTCTCTACTTACTCTCGCAACCAAATCATCCGTGACATGATCCCATCCCTTGTCCAGCTCCAGCAGACGTGCTAGAGAGGTAAGGCAGTATGCCAGTGTGTTGCCCGTGGAATGCAGCGCCAGGTATCTGAGTTTGGGCAGGCCCCCTTCGTATATGAAGACGTCGGCGAACGAGGGGTCGCCAATGGCATTCTGCAGCTTGAAGACGGCCATCTTCCGCACTGACTCCTCCTCCGCGCCGAGTCGCGCGACCAATTCAGAGACATTGACGCTATCCATGGCTCAAGCTTCGCAAGGTAGGATGCGAGAATGTGGGGTATGTGTATTGTGGAGATAGTATATTCATCCCAGATCACGTAGGAATGGCAAACATGACACAATCGCCGCAAGGCCGAGGCTGGTATGTCAAAGTTGGGTTGGGGTCTGTCTCTGCTGTCGTCAATGTTTCACCCTGTCCTCGCGCCGTGGCGCGTTAGTGAGTCGCGACCCTTTGCTTGGCGACACGTGAAGCGTGTTGTGGGGGCCCACTTGCTGTTGGCTGCCTGCCCTGCCTGCCCAGGTGGCTTGCGCTAGTCAGGTACATCGCCGAACATCAACCAAGGCCAACTTCCAAGGGCCGACAACATCCCATCGTCCTCCAGTCCGTCCTGAGCACCGTCTCGCCGTCCATCGCTCCTTCAACCCCCTTCTTGTCACACCGCTTTAGCGCCGCCGTCTCCGATACCCTCTGCATTGTTTTGCTTCCCGGTTTTAGTCTCGCCGCTGCTGCACCTTCCGCCTTCGAGGTCGACAATAGCTTCTCCGCTTCACCGTCACCACCACCGTCACCGTAACCCGTCGCCATGGTCTACATCACCTCTGACCTCTTCGGTCCGAATACACCACACGAGCGACAATACGACGAATCGCCCAACTATTGGCATGCCATGGCTCACGAACAACATGCCGCCGGTTTGGGCAAGAGAAAGAGAATGGCCGGCGATGATGGACCACAACAGTATGTACATGCACTTTGTACACAGCCAAGTCCCGATACTAACAAAACTCCAGCAGCATGTCACGCCAACATCGCCCATCACCAAGTCGCGAGGCCAACCGCCTACACCTCCACAATACCCCGCCTTTCGAAAGCAACAACAACCTACCTTACTCCCTCTTCCCATCAAAACAACACGAATACACATCGGAACGACGACCAGTTAAGCAGCTCAAACGTCTCGTTCCAAAAGTGCCCCTCGTCAAGTCGACATCACACCTCATGGACGTTGACTTTGACATTGCATCGACCTGCCAAAGCCAATCACATGCCGTTTGCGACTTGCGATCCTGTCACGCCTGCAACAAAGCGCCTAAGCGACGGAAAGACTTGGAGAACTACTTGGACTGCAGGAGGTGCGAAGGCCGGACATGCTTCATTTGTGCGAGGCAATGTGTAGGGTGCAGCAAGGCAATCTGCAAAAAGTGCATAGTAGAGGTTGGGGAAGAGGGGGATGCATGGTGTCTGGACTGTTATTCACGGAACATCAACTCGTAAGCAGCGGGAGACGAGGTGATTTGATTTGATTTGATCTTTCTTGGGTTGTTATAGCAAAGCGGGCGTTCATGTATTACCAGCAGCTGCGTCTTGGGAGGCTATCAAGCACTATAATTTTTGGACGGGTTTTCCGGTTTTACCATTACGGATATATGTCCATCATCATGTTTTCGTCCCTTGTATATAGCAATAATGACAAGAATCATGATAAAAGAGAAGATTTCCGCATCGCCGACCAGACCGTATACCAATCGTGGTCGTAATTCTATCGTTAAAACATACATAGTATCCAACAAGCGAAGAACGTGCTCTAATCCTCATCATCAGTATCCCTCTCCTCCACGACGCTCTCTGCATCACCTGCTCGGAACCTCGAACGCGAACTTGTCATGTCCCCATCTTCAGCCTGGCTAGTCCTAGTGCTCCGCCTCCTACTCCTACTACTGACGATACCAGGGAATAGTCTAGGTTCTCCATCCAGTGTAACAGTACTTGTTGAGCGCGTCAAACCCTGGTCCGGCTCTTCAGGTGCCTCTGCCGGCTGAACAACCGAGAGGGTGCTGGGGTTAACTGTTATGTTGGAGCTGCCTCCCTCTTTTGTACCTGAAGGGGAGGCTGGTTGGCCTTGCAGACTGCCCATGTCGGTTGTCGAGGTAGAGGGCTTGAAGCGAGCGACTTGAGCAGGAGGTAATTTGGAGAACATCTGATTACCGCCTGCAGATGCGTGCGTTGGAGAAGTCGGGTGTGTTCCTTGAAGTGACTTTGGTGTCTGTGGTACTTCGGATTGCAGGTTAGAGCTGGTGAGATCGTGGCTACCAGATTGTGCGGCGCGTGTGTAGCGATCGATCCTATGCGGTATTAGTACGTAGATTCCAAGGTATAAATGTTCTACTTGGCAAAACCTACATAGCTAATTCACCCATGAGGGTCTCGTGTCGGAACGCCTCACGAATGCTGGGCACGTTGGATCTCGCCATGTCATTGCCCGCAACGCCGGGAAGATGGTAGTTACTACCCAACCACTTCTGCTTGACAACATGTTCGAAGCCACTCTGCTCTACAGAATGTTTGGCTAGCTCACACATGTCCACAGCACTTAGCTTGTAGATTTGCGCCGCGACCGAGTATTCTTCGATGAGGGGCTCTTTCGTGAAGGCGAATTGGAGAGGATCGTCTGTCGATAGCGAGACGTTGAGACCCCGTCTGAAGTAGCTCAAGAACGGATTACGTTCGTATGCCAGGAACAGTGCGTTGTTACTTAGAGGCGACATGGCGACACCAATCTGCTCAAGGTAAAAAATGTACTGGAGAAGAGGCACCTTGCGGAGCAAGAGACCATGGCTGATGCTATGACAGCATAGTACTGCTGCAGCCAGATGATCAGTGTCACCAGCCTCTCCACAATGAGGGCGCAAGACGAAAGTGTTAAAGCCACGCTGCTTCCTCCAGACGTTAAGCGATGACATGTTGGCGAAGAGGTAATACATCCAGTAGCTGTACGGTGGGTTCTGCTTTGTAGACCACTCATTTGGAAACGGAAACTTTCTGTACACGCGTCGCTCGACTTTGCTCTCATCATCGACACTATCGAACCCAATGACTCTTTGCAAGAAAACGTGAAGCTTGGGGTGACTTGTCGGATCTTTGGTAACCTCGAACAAAGGCTGGAACACATTTACGATGACTTGCTGGAAGTTGTCCATGAGACCGGTGGCTTTGTACACGTCGAACAGGCGAGGTACTTGAATCAGCCATCGTACGTTAGGCGAGAACAGCTTGTTGTCGATAACCCAAGCCGCAAGCTTATCCCACTCTTCGATGTCTCTGCCGTAGATGGAAATACGCCACTCGACGAACTGGTACTTGCTCGCTTCGAGATCCGAGATGACTTCCTTGGTGATTTCCGCTAGGTATCGGCCCTTGACGAAGTTGTCGGTCTTCAAAAAGATGGTTCGTAGGCGTGATTCACCAATCGGGTTATACTTCAAGTTGAACTTGTCGAAACGATGGAACGAATCCGTGTGAGCCTAGAAAGTCAGTACGTTGTTGCAATGCGGAACTATTGTACTTACATGCATATCTAGAGTGTCAATACTTAGGTCGTACGCTGTCAGATTGATTGACTCGAACACTTCCCTCAAGGTGAGATGTTTGCCATCACGGAAAAGTACCACTTCATCCGGTGACTTCTTCATCTTTGACTTGATGAAACGCAGCAGATGCTTTTGGTTCATGCATGCTGAATGGTGAACGTGAGTGTCGACCTTTCGGACGTTGTAGAAGTCTCTGTGCGGCACCTTTTTGGTGTCGGCTGTTTCTTGGTATTCGTTCAACAAGTAGTAAAGGTTGAATTTACCCTCAAGATACTGAAGACGACGGAAAGCAAAGCTCTTACTCGGTCCGTCGGAGGATATGTCAAGGATGGCGTCGAGATCGATGTAGAACTCGCGCAGTGTAGGAATCGCTACGATGGGCTGGTCGAGCTCAGCGGACTTGGCTGTTTCATATACCTGATAGACACCGCTGTCGTCCAGACGGAATGACATTTCTCCGGGGCCTGGTACTGGAAGACAGTCTTCCAGGTGGAAGTCTTCACCAATATTCGTTCCCATTTTGCGAGGTGGTTTGGGGGTTTCATTGGGCTCTAGGATTCCACTGTTCTGCAAGCTGCTGCTCGCGTTGCGACGCTGTTTAGACGAGTCGTTCCATACTGGTTCAGGCGGAGAGGGGTAGATGCGCCAAGCAGGGTCATCTTTGGGGTTATCGAAATTGCGCTGTAAAGACAAGCGAATGTACTTGTGACGTAGATCTAGCACTTTCTGGATATTCGTATAGATGGAGCTAAGCTCAGTGGTGATACTGGAATCATTCATGGCGAAGCCTCCTGCTCCTGTGCCAACACCTATACCTGCGCCTGCGCCGTGGATGCCTTCTTCAGCCAAAAGTGGTTTTTCCTCGTGTGGAAGACCGGGGTGTTGTGCATGGGATCGGGCTTGTTGGTCGGCCTGGAGAAAAGCGTCGCCTTCGTTGCCCGTACCTGCAGTGTTGGCTCCATGTTGAGTCATGTGTCGACGTGGATCCTGTGACTGCTCTGTGTGTGACAACCCGATGGGTAGGTTAGACCGGTGTCCTTGATTTGCAAGCGTGACATTGCTCTTCCGAGAGCGAATGCTCTCTGCCTTGCCATGGAAATCTGTACTGTCCGCGGCGCCGAAGTTTGCGGGGAATGTCTTTGCGCGCATAGCAGGGCTGTATGCCTCTCCCGCTTGTGAGCCTCCGAACTGCGTCTCTAGTTGATGCCGCTGATAGAATTGCTTGGCTTCAGTGTGACTCATCTGCTTCTCCGCAGTATAGTCGTAGAAGGCAGTTCTTCGCTGCTTATCGCGGGGCAGCATGCCATTGTCGTCCTCTTCCTCGTCGCTGGTACCAGCATTCTCCTGCGTTGTTGCAGTCGCACCATTGTCCAGTCGTGTGCGCCCGCTACCGCCAGCTTCGGTCTCGGAGAAGTCATGGCTCAGCTCTTCTTCCTCAGAGGAGGGCATCTGGTCATCGTGGGCAGGACCAAAGTCTGGAGACGCATCTGCGTCGGCAGAAAAGGCTCCTAGTCCTGAGGTCAGTCTCCGATTGTATCTGACGGAAGGATTGGAATGTACTACCTTTCAACATGGTGCTATGGAGAGGTGGTAGTTGTGGTTGCTAGAGCGAACACAAACTTTAGGACAAGCCTCACCAGGAACGCGCCTCGGAGACCGCCGGCCTGTCGCCTGACCCCGTGCCATTTTGTAAATTATGGATTCGATGACTCCATGGCATACTCATTCTGGACACTCTTCCAGTAAAAGTACGTAGCCTACGGCGAGCAAGATATCGAGGCTATAAGCATTCATGTTTCATTGGGGAAGTTACTAGACTTAGTTGGCCCCTCCATCCTCGGCTTGTGATGTTTTCGGCAGGGTCAAGGGATCCTTTCCGAGAAGGACGTTTGTAGCCTCAAACACCATTTCTAATGCATCTTCAGGAGCTTCACACATGTATATTCTACAAAAGGTGTTGGACCGGAATGTGTATCTAGGTGGGATCGTTTGCACACAGTCATGTGCTGCAGCTGCCCCTCATGCCCATTGGACATACCCCACAAAACTATCCCAAGCACCTGGAGAGAAATATACTTTTAGAGAGTGCCACAATCTCGATAATTCTACTTTGCAACCAGTACATGAGAAATTGGTTCTGCTAGAGAATAGTCTTGTTCCATCGCTGATTGTAACTTGCAATACGTCATCAGCAGGTGCGAAAATACACGTCGAAGATGGTTTACACGACGCCGCTCACGTGCTGGTTGCTTAGCGCGAATCTATGATCCATGCCCAAAAATTTACCGTATTCCGACCTTTAGCAGGAAATTCACATTTGCCAACTTCACTCAAATCACCCATAATGTAAGACTATCCTCGTTTGCAATTGACACGGTGATACTAATCCGTCACTGCAGGTTTCTTCTCCGCCGCACCGCTGTTCGCGCCATCACCGCGTCGCCTTCGAAGGCGTACCTTGCGAAGCCCCGATCAATCAACACCATAACACCTTCGGCTTTCCGTCTGAGACAACAGCAATGGTCAATATCGTCCTTCCAGCGACGATTCGCTAGCGATGAAGCCACAAAGACGGAGGCTGCTGCGGCCGACACCCCCGAGAACTTTGCGCAGACGGCAGCTGAGGCACCCATCGAGGAGAACTTGACACCAGCGCAGCAACAAGTGCAAGCCGAGCCCACTGACGAATCTGCTACTGTTGGCCCGGATGCGTTGGAATCTGCCGCTGAGCACGCACAGAAAAGCCAGAGCGGAGAGAGGAAGCCACGGACCCCCAGAACTCCCAGGAACACCACACCGAACAAGATGCTATACATTGGCAACCTCTACTACGAAGTCACCGCAGAGCAGCTGAAGCGCGTCTTCTCCAAGTTCGGTGATGTCGAGAGCACCAAGATTGTCTACGACAACCGGGGTCTAAGCAGAGGGTATGTTGGTTGACCCAGTTATTGAAAGCACGTGCTAACTCTCACTCAGTTTCGGATATGTTGAATTCAAGAACATCCCAGACGCACAAGCTGCCATTGACAACCTTGACATGCAGGTCTTCGAAGGCCGTAACCTCGTCGTCCAGTTCCACGAGCCCAAGCCCAACTCCAGGACCCGTAACACCAACACCAACAGCTTTGAGTCTAACCCTCCCTCCAGGACACTGTTCATTGGCAACATGTCTTTCGAGATGTCAGACAAGGACCTCAATGACCTCTTCCGCGATATTCGCAATGTCATGGATGTCCGTGTCGCCATTGACAGGAGGACCGGTCAGCCCAGAGGCTTTGCTCATGCCGACTTTATCGATGTTGCTAGCGCCACCAAGGCTAGAGAAGTCTTGATGGAGAAGACCATCTACGGCAGGCAACTCCGCGTCGATTTCAGCAAGTCTGGCACGGAGCAACAACGCAACAAGCGCTCCGACTCTACCCAGGAATAAGAGATGACGACAAAAGGAAGCCAGGAACTGTGAAAACATGCAATGAGAAGGTCGCCCCACGTTTCTACAACGAATGATGTACGGTGGAAATGGTCGACATGACTGTACGACTGCACAATCGGGATATGGGTCCCGTTAGCTGCGTGCTGTGTTGATAGATAGGTCTTTTGTATCATAGTGGATGAGCGTCCGGCGTTGTTATATTCCCCTCTTCTTTTGTACATGGTATGGGGTCAGGGTCTGAGAGAGGCATGCTGATCTAATAACACTCTTGCCAATGCACAATATCGATCCGTATTATGAACGAACACAGTATGGTGAAGCGTAGTAATATGTGCCGGCGCAAAGCCATGTTGTACAGGGTCGGATTCACCCGCTCGGTGTGGCGGTCCAGCGACCTCGGCCGCCCCGCGTACTTTCTCCACATGCTGATCAATTAGACCGGCCGACGCGCCTCTTGCACCCACTCGACCCCGACTTGTACATACACTCTCTTCTTCCTGTTGATCGCGTCATAACAACTGCTTCTCACTCTTGTAGTTATTTACCTTCCACCATGTCTTTCCTCGGCGGCGCAGAATGCTCGACAGGCGCGAACCCACTCAGCCAGTTCACCAAACATGTGCAAGATGACAAGTCGCTCCAGAGAGACCGCCTGGTTGGGCGGGGGCCCGGAGGGATGCAAGAGGGCATGCGAAGCCAGCAGATGGGCGGTCCTTCGGATGGTGTAAGTTGGGAACAGTAGCCGATGAGTGCGAACAAGTGGGAATTATGGCTAACTATGCCATCGTAGATGATGAACGAGTTCATGAACCAGAATGTCCAACTCCCACAAGGACCCGGTCCCGCATCTCCATTCGCCATGGAGCAAATGCGAAGAGAGCTGGAGCGGACACAGCACAGCGGATCACCAGCGTGGGCAGCAGAGTTCGATCCGGGCATGCAAGCGCCACAGATGGGAGGACCAGCCATGCAAGAAAGACCAGCAGGATTCAACCCTGCCGAATTCGCAAAATTCCAGCAGATGAACCCGAACGCGCGGACGGCGAGCCCAACTACGGCTTCTCAGCCTTCGATGACGGGATACCAGCAGCCTATGTATGGAATGGGCATGGGTATGGGCAACATGGGCATGGGAATGGGCGGTATGGGCATGATGCAGCAGCCATACGCACCACAGAACTTCCAACAACCCATGCAGGAAGGCAAAGGCAAGGGACGCATGGTGGAGCTTGACGATCAGGACTGGGAAGCTCAGTTCGCACAACTCGAGCAGACAGACCAGCAGGACCTGAGTGCTCTCGACGCCGAGGCGAACAAGGCCATGGAGGCAGAGCTCAACGAAATGGACAGGTCAGTAGAGAAAGATGCCGTTGATTTCGACGATTTCGAGTCCATTTGGAAGGGTATCCAAGCTGAGACTGAATACGCTAGGCAACTTGCCAACGAGGAAAACTTCGTCGAAGGACACATGGGCGACATGGATCAGTGGGAAGGCTTCGACGGGCTCAATACACACTCGGTCTGCGATCCAGCCATGGGCGACTACCTGTTCGAGCAGGAGAACCTCTTCAAGAACGTCACGAATCCGTTTGAAGAAGGTGTCAAGATTATGGAAGACGGTGGCAACCTCTCACTGGCGGCCCTAGCGTTTGAGGCAGCTGTTCAGAAAGACCCGAATCACATTGCAGCTTGGGTAAGGTTGGGAGAGTCACAAGCGCAGAACGAGAAGGAAACACCGGCTATAAGAGCGCTGGAACACGCTTTGAAGCAAGACCCATCGAACCTAGAGGCTCTGATGGGCCTAGCCGTATCCTACACAAACGAAGGCTACGAGAGCACCGCATACCGGACCCTGGAACGCTGGTTGGCCACCAAGTATCCATCGCTAATCAAAGAGCCGCTCTCTTCAGATGCCGAGATGGGCTTCACAGACCGTCACTTACTCCACGAGAAAGTCACAAACCTCTTCATCCAAGCCGCACAACTGTCACCCACTGGCGAACAAATGGATCCCGATGTGCAAGTAGGCTTAGGTGTGCTATTCTACGGCGTAGAAGAATACGACAAAGCAGTCGACTGTTTCGGCGCCGCCCTCGCATCGACAGAATCCGGCGTCTCAAACTCATCATCGCAAGTCCACTTGCTCTGGAACCGTCTCGGCGCTACCCTCGCAAACTCAGGTCGCAGCGAAGAAGCCATCGACGCCTACTCGCGTGCTCTTGCTCTACGACCAAACTTTGTCCGCGCACGCTACAACCTTGGCGTCTCGTGTATCAACATTGGTTGCTACACTGAAGCCGCACAGCACTTGCTTGGTGCGCTAGCCATGCACAAGGTCGTCGAGCGCGAAGGCAAGGAGAAAGCTAGGGAAGTTGTTGGCGAAGGTGTTTCGGACAGCCAGCTTGACAACATGATTCACCAGAATCAAAGCACAAACCTGTACGATACGTTACGGAGGGTGTTTGGCCAGATGGGCCGTAGGGATCTTTCTGATATCGTGGGTCCTGGAATGGATGTTGAGCGTTTTCGAGGCGAGTTTGAGTTTTGAGAAGGATGGTGGCGAACCTGTTGTCGCAGGGAAACCGGAGGATGAGCGTCATGATGACGAGAGCTACGACGACTGGCTTTTGCAACGTAAAGTCAAGACGCCGCGTGGAGATGAATGGGATGACGGGGATCTGGGCGATAGCTGTTGCTTTGGCACACGCACGGTGGAGATTGACAAGGATTGTGTTTGGAAGCTGCATGGAGGGGTTTAAATCATCAAAGACACCTAGCCAACCGCTACGGTGTAGATATTACCTTGTCCCTCGCTGGTCTCATATAAGCCAAAATGTTTGATCTCTCTTCACCGTTGCCCAACACCCCAATCACCTCTGGCAGGAAATATGTATACATGCACTGCGAATACGATCCTGGAAGCTTGCAAACTTGTACTTTGATGATTTGATCATGCATTGTTCACCACCCTACTTTATATCTAAAACATAGGAGAATATTTGCGTGCTCAAAGACGATAGCCTCCACTCAGCCACGTCCAAAGGCGGAAAAACACTATAAAATACAAGGAAAATCCGGGACCGCACTACCAGCACTCCACGCTGTGCATCATTTTACCCTAGTTAACCAATAGAAAGTTCTTCAACTCCACAGCTACGTGCGTCTTCCACTCATGCTCTGTCTATTTGGCAAAGTGCAAGTCGTAGCCAAGCCACTTCCTTGACTGAACTTGGGGAACAGTAAGACCCGGGCTGCCGTAGGTGAGCGGTGCGAAGAAGAGGAAGCACCAGAAGACGGCAGCAAGGATGACACCACAGGCGATCCAGCTGCCCATCAGGCTGGAAGTAGCAACACGCTCGCGGACAGGACGTGAGCGAGTGCGGCGGTGACCCTTGGCAGCGGCTGGCATCTCGGGATCCTGAGGTTCGATGCAGAATACAAATTCTACTAGCGCGCCAGTAACCAGACAAGATGCCAGATGAGCAGGGAGGTAGTGGTGCAAGAAGAGCTGACGACCCATGATATAGAAGGGGATGTAATGGGCAGCCCAAGTGAGGAAGAAGAATCCCGTGGAGTTGTAAAGACGAGAGCGAGTGCCTGCGGACATGAATGTTAGAACCTCCCCTTCAAATACAAATGCCAAAATGAAAGCAAACAATCTGGGTTTTATGTAGGGTAACAGTAACTTACGATCATCAAGGGCATCCATGCCACGGCGGAGAGCCAATTGGTCGGCACCAATGATACCAGCAAAGACAGCAAGAAGCGAGGAAGCAAGCCACCATCCAATGGGGTTACCCAGGAAGTAAATTTGCTGACGAGTGTCGTTGTGAGTCCAGAAAGACACACCACGAAGCAGGAAAGGCCAGGAGATGGGCTGGGATGCATAAGGATGCGAGCTCGTCAAGGCGTTGTTGTGGTGGAACATGGCGCGCTGGAGCTCGACCCACTTCCTGAGGAAGCTCAAGTGCTTGACCTGCTTGGGTTCCTTCTTGTTGCGCTCATCCTCAGCGGGAAGAGATGGAATATCATCCACATACCAAAGATTGCTGGATTGCTGGACGGCCTTGTTGCCGTTGATCTCAGCCTGCTTGTAGGCCCAGTCAGGAAGAGGTTTGGTGTGGGTCCACATCGCAACCTTTGTTGGCACATGGACCAGCTTGAAATGAGTTGACATGGTTTTGAAATCGCCCTTGCCCTTGTCGACCTTCAGCTCGAAGAGAGTGTCGTTGTAGCGTGCACCGGCTGCTTCCTCCTTGTTCACAGTCGTGAACTCCTGGTTGGTGGGGTAGTAAGGAGAGGCAACGTCATGTGTTAGGAGAATGGTGTCTGTGATCAAATGGCGAAGACGGATGGTGTCGCCAACCTTGACGCGTTGACCAACTTCACTGGACAACGGGCTCGAAGGAAGAACCTGCCAGTGGTTGTTGGTGTCATTGTGGGGATACCCAGTAACCTGCTGTCCCTGGGAAGAGACACGTCCATCATCGTAGCGCAGCGGGTAACGGTCGGGATGGCTGTGAAGGTAGACCTTGGTCTCCTTGTGACGAATGGTGATGGAATCGTAGTAGTTGATTCCAACAGACTGGAGGCTCATGACGTTGTCGCTCAGAGTTTCCTGGAACTCTGGGGTCATGAAGTCGTCACCAGGTCCGGATCGAGTAAGGATGGCGAAGTGCACCTGGAACCAGAAAAGGTATAGGAAAAAGGGAACGATGACCAGGCCAACAGCGCGGGCAGCGAAGTGCTTGCCAAATTCGGCCAGAGTCAAGGCACCCTGTCGTCGGTTGACGTCCATCAAGTCCCAGAGGTCAATCATGACCGGTACACCAATAGAGAAGAAAGTGAAGACACCAACGTATTTGATGGAGATGACGCAGCTCAGACTGATACCAGTCAGAAGGAGCCACTTCCACCATTTTCGCCCAAAAGGAACGTGTCGCTCTTTATAGAAGCGAATGTAGGATAGCACAGAGAGCGCCATGAAGAAGATAAGCGAAGCATCAAGGAGGATCAGACGCGTCTGGCCAATGTGGGCATTGTCAAGAAGCATGAGACCAGCCGCAGTGATGCAGGCGGGTAGCGAGTAGCCGGATTCCCACATGATCATGAAGACGATGGGAACAGTAAGAGCGCCGAGCGAGGCAGGCATGGCGCGGTATGCGACGTAGGGGACCTTGTTGGTGATGTAGGAATCGCCAATGTTCTCGAATAGAAAGTCGCCCTTGTATCCCACAAGCCAGCCAGCGAGGGCAAAGAGGAGCTTTCCGAGGGGTGGATGGACATCGAAGAAGTAGGTTCGTTGCAGGTAGTAAGAAGCGAACTACAAGTGCGATTAGCGATCTGCATGAGCCCTTGAGATGACATACACACCTTTCCAAAGTGCACTTCATCAAACACAACCTGATCAGGATGTCTGATGCCCCAGAATCGCGTAACGAAGGCCAGAACGGTCATTACTGTGATAGCGAGCTTGTAGTCCCATTCTTTGCCCTGCTGCACCTGGGCCGGCTTGTATGGTTTGGCCTTCTCGACGACATTGGCGACTTTCTCGGAAACTTTCTCGGCAAGGGCTTCTGGGTTCGGTGAGGTTCCACGCTTTTTGTCCTTGCCTGCGCGCTGGCGGACGCTACCAGCAGGTGAAGACATGGTGGGCTATAGCTCGATGAAGCTATCTGTTGAGTTGGATGTTAGCTTGGAATGCTGCAACACGGTTGAAGAGGTTGAAATGCACTCACCTCCCACAAACAAAGGAATGGGTTTGATGGAATTGAAAAGAGAGTTGGGGTTGCGCTCTAAGAGACACGACACCTAATCGCGAGTTCAGGGTCCGGAAGAGCCAATCCCTAATGGGCTCTCTCGCTTGCACTTGGCCCCTGCATTAGCGGTCATTGGTCCACCACGATGACAGCCCCCCAGCGAGGGGTAATGGAGCTCTGGTGAAGTGAATTCGTCTATGTACTCTTGGCAACGGTGATCTGAATGATCTTCATGTGCTCTATGTGTTCCGAGATACCACCGACGCCTACTTCCTTGCAAACCTTCGCCGGGGGGTCGGTCTAGATTGCCGTTGACACCACGTCATGAAGCGGTTCAAGCAGTATACGCTGTGTAATTACTGGCCCTTTTTTCCCTTTTCGGCTTCGAGCTTCTTCTGCTGTGGAATGCGATACGAAGTTTCCCATCCGTACAATGCACCCGCACCAAACACCATTGCAGCGCCAACCTTCATCAATCCGCTCATCTGGTTCCCGAATAGCCATATACTCAACAAAAAGCTCACCAACTTCCTGATATTCAACACTATCGTAACAGTAACGGCAGAGGTGTTGGCACTAAGCATGTTGACACCGGTAATGCAGAGTAGTTGCGTAAGAGCGTTGGCGGTAAGGTAAATGACGTGCTGTGATGTCGAAGCCAAGATACTGTTGACGATTGGCGGGAGGCTTTCGGCGACTTTGGGTGGTACTTCGAACGATTGCGAAGCCTGGAGACGCTTGAATTGTTGAGTCAAGACTGGGGCGAATCCTGCGAAGAACGGGATGGACAGCAAGTGAGAGTAGAAGAGGTTGGCCTGCCAGTCCTTGCCATGGTCGCGATAAACGTCTTCAACATAGGCTCCCATCCATGCCGAAAGCAGTTGTGCGATAAGCAGGATGAGAAGACCAGCCTGGAGAGACGAATTGGACTCATCGGAGCTCGAAGCCTCCATGTTCTTGCCCTGTTTGAGGATTAGCACCTGTCCTTGCGTGGTGGAATCTACCACCGTACCTTCGACTGCGCATCCGCCCATGCGGACACCATAACGCCCAGTGTCAAAATCGCAACGGAGAAGACTTGTAGAAAAGTATATCTCTTGCCGCGGAACCATCCAGCTGTCATAGTAGTCACGCTACCAAAGCTTCTGAGGATAATGTGGACAGGCACTGAGATGTTGAAGGCAAAAGCCCAGTTGTTCAGCATATTGACTGTGAAGAACAACGCAGCGCTAACACACCACTTTCGAAAAGGGACGGGTGAACTCCTCATAAAGTAGCGGCCATTTGGGTCGAATTGGTAGTGTAGCGTTGAGAGACATGTAAACACAAACTGAAAGAGCGTGATGAGTAAGCCGCTGTCAGGCTCTTGTCTGGAATACTGTCAGCTGTTATGCTACTACAGATGATTACACGCTGGTTACTTCACTATTGCTTCCAAACAGTAAACCTTTATATTCTTAGTCTCGTTCTCGTACTGGCTTTGGTATTCTTACGTTGGCGCAACATCCTCCGAAAATGAGCGAAAAGCTGCTAATAACCGGCGCAATAGCGGCCATGGTAACCGTTGAGCAGCGCAAAAGCTGAGAACAATCGCCGAAGTAAGCTTTTAGTACGGTAAGACTTTCAAAGCAAAAAGTGGTAAAACTGAAATTGTTAGGCAAGTGACGTAGGTGAGTGACAAATGACGGTAAGCTGGCAGGTGCAGAACCGTACAAACGCATCCCACGCAACCAACTTCTATTGCGCAGGTTCTGCAAAATACGCACTTACTTAGGAAACGATTGTGAATTCTTTGCTATGTGGTTATCATGGCTCGTAGTTCTGTGAATGTCGCAGAGAGAAACTTAGAGGTGTGAGATGCTACGTGGAAGTCTGGGATGTCATGAGCCTCACGGGCGCTAACGGGATCAACCTCAGGCCTTGCCGGATCAAGCAAACTTCTAGCGCAGAGTTTCAACATACGTCTCTATGCGCATATCATGGAAGACGTATATTAGGTTGAGCATTCGAGTGTTCTAGGGTGATGCTTGTAGAGAGAAGCGTATACACAACGTCGATATGCTTGTCAGCTACTATTAGCGTCTGCCAGGTGCTTTGACGGCTGTCTCACGCAGAGGTGGGACCAACACTCATTATTTATAGTTTCTTTTGTTCTTTCTCTGCACCACTCAGAGTCATTATAGTGGTGTTGCAATCTACACTGCTCTGCGGCTACCCAGTCGTTGACCGCATTGCGACGTCTCTCATCTGCACTCTCACGCCAATTCGCCAAGAATGCTCCTGTTCTATCATCCTAGCGCCGCCTGGCAGGCTGCTGCCAACATTGAAAGGAAGATGGAAGGGTAAAGATGACCAAGAATCTAACAAGCTAATGCTCCTGTTTACATGTGTTCTTTGGCGATATTCGTGAATCAAGGCTGCCCCTACAATGCGGAGAAGACAAAAAGCTGTAGACTGTTAGAATAATGATCAATTCTAGGAGGGCCGAAATGCTTACGTTGTTTGTTGCTGCTATAGCGATGCTGTCTTCGAATGGATGCCAGCTCATGTGTAAGATCTTCTTATTGAAGTCGATCTGATCTGCGTCTGTTTCCTTCCTCATGCGTTGCCCTTGTCCAACTGCACCAGCAGCGGGGCTGCCGGCTCTCGAACCACCCTTCTTACTTGTGCTGCTGCCTGTGGGGCTTGTCGACGAGTTCATGGGTGTTGGAATTCCAACCTTCTTGGCTTTGAACGCAGACTTATCTGCTTGCAATACTACCTCGGTATCTTTGTCGTTATCAGATGGGTATATCATGAAGTTGTTGTTGTAACTGCCAGTCATGACATTCTTCGCATCTCCAGAGAAAACGACCTCGAACTTGTCGAAAATACTATCGTTTTCGTATGTGTCACAGAGCCTTGGTCGCAGATGCTCGTGAATAGGAATGGTCTTGACCGGAGTCTTTTCCATGTTGACATCCCAGATCTTGACTGTTAAATAGTCGCGTGACAAGATGTATCGCCCGTCATGTGAAAACCGTACGTCAGAGATGGATGAGATGATCTCGGAGAAGAAGGATCGCGAAGATGGGTCTTCCTCTTGTTCGAATTCTAGAGATCGAAGTCAGTATTGCTTTTGGACAAAGCAGCGGACGACTTACGCTTCGCATGCTGGTCGCACAAGGCACTCTCGCGCATGTCGGCCAGCTTGATCGTGCCCTTCGAGCTTGCGTACATGAACCAATTGCAGCTGATCGGATGAAATTCAGCGGCTGTGATGACCTCCGTAAGCTCCTCCATGTTGGCCGGCTTGATATCGACAATGTTGAAGCTCTGGTCCTGGATGTTGAGGTTCCAAAGGTTGATTCGCAGATCATCACTACTGATGAACGTCTCTCCATCGCTGTTGACCGATATGCTATTGATGTGGTAGGCATGTGCATTCGCATACGTCTTTCGCGGTACTGCAGCAACAACTGTGTCGTGGTGTGTAAGCCGTGGGAGCTTCAGATCGGTGGCACTGCGAAACTGTGCATTCGGGTTCCTGACGGGACCGCCTCCACCAGCAACCCCACCTCCAGGTGTCAACTCGTGTGACAGGTTGTTCTCCGCCACCACCTTGAGTGACTTCTCAAATACCTTCCATAGCTTGATTGTCTTGTCGTTTGTGGAGAGTAGGTAGTGTGAGGCGTTTTGCCGGCGGCACCACTTGATCTTGTTGATCTTCTCTTCGATTTCGAGAGATTTTAGGTAATCGAATTCGGGCTCGTGCGATTGGAATTCGGTGTGGAACTTGTATTCACAGGTTTTTTTCTACGTCTTGTTAGTCTTTCCGCCGGTGAAGGCTTCTAGTGAGGAGGGGGCATACCGTCTCGTTCCTCTCAAACAGGACCACACGACCACCCTTGTCACCAGTTGCGAGGTAGTTGCCAGTCTGGTCGAACTCGACAGTTGAGATGATGTCGGCTGCGCTCGCTGTCAGAAATTGCATGCAGGTATTAACGAATGTACAGAGGATGGAGTGGTAAGAAATGGGTACGTACCTTCGGTTATATCTTCAACATCGCCTTTGTCGCCGAAGCATCTAGTCAAGTCAGTGGCGTTCCCAGCATGATTTGAGCAAACTGGCAAGCACGGCGATAGGCAGGCCAAGAGAGCCAATAGGTACAGCTGTCATGGGGAGAGGTACGTACTGGGTGAACTTCCACGTCGTGGGATTGCCTTCGGCTTCTACCATGATTCTGGACAGGGATTGCGGAACACCAGCGGCGTGCGATCAAGGGTAGCTAGTGCTCTGTTGTGTTCCGTAAAGAATGATGTATGGGTATTCAGGAAGCGATCTGCCGAGCTGATGGTAGGGCCGTGGTGAGATAGCGCCGCCGACGTCGAGGGTGGTGGGTGGGTGATTGATGGGGGATGATGTAGTGGGAGCGGTGTCTGCTGGTCGAGTGGCCGATGGCGGGGTTAGCGGTTGGTTGGGCTTGTTGTTAAGCTCCGGTGGAATCGACTCGGCGGCGGAATGACGAGGGCGGGCGACGATGCAGGGAGCAACAGCGCAGGTACAGAGACAAAGCGTGTTAGTTGATACCTCGATTCACTGCTTAGTGGGGGAGGCCAACTCCAAAGTGCCAAGGCCGGACGTGGAAGGCGCGCCTGCCCCAATGCAGCTAGCGCCAGTCCGCTCGCTCCGCCCACAACAATATTCGTTTCTCTTGAGCCCGAACTTCTTCGACAACTTCGACACTACTAACCATAGCACATCGAACTCGCCATGTCCCACAGGAAGTTCGAAGCCCCCCGCCACGGGTCTCTGGCATTCTTGCCGCGAAAGCGCGCTGCCCGTCACCGTGGTAAGGTGAAGAGGTAAATTCCCCATGTCACCGCCGCCCAGCGTCCGACAGCCTGCTCACTGCAATTGCCAGCTTCCCTAAGGATGACCCCAAGAAGCCCGTCCACCTGACGGCTGCCATGGGTTACAAGGCCGGTATGACCACCATCGTCCGCGACCTTGACCGACCCGGTGCCAAGTTGCACAAGAAGGAGATTGTCGAGGCCTGCACAGTCATCGAGACTCCTCCCGTACGCATAGCCAACCCCGACCGATTTTGGCGCAATACTAACACGACTGCAGATGATCGCTGTCGGTCTTGTCGGCTACATCGAGACCCCCCGCGGTCTCCGCTCGCTCACCACCGTCTGGGCCGAGCACTTGAGCGACGAGGTCAAGCGCCGATTCTACCGCAACTGGTACAAGAGCAAGAAGAAGGCCTTCACCAAGTACGCCAAGAAGCACTCTGAGGAGAGCGGTGCCTCAATCACCCGCGAGCTCGAGCGCATGAAGAAGTACTGCACCGTCGTCCGCGTTCTCGCCCACACCCAGATCCACAAGACCCCTCTCAAACAGAAGAAGGCCCATCTTATGGAGATCCAGGTCAACGGTGGCAGCATCGCCGACAAGGTCTCCTACGGTCACGGTCTGTTCGAGAAGCCAATTGAGATCAGCTCCATCTTCGAGGACAACGAGATGATCGACGTTATCGCCGTCACCAAGGGTCACGGATACAACGGTGTCACCTCCCGATGGGGCACCAAGAAGCTCCCGCGTAAGACACACAAGGGTCTCCGTAAGGTCGCCTGTATCGGTGCCTGGCATCCGGCCCACGTCCAATGGACTGTTGCCCGTGCTGGTCAGATGGGTTACCACCACCGTACCTCTGTCAACCACAAGATCTACCGTATCGGTAAGGCCGACGACGAGGGTAACGCCTCCACCGAGTTCGACGTCTCCAAGAAGCGCATCACACCGTAAGTTATCTTTCCTTCCGACTGTTGATCACTATTAACATGTAGCAGAATGGGTGGCTTCGTCCGCTACGGTGAGGTCAAGAACGACTTCGTTCTCCTCAAGGGTAACTGCCCTGGTGTCAAGAAGCGCGTCATGACCCTGCGCAAGTCCATGTTCACCCACACCAGCAGGAGGGCGCTCGAGAAGGTCGAGCTCAAGTGGATCGACACCTCTTCCAAGTTCGGTCACGGTGCTTACCAGACACCGGCAGAGAAGAGGCAATACGAGGGTGTCCTCAAGAAGGACCTCCAGACTTCGTCTTAGAAGTCTTGAGGTGGTGCCACGGAGTGCATGCTTTCTTCTCATGGGCTTGGGCGCACGGGATAGGTCTATAACATGGATGCCAGTCATGAGCGATTGAACAAAAATTCAACGATTCCCCAATTCAAAATGCGTTACCTGTGTTGTGATTTACATGATCGTGTCGTCTGTTCTAGCTACTGGTGCGAAGTCGTTTTCGTGATATCTCTGTGCGACCTGGCTCGCGTAGCAAGTAGTATATTTTGACAGCAGGGCGGGCGGGCGTGAGTAGAAAGCGGAACTAAGCCGTAAGTATGTGTGTTTTGCTAGAGGCACTTACTCTCTCTTTATCTGTTGTCCAGACGTGACTTTACCTTTTTAATAGGGACCGTAAGTATACTAGCATTAGTTGGAACACTTATACCGAGAATCCAACGTGCGGAGAAAATTCCCTAGATCAATGACTGGGGAAGTGCCATGTGATCGTGTGAGAAGGTCTATGACGACGACGAATGAGGCTCCATATCTTGAGCGCCAGCGGCAACAAGTGTCGGTCAGACAAGTCGTATGAGTCAGGCCGAGTGACAGCAGTTGCCATGTGCTTCGCAAGTACCAATATCGCTTTGAACGTTCGAAGTTCGCTGTATTGAACATATAGCTATCTTGTGTAGGTGGAGTTTGTCAGGAAGGTTTACGTCTATAGTGGTGAACAGATCTTGCAGCAAAATGTCTAGGCCAAGTTCCGGTCTATGTTAATAGCCTATATGAATTGCGTGACCCTGGAGTAGAGGCAAACTTGCATCACGTCCATCAAGAAGAAAAGCCGGAATGAATGGCAGGTACTTGAGAGGCAATGCAGCCGAGGCCTACCGATCCAATTAGCGCCCTCCGATTTTAGTTTGTAAGTAACGCCGTCAGTCGCAACTGCCATCATTGACCTCCAACTTCGAATCCACCAGGACCTTTCGCACTCCCCCATACTCTCCGCTCTTCGGCTACCGCCAATATGAGTTGTCTCAGGATGCGTCGTACGCAGCTTGCAAGCCAGGTGAGTCTCTACAAGCTTTCTATGCCACACGCTCGCAGGCGCCGGTTGATAAACTCGGCATCCGCCGCACCGAGGCGTGTGCCACATCCCACATGGCTTTGGCACATTGCCGCATATCAACACGACACTTCTGTAGTCGTGGACAATGCTCTTGGATCTTCTTCGTCTTCATAAGACTCGTTGCTGTTCAATGGCTAATGTTCGCCTCATAGCTCGCGAGGAGCTTCCGCCCAACCACACGAGCTTTCTCTTCAACCCGGCCAGCGCAACGCATATTCGCTACCGAGAACCTGAGGGCGAAGGAAGCGTCGGGCTTCATCTCCAGCAAATACCCCGTTATCGACCACGAATACGATGCCATTGTTGTCGGCGCCGGAGGGGCTGGTCTTCGCGCCGCATTCGGTCTCGCTGAAGCTGGTTTCAACACCGCCTGTATATCCAAGCTGTTCCCCACCCGGTCACACACAGTAGCCGCACAGGGTGGAATTAACGCTGCGCTCGGAAAGTATGTAGAGGAGATAGGCATTCAGCGGGTTGACAGAAGCTGACGGATATGTCTAGCATGCACGAGGACGACTGGCGGTGGCATATGTATGATACAGTCAAGGGATCCGACTGGCTTGGTGACCAGGACGCCATTCACTACATGACAAGAGAAGCGCCTCAATCCGTTATCGAACTCGAGAACTACGGGTGCCCGTTCTCGCGAACAGACGATGGCAAGATGTACGAATAACCCTCCAGTTGAAGTTTGTAGGGCGCACTAACGCACTCCAGCTACCAGCGTGCTTTTGGTGGACAGTCGCAGAAGTATGGAAAGGGTGGACAGGCATACCGATGCTGTGCTGCCGCTGACCGTACTGGCCACGCTCTCCTCCACACCCTCTACGGACAATCGCTACGACACAACACCAAGTACTTCATCGAGTTCTTCGCCACCGACCTGATCATGGAGGACGGCGTCTGCAAGGGTGTTGTCGCATACAACCAGGAAGACGGAACCATCCACCGATTCATTGCAAAGAACACTGTACTGGCCACCGGTGGTTACGGACGTGCCTACTTCAGCTGCACATCTGCCCACACTTGCACTGGTGACGGTATGGCTATGGTTGCTCGTGCTGGTCTTCCCAACCAGGATCTGGAGTTCGTCCAATTCCACCCCACTGGTATCTATGGTGCTGGTTGCTTGATTACCGAGGGATCCCGTGGAGAGGGTGGGTACCTTCTCAACTCTGAGGGTGAACGATTCATGGAGCGTTACGCGCCAACTGCCAAGGATCTTGCTTCCCGCGATGTCGTATCCCGATCAATGACCCTGGAAATCCGTGAAGGTCGTGGTGTCGGTCCAGAGAAGGACCACATCTACCTCCAGCTCAGCCATCTGCCCGCCGAGGTTCTCCACGAGCGTCTGCCTGGTATTTCTGAGACTGCCGCTATTTTTGCTGGTGTCGATGTCACCAAGCAGCCCATCCCTGTTCTTCCCACCGTCCATTACAACATGGGTGGTATCCCTACCAAGTACACTGGTGAGGTCATCACCCAGGATGCTCAAGGTAACGACCAGGTCGTCCCAGGTCTATTCGCTTGTGGTGAGGCTGCTTCCGTCTCCGTACACGGAGCCAACCGTCTTGGTGCCAACTCTCTCCTCGATCTCATCGTTTTCGGCCGTGCTGTTTCCCACACCATCCGCGACAACTTCAGCCCTGGCCAGAAGGCCGACCCCGTCTCCGCTGACGCCGGTGCCGATTCCATCTCCGTCCTCGACCAGATCCGTACATCTGATGGCCCCAAGTCGACTGCCGAAGTCCGCCTCCAGATGCAGAAGGTCATGCAGACCGATGTCGCCGTCTTCCGAACTCAGGAGTCACTCGACGAGGGTGTCAAGAAGATCCACGATGTTGATGCCGACTTCGCCAACGTTGGTATCAAGGACCGCAGCATGATCTGGAACTCCGACCTTGTCGAGACCCTCGAGCTACGTAACCTCCTCACCTGTGCCGTTCAAACCGCCGAATCTGCCGCCAACCGTAAGGAGTCGCGAGGTGCCCACGCTCGTGAGGATTTCCCCGACCGTGACGATGAACAGTGGATGAAGCACACACTGTCGTGGCAGAAGAAGCCTCACGGCGAGACTCAATTAGGTTACAGGAAGGTTGTTGGTACTACCTTGGATGAGGCTGAGTGCAAGGCCGTACCACCGTTCAAGCGTACGTACTAGAAGATTGGTTGAATCAAAGAGGAAATTGAGAGGTGTGTTTTGTATTCTATGTACATCGGATGATGGATTGCATGTTTTAGCATGTTTGAGAACATAAGTCGTTCTGAATTGAGAATCGAATTTTCCAGGTTTAATCGCTATATTGTGTAGACGTCCAAGTATCATCAGTTTCTCCGATGTTGTTAGAAAATGCCGCTCCTAGTAGGCGATATGAGTAGTCGTCCTCGTATGCTGAATGTTCCTTCCCTCCCTAACCCTGGACTGTCGTGGTGAGCGGGGGCCCGTTAACTTGGCAGGCGCGAACCCTAGTTCGTCCAGCACGACAACAATTGCCTCTCAATCCCAACATCAGCGTCACCTGCAGGACAGATCAACTAGAAAAACTGGGTACCATCGACTGGTGAAAGTACAGGCATTGGATGTCAGAGTCTAACGAAAGCCGCCCCTCTCAGAACAAGCATGGCTGCCGCCTACACAAGAGTTGCTTCTGGCCTTGTCTATCTTTACACGTGGCTGATGTGGCTGCCACCACACTAAAACAAAGCAATTCATCCATAGCAACACCACGAGTATCGAAGCTTCTCGCTATCTGACTCAACGTTACTGCGGCGTCCGTTCCCGAGGTCGTGCTCCCACTAGTGTGGGGTCCAAAAGACGGGAGACTGGAAGAACGGCTTGCAAGTAAGCACCTGGATCCAAGCCCTGCATCTCGGGAAACCACAGATAGGCTCTCAGCTCCCTGCAAGAGCCTATTCGAAGCTGAAAGCCTGTTTTAGTCTTATGCACGCTCGCCCGCCATCACATATATATCAGGCCTATCACAGGCACTGCCAGGCGGGTAGTAGATCGCGTGTTCTATTTCCGCACATGCTCTCCTTCTGTTCAACCTTACACAATTTACGCAAGGTTCTTTCTTCGATATCACCGCTCTTATTCCACAATCAACAATCGCGGGAATACCTATTTTACTTACATCCGCACACGTCCAATTCCAGCCATTCTATGGTCGACCTTTGAGACTGAACATAACCTTGCTCAGTAGCTAACGTGCAAAAGACGTGAAGCAACGTCTGAAAGAAGCCGAAATCTCTCTACGGAGCTGAAATAAGAAGAATGTCCTCGCCGGAGCGTTGGCCATACGCTGGGCTTCATCGCGTTCAATCAACGTCCCCGCTGAATCAGCAAGGGTACCAGAGATCTCGAAATCCAAGTCTAGACCTTACCACCCATAACACCTATGATAACTGGAACGAGTTACATGACTTACCGTAAGTCCAGGTGCGAGATATCACAAGCTTCCGACTGACCTTGAGACCGTAGATCAATCGACATTGACGATGCAGAGACCTTGCTCCCAAATGGGCCGGGCAAAGCGAAGTCTTCGTCAGATATGGCGAGTCAACCCCGAGGTCACACATCCGGATGGCTGAATCACTTGCAAGACGTACTCTTGGCTCTGGGGAAACTCCCTGTTGTCAGGCATATCCTTTGGGTTGTCCAGTATCTGGATCATCGAGTGACTATTTTCAAATCCAAAAGTCGCTTCCACGGATGGCGTATGGGCATTCTCCTCGGATGTTGCATGTCATCGATAGTGCTTGCCTGTAACATCATTATCCTCATCCTAGGCGCATTTCGAAATGGTGGCTACAAAGATGGCTTCTCCGTACCACTTACTGGGGAAGCTGAGGAGGTGTCTTGGTGGAGTAGTGCAATTCATGTAGTGATCAACGTCTTAAGCACTCTGCTACTCGCCGCATCAAACTACACTATGCAGGTACTCAGCTCACCAACTCGTGCAGAAGTCGAACGGGCACACAAATCGAGCCAATGGCTGGATATTGGAATTCTTAGCCTTCGAAACCTTGGCCGAATCTCACGAAGGCGATTATTTCTTTTTGTTGTCATGGCGATATCGTCAATTCCTTTGCACCTCTTGTACGCTTGGAACACACGTCCTATGGATGAAAGCTAACGCATCACAGTTACAATTCTGCGGTGTTCTTCATTGGAGCAAACAATGAATACCGCGTATTCGTTGTTGAGAATGGCACGGCTGCATACACCAAGATTTACGAACAGTCAGACTCCGCAAAGATCGTTGGAACGCCACTGTACAAGAAACTGGATAATCGCAGCCTCTTCCGGGCATATTCTACCGATCTCGTTGCCTACGGAGACGTATACATAGCGATAGACGACTACGCTTCAGAAATAAACACTACGCGTCTTGATGGCTTTATCAACGACTGGCCGGACGTGGATGCAAGAGTGTCTTGGGAATTAAACGAGACATGGCCAATTGGGCCTTTGCATGTGGACCTTCCACGCATGAGGAATTCTTCAGCGAACACTATGGATTGGATACTTTTCGAATCGACTACCTCAAATTCAAGCCTATCTATACAACCGACACCGCCCAAATACGCTCATGTGACTCACGGCTTTGCCAAGTACACGGTTGGGACGTCCAGTCGAATACAGCTGAGTCTCACATTCATGATCATCGTCATATCCTGCAACTTTGTAAAGCTATGTACGATGCTATACGTTGTCTTCATGGAAAAGTCGGAGCATCTGGTTACACTCGGTGATGGCGCCGCATCATTCCTGGAACAGCCAGACTCTACGACTGAACGAATGTTAGTAAATCGTTGTACGAGCTGGACGTGGGACAAATACTGACTTTATACACCAACCTTTTAGGTGCATATTATCTCGGAACAACATAATTGAGAGCATCGGCGAGCTGCATCATGACAAGCTTGCAATTACAGTGCGTGATTCAGGCAGCACTTGGGCAAAACAATACAGCAAGTACAGTGCAGCTCTTGACAGAGATCGAGAGTACGGTTCCTACTTCATGTAAGACTGCGCATAGCTAATTGCTATCTGGATTGGGCTGACAAACTGTCAGATTCATAGTCATTGGACTTCTTTTCGGCTGCTTAATGGCCATACTATGCACTCTTGGCCATTTAAGCCCTAAATGGGGGACGAGAAGCGACACGACATTTCGCCAGACAGACAGCTCCTACCAAGCCACGCTTCTCAACGCCTGGCTCTCTAATGCACCTCAGCTCATTCTCTCGTTTTGTTACCTGGCCATCAACAGCGAATGCACTGCAATGGCAGGTGCAACCGAATGGAACAGTATGGCAGTATCTCGTAAAGGTCTCCGTGTTACTCGTCCAGTTGGCCATCAGCGCGATACATATTTTCTTCAGCTTCCGTACCGCTGGTCATTGCCACTGACTATCGCGAGCGGCGGTATGCACTGGCTCCTCTCACAAAGCATCTTCATTGTGCGCATCGACAATTATGATCGTAACGGCATTTTCAAGCCTGAGGAATCCAAATCAGCGTGTGGATTTTCAGGAGTCAGCTTCATAACTCTGACATGCGCCTTCTACCTCCTGGTAGGATTTGTAGGTCTCATAGGAAGGAAAAAGATGGAAGTAAGGATACCGTTCGCTGCATCGTGTAGTCGCGTCATCAGTGCGGCTTGCCACCCGCCAGCAGATGACATTGATGCGCACATGCGACCTGTTCAATGGGGCGTCACTGAGGGAACCATGTATGATGGGGAGAAACACTGTTCACTATCATCGAAGCCTGTAACAAAACCTCAAGTTGGGGAGAAGTATCTCTAACTCGTTGGAAAGAAGATGGATAGTCCAGCAAATTTGATTATGAAACCGTATACGCTTTAACTCGTTTGCAGCCCGAAATCACGAGCATCAGTGTCGCGCAAAATTGAACCAGCCCCTACGTTGCTCAGTAATGACAGGTGCGCTTTCAACATCCTCCGCCGCCAGCTCGCTTATGGACTGCTGCTGCGACCTCAGCGAATTCGTCGAAGAAAATGAAGACGTCTGCACCATCATCGGACTCTTGCCAGGTCGCCACACAATCGGCAGGTCCTTGAGCTTATGACCCTTCTCCATTAGCGGGATTTCGCTCTCCAAATCAGTCCAGTTGCGATGACCTTCACCCTCGTAAGCTCGGCGCTGGAGCTGCCATACTCCATCTTGTGTCCAGCGGGCGACACGGGGGCCGAGTGCGCGACGGAAGTGAGTGAGGTAGACGAGGAATTTCAGAAGTGTGATGTCGATGATTGCGACGAGGATGGAGAAGGCGATGACGAAGGAGAGACCGAAGACGTTGATGTTGCTGGTATGAGTTAGTAGATGCCTTAAAAGGTTTATGAGTTAAACAAGGATGCTTACACAAATCCACCAGACTTTTTCATTATTTGCGCCCCACAGAGCGTTTTCTCACCCTCTGTCTGCGGCTTCAGAAAGACCTCACCCGCAAACGGATCGCCAAATTGGGGCCCCCTAGCATACTGAGAGACTTGGATTTGCATAGCTGCCCATACCTCCTGTTCCCATCCTAGAACTTCTTGTTTCCAGAAGTCGTTCGGTAGCCCTGAAACATCGAAATCTCCCTTGGACATCATGGTGGTGGTTTTACATGTCATGACGTTTACAGTGGCGTGTAGCCAGACCGACTTGATTATCAGCTGTAGTACTGCTCGCTGTACGCTGTTTGCTTCAGGGAAATCGAAGTCGCGGAATGTGTGGTAGGGTACTCCTTCAAATAGAGTGCAGTAGTCTTCTTGGCCGTCTCTGGCGTGACAATACTGAAGCTTTTCAATCGTCAGTACTGACTGTTATATGAATTTGAATATTTCACCCACATGCTGCGTACATCCGACTCCCTTGATTGGATGATCCGCTAGATATTGCGAGAAGTGTTCTCCGGTGGCAGCATCGATCTTTTTGACTTCCTTGTGTGCTGAGTAGAGAGGGTCGTCGACTGGTGCTTCAAACTCGAGAGCGTTTGGTAGAAAAGGCTTCCAGAATACGTCCCCTTCTGGCCCTTCAGCACTGAGGGGGAAAAAGCTATCCTTGGGGAACCAGGTTGGCATAACGGTGTTGTTTGGCCCCCTATAGTACATACCGCCTCTTGATATATGGATTAGTAAACAGTACAAGTAGAGGATCGTGGCTTTGACTTACCTGGGGACTTTAGGATTGCCACTAACGTTCGACGAAACTAGGTAGGCGAGAAAGCTTTCGCCGGTATCGAGAGGAGGCTTGGGCCCATAGAAGATGGCTGCGACTTGTTCGCCCGGGAATATTTCTCTGTAGTCAGGTTTCCACATGGGCATATCTTTCAGGTCAATAACGTCGTAATAATTTACAACCGGCAACACAGTGCATTCGATTTTCTTTCGAAAGGTGACCCGGTCTTTGGCAGGCAAGTTCAGTCCGAAGGCTTTGCTAACATCTATGAGGCCGGAGTCGATACTAACGGCGTCCTCGGTATCACACATGGTTTCGTTGAACGGACAGGGCACGCTGCCGACGTTGAGGGGGACATTAGGTTTTGTGAAGACGTTACACGTCACAGGAAGCGATCCGTTGCTGTAACAGTCTTGCGTATAGGCCGGAGCAGCTAGGTCCAATTCTTTCGAGTATTCTCGCCACGCCGTTCCGATAAGATTCGCGCTTCCACAGAATGGGGAGTCTACTAGTACCTCGATGGTTCCAGTGTCAACAACAAGCGAAGAAAATACCGAGGCCGCTATTGTCATGGTCGTGAAGATAAGTGCGATAAGCACCAGCAATATTGATCGAAGGAACGGCCGGTCTGCCTTTCTCCTCCAAGCCCACCATAGCTTTAGTGCCTCTGCAACTACAGAGCTTGGAGTTGGGAGTGTGCGCAGCAATGCTTGTTGCTGTCTGAAGAGAGGATCTGATTCGTGGCCATTGGCTCGGATCTGATGTATCGCGAAAGCGATTAGATGCCAGAGATGCGCAGTACCTACCATTGTTAGGCATGGCTCCAAGTACATGCTCAGACCTACTTACCTAGTGTTGAAAGTATGGCTAACAAGGCAACTATGAGGTTACCGGTTTGCGTGTCGGTCGTAATCGTTCTTCCTAGAATGGCCCCGCCATCCAGGTTGGTCCTGTGATCATTTATCAGTAGATATTGAGAGACCACATATGTGGCTATGAATCAGAGACTTACCATACACCTGTCTTGACATACTTTGCATCTAGCTCGAGAGACATATTGGGGCTGTGACTGCTGAGTTTAATTACGGATAGATGTTGTTTCGACTGGAGTCTCCTGTAGAAGAAAGCGGCATCTCTTTGATACTATGTACTCCTCTACAAGAAGCGGCATCTTCTTCACAATATTCAACCTGAAGGTGGCACAGTTGCTTTACGATGCTTGGCGAGCGATGCGACGAATGATGAATATGGAGGAGACGACGACCAGTGTTCCTGGCGGTTGAAGATCGACATACTGGGTAAGAAGACACGAGATCCCAAGTAGCGCGCCATTAATAGGTTTCCAGCTCCTTCAGGTATGCTTGGCGTTGAGTTAAGAGTACTTTCAGCGCCTAGGAAACTGCAAGCGCGATGTCGGCGCTAACGTGCAGATATACGGATCCAGCAGCCGAAAGTTGCGGCAGACTATGTCCACTCCGAAAATGACAGAATCGCTGGATATGTGTTCCTCTACATGGTAATCTGGCTGTGATCGCAAGAGACGCAGAAATGCCACTGACGTCGAGGGCGTCATGCTTGGTCCTGGGAGTTACGAAAAACGATCATAGAAGCGATGTAGCGTGTTAGGTTTCAACGCCGACGGAAGAAGCTTTGACAGCTGTAGTGCGTTCGCAGGTGGCGTGCGGTATAGCGATATCGTCAAAGATGTTGGAAAGTGCGAACTCGCAGACGTCTATCTGGCACTGGGGGTGGCTGGAATCTGTTCTGCGCTAAGCTATTCCAGGACCGACGATACTCGTTCGTTTCCAGGGTCGCAGCTTAACATCACTCTTCTTCTTCTTCTAGAATGATTGATCACCGTTGATTAGAACACATTCTGCATAGTACATAGTGCATAATGTATCAATGTCGCATACATTTATGCACATGACTTGTCTGATCGACTACAGGGCGAAGATTCCCAGCATTGAATGACCCGCATCGCTTGCATTCACCGCACTGACTTGGCCAAGACACTATCAAAATCTGCCGTATGATCGTCATCCAGCATCGCGGATATATGGAGGACGGCCCAGCAGGCGAGCAATTAATCTGCAACACTCTTTACCAGCTTGGCAGGAGTGGCGGTGCATGTACGATTCAAGTAGCTGTGGGACCAATGTCTCCAGGCATCGATATGTGTTCGCCTTGTAATGCTGGTGCTCACCTGTCGTTGGCAGCAGAGCGAGGGGCAAGATGCTGTGGACCAGATCATGTAACCACGGTCATATGGATGTACTTGCATGAACTTCTGTTCATGGCGTTGTTATATAAACGCAAATGATAAGAAACGCTGCAGAACTTGGTATGTACAATGACTTGATTCACTCTAAGTAGTACACACGACTAGAATGCCGACTGGCTTAGCTACGCATGGAAATTGTTCCTGAAAGGATCATATCGTACGTAAACATTGTCCCCATGTCCTTCCTCACCCCAGCCGGTCAATGCAATGGATAAAAAGTATTGACAGCGAAATTAAGTTCCGACATACACAACCCACTTGATGACAGAAAAGAAACCAGTCCATGCTGATGCAGGTACATTGAATTATTATGGTGCGGCTTGAATAGCCCAAAAATGAGACAGAAATGCCATGGCAACTTTTCGGAAGAGGTACCAACACTGAGGGGTATCATGCAATCGCTATGCTCTCATGTGATGCTCTCTTGCTAACTCTAGAATCGGAGTTTGGCTTCCCGGGAGTGAAGCTGGAAGCGCTTGTCGAGGGTGATGTCCTTAGCAATGACAGCAGCAGCGGCACGAGCAGCCGGGCTACCGTTCAGACCGCTGTGGTCTGGTAGGACGTAGTTCTTGGTGAGACGCTTAACAGCGCCGTCAACACCGTTACTGAGGAGCAAGTTTGCGCTACCACCAGTGTTACCCTTGACATCACCCTGGCGGGCAGTTTGGAGGAGCTTAGCCTTGAGCGCAGCAGGGTTCTGACCAAGTCCAGCAACATCTTGAGTCATAAGAGTGGCCATTACACCGGTGACGTGAGGGCAAGCCATCGATGTACCGGAAAGGAAGTTGATGACGGCGTCGCCGGTGCTCCATGAGCTCAATATTTGCTCGCCGGGGGCGTAGATGTCAACGCACTGGCCGATATTGGAGAAGGATGAGATCTCGTTGTCGATGTTAACAGAGCCGACGGTGACAACATTGGAGTTCTTGCCACCCAGATGAGCGGGAGTGCTACCGCAAGCATCGATACCGTCATTACCAGCGGCTACCGAAACGTGGATGCCAGCCTCAGAAGCACCAGAAATGATCTCGTCGACTGAATTAGCAGTACCCTGAAGACCCCAAGACATGCTCATGATGGAACCGATAAAGCCTGGCTGTGTCTTCCGCTTGTTGTGGTTGGCGATAACCCAGTCCATACCCTTGATGGTGTCGGAAGACGCACCAGAACCGTCGTCTCCAAGAACCTTAACTTCAATGATGTTGGCACCCTGGGCGACACCGAACTTCGCGCCACCAGCAGTACCAGCAACGTGGGTGCCGTGGCCATCACCGTCAACGAAGGAGCCGGTAGCGGTGAAACCCTGGGTGGCACGTCCAGTAAAAACAGCGTGGGAGGTTCGCACACCGGTATCGATGACGTAAATGTCAACACCAGCACCGAGGGCTGAATCATCGAAGGAGTAAACAAAATCCTGGTCGTTGGGGGATCCAGTAGCGCCGGCTGCGCTCGAGATTCGTTGCAGGCCCCAGGGAGCGCCTTGCTGCTGTGCGAAGGACTGGACATCTGCCTTTTCCTCAACAATGTTGACCTCTGTCAAAGACTGGAAGACCTTGGCGTGGTCGTCGCACATCTCGACAATGGCCCATTGAGGGTTGACACCCGGTGAGGATTCGGCAATCAGCGCATCTCCCTTGTTAAGAGATAACTCGTCCAAGTAAGTCTCGATTTTCCTGGACTCAGTGTCGTTACGCCACCAGGTGATAATGTACTCCTTGGTCTCAGTGGAGTGGTTCGCAGGGAGGGCGTACTTGTTGATGAAGCCGTCGGAACCAGTTGCGGGAGCCGCGAGCACTGAAGAGCTAGCGGCCAAGAGACCGGCGGCGATAGCAAAGAAAGACTTCATGTTGATTACAGGGAGGATCCGGTCCGGTAAGAAGTTGTTGGAGGCGTAGAAGCGAAAGTGTATTGAGTTTGGTAGTCACGAGAATGAATGTGGGAGAAACGCTACAAGGGTGCAAGTCAGTGACAGGCCTGCTGTGAACAAACGGCGAGTGAAGCGGTGAACTAGCGACAGTCTACATCGCTTTTATATAGCGAGACGAGGAGCGTGAACCCAAAACGATGTTGGAGCTACGCCTATTGAGACAGCCATACAAACAGACCATAATGGCGCTGTGTGGGGTCGAGATACATGCCGGACTGGGATAGAGCAGGCACACAATGTGTGACAGCTTCGGGGTCGAAAAAAAAAGCTTGGGGACTTACATCAACGTGCAGGCAATGAAGGTGCGACGGAGTCGTGTATCAGGCAAGACTGGTCTGAAGAGGAAGGCGTATCGGCCAAGACGTGCCAGCACGCGAGAAGAAGAAAATGAGGGTGACGAAGGTAAGCAAAGTGAGTGAGTATAGAAGAAAGAGAGTGGTGAAGTGAGAGACAGCACTCTAAATGAATGGAAAGAGAGTGTGGGGTTGTAGGAGGAAAGAAGGACCAAGACCGTTGGGGAGGAGTGATCGGAACCTGCCCAGGCGGACGAGACGGCCTCATGTACTCGCGTCGCAAGTGTCCAGGCCATAGTCACCAAGCTCAGCGAGGAAGCGTCCGCATGTGAAACGGCTTGGCGATGGGCTTGTTCCCGAGAGAATACCAGGCCCAATTCACTGCTGCGCGCCGGTAGCCAAGCCTGGCGGCCTGCATCAGGTCGCTAACCAGGGGTAGTGCAAGCGAGAGCGGGCTCTAGGGACCCTCGACGCACGATTGGGGCGCCTCGGGAGATTGTTGGTGCTAGAGCGACGACTGGCCAATACTACACGGCGGATGTTCACGTATTTTGGCGCACCAAGTCGTTTCGGGTCGTACATTTCTAGCATCGCGGTTCTCGAGTCGCTCTATTTGGAGATGCGGAAATTGAATACAAGCACTCGCCCTGACGTGTTGGTAATCGACTGACACAGAGGGAAGGAGCAGCCTTAGCCGTTCCTGCCCCGATTGGCTCTCACCATCTGAAACAACGTGGGCTTGCGTCACAACCCAAACCAGGCAAGCGCCCATAGCCAATCCCCACAGCATGCATGAACCAGCACTTAACGCAAGAAAATCCAGACAACAGTCCGCACGGCCAAGGGGCACAACTGCGCGTCAAAAAATCATGCACTACACAACCGTGGCGTCCCGTGAGCGCGTCAGTGCCTGAGCCACTCGGCATCGCAACGGCTTTCCCTCTCTCCATCCAGTCGCCACCGTGGGGTGTTACAGTTTGACACAACGGGCTCTCTCCGCAATGTGTCAAGCCGTCCAACATCCACAAACTAAACACCCAGAGCCACAAAACCGAATGGGGGTGTTTCAATGTTTATTAAGGGGACTCGTACGAACTGAAGGCGTTACACACCCGGGTATTGGGGAACAGGTTAATCCTCACTCTGCACACTGTGCTGCCTCTGGGGTGCATAACTACAGTGCATTCCCTTGACCTGGCAGCCATACACCCCGAGCATTGGCAGCACTTCTCTCACGACATGTGCCATTGCCGTAGTGCCGTGGACACAGCGTTCGCTTCCCCAACGTTTCGTGCTCGACTCGTACCACCCGAGGCCCTGTGTTTCGCGACCGACCGAGTCGGATATAGCACGCATAAGAAACAGCACCCCAATTATAACAATATCTCAGCAAGAACAGCAAGAACCGCGGCATAAACAACCATAAACCGTGCGAACAGTCTCACCTGTCAAAAGACAAAGGCATAAAGCTACCGGAAACAAACAAGATGACATTGTTTGATCAACAATAGCCTATTGCTGGCCTACTGTTGGCCTACCGAACAGCAAACTGCGCCTCACATCCGCAAGGCCCAGGAAATTGGTTTGGTTACCCCGGTCGCAGGACGAAGACCCTCAATCTATCTGCGCCGCATCGTGGCTTGGGTCCTCGAATCATGGCCGCTCAAGTTAGGGTTAGACGCGGCGCGTGAAACCACACTACGAATCCTTCGCTTCGACATAGATGGAAAGGTTTGTACCGCTACTAGATGGAGATCTGCGGATTTCAATCTACCTCAGCCAGCGATGTAGTTACCATGTGGAGATGTCAAGCTCGGTAGGAATACAAAACTCTCCGATCGTATGGTCAAGTAGGGAGTACGTCGGTTCTGCCAAGGTAGGTCCAAGAACCTTTTACGTCAAAGCAACTTGCCGCTACTTTGTCGACTCAACGGTTGGGGTACAGAAATTCTACGCGATTTGCACTAGATCCAGGGTCATGACGCACAGCATTTTTTTGACAGATATGACAAGCTTTTAGCCACCTGCAAGTCCATCTGATCGTAACGTCCAAGCACAGCACAGCGCAGGATTTAGCTCTGCCCGTGCGGCCACCTCAGTCCCGTCATTCGAGCACCCCATACCTGAGATGCGACCTAACTGAAGCAAAAAGTAGACCAAGACCCTGTGTAGCCATGTCAAAAAGACAACAATCCATTGCATCCATAATCTTCAAACAGCTTGATTGATACAAAGAAATGTACAAACTCCATGCCATCATACCCTGCATTCTCCCCATATCCTTTGTTTCACACCAACCAACCCTTCATGACCGGGACCAATACCAAATCTCCTATACCCATCTTAATCATCTAATAATAAGACCGTTATACCTCCTCATCACTGTCATCGCCCAGCAGTTCCCCTTCATCAGGGTCCACAACCGCGTAATCTCCCCTGCCGCGCGCAAAACTGCTTCTAGAAGTATACGTCCTGCCGTAACCTCCATAGCCACCTCCACCACCCATTCGGCCAGCAGCCCATCTGTACACGCTGCCTACGAGTAGAGGCAGTGCACTGATGACAGCCACAAGGCCAGAGACAGCGACGATGGGCCATTTGACCCACGGTGCATCCGAGTCGAAGGCTCCACTTCCACTTCCGTCGCCCAGGCGGATACGACCGAATTTGCCATCCCAGTGCTTCCACACATAGTATCCGATACCACCCGCCGCAGCAAAAGGAAGTACAATAGCCAAGAAGAGGGAGAAGCCGCCGATGCCGTGTTTCTTCTGGAAGTCCTCTTCGAAGCCAGGGCAAGGATGTACGTCACCCGTCTTGTCGAGCTCTCGGCCGCCTTCACAAGTGGAAAGGGGGATTTTACGGAATCGTACGTCAGTGTAGTATTCTTTCACATTCTTGTCTTTGCAAACGGCAGAGGCCTCGGGGAGTGTGAGGCCAGCGACGGGCTTACAGTCGCCGCTTGCGTCACGCTCGTAGTTGTATGCACTGTTGAATGTCAGCCTGTGTCACTCGGGAAAACTAGGAAGTAAGTCTTACCATTCAAAGTCCCGTCTGGTGCAGGAGCAGTTTCGGGCAATGTCGTGCATTTGATCGATGCGCTGGGCGTTCCTGCACTTTGCGTCCCTCTTCTTGCGGTGGTACTGCGCTACGTGACCGAAGAGGCACTGGGGCTCCTCTTGCTGAAGAGGGTGTTGTGGGCTCCAGAGGTCGTAATCACCGCCGGTGGGATCATTCTCGTTGAGCTTGCAGGGCTCGCTAAATTCAGGTAGACCGGAGAAGTCAAGATTAACAGCAACAAGTTCCTTGCTATCCTTACCCCAGAGGAGGAAGTTCAGAGAAGTGTCGCTGGGCACAGTGGTGATAGCTTCAACGCGCATCTTGTGGTCGGAAAACTGGTAGAGGTTCCACTTTGAGCCGCTGTCGAGAGAGTAGTAGACGTGGTCCGTGTCTTCTCCGCGGCGGACGATGACGATGACGGAACCTTGGTCACCAAACTCCCAGGCATAGGTACCCTTCTTAATCTCCTTCCACGTGATACCTGCGTCGGTCGTCATGAAAGTATTGGCTTCACCAAAGGTAGTCAGCTCTGAGCCGACGTTGCCAACAGCAAGCATCAACCCAACTGCTGTCGGGGAAGAGTACATTTCCCGAGGATCGGCACGTTCTGTGTATCCGTGAATGTGCAGACCGCACTTGTTCTTGTTCGAAACATCACAGCCGTATGCCTTGCCGTCCGCGTCCTTCTCAGGCGCTTGGAGAGGCTCCCAATCAGCGCCGTCGTTGTGTGTGATGCGACTTTGCTTCTTCTTCTTGGATCCTTTGTTGACCTCATCGACATTGACGATGACGTTGGCGACAGCGACTCCCTCAAGTCCCTGCATCTTCTCAAAATCGACATAGCCTTCTGTGTTTCGGTTCACAGCGGCCAGGCTCATAACGTAAGATGTACCGTTGCTGTTGCTCTTGATGATAGAACCATACTCCTGATCCCGCGTTGGATTGACTGTGACATGAAGGAAGACCGCATGTGTGGAGCTGTCTAGAACAGTATAGGCCGTCTGGTGGACGTCGAAGAACTTGGGAGGGAACTTGGCCTCGGCGAAGGTGTTGGCGTCGAGACTGGCGTCCAAGTGGAGAGTCCCGTCATCAGCTTTGGTCGCGACAACGATGAACTCGGACATGGTCGCAAATTCCACGACAGACTTGAACTTGACATCCTTCTTCTTGAACCAATCCTCGCTGGAGATAAGCTCAAGCGGAGCATCCATCTCCTCGTTCGTGTGTTGTTCGCAGAAGATCTGCTCCTCCTTGACGCTTCGACCAGCTTCGCGCCAGACAAATGCGCACTTCTTGACATAGGGCACAAGCGACTCCCAGCTTTCGTCTTCACCGTTCTTCTGCGAGACATAGGCTACTGTATGACAGTCTTTATCGCCAGCCTTATCGCAGTGCTTTCCACCCATCCAAATGATCCAGCTCTCCTGCTTTGGATGGAACTGCATGATCGAGAGCCTTTCCTTATTGGGCATAACGGGTGCTTCGTGAGAGCGGATACTATCACGACGTCCGCGATCAGTGGAGTAGTAGAACTTCTTGCCGGCGGTTAAGAAGTAAACCCTGTTGTTATCATATTGGTGAGGATAAATCCGAACAACCTCATCATCAACAGCCTTCTTCCACTTCTTTCCATGGTCGTGAGTGATATAGGCCGTGCGCTCATCGGTCAGCATCACAACTGTTTCGTCTTTGCTGTCGTCGCTCTGGGTGTTGCCCTCGAGGTAGTACTGTTCCAAGAATTCGCCTCCCTTGAACCTAGTGATCTCGCTGGTAATCTTGTCGCTTTTTGGCGGCGGCCTCTCTGCATCTCCGCATTTGCGCTCGACTTCCTTGTCTCGTTCGGTTTCGCCCTTGCATTGATCTCCGGGTATCTTCCTCCAGCCAGAGCTGCCTTTGTACGTCTTTGCGTCGCCCTCACAGGCGCCCTTGGGTAATTTGAAGGAGTCGTCAGGTTCACACTTCTTGTCCTTGCCCTCTCCAGTGGGTTTGAAACCAAAATCACATTCGTAGTCTCTGAACTCGTCGCAGTCGCACGGCTTGAAGTTTGGTGTCGGGTCTTTGAAAACCTCGCCAACAAAGCATTCAGCATCCCACTTTCGCCTGCGGAACAGCTGCTTGTGACCCATGACGCAGCTCGGGTCGCCGTCTGCGTCTTTACGCACAGACCATTCGTCATCAAAGTCGCTGTCGCCGCACTTCTTCAGCATGTCAGTGAAGTCCAGGTGGATGATAACATGTTCTCGACCACCGCCATCCTTCTTCTTGGATGCATACAGCATAAACTTCAAGCTCGTCGAGTCAGGTAGGGTCGTGAGCTCGCGTGCGCGGATCTTGTAGTCAAGCTTGATCTTCTGCCAGGTATCCTTGCGTCCGTGCTTGAATGAGTACCTAACCTCGTCGGTGTCGCCCTCATCAAACACAGCTACCAGGACGGAGCCCTGGTCGCCGATTTCATACTTGTGCGCCTCTTCAAGTGCCAGTTCCCATGTAAGGCCTGCGTCGTCGGACACGTAAAGATCGCCGTCACTGTACTTGCCTAGGTAGTCTCCGGTGTTTCCGACGCCCATGACAATGCCTGGTGCTGGGCTCGAAAAGACCCTTCCGCTGTTGTGCAGGTCGGTCACAGAATGCAGGTGCAACTCAGTGTCCTTCTTGCCCTTGACTGTGAGTTTTTCGAAAGATCTGCCGTCATCAAAACTGATGCGCGACTTCAACTTCTTGCCCTGGCCTGATCGTTCTACCTCTTTCCAGTTGTCGACAATGTTCACCAGAACCACGCCTTGGATGTTGGCGATCTTCTCGAAATCGACGTAGCCGCCCTCGTTGCGATTCGTGTGTTCCATATTCTTGGTGAAGTGGGTTCCGTTCGAGTTACTCGTGTAGAGATTGCCCATGTCCACGTACTTGGAAGTCATGACATCGACCTGTATGCTGTAGTTGGTCGATTCGAGAATGGTGTATGCGTCTTCCTCAATCTTGTGGTCACCAAACTGAGCATGGTGCCATGTTTCGGTATCTTGGGTTACGTAGAGGGCGAGTTCATTGGAATGGTCAGCTTTGGCGGCGGCAACAATGTAGCCTTTGACAGCAGCCATGTTGGCCATGCCTTGGACGGTGCGTCCGGACGACATGACGGGCTCTTCTTCATCCTTGAAGTAACTGCAGATATTAGTTGTTGCCCGCAGTTCTAGTTTGTCGCCACTCACTTGTCGGAGACCAGGAGCCTAAAGTCCTTTGACCTGTCCGAATATTTTCCTCTCGTGATACACAGTATACGGTCATTGTGCTTGTCCCGGCCTTCAAGGAAGCGTTCGGCGCCCTTGGCCCACTGGCACATTCTGCGGTCGTCGATGAGGATCTGGGGTTTTGACTTGAAGCCATCGGTCGTATAGTAGGTCTGGCCTAGGTTAGCCACTGAGCTGATAGGCAACGTGCATGAATCATACCCGTCCAAGGCACGGCGCAGTAAAGCAGTTCTCAATCTCATGAATCAAGATCTTTTTGCTGTCCTGCGCGTGCCAGTTCACAGGTACTTGTGGTGAAGGCGGGAGCTCCGTCTCGAAGCTGTCCCAATTCTCTCCTTGGTCGTACGTGACCCAATGCTTCTTCTCGCCCAAGACCAGCGCGACCTTGTTGTCATATGGACTCTTGATTATGCCCAACCCGTGCAAGTCATTTATTTGCTTCCAGCCCTTGCCAGCATCGTGTGACCGCCAGATGCTTCCCGTTTCGAGTTCTTGTAGTAAGGCGACGCCGGAATCGTCAAAGTACAGGAGGTTGACGAGGTCATTCTTGAATGCTGTCGTCTTAACGAGTGGCTCATTTTTCTTGGCGGCGGCGGTGGATGCTAGTGCCAGCAGGGCGGGCAGCAGGAGGCCCTTAAGGTATTTCATCATGCATAGAGGCGATGGTAAACGTGTGTGGTGAGGTCTGAAGCACGCGTAATGTTGAAAGAACAGCTGGCTGTTGGAGAATCGCAGCCTCGAAGCTATGCAGTGGCAGCCCCAATGACGCTTGGCGATCTGAAACAGTCGATGCGCCGCGGTGGCGTAGGTGTAAACGGATTGCGAACGTTGACGTCGACGCGTATAAATATCCAGGGAACAATCTAACACGACCCAAGGGGTATACAATAGTTTCTAGGTTGCGAGGCGCAGTTGCGCGATAATAGGTAGCCAAACTGGACAGATACAGCTCGCTGCCTCCCGCGCGTGGTGACGAATGGGCGGACGTCCGCGGCTTCTGGCCGCACCTAACATCCCTGTCGCTCGTCTACCTGCCATCGTTATTGCCGGAGACGGCACGTGACTAACACTTTTACTCTCGTCCCAACAATGCATAGCTTTCACTATTACATGATTGTATGATTGTGAATCTCAACGACTCAACTTCATTGACTTGGTAGACAACTAACTCGAAGTTTTGTGCATTATCGTTATTGTTGTTGGAAAATCGTTCCAGCCAGTCGTGCTGCACGAATCAAGGCTCATGGCACTACTATTTATAAAAGCTGGTTGCAAGGACAAGAGACTTATTGTTCTGTTTCTCAAGTCAACTGAAGAGACAGTGCTCAAGCTTACATGGCCGCTGATAATGCTCGTACCAACATAGCCAGAAGAAGTAATGTTCATTCATTGCTGCGACCAATGCAGACTAGTCGAGGTGGCCGGTTGTAAGAACAACATTCCAGTAGTCTGTTGCTGGTTCTTTGTTGATATTACAGTGCTCGAGTCAGCGGTAGAGAGACCGCAGCCCCAGAACTAGTAAGATTGGCAGTAGTTAGGAATGTGAAGACCGATATGGCGGGCAATAACATCGCCAAGACCAGCAGTCCTCGTATGATCTGTGAGAAAGACATTCTCGAGACTGTCACTGGTTTTGAACAAGTGTAAGAAATGTAAATATGGATACATCTCCAGTTCAGTCAAACATCCCTACCTGATACCAAGCTACGTAAAGCTTGAACACAGTTCCTACTGTTACTTACCGGAGCAGTTGACACCAAGTGTCCAGATTCAAGATGTAGTTGCACCGTTGCTCTCCAACGCAGACGTGCTCGCTATGTTCAGCAAACTTGAACAATTCTACGGAAAGGAAGTGCCAGCCCCATTATTGAAAGCTTGTCAATCGGATCTCCTTACTATGCAAGTACCGACTCTCTTCTTTTCATCAGAATAGGATTGCTTTTTTGCCGACCGGTTTATCTCGAAGGGTTTGGATGGCGTTCGACGATGCCGAAAGCATCGACCGAGAAGGCTGCGATGGCGTTACGAAGAGTGTGATCCGATGTAGGCCCCGTACGCATACTTGGAGCTGCTGGGACACCGTAAGACGCGCAATAGTAAAAGGCAAAGGCGAGCCGAATTGGGCGGCCTTGCTGAACCCTCTCTTGGAATCGAGCTTAGCTCTGCGAGCATCAGTTGGCGATATAGACCTGTGAATCAACATGGCGTGGCGGAAGGCGTCCAATACAATTCATGCGGCAACTTTCATAGTGCACACCAGAATACCGCTCGTGCATACCAAATGCAGGTGTACTTCATATAGGGAGGTGGTTGGCGACGCGTGTCAGATTGTCGTTTTATTGAGCATGCAGCGTCTTTCGCCGCTTTGCGCATTTCCCAACCTCGCCTGTTCGAGTGTGCCAAGAACGCCCGCCTGTGCGTCCTGCCGTTGCTGCCGTTGTCCTCCTCACCACTCCGTATATTATCACAGTCGCCTTACGCCTTGTGCCATGAGTTCTTACGACACAGCTAGTGCACAGCGGCACAATTACTTATTTCGTCAACATTCTTCCGTGGACAAGTCTCTTTCTAGCGATTGGTCTCGCTACTGCGCCTCGGGCTCATTCTACCGCTCATCACATCCTCCGGCCTACCATGCCAGTCAATAATCTAACTATGCTTTCGCATTACTAAACCCCACATTTGATGAAGACCTGCGGGAATGTTGCTCAGAGGGCAGTGCCACTTGCATAAGTGTCAACACCGCCGAGGTAAGCGAACCGGTTAATTCATGGCCTGAGAGAAGTACAGCAGTTTAGAAGGACTCCATTCATTGCTGTCTGTTGTTCACCCTGTTGGGAACAGGTCGTCCGTGGCATCCGCATGTCTCACGGTAAGGATACGCAATTCTCGTCTAGACAGACACACTTCCTTGGAAAGGCCTCCGAACTACATGCAGCACGCCTTGCAGACAATAGCAATTATTGGTAAATTCTCCGCTGCGCCGAGCTTCCATAATCTCAGGGTTCTTTTATGGCTCATCCAAGGCTCGTATCGCCCTGGTTGTTCCAGCGGCTTCTGTTGTGCAACTGCCTATCAATGATGGCGACGACTGTAAGACGTCGGCTGTTTCTGCCCCGTTAGGTTGTACTTAAGGTGCTCACGCAAGCCTTGTGCAGCTCTGCCATTATTTCAACCTCATGATGTCTCGATTTGTCAATACCCTGATCCACACCCTTCATTTGTACGCCATCTTAGCAGCTGCTGAGGAAAATCACACTCCAGAGCCTATCGAGCTAATCAGAGATGTTGCAATTATCGGCGGAGGCGCGTCGGGTACATATGCCGCTGTTCGACTTCGTGAGGACTTGAACACAAGCATGGTGCTCATCGAACCCAGACCAAACCTAGGAGGTCATACCAGTACCTACTATATTCCCGAAACCAACGCTTCGGTTAATTTCGGAGTCCAAAGTTACTTGCCATACGGGCCAGCTATCGATTTCTTTGCCCGCTTTGGAATCGCCACGGCGATTCCTACTAATCAGAGATTGACTGCCCTAAATGTTGACGTCGAGACTGGTGAGATATTGGAGGACTACAGCGCTCCGAGTACGAATGCGACCAACGAAGCATTCCAACGATGGCTTGCCATTACGTCAAAATATGAAGAAATCCTAGAGCCCGGTTACTGGGACTTTCCGTCTCCAGCGGACATTCCTGCGGATTTACTCACGCCTTTCGGTGAATTCGCGAAGCTCAATAGGTTAGAAGCTGCCGTCCCACGCATAGTGACAGTATCTGGGGTGGGGTATGGTGGTATCAGCGGTCTCTTGACTCTCAATGTCTTACAGGCTTTTGGAGCGTCGCTTACGAAAGGTCAGTCAACTTTGCAGGCTTAGCCATAACTTGATCTTGTCTTATGCTTCGTGGAATTCATTACTGTAGATGTACTAACTTGTTGAATTTAGACCTATTGAGGGGTACCCTTTTCAAACCGGTTGACAATAACAGTATTCTCTACGAACGCGCACTCCAGCTCCTCAAAACGGACGTACTGTTATCGAGCACTGTTCAGAACGCGAAGCGAACTGCGAACGGAGTGGAGCTGTCAGTCAAGCAAGGAGATACCAACTACGTCATCAAAGCACGTCGCGTTCTATACACTGCAGGGCCAAGCCTGGATAATCTGGCACCTTTCCATCTCGATGAAAAGGAAACTGCTACTTTCTCGAAATGGATCAAAGGAGCCGAATTCGTAGCAGTTTTGAAGGCGTCTTGCCTACCGGAGAATCACTCGATCACATATTTACCTTCAGCAGCAGTACCGGCTGATCAGCTTGCAATCAAGGACTGGCCATATAGTCTGCGTCTAGACTCAACAGGGCCTCCAGGCCAAGGTCTTTTCCGCGTGATCTTCGGCGCCAACTACACGGTTACTAAGGACGAATTCTCCAGCCTAGTCTTGAAAAGTGTGGGAGATATTCAGAATGCAGGAACTGTTGCATCAAACTGCGAAGCGGAATTCAAGGCCGTCTCAGATCATAGCCGGCCTTGGTGGCCGCAGTCAGCTGAGCAGTTACGAGCAGGTTTCGTACAAGATTTATATGCTTTGCAAGGGTATAAGGGCATGTGGTACACCGGATATGCTTGGGGGGCACAGTACAGCTCCACTGTTTGGGCTTTCACTGACACTGTCCTCGAGAAACTGTTAGGAGATCTGAAGAACGGGAGCTAATTCGTTCCATTAGCGCGTACGCAGCCCATTGCACATGGTCCCAATTTGATACCAAACTATATTTAACGCGCCACCAAGCTACACGATTCTCGTAGACACAATAAAACCATACACATGTGGTGTTGCTGTCACAATGGATCCTTTGTTAGAGCATACTTCAATCCCATAGTATACGAGAACGTCGTATAACGAAGATACCTTGCCCTAGTGATACTCATCGAGATAATCGGCAACAATGCGTGCAGTTATATGCGCTGAGTGCTAGACTTTTGGATATAATGAAAGCAGCAGCTATACTAGCTGAGGATGGCTTTAATGACGAAGACGAATATTTCTAAGGATTCAATCTTTCCTGCAAAGAACACTCATGTCCTCCCACCACGGCTAGAAAGCTTTGTCAACCCACATCCGCACATATTTTTTGGACCACTGTGAGAAGCTTAGCGTTCTCCGAGCCGCTGCCTCTATCGATAAACGTATAGTCTGGGTTGCAAGGTCGTTTTGTTGTTAGAGCTAAAGATTACATGTGCGCCAAGCCTGCTCAGACTTGTGTCCGGCCCCACCTAACCAGCCACCAGGGGGCCCTTTGGAACACCCACCCTTCTTCGTCTCCCTACAACATGCACTACGATTCTATCGCCACCGCCCCGAACAACAAGACATGCTCGCACCACATCTATTAGCGAATGGTGCTCTGGCTTGTCTCTGCAGGCTAATCATGCCAAGATCAATCAAGCTAGATGAAGCTGTATTGGCCGAGTATGGGGCGACAAGTGCGGGGATTGCAGCAGTTCTATAATTAGTGAGAGTACCTGCTATCGATACTGATCAGGCTCGGAGTATGAGGACCGGATGTTGAACATATTCTAGAGCTTCTGCATAGCCTGCCGATCGTTTACGTTGCTTCGTCGCACAACGCGCGAGTGCGAGTGCCGAGCTGATGTTCTGTGAACATGCTGCGCCGCTACCTTGCTTATCAGCAAGATCGTCTATCGTTTCCAAGACAATCAGAGCGGGATTCAAGGGTGTAACGTGTGGCAGATAATCTCTGAATTGCAATCGACGAATAGGAGCTAATATGATCTCACCACAAAGCTGCGTCAATGAGGCGCGGGACGGGTTCAACCCTAACGTGGGCATCGCGGCATAAGCTCACCATGTCTTGAGGGCTTTCTATCTGTGCTTATCACGCTTGTAAGGTGTGGCTGACAAGGGTGGGAATCCCTTATACATTCGTGGTTATCTAGGTCACTCAAACTTGAGCCTTCCATTTAGTTGTGAAACACTGACATTGGGGCTCATTGTCGGGAGCCATCTCCTCTAAAATCAGCCTCGCGATGGCGTACCAACAACTACCCAAGATGCAGCATGCCGTGGAAGTGACATCAGCCAACGAGGACTACACCCCCCCTTCGTCTACCCTGCAAAACTATGAAGAAATACACGACTTCGACTTTAGTCTTACCAGTCCTCGTTCAACCGTCAAGTCACCGTCCATAAAGAAGCACGCACCACAGTGGAGCTCGTCTACAAACAGTACAGCTGTGACTTCGGAAGTATGTAGCACAAAGTCTAATAGCCGGGCTGGTTTGTCCCGTGCACGATCTTGGGCTTTCGAGAGTAAGATATGTCCCTTGTACGAACTAAATGTGAGATATATACTGACTTCGCACACCTACCTTCAGTCATGGCCGTTGCAATTGGCCTCGGTGCCGTTGCCGCTATCATTGGTGTGGTATCCAAATACAATGGGCGTGCGTTGCCTGACTGGCCTCACGACATCACCTTGAACGCTCTTATCGCTCTGTTGGCCACCTTCGCAAACGCCGCAATGTCGGTCTGCCTTTCGAGTGGAATATCGCAGGCAAAATGGATCCGGTTCAAGCAGGCATCAACTCCGCTATCTGATATGGAAGCCTTCGATGATGCTAGTCGTGGTTCATGGGGTTCCATCAAACTACTGGGAACTGGGAGAGGAGGGTAGGTTTCTAATTTCGAGATGTGCTTGTGAAGTGACTAATGCACGTTCTACCAGACTTCTTGGATCATTCGGAGCTACTGTTGCCATTGTCGCCCTTGCTCTTGGGCCTTTCTCTCAGCAGATCGCAACCTACAAGATCCGAAGTGTGGAAAGTGACATAGGCGCCATTATTCCCAGAGCCCTTAACTTTACTCCCGCATTAGTGGGTAACACAAGCACGAGTGAGTAGTTTCATGCATACCATGATACTGTAGACTGACAAAGTTTCAGCTGGTTTCGTACCTATTCTTCCACTTAAAGCAGCAGTCTATAACGGCCTGTTCGCGGAGAACAACAGACCCGCGGCATCGCTACCATTTAAATGCCAAAGTGGTACCTGCGTCTGGGAGCCCTTCGAGACCCTAGCTGTTTGTCATGAATGTACCGACATCAGCTCTCTCATCACGCGATACTGCCCACCTGAATTGGGTGCATCGCCAAACATGACCTCATGCGGGTGGCAAGTTCCGCAAGGAGCACATCGTGAGTACCATTCATTCACCAACTGTAAACGGATAAGTACTGACTCGGTGTGCCCTTATCTAGTCAACACCAGTTCCGATGTATTTAGTATGACGTCCTTCATCCCATCTGCCTATGGAGACATGCCTCATTCTACACTGATCCGGCTCATCTTTATGGGTACAGAGCTTCAAGACACACCATATAAGCTGAACCCTTGGGCGTCGCAATGCAGCCTACAAGCATGCGCAAACACGCTATCCGCGTCAGTGACAAACGGTACACATCAGGAGAACATCACTCATTCAGTACTCAATCATACTGTCATTGACATAAGCTCACCTGATCCTGCTGCCGACCATAGCGTGTACATCACTGGAAAATCTGATGACACTGCGTACCTGCTTGGCATGGAAGCGCTCTTAAGCATACGCGGTTGGTTCAGCGCGATCTTCACAAACGGCTCTGCGACGCGCACAACTAGCGACTTTACACGCAGTGTTACAGATCCAGACCGGGCTGTTGTAGTCAACCTTACAGTCGGCATTTCATCAGGCGAAACCTTCTTTGACACGGACATTGTGACGGCATTCTACTGGAACTACTACGAGTATGCTGACGGGATCAACATGCTTATGAGCGATCTGGCTATATCGATGACCACCGCCTTCCGTGGTTTCAATGGCGCAGTGGAAACGTATGGCAAGTCAATAACGGTAGAATCATACGTCCACGTCCGATGGGGTTTCGCAGTACTACCGATCGCGGCCGTTTTGGCCACTTTGATCTTCCTGCTCACTGCGATGACGATGACACATACGTCGGGTACGCAAGTGTGGAAAAGCAGTGCGCTTGTGTCGCTCCTGCATGGGTTAGACCATCAAACGAAAGAGAGATTTGGTACCAATGACAGCTTGGTGGTTCAGAAGAAACAGGCGAAAGCGGTTAAGGTCAGATTGTATACCGATGACCGGGACAATACTATGCTGGGAGCAGAGAAGGCTGCATGCTAGTTATGAGGGAAGTTTAATTCATGCTTCGATGGCTGAAATGGAATTCAGAGCACTGCAATTCCTATACCCTGCTTCCATGATCAATATCCTTGCTCTTCCTTCCATCACTACTGATCTCACTCTCCGTATCGCTGAGCAATCCATTCCACGCATCATCATCAACACTATCCACGTCGTCTTCCCGCCCGGCATCCTTGTCTACCTTAACATTCACGAAAAGTATCCACAGTCCAATGTCATAGGTGATTCTGCAGATACCAGTAGCCAGAAAGGCCACCCAGAAATTGTCGCTGCCAGAGAGGAATCCTGTGATCGATGGCCCGACGCTCATGGCTAAAGTCCGCAGCATGCTTGTGATGCCCATAACTCCTGTGCGCTCCTCAGGCTTCACGACTGCGGCGATAAAGGCCGTACGTGGAGCTTGATCCATGCTATTGAGGGTAGCTCGGAAAAGTAGCAGACCGACTGTCCACCCGACGCTTGAAGGCAGTGGGATGAAGGCGCTAGCTATTGAGGATGGGAGATGCGTGAAGACCATGGTGTTGATCAAGCCGATACGTTTGGCTAGTGGTCCGGCGAAGATCGCTCCAACAGCGCAGAGGAACTGTGACGCTGAAGTAATATCTCCAAGTGTGGACTTGGACACGTGGAACTTTTGGTCGACGTAGTAGTTCATCAGCGAGTAAGGCGTCATGCCGTCTGCTAAGCTGTCTACGGCCAAGAGGATCCAAAGCTTGTACATGACGGATCGTGTATTCTTCGAGATTTGACTGAAGTAGCTTTGCTGCTTCTGCGGTGGCGGGCTCCTGATATTTGCTGGTCTTCCTACATTCTCGCAGTCTTGATCGAATCCGTCCGTGGTGCTTGGTGTCATAGCTTCCAAAAGTACTTCTTCCTCTTCCCCATCGCCACCACCACGCCCTCGTTCTTTCATCTCTGCATGTTTTTCGCCAGCAGCTTCACATCTGCTACTCAGACCTAGGCATAGAATACTTCCAAGCACCCCAAAGGCTGCATAGCCCCAAAACAAAGCATGGTATGCCTTGGTCACATTACCGCTGCTCTTCTCAAGAGCATGCACCGTTCTTCCTGCGACTTCCGCGCCAATGGCTCCAGCCATGGTTGTCGCTGTGACATACCACGAGAGAACGTCGCTTCTTGTTGTCTCATCTGTCAGCCCACTCAACATGCTCTCTTCGACAGCCCTAAATGGGCCACAGTCCGCACCAGTAACAGAAATGATGCCGAACACTGCCGCAACCAGAAGAATGAAGAAATTTTCTGATAGAGCAAATGCAACGCCTGAACAAGCCATCATAACACTACCCATGAACAGAATCCTTCTCCTTCCGAGTTTATCCGCTACGAGAGTGAGCAATAATGATAACAAGACATCTCCCAACAATGTCAATGTCATGAAGACCCCGATCCTTGAATCCGGAAATTTGAGCGAGGAGAAGAAGAGGGCAAGAATCAGCGAGGGAATTCCAGCCGTGAACATCCTCAATGATCGCAGTGTTATGATAATGTATGCATCTCGACCTGTTGCATTGAGCGATGTAAATCCGAGAAAACCGGCGATTTGCGAGAAGGCTGTGGGAGCCATAGTGGCAATGTCTGTGCCGCGTCTCGAGTTTGTAGTCAGAGGGTTGAAACGATGTTTGACAACAAAACCCAGATGCAGTATCAATTTTTCACAGAGATCGGATAAAGAAAGGTTGAAGAAGAACCGGAAAAGATCTCATCCTATGAGAGACTGGTGACCACCCGCGGTGCTAGTGTAAGCGTTAAACCCGAGACGGGTTTAAGCTAAGAGGCTGCGTCTTGCCTGACTCACGCTTGCACACGCGCGACGCTATCGAGGTACGTTCTAGATCATATCTGGTCAATTTCTCAACGGCATCGCTGCCTACATTTGCTGTTGTCGTGCTGGTTCGGCGATGCTGCGCGGCCGAGTGTTGCCCCGCGGTGAATGTGGAGCTAGGTCACGTCATCGCTCGACGTTCGATAGCGTGTCGCGTGCCTCGAACACCTTCATCACCTACGCGACACGTTGGATCAACGGAGCTGAAATGGAGACCGTTACACTAACAAGACTTCCTTCAGAGTCTTTAGGTACAGTGAAGTACTCAAATACCTTTCCTGTATCACCACAATGGACAATCACTCCTTACGCGATGAGAATATGCTCACCGTCACCTGGTGAATGCAGCAGCAAATAGAATTGCTTCCTGTGTAAGGAGGCTTTGTAACTCGACTGCATGCTTCCGAAGCATACTTAGACATGACTTCTGTACTTCTTTCTCAGTACTCACAACTACACTAACCTCTCGGTTTTTCGTACATACCACAGCTCACCAACTCGAACTTCAGCAATTAGCAACAACACGCTCAGTAGAACTGCTGCAAGCGAGACCTATTCATTGCGATTTCCAATGAGAATAACTCCTTCCAAAAGGCATTCGATGAATTCTTACCACTGGAGCTTAAGCAGATGGTCTTCAAGTGGGCAGCAACCGACAACAATAGCGAGACCCAGATCAGTCTATTTCATGACAACGAAGATCGACTCAATGCACCAGCTGTCGACCTCCTGGCCAAGTTAAAGCAGCAGTACTCAGGGAAAGTGTATACTCGGGCCTTGCAGTATCTTATAGGGCCATTGTTTCGGTGGGTCTTCCAGCGATACGCAACCACATCGGTACCTTCTCGCTGCGTTCGACGTTCGATCCCTATGGGAGTCCGAGAGCGGATTGAGCATGCCTATCAACCGCGAGTCACCGTCAACGGGCTCATCGACTCAACAACTCTGTCCACATTCTTTCAATCTCTCCGGACAATGTTACGCCGTTCCGATTACTGCATACAACTCCTACGATCCGATTCTGGGAACCACGGCCATGATATTCATCTTATTAGGAATATCAAGCAGGACATCTTCGGGCGCATTTTATTATCAACTTCTACACTACCTTGGCTCAAGAAACTCGACCTCAGCCTCGATATCATAGATTGCTTGGACGGGAAACCAAAATAATCAGAGAGCGTTCTCCGGAGGCATTATCAGGGTTCGTGAGGAATCCTTGCCTGTAGTCCACTTCCAGCTGGATTGGGAGTACTTGTAAACTTGAAGGGGATTACCAGCCTGGATATTTGTGTCCTTTGGGATGATTCCTTCAAGAAAGAACAGAACCTCAAAAGTAAGAGCACTGAAAAGAAGTTGCGTGAATCGTTCATCAAAGCGTTGCATCGAAGTGTTCTTGCGAGAAGCGTGGTCAGTTACCCGGATTATCAGCCCGTCTCACCGGTCATCTCGTAAGAGTGGCTTCCACTCAAGTCACCCAGCAATCGGAACCCTGTAGAAATCTTCCGAATGCATTGATGCGTTTGTTTCGGCCTGGGAAGTTGATGTTCTTTCATTGGCGCCTGGCGTTGGATAATGCCAAATGGACGGTTCGGAATAGTGCGAGTTTCCGGATATAGCCATACTATAGTGAAAAGATAGTATACAAGGTTAGTCTGTATGTGTTAGGACGTACATTGTAATGATATACAATCAAATCAAAGTCTTACATCATAGGAATTGTTGACTTATATTCTCGCTTCGCTGGTTCCCCTGTGACTGTTGATCTGGTCGTGCGACCTAGCTAACAACTGTGCAACGCACTCGGGGTAGGTCAACACAAAGTGCAGAGAACAAAAGCAAGAAAAGAAGCAAGTTTTGTAATAAATCGTCTATCTAACGAAAAGATGTGGAGAAAGAAAAAGTACAATGCAGATAGTTCGTTTCAAGGACACTCAAAGTGCAACAGTGCCTATGCATTAAACCATCGATGAAGCGAAATGTCTTCGGGATAAAAACATAAGCCGGTTTGAACACCATATCCTTATACGCTACTAGGTACTGCATCGTCGCTCGCAGGAAACGTGGTATGAGCGCAGTCATGGCCCGCACAGCTAGGTCACTTCTTTATACTCGGTAATTTCTTTACAGCATAATCATAATACCACCAAATATCGTAGCGACAGCAAAATAAAAGCCAATACCAAAATCGCCGTAAGAGCAGACGGTCTGAACACGGAAGTTGGCAATACCAAAGCTTTCTCTGTCACCAGAGCCCCCAGCACTACTGGAACCAGTAGCACGGGCCGCAGTCGCAGTAGCAGCCCAAGCGTTGCTCGACGCAGCTTCATCGATCTTAGCCTTGCAAGATGACGCAGGGCTCGGTGAGGAACGAATCGCTGCCTTGCCATTGTGGTCGCAGGCGGTCGAGGCAGAGTTCTGGTCCAGATAGTACGCATCCATGACGTGAGCGAGCTTGTGCGTATCGTTACACATGGAGTAGGCGCCGTACACACCGGTGGTAGTGTTGGTGTTGATGCCTGCGCAGACCGATGGCTTTTCAGAGCAGATGAAGCCGAAGATCTCACCGTAATCGGAAGTGTTCAGGCTACGGGAGGGCGCGCACGAGACGGATGCATACATGCACTCACAGAGGTCACGGTCGGGTGTTGGTGGTAGGGCTTTGCTGTTGACTCCCCAGCTTGAGGAGAGTTCCGGGCAGCTAGCGGGTGAGTTGGTAGGATTGTAGTTATGGGCTGAAGTAGAAGAGGGCGTGGCTTTGACTACTTGGGACGACAGAACGTCGTAGTTCTTCATGGTCTCAGCATTGCCATTATTTACTTCGACGAGACCGTAGTCATTCTCCTCTTGGTAGTACATGTAAACGATACCGCCGGAGAAGACCTTACTCATATCGTCGGAGTAGAGCGCAGTGGTGTCTTGGAAGAGGCGGCCTTCAGCACCATCGGGAACATTGCATCCGTATTCAGCCAGGAAGACTGGAACCGAATAGTTGGAGAAGAACTCGACTTGTTTATCATAGCCGGAGCCAGACATTGTGTTCTCGCCACACCACGAGTACAAGTTGTAGCCCCAGAAGTCAAGGGTCTCCTCTTTATTTCCACAGTTGAAGTAATAGGCTGCCTGAGCGCGGATCTCAGAGTTATCGTTGGCGGCGTACCTTACGCCGAGCCAGCGCTGATCTTTTCCAAGGTTCTTAATGTATTGTTTGGAGTCGCGGATGGCGGCCTTGACAAAGGCGGAGGCATCTTTGTTGGATGCGTTGTTGGTGACCTCATTGCCAGCAAAAAAGCCAATGGTGTTGTCGTACTTTGCGACACTGTCGATGACAGCTTTGTAACGGTCGAAGAGCTCGACGGTCCACTGAGGGTCGACTCGGTTTATGGACTGAGAAGGTTCGCTAAGATCGGCAACGATGTAGATACCAGCGTCTGATAGCATGCGCATACAAGCACTGTAATCTTTGTCTGGGTTGATCTGATAAACCCGGATGGTATTGGTGCCTGCCTTGGCCATGATGGGAATGTCACGCTTACAGGCGGCCTCGTCTGACAGTGAATCACTGTACGTGCCATCACCGCTCTCGCCGCCGAGGCCGTAGGGATCCTTCTGGTAGGCTATACCTTTCATGAAGAACTGGGTACCATTCTTGTAGAAAAATTTCGAGCCCTTACCACGTTAGCATCTTGTCAAACACATGGGCAATCTAGGGACACTGCACCTTAGTAATAATAGGGTCGAGCGCCGCGACTCGGTTGGCGAGCAGCAAAGCAGAGGCGACTGTTGCGAACTGAACCATGTTGGAGATTGTCACCACACGATGAAGTGTCAACGTTTCTTAATGGTGTTCCTAGGGTCGAGCCTTGGAAATGTGGCCGTGGGTGTCGAAGAGACTGCCAATCAGAACGTGGTTTCGCGATCTGCCAAAAGATTTAAACAGTTGAACCGAGTCAAATGATTGCTATCGGTGAGAGAGAAGGGTTTCTAAGGAGAGTTAGAAGTTTGAACGAATGTGAGCAAACCTAGGAACTTTCAAGGACAAGAAACGAAAGGCTATGCTCATGCGGTGTTTGTTTGTTCCTAGGAGCTCAAGATCAAAAGATTGAGATTTATGCCAATCAGGGAGAGACCTCAGATAGGCATAATCTAGTGAATTAATGGTCGGTGGATGGCGGTTTGCCAACTAAACTTAGTCAGGGACCTCTTGGCATCTCTTTGGGGTAAAGCACAGTGAGGCTGTGTATCTAGGAGACCACGGTTTGAGTTCCTTGAGCTTCTGCAATAGAATATCATAATCTTATGAGCCGTTTGTTCACATGTGTTCATTAACCTCGAGTGTTTCATTGGATAGAGGAGCTCTGTATGGGGTTGCTTCAACAACTCAGAAAGGCATTGTAACAGTGGAGATAGTGTTGCACTACACATCTGAAGATGAGCCATTCAAGCTGACAAAGAATCGCAGGTCTACTAGTTTCAGATGGTTCGAGCTAAAGAAGAAATTTGAAGTTTCGAAGTGGATCTATCGGCAGGTTCACAGTGTAGCCAGTAACCGAGCATTGCGCGCCCAGTGACGTCGATGTGTAGGCCATTATACTTAATTCAGGGTTCATACTATTTTTTTGTAGCCTCGGGATCATTGCTGATATATGTGTAGTTTACGCGGCACAGCTCCTGCAGGAGACGGGCGACAGTCTGTGAGCCCAACGGTAAGTTGATGCTTTACACCCGTCATGTGGTTAGTCAAGCACAAATTCGCGTGTACGCGCAGACATACCAGTGATACCAGCATCTCCAATACTTCATACGCCTGAACAGATGTTGCATAAGCTTACAGTATTAGTGGGATTTACTAGCAGTGCAGGTCAAGTACTGACTTCTACGACCTGCCGTATTAATGGCTTAAAGCTAAGTGAAAGACTCGTTGAAGCTGCTCTGAAAAGGTTGATATAGGAGAAGCCTTCAACTACAACTGGCAGAGAGGCATAAGTGACCATATGGTCCGAGGCCGGCTCGGTAGAGGCTCTGTAAAAGATCAACTGACATCGGCTAGGGGTTCGACAGTAGGTCCATTTCGGCTTTCCACTTCGGCTCTCCGATGCATGTGGAAGAGAGGCTGGCAATGCCGACTTGACAATCGTAGCGAAGATCGCTATTGAGGGATTTCATTGTACGGAGAGTGTCCAGTTCCTCACGGGTCTGTTGTATATAGTGAGGTCGATAAGGCTACAGGGGCCTGCCAGGTTCGAACGGTTGGTATTAGAATAGGGCTGTTGAACCTTGACCATTGATGTCATATCAGCCACTCAAGACGAAGAGGGACGAGGAAGTGAGTTCTGTAGTGGCCAACACTTCGAGATATCAGAACCTTTTTTGTGAGACAGATCGCGCCTTATGCTCGATCGTTGTCACACAGTGCAATGCGGCACTAGTACGATGCCGACAGCATTGTGTTTTCTACTTCGGCATCTCCGTCTGGTTTGAGCACACAGAGCACGGTATGGAAGTCGATCAAGATTCCGTTGCTGTCGCAGTGTGGTCTCTCGACTCCGACGCGGTGCGAGTACTTTCTGGTTGTACAATAAATCGTTGAGATAAGCCGAGTTCGATGCACTACACATCCCCTTCTTCAATCCAACAGCGACTGGCTTGCTGAAACCAACGAAGAGAGTCCCAAAAATACCTAGAAGGCCTAGAAGGCCAAACAAAGCAGTACAGAATATAATTTTAAACTAGCAAGATTGCGACCTTAGATGGATTTTCACTGGTAGCAAAATGCCCTTGCACTGTGATGCCAAAGGAAAGTAGAGGACGAGAATGAGGGGGCTTATATAAATGAAGGGACCGCACGCGCTAGGCTGTCGCGGGTTCGGACGAGACGATGGGACTGCAGGCAGCAGTCTGCCACGGGTTTAGATGATTGAATATGAAGAGGTTGAGTGTGGTGTGGATGGAAGGCATCTACCTGGTTATCAATGTGTCAGCGGAGACCACGTGATTCATGGCAAGCGGCCAATCCTTGATCGCCCCTAATAATCCAGGGCGGAACGGCAGGGGCCCGACCCTCGGCATCTCATCTACCTACACTCTCCGTCTACGGCACACCCTCAAACATAGAAAAAAGAAGATTCCACGCCGTCGCCACCCCTGCATCGCGAGTACCTTTTGGTGGCGCGGTGAAAGTACACTCGCCGCCGGCAAGAGCGGTCCCAGAGAAATGTCAACAGTCGCACAGTCTTGGCCTGCATGGCAAGGGCCAAGTTGGAGTAACTCTGCAGTAGGCATGGGAGTGGAACAGAGAGCTGGACCAGTCGTTCCTCGCGCATGCTTCGTCCCGCGGCATCCATGTCAGAGGACTCGGGCTCGGATAATCGGCGGACGACGGACCTATTGGTCTTTCATGCGCTGGGTTACAACTCATCCGCCGTCGCAGGTGTGATTGCACCCAGGCTTCCCTTGACAGCGAAGAAACAGACGATTTTGGTGTCTTCCGTCTGCAAGGCTTGACAAGTGCAGTGAGGCTTATGCTTAGTCGATATGCTAGCTGGCGGGTGGGAGATTCAATAGGGTGGCCGAGGTCAGTCTGGTGAAAGAGCAAAAACTGGGGATCGTCGGTGTGAGCCTTTGCATAGCGGCCTTCAGGGTCTGGTCCCTGTTGCTACATGTGTGGCCATTTGCGAGGATCCAGAATAGTAGTGAGCCATAATCGTGCATATGCTGGCGGTGAGGGAAGACAGCCCTGAGCGCGAGAGATTCAATGTCTTATATCCGCCTGCTTTCCTTCCATCCCGTCTTGTTCGTCTTCCTCCGCCCTTCGCCTTCTTCGACTCTCCGACTTACCCAGCTTGTGTTGTGTGTCAGCGGCTAGCTGCTCCGTTTTCCCACATCCTCGCCGTGCCACATTCTCGTCGCAAAACGCCGTCCACCCTACCCGACCAATCTCCTAGCAAAAGCCGGGGTCTCCCCTCTGGCCCGCAAGATCTGCAGAATAGCGCAGCAGAGAATAGGATCCAGCATTTTCTCCTTGCAAATCAGCGATTTTACAAATACCATCCACGGGACTGATTTTGGAATTCCCACGCGCAAGACAGCAGAGTCACCTGTCAGGTACCCGGTGTGCACCACTCCGAAGAGCGTCTGATAACTAGTGGGAGAGCTAGGCGGCGTCAGAACGTGGGAACCTTGGAAACAGCGGTCACGCCCGAGGTCAGCACACACACCTGGCCGGCTCCTTAGTAAGGAGTAAGTTAGAGAGAAGGTGCCGGGTGAGGCGGTCACATTCTGCGACAACCCACTTTCCGCTGTTCTTTCACGCTTGACTCTCAAACGCGCAATCTGCGAACGATCGCGACAACACATCTACCCACGCTTTCTCCCTAGCACAGCGGCATACTCCCCTACCAACAAACTTCGGCTCTACCGTACCAAAACTCAAAGAGCGCCAAACCACACAACAGCAACCATGCACCGCAAAAACCCCATCAGCGTGCTTGTCTACAACACGCTCTTCCCAACGCCGTCCCCCACGGACCCACCCTCCTTCAGCGCCCATCTCTCCAAGAACCTCGTCGGTGAAGTTCGCATCGAAACGGCAAACTTCTATGGCTCGCTCGACACAATCGAAGCGCGGTACCCTGGCCTAAACTACGCTTTCCAACCACATCGGAAACGTCTTGGACGCTTCCCACACCACAAGCGACTCTTCGATGCATTCGATCGGCTTGGGCTGACCGAGGCGGAGATACAAGGTTTCTGCAGGTGGGAAGGCACACTGTGGGCACGGGAGCGATACGAGCGGGACGAGGGTGTAAGAGTAGTAGACACCACAGGCGTGGACATTGGGGCATGGGTCGACACACGCCGAGCCTACTCCTCACGAAACAACGGAGCAGGGATCAACGTGAAAACAGACATTGAAGTAGAAATTGAAGAGCTAGAACACAACCACCACCGCCACCACGCGTCTACACGGCCACCGATGCAACAAAACAACGGAGGCGACACGGAAATGCCAGACTCTTCTTCCTCGGCCGAAGAAGACGAAGACGAAGAATCAGACTCAGATTCTACCTCCAACGAACTCTCCTCGTCGGTAGGCTTCTCCCTGAACGCGCGTCTCCTCCATGCCGCCGCTCTTCGTGAATCTTCCGGTGCAATGAACATACCAATGGATCCGGAATGGGAACAATACCTCAAAGAAGCGTCGGAGCGGGGCGAACTCAACATCGACGCTACACGGGAAGCTCTCCGTACCATGGCTGGCCAAATGGCGCAATTGCACCAGTCGACCGTTGAGGCCGAGGGAAGCGAGGCTGTGCCTCAGACCTTCCAGCCACCCGCTGCTCCGGCTTAGGAGCTGGAGTTGGGACACAGCTGGATGATGGATGTGGAGGTGTTCGAAGCAGTTATTATTATGTCTCCGAACACTCTTTAACCGAGAGGATGATAACGATGATCATGGTGGCTCATCTATCAGGATGATTGTTGATGGTTTTCTTTGTTCGCTTTTCTCTTTCTCCTGCACTGCATGGCGTTTTCTCCTCCGCAAGACAAGGCGTTTGAAGGAGGGTTATGCGGGTTATGCATGGGCATTTCGCGAGATACCCCAGATTTTCTGCTGGGCTTTTTTTTGTTCTTGTCGGAGTAATGATTCTTTCACCACTTACATAGATCTGCGAGCTTTGGATGAGCAACAGGGGGATGGGGTTTGGCATGCACGGCACATAGTCATAATCCACCATGTTCAGATGTTCAAATCGGGTTCTTGTGGTATCTTTGTTATCATTATGATGTTCGATGACTCTCAACCTAAGGAGCGATTATTGTATGGATCGCTGCGGTGGAGCCCAAGTGCGTACTGATGCTCGTGGCTGTTCTACTAAGAACGTTTTCCATCTTAGCCCCGTATGAGCTAACTGGGTACCAGCACTATGTTGTGCATGAAGTCACTCAGTCCTCCACAGGCGTCATTTGTTAGCGGTAAGCTGGCTTCCTATACCGCTTAGTCTTTGGAGCGGCTTAAGCTGTGGTTACGAGGGATGTGATGTGTCTGCAACATATGATGTAGTAGGCTGAGTTACTACATCCATCGGCGTCTTATCGTCTTCCTGCGTTGCCAAAGCTGAATCCTCCAGGTCCTCTCTTAGTGCCCCTGGTAGTTCTGCTGTTGCCACTGTCTTCGTCAATCTCCATGGCATTGTCACCACCCATGCCCATTAAATTCCGCTTGCCATTATTCTTCTCGTCACCGACTTGCATGACTGCCTCGAAGGCTCGCTCCTTTTTCCGACGCATCTTCTCTCGGTCCAACGCCTCTTTCTTGACCTTGGCAACTTGCGCCTCCAGATCTGCTAGAGCTGAATCGCATCGTTGTGACCATGACTGCAGAGTATTTTGGAGGGCGGGCAGAGATCCCGGTGCGAGGTCGCGGAGTGGTGAGATGGATGTGACAGAAACAAGTGAGTGTGCTGGATCAAGTGTGGCGGTAATGAGGCCGGAGTAGATAGCAGTAGTGATGAGCTCCTCGAGGGCGCGAGTGGTGGGCAATTCGAGAGCCGTCATGAGGTGTTTGTAGGTGAGGGTGGCGTGTGAGTGTGAGAGCGGCAGCAACGAGAGTAGCAAGAGCTTCTGATGTTGCTGTGCTGAGAGCTTGGGGAGATCTGGTTGAGCTTCAAATTGTCAGCAAGACGATTAGATGTTTAGACAATTGCCAACATACCCTTGTAGTCCTCCCAAGTTCCCCATGCGAAGATCTCGAGCAAGGTAAGATGCGGGCCATATTCTGCTGAGTTCCGTAGATTCTGAATGTTCGGTGTTTGCAGTAATTCGGCGAATACATATGTGTTTGGCGCACTGGTGGCTTGCACGATCAAGTCCGATGCTGCTCGTGGAGAAGTTGCGGACTTGCTGAGGGCGAGGAAGGGCTCGAGGGCGTTGAGGGCCTTGGTTTGCTCCATGTTGTATTAGTGTAGAGGTAACAGCTTCCGGAGCGGTAGAAGTTACAGAGTGGATGGGTTTGTCAGTTGATAGCGGAGGACAAGCAGGCAGCTACGCATGTGAGGTACGTCTTGGCAATCGCGGTCGGTCGCGACTGCCCCGCGCGACTGTCAACCCCACCCGCCTCTACGCTCGGACTCACTTCCATTCATCTCGTTCGATTCTTTAGGGCGACAACAACAACGTTAATTTGGTGCATTTTTCCTTTTTGCAATGTGCATCCAAGCTCAGAGGGAATGTGTCAGAAACTCCCTCGCGGTCAGCGACACAGACCTTTTGTTCGTATCCGACACCATTTGCTCCGTAATCACGAGTTGATTTGCGCACCACCACAAGTATCAATCATAGCGCGCACTTGCAGTTCGTAAGACGAAGTACACCAAGTCCGGCCCACGTTGTGTTCAGTGACAGGCTGACTGTGCACCGTCAAACTATAGACAAATCGCAATGGAATCTCGTTTCGTTCGGCTAAATCGGTCCAGAACCTGAGGCTGCGCATGTCTCATCTGAGCATCAAGCAAGGGTTTTACGTTCCTTCCTGTTTCATGTGCCAAGAAGGAAACACTATCTTGTAATGGCTGTGCCGCATCAAAGACAGCACCATATCCTAGTTATCACAATTGTTCTTAATTTTCTTCTGTCAGCCTGCGGACTTTGACTGTGCCCTGCATCTCACAGCGCTTATACGCTGACAGCTTGACGTTCAGCTCGTGGCGGCGCTCTAGCAAAACGGCCTATCATCGTCCTTCGGAGCCGCTCTAGCCTCCTTTCGACCAGCCGCCGCGGTGGGCTTTAATCAGCACTGGGACAGATTGTGGCTGCTGCACTCCGTTCATCAATCGCCATATTAATAACTTCGCCATCTGGCACTACCGGAAGCTGGCCTTCCTTTTTGTTCCGAAGTCCGCTGTCCTCTCGCGTTTACTTTGCACTGTCGCAATACCGCCGCCATCATTCCTAGCATTCGCTCCGATTCTTCCGCCTCGTACGACCCGCCCTCGCCCCAATCTGACTTGCCGAATGCTGCATCTGGTCCAGCATTCACCGTCTGTAGTTCGCGATACCGCCTGAAGTCGACAGCACCGAAACGCGCCCTAGCCACTATGGCTCCTCCTCCAGCGACAGCGACGGCGCACATGGCCACAACAACGCTCAAAGTCGAGGGCATGACATGCGGCGCATGCACCTCTGCAATCGAGTCGGGTTTCCAGGGCGTGAAGGGAGTAGGAAATGTGTCAATAAGCTTAGTGATGGAACGCGCCGTGATCCAGCATGATCCCGAGGTCATCACCGCCGAGGAAGTCAGGGAGATCATCGACGACAGGGGGTTTGACGCAGAAGTGCTCTCGTCGGATCTACCAATGTCACATAGTGCCGATGATCATTTCTTGAGCGATTCCGAAGACGAAGAGGAGGAGACAAATGGAAGTATTTCCACTACTACACTCTCGGTTGGCGGAATGACATGCGGAGCATGTACATCTGCCGTGGAAGGCGCTTTCAAGGACGTAGCTGGACTCAAATCTTTCAGCATATCACTTCTTTCCGAGCGCGCTGTTATCGAACACGACCCCACGATTATATCACCAGAGAAGCTGGCTGAAACAATAGAAGATGTTGGCTTTGACGCGCAGGTGCTGGATACCGTGGCCGCGACACCAGCACCAAAGAAGAGCAGGAGTCGGAGACAGCAGAAGACGATGACTACGACTGTTGCTGTTGAGGGTATGACATGTGGTGCATGCACATCAGCCATCGAAGGCGGGTTCAAGGACGTTGAAGGTTTATACCAGTTCAACATCAGTTTGCTCGCCAACCGTGCCGTAATAGTACACGATCCCTCCAAGCTCACCGAAGAGCAGATAGTAGAGATCATCGAGGACCGTGGATTCGACGCCAAGGTCTTGTCATCTGTCGATGGTAGCATGCAGCAGTCATCAGGAACCAACGCACCTGTACAACTCAAGATCTATGGAATGCCCAACTCTGGCGCTGCTCAAGAACTCGAAGGGTTACTGCGAAAACGATCTGGAATTACCTCCGCAACCGTCAACTTCGGCACATCAAGAGCCACGATTCAACGCGAGCCCCAAATGATTGGTCTACGAGCGATCGTGGAGGCTGTAGAAGCAGCTGGGTACAATGCGCTAGTTGCTGACTCTGAAGACAACGACGCCCAACTGGAGTCTCTTGCAAAGACCAAAGAAATCCATGAATGGAGAAGGGCTGTAGTGTTCTCTGCATGGTTCGCGGTTCCCGTGTTCTTGACAAGCATGTTCATCCCCATGTTCCTGCCATTCATCAACTACGGCGGTATTCGTCTCATCCCCGGCCTATATCTTGGCGACGTCATTTGTCTGGTCCTCACGATTCCAGTTCAGTTTGGCATTGGAAAGCGTTTCTATGTGTCTGCATACAAATCTTTGAGCCACGGTTCCCCTACGATGGACGTTCTCGTGGTGCTTGGTACCTCGTCTGCCTTTTTCTTCAGTATCCTCTCGATGCTGGTATCGCTTTTGATCCCCCCACACACCAAGCCCACAACACTCTTCGACACCAGCACTATGCTGTTCACGTTTATCAGCTTGGGTCGTTACCTCGAGAACAAGGCGAAGGGTCAAACTTCGAAGGCACTTTCCAACCTCATGTCGCTAGCTCCGTCTATGACCACCATTTATGTGGATCCCATCGCCGCCACGAAAGCTGCCGAGGACTGGGATATTGAGGAAGAGAAAATGGACCGCAAATCTACTGATGGCAATGCTGTTGAACAGAGAGTCATTGCTACTGAGCTCATCGAAGTTGGTGACGTGGTCATCCTTCGCCCGGGAGACAAGCTTCCTGCTGATGGCACAGTAACCCGTGGCGAATCGTATCTTGACGAGAGCATGGTCACTGGTGAAGCTATGCCAATTCTTAAGAAGAAAGGTGCACTGGTCATGGCGGGTACTGTCAACGGCAACGGGCGTCTGGAGTTTCTTGTTACTCGTGCCGGCCGTGACACTCAGCTGAGCCAGATCGTCCGCCTTGTTCAGGAAGCCCAGACAAACCGTGCCCCGATTCAACGTCTTGCAGACACTGTTGCTGGTTACTTCGTCCCCATCATTATCACTCTCGGTCTCGCAACCTTTTTTGGATGGATGGTACTCAGCCATGTCCTACCCTACCCACCCAAAGTCTTCCTTGATCACGCTAGTGGCGGCAAGTTCATGGTTTGCATCAAACTCTGTATTGCCGTCATCGTCTTCGCCTGCCCATGTGCCCTGGGTCTTGCGACACCCACCGCTGTTATGGTTGGCACTGGTGTTGGAGCTGAGCAGGGCATTCTCGTCAAGGGTGGTGCTGCTCTCGAGACTGCCACCAAAATCAACCATGTCATTTTTGACAAGACTGGCACGCTCACTGTCGGCAAGATGAGTGTGTCTCAGGCCGATATTCAGGGGGGTTGGGCAAGTACTGAGAAAAAGAACCTCTGGTGGACGCTTATTGGACTTGCGGAAATGGGCTCGGAGCATCCCATCGCTAAGGCTATCGTTCTTTCCGCGAAGGAACATCTCCGTCTTGGACCCGACGGTAGCCTAGACGGCTCCGTTGGAGACTTTGAAGCTGTCGTTGGTAAAGGTATTACTGCAACGGTCGAAGCAGCCATCTCTCGCGAGCGCACCCGCTACAAGGTTCTCATTGGTAACACAGCCTTCCTCACGTCCGAGGGTGTCAACGTTCCCGACTTTGTAGAAGAACCTCTGACACCTGCTGCGAACGCCAACCCTCGAGGCGGACCTCATAACCGATCTGCTGGTATCACCACGATTCACACCGCCATCGGCAACACCTACACTGGCACACTAAGCTTGTCTGACACTATCAAGCCTTCGGCCCGCGCTACAGTTCTCGCCCTGTCTCGCCTAGGTATATCTTCCTCCATCGTTACTGGTGATACATCCGCTTCCGCCCTTGTTGTCGCAGCGGCGGTTGGCATCGACGCTTCAAACGTCCACGCTTCGTCCACGCCCGCAGATAAGAAAGCTATCGTAGAGGACCTCCAGTCTCGTGGTAAAGTCATTGGCATGGTTGGCGACGGTATCAACGACTCTCCCGCACTCGCTGCTGCCGACATCGGCATTGCTCTTTCTACTGGCACAGACGTCGCTATGGAAGCTGCCTCTATCGTCCTGATGACCAACACCGACCTTCTCGCTATCCCGGCTTCGCTAGTCCTCAGCCGCGCTATCTTCTTCCGCATCAAGCTGAACCTGGCGTGGGCGTGCATGTACAACTTCACTGGTCTTCCTTTCGCAATGGGCTTCTTCCTACCCTGGGGTCTTTCATTACACCCAATGGCCGCTGGTGCGGCGATGGCATGCTCATCCGTTAGCGTCGTTGTTAGCTCTCTACATCTCAAGTTCTGGAGCAGACCTAGCTGGATGAAGGTCAGTGTACTAGATCCAGGTGCGCCGATCGATGAGAAGGAAGCGGAGATGGAGAAGCAGAGTGAAGTCGGCGTGTTCTCCACTCTCAAAGACTGGGTTAGTGATGCATGGGCTGCGAGGAAGAGGAACAAGGAGGAGACAAGCTACATGCCGTTGAGGGATATGGGAGAGCAGTAGTCTTAAGGCTAGTATTTGTGTTTCTGAACAAAGAGAGTAGGGTAGAGGTTGTTGTTGTTGTTATCATTGGTGAAGCGTTTAGGATACCACGTCTTCTTGATTCTTTCCCTTGGTTATCTGTATGTTGTCGTCATCTTTTCCTGTTCCCTTTTTGGGAGTCTCTGTACATAGCTTCTGACTCCTGATACTGTTGTTCAAGACTTGTCTATGAATCCAATCTGATTCGTAATACCAAACCATACTGTCATGTGAAGATCAAATAGCTAAGTCTGATGAAGTTAATTGTCAAAACGGCAGGTTTACTTGAGGATCGTGATCTGATAGTCGAAGTGCTTGCCTGATGGAGTTAAATGAAGGATGGCTGTCGTGCGCGTGACGATGTCGCGAAGCGCGGCGGGCCAGGGTCCACCAATTGGCGTCACAAAGATAAGCCAAGTTGAACAACACAACACCGCATCGACTCACACTAAAAGCCTTATTTGCCCTATTCGCTACGTGGAATTGCCCGGAAGACACATGCGACCGTAAATAGTGCCGAATAAACCTCCACATCCGCCCACAGAGACACAGACGAGCCCGTCAATATGGGGAGGAATCGAGCCGTGTCGAATGCTTCGACGCGGAGCAGCGAGCCGCCGTTACAAGTAGGTATGGACATGGCTTGAGCTTGGGAGAGCAGTGCTGAGCAGGTACAGGAGCTGGGGAGCATGTATGATTACTTAGCAAAAGTTGTACTGCTAGGACCCAGCGGAGCTGGCAAGTAAGTTTACGATAAGGGTAGAAGAAACAATGAACACCAAATAACCAAGCCTCATAGATCCTGCCTCCTCCACCGCTTCGTGAAGTCTGAATGTACGCGACATTCTCCTCTCCGCCGCCGCCGACAGCCCCACTAACAAACCTCAGGGCGCGTACTATCCAGCCAAACGATCGGGGTAGAATTCTCATCTAAAATCGTCCACATCGCCGACCGCCGTCGCTCTCCCTCGTCTTCAGCCTCGCGAAAACGAATAAAACTTCAGCTCTGGGATACTGCTGGTACAGAACGCTTCCGCTCCGTCTCACGATCCTACTACCGCGGCGCTGCGGGTGCGATTCTAGTGTACGATGTGAGCAGCTGGCGGAGTTTCGAGCAATTGAAGACGTTTCTAGACGACGCGCGAGCGCTAGCTGGACCGGACATCACAATCATACTCGCAGGCAATAAGAACGATGTCGAAGATGGTGTACCCGTAAGCTTGAGTGGGGGATACAGCAGTTATGGCAGCACGCCAGGTTCAGAAAGCGGACTCCCACCACCCACACCATCATCACAGTCAAGTCGGACACCAAGTCTAAACGCAAATCTACATGCAAGTTATACTGTCGCACCCGATGGCCGCGAAGTCCCTGCTGAAGTCGCATCGAGATGGGCGGGGCAGAATGGCATACCGGTTGCGGTAGAGGTTTCCGCGCTGAATGGAGAGAATGTGGAAGAGCTGTTCACTCGATTGGCGCGAATGATCTTGACTAAGATTGAACTGGGCGAGATTGATCCTGATAATCCTGCGAGTGGTATACAATATGGTGACTTGGGCTGGGATGATGGCGGCGGTAGTATCAAGAGTGGGTTCGGAGATGAGGGCGTGAGGTATCGAAGAAGGGGGAAGAAAACGGGTGGGTTGAGCGAATGGGAAGACGTGTTCAGGCTTGGCGGGGGAAGCAGGAGGAGAGGAGGGTGTTGCTAATGTGATGGGAGATTGGATGCAAGCACTCTTTTTGCGACATGGCATCAATTGGTTTCTTGTTTATACATGCAGCATACCCAGGTGTTCTTTGTTTGGGTTTATGGATAACTTGACGACGTAATGTGAAATAGAAGATGTTGGACTTCTACGTAAGAATACATGTGCCCTGTGACTGAGATCTCAATACACGAAGAACCTACCTAGGTACCAACTGCTACATTATGCGAGATGTTGGATCGCGTCCAATATACTTCTTCATCGCACGCTACTCGGGAACTACGTGACGATCACATATCGCCCACGATGTCGGACCGCGGCGGCTTGAGGCTTAGCGCGATCTCGCAGCGATCTTAACATTTGAAGTGTCGTCATCATGAAGAGAGAATCATGCGTGCGCGCGATTACCCATTCACTATCAACGCTACGCCATTCGTGTCAAACAACAAACCAACCGCACGGCTCATCCAAGTTCTGTACACTCGGAATAATTTTTGAACGCGCTGAAATGCCTGGAACGTGATAGAGAAAACTCTGTATCCGCCGGAACGCGTCCGAAACCTCGGCTTTCCACTTGCTTTGCCACAGCATGGATCTCACTGGCCACCTTCGGAGGTCGCGTGCTTCCGAGTATGTTCCTGGCAGTAGCGCAGCGTGTTAGCATGGGCATTTGCGTCACTGGCATATCTTCCATGATCGATATATACGCAAGTGTGGCTGCTTTCCGATCCAGATTTCCTCCTAATCCTGTTGCACACTTTTACAGCGTTTCTACGGCTTATCCTTTGGATTGTCCATTTATTTCATAGACCCACGACTGATACCTTGTTTATCGACTTCTCTTCGATCACACTGTCGTTCTCACGGGCTTTTAGATCTCTTACACGCGGCCTCTCCTCGCGCCTCCCAATCGCAACGGCAAGCCCGCTTTCGACCACCAATATGACCTTGCTCAATCGGATAAACCCTACGCCAGCCTTCCCAGCGCATACGGGACCATACAAGGTCGGCTCTGTAGACGTAGAAATACCCACAAGCGACCTAGAGAGCCCTAGTGCGAATGCGCCTCCCAGCGACTTGCCAACTGTAGCCTTCCGCATCTTCTACCCGTGTAAGCAGGATAGTAATGAGAAGGCTGTGAAATGGATACCGAGCCCGCAGAGAGAATACGTTAGTGCTTATGCGAGATTTTTGGGTGCCAACAGCGCATTTGCGGGAGTATTCTCGTAAGTAACATCGAGACGCATGACTGCCTGTACATGGTACTGACCTTTTTGTAGACTACTGCCACAATTATTGTATTTTATTTCTATGCCCGTACATCAAAACGCCGAACTCCTCGCGCCCCCACCGAAATCCGAACGATGGCCTGTCATGATGTTTTCGCACGGTCTAGGAGGCACAAGGAATGCCTACTCGCACATCTGCGGCTCACTTGCAAGTCACGGAGTCGTAGTTGTCGCAGCGGATCACCGCGATGGCAGTTCGCCTCTCGCAATCCATCACACGCCCGAAGAGAAGGAGAAGAAGAAGTATGTAGAATACAGGTCGATTGCCCACAAGCCAAGCACGGAAACATACGAGGCAAGAGATGAGCAGTTGCGGATACGGCTGTGGGAGTTGGGCATGGTACATGATGCGCTGGCGAAGATCGATGAAAACCGCCAACTCAAGAACGTAGCGCAAGATCAGCCCAAGGGTAAGAATATGTTGAGCATGTTCTCGAACTTGCTAAATGTCCACGAGCCGGGTGCGATCAGCTTTGCAGGGCATTCCTTCGGTGCCTGCACGATGATCCAGTTTGTCAAATCAGTTTACCATCGCCCTCAGGCACAGATTCCACGCTACAAGCCTCTATACACACCATCTGAAGACTCGAGTATAGTTCGCCAGATTACGCCACAAAATTCGGTTACTCTTTTAGATCTCTGGACACTTCCCATTCAGAGCCCTGATACTGCCTGGCTACGAAGCCAGCCGATGCCATGCTATGACTCTCCAACTGGCGGCAAGAATCTTCTAGCTATCGCATCCGAGGGCTTCTACAACTGGGCCTCGAACTTTAGAGAAACGAAGCGTATCGTCGCTAAGCCTCCTTCCTCACAGTCGAAGTTTCCTTCTCAGCCCGGCCCGCACATCTTCTACCCGATTGCTTCGGCACATCTTTCCCAAAGCGATTTTGGCGTCTTGTTCCCCTGGGTCACTACAAAAGTGTTCGGCGCCAAGGAGCCCGAGCGTGTTCTGAAGCTGAATACTCGCGCCATCTTACAAGTTCTCCGTGACAATGATATACGCGTCGCAAACACCAGCGCGTCCGATCTGGAACTCGAGGAAACTGCGCTCAAAGACAAGAATCTAGCTCAAGATACTGCTATCCTCAGTCGAGCGAAAGACAGTGTCCGCGGGTGGGTCAATCTAAGTGCAGACATGGAGGGCGGTCTCGACTTATCTGGCGCTGATAGAGTTGAGGGTAAGAGTTTAGTAGGTACGCCAATGGAGAAGGTCGGTAGTGATGGCAAGGGACCTGGGGAGGCTATGGTTGAGGGCGAGGCACTGGGACAAGTTGTTGAGGGGAATGAGAAGTGAGTGTTCCTTGATGGATGCATTCTAGATTGGCGTTGCGCATAGCGTTTTTTTCTTTTTCTTTTCATATGTTGATAGACATACCCAAAGCATATAGAGATGAGATGAGTAGCGTTTGCTTTTGTGTGTATGAACAATACGGGTTAGAATCAATTATTTCCAGTTCTGAGCATCACAGCACACACGAAAGACGAGCTTCTTTGTAGGGCAATACTAGCAAAGCCACTATCGCTGGAAATGAAAGGTGTCTCTTAGTTCGCAAGCTGACGAGATGATAGCGATACTACTACGTGTTACATGACTGCCTTCTAAAACTTCAGTTTGGCGCTTTGGGTCAGTCCCACTCTGGCCCTTCCCTACGCAGATTGCGACAACATTTACTGCACTGCTACGACACATCCTCTGTATATGGTTGGTAAAGCCATTGCACACGTAATACGATTACTCTAACATGCATACAGTATACAATTGCCCAATTAGTGATTTTAGTACCTTTGTTGCCATCCACTGCAACCAGCGGTACTGCGATGACTCTGAACCGACAAGTCACTCACACCTTCCGCAATTCATACGCTCCATATGCACAAAGAGGCTCTCAAATGAAAAGTATCGCGAATATAGGTAACTCAGCGATTCAGCATTAACTACATTCTGGACCTGTAAGCTAATCACAACTGCGCGTCCCAAGGCTAGCGTGATGTCCGCCATCGCAAGCATTTGCGGTCAACAAACGTCCTATAAACTTCTCACATTCCTCCGTTCTTGGACTACTCAACGTCATTCCAACTTCTTATACCTAAACTCGGTGATTGACAATAGTGGCAGTTTCAACCATTCTCCCAACCGATTCTAGCTTCGAATTAGGCCTGGTGAAACATTAACATTACCTGCACTCATGTAGCCAGAAGGCAACCGTGAACGAGATCCCTTATACTATACGCCATTCTCGAATGACTCCGAGTATTCACATTCACCGCTCCTCTTCTTTACCCCGCACTTCAGGTGTTGGCAGCCTGCTACCAGCGCACAACGGGTATATAACAAACGCCCATCGGCACCTGACATCGTAAACAAACACTACCACCACAACTCAACCCCCTTCAACTGCATCAATATGGCACCACCGGAAAGCCAAGAGGTAGCAAAACCATCAGCATGGATACTGGAGAAAGCTCAAAATGCTGCAAAGGCGTCCGGCGTAGGACCAGATGCGGTCGCGAGGATCCTACAAAAGACGAAAGCACAGGTCGAGGCGAATAGCGAAGAGCATCAAAACAACATGGGTCTACTGGGCAAAAAAATGGCTGAGCTACGAGCGAAGCATGACTTGAACCCATTCAAGAATTTGGAACAACCAGTTGCAGCAGATACTATCACGGTCCAGCCCAAGGTCATCATACCAGCACAAAAGGGCGTCAAGCGTAAGCTTCCACCAACACAAGGTGCAAAGTCAGAGGATTCACGCGCTAAGAAGGCGAAGATCAAGAAGACGCAGCCGGCGGAGGAAGGTGTCTCTAAGGAGGCGAAAGAAGACGCGGAGAAGCAAGCGGAAAAGGTTAAAGAGATGAGGAAAGAGAAGGCAGCTATTAAAGACGAGTCTGTCAATGCGGTGTTTGCCAATTCGTCGACTGCAGGTGCATCACAAGAGCGAGCGGCTGCAGCAGTAGCGACAGCTACAACGACAACAAACAAGCCAGACAACACGGATCTCGTGCCATGGAACAACCTATCCATCTCAGGAAATACGACAGACAAGTATCATGTACGGACACCGCTGCCAACCTGGTACACCTCTATAAACATGAAAGGTTACCAGATGGAGGCGATGAGCAAGAAGCGACCCCCAGAGCTCACTGCACTGGAAGCCCTCAAAGCTTGTATAAAACAATGCGAGGATACAAAGTCAACAGTTCAACTAGACAAGCTATACGATGATCTCCGAGATCACGTACACAAGGCTGAGATCCGACTTGTAGTCACCCTAAATCTCATCCGAAAGGCGAACATGCTCAGCCCGGATTACGGACTGCCTCGCATATTCAAAGCAGGAACAGTCTTCCCATGGGATCTCAAAGCAGACGCCTACCAACTCTATAACCGCTGGTGGAAGTCGGATCTAAACCAAGATATCCTCCGCGGTATCGTACCCAACAAGACCGACAACCGGACTAGCGACCGCCTAGACGATACATACCGCAAGAAGTTCTCCTCCGATGCGAAGTACTATGGCGAAGGCGATCTCGTCCTCGGACAATGGTGGCCAACTCAACTCTGCACCGTCCGCGACGGCGCCCACGGCTCAGCCCAAGGCGGCATCTACGGCGAAAAAGAACGCGGCACATATTCCATTGTCCTCTCAGGCGGCTACGCATACCACGACGTCGACAACGGCGACGTCATCGAATACTCTAGTACGCCAGGCAAGCATTCCACGCCTACGGAGAATACTATCCACCTCCTCACGTCTGCCGGTCTTGGTAACCCGGTTAGAGTTATTCGCTCCGCACAGCTGAATAAGAAGAACAAGTACAGGCCTGAGCTGGGTTTGAGGTACGATGGCTTGTATCAGGTTAGGGGTTATAGGAACATTGATCAGGAGACGGCCATGTATAGGTTTCGACTCGAGAGGTGCGAGGGCCAGGATCCGATTCGGTTCGAGGGCAAGGCGAAGAGGCCGACGTTTTATGAGGTTGGGGAGTATGAGAGGCTGAAGGATAAGGGAGCGGGGGTGTGGTAGGCGGGGAGAGTGGATGGATGGCTGGAATGTTTGCTTATGGGAAGGGGAAACGGGTCATGTAGAGGCTGTGACTTGACTTGATTCTAAGGCGTGAGTGAGGGGGTTTGCAGCATGTCTCACATTCTTATTACTGCCACAAATGATTTGGATGGACGGTATGGTTGTGATTTTGGTGGATCTGGCGTTTCTTGCTCAGGATACCCGTTGTTCGTTCGTCGACAGCATACATGTTTGTTGCTGATATTGGCACCTATTGATAGGAATAGTAGTCCGTTGCAGTGAAAGTATGCCTACGTGAAGCTTCCTGGCTGGTGTCGTTGCGATCACATTGCCTGTTGTAACGTGAATCACATAAAGATACAAAAGTATTACTTGGTAATAAAAAAACTCTGCATTCTATTGCAGTGATCTCATCGCACATGGTGTATCTATACCGACACACTTGCGATACCCAACACCAAATGTCCGATAAAATACACGACTAAACACAAGACCATCTACTCATCGTCACTCTCCTCATCGTCGTCCATCTCCAGGTCTTCGTCGCTCAAGCCATCGAGCTCAACGTCCTCGTCTTCTTCGTCATCTTCATCTGCGGCAAACACCTCACCATTGCTCCTCTCGTGCTTGTCAGACTCCTTCCTCTTCCTGTCCTCCGTTTTCCTTGCTTCCTCGAGCAACTTCTGCTTTTGCTCCCTACTCTTTCTTTGTCCAGCCACAAACGCACCTAGCGGGCTCTTGTCCCATTCCACATCCTTCAAGAAGCCCTCTACACCCGCACGGTTGTTGGGCGCGAATTCGACCTTGTTGCGCTTCTCTTCGACCCATCGGGAGTTTGCTTCCAGCTTCTGGACGAGAAGTGCGATAAGGGAAGATACCTTGGTGTTCTTGTTTCCGCTGCTCTTCTTGGTGATGGCCTTGACCCAACGCTTGAGCATAACGATGACAGGAAGTGCAAGTTCAGGGAAAGCAATGTTCTTGGTCCAGAGAACGAAGAACTCGGCTAGGAGCTCGGCGACCTGCTCACCGATACCGTCTTGGTAGATGCGCGTTCGGAGGAAGGCTTTTGATGCGCGAATGTTGATGCTGAAGTCGAGGGCTTTCAGTGTGCTGGGCTTCGGGGGCTTCTTCATCTCTGCGGTGTTGAGGACTTCGACGAGGGCAGGCGCGAGGGGTATGTAGGTCGATGTCGCTTGGGCAATACGGAGGAGCGATCGGATGAGCTGGAAACGGAGAGGGAAGTATTGCGACGTTGGGATGAGGCGCATGGCGCCGAGTGTGACCTGAACGACGGGGTAGATGAGGGGCCGTAATGGCGATGGTTTGCCAGACTCTGCTTCCCTGAGGGATTCGCAGTGCATCGAGATGACTCGTGACCAGAAGTCTAGCGAGTGTACGTACTGCCAGTTGTATACTGTCTTGTATGAGTCTTTCGTCTTGTTGGTGATGCTCGTGCGCAAATGTATCGCGAGCTGACGGATAAAGCCAAAACCGGTGGTGTAGCCAACAGTAGGATCGATACCCCATAGCTCGGCCGCGGTGTTCTTCATCAGGTTGATACCCTGGATGTTGTGGATTGTGGTGTTCCTTGCACTCTTGACGAGACCTTGGTATACCTGCTTCAAGACTGCCTCACGGATACTTGGGTCTGCGATAACTACCAGGCGTCGCAGAACTAAAAAGGCCGACACTCTTGTTCCGTCATTGTTGGCGCTGTCGGACCAGACTGATGCGACAGAACGAATAACCTCACGAACGACCTTCTTGAAGGACAGAATGTATGGAAGCATGTTGGAGAGCGAGTCCAATGTCATCTGAAGGGTCTTGCCATCTGATAGGTTCTCAAGGAGGTGATGTATCGAGACGGTATGCGACTTGAGGAGAGGCGTAAGGGTGCGGAACTTCTTCGAGTCGGTAGGAACGCGACTGTACTTGTTAGTGATTATTTTGAAAGGTTAGAGTGTTTAACTCACATTCTGCCACCGGCGCTCTCCTTGACGGGCAAGTGATGTTGGAGAACCTTTGGTACTAGGTGAAGAGTGGTCACTTGAACTTGGTGATATACTGTATACTGTCAGCCTCGATCCATGTGTAGAAACAGAATTGCATACCCTCTGGGTCGGTTATGGAGTACTTGTATGTTTTGGAAGTCTCAGAGTCGTTCATGTGTGAGGCGGCGCGGAAAGCCAGAACCACCTCCTTCATGGCGCGCAGGGAATGTTTAGATTCCATGGAGGCTTTCCATTTTTGGACCGTCTTCAGGTTGAGCTCGTTGCCCGAATCTTGGTCGTCATCGTCTATAGCGGCTTTCTGCTTCTTCCTTGGTGTGGCCTCGTCTTCACTAGCGGATAGAGCGTCGATTTCTGCAAGGTCGGCGTCCTCAGCAAAGTCCAAAAGTTCCGCATCGTTCTCCTTGAGGTACTTGTAGAACTCGGGGTCTTTCTCCGCCAATCCAGCAAGCTGCTCCTTGTGTGTGTCTGCATCGTCGCCTGAGTCGCTCTCGGAGCCGGACTCGTCAGCACCGTCTGGCGCATCTTCCATGTCTTCATCTGAGCCTTCAGTTGCATCCTCGTCGAGTGGTGTGCGTTTGCGCTTGCCCGTCTTTGGCTTGGTCGACTTCTTTTTCATCTCGGGAATTTGGAAACCGCCCTGGAAGAATTGGTCCATGGACATCTCGCCCAGCTTGTCATCCTTTGCGCCATTCGTCTTTGGCTTCTTGGCGGCTTCCTCTTCTAGGTCGGCGGCTTTCTCGTTGTCTCTGGCCTTGCGCTCCTTCTTCTTCGTGTCCATCTGCTTCCTCTGCTTGACTTTGGCGACATCTTTGCGGCGCTTGATGACGTCGCCGAGGTTGTTCTTTTGGAACTTCTTGGTCGCCTTGGATACGGGCATCTCGGCGGTGTGCGACGTGTCTTGGTAGTCGAGAGGGTGTTGTTGACCGAGCTTGCAGCTGGTGGTTGAAAAACTTGGGCCTCGAAAAAGTTCCAGCGCTAAGGACCCTGCAATCACTAGCGCCTTCCCCACGCGATGGATGGATGCTTGAGCTGGCGCCGCCGACGCATCAACCGACACTGGACTGAAGCTTGCTACTCTCCAAGCCTACAATTGTCCAGAATCCAACATGTCTTACGGCAGGCAGCTGGCCTACGCGCCGACGCCTTACATCCCGCGCTCCAATCTCTCTGCGACCATCAACCTCGATGAGGTATGACGCGCCTCAGTCCCCGCTGCACCTGCTCAGCTCATTGTGTACCTAGGAAGTCAAACTCGCTACGACCAACGCAGAGCGAGACCTAAATGACTCGTTGGCTGAAATATACAGTATCATCATCACCCTCGATGCGATAGAGAAGGCCTATCTGAAGGACTCTATCGCCGAAGCCGACTACACCGAGACATGCAACCGGCTCATGAAGCAGTACAAGTCCAATCTTGCCAATGAGACAGTCGCGCAAGCATTTGGTAACCTGGACCAGTTTGCGAAGGAGTGGCAGGTACGTCATAGCAAGCTGTGGGCTTCCCTCTGCACTGGGCTGATACGACTCCAGATGGAATGTCCCCGGGCCATCGAGCGATTGCGTGTGGGCATACCAGCCACCATCGAACAAGGGCCATCGAGGCCGGCCCAGCAAGGCGACTTTGCTGATGCGACGCTCGTCGTCAATGCAACCGAGACCTTCATCACTCTGCTCGACGCCATCAAGATTGGGCTGGTGGAGAAGGACACATTACACCCTCTGCTTGTTGAGATTATTCAGGCTGTCAACAAGGTCACAGATGTCGATTTCGAGAGCAAAGGCAAGATTGTGCAGTGGCTGATTACTCTGAATCAAATGCGGGCGGCTGAGAAACTGAGCGATGAGCAGGCGCGCGAGTTCCAGTTCGACATGGACTCGGCGTACTATGGCTTCAAAACGACGCTGAAGAAGGCTTGACAATCTGGCAACTGCTCGTGGTACCTGGGTCTTAGCCCCGCCGTGGCTAGCTCGGGCCCGCGCTGGACCTGGGTGAGTACTGCCAGGCACCCCGCCTACCAACAATTTTCCCGCGCATTCGCCATAGCCGGTCCAACATGTCCATGCTAGACGGTACAGACCCGCGCCTTGCATCAACATGTCTTGGAGCTAAATTTGTATGCAGTCCTTGACCTCCCGCAACTTTACACCAAGCCCTCCGCCGAGGCCCTCCTTGACACGCTCGCACTCCTCACCACCGCTCCCCGATCATGGGAATACACAAACATAAGTGATACAGATGGCAACGGGGTGGATGCTCGCAAGCCAGTAGTCCAGGTCAATCCAGAGGGCGTCACGCGATACCTCACCACTATCATCAGTAGCGGCTTGCAATGGATTGAAGACGATGAGGTCAAGGAGCAAATTTGGGATCAAGCCAGCGCCCGACTTAGCGAGCGATCCGGTCGATCTGCAATGAGCACCATGTCGCGCACTTTCCAGATCCCTACCTCTGCCGATTCGTTCGAGCTCAAAATCCATGAGCCTGCCATGACAGGCGACGACCTGGGCCTGAAGACATGGGCTGCTTCATACATGCTTGCGAAGCGCCTTAAAACTTTCAATCTTGTGTCTTCGGAAACACAAGACAGGCTACAAGTCTTGGAGCTTGGATCGGGCACCGGCTTGGTAGGACTGGCAATGGCCGGCTTGGGTGCAGACGTCGTTCTGACAGACTTGCCTAGCATCTGCTCAAACCTGGCCTACAATGCGCAGCAGAACCGCGAGATTGTTAGTCTCAATGGTGGAACAGTCCGTACGGCTAAGCTTGACTGGACAGATCCCACTTCTTGTGAGCCTTTGCCAGACGACGACAACGGTACCAACGATAATGCAGCTATTCCTACCAAATTTCCCTTGATTCTTGCTGCAGATTCGCTATACTCTCCACACCACCCGCGCATGTTGGTCGATACTATCGGCGCTTGGCTTTCTCCAGATGATAACGCTAAAGTAATCATCGAGTTTCCATACAGAGACTGTTACTTGCCTGAGATCAAGGACTTTCGTCGCCGAATGCTTGAGCTTGGCTTGGAAATACTCGAAGAGGGAGAAGAGAAAGGACGGGACGATTGGGGCCCGTCAGAGGCAAGCGAAGATCAAGACGATGAAGCACTCGTGACTTGCTGGTGGTCATGTTGGAAAAGGCAAATTTCAAAGGCCAGCTGAGAGATGCCATCGACATTGCCGTACATTATCCTCCCAGAAGAACCGGCGAGGTTAAGCTAATGCAAAATGGCAAGGCGTCCCCACGAACCCGAACGTCCGCGATTTTGGTTTGGTCATTCGCATGGCCGCGGCGCTCAATAGCGACCTCGGAGCAATGCCGAGATACCCACAACGAGCTTTCCAAGAACAGTGATGCAAGCGCCGGATAATTAGTACGGATAATTTCACTGCTTCCAGACTCCCGCCTTTCGGTGGAGGGGCATTCCTAACCAGGGCGGGATAGCTTGCCGCGAGCTACCAGGATCCACCATTTCCTTCGTCATTAGCATTTCACTTGCGCGTGAGTTTTGACGATTTACTTTCACTTCTTTTTTCCATATACACTCAACTGAAATATTGTTGCGAACAAACTTATCATCTTCACAATAAATCACAATGGCGACACAAACAGCAACCCAGAAGGTAATGCTCGAATGCCCCACCATCAACCCCTCCATGCAGGCTGTACCTTGACAACACCACAACAAATAGTCTTGACGCGCCGATTGCACACAAATGGTAACTAACAACGCCTCAGAACCCTTCTTTCATCCTCCAAGCCAAGGACAAACTCGTCTACGAAGATCGACCAATCCCCGAACTCCCCTCTCCATACGATGTCATCATCCGACCACGATGGACCGGTATCTGCGGCTCAGATGTGCACTACTGGGTTGAAGGGCGCATCGGACATTTTGTAGTTGAGAAGCCCATGGTCCTCGGTCATGAATCGGCTGGTATCGTACACAAGGTTGGCGACAAGGTCAAGAGCCTGAAAGTTGGTGACGAGGTCGCTATGGAACCCGGTGTGCCCTGCCGTCGTTGCGTACGATGCAAAGATGGAAAGTACAACCTCTGCCCCGACATGGCCTTTGCCGCGACACCCCCATATGACGGCACACTCGCGCGGTATTACACACTGCCAGAGGACTTCTGCTACAAACTTCCCGAGAATATGAGCATGGAGGAGGGTGCGCTCATCGAGCCTACCGCTGTCGCTGTACATATCACAAGGCAAGCTGCCATCAAGCCCGGAGACTCTGTTGTAGTATTCGGTGCCGGACCTGTTGGTCTTCTGTGCTGCGCTGTCGCAAAGGCATATGGCGCAAAGAAGATTGTAACGGTAGACATCAACGACGAGCGCCTCAAGTTCGCACTCAAGTACGCTGCGAATGCAAGCTTCAAGAGCCAAAGAGTGAGCGCACAAGAGAACGCCGAGAATCTGATCAAGGAGTGTGATCTGGGAGCGGGCGCAGACGTCATTATCGACGCCTCGGGTGCCGAGCCCTGCATCCAAACCGCGATCCACGCGCTGCGCATGGGCGGAACATACGTCCAGGTACACCTCTATTTCCCCATCCATTCTTAATAGACAACACGGACTAACGAACAACAGGGCGGCATGGGTAAACCCGACATCAACTTCCCCATCATGGCCATGTGCACCAAGGAACTCAACGTCAAGGGCTCCTTCCGCTACGGCTCCGGCGACTACCAAACCGCCATCGATCTCGTAGCTGGCGGACGCATTTCAGTCAAAGAACTTATTACGGGCAAAGTCAAGTTCGACGAGGCGGAGAAGGCGTTTGCGGATGTCAAGGGTGGCAAGGGTATCAAGATATTGATCGAGGGTCCTGCTGAGCAGTAAATCCTTTTCTACTTTTGATGCATCCATCTTGGTCATTAGTATGAGCCAAATATTACAAAATAGTCAATGGAACCTGAAGTCATGTCATCATTCATTCCAGGTGTGGCTTCACGAATGCACGTAGTTCAAGCTATTGACATGACGGCGGCATCTTTTCTGGGGTACGTAAACTGTAAGTTAGAACAAGGCCTAGTCAAGAAGCAGGCCCTGAGGCACAAGCTGTGAGAAGCTCGTTAGGCCAAGGCTGAATGAAGCGGGAGAAATGTGGACATGGTGATGAAACGAGGGGTTGCCTCAGGTCTCTTAGCGGTATAGCGGTTGGAACCTCGACTCTAGCGGATGAATGTATGAAAGATGAAATGAAAAGGTATTGAGCATGAATGTCATAGGGTTTCGTTTTTTTATAGTTATTCTTCATTTGTTCATTTCATTGGTGTAGATTCGGTATCGTGAGATGATGATGATGATGATGATGATGCTCGTCTTTGATGCAAGATATGAACGCCTCCGCTCGTAGGCGGTGTTCAAAAAGAGTACAATCGCTAAATCAGGTTCTGCCAGAGAGAGATGGGGGTGCACGCCGTCTACGTGGACATGGTGCGTGGTAAATTGAGAAAACGCGTTCGTGGGTATAGTTTGTATGAAGCGAAGGGGTTGTTGTTATTGTTGATGCTGCGATGGCCGAACTATGCGGTCATTTTGCGGGCCGTGGAACCGCGTTTGGGTAGAGTCCATGGCTCGGGGCAGACAACCTGTGTTGATGTTAGCCGGAGATTCAAGGTGTAGCTGGAAAGCAATTTTGCATACCTCGCCCTCGCTAAATGCCCAAAAGTACGCTCCCATGCCAATGATGTAGTAGAGTCCAGAGTTGGTTCCTTGGTAGATCAAGAGCGCACATAGTGCACTCAGTGGGTAGACAATCAAGCGGGCCTCAATCGAACGGTGCAGTCCGGTACCAGCGAGCAGCGGTAATGGCCATTCCCAAGCGAGACCGATGAAACCGAGGATGATGTTGATGACTTGTAGTACGGGAACAGGTTTGACAGCGCCATCGAGATTCTTGGTGAGGAAATCCCAGAAGATCTTGGGCCAGAAGAAGCATTCAAGTGCAGCTCCTATTTGATCTGGTCGTAAAATTAGTGTCGTTGTTGCAAGTGGCGTCGTTGATTTGGTAACTTACACGCAGCAGCCGTGAGGATGACTAGGCGCGCCCAGTGGTTCTTGATTAACTTGCCCATTGTCGGAAATTATAAAGAAAGGATACGAGCAATGAACCGAGCCCGCGGTCGTTTAAGAAAGGGAAATAAAACAGAAAAACGTGAAGAAAGAAAGTACAACGGAAATGTCTCTTCGACTACCAGTAGCCTCAACGACAGATGAGCATCGACTTTCGTTGGGTGTGGCAGGCCGGGTTTTGTTATAGCAATGCCTTGCTCGCAGCGGCGGTTCCCAGGCGTTGCGGAAACGGTAAGGCTTCTTGGTAGTCAGGCACGGACAGTACGAGTGGAGTTGATAGTGGACAGGTATTATGGATGGCTGAGGCGTAGGCGAGTATCAGGCGTGTTAGGTGTTCAGGCAGCGTGGTGTTGCCGTTGAGCTTCGCGACGTGAGGTGTATCAGTATATCGGGAGCGACAGCGGGTGTCGACCGCAATTGTAGAGACAGTTTATGCGCCAGGGCTTGCATCTTGACCCTTGTAGCTCTCGCTCGGCGAGCGCTGGGGTCGAGCATGGTGCACTCGTAGCCGCTTGACCCGCTTCGCCAACGATTGTGCGTGTGCAGCGCTTCATTGGCTGGCTGCTGTGATGCTGCATGCGACGCCAGCCTCTCTGCAGCCACGGTGCCAGTGTCCTGGACCGTGCCGCCATTTTAGTCTATCCTATGAACGGCTGATGTTCACCCGCTTGGCAAAGGTAGTGTAGCGAGGGCGAGGCTAGGCGTGTGAATCTTCACGTTCACGTGGCTAATGGCGAAAGCAAGCCGCGATTGTTGAAGGCTTCGTGACTGATCTAGGGCTTGGACATTATTCAATTGTCATACCGCTATTCGCTCGATAGTGGGAAACAGTTCATTGACGGGCCGAAGAATGTGCTTTACGCAAGCCGATTTGCCATATCGGTGTTACCACTCGCTCTGACATAGAGTTGCAACTAGCGCAAACGTGTGCAAACGATTCTCCTGATCGAATAGGTAATTCTCCGCAGCCATCGCCATGTGCGGCACGGTACTACCAGAAGAATCCGTCCCGACGGATGCCCGAGTCCCGGTTTCTGTTCTGTGCCTCAGGTTATCGAACCGCAAACCTGGCGCATGATGATCAATCGTCCGCATGGAAGATCGTATCGAAGGCCACTCCTGGCTCCTCAGGCATGCTCATCAAACAACATCATACGACAAAGTTTACTTCAGGTGCACCTCGTGGCTGTCAATGCCGTCACCGTGAGGTTTGGCAGACACGGCAGACGTTGAGACAAAACAAAGTGGTACGATACTCGTTCGGTATCAGTTCGTGATGGCAGTGAAGCTTTTTACAGGGCTCCTGTCGGAGAATTGCTAGTGGTTAACGAGGTGTCGATCAGAGTGCATGCGTGATTGTGTGTAGAACAATGGCCTGATGTTGTTTTCTGCACGTGTGCTTTGGTCAACGGTCGAGTAGAAGGAAAGCGTTGATTTCCTACATGTTTGCTCTGCTTCCCAATATGGAAGACCACGATGGTCAGTCTTGGGATAACAGAAGCGTATTCGCCTACCAACCCGAGAGTCTAGCCCTCCACCATCACTCAGCATCGCAATCGCTTGCTCTCTCATCACATCGCCCAGAACCACTTCTTCTCGGCTTTCTTCGCACTGCACACCGCTTCTCATATCACGGCCCTAAGGTGGGACTAACAAGAATTGATCCTCAAAACCGGTCATCCACGAGGCCGGCAATTCGCATGTTGCCGTCCGTCCAGCCGTGTGCGATGGAGTCGGTCCCAAAATAGAGGCGAGAGATCTTGTACACCTGCAGCCAGCACAGCGCAGTAGCGGGTTCAAACTTTGTGGGGGTACCTCGAGCGCTTCGAGACAGCCCGCCATTGGTTGTGGGCGCCACGCCAATGTTCGCCCGTTAGTTTTGGTGCTACCAACCACAAGCACAGAGTGCCTTCAAGAGCAATGAATTCAAGGCTCGGCGGCTCTAACGCAAAAGCCACAGCAGGCTTATACCATGATTCTTTTCGCGTCTTCGATGCAGTCTTCTGCGCAAAGGGCGGTAGTTTAGGAGTAAATCCGCCACCTAAACAAGTACTTGCAAACGCCTGTCCCCACCGACTGCCTACCACAGTCATATTACCAGTCTCTGCATCTAACGACATTAACGAAGCGAATACCACTTTCAGCGATTCATTGAGATACCCGACCTGAATTCTCTACTCCTTTACGATACGGCTTCCAACGTACATCGTTTCAGCGCGCCCTCGCGTATCCGTTGTACACCCCATCAAAAATCTCGAGCACATCTGTCAACTGTACCCCTCAAAGAATATCATCCGAAACCTTACCACGACGGCTCAGGCTCATCTGTCAGATCGCTTCCAAGTCTAAGGTTTGACAGTTGCAGATCGTAAAAGTTGCAGCATTACTTCGGTTCTCACCAACAGCCTCACAAACACCAACCCCAATAAACCCACTAGCGAAACGGTATTCGCTTCGCCGCATACCGGCATAGACTGCACTGCGCATTGCCCAAGACCAGTTGGCGATCTTGAGGCTCCGAACATACCACCGTATTTGCGAGGAAAACATGGTTCTGTGCCTGGCGCTTCAAGTCTGAGACGCTCTTCACACACTAGCCGCTCGCGCATAGCTGCAGACCCCTCCACCAACTTCAATTCCCCAAAATCAGTCCTTAGGCTCATTCAGGTTTGGCGCCACCTGAATTCCTCTGCATCACTGCTCTTCCTGGTCATCTCCTCAGTCATCCATCTTAAGACACCTGGTATACGGCAGACTCGTGGGGCATCGGTTTGAGCCACTTCCGTACCGAACAGGCCCTGTCGGTTTCAGCACAGCGTGCCGCTCTAGCCAGGTTCCACGGCTTTTAGCATCTGATCTGCGCATATTGACTCGGCTTGTTCCAAGGCTTGACATAATAATACCCTTGGTGCCCGGCAGCCTTGGATCGTCCCTCCACATCCGCGCGCTCTCTCTCTACATCACTCCCCTTGTCCCGGGACACCGACATTCTTTTCTTCACTTCGTATCTGGCTGGCCGGGTCGAATTTCGACTGGATCGTTTATTTCCTGGTTGAGGTTCGCTTATACCACGTGTATACTCTTTAATTCTTTTCATAATCACCGTTGAACGGCATACCTGAGGTAGACATTTGGACGAAACACAAACCGGTTATCTCGGAAGATTCTTCATCATGGGAGCAAGCGGAGGCACATCGTTCTCTAGGCTCTTTACGCCACAAAAAATCGCCTTTCATTTCTTCTTCTGGGGATTTCATTGGGCCCTTTTCGGTATAGGATGGTAGGGAAGACTGTACTCATATCGTTAATTCTATTTACTGACCCAACACAGGTGGAAACAGGCTCAGGACCCACGTTTAGCGCCGTTGAACAGCCTCCAATACTCCGTATGGATATCCCGAGGTGCAGGTCTTGTCTTGTCAGTTGATACCATGGTTATTGTCATGCCTATGTGCAGAAACATCCTCCGATGGCTCCGTCCTAAAGTACGCGTACTGCCACTCGACGAGTCCCAGTGGTTCCACCGACAGGTAGCTTACGCTATGCTTTTCTTCACTATTCTCCACGTAGCTGCGCATTACGTCAAGTGAGTTAATAGCAACCTTGTTGAAAGTTTGACAATTGCTAACAAAGATAGCTTCTTCAACGTCGAACGTGTGCAAGTCCGGCCTCAGATCGCGCTACAAATTCACTACGCCGAGGCTGGTGGCATCACGGGTCACATTATGCTTTTATGCATGCTTCTAATCTATACCACAGCGCATCACAGGATCCGACAACAATCGTTCGAGACGTTCTGGTACACGCATCACTTGTTCATTCCATTCCTACTCGGCATGTACACGCACGCAACCAGCTGCTTCGTTCGTGACACCGCCCCAGCTTTCTCTCCTTTCGATAGCGACAACTTCTGGACCCACTGCATTGGTTACGAGGGTTGGCGATGGGAGCTTGTTGGTGGTGGTCTGTACTTCTTCGATCGTCTATACCGAGAGATTCGTTGCAGACGCCAGACACAGATCGTCAAGGTTGTGCGCCACCCATACGGTAAGCAAGATATGAAAATGAATCAAGAAGGACTGCAGCTAACAGCGAGTAGATGCTGTCGAGATACAGTTCACGAAGCCTAGCATGAAGTACAAGCCAGGACAATGGCTTTTCCTGAACTGCCCCGACGTCAGTTACCACCAGTGGCATCCATTCACCATCACTTCTTGCCCCAATGACCCGTATATCTCGGTTCACGTACGTCAAGTCGGTGACTTCACTCGCGCTCTCGCCGATGCTCTTGGTGCGGGTCAATCGCAATCAAAGCTCTACGACGAGCTCGACCCCATGGGCATGTACGAGATCGCTCTTCAGCACGGTCAAAAGATGCCTGCTCTACGTATCGATGGACCTTACGGAGCCCCCGCAGAAGACGTCTTTGAGAATGAAGTCGCAGTTCTCATCGGTACCGGTATTGGTGTCACACCCTGGGCGTCAATTCTCAAGTCTATCTATCACCTCCGCCTTAGCCCTAACCCTCCCAAGCGTCTCCGCCGCGTCGAGTTCATCTGGGTCTGCAAAGACACGTCATCATTCGAATGGTTCCAAACCTTGCTTTCATCACTGGAAGCTCAGTCTCTCGGCGGTGCAGACGGAGATCAGTTCTTGCGGATTCACACCTATCTTACTCAAAAGATGGATGTTAACACTGCGCAAAATATCGTGCTCAACTCGGTGGGTACTGACAAGGATCCCCTCACCGAACTCAAATCCCGCACCAACTTTGGTCGTCCGGACTTTCAACGCCTGTTCTGCGGTATGCGCGATGGTATCCTGGATCGCACCTACATGAACGGCCTAGAAAGCACACTACGCACAGAGGTCGGTGTTTACTTCTGCGGTCCCAACGTTGCGGCTAGGGATATCAAGAAGGCGTGCAAGCAGGCCGCATGCCAGGAAGTCAACTTCAAGTTCTGGAAGGAGCATTTCTAGATGATTTGGGATGTGTATTGGTATGAAGAATTGCAAAGGCGTATTGAGGTTGTTGTATGTTACGATTAGCCTTCAGGGTAGCAACCTACGGGTCCCCTTCTCATGTGTCTCTATCTACAAATGCGGATTTATACAAAGAAACGATATCTTTAAAAGTCCTCTTGTGCATTTCTTGGTGTTGATGCGTATGCTTGATTTCGATGTGTGCTTGGTAACCGCTAGTAGACTTCATGATGCATGTTAACACAAAACGGAGACGGATTTCGCCACTATGTCTCATCAAATCATGACAAGGACTATCGAACCACTCTCAGTCCACTTCAGTATCTGTTAATCACCTCTCTTACAACCAAGCATACTTCTGCTCGCCTCCCCTCCATGTAGCCTCACCTCGGTATATCGCTCTTCCGGCCCAGCGCATGATGAAACACGACGCATCCACGCATCGTCATCAGGCCAGCTTAATCATTGTGTTAAGTCTCTGCGTGTCAAGTTCGCCTTCCCGACTACATGGTGAAGGATCAAGGCCAAAACGGTAAGAAAGGAGGGTGGTGCGACAATGGGTCGATAGGACGAAGGATGGAGAAGTCAAAAGGCGCAAGGCCGCCTGTCTTAAGCCCACTCATGTACGCGCGCGCGACTACCGTTCTCCGACCGCGATTCTCTTCCACTACTTTTCGGACGCGTTGTCCATAGTGCTGTAGATCATGGACTGCATTCTTGATATAGCCACCGATAGCGCGATTCGTGTCCTGACGCCGCCACACATTGCGGCGCAGCCTTGCCGCACGACCGCATCGATGGGAATAGGGGACGGCTCGTCTGATGTGCATACGGCGCAGTCGGTTCTATAGGCTGTTATGATTCTGCGTATCTCTTTGATGGAGGGTCAAGATGTGCCTTCGAGATGGAAGGAGATCAAGCCCGCAGGTAGGGTTTGTGCCATGCTGTGGCACACTTCCCAGGTCCCTTCCTTACCTTTACCAGCAACCCTCGAGTCCACGAAGCGAAAATTGATAATCGTACGACATGCTTGCGTCCAACGTGACATATCAGTCCTGCCATTGTCCCTACATTGCAATCCAACGGACGCATCTAGACCTCTGAATCGGTCAAATGCCGACCAGCTTTCATGTTCGGTCACCAGCCGAGGCTCCGACAATTTTCCAAGCCTACTCCACTCAACACCACGTCTCCAACATCGTGAAATCTGTCTTCGTGGCCTAGTCTCGGGGTTCGGTGTAGGCTGCGCTACCCCATAGAGTATAGTTGCAGTTAGTACGCGTAGCCTGCAGCTGGACCCTTCTACGCTTTCGCACGGAACTGCCTTACTCGGAAGCCGGTACTGCGCTTGCAGTGCGGACTTGCACGCCCTCCCATTCGTGGAAAGTTGTTTTCTGGAAGGCGGTGTGTGGGGTTGCGTCTGTTCGGGGGTGACGTTGGAATGAATGGAGGTATACAAATGCCCCGCACCAATTGTGAGGAAGCGGAAGGGTAAATTCTGGGTAGTAGCGGTAGCTAGATGAATAACTGCAGGCAGAAAAGAAGGGCCGCGGTAAAGAAGTTTGAGGCCCAGGTGATCTATTGATTGACCACTTCCCCCGTTTGTTTACTTTTGGTTTTCTATCGGACCTTCCTTCCTTCCCTGCTCTATAGTTCTTTTTCGTGCGTTCGATGGCATCTCTTCCCCTCTTCACTAGCTGGGCGTCGGAGGTTAAGCAAACACTCAACATCGAAGAGAAGCCCAAGATGAACGGCACAAGCACTGAGGCCGCGCCAGCGGTGAACGGTGTCAGCAAGTCCAACGGCACTGATGTCAAGTTCTCGACCAAGCCGAACATTGGTGTTTACACGAACCCCGCGCACGATCTTTGGGTCGCGGAGGCAGAACCGAGCCTCGAGGAGGTGCAAAGAGGAGGAGATTTGAAGCCGGGAGAGGTCCTTCTGAACGTCAAGAGCACCGGTATCTGCGGTAGTGATATTCACTTCTGGCATGCGGTACGTTCTGATTTTTTTTTGTTTTGGATCCAAGTAATGCCTAGAGAAGAAATCGGCATGTGCTAACATGATCCCAGGGCTGCATTGGTCCCATGATTGTAGAGGACACTCACGTCCTGGGTCACGAATCTGCAGGCACAGTCATGGCCTGCCACCCCTCAGTCACAAACCTCAAGCCCGGTGACCGCGTAGCTATCGAGCCCAACATCATCTGCGGTGAATGTGAGCCCTGCCTCACAGGTCGTTACAACGGCTGCGAGCGCGTACAATTCCTCTCCACTCCTCCCGTCACCGGTCTCTTGCGCCGTTACCTCAAGCACCCAGCCATGTGGTGCCACAAGCTCCCTGACAGCATGACATTTGAAGACGGCGCCATGCTCGAGCCTCTCTCCGTAGCCCTCGCAGGAATGGACCGCGCAAACGTCCGCCTCGGCGACCCAGTCATTGTCTGCGGTGCCGGTCCTATCGGCCTCGTAACGCTGCTCTGCTGTCAAGCTGCAGGCGCAACTCCCATCGTCATAACCGACATTGACCAAGGCCGTCTCGACTTTGCCAAATCGCTCGTCCCAGGCGTCCTGACCCACAAAGTCGAATTCAGCCACTCGCCTACCGACTTCCAAGACGCCATCCTCAAACTCACAGACGGTGTTGAGCCCTCGCACGCCATGGAGTGCACTGGTGTTGAAAGCTCCATCAACGCTTGCATCCAGACTGTCAAGTTTGGCGGCAAGGTCTTTGTTATCGGTGTCGGCAAGAACGAGATGAAGATTCCTTTCATGAGACTGAGCACCCGCGAGGTGGATCTGCAGTTCCAGTACCGATACTGCAACACATGGCCTAAAGCTATTCGGTTATACAAGAGCGGTGTCATTGATCTGAGCAAGCTTGTTACTCACAGGTTCAAGTTGGAGGATGCGGTTGAGGCGTTCAAGACTGCGGCGGATCCTAAGACTGGTTGCATCAAGGTGCAGATCCAGAGTTTGGACTAGATGTTTGTGCAGTTGGCGGCACGATTCCTTTTATGACATGTATGACGACGATGATGATGATGAAGGCGGTAGTTGGTGTGAGGGTGCATTTCAGCATTTAGACATAAGGCGTTTTTTTGAGGGAGCTTTTATCTGCTTAACGATATCTAGCACAATTGAGAACATGAACACAGATAGCACCTGTGCCCCTTCGTATCTTGCTCATCTCTACAACGACTCAGTCCAATTGTGTCCAACTGTCCGTTTATGTACTCATATCAAGTCACCGCTTTGCCATCGTATACTATATCAACAATCTTCCCTGCGAAACTTACAAATGACAACGCCGTCGAATTCTACAGGTGCAGTAGGTAGCGCGAATTTAGACTCGGCGTTCGGCGCCGATGTGGTGGAGAACATGGGGAGCATAGAGCCGCAGGTGCGCATCTGAGAGTGTAGATGTTAGATCTGTATTGATGGGTAAAGAAAGAGTAAGGCGCGAAAGGTACTTACTTGCTGGTATCGTCTAAGGCCATGTTTCTCCGCCCGAGGAACTGCTTGCGGCGCATGTACTTTCTTCCAATGCTTGTAGGGTTGCTCGAGAGTTAGGTTACGCTTTCGCTATATGTATATGAGAATCTGTGCGGGTTATTTTTCCGCTGTCTCGTCGCTGGAGTGCTGTCTCAAGTGCCCTGGGCAGTTAGTCCTGTGAAGCCATCATCCCGCCTCGTATGTGTATGCTTTCGTGAGCGGGATCCACGGAGATATATGTGTTGTGAGGACGGCTGGGCCAACGTAGACGTCTGGTGCCTTAGAGTTGTGCTTGCGCTTCTTGTTGGCATGATCGCGACGGTTATGGGGAAGTGTAGTCGTGGGTCCTGGTTCGAGCCGCTCGGTTGATTGTGGAATTGTGTATGGATGGCTACAGCTCCATTGCGACTTCTGCAAAGGGATACATATGAGCGTCTACATTGTCCGATTGGTTTTCTTGAGGCTGGCGCGCGAGTGAGACTGTTGACTTGTGGGTTGCGACGCGACTGGGCTGGGAACAATGACGACATGAATTCGCACGGGCCGACACTCCAACATGGCTCGGCTCCTGCTACCATCGGTTCCTCCTACATCTCAACTGCGCCGTGTATGCTCTCCTCTCACGAGCAAAACCTGATGGAGGGGCCATGCGCACAATTTGATTCCTCTCTTCAGCTCTTCATGTGCGAGAACAGGCGAGCCAGGGACCCGGTCCGCCATAGTAGCAGTGGCCAATGAACCACAGCAATTAATTTATCTTGCTCTTACCAGCATATCTTGCGAAAACAAGGCCCGCAGGTCGCTTAGAGTTAAGTCCTGCGTCTTCATGTGCTTATATCCAGCACTTTAAGGCTAGGTTGGTGTTTGATAAGTTTACTTCGCCCGTTGCTTTTTTTCGAAATGTCCATCCGTCCTTCTCTTCCAGTATCTGAATATGCTGCTCCGGACTGTCTTCTCCTTATGCTATGCGAGTATCGTACAGGCTCGCTCACACCTCGGACGCACTGCTAAGGTAATCGATGCGAGGCAGATCAGCAATGAGACGACCTATGATTTTGTCATTGCAGGCGGTGGCATTGCAGGGCTTACGGTTGCAGACCGTTTGACGGAGAACCCAAATGGTAAACCCCTCTCAGTTTCCACAAACTCTCTATTAACTTCGAGAAATAGTTACTGTACTGGTTATCGAGTATGGCCCTTTCGACCAGAAAGAAGACGGCGTCATGATCCCTGGCGCGTACTTCCCAGTACCGTATCTCTGGCTGCCATTGATGAGTACACCACAAACTGCGCTTGGAAGCACGTCGTATGGTGTGCCATGTGGCAGAGTGGTGGGTGGCGGGTCTGTTGTCAATGCGATGTTCTTCCATCGATCGGATGCTGAGCTTTACAACGCTTGGGAGGAACTGGGGGCGACTGGCTGGGGTTGGACTGATCTACTTCCATACTTCAAGAAGGTATATGATTTCGCCAGATCTCAAGCCATGATACTGACCCGAACAAGAGCGAGACCTTCACGGCTCCGAATGCAGAATATGCGGCGAGCCATAACATTACATGGGATATTGCCATACATGGCATTGACGGCCCGGTTCAAGCCAGCCATGCTCCGTATGACTACCCAGGCAGTGGTGAGGTGGTATTGGTTCAGTTTTAGTTACTGAAGGCTGACTGTCGGTATAGCCAACAAGTTCAACGGAGCACTAAGTCTAGGTATCCAGCCGTCTTTAGATCCTAACAATGGTCGCGCTCAAGGAATATTCCGCCTTCTTCGTTCTATCGATCCCGAATCACAAACGCGTTCCTCAGCTCGCGTCAATCGCTATGACAGGGATGCTGCAAGACCGAACTACCACATTCTTCCGAATACAGCAGTATCGCGTGTCCTATTCGAGAATCTCACCGCTGTAGGTGTCGAGTATATTGGCACTTCCGATGCAGCAAAACGTACTGTCCAAGCAAGCAAAGAAGTCATCATAGCTGCTGGAAGCGTACATACGCCACAGATCCTGCAACTTTCTGGGATTGGTGACCCAGTTCATGTAAAAAGTTTCGGTATTGAGCCGATCTCTGAACTCCCTGGCGTCGGTCGAAACCTGCAGGACCATCTAGTCCTGAAAGTGAACTACAACTGTATGTAACCAATTGTCGCTCTTGGAGCTGATAGAAGGACTGACTGGTCTAGATACGTCTAACCACTTTCCAAATGGTGGGTCCTTGCAGTCTAATGCTACGTATGCCATGGAGCAACGCACTCTCTACGATGCGAGGAAGCCGAGTGCATACGACCTCACTGGCACAACTGGCAATCTCATCATCCAGCTGCCTCTTTCGAACTGGACGAATGCCTCCGCATCCATCATTGCTGAAGCTGCCTTCATCTACCCCGATGCTGTACTCGGCAAAGCCGTCGATAGTTCAGTACTCACTGGCTACGAAAAGCAGCGTGAAATTGTGATCAGGGACATCAACATAGAGGCTGTGGGTGGGTTGTCGTGGAACACTGGACCGGAGACGAGCATCTACATGACGCGTCCTTTTAGCCGTGGTTCTGTCAAGATAAACTCTACCAACGTCTTCGACGCCCCACTCATCGACTATGGCGCAATCACCGACCCGACCGATCTTGATATGTTATACGCCATCTACATGAAGAATCGGGAACTTATGGCTACCTCCGATCTTGCTATCCTTGGCCCTATCGAGACAGCCCCCGCGCCAGGCGTTGACAATGAGGAGGACATTAAAGAAAAGATCAAAGCGGCATTGCAGCCAAGTAATGCGCACCAATGCTGCACTGCCGCTATGATGGCAAGGGAAGACGGTGGCGTTGTTGATTCACAAAACAGAGTCTACGGAACGTTCAGAATGAGTGTAGTAGACGCGAGCACATGGCCTCTTGTTGCTGGTGGTGGGCCGCAGGCTACTGTGTACGCTGGAGCGGAAAAGGTGAGCTAACGACCGAGGGTATATGGCGGTCATCTATACTAACGATACGTAGGCTGCAGATATGATCAAAGAGCGTCACGGATTACTTTGAGGTTTGTTCCTTCATCATGATCATGAAGTTCGTAAGCCGCGGCATGGACATTGGAGACGCTGTCGGATTTTGCGGCTTTATCGCACTTCGCCGCCTTACGGGCGTCAATCTCACTCCATACCTGCTCTTACGCCTGAGGCTTAACGTCGTCGCCAAGCGATGTGTAACTTCATACACGATTTCTGAGTGGTTCATCATGTGCAAAATTATCAATCAATCAACCGGACGTGAGTTAAGTGTAAACGGTATAAGAACATTCGAATTGCCATGTTTCGCTTCGCAAAAAATTGAGTAATACCTGAGAATTAAAGATGGACACTTCAGAGCTGTTTCAAGTTCAGGGCATGATTGCTGTGGTTACAGGCGGAGGCACAGGTATTGTCTCTTCTCGTTATCTTGTTCTGATTCGAATTCCCACTGTCTTCCTCAACAACCTTCACTTCCAGTCGCAGTATTGACATTGCACTCAGGGATTGGTCTCATGATTGCCAAGGCCCTCGCGTCCGCTGGCGCTTCTAAAGTATACATCCTGGGTCGCCGCAAGGAAAAGCTTGAGGCCGCAGCTGCAAAACACAGCCTCATTCCATTGCAGTGTGATATCACATCAAAAGAATCACTACAAGCCACGGTTAACACTATCAACAAGAACGTGGGATACATCAACCTACTTGTCGCAAACTCCGGTATCTTAGGACCAACAGCAAGCTTCATGCCGGGTTTGAGCATTAAAGAGTTGAGGAAGAACATGTTCGAAGATACTTCCATGGAAGACTTCACACAAACATTCCAGGTCAACACCACCGCGACTTACTTCAGCATGCTCGCTTTCCTCGAACTACTGGATGCAGGGAACAAGAATGCGCTGACCGGTGGCTTCGGTAAGCCACTTAGAGAAGGCAGCAAAGTACCAAGTATCCAGTCACAAGTCATCGTCACATCCAGCGTAGGCGCTTTCCTCCGCGAATGGCAGTGCGCACCTGCGTACGCAGGCAGCAAAGCTGCCATTGCGCATCTGGTTAAACATTCTAGTACAGGACTTGCACCACATGGTATTCGCGTAAATGCTTTGGCGCCTGGCTGTTCGTCTTCACTCTCTCTCAGCTCTTGAGCCTTACCGCTGATGCGATACTTCAGTCTTTCCCTCCGAGATGGCCAATGCGATTATCGAGAGCAGAGACCCTGGTACTGAGACCATCGACGACCCGAACTTTATCCCCGCACGTCGATTTGGAGGAGAGGAGGAGATGGGCGGGACTGTGTTGTATCTTGCGAGTCGGGCGGGTAGCTTCTGTAATGGGTTGATACTTGCTAATGATGGCGGGAGGTTAGGTGTTACGACGAGTACTTATTGAGAAAAGGAAAACAGGCAATCATCATCTTCAGTCCATCCCATGTTTATCTCGCAAACTTGTGCACATCCCGACAAGCATTTACAGCAACGGAAAGCGTCCAGTCTAATATGACGAGATAAACAGCAAGTGCAAAAGAGAATACCACTTGAAGTTTGGTGAAAGAGGTGGAAGGAGGAAGGAGTAGCCCGTACACTGCCGCCGAACTCGGGGACCTGAAAACCCAACCTGTGATCTTTGAAGTTGAGCATTCAGAAAGGGCAGTGGCGGATGGACAGGAATGAAGAACGTTATAGTGGATAGATAGTCGTGATCCCAAATACCGGCTCATAATGGAAAGATCATTAGAGATGGCCTAGAATTGAGGCCGTAGTTGATGCTAAAGCGACTGCTCAGCTTCTCATGGACTCAGTCCTCAAATGCCCATGGTATGGGCAGTCGCGAATCCATGGCCTACACGCCCTGGCCGTGACGTCATAGTTGCTGAACATCCATTATCGTACTGGTCGTGATTGACCAGCGTTGCCTTTCTTCCAATGCAGGGCTGAGAATGAGCAGTATGTGTGACGAAGGAAGACAAGGCTGAGCGAGAGCTTTCACCTCCAACACTAGCGTCAAGCGCTCTCGTTGGTGGATCATGACCCACCCTCCAGACGGTCGTCCGTCTTTCACAAACCCTAAACCAGACCAAAATCACATCCTTCGATACCACAAGCCGACTTCTAGCTTGCTACTCATCACTTCTGTACACCAACCCATTATCGGCACCTCTTCCCCATCCACGCACATCACACCGCCTATCGGCCCCTTTCCCCATCGATCGCTGCCCTCATGCAGCGCATATGCAACGCTCCCAGCATCATCCCGAGGTGCACTGTACAGATGTGGAGCCTCATACTACGCTCCTGTCTGCACGTCCTGTGTGACACCTGCTGACTGGCCTTGTGCTTGTGTGACTGCGGACCTGCGTAACGTGAACAGAATGGACATGCCTGCAATCGCCCTGCGGCATAGTCCAGATGCAGCCGAGACCCATTTCCTGAAACGCGTTTGTTTACTGCGTTTGGTGCAGAAAATGGGGGCGGTGTGTACTCTTGTGTGTCGAGACGAGGTAGGGAGTGGATCGTTGAAGGAGGATTAATGAACCGGCTTCTGTGAAGAGTTGTGTGGGTCCCATTCCGGAGTCCTATATCGAGAGCTTTGAGATGCGTGACATACAAACCAGGCTCGAGCAAACTTGGAGAAGCGAGAACGTACATGCTCTCCTCGAATGACGGGTGAGGTGCTCAGCAACACGCATCAGGCGGTGACAGCATCTCACTCGATATTGTGGGATGGGGCAGTGGGGTTGAACTTCGTTGCGATTATCATTATTCATCCATAACGCCTTTTATGCTAATCAGTACAACGTATCTGGTACATGACCCTCTATATTTCCGTGATATCGTATGCGCAGTAACCGTATACACACTAAGCTTGCGACATATTTTTCTTGACTTGAGCGAGTATGAACGTGATGAAATGTGCTTAAAGAGTGGCCCTGGCGTTTTGTCTTAATTGCAAGACATGATAGCGATGTCGATGTACAAGAATACATACTAGCCGCCCATGCAATAAACGATCCTGTAGTAACGTCGCAATAATGCTGAAAGCAATGCAATATAGAACCGTGAGACAAAAATATCGCGATATAACACATCATCGTGTAAGAAGTACAGAAAAGGAATGGGCGGAGTGCCGGCCAGAGAAGGCTTGCCAGTTGTCGAGGACAGCTTCGAAAGCCAAGTGTGAGCTGGGCCAAGGAAATGGCTCCTGATGGTTGCAAAGCGCTTCGTAAGTTGAGTGCTGAACCTAGAATGCGTAAAGAGAATAAGTTGCGACCCGAAGTTCTCCGTCCAAGGATGCGGCACTTGTAGAATGTTGTACGATGACATATCGTCACGCTGTTAAGTACTCTAGGATGTCGGAAAAAGAGTGTACGCCGCAAGAGTGACGACCTAAATAGGTTGACGAATGGAAACTGATCAGTAGTGCAGCTAGACACAAGTCTCTCAGTAAGTGCTGTTGAGGTTCTCCATAGAAGTGCGATGAAGCTGCACGTTCCGGATTTGACACGACTCGCGATGCAAGCTGTGATTTCCCGGTGAACTCTGTGACTGGGAGTGGCTGAGAGGCGTATATCGATGACCACTCACCAGCGCGCAGTCGCTCGTAGACTCACCACTCAACGAGTTTCGCTTTGACGAAGAAATAGGGCTATAGCTGTATAGGTTCGTCTGGGAACTTGGCCGTGCCATTTGCCGGTTCTCACGTATATACGAGTAGTTCGTAGCTGGCGCTGACGCTGGTACATTCATCGTGTCAAGCAGACCAGCCGTGCTGAAACTGAGCTCCAGCTGAGATGTAGTGGTTGTTGTTGTTGCATCATCAGCAGTAGATGTCGTGTTCAGCAGGTAGCTCATTCTACTTTCTGCATTGTCTGACATGGCTGGGGATATTGCTTGACTAAAAGCAACTGCCGGTCCAGCCCCGGACGCGTTGATGTGATTTTCACTGTCGGCGGTCCAAGGTAGTAAGGGTTTCGCGAATGAGCCCCTACTATCCATAGTCGAGGTGCTAATGGCCTGAGCAGAACGAAGACGAGCGTTTTGCATCTGGTCTACAACGTTGCGGTTCGTCTGTGCTGGGCTAGGCTGTGGCATTGGAAGTTGTCTCTGGGGTACACCAGAGTCCAGTGAAAAGGGATGTCGGGGATGGGGCTTCTGAGGTAACGACAGATGCAGAGATGATAGCCCAGTATTAAGAGGGGATATATCCGACGATGTAGCTGGTCGAGAGTTTGTATGGGTGCAGTGTAAGTCTTGATCGAAGTACGTGCCTTCTTGTTGCAAAGACTTCGCCGTCGGCTGAGCCCAGCGATATGAAGGTGGATACATATTCGTGTTTGCCACTGCTGTAGACTGAGGTATGTACGTGGGAGATTGCTCAAGATTGTAAGCATCAACTGGTGACGTGTCCTCGGAATAAGGTATGGTCCAGCCTGACGAGTACATTGGCTTTGTGTCGAGCTGCTGATACTGCTGAGCGGACATCGGGCGTGGATAAACAGCGCTATTGTCTCCTGTAGAGTAGATGGACATCATGTTATGCGCACTGGCCATACCACTAAGACTGTAAGCCATGTTTCTGTCGTCCATCACCTTATGGACAGCGTCGGACCCCACCTAACGAACTTAGCGAATGTAAGCAAAGTAATCATCTAACATACTCTGTGAAATTGGCAATTCATTGAAACAACTCCAGCCTGTCGACAGTTCGTACAGCCAGAACCATTTCCAGGATCACCGCTGCATCGGATCTTCCTCTTACGGCACCTTGCGCACTGCGTAGAGGATTAATAAAAGTCAAAACTGAGAATCTGCAAAATTTCCATGAGGAACTAGTAGGCAATTGTGTCTTTCGTTCCGGTAAAAAATATGCCGACTGATCTCGAAGCACCTGCTGACTTACCGCTACTGCAATACGACGCCTCGCTTGCCCAGTTTCCATCATAGGCTCTTCGATGCTAGCTCGGCCGTGCATACCGCCCACTGGACCCCCAATGGGATAGCCTCGTGGGTTTTCTCTCGTGTTATGGGATAGCGCTAGCGGAGCATTACGTTCGCTGTATATGTAGTTCGGGTATGAAAGGTTGTGAGGCAAACAGCGTCGTGGGGTATCGTAATCCATAGCTGGTATACTGGAGAATCGAAAAATGTTAGTTGTTTTTAGTTCACATTGACATGTGAGATCGACTTACATCACACCGAGATCAACAACGAGGACCGTCGACAAATTGCTCTTAGGGGTGGCTCGGATAGCATTCAGGGGGGTGCAATGCCCGAGTCAAGAGTACTCAGTAGGCAATGGCTGGGCTGTGAGCGTTGCTCCACAGAGAATTGTAATCGACCGGTGAGCAAGTCAAACAGTGATCGGATGGCAGGACTGTGTTTATAGTCTAAACGAGTCGCTTGAATCAGCAAAGGGTACGACACTAGGTCGAAAGCATCGCTCAAGGATTGACGTGGCTGGAGCAATGATCAACTCCGAATGAGTATCGAACGCGGTACCGTTTGTGCCTTCCACTGCTGAGGTTATCTTGCTAGCTTCTCGGACGCCTGCATGCATTTATGCGCAATACGGTCACCGCTAGGTGACAGGGGTCTTGAGCACTCACTCCTGAGAGAGCGTCATCTTGGTCCCGCGGAGAAGAAGACAGATGAAACATTGTACCGCTTGGATTGTGTTCTGATCCCGCTTCATGATAGGTGCCATAGCCGATTAAAGGCCTGTGGGAGATCAGGATATGGCCACTGCTTTCTCCACAAGAGAGTCGTTCTACAGCCATAAGGTTTCAGAAAATAGCTCAGTCAGACAAACACTGATTCCTTTCCTGCTGCAAAGAGGCTACGTTACCAACTAGGACAATTCTTTCGCAAACAGGTGTCGAATGTTTGTAACTTGCGCGGTACTACCGCGGATCCGGGATTTGAGGCACGGATTTGACGTTGTAATTCGATGTGCCCCGGTCTAAGACACATGAGCAGAGTCCGCAGGGGTATCGAATTCGACAATTGCGCTCAAATTGTGAGGCGCGAACTCTGTAATGGGGATGAAAGGTTATCGTCCAGCAAAAGCGCGCATTCACGAGTATTGACGCCTAAAGTAGCGCTTATAATATGCATTGACATGTCTGATCCTATAGATGGGTTGCTGTTAGTCCAAGTAATCGCCATGAGCGCCCATTGTTTGCACTGAAACGTACCTGCAGATGACAGCCACTTTTGTAAAGAAGTTGTTGACTGGCCTGAGCCCGACCCAAGACCACTGGTAGATAACCTCACGATTGGCGATCCAGCAGCCCTGCACTCTGAAAAAACGTATGCTGCCGCTTGCGTGCCTCAATAGCCCCACAGCAAACGGATATACGGGGGAAGCTGGGAAAGAGTTCCGGTGGGTACCATGCCTATCCAGACCGTATTAAACGATGCAGTAATCTTCGACGACTGCCCGGCTTCTAGAGTGTTACATCCAAGGCCAATTTGAGAAAAATGTTCAACGTGTGAGTGAGACTCAAGCCTGCTTGAAGGTTGATCCAGCCATTGGCCGAGACAAGCACGCCCTGTACTGCCGAGAACTCTAGTGGCGCCTCGATTATGGAGACGACGTCTTTTTGCAAGCATATGATGGGAACCTGGAATGAGCGACCCCTCTGTGCAACGAGCCAATGAGCGCAGCATAGACTAACGCCAAGGGACAAGCAAACTTTGGTATACAGTCTGTACAAATGACCTATCATCGTGAAGCAGTCTTTTGTCGATCAAAAATCTTCATACATCAATAAGCCCAGATTTGCTCTAATGCTCGGTTCGTGTTGCACAGCTGTGGCATGTTGAGTCATGCCCATGGTGTGTCCGATGTCCGTCGGATTGGGATGACAGGCCGCTTGAAGGGCTCGTGGATCCATCATTGCTGTGCATCTCTAGACATAGTACGTGCAATTATGCACAAGCGGACTGCTGAAGCTCCGCTTTCGCAGTGACAGTGCCACCACACTTGTAGTTATTAGCCATGCTGTGTCTCCTCCATGAAACAGGAGAGCTCAAGAGAGCTCACGCGCAGCGACGACTATGGAAACTTCCTAACTGCCGACAAGATTCTCTTACGGCACATGAGTAAAGGATCAATTGGATCGCTCCTAGATCTGAGCTGTCAGGCTTCAGTTGATAACAGGTCGAAGCGAGAAGTAGAGGCCCGCCTCCAGGATTCTAGCAGCCGACGACAGGAAGCTGTCCCTAATGTACACATCGACGGACTTCGGTACAGATGGCAGATCGCTCTTTGGTTGAGCACCCCTGGCATGATGGGGCTGGGGATTTCGGATCGATGTGCAGCAGGCAACGCAGCGGCTTCCCGAACATTAGACATGGATAGCTGTCAAACACCGGGTAACACTCAACGGCTTGCCTGTTGTAAGTGACAAAAGCCCTATCCATATTCTCTCACTATTTCTGGACGGGGGCTTGACGGATATGGAAATCTGCGTCGCTTTCGCGCGCCTCTGATTCGATCTGTCAAACCAGCAGTGTCTGCATCGACCCCCATCCTCGTACGTGAATAGGTGAGAATCAAAGGTGATCTGGAATGGAATGCGAAATGATATGAAGGCTGCTGAGACACGTTGCCCAGGGAGTATTGGTTCCACAGGTTGCAAGATGTGAAGGTGGAGAAAGGCGAGATGTACCTGAAGCTAAGCCGCTTCGGGTGTTACATGATCATGGTGACTAAGCAACAAGGCTACGCGGTCTTGGACGCAGTCGCGCGCGGTGACGAACATTTGCGACAAACACTCGTTCGCGGCACGACATAACCCGAATCATGTCTGTGCTGCTGGAAACGTCACTCGGTGATATCACCATCGACCTGTTGGTCGACGATGCGCCAAAATGCTGTGAAAAGTAAGTCGATCCAATCCTTATGCGCGCCTTGGGTTCTCGCACCTGCATGCTGCATGCTTGATCCCGCTGTCTTCCCAAGCTGAGCATACAACAGAGACTGACAATTTGTCGCCTTAGCTTTCTCAAGCTGTGCAAAGTCAAGTACTACAACTTTGCGCCCGTCCATAGCGTCCAACCAAACTTCTCCTTCCAGACTGGCGATCCTATCGGCCCCGGTTCCAAAGACAGCGACGGCGGCCGCTCAATATGGGGCTTGCTCGACCCCACGCAACCAGCGAAGAAGACATTCGTGCCAGAGTTCAAGCCGAAGCTCAAACATGCCGAGATGGGAACCGTCAGTATGGCTACCGCGCCGAATCCCGACGATCCTGACGAGCGGTTTGCTGGTAGCCAGTTCATCATAACGCTGGGACAAAATATTGACTATCTGGACGGCAAAGCTGCCATATTTGGCACAGTAGTAGAGGGGTTTGACACGTTGGAGAAGATTAACACAGCATATATCGATGATCAGGGCCAGCCACTCAAGGACATTCGCATACTACACACAGTCGTCCTCGATGACCCATACGATGACCCCGCTGGCCTCGTGGAGCCACCGGAGAGCCCTGTACCTTCGGCTGCGCAGCTCGCCACCGTCCGCGTCGCATACGATGAGAACCTCGAGGAGGACAATGACCCAGAAGCCTTGGAAAAGGTTCGCAGAGAACGTGAGGCGCGCGCACAAGCACTCACGCTTGAGATGGTTGGCGACCTGCCATTCGCCGAAGTAGCACCGCCTGAGAACGTGCTGTTCGTGTGCAAGCTCAACCCAGTCACGCAAGACGAAGATCTGGAGCTTATCTTTTCGCGATTTGGCAAGATTCTCAGCTGCGAGGTCATTAGGGACAAGCGTACAGGTGACAGCCTGCAGTACGCCTTCATCGAATACACCAATCAGAAGGATTGCGAGCAGGCCTACTTCAAGATGGATGGTGTTCTGATCGATGACCACCGCATACATGTCGACTTCTCGCAGTCCGTCTCAAAGATAGCCGACGATTGGCGGGACGTTACGAACAAGAAGAGGAGACGGGCTGCCGGAGGGTTTGGTGGAATCGACAATCTCGAGAAGAAGAAGCAGTATCGCGATGGCTCCGGGCGCCAGATCATGTCAGATTCTGTTGTAAACAATCTGGTGGTCGATCGAGACGTTGCACAAGACACCACACAACGGCCTAGGGACAGTGGCAAGGACGGACGACGGGACGACACACGTAGGCGTGAAAGGAGGGAGGAGTATCATGACGACCGCTTCAAGCGGAATCGTAGCCGGAGTCCCAAGCGCGAACGTCGCGATGGCGATGATGGACGATATAATGATCGGAGGCGAGAGCGAAGCCGTAGCCCAAATCGCCATCGTGACAGTCGCCGGGACAGGAGTCGGGATCGTTATCGCCGGGACGATCGAGACCGTCGGCGTTGAATTCAGGAACCCGTATAGGTCGATGTGTCATGAAGCTTTGGTATTTTGTTCACGCCCATGCGATGCGATTCCGGTGTTCGGGATGAGGGTTTGAACCGTTCTAGTAATACTGTGACATGTAGCTGGCTGCTTTTGAATAGGTAATGCCAGCCATCCTCGTGTACCAACACGAAACACAAGATTCGATATGAAGAAGTATAACTCCGTTCGCATCACATAACTAAGCATCATGTTTAGCAAATTGAATACTTAGGTTCATTCTTTATTAGTGTTTATTTTGTTGTTTTGTTTTTAATGAGAGTCTTGAATATGTATAAATGCTCGCTGACCCCAAGTACAAAGACAGACTATCCGTAATCAAACAAGAAGAAAAGCTTGCACTGTGCTCTACACAGTCTTGGGGCTTCTAAGCTATCGCTATCGAAGATGCTAGCTAGCAAGTGCCTGTAAGAATGTGCCGGTAACCCAATCCAAGGTGTTATCGCGTCAATCTAGCACTTACGAGGGAGCCGGACGTCATCTCCGATAGCAAGGTGGTGCTAAGAAAGTGAGTGTTCGTTTCTGAGAACAACTGCGGTGTTTACCGATATGGATGTGGCGGAATGCTCGGCCTCATCATTATCGGCAATGAGGCGTGGTGTGTTGTACGAGTTGAGAACTGCTCATTCACTTTACTCCGAGCCGGTCATGGATTTGTGTGACGATAGAGGGGCGTCATCAGTCCGTTCAACCTCGTATAGGTCAAGAAGCTCATTGCAACATGTCCACCAAGTAGTCTGCATCTCCAGCTCGACATCTAGTGCCTCAAGCAGGCCCACGGGAGGTAACTCTGGTTCGAAGATCTTTGCGAATTGTGTCTCGAGCATGCGTATTGCTGAATGCCAAGCACCCATACCCAGACCATTCAGGAAATCACCAGCGTCGACGCGGCAATGGGGGATCTCGTGGAGTAACTTTGGAATGAAGTCATCAACACTCCCACCTTGAGTGCACGTAGCGATGGCGGCTTGGTAGAGAGCAGATTTTGTTGTGAATTTGGCGTCTTCGACGTTGCCGGCCTCGATCATAGCCGCTGCGTAGATCTCGCGGTAGTGATGATGGTTCCATGCCATACATGGCGGGATTTCCAAGCTAAATGTGTAGTTTGGAAACCAATCGCTGCGTAGAAACATTGGGACAGCCGAAGCACCGACACAGCGTGGTGCAGCCATGGCATTGTCCCAATCGATAATTCCGGTCACGTTGCCGTCATCGTTGACAAGAATGTTTTGCAGATCGAGATCGTTGTGACGGATGGTGAACGTTTCGCCAGTCGGCCCATTGAAAACAGGCTGAGCGAAGACGAGACTGAGGATGGTTCGAATACCAAAATCTCTAAAGACGGCGTCCGAGTCGCCTGGCGTGCGTCGCTCATTCATTTGTTTTACCTTGGCTTTCATACGAGCCTGGAGATACTCCTGGGTGGTAGCAGCTGGTTGACGTTTGAAGGAATCGTCAGATACACCCTTGAAATGACATGTGGGACCAGTCCCGGTGAGATTACCGTCGTCATCAAACGTAGGTACTCCGATACCTTCAAATTCAAGGCTCTGAATCTGTGTCATTACTTTCGCCAATGAGCGTAGAAACACAAGGCGCTTCTTCTCGATGTGGGGAGGTGGGACGTCTGCATTACGGAAGGCCCGATCTTCACCTATGAAAGGGTAGTCTTCAGGAAACCAGACAGTGTAGGCAGGCTTGCCGGGCAACATCGTCATAACAATGTAAGGAAAACCAAGCGCGTTGTCGTGGCCAGTATAGTAGTCGACAATTTGTGCGACGGGTGCGGCAGTGTTCTTGCGAATGTACTCGATGAGTTGTGCCTCGCGCTCTAACACGTATGCATCTTCATCCGTCCAGTGTTCAAGAGTTCCGTGACCAGGAACGCGGACCACGAATTTGCGGATCTGCACCCCATCGCGAACATTGACAAAAGTCGCTGCATTGTACGCGCCCTTCTCGCGACGTACTACATCCACGTCGTTGATCGAAGAAGACAGATTGCAGGCCTTGAATAGCTCGCGGTACTTCGCATCGGGTATGGCTTCAATAGTCTTGAACTCACAACGTGGGTGAGAGCCGTCATCTTCATCGTCTTCCGAATCGCCATCTACGATTTCGCACTGCTCGACTGGTTCACTGATCTCAGAATGCGCACCTGCCCCGATGACGGAGTCACAACGGCCGGATTCCTGGCGATCAAGCTTAAGGAGTCGTTGGAGCACAAGTTGCGGTAAGACAAACTTTTTGTAAGTAGCCTTCAGGCGCCGGCGCAGACGGTCTGTCTTTCCATTCTTTACATGGAGCCGCTCTGTCTTCGCAGAGATCTCTTCTTCAGCCTGATTCATAGGCTCAGTGATCTCGCTGAGAGTGATAGATCTCATTGAGCTTACTGAGAGGATATCTTGCTCCTGAACAGGCGCTTGTTGTGGATCTGGATGAGAGCCAGGAGGAGGAGAGATACCGGGCACGTAGAACGTATCGCCACAGTCTGGAAGCGGGAGAGAATTTTCGGTTGGTGCCGTAGAGTTTGAGGATTTTTGAGACAAAAAACCAGTGTTACAGACGTCTAAGTTCTGTTGAGATGATTTTGTGACGGTCGATGCGTTGCTTGGTAGAAGGTTCGGCGAGGCCGACCCCTTAGTCGGTGAGTTTTGTCCAGAGATTTTGCAGGTCAAGGTGGCGGAGAAAGAGTGGTAGATGCTTTTGCCGAATGTAACTACCTTTTCTAATGGACTGCGTGGAACAGTATGGGGTGACGCAAAGGACTTGGAGTTGGAAGACAAGCCAGCGACCGCGGCATTAATGCCCTTCTTATTCTTGATACCAAACATCATTGTGTAGGTATTATGTATTCGTCCGCCGTGTATTGAGCGCACAATGGATCTTTGGTAGTCCGGTACTGCGGTCTCAAAGTTTTGAGTGCTGCTGTCTTGAAAGTTGAGTTCCCAGCGCTGAACAAAGAGTACAAGAGTACAAAGGCGCGGAGTGGAAGGGTCTTATACCGAGAAGGGTCCGGGTGCATCGAGTGAATACAATATTTCAGGACCGCGCTTTCTGTAGGACCTATTCTCGTAGGACGAGTTAGGTCACATGCAATGCAAGGTCATGGGTGAAGAAGAGTTGACCCTCTGAGCCTGAGCGACTGCCTTAGTTCTTGCGCTCGTTATCGAAGCTCTATTTTAGAGATGGAAGTGAAACCAAGGGGCGAACCGAAGCAACGCTGTGTAGTTCCCAGATTAACCTAGGCCCACGTTAGTTCGTCGTTCGGATGACCTTGCACCACATAGTCCCGCATCTTGTGAGTCGAAGCAAAGGAACAAGACATTACTGTGTAACGGTTCAGATGGTATCTTTCATCTGTTACAATTCTGACAACGTAGAGACGAGAAAGGAGCTTCGTACCTAACAGTAAAGACTACGCATCATCATTAACACAATCTTTTCTGATACGCGTCAGAGGCTTTACGAATTGATAGATATGAATGCTATTGCGTACGGTGGCTTTTCAGACATAGTCAAGTATGGGCTCTGTTAATATCAGTATAAGATTTTCTGTATGTCGTGGGCCTTGTGAATCATATACAGTGCTTCCAAAGCATATACAGCACTTACCATGAATGGCTGTTGTGGCCTACTTCGAGCTGTTACAATTCACCTTTTGCACCTCGCAGTGCACCAAAAGGCTGTACGTTCTTTGCCATAAGTACTCGCGCACACCTCACTCCACCACCTCCTCTACCTATCCACCAAAGACCACAACTGCTTCCCCGACAACATACACGTACTCAGAGCTCTTACAATCGCAGTCCATCAACGCCACTATCGACTTTTCTCGTTCTCCACGATCCGAGCTAGATCAGTCACAAGGACCGATACCCTCCGACCTCACCCTCAACCGCAGCACGCAGCCGCTGTATAACTCTTTCAACCAGTCACTGATTGTGCCATCCATAGTAAACTTCGGCTATCGAACAACTGGGAAAGCAGCGCAAGATGCCTAGCTTCAACAGATTTAACAGCAATTTGCCCTTTGGAAAATCCAAGAAGGATAGAAAAGCCAACTCGTTTCCTCTTCGACTCACATTTACGGAGCAACCGCAATCCGACGACTACATAATCCGAAGTTTCGACGGCCTCTACTCCAAGACCGTCCGTGTTTGGAATGGCGGTGACTGGAACGACAAAGTCATGAATGGCGCCACAGGCACCTTGTTCGAATCGTCCCACCACGTGCCAGGGGAAAGTGCCAAGAGCCGGAAGGCTTTCAAAGATGGCAAGTTCGGATTTTGCCTAGAGTGGATCGACTTTGAGTACGGAGGGAATGTGTATCGTGTCCGCTGCATGAACGAGTTTTCTGTAAAGTCGCCGCAATGTACAGACCACCCAAAGGCAGTTTTCAAAGACGGGCCACACAGAGTTTATGATCTTATAAACTGGGGCGAGACGGTCACGTGGGGTATGATCAAAGATACCGAAGCCGAAGAGGTTCTGTTGACAGACGATCAACTCAAGTCGAGGGTCCTGAATGAGCTGACAGATATCGAAGCCAAGATAGATGAGGCTTACCAGAGCGGTAAGGATTCCAGAGAGCTGGAGAACAGGCATTCTGCCTTGCAGAGAGCCATCAGTAATAAGACCTACTTGCTTAAGGACCGATCAAACGCGATCGACACCAGTTCCGAAGTACCTGTATCTGGCTCCATCTACAGTTCCCGGAAGACTGTCAGTAATTCAGCACCAGGCAATGCAGCTCTCGACGCCAAGGCCAAGCGCAACCCGAACGGCAAGAAGAAGGGCAAGACTGGTTACATCAAAGACCTTACCAAAGGCCTTCACACAGTCAACGAGTAGACGGCGCTCACACAGGCAATGGAGACAAGCGGGCGAGCATTGTCTTGCCTAGGAGCATTCATTTGATGAATGATGCACTGAACACAACGCTCTGACAGCTCCGCCACTCCCTGTCAGAGCCTCTCAGTCGCGAATATGATTAGGTCCATCTCTTTCGGCGCGCATCAGCGTTGGTTAGGTAAGGATATTACGATTTACGGCCTTGTCGATGATACCCCATTTCTTTTGGTAACACAACGCCTACGCTTTCTCCCCCGGCCAGGCGCTGAGCGGTGATATAGCGAGGACTGCATCTCAAGCGTCTCCTGTAGCGTTGTTGTTTTGCACTACAATACAAGGAAACCAGTTACTATCTCTTTTTGCATCGTGATGCATGATGGTGGCTAATATCGTGGCGAAGGAGGATGAACATGAACTACGGAATACAACGTGATAGAGCGCGATTTGGCGTGTGTATTCGACCGAGGGCAAAGTTCGAAAAGTAGTGAGTGTGTCTGAGGGAAGCTGCGCGCAGCTAGCAGATCACTGCCGCTATGTTCCCTGCGATCTCAGATATGTTTTACCCATGTACACAGTCATACGATAGCCAAAAGAAGTCGTGATGTCGTAACATCGTATGATGATGACTTGAAGAAGTAGGGGATAGGTATATATTGCGCTGCACGGATGCTGACGGCAACTACCCCAAGATGCAGCTTCACCTATTAAAGTGATGGAAGCGAGATTGCTTTCCGTGTTTACATCGTCGTGTAGCAAGTAACATCTACCAAGCAGCAATCATAAGATCAGAGACAGAGTGAAGTGAGTGATAGCGCGGCGAAGCGCGACGCGACCGGAAAGAGCCTACACCAAAGACGCGTCCGTGCGGCTACAGACACCAATACCATACAGATAAATTCAGACAGAACAAGCTCAATGGACTACTGGCATAATATTCTTGGCATGGGTTATTCAGAATGATCTTCAGGTCAAATAAATATATTTGTTCGAGGCAGTAAACAGGGTGCACTCAATTTGTCAGACAGACGTCTTGGTCTAGATTTCATCAACTTCCCACAAATACATCATAGTCGGAAGCAAATAGCTCATACGCTGGAGCTTATACTTCCACTTCTTATTACGGTATATTCTCATAACCCCTTCGACCGCTCAGAAACCCTCTCGCGTACGCCGTGAAGATGAAACAAAGAACGCCAGACACCCATATCTTACGCCGATATATATCCCCCTGAGAGAAGGCAGTCTTGATCTTTGAGATCGGGTATCAAAATTTAAAAGTACGTGTTCATACGTCTAGATATGGGGGGAAATTTGCTTGCGCAACGTCTTAGTGAAAAACGTGGGTGTGAAAAGGGAAAGATCGAAACTTCGAACCGACCGCAAGAAGGGCCATGCGAAACGGAGAACAGGGAAGGACCTGTCTATTTTGGAGAACACTTAGCCCATACCGAACAGGTACTTGAGTTCATTCAAGTTGAGACGAGTCAGACTCTTTGAAGCCTTTTCGTCAAGAGCGGCATTGATCTCATCGCGCTTCCTGTCCTGAATGGCGACGATACGGTCTTCAACAGTCTCGGGTACAATAATGCGATGTACATAGACTTCGCGCTCCTGGGGCATGCGATGAGCGCGGTCGATAGCCTGCTCTTCGATGAACGGGTTCCAGAAGGGATCAAGTATGATCACCTGAGATGCCTTCCAAAGATTGAGACCAGCGTTACCAGCTTTGAGAGAAACCAACATAACGTTTTCGTTTGGATCGTCCATGAAAGCGTTGACGGCGTTGGCACGTTCATCCATCTTCATGCTGCCGTCGTAGCGTTGATATGTGATTCGCTCACGGTGCAGAGGAACTTCGACAAGATCGAGTAAGGACGTGAACTGAGAGAAGATTAACGTCTTTTCGGTCGGGTCGTTATTCTTGATCTCTTTGATTAGTTCAACGGTCCTGTTAATCTTCGCAGACGGAATGTAGGTCTTGTCTAGACGACGCAGGTAGCGCTTCTTGGCGCTCTTGTTGCGAAGTGACTCCTTCTTGAGTTGAGCGAGAGTCTGCTTGGGTTTGGCACGGGCCTTGCCCTTGCCCTTGCTGTGTTTGTTCGGCTTCCTGGCCTTTGGCTCCACCTTGGTCTCGAGTGCGGAGCCGAGCTCATCATCAGCCTCCGCCTCATCGGCTGCGTACTCTTCATCTTCTTCATCATCAACGATGAAACCAGCTAGGTTACCCTTCTTGTCAACATCTGGCGCTTCGTCTTCGTCCTCAGAGTCGGAATCGGAGTCTTCGTCCTCGGCCTCGGCCTCCTCTTCTTCAGATACGTCGGCCGACCCAAGACGATCAGGGCAGTGGACCTTGCAGAAGTGCTTGTAGTCCGTTATCAGCCTGGCCTTCAGTTCGCCACGACAGTGTGGGCACCTAGGCGTGCTAGTCTCGTCGTTGCCATCCTGTGCGGCGCGCATTGCCGGATCAATGAGCTTCTGGACACACTCACCGCATACCGTATGTCCACACGGGATGATGATGGTCGGATTCGGATCAGCTTCGAGACATATAGGACACTCAAATGTATCGTTTGCCTTCAGCCGAACAATAACATCGTCATTCAATTCTTCCGCACGGATCAAGAGGTCGTCTTCGGCAATACCCTCAGTCGCTGGTTGACTGAGGTCTTTGATCAGATGTGGATGACAGCATGCTTGACGGAGGCGAAGCAATAGAACCAAAACGTTGGCGTAGTTGGCTGTGACCGTACCCTTCTGAAGGTATTTGTTCATCTGAAGCTGCGACTTGGTTTCTAGGGCCTTGTAGAGGGCATGTTCTTCATCTTCAAACTCCACATTATCAATAGCCGAGTGCTTGGGTGGGATCACTGAAACAGGCTCTCCATCGACAACGGAGTCTTTCTGGCGTCGGAGCATAATGGCTTTGATCAGGATTTGGATACGATCAAGCGCGCGCTTCTTCGTGTGCTCGTTGGTGGTCTTCATGGGCTACAATCCGTTAGCAAATTATAATACTGTAGGGTCAGACTACTCTGCACTTACTTTGGCGATCTCGAGACTAAACTTGGTCCAATTACAATACGGCTCTGCCTTCAAAAACCGAAGAAGTGGGAAAAGCTCATCAACGCTGTTCATCATAGGCGTACCTGTCATGCACAAACGGTGTTTAGCCATAAGATCAGCGCAAGCCTTGGAGGACTTGGAGTTGCGGTTCTTTATATTGTGAGCCTCATCTATAACGATACGATACCACATGCACTCTTGCCCTAGCAGCGCGAGCCTGTCTTTAGCTTTGCGACGCATGCTAGGGTTGCGCAGCTCTTGGTCGTTGAGCATAGCTTCTTTCGAAGACTCCCTCTGTTTGAACTCCGAAGTGAGAGATCCAAATGTGGTCAAGACAACATCAAATTGACGAAGCCGAGCGAAATCAGCGTTCTTGCCACTGCCATGATAGAGGTGAACACTGAGCCTATGACGAGGATGGACATGACGTTCAATTTCCTTCTCCCACTGCCGCATAAGCGCAACAGGTGCGATTATGAGTGTTGTCTTGCAAGCCGGATTAGTGGACGGGTTCGCGCAGATGAGAGCCAGAGCCTGTATTGTCTTGCCCAAACCCATCTCATCCGCCAAGATGCCGCCCTTGGTCGAGCCCCGCTCCTTCTTGAGCAGCCATGTGAGACCGATACGCTGGTACGGCTTCAGGATGCAGGTCATGTTCTTTGGTGTGGGCTCTCGATCTTCGATATTCTCGCCATCATCCTTGATGTTCTCGAAAAGCTTCTCTATCGCGGCCGCCTCGTCAACATTGAGAGGAAAACTGCCATAATTGTCTTCGTCACTGTCTTTCCCTCGCATAAAGGGAGAAGGGTAACCTGCTCTGGCACGTTGATAATGGGGGGTTGGTTGCTGATATCCGTAACCACCGCCCGGTGCACTCGGTCCGATCAGGAACTCAGCAAGCTCTTCTGAGGCCATGAATTCCTGATTGAACGCATCAGCTGGTGCCATGATGCCATTTTCATAGTCTCCTTGATAAGTGCTGAGCTCTGGAAATGGCTCATAGAACAGATGCTGAATGGGATCTGATTGCGCATACATACGAGCAGGGAGCTCGAAGCGTTCAGGCGAAGGGGGGTCAGACTCGGTCAGGTCGACGAAGGGTATAGGTTCAGATTGACTTGTAGGAAAAGACTGTCGGCTAGGGAGTGATTGTGACCATGGGCCGACAGGCGAAGTTGGAGTTACGGGGCTTGGCTGCCCACTGACACGTTTGGCCTCTGGATAGTCAGATGATCCCAGACTTCGTTTCCGGCTCTGTTTTAGTTCAGGCAGAGGCGGAGAGGGTACTTGCAAGCCGTATGACGCACCATTGCTGTATGATGGGCCGCTGTGGTAGTTTGTGGGGTCGTGTTGCTCGACGTGTCCCCAGATACCATTATCGACATTGCTGTTGTCGGGCTGGAAGGCTCTTGCCAGTGCTTCAGCCTCGATTTCGCTTTGCCGCTGCTGGTCCGATAGCCTCTGGTACAGCTCGCTCAGCATGTTCTCGTAAAATGGCCTGTCATGGACATTGACGTTGGGAAGGACGGTATTGATGAGCTCAATGTGCTCTTGAATATTCATGGCTTCTTGCGACGCCATCTTGGCTTATACACTACTGTGGTAAAGTAGCCGAGCGATAGGGAATCGGTTGTAGCGGGGGCGTGGTGGTGGTGGTGGTGGTGGTGGGGTTGTGTCGCAAGTAGTGCGGCGCAGGCGGTTTCTATGGAAGCAGGGCGCGAGGAGTGCTGCGGCAAGGTGAAAGTGAATGTGGAGATGGTTCTGGTGGTGAGCGTGAGGCCCAGAAACCAGGCTGCCGTGCCTGCCCAGCTGGGAGGGAAAGAGCCGTCGAGGCAGTTGCAATGGTGGGCGCGACGCGTTGCGCGGGCCTTCTACCGGATATACGACGAAGCGGGAAGCGACGAAGGTGGTGAAATCAAGCAACGGGTCCGACAAAGAAGTGAACACAAACGAAGAGACGACGAGCGGACAAGGCGCTCCCGTCCTACCGTATTGGGGGCATGATAGCCTTGGGCAGTGGGGGGTGTGTTACAAGACGACGACGACAATTGGAGATAATGCGAAAGGCACTGCGCAATCCGACTCGTCGCGTCCCCCATGATTACCGAGAGGGCTGCCTTTGCTAGGCTGAGCGTGATGTCATCAGATTTAATCAAATCCAATAGAGCCGTCCATCAGGCGAAATGTGCAAACGAACGGTACACAGGGCGCGCAAAAAAGCCTTCTGCGCAGCTGCTGAGTTGGCCACGAGGCTGAAAGCTGAAGGACTTTGTTCTGCTACGCTCCGGTGAAGCAAACATGTCTATAGGGAGCTTGGCGTGCATCCATGTACAACGACGTCAAGCGAGGCGCGCGAGAGACGCGAAAATAATCGTCCTCTAGCTGCATGCAGTGGCTTCTCTGTCTATCATGGTCGAGTACGAGCATATGCATCGCAATTAGCAATTGCTCATGCCCCACCCCCAAACTGAGTTGTGTGAGTGACAACATCGAGTCTTGCACCCCGCGCCTGGTAAAAAGCAACAAAGGCATCACGAACTGTCTAGTTCGCTGCAGTAGGTGCAATTCAGGTATATCAAAAAGGCCATATACCTCGGACGAGTAGAACATCTCCGGCCAACCAGGCAGCTACATAGTCACAGAATTTGCAAACAAGGCAGCGAGTCCCCCAAAGTGCATGCATCATGGTCAAGCCGTGCGGCTGAACCCACCTGGCCCCCACCATCGTCCTCAATCATGAGCAAAAATAGTTGTTCATATCGAAGTGGCAAATTTTTGAAAGTTGCAAGAGCGACTTGAGCACCGCCAAAATAGATTCAATCCTTGGTAAAGCGAAGGTATCCGATACACACAACATTGCACGCCATTCAGACAGCCAAGTCAGACCCAGAGGGAACAAAACGCCCAAGATATGCAAAAGAGGTTTGCGTGCAAAAGCATGCGATAAAAAAAGCGGTAGGTAAGAGATAATACTCCCGACCAAAACAACAAGGACAAGTAAAACGCCAATGCTCGCTATCCGATCCGACCCCATCCAGTCCCCGTTCTTCTACCCAAGAGCCATCGCTTCGATTGGAGATTCGGGGTATTCGGTAATGATTCGACAGCCGGCTAAAACAGTTCTTTCGATATGTCGACGACGGTGTTGACGACGACGATTGGCGGCCAGGCTTCTAATCAAGCCTTCTCCTCTTCCTTGAAGGTCACAAACTCAGCTACTGTGACTCCGCAGCAAAAGCTACAACACACACATATTAGGGTCAATTTACTCACAAACTAGCGGACAAGGAACGTACTCTCTCGACACTGCCATTATCCGTCTGATCCACCGCCAGAAGATTTGGACTTTGTGCCCCACCACCTCGTTCTGTGAAGCCTCGTGAATCGAGCTGTGGTCGCTTCTTGCCGGGACTGGGCAGTCCTCCAGATGACGATGAAGCGCCTCCATTGTCGTTGCCCTTTGCAGGCAGAGTGATGTTGGGGAGGTGCGATGATGCTGTGTAGCGTGGCTCGCTCGAGTGGTCGTACATAGTGCTGCCGACTGTGGCACAGCGAAGGATAGTTTGGATGAGTTGGTTTTGGCGTAGAGGTTTGGAGAGGTAGTCCTGAGAGTTGAGTTAGTAACAGACAAGCGAAACGAGATAATAGTAACGTACGTCCATCTGCGCAGCAAGACACTTTTCGCGATCGCCAACCATGGCGTGCGCTGTTAGGGCGATGACTGGTGTCGATGGAATGCCGTTATCACGTTCCCATTCACGGATCTTTGCAGTGGCTTCGAAACCACCCTGACATGTTGTTAGTTACGAACCACGAGTTAGCAGTGCAGCTCAGCTTACCATAACAGGCATTTGCACGTCCATAAGCACGCAGTCGTAGCGTTTCTTCTGGATGTGTTCAAAGGCCTCAAGACCGTTGTTAGCCACAGTGACTCTGTGGTGGTACTTCTCTAGAATCCTGACAGCAAGCTTCTGGTTGACAGCGTTGTCTTCGGCCAGAAGAATCTGGAACGACTTGGAATGGTCTGAGACCAGAGGTGCAGCGCGTCCATCAAGTGCCGGAATGAGCGCATTGCCCAAGTCGATTGGTAGACAAGGCGTCGTCATATAGCTCGAGATACCATTCTCAAGCGCGGACCTGAGGCTGATGCATACATGTGGTGTGAGCATGACGAGAGGAATGTACTTGAAGCGTTCCGCGATCCTGAGCTCTCGCGCAGTCTTGTCATTGTCGACAATGACGCAGTCATACGGCATGTCTGTCCTCTTCGTCGTCTCAGGCACTTCCTCAACTGAGTGCACCACCATGGGCACAAGATCGAGAGTCTTGAGGTGCTCAATAATTTGGTCCGAGAAGCCAGTGTTGCCTTGATCGACAAAGAGCACAGTGTGTTGCTTGTATGCCACGAGCTGAGGCTGTATGGCTTGGATTGCCGGCTTGCCAAGACGTACTTTGCATGTGAAGTAGAACACACTGCCCTTGCCAACGTCTGATTCGACCCACATGCGGCCACCCATGAGAGTGACGAGACGTTTGGAAATGGATAAACCCAGTCCGGTACCTCCGAACTTCCTGGTAGTCGAGCCGTCTGCCTGCTGGAAGGTATCGAAGATGAGGTTGAGCTTGTCGCCACGGATACCTATTCCAGTGTCGGAAACAGCAAATTGGAAGACATAGTGATCTGGGTCACATTCTTGTTCTTGCGCCATGGAAATGGCTACCTTGACTTCTCCGAGCTCGGTGAATTTGATAGCATTACCAACCAAATTGAGAATGATCTGCCTCAATCTGAAGGAATCACCAACAACGTAATCGGGCACCTTGTAGGACACGTCATAAGCGAGGTTCAACTTCCGCTCGTTGGCTCTCGACGCTAAAGACTTGAGTGCGTTGAAGATGGTGCCTCGCATTGAGAATGGAATCTCTTCCATAACCATGCGGTTCGCTTCGATCTTGGAGATATCAAGGATGTCGTCGATGATGGTCAATAATTGACCAGCCAAGTTATGAACGATGGTCAACATCTCTCGCTGTGCGTGCGTAAGGTCGGTGTCGAGCGTAAGTTGAGTCATTCCGATGATACCATTCATGGGTGTTCGAATCTCGTGAGACATGTTGGCTAGGAACTCGGATTTCGTCTTGTTGGCCAACTCGGCTGCCTCCCTGGCGGCCGTATTCCTCTGGATACTTTCCCGCAAACTGGACACCATCTGGTTGATCTTCCTCTTCAGCTCGTCCATCTCACCGGAAGCTTCGACGGTTATTTGAGTGAACTTGCCCTCCATTGCAGCGTTGGTGATGTCACCGAAAGCGCGCACTTGTGACGTAAGGTTCTGAGCCATGGTGTTGACGTCTGTAGTGATTTCTTTCCATCGACCATCAATGTCTTTTACGTCTGCTTGACCACCCATCTTTCCGTCCACGCCCACATCGCGAGCTACACGCTTCACGGCGAGAGACCATTCATCAAGTCTCATAACCATGTCGTTGACGGTGTCTTTAAGCAATCGGATCTCTCCTTCGGCGTCCACGTGAACTCTGCGGCTCATGTCTCCCTTGGCGATGGCCTGCGTGACCTCAGAAATACTTCGTACTTGCAGCGTGAGATTCTGGGCCATAGTGTTGACATTGTTGGTCAGGTCCTTCCATTTGCCCTCAACGTTGTCGACCTGCGCTTGGCCGCCCAGGATACCGTCTGTTCCGACCTCACGGGCAACCTTGCTAACCTCTTGTGCGAATGTATTCAACCGGTCCACCATGGTGTTGATGGTGATCTTGAGGGACAGGATCTCACCCTGTACTTCTGCCTTGACCTTCCTGCTGAGATCTCCTCTTGCGACGGCTGTAGTGACTTCGGCAATTTCTCGTACTTGTGTTGTGAGATTCATGGCCATACCGTTCACATTTTCAGTGAGATCTTTCCAGGTACCCTCAACACCATGCACTGTAGCCTGTCCACCAAGCCGACCCTCGGATCCGACCTCTCGCGCAATTTTGGTAACTTCGTGAGCAAACTGCTGCAACTGGTCCACCATGCGGTTGATCGTAACCTTGAGTTCCAGAATTTCACCCTTGCATTCGGCTTCCACTTTCCGGGTGAGGTTACCTTGTGCGACGGCTGTTGTTACTTGGGCTATATCTCGCACCTGGGTAGTCAGGTTCTGAGCCATGGCATTCACGTTTACTGTCAGTTCGTTCCACATGCCCTTGACACCAGCAATCTCAGCCTGACCACCAAGCTTGCCTTCAGTTCCGACATCCCTAGCCACTTTGGTGACCTGGGTAGCAAATGACTGTAGCTGGTCCACCATGCTGTTGATCGTCTGCTGTAGCTGTAGGATTTCTCCGCGGGCCGGACGCTCAATCTTACGACTGAGATCGCCCATGGCGACAGCGGTTGTGACTACGGCGATCTCTCGCACCTGGTCGGTAAGATTCTTGGCCATCCCATTAACTGCAGGACACGTTAGTATCGGCCCGATAGTGGAACCCTAATCACAACGTACCACTATCAGTCAGCTCAGCCCAAATACCAGCAACTCCTGGTAGGTTGGCTTGACCGCCCAATCTGCCTTCGGTGCCGACCTCTCGGGCGAGAAATGTGACTTGACTTGCAAACTCCTGGAGCTGGTCCACCATGGTGTTGATTGTGCGCTTGAACAGGGTGATTTCAGGGTCCATCTCCTTAGCATGAATCAAAACCTTTTTGCTCAAGTCACCCATAGCGACAGCTGTAACGATGGCGCCAATTTCCCGCAGTGCTTTTTGGAAAGCCAAGTTGGCTGTGAAATGTCAGCCACAACGTTGCCTATTGGAGGGTGCTCGACGATACCTTGCTGATGCTTGCCGAGCTCCCTTTTGAGTGCGCCAATGTCTTCAATGCCGTGTTCGAATACCATGCTCTGTGTAGTTAATTGCTTGTTCACTTCCTGGCTCAGGTTGTCTGTGTTCTATCAGCATACAAGACATGCAGAAGTCATGTGTAGGCTCCTACCAATATGCTCGCGCTGGTTTCGAATCTGATCAGCTTGCTGGTTCAAGTGTACTCGCAGGTAGTTGAGCTGCTCTTCAGTGAGAGCCGCCGCGGGTTGTTCGGGGTCGCCATTCGACTCTTTGGCAGCGAGCCAGTTGGAGACCCAGATGGCGCGCTCCTTGTTGGATCCACGACGTCCTTGGGTGGGTGGGCCGTTGTTGCTGCGGAAGACTCCTGCTGGCGTATTTAACGCGCCATCCTCGGGTGGCTCTTGTGCTGGTGTCAGAGGGAACTGGCCCTGCTGATTCGCAGCATGGCTGCTCTTGTGCTCGAGAAAATCTATTCTTGAGCACAGCGCCGACAGCTCCTGCTCTAGTTGTGTCTTCTCTTCGCTGTCCGGGCCTGGCAGAGCGATGGCATTGGCAGCTGTTTTGGCTCCATTGGCAGAAACTTGTGCGCTGAAGCTAGGGTCTCGCGTAGGGTCATGTTGGCGGGCGAGGTTGCGGATGATGGCTGAGACGCTCGAGTACGTCTCTGCGGCCATTGTGGCGGCGGGTGGAAGGGTGAAAGGCTCGAAAGGCTGCTACGTGCGCATCTGGAACGGGCAAGATGAAGAGGAATGTGACGGGTCGGGTATCGATGGGAGAGCAGGCGGAAATGGACAAAGGAGGGACTGAAGAGCCTTCCGGGGCAGACGACTGCGAGGATACTGATGGATCGCGAGACGAAGTTGGGAGGTATCGAAGAGGCGCGAGCAGGGGACGCCCCGCTAGGATGGATATCCAGTATCGCCCAATCAAGGTTAGCGTCAAATTTAGCAGCTAGGCAGCGTGGTGAAATAGCCGCAAGCCACCAGTTGCACGAGTCCGCGGGGACTTGCAAAAACTGCGTGGGAAAGAAAGCGCGAGTACAGCCCGACGAAGCGTGCTACGGTATGCTGCCTCACTCTCCCGCAGGATTGCCCGAATTGCTGCCGGGTTTGGAAAACAGACTGGAGGCAGAGTGACAGCTGCGGCGCTAGGCCGAGAAGGACCTAGCACAGCCCTGGTGGAGTGAAGCCGTGCACGTTGGACCTTGGAAAACGGACATGTCGGACCATGCTAACCAACGGCCACTTGCTTGAACCTCCCACGGCGAATTCAGCGCCCTCAGCACAGCGAGACCGCACACCTCACACCGCCGACGTCATCCTCCCTGTCCAGCCCCTCGCCGACACCGCGAAATGAAGTGCGACCATGCACCCAGCATCCGCGTGCCATCTTTTAGCACGCACGGGTATACGAACAGAGCGACGAATGGCAGCACGACCGAAGCCACCCAGCACCCGCCCATGTGGCAAATTACCCCTATTCGCTGCTAACGGCGGGCGGAACAGGCATCGCCTAACACTGCAGCGCACTCGGGATACGTTAGACTTCAACGCCCTCGCTGGAGTGTGAATGCGCCTCCAATCTAACCACGGCTTGACTGCGCTGCTCTCCTGTTTGATCTGCATGCCACTGCGCACATGGTACTCGTGCCATGGTTTCAGTGCCATCGATCGCAATACAGTGCGGCGTGGCGATGCATCTCAGATCTTATCATGCCATGCTGACACCTGACAGAGGGGCTCTTTGATGGTGGGCACAGTGGGGTACACTTGTTCACAAAAGAGTCGCTTCGCTCAGGGTCTCTCCCGGGCGTCCGGCCTACTGTAGTAAGCGTGTTTGGGCGGAAGCCGGCACATGCTTGGTAACACGCGAGGACGTGTTTTCTAGACGGCTTCTTGGTTTTTCCAATTTTGACTCGCCATTGCATGAATTCAATGAAGATTGGGGAACCCGGTCGGCACATCCGACCATCCCCCGGGTAGTAGCCTCGGGGAACTAATCATCCAGCGTCCCGATTAGTCTACGCCATTGACTAACAGGTCGGCAAAATTTCAATATTGCCTTTTACATCAATGCGGAACTCAAAGTTTATCAACGGCATCCACATGTGTATCTGGTTATCCAAAATTGTTATGAGATCATACCTACCTAGACCCTTACATCTGGCCTCCTAAGGTTCTCTCCATCATCTCAGGACGAAGTGTCACCAGGGGGTGAAAGAATTTGTGTCGTATTAGACCTTAGGATGCTATCTTCCACACCTATGTATATAAGGTAAAACGTATCCCGAAGGTACTCGTAGGGTTTTATTTCAACAGAGTCGGGAGATGCAAGACAGTGTACACCCCTGCATGTAGTATTCGTTGCAACTTGCTCAAATTAGGCTTTCATGTAGATGGTACATGATCTCGTACGAACAGGCGTTCTTTGCAGTATACGGAACAATCACGACTCTCGACATCGAAGCATTGCGCTATGCCGTTGCAGTGGTTCCTTACTGCATAAAAAAACAGCACATGTAGTCAGAGTTAGCACAGCACAGAAGATGCGTATAGAGAATCTCAATCCTACCACAGTATAGCAGAAGTTATGCAAGCAAGAAGTTGGACTGAAACACGCGTATTGATCAAATGGTGACTCCGATCGTTCAGTCCATAGTATTTTCTCAGAGTCCAATTTCCTCCATGTCTTATTCTCGCACGTCTCTAGTAATCTAGGAGCGCCTCGGTCGACGGCTGCCAATTACTTCCCATTCCCGTTCCCAACCCCAAGGCACCCATCCGCCACTGAGAGGTGGCCATACTAGGCCTCTGCGATAGTCTCAGTGTTCGACCTCCATCTGTAATTGTGACCATGTCCCTCTCTCCGTTCGCACCGCCTTCGTGTGGCAGACTGGGTACGTTCCATTCACCCGTTCGTCGCTCATAGATGTCTCTTCTCGGGCTGTTTAAGGATCTCGATAGCGTTGGTGGAAGGAAAAGTCTCGCGCGGCATAGTGGACATGTGGTCGATGATGCGACCCATGCGCTTAGGCAGGACATGTGGAAGATGTGGCCGCATTGATCGATTTTTGAGGCCGGGTTCTCGTATGTGTAATGTTCGAGACAAATGGAACAGTCGGCTTGGGTATTGTTGGGCGCGCATGTGCGGAGGGGCTTTAAGCCGTATGTGAGGAAGGCATCATCTGATGTGTAGGGAAGGATTGGGGATGTAGCTGTGCTCGTGGTTGTGGTTGTGGTAGGTGGCATGGCTGTGTCCTCGGTGATGGTGAGAATCCCGAGATTGTAAGAGTCTTGTAATGGTTAGACTTTTGTGGTAGTGAGATTGTTTAGAGAAGAGTGTTGCGATGGAAAGACCAAAAGAGAATGTAGCCTCCCTTTTTATGAGGGCAATTTGTGTTGGACTCTGGTAGCATTACTTCGGTGTGGTTCCGTCGACCCAAGGAATGATGATTAGGCGAATCACGACTTATCAGATACCAATGGTTCGCGAAATGCGTGCTGCCATGAGAACGGTGGTATCGAAAATTGGATAAGCAGTATTAAAGAAGATAGGCCTGGCTACCTAAGCTTCTTAGCATGCGCAACCAGGCTCTCGATAACTTGCTCAAATGCGTCCTTATCTCCGAGTGCGCTCTCCAGTCGCTTCTGCCAATATTCAAATACCTCTTTTGCTCTTTCTTGCAGTCCCTTCAAATGATCAATGTGCATCTTCAGCTCATCATCCGTCAGCCCTTGGAGCGCTGCATCCGTCGTCGCGCATAGTTGCATCGTACTGCTGATGTCCAGCTCTGGAGGAGGTGGTGGTCCCTTGCGTTTTCGCTCTGGTTTCGAACTTGATGAGTCGACTGAAGTAGAAGATTCGTTCTCGCGCTTGATTCGTCCTAATGGCCCACCATTATTCCGACCGTCTGAAGAGGGGCGAGGGGAGCGATCGCCGGGTATGTGTATCGAAGGGAGAATGAGTTTCTTTTGTTTCGAGGCGGGAAGGATTTCGTCAAGATCAACTGGAACACCTAGTGAGACCAGGAACAACCGCCGTATACGTGAGCGAACCCAATCAGGGGGCTGCAGTGGAGGCGGTGCGACTAATTGCGTCCATAACGAGTGGCTGCGTTCTGAGAGGAAGATGGATCGGGTCTCCTCGATATTGGTGGATATTGTGGGTATGTCGTCGTGTGCAGGGTACATGTCATCTAAGTAGGGCTGTGTTGCTGTGACGATTTCTTCAAGTGATGTGAGTTGATCAAAGTCTAAGACGGGCTGTGTAATGAAAGGTTAGTCAGACTATCACCACAGCAAGCGGACAAGGCAGTAGTATATGTGGACTAGAATTGCTGCGACTTACAGGACCTGGCGAGGGGACAGGTACAGGAGGCTGTTCTGGGGGCTTATCAAACGATGTCTCTGCATCGTCCTCGCCTTGCTGAAACCCATCGTCAAAGTCCCCAAAATCATCGTCACCCTCTTCGCCTTGTTCAAAGTCGTCGAAGTCGCCAAAACCATCGTCGTCACCGTCGTCCTCGCCAAAGCCGTCATCTTGCTCAGCGGAGGCATCGGCTTCCGGCACAGATTCGGTTGCGTCGTCGCTCGGGCTTACTGGAGACCTGTCATGCGAGGTTGGTGACCCTTCTTCCGTCAATGGTACGCAGGAGGCACCAAGGAAATGCCCTACGTACCTGGGTTGCTGCGCTGTGGAGGCTCTGGTGCTCTGACAATTACATCAGGCGTAGCATCGGCAAGACGCTGCTGGTGGGCAAGTGTACCGGGAACATCGCCGTAGCTGGGCTGGTCGGGATCGATCTTCTCGACGATTGTCTTGGGCACTGGCGTTCCTCCTGGTGTAAGAGGCCTATCACTTGTGCTAACGCGAGACGTACTACGACTTCGCGTGCCGTCGGGTACAATCTCAACCTCGTCGGGTACTGCGTCTTGGGTGCGCATGTTGTATGCGTCTGTACCTGGCACCTCGCCGTGGGCCGGCTCGTCGTCTACTCGCTCAACTCGCGTGATGGGAATGGGCGAGACCATCTCAGACCGTCCGGGCTGGCCTTCTGAGGCATCAGAGAAGTGTTCGTCGCTGGACTCGGCTGCATTATGTTAGGATTAGTACGGGCAAGTGGGACAGCCAACATACCCAGCTCTTTCGCGCCAGGGTCTTCCAGCTCTACACTCTTGCGGGGCGGTGCTAACTCGTCCGGCATGTCGACGATGTTGAATGGATCTTCACTTGATACGTGTATTTCTTATACAAGCACCCGTACAGACTTGGTCTACCAGATTGGATGTGGAGGACAAGTACAGTGTGAAGGCGACAAGTGGAAGTGCTGCGCCTCGTTGCTTGAGCGTGTCGTCGTTGTCTCAGGCACGCTCGATTAGCGGGGGACGAGCGGTCTGGACGCTCCAGCACCGGGAAGGTGGGAACAACAATTCACCGGAGCTAAAGCTTGACCCATGCACCTGTTTGTCTAACTTTTGGGTTGCGACGACATTGATGCGCGTGAGAAGAATAAACGTTTACGCGCATCCCTTCCAACTCGTCAATTAGCGGCCCGGCACACTCATCTACGGGCGCAACACGACTAGACATTTGCGCGTTCCCAATCTCGCCGACATAAACAGCTCTTTCACCGTCAACACAAACACCCGCCAGAGCTCCTCCACCACAACCGCCATCATGAGCTTCACATTCGGCCAGCAAGGCAACAACAACAACAGCGGCGGTAGCAGCACACCGAACAAGTCGCTGTTTGGTGCTGCGCCTTCCACTGGTAGTGCGACGCCATCTCTCTTTGGAACTGCAAACAACAACACGTCCAGCACACCGGCCAGCGGCGGTCTGTTTGGTTCTGCTGGTGGTAACACAGGCAGCTCAGGCGGTCTTTTCGGCGGCGCATCGAGCACACCTGCGTCCAAACCAGGCGGTCTTTTCGGCGGAGGCTCAGCTACACCTGCTGCGTCCTCGACACCAGCTTTCGGCGGCGGCTTTGGTTTCGGAAAGAAGGAGGGAGATGCGCCAAAACCAGCTGGAGGCCTATTTGGTGGAGCTTCTACTGGCGGACCGGCAACGTCTTCTGCGCCCTCGTTCGGATTCGGTAACGCAGGTGGTGAGCATCCAAGCACATTCCCGACTTCCAACGCGTCTGCTAACACCGCATCTAGGCTCGACACCAACAGCTACACCCGCAGTGAACAAGACGTCGTTCCTTCCTTCCACTACCCCAGCCGGCGCCCCTCCAGGTCCAAGCCTGTTTGGGCAGAATAACCAGGCCAGCGGAGGCACATCCTCTTTGTTTGGCGGCGCAAAGCCAGCGGCAGCCACATCGTCTTCCACACCAAGTCTATTCGGCGCTACTGCTGGCCAACCTGCTGCTAAACCCTCAGGAGGCTTCAGCATAGGAGGAAACACGGGGGCCTCAACCGATACGAACAAGCCCGCTGCTCCCGCAAGCAACCTTTTCGGAGGCGGAAACCAGTCAACCCCTACTTCACAAGACGCGCAGGCTTCTAAACCTGCAGGCGGCCTCTTTGGTGGGCTGGGCAGCACAACTCCCTCCTCGACACCCGCGAAGCCCTTGGGAGGATTTAGTGTGGGTGCTACACCCGCACAGCCAGCTTCCTCCCAGCCTTCGTCTACTCCGGCCTCTGGCTTGAGCCTAGGTGGAAACAACGCTGCGTCATCTGCTTCTGCAACACCTAGCCTGTTCTCACCTGGAGGAGCTTCCACACCGGCATCTACAGGTGGTGGCTTCAGCTTTGCCAAACCTGCTGCTCCTGCCAGCACGGCTGCGACTACTGGAGCTACAACCACTGCCACAAGTGGTGCACCCACGACAACCGCATCATCGGGCACATCCTTGTTCCCAAGCATAGGAGGTGGATTGGGAGCCGGGAATACTCCGTCCTCTGCTCCTGGGACTGCTGCTACTACCACCTCTGGTACCACCTCTGGTACCACCCCCAGCTTATTTAGCAAGCCCGCAGGAAGCGAAGCACCAGCGGCGTCTTCCAACACCACTTCACAGCCAGCCCATTCCCTTGGAGCAACTAGCGGAAACAATGCAGTTCAGAGCGGGCTTGCTGCGTCGACTGCCGGGCCCGCACCGTCAGCGCAGTCACGGCTGAAGAACAAATCCATGGACGAGATCATCACACGCTGGGCCGCCGACCTCTCCAAGTACCAGAAGGAATTTCAATCGCAGGCTGAGACGGTCGCATCATGGGACAGGGCTCTGGTCGAGAACTCGGACAAAGTCCGCCAACTGTACTCGAAGACTTTCCAAGCCGAGCGCGACGCCGCTGAGGTCGAGAGACAGCTGACCATGATGGAAGAGAACCAACAGGAGCTCGACTCATATCTAGATCGCTATGAGAAGGAGATTGACAACCTCATGAAGATGCACGGTGTCAGTGGCAAGAACGAGACCCTACGCGGCCCAGACCAAGAGCGCGAGAGGACGTAAGTGAAATCCTAAGAACTGCCTATATCTACAAGTCAACTGACAACCACATAGTTACAAGCTTGCCGAGAAGCTCCAAGACCGCCTCAACGAGCTCAACAAGGACCTCACTGAGATGATTGAGGAAATTAACAATACCTCTCAGACGCTCAGCAAGACGGGCAAGCCAGACGATCCTCTCACCAAGGTCGTCCGTGTTCTCAACACTCAGCTTGCGCAGCTTCAGCTCATCGATTCTGGTGCTTCGCAGCTTCAGGAGAAGATTACCAAGGCACAGAGGGAGACGCAGCGTGTCGGTGCTAATGGCTGGAATGGACTTGGTTCGGATCCTTCAGCCGATTTCATGAACAGCATGCGTGGGGCAAGAGCATCGCAGAGATTTTAATAGGATGGGTTAGCAGAATGATGATGTAGGATAGGCATGGTCTTGTGCTTTGGTTGATAGGGTATGGTCGCATACATTGGCGTTTTCCAGGCGTTTTTTGCACCGAAAGTCGTGCGTACCTTCGAGTCTATAACGTCTCATCAAGAAGTAGACCTAAAAACTAGTAACATACGGTCATGTCAAACACCTACGCCTTCTCTCCATCTCCTCTCCCAAATGTCCCCTCATCCTCACCCTTACCCCTGACGGCATCATGCACAACACCCCCTTCCAACATCCTCCTCCTCTCAGTCCTCGCCTGCATCCACGCCAACGCCGCCGTCCAGGCCGCCATAGCAATACTAACGGCAATCATAGCCCACATACCCCTAGTAAAGTACGGCGCGAAATTTGCCCCATAGAATACGATGCTCCACCATGCGTTGATGGCATTACTTCCCATGTTCATGCTTGCAATGACCACGGCACGTAGACTGTCTTCTTCGTAGCGTAGTACGTCGTTGGCCCAGGCGAAGAAGGTGGCTTGGCAAGCATACACGCTGCCTGCCCAGTAGTACATTGCGAAGTGGATGGTGGTATTCTGGGGGTAGGCGAGAATGAGGGAGGAGGTTATGATGCCGGTTATGCCGATCCAGTAGCCGACGAGATAACGTTTGCCACCCATGAAATCAGTCAGCGTAGCCCAGAACAAAGTTGAGACGATACCGACAGCGGGGACTCCGGTGGGGTAATTATTGTTCTGAGCTACGGTATAAGTGTTTGTAGGATGTGAGCGCATGTACAGTTGCAACAAGGCGTTTGTGCTGAAAGACTCTGTTTCTCCGGCTAGAATCCAGAGGATGACGAAGAAGTACCAGTACCATGTTGAGAAACAATGTCTCAAAAAGGACAAGGATATCGGAGTGCGCTCTGAGACTTCGGGGACGCGTGAGATGGCTAGCGCTTTCTCTGAGGCGCTGAGGTAGGGCGCTCGTGTGTTTCTTGGAGTGTCGGGAAAGAGGAGGAAACCGTAGACGGCTACGGGTAGTGTGATGATTCCGTCGATAACTGAAGGGGGGTTGGTGTTAGTGCGTAGATTGTAGATGTTGCCAAGACAACTTACTAAAGAGCCATCGCCAACCACTCATCCCCCTAAGACCGTCCATGCTACTATGTATACCTGTCTGGATGAAGCCGCCAATCATAGTACCAGCAAGACCTGATGCGGTGAAGATTCCGGAGCGCTTTCCTAGCTCTTTCTCAGTGTACCAGGAACCAAGGATGTAGTGAGTTCCTACAAACGTCGATGATTCAAATAGCGCTTGGAAGAAGCGGATTGCCATTATGTCCTGAGGCTTTTGAGCGGCCGCAGTGACCATTGTTAGGCCTGCCCATGCTACCTGAGATCATGTTAGTCATGATGTCGGATTGAACTCTGGGGAGGAACGCGCACCATGCATGCAGGGAAGAAATAGCGAGGCTTGATGTAGTAGAGTAAAACGTTACATGGCACCTGTCCTATGGTATACCTGAACATGATAGATCAGCATGTGTCTGTATGTCCTTTTTTTCGTGCTCACTCACCCTACAGTGAAGACGGTGTTAATTTGATTGAGTTGGTTGCCTTTGAAGCTCAACTCTTCCCTCATACCAGAGACGTATGCATTGTTGAGATTGGTGCGATCAAGATAATTCAGGAAGTACATGAGACAGCAGAAAGTAAGGATGAAGAAGTCAAGCTTCTGCACCAGCTTGCGCTCGCCTGGCGCATTTTGGTCGCCCCGAAGATAGGCGATGAAGCTGTTAGCCATCTTGAATTGAGATTTTGCTCTCAATTGGGCAGAGGTGATGCGCCCTGTCGCTATGGATGTGCTGTTGAGCAATGGAAGATGACTTTGCTTGTCGTCGAAGAGCTGCCACTATCGGTTATGTTTGTAGTATTGGTTATTCTTCGGATGACATTGTCCGTCCCATGCATCATACGACCGATAGACGCTGGGGGCAGGATATGAACGATACTATGCCACTTATGACTGACTCGAGATAGACACATTCAGTAAGTGTTTATGCCGATCATATCGCCTGTGTCCAAGAGCTGATTGCCGGTATCGGTTATTTGGGTGTTCGTATCTGAGTCTGAACAAGGCAGGTATATCCTCTTGACCAGTGATAGTTTATCTCGGCCGAAGCAACGGGATGCCTGCTAGGAGTTAGTCTGGGTCGGGCGCGTCTAAAAGTGCGGGGAATGGTATTGTCCACGCCTCCAATGGCTTCGGTTGGAGACCACCATCACAGATGGATCGCGGCGCAGGAACCGAGAGTGGCGAGTATACATCGCGGCATGGTGATGAGCACTCACAGAGGCGTTTGAAGTAATTGTCTTCTGATTCAGCAAACACATATACAGCTGTTCTTCGATTTCGCAGTAGCTTGGCGTTGCGAAAGTCTGGAAGTATGACATCTGAAGCGAATTGGGAGAAAGTTGCTGCGGGGAAGCGCGCAGCTCTCGCGGAATCCATTCCGACCGATTATCGCATACCGCAGGACAAGATACCACCAGAGTCACAACTCAACGTGACAACATGGCCCAAGGAGTCTGGATGGTTTACAGCAAACGAGCTTGAGATTACTGAGAGTACCGCATCGCATATCCTAAAGAAGATCGCGTCGAAAGCATGGAGTGCCGAGGACGTCACGGTCGCGTTCTGCAAACGCGCTGCAGCAGCTCATCAACTGGTATGGCAGAACCCCCAAGAAAGAGACTTGAATTAATTCCATGGATGTTTAGACCAATTGTCTTAGCGATGCCTTCTTTGATGAAGCAGTGCAGCAAGCCAAATCCCTCGACAATCATCTCCAACGAACTGGCAAGACTGTAGGACCGCTCCATGGTCTGCCAATCTCGCTCAAAGACAACTTCAATGTAAAGGGAAAAGACAGTACTGTAGGCTTTACTTCGTTGGTGAACCAGCCGGCGGAATACAATGCTACGTTGGTGGAAATACTCGAGCGACTAGGCGCAGTCCGCTATTGCAAAACCAATGTGCCGACGGCCATGATGATCGTACGTATACGCGTATATATACTAGGTAGGGAACTGACAAGATACAGGCAGAATCTGTTAATAACACATTCGGACGTACCGTCAATCCGCTGAATCGCAAAGTCACCTCTGGTGGTTCTTCAGGTGGGGAATCAGCCCTCATCGCGTTTGGAGGAAGTCCTTTAGGCGTCGGAACCGACATAGTATGTTTCATACCACACCGTACACCTCTCATGTCTAACAATATCAGGGTGGCAGCTTGCGTATCCCAGCAGCATGTACTGGCATCTTCACTCTTCGCCCGTCCTTCGGTCGTTTCACCACACAACGATGTAGATCTGGCCTCGCTGGTCAGGAAGCAGTACAAAGCGTCAACGGACCCATGGGAAAAACACTTGAGGATATAAAATTGTACTCAAAGGCTATTGTCGACGCGCAGCCGTGGAAATTAGACCCAAAGATGCTGCCTATCCCGTGGCGGTCAGTGGATGCTCCGACGAAGCTCAAGATAGCAGTGCTTTGGAACGATGGCATATGCTTGCCCACACCTCCTGTAACACGCGCTCTGAAGGAAACGGCAGAGAAGCTGAAGAAGGCTGGACATGAAGTTCTGGATTGGGATCCAAAACTACACGGGACTGCGCTGACACTTCTGGTGAGCCATTTTTAGAACTACACCGACCTCCAAGCTAACAAGCATAGGGACGAATGTTCGTCGCCGATGGAGGTAAGAGTGTCGAAGCATTGCTCGGAATAACAGGCGAGCCGTATCGACCCGAGATGGTTCAGTACAAAGATGCCAAGGAACTGGGCGTGTACGACATGTGGAAACTGCATTCAGAGAGATCTGAGCTACAACGGCAATACTTGGAACAGTGGATGGCCATTGAAGGGCTAGACGCCATCCTCGGTAAGCTGAGTATTCTTACCTATCAAACATCCGTCTCTGACATCTCTTAGCACCCACAACTCCGTACTCGAGCGTAGCGCATGGTGACTTCAAGTATGTCGGGTATACTGGTGTATATAATGTGGTTGACTACGCTGCCGTATCTTTCCCATGTGGGGTCTCAGTCGACAAAGCAATCGACAACCACGCGAGCGACTACAAGCCTCAGAGCGACTTCTGCCAGGATGCATACGACAGCTGTAAGCTATATACTCGGTCGTCAATGGGTGTTCCTAATGACTAATGAAAGACAGATCAACCTGAGCTACTTCATGGCCTGCCAGTTAGTCTCCAGTAAGTACTACATCGTTTCTTGTTTTAAAGGGTAATTCTGACCTCTGCAGACTTGTTGCGCAACGGCTGGAAGAGGAAAAGGTTCTTGCTATGACCGAGACGGTACTTCAGGCGATACGGTCTTAGTGACATGATTACGTAGAATGAAGCCTTACCTTTGGAATATACTTGACGACGCTGTTTCATCCTGATACAGTAGCTGAGCAACGCAGCTTCCTCGTAGCATTAGCAGGGTTTCGAGCGCGTGACATGGCGCAAGAGCTATCAGTCACGTCGAACAAGTAAACAGATGGCTAACATCGACCTTCGTGTTCGTACGCTCCAAACGACACCATTTCTTCTATCTTCCACGTCGTCTATCCTTTTCGACTCATCGTTACAGCGACCAGCTTCTTCTACGCCCTCTACCTCCGCCGCCCTGTTTGCACGTAGGTGCAAGCAATCGAAGTTTGTCTACTCATATTCGTTATACCTTTCGCCCTCATAGCCCACTTCTCACCTGACTCCTTCAGCAATTGGGTCGTCAGACTTCGCGTCAGCGTATAACTACTGTCTTCGAAACCTGCACACATTCGCTGCCCCAGGCCGGTCCAAGCCGTCGTTCATTCCATGGTATGGCCGAGTCTGAGAACAATGCTTCGAAGATATCGAGCGCCCGCACGAAAACGACTCCGGCCTCAGAGCGCAAGAAGCTTGCACCACGGACGACGTCGGATAGACTTCCTTGGCTGAACCACAAATCTGCTCGGACTATGACTGCAGCGTCCACGGATGGTCAAAACAGTACAACCGTGGAAAGCCCATGTAGCTCGCCGGTAAATGGCAAGCAAAGCCCTAATCAATCTCCATCACCAAACACTCGTCCTTCTAGCCTCAAGGCATCTGTTTCGACTGCCTCGCAACCTATTATCACGGCTAAACCAATGGCGCAAAAGAAGTCGTTGGTGCCAGCAGCTGAGCGCCGAATCTCATCGGCGGCTTTCAGTAGCCCATCTCCAGTAACAAGACACCGGCTGTCTCAGGCGCGTCGAGCCTCTTTGGCCTCCAGCACAGTGACTCCGTTGAGGGTGGCACAAGCGTCCATATCGCAGTCACATGAACCGCAGAAGAGACTCTCAATCGTGCACATCAAGCAAGACAACGACAAGCTAGGAGACACCAATATTCATGAACCTCCCCCTCGCGTTGACAGCCTAGCATCCGTTCCGGATCATCTTCAGCAGTCCAGTACCTCAGATTCCACTAGCACAACTCCTGCAGTAGTTTCGAGAGTCCAAAAATCTCCAAATCAACCGGCACCGGTCCCAGGTACCTTCGCGGGATTCATAAATAGAAGAACCAACAACATGGTTGAGGATGTAGAGGATATGGTGAAAGAAGCCGTCGAAGTTGCTGATGTCGTTGATGATCGAGCCCAAGTGGAAGAACTATACGCAATCATCGAGGGAGCGAGAAGCGTTGTACATGATGCTTCCACCGAGCCCGGATATCTCATGACAACCGCGCTCCCTCTGAAGGTATCTGGGTCTTCAAGTTCTTCTTCTCGCCATCAAAACACAAATCCGTCTCTCATCGCCCATCAGAGTGGCGTAGATGATGTCGCTCCCGACGTCTGTCTGCCACACGATCTGCCGAGAGCCTCAGTGTCCTACGATTGGGCCTACTCGAACCAAAACGTTCGAAAAGAAGAGAGTTCCTCTACGTCGTCATGCTCGTCCAGTGATTATGAAAGCGAGCGAGACCATGTCGATTTCGACACGCGAAGCAATCTAGACCTGCCAAAGTTGGTTCAGACAGCTCCAAGAGAACACATAGATTTTGTTCTTCGCCCTGTAGGCCGAAACGAGTCTCGTGGTCGTTCTCGCCGACGTATTACCGGCAATTCCACAGCGCATCGACGTAGTCGCCACCGAAGTCATGAGCATATATCTAGACCAAGATCTCGGCCCAAACCAAGAGATGACTCAGGTTTCGGCGAGACGGATACCTCTCTCGACGAGGACGATACGCCGTCGAAGCCATGTGGCCATGAACTCACGGTACGAGAGCAGGTACATCATCACACGTTCAGTCTCCGACGACATCACCGCAGACAGCCGATTGCGCGAAATTGGTCCACAGGCAAGAAGCGTCTTACTGCTAGTATTGCATGTATCAACACAGCTCTGCTTGGCATTATCATCGGTATCTACGCGGGTGAAGTACCTCGCATACAATACTCCCTCGCGGATGAACGCCATGTCACAATCATAGGCAATGCTGTACTTTACGCTGGGCTTGCTATCTCAACCTTTTTTGCCTGGACACTACCTCTCCTACACGGACGCAAACCCTATATCCTCGCTGCTCTGGCAATCGCCTTACCACTCCAATTTCCCCAGGCCATTGTCGTCAGCGGCTTTCGCAACAAAGACACGAAGTATCGTGTCGGGCTTCTGCTTTCCCGTGGCGTATCTGGCCTCGTTTTTGGATTTGCAAATGTCAATTACATCACCGTGCTACTTGACCTCTTTGGGGCCTCTCTACAGTCCAAGAACCCTCACCAAGAGTTCGTCGTCGCGAACGATGTCCGTCGCCACGGTGGAGGTATGGGCATGTGGCTCGGCATTTGGTCATGGTGTTGGATCGGATCTCTAGCCGTTGGCTTTCAGATCGGCGCGGCGGTTATCGAGAAACTGACACCAGATTGGGGGTTCTACATCGTCGTTGTGATCATCGCTCTTGCCCTCATTCTCAACATCATGACTTCGGAAACGCGACGTGCACCATTCCGAAAATCAGTGACTGAGGTATATGATAGAGACGAAAACTATATCACAAGACGTGTGAGCCGGGGAGAAGTGAAATTACACATCGGAACTGAAGGGCCGAAGTATTGGTTTGAAGAAGTGTGGGCAGGCATCAAACTGATGGCAATGATGCTTTGTCAACCTGGTTTCCTCGTTCTGGCACTCTACCTGGGATGGATATACGCACAGGTCGTACTTGTGATTGTCCTGCTTGGTGCCCTCCTGTCGCGAGACTACAGATGGAAACCGACAAAGGTGGGTGCAGGGGTTATATCCATAGCCATCGGCGCCTTCCTTGCGATTCCCCTGACAAAAGCCGGTATCTTCTCTCGGGAGCGGAAAAGCGCATTTCGTACCGATTCTATGACGTTCCAGAAACAAGTTACCTGGTCGAGCCATCTTGTCCGCCGCGCTATCTTTACGCTCACACTCCCTCTGATGGGCATGGCGTACACTGTCTCTTCGGCTAGTCGCCCTCAACCATGGCTTGTGCCGATTGTTTTCGCTGGCGCTGTAGGCTTTCTCAGTATTCTCGCTATAGCTGAGTGCCACGGCCTGATGATGGAAACATTCGACACATGTGATCTACAACCTGGAGTTAATACGCGACATCGCCTGCAAAGCATGGCCGTACAAGATCGCAGGAGAAGGACGAATTACACCTCCTTTCCGCGTGTTACGGCTGGTATCTTTAGCAGCCAAATTATCGCGTTCATCCTCGCCGCTGTTGCAACGATGGTAGGCGGCAATATGACACGGAATCTTGGCGCTCAGAAGTCCACCGGGACTACGGCAGGCATCCTGTTTGCTCTCACTGTTCTTCTTATCCTGGTCCTATACCGCTTCAAGTCCGTACAGGTTATCCCTAATCATACATTTGGAACCAGGCGCGACACGGCAGCCTGGCAAGAATTCAAAGACCTGGAAAAAATTGGCCGAGGCAGTGACTGGAAGCCTGTTGTCATTGGAAATCCGAGTGGCAAGATGAGGAGAATGAGTGCGCTTGAGTTGGGGGCGTTGAGTCGCTGGACAGAGATTCGGAAATTGAACTTTCTAATCAAAGGAGTCATGTTAGGACAGCCAAAGGAGAAGAAGAGCTTTAGAGATAGTTGGTGATGGTGTTGCGGCCAGATCGTGTATTGCTGGAGAAGTGTTGATTGGGCGTCAGACAGTATTAACCTAAGAATGGATTACAATAACGGATTCTTGATTTCCAACGCATAACAGTTTCAGAGAAAATACAAAACCTCGGAGCGAATGGTGACCTCATATGTGCGACTAGCATGGGATTGTTGAGGTTGTGATGCCAACATTGTTAATCCCCTGAGCCATCCGGCAAGCGCGTCCGTGCGCCGCTGAAAAACCAAGCGTCACTGCCGAGCTCCATCCACCCTCACGAGCAGACGACCGGCGACACCCCATCTCCCCTTCGTCAATTCACATCAAGATGTCTCTCGCTGCATCACGTGCCGTATTACGGCAATCGACGTTCGCCGTCCGCCGCGCTGGCATCCGCAATGCCTCGACGACCGCCGAAGCCACCAACACCGTAAAGGAAACCGCGTCAAAGGCACAGTCAAAGGCATCAGAGGGTCTCACCAAGGTCACAAGCTCCGCGAGCTCTGCGGCATCGGGTGCCGGTCAAGCCGTCAACAATGCGACACAGCAAGCCACTGGACGGGTAGGAAGGATGGTCAATTTCGTGCAAGGTCAGTCACACCATCTCAAAGGCGGGGAAGTGTATCAATTGGCGACCGGAGAATCGTGTGTAGTAGCAAGAGAGGGAATAGCAAAACATGGGGCGCATTGGCTTGTCCGTGTAGCTCTACATGGCTTATCAAGCGCAGCCATATTTGCATGGTTCGATCGTGATAGTCGGTTAGGCAGGAATTCTGATGCAGCGCGATACTTTAGCTTGAACCACGTACTGACATTATCATAGGACTGGTTCCCAAGGCTACCTACTACGGAAGGGTCGGACTTGAGCTCGGCAAGCTCATTGCCCACCAGCGAAGCATGCAACCACCGTACGCCTCCCACAAGCCCGGCTTGGCATACTGGAATATCGGAATAATTACTAACTACTCCCAGATCTATCCAGACTATGCAGAACTACATCCAGCCTGCATTGAACGCTCTCCGTCACCCCAGTTCCCTCTTCAGCCGTGTGGCCAGCGAGGCCAACAGCGCCGCCCAGCAACCCGCCAACGTCCTCGCGCAAGTCCGGAACATGCCCCGCGAACAATGGTACTCTATGGGTGTTGTTGTCGCTGAGGTCATCGGTTTCTTCTCCGTTGGCGAGATCATTGGCCGATTCAAGCTTGTTGGCTACAGGCAGAAGAAGGACGAGCACCACTGAGTGCGATAAGCTTAGGACAGCTACGACACGACTTTTAAGCATGTACTAGGTTCAAGAGGCAGTGAGAAGGACTACGAGGGGTTGGCGAGGAAACACTGTACGATTTCGCGGGCAGGGAAGCTGAGCAAGTGTGTTTGCGGTGCATTAGGGATGGTAGGGATCCGATACTGTTTACTGCACATACCTCTGATTTAGATTCCATTTTCTACATGTGCAATTATTGGCAATGCATCTACTTCAGTACCACGATAAGAATAGCATAGCTGTAGCTGGTTGCGTGAATGCTCAAATGATCGGCGCTAGTTCCGCCGAACCGCCGCGGCCCAATTATTTTTCTGAGCGCGACAATTCAACTTTTGCAATCTGAACGCAGCAGAAACCCAAGACGCTATGAAAGTCAGGACGTAAATCACGCTTTCTGACTATCGTCCGACCGACCGCCCAGTATGAACGTGTTCAAACTCCTCTCGCGATCCTCGAAAGCGGCGCATACCTCGCCCGCGCAAAAGCTTCCTTCTTCCGGCGCTGTCGCAAACCCGCAGCTGTTCGGCCACGACGAGCCAACACAACCATCGGAAACATCGAATACTAGTCGCAAGAGGAAAAGAGGGCAGAATCTGGTAGACGCATCTTCGAGCGCCACTGAACTACCCGCCGATCTTGACTTCTTTGGCAGCGGTGCAAGCAAAGATTCAGAGGCGAACGGAGGTACTCTTTCCAAGAAGCAGAGGAAGAAGCAGAAGCAGCAAGAGAGGAAAGAAGAAGCTAGTCTTCAGGATAGCGCAAACGAAATAGAGGAGGAGCTATACGATGTGGATGAGTGCAAGAGGATACTGCGCTCGCACAAGCTGAAGGTTGCAATACTGGACGACTTTGCGCCGCAAGTAGAAGAGCAAAGCAAAGAGAAGAAGTCGAAGAAAAGGAGGAAAGAGAAAGAAGTCAAGGAAAAGAAGAAGGATGTAAAGAAGTCACTCTACCCACAACCCCTCACCTCGTTTGCGCAACTACGAACGCGATATGACATCTCGAGACGTTTGGCGGGGAACATAGCAGAGCAGGGATACAAGCTGCCCACTGAAGTTCAACTCGGGGCTCTACCGCTGCTACTAGGCAATAAGGGTCGCAAGATTTCAACCGACGTCGAAGGCTTGTCTGGTGCTGAGTTCAATGGAGACATTGATCTACTGACGGTAGCGCCTACGGGCAGTGGAAAGACCATAGCGTTTCTGATACCGATCATTGATTCGCTGCTAGTTGAGAGCAAAACTGTGGATACGAAAGAGGGCCCTCGCGCTGTAATCCTCGCTCCTACAAGAGAGCTTGCGGCGCAGATTGTCAATGAGGCGAGGAAATTGGCAAAAGGCACGGCAATCAAGGCTACACTTATGAGGAAGGGTATGCGAGTCGTGCAGGAACCAGAGGAGACACACGATGATGCGGCGGGCTTGGCTGAGGCGTCAGAAGATGACGAAGATGATTCTCAATCCGATGAAGAAGAGACGGCAGCCCCGAAGAAGAAGAAGCAGGCTGGTCGACGGGCCGAACTTGTGAAAGCCGCCATTCTGGTCGCAACTCCACTTGCTTTGCTCAATGCCTTGAAGCGCAGAGATAGCACTGTTGCCAACATCCCTAGCGTATCCCAACTCGTCCTCGACGAAGCTGATGTTCTCATCGATCCTCTCTTCCGTGAACAAACGCTTGCGATATGGAACGCTTGCACGAATCCCAGGCTTCGAATTGGTCTATGGTCAGCAACGATGGGGTCCAATATCGATAGCCTAACGACATCCACCTTGAACGACCGATGGTCCCTTCTGTCGTCTTCACAGTCCGACCTTCCTCCGCGACCGCCGCTTATCCGGCTTGTAGTCGGACTCAAAGACTCCGCCATACCAAACATCTCACACCAATTGACTTATGCTGCTACCGAGCAAGGCAAGCTTCTCGGTCTACGTCAACTCCTTCATCCAACGTCTGTGTTCAACAACTCGAATCAGCCCACGCTCCGCCCACCGTTCCTAGTCTTCACACAAACGATACCCCGAGCCATAGCCCTCCATTCTGAACTCCTCTACGATATACCCCCAGAAGCAGGCGGTAGCTCGCGCATCGCCGTCCTACACGCCGATCTCTCCTCTTCCGCACGCGACAGCATAATGACGCGCTTCCGAAAAGGCGAGATCTGGGTTCTTATAACTACAGACCTTCTAGCCCGTGGCGTAGACTTCCGCGGTCTAAACGGTGTCGTAAATTACGATGTACCTACCTCCGCAGCCGGCTACGTCCACCGCGTAGGCCGCACAGGACGTGCTGGTCGTCAAGGCGGCGTCGCAGTCACGTTTTACACGCAAGACGATATTCCCTATATCAAGCTCATTGCCAATGTTATTCGCGCTTCTGAGAAACTGAGGGGACTTGGTGATGAAGAAGGCAGTGTTAAACAATGGATGCTGGACGCGCTGCCTACGCCAAGTAAGAGGGACAGACAGTTGCTTAAGAAACGCGGTGTGGAGGCTAGGCGCACGGTCAAGGGGAAGGATGGGAAGCCTGAGAGTAGGATTAGTAGTAAGAGTGGGTACGATAGAAAGATTGAGAATCGGAAGAGAGGGGCTCGGGAGGCGGCGAAGAAGAGGGAAGTTGGGGCTGCGAATGATGGTGGTGATGGTGGGAGTGATGGAGAGAGTGCGTTTGAGGGATTTGAGTAAGCTGGACTGAACCATCTGTTGTCATGGTGTAATATGTTCGAACAGTTTATATATGTATCCATGACTCCGTCTACACGCCCCACCGCTACGGTATGTCCAGATGTTCAAGCCTTTTCCAGGCCTTTGTTCTCTATTACGGATATCCACATGTTCATATGAACACTACCTCAAACTAATATGTACATGCTACCAGTATCCAATATACTGATATAACCTGCGCTTTCGTTTAGCGTTTCGGAGGCTGTCACGAGTTGTAAGTGATGATGATGAAATGTCTTGGACTTCACACCCTTTTCGACCATCTTGTTTTAAAGCACTTGACAAAGGATAGCTCTTTCACAATTTCTACTAGACATTTCCAGGGAGTGTTGTTGACACAGGAAGGTTTCCGGGACCCTGGACAACTAAAACTGCCGACTTTGCTTTTTCCTTTAGCGTCCCTGGGCCTTTGCCACTACGGGTATGCCCGCGATATTATTTTCGTCCCCGGTTATTGCAGTGATGGTGTGTGGGCTGTGCTTATCATGGGAAAGATAAGTCCTCCATGTTGGAGCATAGTGGATGCATCGGGGGGTTTTTCCTTCTGCTGACCGTGAGGAGACTGGTCATGCGTACGCGCGTCGATGTACTCGCTTCCCTCATAAACCTGTATCAATGGATATGGATCAAATGAGCTCCAACCGAGTGTACGCTATGTCGTGTTCTTGAGTTAGTGCACACGGTCAGTATTTGTGCAGGAGAGGTTGGTTCGCTGAGGATCAAAACATGGGAGGAAGCGGCTTCAAAGCGGGTGTGATCTTCAGAGCTCAAGTTGCAGTGTTGTCGCTTTCTCCAGCATGATCCATGGAGTTGCTGTTGCGACGAAGGGATCTTCAAAAAGCAAATACCGCCTCGCGTATCTTCTGGGAAAAAGCATATTATGGCCCACTTCCCGTCCGCTGTCTGGTGCACTCGATCACTGTATCCTCGCTTAGACGGCACCCTGAGATCTGTCGAGAGTCAGCCTCGGCCCAATTCTGTGGCTTTCGGTCCATATGACCTGCCTACCTGGTGTATGCCAGCGGTCCACCCATCCCGATATCTGTTCATGAGCGTTGAAAATGTGAGGCAATAGCTGATACGGCACCAGCTTGGGTCCTTCACCACACTCAACTTATTGATTGAGGGTGTGAAGGCATACGAGCTTTGTGTGACAACGGCCCTCAATTCCATATCCACTCGAGTCCCTCGGTTTCTACTTCTCGATCGGTGGAGTTACGGCACCGCGCTATGAAGCCATTTCCGGTCGGCGTCCTTCTCCGGACTCCAATCCCAAGAGTCTTAGTCACTAGCAATGTGACCACCATGCTTACGCAGCTTGCGACGACTTTTGCTGAGTGGCCAGCGAACTGATGGATCGGAGGAAACAGGCAAGGCGCTGCTGTGGAACCCCCTGTGGTGCAACAAAGAATTGTGCAGAGGTTGATGGTCGAGCGGGCGAGAACTGTGTTGACTTATCCATCCGCGGGCTGGTTCATAGATCAAGACGCTCTTGAGTGTGTAATCAGCTTCCAGCCTATGGGAAACTCAAATGGCGCTTCATTTGGCTCATGCCGCCTCACAGATAATCAGACTTTGTTGGTGGCGCTTGCACCACCCCGCATCCCATAGCCTAATCACGACCTGTTCAAAGGTGGTTACAGGTGTGATACTTCTGGATCATGCAATTTTCGGTGCATATGTGCCCATATCGTTCGATAAGTCAGAGTTCTGGACTTGAAGGTTCCGGTGTCCGTCCGGGGAACGGTCCAACACCAATGAATGGCAAGGTCGCCTATCGCGTCTATTTTGTCAGCTGTCTGGAGCGCCCCCGGGCATTTTGAGGCTTACGGATACGGGTAGCAGCAGGATCGTAAAGTTGCGGCTTTCTTGTTCAGACCAGGGAGCCAAGAGACGTGGGACATTTCCGGTGCAGTCGTGTAACCGTGTGGCAGTCCAGTAATTTACCATACCTGTCTGTTATGACGCGGACTAAATTTTACTCTTAAATGGCTGCCCCCTTTTGTGTGTTTCTTTCGGTACCGCACAAAAGTACGTTGATTCAACGACACACCTCAGTACTGGCGTAATGATATGGAGTCTCGTGTCACATTCCTATTTAGCTCGGCACCCGCCTACTTACCAATCCTCAGCTTTTGGAAGGTATGTACTTGTCCTTCAGGTAGAACTAGCACATAAAATTTTGTATGCATACCGGGGTAACCGAAATGCAGGCCAAGCAAGGGCTTATAATGGCGTGCATACGGCAAGGGCGCAAGCCCAGGGTAGGCGCTGCGTCTGAACTTGGTGCATGTTGAGTATCTCAACAAATTGGTATGAGCATTGGAACATGCTGAAGATATCCTGTTAATTATGCACCCAGCAGATAGTCCTAGAACAATAAAGACCATGCGATGGGCCTCGTGGTGAGGTTCTATGAAAAAAGTTCATGCGTACGCGACCTATAGGTTTCGAGAACATTCTGTTGGACGATTCGTTGATTGGACGTCCAGTGTAGACTTGAGGATCAGTATCCACGGAGAAGAGGTGTCAGGCTGAGTCAAATTGGCCAGCCCTAATCGGTTCCCTTTGATAGCTGACATGGTATACATGTTCGCCAGTATTTGACGTATGGCCGAAACCAGAAATATCCTACCAGATACGGTTGTCCTCGCAGGATACTCAGCGCCACGGGCGGGTGCCGCCTATGTAAGCTTGCGGTTGGGGGTTTGCTGTTTCAGTAAGACTTATGGTCAGATCAGCCGACTCGAAGGGAAAAGCTTATACCCTGATAGAAATTTCGAGCACGTGCTGTCTGGAGCAGCCACTCCGGTGCCGTGATATATGCACGACATCAGAGATCGACCGACGTCCTATTAGTTGACCACCCACATCACTTGGCAGTCTTGTATCATGGGAACTGATGAAAACGTACGCTCAAGTCATTGGCAACTGTTCTGCCCATAAGGGAGACCTAGTTGCCAATCTGGGCTATATGAGGGGTGTGCCTCATCGGAATGTTAGCAAAAGTCACTGTAGATGACAAAGATTAGAAACTGGAGAAGTCCTTCTTCTTTCCTTCCAAAGGATCGTCATATGCAGCTAAATGTTTTTCACACCGTTCGCGAAGGGTACGCAGGGTCATGGCTATGCAACAGGACATAAGCTATCCGGGAGGGTTTGGGACCAGGGACATGCAACCGCATACAGAATATGGATTAGGACATTCGCTATGGCCCCGGACCCTGGTCGGCTTATAGTGGCTTCCAATCTCCGGCAGTACGGGAGATGTCCCATTCAATATGACGCGGCCAACAGACACCTCAGCTGAGATCCTGCAGATAATGTTTAGAGGTGTATGGGCATTTTTTGGCCGCGCAGAGATGTCGCCGCCTGGGCAGTGTTGCCGTCCAAAAGTGAGATAAATAGTGACGTGTGAGGGCCTGCATACATGGCTCGGTTAGAAGATGGTGTGTGTGTGGGGAACAAAGTCGAGAGCGCTTCGGGACTGGCGATCAGCACGACTGACTAGCGCGTCGCAAGCGTCCTCCAGGGACTCTCCATGACCCTGGCCCCCCGCGCGGACGAAGCATCGTACGAGACTGTAGCGGGAATTGATACAATGTTATGTTTAGTACATATCTCTACGCTTGACTTAACGCGTTGCTGAGTGCAGGAGGGTGTGGACCGTCTGTTGGCGAGTACGATAGGGCACTTATGTGCGCAGGTGACTGATCGGCGCTAGTCCCTCAGTCGATCCCAGGGTGTTGTAGCTCACCAGGCCAGCAACCACCACCACTTGACCCGTCGTCATCCGTTACCAACCCACTTCTCTCGCATTTCAGACTTGCCAAATAGCGCGGTTACGTGTTGCTTCGGAGCCGAATCTCGAAGCACACAAGACGCGAGCATTATCGTGTGTCCGTTCAGGACAGTTTTTCGGTCTTGGTAGCTCCACTATCTATACTCAGAGGCGGTAGCACTCTCCCAAAAATACTCGGGATATCTGAAGATGCAAAAGCTATTGTTAAGCTGTCTGAGTGCCGCAAGAATCTCCGCTGAACAATGCCTACTGTTACTATAGAAATGACTTGGTTGAAGTTTAAGGCACTTGAGGCATAGCACCTAAACAACGACAGTGCCATCGGAAACCAGTTGTCATACTATATCCATAATACCACGACGAGACGAAAATACCGAGATCTTGCGCAAGGTCATCCACGTTCACAGAGCTCACATGGCAATCTGGCCAAGGGCCAACCCAGTTTATCGAAAGGTCATTTGGACGCCTCGTGTTAAGACGGTACAGCTTCACTAAGCCGAGAACACGTAACGACACGAAGATCTCAAGACTTGCTCGTGAAGTCGTTTGAGCAATCTTTTGGTAAGAGCAATGCGCGTTGTTGCTGTGATCTCAAGCCCTTGAATACTGTAAGGCATCAGGACTATCGTCAGCCTTGTCCAGCTTCCGATCACTGTCAATAGACGCTTCGACTGACCAACCAGCACTGCCACTTACGAATCGTATAAGGAAAGTCGCTAGGTGGGTTTATTTTCGGGGCTGCTCAAGTTGTCCTTTGGTCATAGCTCTGTGCCTCTGAGTCCAGGAGAAATGCGACAATTTGCATCTGAAATGTGAACGTCTCGCATCCGCCCTTTAGTTGGAATACCAGGGCTGGTAGGTATTGAGCTTTACTTTGTAGGATTGTGCTCAGTCGTTCTTCGTTCGGAGCAGAGCCTTGTGGCGGCTAATTGGGACAGACTGGCTTTTACAGGTCTTCCTCTGAATATCAGCAATATGGATTTGGAGTTGGACAGCTTTCATCAAGTGGTTAAACGCTCTACTACGTGATTCACTGACTAGGTCAAACATAGAGTATTCAGGTGCACCTGCGCATATGCCTCATATCCATTGTTAACAGTGCCACTCAACGAGGGTTTTATGATTGATATCCAGATGTTGAGCTTTTCATCTTGAATTTAGTCACTCTGGGAAGTCACTCTGGATGCCAAGAAATGTTGACAACAAAAGCAAACACAACATTATACGACGGCGCTTGAGCCTCCAAAGTGCCAGACCCTGTATCGTCTGTGGCGCAGGCGCGTAGCATAATTACCATTCGTGTATGACTATGGCTTTCGCGAGGAAGCGGCAAGAGATCCGCAACATGCGGAGGATCAGCTTTGCCCGTGCCTGTGGTTAATGACGCAATACCCGAGAGTATCCTGACAGCTGTCACTCGGTACCCATGGGAAATGATGTTCGCCATACTTGAGAATCGGGCATGATCACTTCTCAAGATAAGGATTTCCTTCAGCCCATGTCACAGTTAGCCTAGCGTGAGGGTTCGACAATGTGATATATTACCATATAGTATCGATGATCCAAGATACATACTCACATCTGCTTGTTTGAAAGCCGGATGTAGACATTGACGGGACCGAAAGGTAGGGCTTCATGCAGGGAAGCGCCAGCAGCCATGACCCATCTTTTGTTCGATCGCTCGCATGCTGGACGCCCACCCACCTTTGTAAATTACATGCAGCATGCACAAGCAAGCCGTTTACATGGTTGACAACAAGATAATTGGGTGCGCGTATGTCTTCCCGCGGCCCGACGTTTGGATCTGCATGAGCATGGTATAAACCCCGTCTCTGCAGCGTCCTACACGACCTTTGAGTGTGTAGGCAGGTGTACCCGGACCTTGTATCTCTTCATCCGGTGCAGGTACCTTTCCAATACTGTGGTCCAGCAGAAGTGAGACGATAATTGCAGTTAACCTGAGGCAACGTAGCAGTAAGGTCCAGGCAACTCGCTGCTGCATAGGGTAATGTCTCCGATGAGAAAGCCATCGGTCAACGTACGACCAATACAGCTTACTAGTACCTGGACGGATGGAGCACGCCTACAACACGGACTGGCGAAGCACATGGTATCATAATTCTCGCAGCAGCATCTGACCGTGACAAGCCGGCGCTGTTGCTGGTAGCTCGGTTGCAGAGAAGGAGCAATCGAATTAATTAACTGAGCAGCTCCGTAATTTTTCCCGTTGGTCAGCGGCAGCGACATAGCAATGAAGGTCGTAACAGTGAGAATGTGGATGAGTGGTAGTAACTAATTAACCGTGCCGGAAGCATGTACGAACGGAAGAGGAAGATGGAGACGCCAGCCCTGCCGCCAAAGGTAAGGAAGCGCCTATCGTCGCTATTGCGCCACGCTTGGTAAAATCCGCTTGCAGCGGCTAGTGCATGGGACTCTACGAGGAGAGAGTGGGCAATTCAGGCCTAGAGCCATTGATCTCAGATGGTCTGGCGCCAAGCGGGGTCACATTTGACAAGGACCCATCGATCATCAGCCGCATCGTTCATAGCCCGCGCGTCGGCTCCGTATTGCAGAGCTGGCGGCGTCAGGAGGACCAGTGGGCGATGGCAAAGGCATGTCAATATTAGTAGTAGTGCATGGCGCGATGAGGTGAGAGCAGTGGGGAGGCGTGCTGTCTCGTGCCCCAACGGCAACAAGACCGGAGCGACCGCGGGGCGGTTACAGTGAGGGCCCTTGTCAGCAATGCACCACGATGCAAGTCGATCCCTGAAGCGCTGCAGCTAGGGAGCCTAGGGATATGCGAGCGATTCAACGGCTGGCGGGATCCAAGCATGACGCTCGAGCTCAGTGGGCGCATTCGCTATTCCCGACTCGTACACACCCTGGTCGCTACTGGAATTTCGCAACTACCTCATGCTCCAGCCATGTTCACACTACCCCAAAGTCTGCTAAGGGAATCTCATGCAGCTTAAACAGCGCCGGGAAGCGAAACATGTCCTCGCCGCCCTAGCCCGCTCACAAGCATCTGTTTAAATACCTGTCACTTCCGCTGCTTCCCCGATGCAAGCGGCTTTTCACTCCCACCATTCGATGTGATCTTCGTTTACCGTCCACCGTCGTAGTTCACGTTCCGCACTACCACACTCGTTGGCCGTTACCATGTTCTCTTTTCCATTAGGCCTGTTCCCCAATTGGAGTTGGTTCTGTATCTTTTTGGCGCTCTTGTATGTCAACCACGCCTGCCACTGATAGCCTTCCCCGCACTTTGGACGACACTGACTCGCTGCCACAGTTTATTTCGATATGTCAGACTATGGGTTAACCTGGCGAGCAACTGGACCTATACACCTATCCAGCCAGTCGACGACCCGACCATCACATCCAAGGACATGACTGTAATCATCCCAACCGTTGCCGAGAACCTCCAACAGTTAAAAGAGACGGTCCAAAGCGCATACCGTCTCGAGCCATTGGAACTTCTCCTCGTCACACCCGACTCGCGAGTGAAGCGTGTGTATCAGATGGTGGAAGAGCTGGGCAGCCCTAAGATCATCCAAGTGCTATCAGTCAGTCAGGCCAACAAGCGTCGACAGCTATGCCGAGCCATCCCCGAAGTCGAGACCAAGATTACGCTCCTGCTTGACGACGATGTATGGTTACCGGAGAAGTTTACCAAATGGATTCTTGCCCCCTTTGAGGATCCACGTGTCGGAGGTGTTGGCACCAACCAGCAGATCCGCCGCTTCAACCGCTCTAACATCTGGGAGTTCCTAGGTGCCATCTACCTGGTCAGGAGGAACTTTGATTGCACAGCTTGCAATTGGATAGACGGCGGTCTACCATGCTTGTCTGGACGCGCGGTTGCTTATCGTTCCGAGATCCTGCAAGACCCCAATTTTACCTACGGCTTCACGCACGAGACATGGGGTAGCGATCATTTCTTGAACGCCGACGACGACAACTTCATCACGCGGTGGTTGTTCTCACACAACTGGAAGATCCAGATGCAAAACCACCGCGAGTGCGAAGTCGAGACGACACTCGAGGACGACTCAAAGTATCTGCGTCAATGTCTGCGTTGGGTCCGCTCCAATTGGAGGAGCAACCTGACTAGCTTGACAGAGGGTTACATGTGGATGGTGAGTGCCGCTAGTTCCAATATTTGCACAGATTTCGCGTTGTTGGACGCCAAGCCAGCCCCTCTTTTGACTGCGCCGATTCGCACTACCTTTGCTAATCCTTGCGCCATAGAACTACCCATGGTCTCTCTATGCCGTCTTCCAGACAACGCTTACGCAATGGGCATTCCTCCTCGATTGCGCACTCTTCGTCTCGGTCTACCTGGCGCTGCTGGAGGCAGGATACTACGCAGCAGAGGATGACAATCAAGCTCACGCGGAGAAATGGCAGCGCTCGCTTTTCTGGGCCCTGTTCATCGCGCACTGGGTCTTCGCGAAGACGATCAAGCTAATTCCCCATTTGTTAAGAAACCCGGGCGACGTCCGCTTCGTCCCGGTCTCGATTCTTTTCGGCTATTTCCATAATCTCATTAAACTCTACGGCTGCATCACCGTAACAGAGGTATGTCCTGAATCACGCAACACCGCATTGCCTTGCACGTAGCTGACAGCTGGCCATCAGACCACATGGGGTACTCGCGAGGGTGCAGATGCCGACGACAACATCAGAATGTTGCCTATCCCGCCGATGGCAACCATTACCCCTCCCCTGACGCCTCCACCAGGCGGACGCGTGCTTCGCGAGCGAGGCGCCGGTTTTCCGATGATGAACTAGACGACGATTTTCCATGTTTTAGTCGGCATTCCAGGCCTCGGCCACAGTTTTTGATGCAGTAATGTTAGACGCATCTGAGTTTGAAGCATTGCATCTACCAGTACACGGAAGGTAGAGCAACGCTATGTTGTTTCATACTATTGAGCGTGGCAGCTCTCGGATACCAAAATGGGCCCGGTTGGATGCAAGGTGTTCAAGGAGTTTACGGATATGGACGAATTTGCAGCGTCTTTCCATGCGCGATGTTGGTGAATACCCAACCATGTAGTTTATGCAAAAGTCACAACGAATGACAATGATGATGACTGTTGAAACAGTCGCTGTGCCCGGTGCCTTCTTCAGTCTCGCTCATGCCTTCTCCACATGCCTGTGTCGCACGCAACTGCTTTCACTCCACGGTTGACAATTGTGCAACCGCAGCACAAAAACTCTATCCCAACCTCACATCCTGTTTCCCGAGCAACACACGACCCCCCTGGTCACTTGTCTTAGGCGTCCTACCCGCGCTGCACGGTCTTCAAGTAGCGCGAACCATCACCCGCATCGAGGACATCGCCTGCTTCATCGTTTACGGTAAAGATGTGGGAGTCTGGGCCGCGTCGCGACAAATAGCGGCACGTTATCTGAGACGGACGCACTACGAAGAGTATAGGCAGGCAATACTCCCGACGAACCACTCCAAGACGGCAGGTGCGAAGACCATGTACCTAGGTACCCCTCGGTTTACGGGATAAGGAATTGATGAACCCACTCCCCAACTCTCGGAACTACCTCGTATCTCCGCTTTCGGACATGGCCCGCAGCATCTTTTAATCCATGGCTTTTGAGCAATGTCACCCTCGCAGCTGGCGTTTTTGCTACCCCAATTGCGCACGTCTTCTACAGCGGCCGTCTACTCCGTCCAACATCGGCTGCAGTAAGCTTTTGGGGGTTAACTACGTTCTAGGACTTTCGACTCCCCAATCATGATCCGATGGCGCTGAAAAGTCGATGGCGTCCAAAGGTCTTCCCACCAACGAAGACGCCCACTCAAGCGGGCCTGCATGCTGCACGTCCTAGCTGAAGCTTCAAAGGAAACCATGCCGGCGCCGAACTTCTCATGCACACTTGCATCGCTGGCCCTCATCAACCATCATCGTGCGTCGCGGCAATTTTCCTCGCTGCCCACGACACAAATTCTCAGTCTTGTTAACAGGGACGATGACGGATGACAGATGCAGGAGCCCTGGTCTTCTAGCGAGCCAGCAAATCGCACGGAAGAGACCCTTTGCTCAAACCTTATGCTGGTCATCCCGCTCCCGCAGGCCTGTGTGTCCAGAGCCAAGCTCCTGCGCTAGACTGGCGCTGGCCGTGGCGCGACGCCTGACCCATTTCTCCACCTCTCGTCATAGCTGCCTGCCACTGCGTACGCAGCATTCACAGCAGATGAGATAGCAAGCATCAAACAGCACGCATGTACATTGAGAATCCATAGCCAAGCTGCTGCAAGTCTCCGTGCCGTATCCCCGACGCAACACGATGCAGACAAGTTAGGCACGGACTTGCAGTTCGACACTCGCGTGCCGTGTCTCAGAGCATTTACCAATACCGGCCGGAACATTGTCATTGGTGCCTGGCTGATCAGAAGTACTCCAAATGCTCAGGTGCAGACTGGGCGAGCGCCACACACTAGCCGAGCTGGCAGTTACTATCTCCAATCGAGATGACATGACTGCTCAATATACACAATTGCAAGATGGCGCAACATACTTGCATCTCCATGTAACATGATACGGTTTGGGATACCTGATGACTGCAGCGCAATCAGCTTGCATGTCCGGACAATTGACTTTCGCTTGATGTTGCTTGTTAGCAGCCGAATGGTTGTCCAAACAGCTGGGTCGACGGCGAAAACTCTGCACATCTCGCTTCACGCGCGACACACGCTGTCGGGACGAACATAAGCATGCAAAGATATTCACATGCCTTCACATTTATCCAGTTATCTTGCTCCAGGGACCTCATGCGCGAAGGTCTAAATTACTCGTACACGTTCAAGTAAGGTGGCATCGGCTGTCATGCAATGCCTACAATATCCACTTCACTCTCGCCAGGGTGGACTGCGCTAACGCCACATTGGCTAATACAGTGACAGCAAAGACTGTGTACTTGCGGAGTCCTGTCGACTTCCTTAGCTCCTATAGATGCTGACCCTCTGACGACATCGGACATCTAGCCTAAGTTCCAAAAGGCCCAGATCTACTCCATATGTTGTATGAGGCTACTCATCATGCAAGTTTTGGATCTGCTCATGATCGTGTCATGTTTGTCTGACACAAGGCTGGAGCTTCTTCCAAGGGCAGAGCTTGACGGACCCGCGGCTCTGCAACTGACAGCAACTTCCAAGTTCGACACACGCACGCAAACGTATTCAACCGATCATCGATGTTCCCGCTAACAGCGATTCCTCTCAATACTAGACCTAGGTCGCTCGATCCAAGCATTTCAATTGCAGCCCTTCGACTACAACTGTCTCTAAGGGGTAGGCCCTGAAGTTAGGCGCACCCGAGGTAGCGTCGCGCCGTGCCGGTTGTCAACCGAGATCCAGCGGCAAGCACGAGCTGCAAATCATTTCGAGTCAGGGCCCTTTGCATTTGTGGTACAGTTTAGCCCAGATATTGCTCGTCACGGCAAAGCCTCGGATTATCTACTGGAAAGGCCTTCGTCTCAGTGCATAGTCACGTGCTCGAGCATGATCTGACCAGTCAGCCACGAAGTTTCTAAGCATCCAGGAACGTTGCAATGTCGTATTGTGGGGAAGACACCATATATGATATCGTCATCGTCTTAACGTACAGCCTTGAACTCCACTGGCTTGCGCGTCGTTTAATACCGCAGCTATAGGTGGCCTTTTGGGAACCCTTACTAGCCATTCTTAGGCTCGGTGCGATTTTTGTAGAATAGATCCGATCAAGCCTTGCCCACCACGGGCCCCGGAGCAAGCATTACTTTTTCCATGGTTCGTCGATCTTGGATGACGACGTAGTACAACATCCTCACATGATCATTGCCGTCAGCCTACCATCCATCAAGAGACAAGACCCCTATGATGGCAATACCCTGCAGCTGCACGTTAATGTCTCACGCAACCAAGATTGCATCTAGTTCAATGCCCCGTTTCCATATCATCAGCCACGAAAGCAACCAATTTATTGCTCACTCACTAATGGCCGGTCACTTGAACCGAGCGAGCCGCAACACGTACCTCTACTCCACGGCTACAAACGCACTAAAATGACGTGCATCCCAACTGAGCCATCCTTGACTCGGCGTCGAGATACATCAAGGGTCTTGCCTGTCTTCTCCACAACTGCGGCTGTTTCGCTGCATCCAGACTTTTCACCCCACTCTCTTCTCACAGTCACGATCAAAACAGCCGGACGGCCTCTCGGTCTTCGATCATGATTTTAGGCGTTCGGCGCCGCACGAGTCAGCTTGCGACACCTCACGTCATACATCGCGGGACGACGCCGCCAGACATTCCCCTCGTATCTTGCAAGGACTGCTCCGGTACTAGGTAGGCCCACTCGCTGATAGGTACTGGCGGATGATGGGCAAACGGGTGTGGGTACAATAACAACTAGTGCCCAGCAGAATTATGCCATAGTGCACTATAGTGGTAAGCGCTGAGGTGATGTTGGAGACCCAACAGCAATGGTCCATCCGGAGACCCTCTCTTTTGCAAATACAAAGAGGGTCCCGCTGACATTGGTGGAGTTCACTAAAAGCTGAGATCAATAGGACTGGAGGCGCTCAGCCACCACACTGTCACAGTTTGACAGCTCGGCCATACATCTAATTCGCGCATGATGCAAGCTGCCGATACAAGAATTTCGGTAGATGCAGTAAGCAGGACTCCCAGTCACATGTCAAGCTCCATCAAAATACAGGGACATCGCAGAGCCTCACGTTCGCACAACTTCTGAAATTTGTTTGTTGAGCTGCGCGCTGCACTGTCGGTGCTTCTCCGGCCCTCTTTGCTCCGCTTACCCCTCCTTCGCTTCCGAACAATCACGGGAATTACTGTTCTTTCCAGACCGTCAAGAGCAAAGCACCAGGGTCAATGCCGCCCACTCTCGCTTTCCAAGCGAAAGTACATCCGTACCCTCTGCCTACTACTACCCCACATTTGCCGTCGGCTTCATAGGCATTGAGTTTGACACCTGTCCTTGTGGCTGGGAAACGCGGGACGACTAAGCGCCTATCATTGCGCAATCGAAACGAGCTGCCCTTTGAGATCACGTCAAAGTCGGCATCCTGCGTGCAGGGGACGCCTAATTGCAATACGTTGCCTCCGTGGAGTGCGAATGGTGAGAGTATGTGGGTTCTGTTCTATGTGGTATGTACTGCGCTCCTATTGTGATGCCAAGCTGCACACTTCGCATGTGTCTAGAACCAAAGGTCGTGGACTCCGGTATCCATGTGCATGACGTGCAGCCAGTGTGTCTCGGTTTCAGACTACCGAGGCCTTGCATCGACGATACAATGGACATGGGCTTGATTATCACTGGCCATATCGTGATAAAAGATGGCCAAGCCGGAATGTTACTTCGGTCCATCCGGATTGACTTCATAAGTCCTTAAGCTCAGAGCCCATGCTGTATCCCAATAACTCTAATTTGGTAAGGTTACGTGAAAGCACGTTGCTCATTAATATCTTGAGTTCATTACTGGCATTGCCATGGGGCCAATATGTAGACGCCGACTTCTCTGATTGAACAAAGTCAACATCTTTAGACATGCGAGGGCTTTCAATAGAATAAAAAACGGACAACACAAGTTTGAATCAACTGTGCTCCGCGTGAAGCAATATCCGTGGTTATAGCAATGTATACTCCCCGGAGCCTCTTACCCCGCCAACCGAAGTATCAACGTCCCCGCATCGCATCTGTGGCTCAGGACATCAAGCCAACCACCAAACATAGTCCTCAAGCTCTAGGTCTGCAGAACAACGAAAGGCCTTCCATTCTCAGCCGTTGTCAATCCTCTGAACCCGCCATACCACCATAAGCTTTACTCACCCATCTCCGCGCCCTACGGCCCGATCACCCGGCCAATCTGATTCCCGATGTCTTTCCCAGATATCCTAGATACACACATCCATCTTTGGCCCTCAACAGCCACTTCATCTTCCAACCATGGCTGGATGTCCCCAGGCCACCAACTCGCTAAACGACACGGCATATCAGACTACCTCGCCATCACCTCTCCCCAACCCACTGGCTTCATATACGTAGAAACCGATCGGTATCTTCCCTCCGCGGAACCTTCAGATATCAACGAATCGGACAACGATGACGATGTCAAGGCCAAACTGAGAATATGGGCGAAAGAACCCTTGGAGGAGCTCCGTTTTCTGGCTAGAATCGTGGAGGAGAGACCAGACGACGGCGATGGGTTTGTAGAGAGTGAAGCAGGAAAAATGAAGGGCTGTGTGGTTTATGCTCCGTTTCAATCTAGTCCGCGAGTCTTTAATGCGTATCTTGATATTGCAAGGGAGGTGGCTGGACCCAGACTCTGGAAGCATGTCAAAGGGTTTAGGTATTTATTGCAGGGGAAAGGGGACGGTGTTGTTGCGAGAATGTTACAGGAGAACGAGAAGAGTTGGATCCACAATCTTTGTGCGCTGAAGGAACTAGGAGGGGAGTGTGAGGCATGGTGTTTCGACGTGGGGGTTGATACGCATAGAGACGGGGAGGAGCCAATGGAGGCGGTTGGTAGGTTGATCAAGGGAGTGAGGGAGCATGAGGAGAAGGAGGGACATAAGAATCGTGTCAAGTTTGTGCTGAGTAAGTTCATGTTCTCCTCTACTTTCGAATTCACCAACACTGTTCTTCGTGAATTGTGTTGTTATGTGATGTGGTGTAGCTAACTCACAATCTCCACAGACCACCTCGCCAAACCTCCTCTATCACCCAAACCTACACCTCCGTCCGACATCTGGCTCCAAACCATGAAGTCTCTCTCATCGGACAAGGCAATCTTCATGAAACTCTCCGGCGCTTTCAACGAGTTTACTGTTTCGCCAACGCCATCAGACGTACCGACGCTTTTGACTGCTCTTACTCCTTTCCTAGATCACATCTTCGACTGTTTCCCTAGAAGAGTCATGTTCGGGAGCGACTGGCCGGTGTGCAATGTTGGTGGGCCAGCAGGCGAGCAGGGAAGTTGGAAGCTCTGGAAAGAGGTTGTGGAGAAGTGGATGGATGGCAAGGGGTATACAAAGGAGGAAAGGAACAGCGTCTGGAGAGGGGCGGGTGAGGAAGCGTATGGGGTAACACTGTAAGGAGGCATACATAACTGGCTTCGAATTAGATACCAATAGCAATAACATGGATGTACGGATCTCTTGCTCATTTACGTTACTCGACATGTTGGAGAGGTAGTCATGTTCAATGTTAATGTATATGATCTGGTCCGTAAAAAGGTGTGAACAATATAACATACATGTTCGGAACAGGAACTTGTCATCTCGATGCTAACTCATAGAAACCGAACCATAGAGTTTTGACAAGCAGCGAAACTACATCAACTGATCAACTATGTATACCCTTCCTCACCACCAGGTCCTAATAACACAATAAATGTTGCTTTCCCCTGAGCCACTCCTTCCTCGCCTCTTTTCACATGTCCTAGATATGCACCCAGCTCTCCGTCGTCTGTTACTTCAACTGCAACCTCGCGGTCTGCCCGATTGCCTCTGTATGTGATCAAGCCTTCGATCTTATGTACCATAGTACCCGGGTGCTCGCGCATCGCTAGATCTCGTAGTTCGACGACCGAGGGTGTGTGAATCATAGAGAGCCAGACTGATTTGGCAGGGAAAGGAGTTGAGGAATGTGGATGTAAGCGGAAGTACACTGGCAGCGGCACGGGCATGTTCGAGGCAGCTGGGTAGTATTCTTGCTGGTAATGATTATGCGAACTATGCTGCTGGTGTGGATGATGATGCTGAGTGGCTGGCTGGTATTGACCGGGCTGGTAGTGGTACTGAGGTGTGTGGTCGGGGACGGGAAGTATTGCGGCGTCGCTCGCAGCTAGCAGAAGAGACGGGTCGATCTGCAGGTCTGAAGCAGTGGACAAGGAGGGTGCGGCAGTGTACGAAGTCCGCGGTGTTTCCTTCCGACCAACACTGATGTGAGGTCTCCCCTTGTTACCTAGGATTGTCGGGTGCGGAGCTACGATAGGCGGCGCTGGCCCTGGCCCAGGTCCTTGATGAACCTGTTTCTTCTTGTTGGGGTCTTTGGCAGTATTTTCCTGCTGTTGCCGCTTCATGACGTCTCGAGCCAGCACCTCGAGAGCACGTAGCTTCCGCGTATAGTCTGGATCATCCTCTCCGTGTGCGAGTGCTCTCACGAGGTTCTCAGACTCGTTGACCCAAGCTTGCTTCAACTCTGTCCAACGTTCCTCGCCAGCTTCATGCTTATTTGTGAACTGAGCTGCTTTCAACTTGTTGGCAAAGGTGTTTCGTACGTGCCGTGTCTGTTCAGGATTGAGACCAAGGAGGTTCTTCGCATCGGCGAGAGTCATGCGTGCATCCATTGTTCGTAAGCGTTTTGTGACGTCCATGCAAATAACATCAATTGACAGCGCCCTCTGACCTTTCGGACGGAAAAGTGCGTCGTTATTCTGCAGTACTTCTGGCTCTTGTTCAAAGACTTGGGCCAAGTGTGTATCGCCCTGAATGAGCTGCTGTACAATCTGCGACCACTTCTCCGGGCCGGCAATGGTTTTCTTGGTAACGTCTTGCTCCTTGCACATGTGAAGAAAGCACTCTCGAACTTGGCGGTACTTGTCGTTGTTTAAACCGAGGTAGGCTTTGGCTTCGTCGATGGTAGTCTCGGATGGGAATCGTGGAGGTTCGCCGGGGGCGTCTGCTGGCAGTCCGGCCCAGCCTCGTGTTCGACGTCTTCGTTTCCGTGTACGCCATTTCTCGTCGCTCTCGGCCTGAAGCCGCTGTTGACGCAGTTGCTTTCGTAGCACCTCTTCAGCGCTCAAACCTGTGATGTCAGGTTCGGGCACTATAGGTCGAGCCTCTTCCACGGATGCCCTGGCTTCCTCTTCATCTTCTCCTTCAGCAGCCTCGAATTCCTCTTCGCTTTCGTCGTCGCTCGTCGATTCCTCTGCCAAAATCGCATTCCCAAGCTGGTTGATCAAACCTTTGCCAGGCAGAACTTTGGTAGGCTTCTTCTTCGGCCTCTTTTGTACCCTCCCTCCAGCAGTCTTCTGCTTCTTTGGTCTGGAGACACTTTCTCGAAGTAAGAGCTTAAGCCTCAGGCGCAAGCGCAGCAGTTCGCGGTCGTTGATCTGGAAGCCTTCAGCCTGTAGCGTGTCGACCATATCCTTCTGTGTGTAGTTCAGCTCCCATAATTGCTGGAGGCGCGCAACGAGGGCGGGATTCTTGTGCGCTGGATTCTGTTTTGAGGGGAAGTCCCATCGCTGTGATGGCGTCAATAGACGATTCGCAATGGGTGATGGAAAGTGTGAGATATCGGCTTACCTTGAACTGCGTCTGAAAAGCGCGCTTGCTGGAGCGGCATAGTCAGTGTCATGTATTCTGGAGATATTCGCTACAATAAGATTGGAAATGACGGTGAACGCGTACGGCAGCCCGTATGTACTGCCGCGCACAATACGTGCATACCTTGGAGTAAACCCGCGTATCTCCCAATACGACATAACCTCTTCCAAGCTCCTCCGCTCCTCGACATATAGCTGATAGCATATAGCCTCTTTATCATCCCAAGAGTAGACCATGCTCGATGTCGCGTTGGATCACAATAATAGGCTGCGCCTTGCGTGAATTGCGCAACTGGTTCAACTGGGACACAATCGCCAAGACTTTCGGCCTCGGCTGAGAATGCACCGAACACGTGGGCCGAAGACGGCAAGCGTCTCACGTATACATTGCACGTACCGAACCAGATTGCGCATAGCGGCATGTATATTATGGCTTCTTCCTGGGTAGACGATAATTTTAAACAAATTGTTTCCCGTTGTCCGAAGAAGACCTTTGGATCTCTGATTAGACCACCCTGAGCTCCTCGTATACCGCTGTATACCATCTACCATACCCCACACCCCACAATCTATACCTACGAGGGCCATGTCGCACGAACGCAAGAACAGTCTGTGGACACCCACAACGCCGAAAGCGGCGCAAACCCCTCAGCTGCTGTCTGGCAAGTCCATGATAATCACCGGCGGTGTCACTGGAATCGGCCGCGCCATAGTACTGGGATATCTCCAACATGGCGCAAACGTCGCAGTGAACCACTTTGGCGACGACAAGTCCGCATCCCAGTACCAAACCCTCGTTGAGGAGGCAGCTAAGACCCTAGAAGTCAGCAAGGAGGATGTAGAGAAGAGAATGGTACAAGTGCCAGGTGACGTAGGAAACCCAGAGACAGGCAAGAAGTTGGTAGAAGCAGTGGTACAAAGATGGGGGCGATTGGATGTAGTGATAAGTAATGCGGGCATCTGCGAGTTCAAGGAGTTCTTGGAGTACGTACCTCGTTCAATATCCGCATGGTGGTCATAGAGGTGTAAAAAACTAACACCGATCTGTAGAATCACACCAGATCTCTGGAACTCGACCCTCACTACAAACCTCACCGGCGCATTCCACACCATTCAAGCTGGCGCAAAACAAATGTCCACCCAATCGCCCCCGGGTGGCTCCATCATCGGTATTTCCTCCATCAGCGCCCTCGTTGGCGGCGCATACCAAGGCCACTACACACCTACAAAAGCTGGTGTACTCTCCCTCATCCAGTCCTCCGCATGCGCACTAGGAACACACAACATCAGATGTAATGCGCTGCTACCTGGCACAATCAAGACACAGCTCAACGAGAAGGATCTCGAGGACGAGGAGAAGCGGAAGTACATGGAAGGCAGGATACCTTTGGGCAGGACAGGCATACCAAGTGATCTCGCCGGGCCAGCAATCTTCCTAGGAAGTGATCTGAGCAGCTACGTGAACGGTGCACAACTTTTGGTCGATGGAGGACTATTCGTAAACCTACAATGATCAACTAGAGTGATTAAACTTCAGACTATACATTCGGATTACTCAAGCGTATCTCATGTCTCTCTAACGCCGCTGTCACAACCTGTCCCCTAATCTTATGCGTCTACTCCTTTTCCCTCATCGTCAACCCCATCAGATCCTGTCTCCTTTCCGTCACCCCTAGAGTTTTCCGAATCGCAGCTAACAGCACCCTATGGCTCCTCGTACATTCCCTCAACCTCCAACACACTTCCGCAGTGATCCCATACAACTCCATACCCAACCTACTTAGCAGTACCTCACCGAGTATATTAGTTCAGTTGGGTGAAACCGTAAAGTCTGGAAGGGAGCTGTGGCGAATTCTACCGCTGCGGCGTTGTGCCTTTTACATTGTAAGATGACATAAGAACGCGGGTCAGAGGCTCACCGGCGATCATAATAGCACTGTGACCAAGGCAGTGGCCTTGCAATATGTACCACTGCTATCTAGGGGGTTAGTGAAGACGAATGAATGGGATAATGCATGTGATCGCCCCGGAGACATGATATCCGATACTCCACTTGACTTTCGGGAATTAGTAGGTATGATGCTAACTCCATCGCTATGATGCCCACAATAACGCCAACAGCCTGCACTTGCGAACGTATGAGAACCAGAAACGCCTCGATATGCGTTTTGTACCGCGCCACCCATTGCAGTGAAAGACAACGCTAAGAGCGGATACTGAGATCAAGAAACCTGTCGGATGTTAGAACCTGTCTGGTTCATTCTTCAAAGCGGACCCTATTCAAGAGGGTGTGTCTGCTCTTCGAAAGCATTGAAAGGGGTTGGAGTGTAGTTACCTCAGCAATGTTCTGGCGCTCGATATAACTCTCCTGCTTCACGTCTCTACCAACGCGCCAGTACGAGTCTGTGTAATCGGCGCAGTTCATTTCGCGCAAGAACTGCTCATCGTGGGTGATGACTAGCAACTGGAAATTTGCCTGCTTCCTGCGACTCTGGATGATCTGGGACAGAGATTCGGCGAGGCCCTTGATGTTCTGCTGATCCAGGTTTGTAGTGGGTTCGTCGAGCGCGATGAGACCACAGTTTGTACCGAAGCACTCTGCAAGCGCGAGACGGATGACGATCGACGCGAGGACCTTCTGGCCAGCGGAGCATCGGCCTCGCATGTCCATTTCGGTGTCTTGCTTCACCATCACAACACGATAGTTGTATGTTCGGTTACCCTTACCATCGCCATCAGATGCAATGCGGATCGTGTCTACATCGGTACCTTGGTACGCGTTGCGCCAAAGCTCAGCGAGGATACGGTTGATCTCCTCCATCTTGAGCGTATGGTACTTCATGATTGCCTTGTCGAGAGCACCAGCGTAGCGCCCCAGGTCTTCAATGGCAGCTTTGGTAGTTTCTACCTTGATATGAGCCTCGCGGTATTGCTCCGCAGAGTTCTTGTAAAGGTCCTGCCACTCTTTCATGAGATCCTGAAGCTGGTCGTCTTTATTCTTCATGTCACGTTCCACGCCTGTCTTAGCAATACTTAGCTGCCTGTATTCCGTGTCCCAATGTTGAGCTTGACGCTCGAAGTGGTCCTTATCACGCTCAGCGCCTAGCTCCTCTAGCTTTCGGATCTCGACTTCCAAACTGTCAAGTGAGCGCTTAGCTTTTCGATAGCGCAGGTTGTCGCTAATGGAGCGCTTGTTCGCTTCAGTATCGCGCACAGTATCTTCAAGCTTCTTGATCTTACGAGTCACATCAGACATGTCCGTCTCGATGCGTGCGATCTCGCCTTGTAGGTTCTCGATCTCCCGATGAGTACGCGTAAGCTGCTGTGGGCCGCCACGATTGATGTAAGAATTTATCTCTTCGTTTGCCTGATTGAGCTGCCGCACACTGTCGGATAACCTCGAAGCTTCGTCATGGGCGCGTTGAACGCGCTCGTTGCCTCGGCGGTTGATGTCGTCGTACTTGTACTGCGCTTGCTCGATCTCAGGACTAATGTCGTTGATATCCTGATCGAAGCTGCGTATGGCTTCTCGTTGCTTGTTGTTCTCCTTCTTGAAATCCTCTACTCGATCAGCAAGAGCCCGCTTCTCCTTCAGCTTGGACTGTGCGCTGTTCAAGTCCGCGTTGATGTCACGCACGCTCAGCTCTAGAGTTGTGATGAGGTTACGCGACTTGTCTCTGGCAGCAGTAAGCTGCTCGAGCGTTGTTCTAGCGCTACGGCTGTCCTCAGACACCCGCTTCAGGTCTGCCTGAATAGCGTCAATGCCTCGCGAAAGTCCGGCAGTCTTCTGCTTCTGCGCTAACTCTTTAATCTCCGCCTCGAGTTCCTGCGCCCTGCTATAGTACCCAACAACGGTCTGCACTTCTTTTGACAAAGATTCTACTTCTTGCTTGACAGCCTCCAGATCATAGATGACAGCATCCTGATCTTCAAGCTGTTTGTTGAGGGTGTCACGTTCAGCAGTCAGCTTAGTAAGGCTAGACTGAATTGCAGGAAGTTCCATATCTCGTAGACGAATTGCAAGTTCATAACTGGGCTTAGCATTGCGAGCAGCCTCAAGCTCGGCGAAGATTTCTTCCGCGTTGTCTGCTTGCATGTTCTTTTTCGCCTTTGAGACGATATCCTTGAGTCCACTTATGAAGCCCGTGGTCGTGAAGTCCTCGTCTTCATCGTCATGAAGGGTCCTCTTACAGAGACGGCAAACGTTGTGTTGCTCAGCGTACTGCAGGCACTTGCTCATGTAGTCAACCTGTGCCTCAAACTTGGCTTTGTCTGAAGAGCTCGCCTCATACTCCTCCTCCAGTTGTTGCAAGGTTTCGTCGAAATCAGAGACGTCGTCCTTCTGTATCGATTTCCTAACGGTCGCTTCGTAGTTTTGGAGCTCAGTGCGCTTCTGCTTCAATTGCGACTCCAAGCTTAACATCTGGAAGTTGACCTTGTCCAGCTTGGTCTGTGCAATATCACGGCGAGACCCTGCCTCCTTGACCTTGCCTACCTTCTCAGCCAGTACCTGCTGGAACGTCGTCTCTAAGGTAGCGGGATCCCACTCAGGGTCAACCAGTTGCGAAAAGCGCTGGTCATGCACCTTCTTCATGGTCGCTAAGCTATGTTGCTGATTTTGTAACTCATCTCGCTTGACATCAATAGATGCAGACTCGCGAGCCTGCTTTGAGGCGTCACCAAACTCGGTCGTCAACCTCTCCTTCTGATCTTCGAGTGTTCGTACGTTGCTAGATGCTTCAGATATGCGTTCATCGAAGCGTTCGGAACTCGCTGTGGCAGTCGCGTTTTGGAGCTGCTTCTCGACGTCTCGCTTTTTGTCTTGGAGAATGGCTTCGCTACCCTCATCCGCCTTGATCTGGTTCATGGTCTTTTGGAGCTCGGAAATCCGTTTGTCGTTGTTCGTAATCTGGTTCCGCGCAGACTCCTTGCTCTGACTGAGTCCCGACTTGCGCGTGTTTAGCTGATTGAGATTGTCTTGCGCCTCGCGTAGGTCGCGCTGTGTCTCCTCTCGAGTTCGATCCAAAACCTTGTTCTGATCGCGAGACATCTTATTCAGGATCTGTTGAAACTCTACGACCTGCTTTTCGTTGACGTCGTAGTCGAACCCTCGGACGGCGTGCCGCTTAGCAGCTTCCTTGATGGAGTTTTCGCGCTGCTGGACTTGACGCTCATACTGCTCCTTTTGCGCCTCATATTTACCGATTTCGCTTTGCTTCGCCCCAAGAGCGTCTCTGTTTTCTTCAAGTTCATTCTTAAGTTCAAGATATTGGCCACGAAACTCTTGGGCCTGAGAGGAGTATGTGGCGACGCGCTCTTGGTATTGATCTAGCATGTCCTGGAGTTCGTCGTCCGACTCAGCCAGCTCCTTTATACTGTCTTGAAGCTCGGCAACGTTTTGCTTGTGAATATCCAGGGTGTTACGCTTGGCTTTTAGCTCTTCGACGAGCTGTATGAAGCGCGCAGCGTGGTCATAAGCGTCTGAAGCTTCCTGTTTCGCCTCGGTACATTTTGCATCCAAATCGTCGTAGGAAACTCGAAGCTCCTCTATTTCATCATACAACTTGGCCTGCTTCTCCTCGCTCTTCTTCGCACGCGACTTGTCCTCCTTGGCATTGGCTTCGATAATTTTGAGCTGGCCCAAGTCAATGTTTTTGTCTTTCCGGATCTTCTTGATGTTGTCGATAGCTTTGGTGTACTTCATGGCTTCGAAGATTTCGTCAAACTTCTTCTTGAGAGTGGATGCGTCGCTCAAAGGCCACAGGCTGTCTTCTTGATGGCAGAAAATGACGTTCTCCAGAATGGCTTTGGATACGCCTAGATACTGAGGAATGATCTGATCCAGCTCGGCAACACGGGTTGAGATGGAATGTTTCTCGCCATCTTTAATCATGAGTAACGAGCCTTCTAGCGTCTTCTGGCTCCTTGCATTCTTCTTGACGGTGACTTGCATGTTGCGCGTAGCGACCATGCGTACTCCAGAAGTAGAGCGGAAAGACAGTTTGACCTGCGCCATGAGCTCCTTCTCATTACGCAGACTTGGGTCGTGGATGAAAGCGCCTCCAGTCTTGCTGCTTGACGGCAGCTCGCCAGTAGTCGCATATTTGAGAGATTCGATGATGGTCGTCTTTCCAGAGCCATTCCAACCGACAATGAGCGTGAGAGGTGCAGTGAACTGAATCGTCTCTCCCTTCTCAGGCCCGAAGGAGCGGATGCCCTGTATCATCATGCGGTCGATTTTCGACATGATGGCGGTATGCGCTGCTGGTGCTGCCTACTTTCTTGGTGTCTGTAGGGATGACTTCTAGTATATCGGGGTTCAGCTCGTCAGCGTCGTCAGTATTGCCAGGCGGAGCTTTCAGCGTGCACCCCCGCAGTTGAGTTGACAAGGCAGCGTGTTGTTTGCTGCGTGTATAGTCAGGCGCTGGCAGCCTGATACGCGTTGTGCTAGTGGCGCGGTGTCACGTGCTGGGAAACCCTGGAAAAGGCCGTGCGCGTTGGGCTCATAAGCGCAGCAATGCTGTCGTCATGCCAAAGTTGCGGATGGGCATGCACATAACATTGAAATCCCATCTTACCTTCGGGCAAGCCACCCGCGCTTATCACCCGCGGCTCGATTGCACGACTCCATATGCAAAATCCAACTGTCGTGCATTTGCAAAGCCATGGCGCAATACCAAAACGGCGGCGCTGAGGTACGATGACCAGCCCTGCATCCCGGTAAATCTGAACGACTGTCTCATGTGTGTAGATGATGGCCGGACTCCCCATGCACCCACCGGGCCAGGAGTATAATGGGCTGCCCATGGACGATGGCATGCAGTCGATGGATCTGGATATGGGGTCGCTCGACGGAGCCGAGGGCGGCCAGAACGGCGGGTTTTCCTTCGCGGATCCACAGATGCAGGCTGCCAGTGTACCAGCCAGCAGCACCATGGGCGACATGCAAATGACAGGCGCAGGCGCTGGGCCTCTACCGACTGGCTTCGGCGCTCCCAACATGAATCCGTCTGGCAGCACATTGACCGAGTTTACCAAGCGGAGGAACTGGTCGCAGCGCGTCCTGGAAGAGCTGCGCGACCTGCTGCACATACTGACACCCGATGGCAGGGTCCTCTATGTCTCGCCTTCGTGCAAAGCCCTCACGGGGTGGGAGCCCTCGCATGTCATGGGCCGCTTCATCAACGAGTTCATTCATCCCGACGACATTGGCATCTTCGTCAAGGAGTTCAACGAGTCTATCGCGTCCGGAAACCCTCTCCGGTTCTTCTATCGCTTCCGCAAGACGGATGACTCGTGGATCATTTTCGAGTCCCACGGCCATCCGCACCTCAGCAGCGACCAGAACACGTTTGCGCCACCCAATACCATCAACTGCCGCGGCTTCTTCATGATGGCGCGCCCCTACCCGACCAAGAACGCCGCTCTGCTCGACTCCTTCCTCGAACACAAGATAGAGAACGAGCGTCTGATGAAGCGAATAGCTGAGCTTAAGCGAGAGGAGCAGGATGAGCAGGACGACTGGACAAAGAAGATCGAGGGCACAACTACGTCGGTAACGCCTTCAGAATCCCATGTCACGCAGAACATGAGCCAGGCCGATGCCGCGTCCTATGCGCAAATGCCTCCACCAGCCAAGCCAGTCATATCGAACACTGCCCTCACCCGTCAGAACCTCGACGAAGCCCTCGCTGCAAGCAAGCCTGATAGTATCAACGATAAGATGATGCGGTATGAGGGCGCGAATCATCTGGAGACAATCGAGATGTTGACCGGCCTTCGGTACAGGGACGGCGAGCGCTCGCAGGGTATCAGTACCGGTGACGCAAGCCCCAACCTCATCCGCGGCGATGCAGGCATACAAATATCGCTAGACCGCGATGGCAGAAATTCTTCCGACAAGAAAAAGAAACTGAAGATTGCCGATGAATATGTATGCACAGACTGCGGCACCTTGGATTCGCCTGAATGGCGGAAGGGTCCAAACGGACCGAAAACGTTGTGCAATGCCTGCGGACGTGAGTTCTCAGATCCCGAATCAGAAACATGTGACATGCTAACTTCGATAGTGCGCTGGGCGAAAAAGGAAAAGAAGAAACAGCAAGGTCCTACTAGCATGCCGAGTGGAAATGGCATGATGCATACGCCATCGATGCCAATGCATAGCAGCACGGGCAGCAGCTAGAACTATCTTCATGCTGCAGTCTACCTCGATGCTTGTGATCATTAGCTCGACCACAGCGATTTGATACAGGCCCTGCGGAGTTTTCTGCGGTGTTCTCTCCCCACTATTCTTACCGGACTTTTATAGGCGTCGGGCATATCAACGGCGTTGCATTTGTGGCTTTCAAGAAAATATGGAGCCAATGTTCTCCACGGTTTGCATATAATTCCCAGGACTATGGATAGACTCAGGCTTAGCAATGATACCACCTCTCTGTAATGACAATTGCAAATCGCGACAGCAGATGACTCGTACATTAGCAATCCACAACGGGTCAACTTGCATTAGAAAGCTCTGCCAGTGACTGAAACTTCGTGTGGGTGAAGACGCTGAAGAGCAATCAGTGGTACTGTCGCTCCCAAGTCCCGCGCATTGATACTGAAACAAGACTAAAACTCACGTCCTAGGCTAGGCCAAAATATCTTCACAATCTTCAACAGTGTGCCACTATCAGCAAACATGTCGGAATACTTTTATATACATCTAGTAGGCAGCGCCACAACTGCTCATGCATCCAGCGATGTTTCTGTATCTCGCTGTTTAAACGGCCATGTCTCTGCGTATGGGCAGAAGAATTATGCAACCAGCAGACTCCCACGGCCAATACTTCCTTCGCAATCCAGGCTTCCATTGGCAACACCACAGTCTTCCAGTATGAATACTCGGCTCCCGGCCGAGAAACCAACCACTCGCTTTTCGGCACCAAGATCCGCATTGCCAGCACCACCAAGTTAATTACTGCGCTTGCTCTGGAGTTGAGCAAAGATAAGATCAACCTGGATGATTCGATCACCAAGTTTATACCCGAACTCAATGAGGAAGTTTACGGCGATGTCACTATCAAATCGTTAATCGATCACACTTCCGGTCTCGGTCGACTTGAAAGTTCAAATACAACTTCTTTGATACTTCCCACAAGTTGAAGGCTAACGGATCATACTCGGGTTACACCACCGATCTCGGGTTCAACCCAACTACCGCTGCCGCGCTAGGCCTACCCAAGATCAACAATACACTTCCAGGCTGCGACCCCATTCCCGGCGGCCGAGTATGTACGGATCAAGAAGTGATCGACGAGTTCAATGACCCAGCACACGTGCCTCATTCACCAGAGTCGCGCGCAATGTATAGTAACATTGGCTACATACTCCTCGGCAAAGCTCTCCAAGCGGTGTACAACCAGAGTTACGAAGACGTTATCCAAAAGTTTATTTTGGATCCCGTCGGCATGCCCAAGTCGACTTTCGTCGTCCCTGAAGACGATGGAAGCGCCATCCTACCTAGACGCCCCGAGGATAAAAGTTGGTTCGTGGCTGATTTTGCGAGTCTTAACCCTACGGGTGGTCTGTGGTCTACGCCGAACGAGATGCTCAAGATGCTTCTGGTGCTAAAGAACGGTGGACTGCTTAGTAAGGTTGAGCTGAGGGAGTGGATGTAACCAACGACTTTCCTACGCTCGATGCACCGGTACGTTGGTGTGGCATGGGAAATCTTCCGCTCGACTTCCCACGACCGATTGACATCTATACAAAGGCTGGTGGAGTGCATGGATACGGGTCTTATCTGGTATTGATCCCGGAGTATGACATCACGATCACCATTAATGCTGCTGGGAGAGAGACATCGTATACTTCCATTGAACTTCTCGAAAATATCACCACTGCATTGATTCTATACGCCGATCAACTAGCGCGATCGCAAGCCTCGTCAAAGTATGCTGGCACATATACGCTATCAACGCCAACTGGGAATGATACGCTCGTATTGTCTTCTACCTTTGGCCCAGGGCTCTCCATCGACTCATTGACCATCAACAACGTCTCCGTTATCGACGCCTTGGCCAAACGACGAAACGTCCCTTCCAAGAACTTTAGCGCACGTTTGTACCCAACTGATCCAGACTCGCTGCGTACAGACAGCGAAAACTGGAGGATGCTACCAGACCAGATAGCTCCTGCGAAGAATTTGTGGGCGCGGAACTTGAGTGCATGAGCTGAAATCTAGGTAACTTTGCTCGTTATGTGAGTGAGCCACTTGACACTTTTGTGTTTCACATGGACGCGGATTAGGAAAGGGTTGTGAGCGTGGAGTTGCTTGGCTGGGGGGTGAATTTGGTAAAAGTTGATTGAGATGCCGTCGCTACTACAGGCCGATTTCGGAAGTACACAATGGTTTAGTAATCAGGGAAGTCAGTATCAACAGTATTCCTCCAGGCCTGTAGACCTCCTTTAATATCACCAATATATCTTTTCCCTCCCGCATCAAGCCCAAGCTCCTTCATCTTTTTGACCGTGGTCTGTGAATCGTTGCCTAGTCGACATACCACGAATATAGGCTTCTCTGACTGCCGTAACATCTTGGTCCAAGTCTCCTCTTCGGTGGCAGAATCAGGTCCTCGCGTAGCTGAAACCGTAGAGAAAGGCACATTTATACTGCCATCAATATTACACAGCTCAAACTGGACTCGTTCGCGTACGTCAACAAGGAGGTGACTGTCTTTGTTTGACACTGTACCCGTGAAAGGGTTGACGCCGGATCGTATCTGCGCGTAATTCTTTGCAGATATGCGTTCCTCTGGGGCTAACGGATTGGTATCCGGAAGTAGACCGCCACAGAACTGAACGTAGTCCAAACTTCCAGACTCTAGTGCCTCTTCACTAATTGTTGAATGTGATGAACAGGCAGCGCATTTGGCTTTTCGGCCCCTGAGGCGTATGGAGCGGTACATAGGGTTTGAATAGGCCGAGAATAAGAGCAGGCTTGGTGGGTCTGCAGGCATGGTAGTAGGTCTTTGGGTCAGGACTTTGATCGCTTCCAGTGCTTGTAAGACGCCCATTACGCCAACGACAGGTCCCAGAATACCACCGTCGCCACATGATACGACGGATTCGGGTGGTGGGGGTTTCGGGAAGACACAGCGATAGCAGGGGCCTCCATTCGGATCACCCGGTGGCAACGGTGGATTATTCAACACCATCATCTGGCCATCTATGCGAAGTGCTGACGCTGAAACAAGAGTCTTGCGCAGAAGAACGCACGCATCGGAGATCAGATAGCGCGATGCAGGGGTATCTGTGCAATCCAGGACCAAATCGTATCTCTTGAACGTCGAAATGGCAGTCTCTGGACTGAGTCGGGATGCATGAGGAATTAGTGTGACATTAGGATTAAGCCTACCTTAGTGGATTAGTCGGAGTTCCAGTGTGTTGGGTTTTCTGGATAGACGCACGACTTCAAAGCCACCATGGCACTCTCAACTTTGGTCATTCCGACTCTTGCAGTTGAATGTAGGATCTGTCGGTGTAGGTTCGATTCTTCAACCACATCGCCATCAACTAGTCCTACAATACCGACGCCTGCTCCGACCAAATATGCAGCAGCTGGGCAGCCAAGACCACCCACACCTACGATAAGTACACGAGCATCCCTCAAGCGAAGTTGACCTGGATATCTCAACCTCAGCGAATTTCCAGGCACCATACGGAAGGCTTGACTCACCTTTCAGTCCGATCTCTGGCATGATTAGCTGCCTCCCATATCTCTTGTACTCATTTTTCTCAAGCGGCCATTTTGACACTTCCTCAGATACCTCCAATACACTATGTTGCGGGGCCTCCTGCTCTTGCTTTAAAATTGCTAAAATCTCCTCGCGGAATAAATCAGGTACTCCAAAATTCATATCATGATCCAGAGGGTTGGTCGGATCAGTAGCTAGCGGTCTTTTTTGGGGCACAACTTTGGCTATTCCGCGTTGGTTGTGCTCAGCCTCCGCCAGTTGTTGACGTAGATCCTGTAATGTAGCTTCGCACGACGCAATTTGCTTGCGCAAAGAGCTGATTACCGAAGTCATATTGGTGTTGCCGGATGATATGCCCACGTCGTAACTCTTTGGAATGCGTGTGGCTGCCCGATGTGGGGTCGAGTCGTCGCTACCACCCGTGGGGCCATGACGTTAGTCCCGATCCTGACAGTAAATGCACGTGCTATAATAAGCCTTTGCTTCAACCACAATGTGTGGTCTTATGGCCACCATGAGAAACATATACAGCTTACTGATTCCAGGCTACTGATTTGAAAAGGTGTTGGTATCACCGATCTATGAGCGCTGTATCTCCTAGAACAGCCATGTAGGAGCAAGGGCGAAGCGACAATGACATGTATGATATGCGTAATGGAGGATGTGCTTAGCACGCTATAGGACACTACAATATTGCACACCAACACATGATGCACAGCCCTGACGATATATTAAAGCCTCATCGCGTTTGGGCAGCATCCCCTCGCCTTTTCGGCTTCGACTTGAGCATCTTGTGATGGTTGGAACCTCGAGATTAGCTCGTAAGGCAGAGGATCTCTCCCATTGCATGTTGTTGGCTCGGACTCTCAGACCGTGATACGAATGGTAAAGCAACAAGACAAAACTCTATATCCTAGGCAGCGACAGTAGCTTATGGATGCAATCGCACACTCAAAAGAGGGGACACAATTCGCTAGACTCTTGAACCCTGACCACCCTTTCGAAACCTGTGTGACGACACGCAGCGGGACATTATGAATGGACGGATTCATTGGAGCTTGAATCACTGATGCATCAGCCCTCGCGCGTATGTGGTTCTACTAGCCTTTTGAGCAAATGTACACGTGTAGCCTTCTCGTGACCGATCGGTAATCATGCAACGCGCTCGGATCCTGGAGGCCGATTGACGAGTCTGACATGCTGATGGTAGACCGGTGTATAGAAATCCATGAGCACCGGATGTGGAAACACGAATGCAAGTAATAAAATTTCCGTACTGACGATTGGTTGTTCGAGGCGGCTTATCAGGCAGCTAGTAAGGCGTTGTCCACACCTGGGATCGTCCTGCCTGGGTGTCTGAAAGCAGGCTGGAAGGCTTCGGTGTGTAGCAACGCAGCTCTCTGCTGGTTTCTCAAAACGCGAACGTCAAAACATAGTTATGGCTGGCATCAGGTAAGCATCTAGATCTCGCTTTCATCAGATCTCGCTCTTGATCGAGCGATCATCAGCTCGTGTTTCATGTTAAATTCTCCTAGTAGGGCTAGCAGCTCGAAAAAAGCATCGAGTTGACGAATAGATGAACGAGATAGGTTGACCCGGATATGCGGGCGCGAGGGTCGTGTTCGCGGGAGATGCTCCGAATGTGCGGCACCTGGGCATGCTGTGGCGACCCGCTCCCTAGCTGGGTAGCAAGATTCGGCGGCGCAAGATGAACGTCAGCGCGAACCAGTCTGGACGGCATTAGCATACGTGGTGTCCGATGGTCTGTGTAATGGGTCCTAAACGAGGGCCAACTTGAAACGGCGATATGTCGCCGAATACTTGTATGCCTGCAAATGATATTCGCCGCCACAGTGCTGTGCAACGGTAGATCCTTGTGCTTGGGAAGCTGGGCGCGTCTCCACGAGAGCGGGAGAGGTTCGTGGCATTAGTGGCACCTCCACTTTTTGGGTTGGTCCAGAGCTGACTTTCCACCTTAGACCGTCGAATGGTCTGGAAGCTGTACGCGAATTTCAGCCGCTGTTGCAGTGCTGGTTTCTTTGTCCAGCAATTTCACTAGTATAGTTTGTCAAAGGGGTTTCGACTGACGTACAGCGTGCCATCATCCCCTACCATTGCCTTTCCACCCCGCGGAACTAACGGGAACGCGACTTCTTACACCCCGCACCTTCGTCATATCCATCCCCAAATTTCGACCACTCCACGACGCCATGGTATCTGTTTGCACGACATGTAAAGGTCTCCAGAAACACCTTCACGGGGAAAGCGCACAGGAGAATGGATCAGAATCGCTCGTTTGGGTCGACACAACGCTGTCAAAACTGAGGTCGAGTTCAAGTGCATGTCGCGCGTGCGCACTCCTTCTCAATGGCGTCTTACTACACCACGACCGGTTCGCAAACATAAACGAGGACAATGTCAGAATTACGGCAGAGTCCTTCAAGCCAAAATTGGGAAAAGCACCCCAAGAACATCTCTCAGTTGAGCTTCGCTGGAAGGACAACGACGACCAAGACGATTGCCACGACGACGACGACCATGAACATGCAGCAGGCCATGCAGATCTCAAGCTCGAGTTCTTCACCGATGGAGGTATGCACCAAGTTTCTTCTGATGATTTTCAATCGATTTTAATGATGGCCGCGGTGGTGGAACGGCCGCCTACTGTTAGCTCGCTCCCTCTGCAGGAACGCGTCGACTGACAACGCTGCAGACGGCCAGTCTCCTTTCTCTGCCATTGGGCGAGGAAGACATGTGACAGATAATCCACTACAGAGTACCGGTCTGGCAACAGCGCGGGGCTTAATAAAGACTTGCCTAGAAAGCCATGCTACGTGCAGTCGCCGAGGTAAACCCACCACGCTACCGAAGCGCGTGCTAGACTTGTTATCTGGCGACGATTCCAAAAGCATGCGATTGCACGAGAGTGAATACATACGGGACGAGAGAAGGTACGAACATGGCGAGTATATCGCCTTGAGCCATGTTTGGGGACTAGGCAAAGGTATTCCGAAGACAACTTTGGCAACGCTGCAGTCGCACAAGAAGAGCATACCATGGTCAACACTGCCAAGAGCGTACCAAGAGGCCGTCTTCCTCACACGGGCACTTGGTTTCCGTTGGCTGTTCATCGATAGTCTCTGCCTAATACAAGATGACGTCCAAGAGAAGCTTGAAGATTCGCTAAAGATGGACGAGATCTTCGGAAACGCATTCCTGACAATCGCGGCAACATCCGCATCCGACAGTAGTACCCAACCCCTCTTTCCTCCCAAGACGCAGCCATTCAAGATACAAGCAACAGATCATAAAGGCTCTTTGCATAAGATAAACGTGAGGGAACAACCGAGCCACTACAGTTTCAAAGCACCTTTTGACGGAAACGCTCATATGAACGAGTGGGAGTTACCTTTCAACATGTCCGAAGAAGCGAACCTACACACACCACTCTTGATTCGCGCATGGCCATACGCTGAACGTCTACTTTCGCCAAGGGTGCTACACTTTACGAAAAGCGAAATGATATTGGAATGTCGAGAAGGTTATCAATGCGAATGCGGGCGCATCGACGAAAGTACCTATGACTCGCGGCCGAATGACCAGGTCAAGCAAGAGTTTGGCAGAGTCATAGCCGAAACACTCAACAGACCACAGCAAGCCAATAGCAACGGCAATATGGGCCACACCAGGACAGATAGCATGACAAACCAACTGGCCTCTACACATCTCACCAATGGTGCTCAGCAGGACTTGTTGCGCAGACGTGAAGAGACGCTCCAATTGTGGTCATATATCATAACTGAATACACTGCACGGCACCTCACATACGACAGCGATCGCCTGATAGCAATAGCAAGCATTGCAAAAGCCCTTTCTCCGACTCTGCAGTCAGGATACATAGCAGGACAATGGACGTTCAGCACTCTCGGGCTTCTCTGGTATCCTAATGACAGCTCCCGATGCCGTCGGCCGAAACTCGCACAAGGACAGAACGTGCCAAGCTGGTCTTGGGCCTCAGTCGAAGGCTCACCAATCTTCTTCGACAACACAAGCGCAATGGATCTCGCGTGCAGAGCTTCCTTCGGTCCGAAAGGAAAGCGTGCCAGTGCCTGGTCCCCTATCATGGGTGAACCTCTCGAGCTTTCAGGGGCCATGGCCGCCGAGGTTATCTTCCACACATCTACATCGGCATCATCAGAACAAAAGACTTCGTACATCCTAGCGAAAAACGGCATGGCTGTCGACTTTACACCAGACATCGTACCACCTCGAGGCGAAGACACGCTGCAAGACGGAGAAACTCTTGTTTGCGTTCTCGTCAGCATGACATTCCGCTCCTCCATCGTTGGAATCGTGCTCAAGCCATCACCTGGAAACAACACTTACCGCCGCGTTGGACGTCTAGAATGCTACGAATGTACACCTGAAGGCATTGAGCAAGAGATGAGCGAAGACGCTGAAGCATTGTTTGAGCATTGGTTCCCTGAAATTCAGGATATGACACAATTGGACAATTATCCGCAGCGCACTTTTACTGTTGTTTGAGAGTATGTCGAGGTGGCTCTTTCGTCTCAACATCATTCCTGAGTGAAGGGTAGTTGCGGTGGAGTAACGTAGATGACCCTGCTTTCGTTCGCTTTTTGTATTCGATACCCCTTAGCTACCAGCAGTTTGCGGTAGCACTTTGATTGCTGTGTTTAGATGTGTACGGATGGTGGGCTGGCATTATTAGAGTTACGTACATCTGATATCATACACCGATTCGAGTCACATCTTGTTTCTTGATACGATTATTGTTGCTGACGATACCCTACACGTGCAGATTTCCCCAGATTCGGTTCAGGGACATCTAGCTAAGCTTTTCACAGGTGCGCCGTCATTCACTCAACCACGGTACTCTCAATCCCCGCTGCTCGGGCAGCCGGCTTGGTACGCGTCATCGGAATCTCCTCATTTTGGAGACGCACTTGGCATATGTACAAGGATCTCACGTGGCAGTAACTGCATCTGGATATTAGGATAACTGGAACAGCATCAATGATGCGCAGTGAATCATGCCTCCAAAAGCTGGGCACCTGTAATGAACCCTGATAATTCTGCTGTTGACTATTAAGAGATGTGTTCTAGGGAATATAGTCTTAGTGGAGAAGTATGAATCGACCAAGACTATAAGATTACTGTAGCATTTGTATAGGAAGATAGCACTAGTCTCAAATGCTCACAACGAAGTTTTTCCCATCACCTTCACCATTTGATATTAGGTTCTCCAACGCACCATCAATACCTTCCAGCCCACCTTCCACTCTCTCCATAGGTTGAGGGATAATCCACTCTTTCTGAAAACCAAACGGTAAATATTCTTCAACAATCCACTCGAGTAAACCCTTGTTCTCTTGCTCGTACAGCGGCTCGAACCACGCTTCAAACACGCTCTCTACACCATCTGGCAGGCTCTTAGGTCCAAAAGATGGTTGCGTAGCATAGAGTTTACCACAATCCTGGGATTTCAGAACCTGACCCGTAGTGCGAATAGTTTGTGGAGTGGATATCATATCGACGAAAACCTCGTACGGCCCTCTCTCCTCCAGTTACCAGACAACTTGTGTCAGAGACAGCGTGTGATCAACGGCACTATCCACGCCTAATTTACGCATAGGACCCATGTGCCTTGGTGAAGACGTCGTAGTAACCGCATAACCAGCGCTCCGAAGATACCGCACAGAAAGTCGGCCAAAGCTAGAACATCCTCCATACACCAAGACGTTCTTCTTTTCTTCTGCCCCCACAGTCAAGATCTCATCACCAGGTCTCCTTAGCCCCAGCTGTCCAGAGAAAAGCCCAGGGACACAACTCGTATTCATAACTAGACTGGCTAGAACTGCCTCGTCACTTCCTTCCGGTATCCGAATAACCATTTTCTCTCCGGCTGCGACGGGGACGTAACCTTGGTAGGCACCATGTTGGTTTCCTTTTGTACTGAATTGCTTGCTTATCAGCACGCGTGCGCCGACGCGGTAGTTAGTAACTGAGCAACCGAGCGCCTCGATCGTGCCGGTGTAAGAAGAACCTAGGATAGCAGGGTAGGCGATAAGGATCGCAGCTAGTTTTGCAATGTTGGCTTCTATGGTATTGAGGCTTATTGTGGAAACTTTGATAAGCAGTTCGTTGGGTGCTGGGTTGGGGATAGGGATGGATTGGCTTGAGAGAGGGCTTCTTGGAGATGAGAAAATTGCGGCAAAGTTCATAATGAAGAATGGAGCGTATGGAAGAAGAGGGCACGAATCGTGTGACGGATCTATACACATGCTTATTACTTGCTCATATTAGTGCCTATTGAGCTACATTTTGCAGGTATGAGTTCTCGGTATAGTCGTCCATGACTTAGCAGTTGCGATCTTCCGGAAAGTTTCCGCTGTGCATTACGCAGCGCAAAGCAGATTGCGGCCTATTCGCCTCGAGAATACTCATATCATGTCGAATGGTTTGGGCGATCTCCATGCTGCTGGCATCGATTTCCGGTATTGGGTACTGTAGTTGCTCATAATGCTAAACAGCAAAATCCCTACTAAAGATGGATGAGAAAAGGACGGAAACGCTCACGTCGAGTCAACCCACCTGAAGCAATCGGTATCCCAAAACAATGTCTCAAATATCGACACACAGGTGTGTCTTTGGTGTTCCTGGATTGGAGGTTCGCTTCGCCGAGCCATTGGTGAGGGCTGGCGCTCATATCTCAGACGCATTGGCTTCATTGCTGCGCGAACTCGGGCTTGGTCTCCATGTTGCTCTGCACATGGCTCTTGAGTGCTGCCCAGCGATCCCGCACTGCATCGGCGCCCTGTGCCTTGTTCCCACTCCCTCCCACTAGCTGTACTAGGTTGGCGTTGAACCTTTCCTTCTCTAACTTCTCCAGCTTCTCTTTCCTCTTCTTCGCACCCTTCGTTCTTTTCATGCTCTCGAGCATCTGCTTGGGCTGAACTATCCGCGCTTGGCCTACTTCTAGTTCACCATCTGTCCCAGCGCCTGGCAGTGCGTCGGCAAGCGACTCGAGGTTTGCGATCAACTTATTGTTGGGTCGTCGTCGCTTTTGAGTCTTGGCGGAAGATTTTTCAATCTTGGACACGAAGGAAGAGTGCTTGATCTTCTGCTTGTCGCGCTTGGATGAGGGGAAAGAGGATATGCCATCGGGCTTGGGGAGAGTCGCGGTGGTAGGACGGGCTGCGCGAGCCGACTTTGCGCGCGCTGTTGTGCGCTTCTTTATTGGAGCCTGGAGACATGCGTGAGTATTCAAATACTAGACGAGCATATTCGAGAAACATACCATGATTGGGTTGCGTTAGAGCAAAGGTTAGAGAGCACAGTCGCATATGGCTTGAACTCTTGGCCTTGCCGAAAAGTTCTTATCGATACGGTAGCGGCTGCAGGTTCCGAGGCTGACCTCTCAGCCAAGGCAACCTTCACAGACGAACAACTTCACTTTCGTGCAACAGGCTCTCGTTGGGCTCTGATGTCGGATGACGCACAAACGTCTCAAGCCGCTGTGTGGTTACCCTCGTACATTGCTCCTTACCGCTGCAATTCCATCGGAAACGGTGCGAGCTAGCTAGCGCTGCTCGCGCACCCCTTTGCTTCGCCACACTTGAGCATCTACGAGAAGCAGGTCACACGGTTCACTCTTAACAGTGGTTTCTGGTCGTTGAATATCAAACTGGGATCTCAAAACAACTCGTTGGCTTCTGCGCCCAGGACGAAGTCCGAAGGAGCTGTCTTACCAGACTTCACGGACAAGGTGTCGAACTCCGTGCCAAGTGAGGAGTTGTCTTTCTTCCCACCGTCGTATCATACGGTCATGCCTCTTTGCTCGGATTGGCCAATTATGTCGTAACTGTTCTGGTAAGATCAGAGCATATCGGACTTCACTAGCTGCGGCCCGTTCCCGATCACTGATCTGTTGACTGCCAATCACATCAACAACACACCCGTTATCGTCCACGTTGTATTGTGCGACCGCATATCGTCGTTTCGTTTTCCACAAGGTTCAATCAGATCGATCATGTCATAGATATGATTGCCACAGGCATGTCAAGGTATAAGATAGAGTATTGCTTTTTTACCACTTCAAACCTATGCTGAAACGCTGCCATTTAACCTCAGCTACCACTATACACGGAAGGCTAGCCCTCCGGCATGTACAGCATCCTCGTATCAATGTGGCGGCATCCTTCATCCCAACGCTACGGACCTGGACTCAGCTCGACGCCAACTGTCTAGCCTAGATGCAGGCACGCGTGCGACCGATCTGCAACATGTCCCTCCCGTTCCAGTTACGGTATCCTACGATTCGCTGCTGCCCGCTATCCAACTCCCTTCCGCTTCTATTTCCAGTCTTCTAGACGAAACTGCACAAACCCCTCACCCTCGTTGCTGCGACAAAAGGCAATCATTCGCATGAGATGCAAAGACGCGTAGCCCTGGTGATTCGGAGTCCAAGGGAGCCTTACACGCCGCATATGCAGCAGTTGTCCGAAGTTCGACGATATCTGGCCTCATCTACTCTCTTGTAGCCGCCAATATGCTATTTCGATAAAGATTGATCAAAGCTCATTTCAATGCAATCTCCGAACGGCGCAAGTCACAAATCACGATGTGTGACGAACAAGCCCAGCAGGAGAACGCGCTCATTTCTGCTCAGAACCATGGCACTATTCTGGTAATGGTTGCTTGGTTTCTTGCTTGTCTATTGGTACAAGACTCTTCCCCTTATCAATTCTAATGCTGACTCGTCACTATAGGCCATATGCACTGTAGCAAGAATTGTCGCTCGATACAAGTCTGACCATCTTCGCCATCTTTCGTCGACAGATGATGTCATCATCGTTGCCGCATCGATCTTTGCTCTTGGAAGTACCGTCATAATATCCACAGCCGTCAACTCCGGTTTGGGGAAGAAGAAGTGTCTTTTGAATAAGGGAGACCTGGAGCAAATCCAGCTCAAGCTCTTTGTCACGACGATACTCTTCGTCCTGACAACTAGCTTAGCGAAAACCTCGGTCTTGCTATTTCTCTATCATCTGGCAGACAGCACCTTCCGGAGGGCAGGCGTCCTAGCTATCAGTGTATTGGTATTGGTATGGACTATTGCAGTTTTAGCCGGTATGGTCTTCCAATGCGAGTTACCCACGCCGTGGATGGTATGGACAGGCAGATGTATCCCACTGGTAAATCCAAATGTCGTATTGCAGCTGTAATTATCCCTGACCTTGAAATAGGTACCTTTCTGGATGATTGCAACGGTTGTAGACCTCGTCCTAGAAACAGCTGTGATCGCGCTTTCCATGCATCGTGTATGGACACTTCGTGAGTCTTATCGTCAGAAGACCTTGGCAACATTACTATTGTCAATGCGTTTCATGTGAGTAAAGGGCCTATTTCCAAATACGTGGTAATCGTTTCTGACAACTTCCTGAAGCTTGGTCGCAGCATCCGTCATTCGCCTAATCTACCTCCAGCAAGCGTATGATCGCAACGGAGACCCTTCTTTTGACTCGATACCTTACACTGTTGTCACACAAGGCCAAACCATACTCGCAGTGCTTTTCGTTTGCAGTCTCTGCCTCAAGCCTTACTCTCGCTTTCAGGTTTCTCGATCGCAGGCCCCCAAACAAAAGTCGAGACACTCAAAACACTGGTCTGATAGTATCACTATCGGCGGCACTCCCTACGAATCATACAACTCTTTCCCACCACCGGTTATAAGAGAGCCCCTTTTGTCTATACAAGCGAGTATGTCACAACCAAATTCTCCCGCAGCGTCCAGTCACTCATTAAACGACGATATACTGCTACCTGACATACCAGTGCCCACGCGATCTGCCAAACGACCGCCTAGGCCCCCACCACCAAGCGAAGAGCAACGGCCAGATCTTAGCATGTTCACTCGGAACATCACTATACGGCAGCCGCCGGTGGTGACGCGACTAGGTACTTTGCAAGAGAAAGAAAGTACTAATGGCCTGAGGGCGAGGGGCCTCGCTTGATAGAGTATATGAGTGGTACCCATCCGGACGTAGGCGTAAGGCAGGCCTTTGGATAGTCACGATAGATGTTTAGAATGAATAACACAGACTTAGAGAGACAGTTCAATGCTTCCCGTCTTCAGCTGATATGCACATTGTCAGTATTTGTAGGCGATGGGATGGAGTCGGTTACCTAGGTAAAAAAGTGAACACCTGCATGTCTCGTAGAGCACTGGCCAAGCTCATCACACATCACCGAGCGCCTGCCACAACACAAGCAAACTTTCACCTCTCATCCCGGTAACAACAGCAGCTCTTTCTTGATGGGCTAAGAAGCATAGAGAGTTGTGGAATTGACCATTCCTAGGTGGCTAGAGGTGTAAAAGCTCGCCCCGTTGCCGTATACTGGTACCCAAGAAAAGCTAAGCAATGACGAAGCTTTCTTCGTCGTCAACGACTTGTTGCAAAGAATAGATGCCGAGAGTACCGAATAGTTAGACACTAACATGGTCGGTTTCATGTCGATGTCTCTTTGTCGGCAGGTTGTAATGCTTGCTGTCAACCGTCCAACACGGTACTTGGCATGTAAACACTAAATGCCGTCAGAGCCGCAACGACTCTTTTTTCTCATATAAATTCGCCCCACGTTGTCAGATAGCCGGATATCGCGTCTTTATAATTCTGAGTTTACCTTTACTCGGTCGCTTTGTCCATTCTCTCTTCTCAACATGACGGCTTTCGACCCAACCAATATCGATCTTACGACAGTCAATCAGGCAGAAGTCATCTGCTACTTCGCTATCGGCGAAAACGAGTATAACGGTCAATTCGGGGCGCGGATATCGTCCATCTTCGTTATCGGTCTTGTCTCAACATCCGTCACGTACTTCCCCGTTATTGCCCGAAAGAAACCGTCTTGGAAGATTCCCCTCGGTCTGTACACCTTCGCACGCTTCTTCGGCTCCGGCGTTATTGTCGCTACAGCATTCATTCATCTACTGGATCCAGCATACGAAGCCATCGGCCCAGGTAGTTGTGTGGGTGAAAGTGGAGGCTGGGCGGAGTACCCTTGGTGCGCAGCGATAGTGTTGACTTCTATCATGGCTGTCTTTTGCGTGGATCTGGTTGCAGAAGTATACGTTGAACGCAAATTCGGCGTCACAAAAGAGGAATCTAGCGTTTCGAATAGCGCTTTCCTTCGCTCTGATCGAGACCCCGATGCAGCACCAGCTGCAGCAGCAATGGACCCCGAATTCCATGTCTCCGCGCAACACCAAGATCACGACCATCGAAAGGACACAGAAAGCCTTTACAGCAATAGCGCGTTCCTCTCAAACATGACATCGTCAACAGCAGATCGTCTCTCTTTTGCTCAGCAAATTGGGGCTTTTCTTGTTCTTGAATTCGGAATCATCTTCCACTCCGTTATCATCGGCCTGAACCTTGGTGTCGTAGGCGACGAATTCTCAACCCTCTATCCCGTTCTCGTATTCCACCAATCTTTTGAAGGTCTAGGCATAGGAGCTCGGTTATCCAACATCCCTTTCCCACGAAGCAAGAGCTGGATGCCGTGGGCTCTTTGCGCTTTGTACGGCCTTACAACTCCTGTGTCTATTGCTATTGGGCTGGGCGTTCGCACGACGTATTTGCCTGAAAGTAAAGTTAGTTTGATGGTACAGGGTGTTTTGAATGCTGTCAGTGCTGGTTTCTTGATATATAGCGGATCAGTGGAAATGTTGGCTAAGGATTTCTTGTTCGATGAAAACAGAACGAAGAAGCTTGGGAAGTTAGGACGGATGGTGGCTTATGTCTTCGTCGGAACGGCGACTATGGCTCTCATAGGGTATTGGGCATAGTGAACCTGTATACCTTCGCTGTATTCTCAAGTCACAAATGCATGGGTGAAGTAGTAGCCAGGGAACACTCAGATCATACTCAACTTTTTGATCCATCTTGATATTGCATTGGAGCAACACACGCCCCATATGCCGCACCCAAAAACTCAGATTTCGATCTCCCTGGAGGAGTACAAGTCCTTAAGATTCTGTAGATCTGCAATGATCCGGTCGATCTGGGTGATGTCCTCCAGGGAGACCACCTGCTCGTAAATGTCCGCCACTCGGAGATCCCAGTCCGATACTCCATCCAAAGAGCTATCGGACGACCCTCGGTATGACTCCAGAATGGAGTGGTCATCTGATGCCCTTGGGGGCGAGCACGGGGAGGGAAAACCAAGGGGGAGGGGTGGCGCGTTCAGGGTGGAGCTGGGCGAGCGTGGAGATAACGGTAAAGGACGATCGGGCGCTACATCTGATTAGTCTTGCACATTCTTGACATTCATACACGATAGTAACCTACTATTGGGTGGGTAATCCCTAGGCCCATCAGGAGAGCCGAGTGATGTAGACCTCTGCGCGGCCTCACTAATCACCCGCTCCCTCTGTTCGCGCAACGAAGGCGGCAAAGTATCGATTCGCGGAGCAACGGGTAAAGAAAACGAACGTGTCGGGGTCAAGTACTGCAGCGATGCTTTTTCGGTAGCGGGTTGCTGCTTGAGCACTGTGGTACGACACTCCCTAAAACACCTCAACGTTAGTGTCCGCAACTATAGGGCAGCATGCATGTCCGAAAAGTTCCGGATTAGTCGCTGCTGCTAGTAGGCTGAGTAAGAGTGATTAGAAGAAGACCGTCGCATATTGAACATTCCGTGGCACCAGGCATTGCCTGGGTGACGCAGATTCTCAATGCGGTAGCTTCTCCGTAGATGGACTGTTGTAGGTGGCTTAGCGTACGTTGGGCGGATGTCGAGGACGTCTCGACAAAGCTCTTCTAGGCAGTAGTTGTTAAGACGAGATAGGTTATAGCCCTGAGCCTAATATTAGTTTCGAATCTCGAGCGGTATAGATGACAAGGAATCAGGCTACTCACACGATCGACTCCTAGCTCTCGAAGGTGCTTTTTGGCTTCTCTGAAGTTCTCATCGCTCTCCTTGATCCAGTATCCGAACAAGGAAAGATGCACGTCTGCAATAGTCATGTTACGAACTTCGCCGGCGAACCGCTCGACGTCTTCGGGTGTAAGATTAACGCGCAGAGACTCGCGGCGCTGGTGGCGGTGACGGCTGCCTGGTGGGGTAGGAGCGAGATCATGAGCGACATGTGTGCCTTCGCAATTTTGGCACTCGGCTCTGGATCGCTGATTGTCGACGGTATCATCGTAATTATATTGGGAATAGTCGTCAGGGTCGGCTGTGAGTATGGTGGTGTCGTCGGTTCCAAGTCTCTGGAGTTTCACGAACTTTCGGTCTACGATCATGTCAGTTCCTATTTGTCGAGCCGGTCAGGTCTACTCACGGTGCTCCCTGATCTCTTCTCTATTCATGGAGCTCATGGAGCTATCAGTCTCAGTGGAATCCGTGCGGGTGACTAGCTGAACACTGCGCTTAGTCTCAATGTTTGTATTGTCGTCCGCACGCTCTGAGTTCCCAACCGTCGTCAACAGACCGCTGCTAGCGATGCTATTGCGAATACCCCTGTCACGGCCGAAGAGACTTCCGAACTTTCTGATGCTGCTCTTGCGAGAGGCTTGGCGCTGGTCTCGATGTCCGCCAGTATCGCTTTTGCGGAGCGGTTGGATAACGCTCTCTTTTCGATGCGCGTTTCTCTGTGAATTGTCGGGTTGGACATAGAGTGATGGTACTTCGGCCGGCGAGAAATTGGTCGCAGCCAGAGCCGCCTGCATTTGCGCATGCGGGAAATCCATGCTTTCAGTTCGTCGCGGCGCACATGTGTGATATTTAAGGCAATGTGTTGGTGGAATAAAGTTGAGAAGAACAGGTAGTTAGAGACGTGGTGCGGAATATACGACGTGAAGGCAAGTATCAAACTGCAATCGCGACCAAGTGTGCAGCTTGCGCACTGACATCAAGAGTGAAGGTGAACGTGAAGTAGAGGCACCAATGCCGAGTGATCGTGTCAGAGGTCGACATAAAAGGCTACAACGTAGGACAGTCGGAGATAGTTTAGGGAAATTTACAACGTCTTGCGCCGAACTTGCCGCAATCTTTCAACGTCCGGACCTCTCGCAGAATACAAGGCTTAGTAAGGCGCAGAATAACCCTCATTCCATGGATCGATATTCGCTGTGGTCGGTGACACCTCCTGGCACTGTTTTGCGTCTTGTAGTAGCTAATGCGATAGGTTGGATGGAAGCCGTTGAAACGGAGTGTAGTGTAACGCGCCCTTCAGTCCATCGACGTATTGTTTCGAGAGGTTTCTTGCCGGTTAATGTCTGATCTCCTAGTTCATTGTTTCTTTGAAAAACCATGCTAATTCTTCAATGACTTACTGTGTCGAACTTGGTAGCTCATCTTCGTACATGATGGATAGCTTGGAGTCAAACTGGTTGTTGCAAGGAGTGACAACAACATCATTTTCTAATCGCAAGGGACAGTTGAAGGTCGTGCAGTCAACTGGGGGAGTACTGAGGCAGTCGCTGTTGCTCCCATCGGAGTCTCCAAAGCACTGAGGCAGACACCAACGCTATGAAAAAAATCCAGAATGACTGGTCTTGGGGTGCTAGGGCGTGGTATTGTATTCATTTTCAACATCAACGGCTGGGATGTAAACAGCTAAATCGTATAAATTAGCAGGAAGCTTAGATTTGATACTCGTCTTGAGGCCAGGGAGTGAATAGTCTCAACAAGATGATGTTGGTAACAGATGTCGTACGCGTAAGACAAGAAGACAGGGTGAAGTCAATCGATGGTGAGACCAGAGATTGATCTTGTTAGTAGACGTCGATCGAGATTGACAAAGGAACGAACTGCACAATATCTCGCCTGAGCCATAGACTTGTAAGGTTGGATGGACAAGCAAATATGGACATACTCACGTCCACGTAACCTTATAGTCGGTGGTTCGATGATATGAAGCATTGCGCATCTGACATATAGCATGCGTAATTACGTGTAAGGACTTTAGCAGTGAAGGAGGCGGATTGCCATGGTTGATACCAAATTAAGGCTATAGGTGAACATCGGCGAGATGAATCATTGGAAACGTCTGCAACATTGAAGACACCGAACGACCTCCGTTGTTGACTACACTCCAGTCAAAGAGGTGTGCGAAGGTAAACTGAGGGCATTTAGTGATCAGATGAGGTCTTCGATAGGCAGACATGCATACCAAAGGGTGGGCATGAGAACGGCTCGTGCTGGTGGTCGGGGCTGCTCCCGCGCGGCAGAGATTGCCTTGGCGCCACCTTGGACCTGCACCTTCCTGCTCTTCGCTGGAAGGGCCGATACAATAACACGTAGGATCGACTTCCCTCGGTGTATAGCCGTTGTCAGTCAAGCTTCACCTGCATGCGGTTTCTTCTTGGACCTCGTCTCGGCGATCCTGATCCTTTTGACGGCCCGAGCTCCTTGGCCGCGGGCTGCAAGATCTCCTACCAACTACCCAAACGGCCTAAGAGTAATCTGCAAGAACTCGTCGCTTACAATGACCCCTCATTCACGCGCATCGGATTAATCTAAAAAGAATCTCTTACATCCGCACTGTGTCTACAACTAGTATAGCATTCGCACGGTCGTACCAGTAGTCTGCATGGATCAACTCACACGGCGCTTATACACGTTGCACAACAGACTGGCACAGCGGTCTCTGCCGCGAGCACGACCAGCTATACCCACTTTTCAACGCGACCTCGATATTGCGGCGCAGTCGTCTCTTGACCAGACGCGCATTACACTGCCCTAGCCCTTATGTCGTGATAGAGGACAAGTTGTTGGAAGACCTTGGACCACTCAGGCCATGGGGGCCAACTTTGATCAGCGAACTGATGATCCTAGCTCTGGGCTGAGCGTCTCGGGAACGAGAACTGGAGGAGCCTGATGGCAACGAACCACACACAAGAATACATTCTTCTTCTGGTCTGACCATGAGGTCGGAAGATCTGCCTACGTCTCAAAGCAGGCAGCGGTCATGCTTAGCTGAAGGGGCTCGCAGGCTGAAAGGATGCTTCGTGAAGCTGATTCGCTAGACTATGCAACAACATCGAGCGAATGGGGGCTGTGAGCCGCTGTCTTTCGACACCAAACCACGGCAGCAGATCCCAGCCGTTCAGGACAGCACCCCGATGTTGGTTCACACCCCGGTTCCACATTGTTGGCATTGTCTATTCCGCAGGCGCTGCTCTATATGAATTTGCGGCGTGGTTGATGCAACTTGTCCGGTGTCGACCAATGACGCCCTGACATTAGCGCCTCCGCCAGTTGGGTCGCCAATCATTCCCTACTTAGCCGCATATCCAACGTCCTTCACCCTCTAGGAAGTTTCCGTACCATGCCAAACGGCGGGGTTAGTACAGGCGGCTCTCGAGTCTTGACAACGCGTATACTCTAACGTCGTAGCTCCACCATTGCCACTTCAGTAGCATGGAATGCGCAGATAGATCTGTCAGCGCTGTAATCGGTGTGGTACGCACCGTCGCGGCGCGGATGCCGCATGTGTGGTGCTTTGATATGAACAAAAGTGTAGCCTGCAGGCCTCAGGTGGTACCGCCTTCAGCTTTCTGTTATCGTTCTGTTTCGCTTGGGGGCGCAGTCTCTGGTCTCCTCTCCCGTTTGATTTACCCAGTTGACCGGTCTCATTGCTACGCCGCAATAACCTTCTTTCGGTACTTGCTTCTGTCTACGGGTGCCGCCTTCTTTTACATCCTTCGCCGCCGCCATTCCCGTGCTTCTTTTCGTATTGCGCGTCTCGTTCGTACAACTGCATTACGCGTCCGCCATTTAAAATTGCTACCTTCACCAAAAAGCTTGTCCCAAACTTGGCACTGTCACACCTCGATAGACATGGCTACACTTTCTGTGCCGTCGCCTAACCTGGGCTCGGCTTCATTGGGTGACAGCATCCACAGACCGCTCTCCACTCACGGCTTGCCAAAGCAGCCGCGTACAATGTCACCCGAACGACCACATCGGTTTTCAGCGAAGAGTTACCCTCCTCCAGCTCTCGTTCACGCTCCCATGACACCACAATCGTTAGGACCAATGTCCCCCCCACCAATGTCGGCAAAGTCCTTTGGGACGTTCATCGACTCGGAGCCGTCTACACCAGCCTACTCACCAAGGATGGACCACGAGTGGCACGACTCATCAGTGGTTCTAGTCCGACCTATGTCTTCATCCTCCGAGCCATCCAGCCCTACTGAGCCTGTATGGCGCATGCTCCAACCACTGCCAGTGAAGGCTCCGCCCAAACCCAAAGCCAGCACCACAAGACCTCAATCTAAAGAACCGGCCACCGCCGCTAAGGAAATCTCATCCAACACTTCGCTTTCATCACATCCTACCAAACAGGCGAGGTACATCAGTCGCCCACAAGAGATCAAGTTGGCCGACCTATCGCAGCAAGATCACACCCCGAAGAGCGAAGAAGTCGAGAAAGAAGACGAGAAGAAGCTTCAGGAGCAGACTGCCAGCACTCCCACTGCGGCGACCTTTGGTAAACTGGCAACAAAGATGAAGTTGATGTTACGACGGAAGAACACAAACGCCAAGAAGAAAGAGAAGAAGAAGAGGCAGTACGAAGAAGTCGACCGCATAGAGGACGTACACTGGACAGAGATGTGACATCTAGCTACCGACACAAAAGGCGAGCACGTTGCAACATCGATGTTCGCTGACATTGCACTTGTAACGGAAGAAAGAAATGGCTGGAGGAGGTGACCCACGGGTAGTCTGCAGTACGGAAGCGGCTGCACCTGGATGGCTAATATAAGGCTGTTGATGACTGAAGCAGGACGATATGGGATGGAAATTTTAAACACGCCTGGAGACTGCTGCCTATACTTGTCCGGTTAGATTAATGAGCTGCTGGTCATTGACATCACTCTCATCGGCGTATATGCGGTGTGTTTGACATCTACGGTGAAATAGGGGGGCGTTTTGGATTCTTATGCTTTCCATGAGTTGCACAAGCAAGTAACGACGATACCCAATCCTTACAATAGTCTATTAGTAGCAACTATATCTTCTTATCAATTCTGCCTGCAATGCTCGGTGGCACACCTCATCGAACAAGGTACGTCCTCCGTTATGGTCCACCACGACTATGCTCAACGCCCATCTGAAGTGTCAAACTGTTGCCAAGCGCTGCTCGATCGTTCCACGTGAAAGGGCGATCAAGCTAGCCCGTGCACGGCCCCTCCGGCCTAAACTCCACAAAGCGCAAGAACAATAACACACCTCAACCAACTTGCAATTTCAGACAGCTTTACGAGCAAAATGATTTCAAGGCGGTGTGGAAACGCTGTGAGGCTCAAGTGCTCAGTCAAAGCACAGCCTCAATACCGGTCACAGAAACAACTAGCAGCAACGACCCGCACTTTGCGGCTACACACAGAGGGACGCGTCTACACAAGTCCAGCATCACGTGCCCTTGAGCAAACGCAACTTTTGCACACTCGCCTTGAACGTGTTAAACCTCATGGTAAAGATGTCTTTCACTACAATACGCGTCGGAAACAGCCAACCATGGACCCCACAACCACCCTCCTAGAGTCCGGCTTCCCAACCAAGACCGTGCTTGCCCTTCTCGTGGTCGGTGGCCTAGCATACTACCTCGTCGACATCGTAGAAACAGATTGGACGGATAGCGTCTACGCGGCTTTTACATCTGGCGACGATGCCTCTTCCCTCGCAACTCCTCTCCACTTCTACAAGTCACGCGAAGAACTCCAACATGTGCTTGACTTTCACATCCCAGACCCCAGCGCCCCACTCAAGGATCCGAACGTTGCCAAGTTCTTCTCGGAGCAGTTCGACAAGCTGTGCTTTGGATGGATGATGACGGAAGATGATGCGAAGAAGGGTGTCGAAGGCATGGAGGGTGTGCAAATGCCCATCACACACGGATGTCGCTTCCGCAGTAATGAGCCCTGTGAGGATTACTTTGCACTGGGAACATCACCGGGCCCAGGAGACAAGTTGTGGAATTACTGGACGATACTCGATGGACATGCAGGACGCCACACAGCCTTCTACTTGCAATGGACACTAATCCCCATGGTCAGCTCCGCCCTAACCAGCCTACCCCAATTTGCCTCAAGCCCAGAAGTCGAGTCGACAATAAAGCGCGCCTTTCTCAACATTGACAAAACCATCATGGACCGCGCCAAAACTGCCGCAAACTGGTTCCCGGCCGCAAACGGCGCCGCAATCGCTGCCCTCACCCCAGCCTTCTCAGGCTCCTGTGCCCTCCTCGCAGCTTTCGATCCTCAAACTTCAAAACTCCGTGTAGCATGCACAGGCGATTCTCGCGCTGTGCTCGGCCGGTGGGACCCCACTACGGATTCCTACACCGCGATACCCTTATCAGAAGACCAAACCGGGTTCAATGTCAAAGAAGTCGCGAGACTGAACCAAGAACACCCTGATGAGCCATCTGTAATTGACCCCAAAACAGGCCGCATGCTCGGTATTGCAGTGACGCGGGCTTTCGGTGACCATCGCTGGAAATGGGACAATGAGTTTATCAAAGCTGTTCAGCACAAGTTCTGGGGTACCGCGCCAAGACCGGGTAGTAAATCACCGCCGTACATGACGGCCGAACCTGAGATTACCGAAACGGAAATCCTGAGACGAGAACCTGGGGATGGGAGGGGTAAAAGCGATTTTATGATCATGGCCTCCGATGGCCTTTGGGATCGCATATCCTCTGAGCATGCCGTGGAGTGTGTTTCCAAGTACCTAGCAGCTCGGGAGAGAGGTCGGGGGTCCGTTAAACAGGATCCAGAATTGCTGGCTAATCCACCCGTCTTCCCTACTACGTTTTCCTCGCTCGATCCCGGCGTTACCTGTGACCCTGAGCAAGGCCAGGAAGTGGATTGGAAAGCGACGCCTGAGTACTTCGCCATTGAGGATGAGAATGCAGCTGTTTGCCTCGCGAGAAATGCCATGGGTGGAACTAGGAGAGGCCTGTTCTTGGGAATTCTGGCGGGCCCAGAGCCATTGAGCCGGAATGCTGTAGACGATACTACGATTATGGTAGTTTTCTTTGATAAACTCGGGGAGGGTAAGGGAGACGGGACGGGTGCGGCAAAAAAGAAGGCAGAGAAGAAGGAGAAGAAGTGGTGGTGGCCGTTGTAATAAAAGGAGAGTCACTGAAGAGTCATGAACAGAAGGAACAAGGATTTAGCAGGGCTGGGACATAGTCCTTCCATTGTCCGATTTTAGACTACCGCAAGGAGGTCCAAAGGGGCATAGATAGCCCCACTCCATTATACACGGTGAAAACAGCAGAGTAGTGATATCCTCATCCCCAATCCCAATCCACAACGCCCACCCATCCGAACCCAAGCCATGCAAATGCCACTGAGCCTTTCCTTTCAGATACAGAGGCATAATTACAGCGCATAGAACCGTTCAACCCTCAGAAACACGCAACAACCTCGCTCTCCTCCTCAGTTTGCGCATTTCCTCGTCGTCGTCGTCATCATCATCATGTTCTTGTAATGATGCCCTATCTGCAGCTAACATGACCGTACCAGGAGTGTCCCTGGGGAAAGTATATCGCATCCCCTGCCCCAACCAGCTACGTTTAAAATGCAAGCCCAAGCCTACCTAAGCTCCTTTGCCCATCTTCCAAAAAGCGCATCTCATAGCCCACTTACCACTTGCATGAACGACACCATACCTATCTCTGCAAGCCATGATAGCATTTCGAGCAAAGTTCAGGGCGAGGATGCATGGCGAATCGGTGTAATACTATTGTAGGAAATCTTTTTGGACGTTGATAAAAGCGCCAGGACCGCCGTCGTCGGCGAGTTCGTTCACGAGTGCTTCGGTTTGCTGGATCAGACGCTCCAGGGCAGCGGAAGAGGATTTGCCTAGAGAAACTGTGAGTCGTTAGCGTACATTCTCTTTATATCCGACACCGGGAGAGGTCGGTTTATGTGATGGTCGCCTTTGCAAGCTCCCGTTGCGCCTCTGTGTCTCAAACATACCTAGAATGGCGCTGTTGAGCTCTTCGGCCACTGGCGCACGACCGGAGATCTCCAGCAATGGCGCCAACGAGCTTTCCCGTGCGTCCGCATAGGCAATGAGCGCAAAAGTGTCTTCAAGCGCCCGCTTGACTTCCCGTCTCGGATCGTTTGCGAATTCGGATTTCAGCTCCATGCCATAAGCTATTGTTTCACTCGTCGCCCGTTCGCTCTTGGCCACTTTGTCTTCCATGTCATCCTCGTCTCCATCTTCCAACTCGTCATCTTGATCCTTGTTGTCCCAGCTTGGGGGTGGGTTGTGTACGCCTAATTGCTCGTCAAGCTCCATCTCAAAATCGTACTCATCTGTAGCAGTTGAGTTACGCTTGTTGACTGTTGAGGCGGTCGATCGTTTTGAGGACGATGTTGGTGCGGGTTGGCATTGTGCGTTCAACTCTCCGCACCGCCGGATCATCTCGATAAACTTTCGGCAGCGGAGCTTGAAGTAGATGTTCTCGTTGTCGCGGAGGACCGAGGGGTAGTATGCGCTGGTATGCTTGAGTGCTTTGTCGATATCGCCCTCGAGGATCGCTGTGCGTATTTCTGGATTATGTTAGCCCGTCTTTTGTAACCTCCGGAATGCACTTACTTTGCCGGTTCAGCGCATCCAAGTCTTCTACTGCTGTGCGGTATGGAATGTCTGCCTCACTGTCGTTCGCAAGCGCTCTTGCTTCGTCGACAATCTCGTCTGAGAAAGCTCGTGCTGTTTCCACGTAGCCGTCATGCGCCAAATACTGTCCTACCAACTGGTGTATCAGCGCGTCCTCGCCTCCCAGTACACTCGCTTCAGTTTTGGTCCGAGCGATTTCAGCTTGTATGGCTGCCTTCTCGTCTTGTGCCATTTTGTCGATATCGAAAGCGAAGGGTTCTTGACCGAAATTAACGCGGACCGTCTCGCCGGGCTTCTTCATGCCTACTGTAGGATAGTATGGCACGTTATGTTTCAGGTCCCGGAAGGCCGTCCCTGCAATTGTTAGTGCTATCCAAGTCTCCCATCCAAGGTCCTTACCCAGCATGTGCCCATTCTTTGTGAAGAAGGCAGTATTCGTCCGGAAGTTGATGCCACAGCCGATGACGTCCAGCGTGCCAAATTTGGGTCCATATGACTTCCCGGAGGTGGTGTTGCTGAAGATCTGCCCATCGTCGCCATGGTACGCATACGAGTCGGGCTCCCAACCGGGTATCCTACTGAGGGCAACCTTTTGGCCAGAGAAGCCGATTCCGATCATTCTGCTGTATAGTGAATTAGCGTGTACGTTGCCAAATAGTAAATGCACATACCCGTCTTTGCCTTTGGAGATGACAGTGATCTCGTAGTAGTAAATTCCACACTGCCGTGGCATGGGAAAGTCTGCCCGTACCGATGCCGCTTCATCGTGTGTCTTCTGAGTGCCTGAGAACTTGGCCTGCCTTCCACTATCCTCAAGCTCCAGCTGGGGGAACCTATCTGCATCGTTCCATCGGGTTGGCCATGGCGCTACGGGCTCGTCCACAACAGGCGCGCGCTCCACTACCTCATGCGTGAGACCTCGATGTGATGGCGCCATCTTGTGCAGGTTCGCGCTGCTAGAACTAGTAGACAGCGAGCCCGCATTTGGTGAGTGGGCTGACTTGTATTCCCTTTGAGCTGCCAGCTTCGCTTTGTGCACCTCTTGTAACTTTTCGGCGTGCTTGGACCCGCGCAGGTAGGAAGGCACGAAGAACGGAGGTATATCTTGAGCCGATCCACCCAAGCCATGCCAGTATCCAGACTGACTTGAATACGAGGGCAAGAGCCCGCCGGACCTTCCGAAACTCGTAGACATGTGACCGTCGGCGTCGATGGAGCGAGAGAGGCGGTTCGGGTGGGATGTCGAGGCGCTATTGGCGAGATGCGAGAAGGCACCGGATCGGGTTGGTTGTTGGAATGAGCTGTTACTGCCTGCTGATCCAGTAGCAGCGACCCTAGCGTAACTGTCGCGACGAGCGCTCATGATGAGCGATAGTGGCGCCGGTAACTGCTACCAGCGTGTCCGCGGTGACGTCTTGAAGCGATGACAGTAGGTAGACGCGCAGATTACGTGGGTAGTAATTGTCAAACTGGCAGTTGTAGTGGCTGTCGAAGTTTGGAGAGGTCCAACCGTGAACGAACGCGTGGGCTAGCTGTGGATGGTGCCGAGTGAATGCGGTACTTTGTGTTGGGAGATGCCAACGGTACTCAGGCAAGAATCAAGGGCATCCGGGCTTCTGTGAAGCGATCGTCACAAAAACATGCATCATTTGATGGACAGGGAGCTTTGCTGCAGAGAAAGTAAGCGATGAGGTGCAGTGCAAGTTGTACGTCAACGAAGTCCCATGCCCGGAGGTTTGGATCCAGCCGAGCTATCGGTGGAGATCCCCGCAGTCAGTCCACGGGTAGATAACGCCATCCAGGTCACGCTCGACATTAATCACAGCTATAGAAGCGCATTTTCGATGAATAGCCAGCATATTTTGAGAGAATTGCAATACCAATGTCTATGTAAAGCCCCTTTCTCCCTGCTACTCGGAAGCCATATCCGTATCCAGTACATGTAGTTGTCTACCGACAACGTGCCTGTGCGCCATACACCATGCTGCCTGCGGCAACAAAGCCATAAAAGCCCCAAAGTGACGCCTTTTACGTAGGTATGCAATGCGCTCCATAAACGCCAAACAAGACAAAGGAACTAAGTTGATGTGAGAAGACAAATGACGAGAAATAAAGTAGTGTCTAGCCACGACAGGTGCAAGCCGTGTTACAAGTCCATCAAGAAGGACAAGACCAAAAACCCGACATGGCTCAAGCGGGTATAGGAGCAGGAGAGCTTGCCATGCCGTCCATAGGTGTCGGTACCGGTGTGCTGTCGCCGTTTAGTCCGCTCTTGTCGCTGATTGCACTGCTCTCGTCCTTCAACTTTGAGTCGCTGGTGCCAGTGCTGTCACTCTTGACGTCGTCGGGGAAGGCGCCTTTGCGGCCTGGCTGGTATGTAGGCACTTGCCACATGACGCCGGTGAAGCTGCGGACCTGGAATCCCTTCTTCTCCCATCGACGGCACTTGGCCCCTGACCTGTCGAGGGCACGCAGGCGCTCGTTGATGGCTCCCAGGTTGGCCTTGGGGCCTGCCTTGTTGATGGCTGCGGGTGTTGTGAAGGGGCCCTTGGAATTGGGGTCGTTGATCATGTCGCCCATCTTCTTCCTCTTTGGCCCCGGCTTGGCCTTGGGTTGCTTGGGGGTTGTCGTGCCATTCGAGGAGCCAGCTTCCATTTGCGCGGCATTCCGCTTGCTGCCAGGCTTTGGACCCTTCCTCTTCGCAGCAGCAGGAGGAGCGAGCGACGAAGGCGTGCTTTCGTTCATGTTTGGAGTTGAGTCGGCGGGTGTGGCAGCCGGTGTCGGTTCGTTGATTTGCGGCGCAGGTGTTGGCGGAGATGGCTTAGCCTCTTCCTTGGGTGGTGATGTAGGCTGGGGGGAGAATTTGCTCAGGTGGTCTGGTGACAGTTTGAGTGTGACGACGAGGGTCTTTGGTGATTTCGTGGTCATGTTCGCGTGCAGAGAGACGCGGTGGTGATGGGTCTAGATGGCTGCAGCGGATGGTGGCAGCAAGCTTGGTGTTGAGGGTTATGGCTTGCAGCGGTGAGGGTAAAAGGCAGTGGCTCTGCCTGACAGCGCGTTGGCGTCTCGGTGGCTAGGGGGAGCAAGCTTGGTGAGCCGTGCTTCACGTAAAGTCGAAGAGGTATCGTCGAGCAGATGAAGCGCGCCGATACAAACAGTTGGGGGGATGGAGAGGGGGATGGGAAGGGAGAGTGCGTGGTGAAGAAGGCTGCCGCGAAGGCAAAGAAAGGGCTTCTTCGGCCCAGCTGGGGTCGTCGGTGTCCCAGATCATATTGGTCGCTAACGTCTTCCTCTTCGCTCCCGACACTCACAAGAGGTGCCCGCAGGTGAGGACGCACGGGCCGTCGACGCTAAACCCATTGAGACATCTGCATCTGCATATCCAGGTCGAGCAGCTCATGTCTTTGGTGCCATCGAATTAACACTTGCGCATTTCCTTTTGCATTGCATCTTCTTGCTCGCTGCGCCCATCATGTTGTTGGCGTTCTGCTGAGAGGTCCGTGTGGCATTGAGCTAAATTGCGCGTCCCAGTCCAACGGCGGTAGAAGCATCGCGCATCGCCCACCCAGTGTGGCACCAGCCCAAACATTCTTTCGTCCGAGACAATCAAACCCCTCCCTGGAAGACGCATCCGTACTTGGACGTTCCTTGCGTTTTTAGTGCCTGCCACACTGCGTCGCGCCTTGCATCCTCGTCCATGTTCGTACTATGCGAGTGTCAGCTCCCACATTACCGCTGACTCTCTTGTCTGGCCCCTTGGCCTGAACACGATCCGCAACTAAGAAAACCGTCGACAACCGATATCGCATGACATTTATAGGCACACCGTGGATCCATTCGTAGCTTACATCTCAACTCTTGACACTTGGTCGCCATTGGCGTTGGTGTAGCTGCTTGCCCAGATGGGTTCAAGATTGTCATCATCAAATCGACGCGAATCTGTTTCATCCCCATCTGCGCATGGCGAGGCGAGGCGACCCCAGCAGAAGTCGACCTGTGCCGATAATCGCGGATAAACCGGTATGCTTTTACCAATCTGTGCAGATATGTGTGGTAAGGATGAGATGTAAACTCCACAATTTCAATGTCTGGTAGGCTGTCATGACTCCTAAAATGTAGATGTAGCTCTCGCGACTTGTTGTCCAGCGTGTCCAGGTGACACACAGAAACGTCTTTGGATTTATCAACAAACTTTACTACAACACAATATTCTGTTGGTTCGTGTTCAAACAGGGTTATTTACAAAGTTGGAGTTGAAGGTTGTATTATCCATTCGCATTTTCCAGACCATCATTTTCATTAACGTCATCTATAAAACCTCTACCAGCATATTGTATATTTCCACCATCTTGACTATCTTACAACCACTCATAGTTATCCCGGGTGAATACTCAATTTCTCAAGTGTCTCGCAATATGTTGGTGCAGTGGGATCGGGTTTTTCAGTAGGTACCACGTCACTTCGCTAACAAGCTCTCAGGGAGCCTGATACTATTCGGTCTAGCCAGTCAGAGCCCTTGGTTGGTTAGTCTACATCTCAGGTGTTTGATGGACTCACTGTTTCTGACGTCGCACTTTGCTATGCTTTATTATAAACCTCGGATTCCAACATCGACGCTACTACTCGACCAGAGTGAAAATCCAACCTAAAACTGACCAAAAGTTTCTAAATCATTGTGAATAATCGATTAAGCAAGAAGACGTTCACCATAATTTGACGAGCCGCTCTCAGGATGATAAATCAGAAAATGGTTGGCTGCAACAGGGTCTATCGGATGGAGAAGCCAGATAGAATACTAGGAGCCTATCCTCGCAAGACCATTCTATATTGAATCCAAGAATCCGTGCTTGCATCTTGTATCCCAAGCTGAGGGTCCATGTAGAAAATTGCGAAGGAACGCGTCGACAGATTTTATGTAAAAGCGTGGTCGCCAGATCCACGTTTACGCAGCAATAAAATAATGAGCATAGCAGTGAAATTGACGGGATTTTATTTTCAGTACTGTATTCGCTATGACACCTTTTCGTCACCCCATGCGGTAGACCATGCCTTAGTTTGACGCGCGTTCCATACAGAGCATGTTCGTATAGCGCCCTTTTACATAACGCGAGACATCCACTCACGCTTCATCGCAAGTAGCTTTGCAGCGATGTTGTCGAAAGTCGCTTCATAGTTCGATCATCCGGCTCGTCGTCTCTTGGTACCATTCACTGTAGTACCATTTGCTCTTCGTGCCTCATCACCGCTGACTGCCACGTCATCATTCATCCATTCTCTGCCAGCACCAGGACTACGCCGTCTGTACTGACCCGCGCCCACTGCCACCACTTCGTCCTCACTATCACTAGCCTCGATATCCAATAACACGGGCATCCTGAATTCTGCGTCTCCTATAGCCGGTCCAAATTCCGTAGCCGAGGTCTTAACTGGGTCTACCGTGAGGACATCGACTTCCTCGTCTTCCGCATTGAGACGGCGCTTGTGTAGCTCTTCGAGAGGCTGGATGTCGAACTCGTCTTCGCGCTCGATATACTCCACGTTTTCTTCTACTTCGACGAAATCTGGTGCAAGGGCAGACCAGCGTTGGGGCTGGAGAATGGACCAGAGCCAGACGCGGCCAGAATCCACTCCAACAGCAGCGACGAAGGGCCGGAATGGGTGCCACTCGACCACGGACAATTCTTCCTTGGTGCCTTCCAGGATCTTGACCAGACTACCCTGTCCACGTTCCCATACGTAGATGTGATGATTCATCCAGGTAGAGGCAGTGACGTATTCGCCTGAAGGACTGAATGATACATGGTTCCAAGAAAGCCTCTGCACGAGATCTTGGAACTTGTGTTCAACTTCCAGCTGGAGGGTGTCGAAGTCCAACTTTGGGTCGCTCAGGTCGGGCAAATGAAGTGTCCTGACAATGCGATCGCTGGAGTTGAGCACAACGTCTCTGCCCGAGGGTGTCAAGCGAATGTACACGATGATGTTATTGGTAACCCGGAATGAGTAGCGTACTGCGTGTGCCTCGGTGTCGATGATGTTCAGCCACCCCTTGTTTGTGCCGGCTATGATGTGTTGGCCAGTGGGCGAGAAAAGCGTCATCGTAGTCGTTTGCTTCGCGTCCTGTGCCGTCTGCTTTTCAGAAGCATTCTCGCGCTCTATGTCGGTTCGACGGGGCGCGGACGATAGGGAATGTTTGACGGGGACTTCCTCGGACATGTCGACGATGACGGGCTGGTCTTCGAAGAGGGCAGCCACGAAGACCATACTAAACTGGAATTAGCCGTTTGCCTGTAGGCATGATGTGTGCACTTACTGGTTCTTGGGGTGCAGCTCTGCTATGAATATGGCCGCCTCGAAGCGGACAGTGCGCACCCGCGAGCCATCCTTCAAATCCCATAGCACGCACTTCCAGTCCTGACCGGCACTGAGGAGATAGCGATCGTTGGTCGACCAGCTAAGTGACTGGACTTGGCGCGTGTGGCCGCGAAGCTTGCGCGCAACGCCGTTTGTCTCGATGTCGAATATGACGACTATGCCGTCGTGCTTGAACCCAATCAGCGGAAATTACATGTCATGGTGCAACATTCGCGTACCCGCCCGGATGCAAGTAGGTCGCCGCGGTGGCTGAAGCGAATTGACGTCGAGTGGCCGCTGCCTATGCGTCGTGAGTCACTGCAGTATGTAGTAGAGTAGGCATATCAAACTCACGTAGGCGGCCGGTAATGACATCGGGACAGTCCTGCGCGAGGACAAAGGGATCAACCAGCGAGAGATTCATCGTGGTGCACTGCAGACAGCGGGGTGTGCAGAAGAAGGAGCTCAATGAGCAGCATCTTCGCAGACGCGACGGCTGTTGTCCATGCGCGCAAAGTGAAAGTCTGCCAGTAACATTGCATTCGCAGTGGTCAGCCTTGTCGAGCGCGGTTGGCACGTGAGGGCCCGCTAGTGCCAATGCGGCAGGAACTGGCTCTTTGTCGCCTTCTTGCTTCGAACAGAGCCACGCCCTCACCACCACCCCACCCGCCATCACCAACGGCCGCTCTTTCATACTTGGAGCGCGTCTTCCACCTCGCCGACCCCAACAGTGCTCACCGGAGTGCTTTTAATACGCGCGCAAGCCTCCCGCTTCGAGGCGCGACCCGGCGAGCCCCCGACCCCCGTACAGCCCTTTTCCACGGGCGCCACTCTTCGACCGCATCCCTTCTCGCGCGCGGCGCGCATTTCTCCATTCAGCATCAGGCGCAGCAGTCGATATAGCTACAACGGCAGTCCATTTTACTACTTAATACGCGGAGGAACCGCCCGGCGTGGCCACCGCGACCGACGACCCATAGACAGGTCTCCAGGCTCCCTCTCACCCGCAAAACCTTTTCAATACCGCCAGTATGCCCCCGGGCGCACCCCAAGTGTCGAAATGTCCGCTCCGGACCATCAAGGAGATCCAGTTCGGGCTGCTCTCCCCCGAGGAGATCAAGGCCATGAGCGTTGTTCACATCATCTACCCAGAGACCATGGACGAGCAGAAGCAGAAACCGCGTGAGCAAGGTCTCAACGACCCCAAACTTGGCACTATCGACCGCATGTACTCGTGCGCCACGTGCAAGGAGGACATCCAGACCTGCCCCGGCCATTTTGGTCACATTGAGCTGCACACACCCGTCTTCCACGTGGGTTTCGTCGTGAAGATCAAGAAGCTCCTCGAGACTGTGTGCCACACATGTGGTCTCATCAAGGCTGACTTCGTAAGTCTTCCCGCGTGAAGACAGAGACTTCAGAACCCTGGATTTTATGCTAACTGCAACATCAGAATCATCCTGACTGGGCCGCCGCCGCCAAGACCAAGGATGCGAAGAAGCGTTTCGACAAGATCTGGCGCATGTCCAAGGGTAAGACCGTGTGCATGCAGGATGTGGACGACGGAAGCGACAAGAACAAGATGCCCAAGATTCCCCATGGTGGCTGTGGCAGCAAACAGCCTGACTCGATCCGCAAGGAGGGTCTGAAGCTCACAGGCACCTGGAAGCAGAGCAAGAAGGATGACGATGACGGTCAAGGTGACCGGAAAGAAGTCATTACGCCGAAGCAGGCACAGACTATCTTCAAGCTCATGTCAGACAACACACTTGCTTTGCTCGGTCTGAACGCCGACTACGCCCGCCCCGAGTGGATGATTCTCGATGTCCTGCCAGTGCCTCCGCCCCCGGTTCGCCCCAGTATCTCCGTCGACGGTACCGGCCAGGGTATGCGTGGAGAGGATGATTTGACATACAAGTTAGGAGACATCATTCGTGCCAACGGTCGTGTCGCAGAGTGTCAACAGGAGGGTTCGCCTGCACACGTAACGGCCGAGTTTGAAGCTCTCGTCCAATACCACGTCGCTACCTACATGGACAACGACGCCAACGGTGTTCCACAGGCCATGCAGAAGTCTGGTCGCCCGCTCAAGACTATTCGTGGTCGATTGAAGGGTAAGGAGGGTCGTCTTCGTGGTAACTTGATGGGAAAGCGTGTCGACTTCTCCGCACGTACCGTCATTACTGGTGACCCCAACCTGTCTCTGGACCAAGTCGGTGTGCCCCGATCCATCGCACGCACTCTGACCTACCCCGAAGTTGTCACCAAATTCAACATCAGCAAGCTGACAAACTTGGTACGCAACGGTCCGAACCAACATCCTGGTGCCAACTACGTCATCAAAGCCGACGGTGTTCGTCTCGATCTCAAGCACAACAAGAATCTAGACGATCTGCGGCTACAATACGGCTGGAAGGTCGAGCGCCACATTGACGACGATGATGTTATCATCTTCAACCGTCAACCCTCTCTGCACAAGGAGTCCATGATGGGACATCGCGTCAAGGTTATGCCCTACTCCACCTTCCGTCTCAACTTGTCGGTCACATCACCCTACAACGCCGATTTCGACGGTGACGAGATGAATCTTCACGTTCCCCAGAGTGACGAGACTCGCGCTGAGGTTCAAAACCTGTGCATGGTTCCCAAGCAGATTGTATCGCCACAGAAGAACCAGCCCTTGATGGGTATCGTGCAGGACACGCTTCTCGGTGTTTACAAGATGAGTCGTCGTGACAACTTCATTCCTATTGAACAGGTCATGCCCATCCTCATGTGGGTACCTGACTGGGATGGTATCGTTCCAGAGCCAGCTATTCTGAAGCCCCGGCCTCTCTGGACCGGTAAGCAGATTATCAGTATGGCTTTCCCACGCGAGGTCAATATTGAAAAGAAGGAAGCCGACTCCAAGCCCAGCGCATACAACGACCTCGTCGACAAATCATTCTGTATTAAGGGTGGTCAGTTACTTTTTGGTCAGGTCACAAAGAAGATTGTCGGTGCTTCTGCAGGTGGTGTAATTCACATCATTTTCAACGAGCTCGGACCAGACGCGGCAGTCAAGTTTTTCAACGCCTGCCAGCGCATCTGCAACTGGTGGCTTCTTCATTACGGTTTCAGTTTCGGTGTGGGTGACACCATTCCGGATCCTGCTACCTCAGACAAGATTGCCAACGAGATTGCAAAGTCCAAGGCTAAAGTCGAGGAGATCATCGAGACGGCGACCAAGGATGCGCTTGAGCCTATGCCTGGTATGACGATCCGTGGTACATTCGAATCCAAGGTACAGAAGTTCCTCAACGAAGGTCGTGAGGGTGGAGGTACCGCAGCTCAAACCAGTTTGAAGGATTTCAACAACGTCGTGCAGACCGTTGTCTCTGGTTCCAAGGGTTCCACTGTCAACATCTCCCAGATGGTTGCCCTTGTCGGTCAACAAGCTGTGGAAGGACAGCGTATTCCCTATGGCTTCAAATACAGGACACTGCCGCATTTCTCAAAGGACGACTATTCACCAGAATCCCGTGGTTTTGTCGAGAACTCATACCTTCGCGGTCTTACGCCTTCGGAGTTCTTCTTCCACGCCATGGCTGGTCGTGAAGGTTTGATCGATACAGCAGTCAAGACAGCCGAGACTGGTTATATTCAACGTCGTCTAGTCAAGGCGCTTGAGGATGTTATGGTCAAGTACGACGGAACCGTGCGTAACTCTATGGGTGATATTGTTGAGTTCATCTACGGTGAAGATGGTTTGGACGGAGCCCACATTGAGAGCCAGTCTATGGACATCATCATGGCATCGGAGGCCGACTTCGAGGCTGGGTACAAGCTCGACGTTCTTGGGACCGACCACCCGGAGATTCCAGTCACGAAGCTCGAGGGTGCTACCATGTTCCAAGGTGATGTGGAGATTCAACGAGCTCTGGACGAAGAGTTTGAGCAGATTAAGATGGACCGTGAGTATCTTCGCGCTACTGCCAGCGATGAGGATCTGGAGTCCTTCCAGCTGCCTCTTAACATTCAACGCATGATTCGGTCTGCTCAGGCGCGGTTCGGCATCAACCCGGAGAAGGCTGTTAGCAATCTTAACCCGATCGAGACCATCAAACAGGTCAAGGAGACTCTTGAGCGACTGGTTGTCATTCGTGGTACCGACGAACTGTCAAGAGAAGCCCAAGACAGTGCAACTTACCTGTTCAAATCTCATCTTCGCGCACGTCTTGCATTCAAGAAGCTTGTCGTCCAGCACCGCCTGAGCAAGGAAGCTTTGAACTACGTCCTTGGAGAACTCGAAGATCGTTTCCTCAAGGCCGCTGTTGCCCCTGGTGAGATGGTAGGTGTTTTGGCTGCCCAGTCCATTGGTGAGCCCGCTACACAGATGACGCTCAACACTTTCCATTTTGCTGGTGTGTCCTCCAAGAATGTAACGCTCGGTGTACCTCGACTCAAGGAAATCTTGAACATTGCAGCCAACATCAAGACACCATCCATGTTGGTCCGCCAAACAGATCCCAAGGCCACCCAACAAGATGCCAAGCGCCTGCGAAGCACGATCGAACTCACAACTCTCCGTTCATTGACGCAAGCAGTGGAACTCTACTACGATCCTGACATTCAATCAACATTGGTTGAAGAAGACCAGGACATGGTTGAATCTTACTTCATTCTACCTGAAGAAGACGAGGTCATCGAGTCACAGTCTAAGTGGTTGCTTCGTATCATCCTTGACCGCAAGAAGCTATTGGATAAGAGTATCACCATTGGCGAAGTTGCTGGCAAAATCAAGGAAGAGTTCAAGCCCAATCTGGCAGTTATCTTTAGTGACGAGAACGCCGACGAGCAGGTCATGCGTGTTCGTTTCATTTGGGATCAGAACCTCCAGAAGGACGACGAGGATGAAGACGAGCGTGACGAGCGATGGATGCGCAAGCTTGAGAAGCATCTGCTGGATGATGTCACGCTACGTGGTGTACGCGGTATTGAGCGTGCTTTTATCCGAGACCACATCGTTACAGTTGAACTGCCGGACAGGTCTCTCGTGCACTCAAAGAGCAAGGACGAGTGCAAAGAGTGGGTGCTCGATACCACTGGTACTTCTTTGGCTGAAGTGCTCGCCATTGAAGGTGTGGATGCCACCAAGACCTACTCTAACTCTTTCATCGAGATTCTCGGTGTCCTTGGAATCGAAGCGGCTCGTGCCGGTCTGCTCAAGGAGCTGGGTATGGTCTTGTCTTTCGACGGTTCTTACGTCAACCATCGTCACATGGCCTTGCTCGTCGACATCATGTGTCAGCGCGGTCTTCTCATGGCCATCACCCGTCACGGCATCAACCGCAATGACACTGGCGCACTTATGCGTTGTTCTTTCGAGGAGACGGTTGAAATTCTTTTGGAAGCTGCCGGTTTTGGTGAGCTTGACGACTGCCGTGGTGTATCTGAGAACATCATGCTGGGTCAGCTGGCGCCTATGGGTACCGGAGAGTTCGACGTGGTCATGGACAACGCTATGCTTCTCACCATGGTGGAGGACAACTCCAAGATGATGGGTGGCGCTGCTGGCGCTGGCAACTACCTTGACAACGGTGCTGCCACGCCGTACGACTTGGGCTCTCCTACATACGAGGGTGGCACGGGCGTGGGCTCCTACGATCAGTTCTCGTTTTCTCCTATTGCTGCGGCTGGTGGAGGGGATGATCAAGGTGGGTTCACTGCCTACGGAGGCAGCTATGGAGGCGGTGGCTTCAGCCCGTACGATGGAGGCAGAAGTCCAGGTGGCTCAGGCTTTACTGGCATGTCTCCTGGCTTCAGCGGTCCGGTGTCTCCAGGCTTCTCGCCAACCTCACCTGGTTACTCGCCCACCTCTCCAGGAACTGCCAGCCCTCGCTTCGCGGCCACATCACCAGGATACATGGCTTCGCCTACATCCCCGCACTACTCACCAACTTCGCCTCGATACGGCTCGCCTACGTCACCGTCGTACTCGCCTACGTCCCCTGCAGGCTACTCACCGACCTCGCCTCAGTACTCTCCTACATCACCCAACTACAGCCCAACGTCCCCAACGTTCATGGGTGGCGCGACTTCTCCAGCGTACAGCCCGACATCACCACAATACAGTCCCACGTCGCCGCAGTACAGTCCTACGAGCCCCCAATACCAGGCAAGCAGTGACCGGCGTTCTCCTACTTCACCCACGTCGCCGCAATACAGCCCGACGTCGCCACGCTACTCGCCAACCAGCCCAGCGGGCTCCTTCTCACCGACCTCGCCGCGCTACAGCCCGACTTCTCCGGGTCAAGCGTACTCTCCTACGTAAGTCTCCTTGGTCATAGTTGTAGACACTTGCACCCTATACATCACATGCTAACATGGCGACAGATCTCCAAAGCAATAGCTGGCTTGATGATGTAGGTAGGCCTGTTTTGATCTCTTCTTAGTTGTGTATGAAAATGTTTCCTCTTCGATGGAAATGATTTGGGTGAACTCTTTGGCGAAGTCGAGCATGCAGTCAAATTTGTCTGCTTGCCCACCTTCTTGAAGGGTTCGTCCTGACTCTATCCTCTCTACCCCATCACGGCTGGTCTCGTACGGCATGCCATGTACGCTGCGTGCGGTCGTTCCTTTAGTTAGGCCCACGTCCACGTCTGCCACATGATTCTGCTCAACGACTGATGGGCTTCTTTTTTCTCGTTGTACAACACCACCACTACCGAAGCTGCACTCTGTAGCGGCACCAAAAACCTGTTTTATCCGTTCTTCTTGTCACGCGGCTCAAGATTGCATACACACCCTAAGTTCTGAGGGGTAGTCTGGCGTTTAATCATTTGCTTTTTGCTTTTTTGCTTTTCCTTCATACAACATATTTGCAATAAGCACAAAACTGCGAGGCGTTTGGGGTGCCATCTCATCATAATTGGTGGTTTTCGAGAGACGGGTCTTTTGCAAGTGTCGCGTTTAGACAATTCTTTGTTTGCTAGCCCGCAACAAATTGCGCGAAGGGGCTTTTCGCAGTTCAGTTGAGTCGAGAAAACGGGACGAGGTTGCGATCTTCATGACCCGTAGTCTTTAGGAAGGAGAGTTAGATAAGAGTCGCGCAAGGATGCGTTGGCTGACTAGATAATAAGAAATTTGACGATATATTGTCATTCATGATTGTGTTGTGTATGTTGAAGTAACGTGAAGTATCTCAGAGTGTAGTGTCTTCCATTCAATATTGTAATGGTGATGGTGTTGATAGTAGAGACCTGCCATGCCAAAGATGCGGTGGTAATAGTAGAAACAAAGATACCCACCATACAGTCCGAGAGGAACAAACGCCAAAGTCCTAAAACACCACAAACCAATTCCCGGTATCGCCAGTGTCGGATACTGGAGCTGACAGCCTCTATATGTCAGACTCGAAGCTAATCCTTGGCTCGAGTTCTGAAAGCTTGAGATCAAATGCATACACCTCCGCGAGTCTTTCCAGATTACGCCAAATGCTCGATACGTACCTCTTCTCATCCATGACAGTAAAATTACCACCAGGGCTGCCCTACAGCACGACCTTCATCGCATCTCGCGGATGGCTTTCGTTGGGGCAGTAGGGACACTTGAAGCGCGATCCCTTGCTCAGCTTCTCGAGCGATTCCTGCGCGATGACATGGCCACAGGGCATCATCATCGGGGGGTTCGCATCGGTGCTCTGCTCCTTTGACACTGGACAGACGAAGATGCTGTGGAAGTGGTATTGGCTCGGTAGTGGTATCTCAACGGGTAGCTCGTCTTGGGTCGTCCATTCGGTGCGCTTCTCTTTCATGATGGACTGCATCTTCAGGAGGTAGGGGAGTGCTATGGCACCGGCTGTTGCGGCAATGAAGAGGGGAGAGTCGGCGCTTAGACCAAGTAAGGAACAGAACTCGCGGTTGAAGGAGTGTGCTACTTCCTCCCAGGCGGTGTCGTTGTAGAAGAGGCGGCGGTAGGGCGAGTCTTCAACGTTTTGCCAGAATGCCATTGCGCCTAGCAGTTGCTGAATCTCTCTTTGGTATCGCTTCTGGAAGGGAGCGAACTCGCGACGTGCGTACGCCCACGCATGCAATGGTCCACTGGGACTATCGTAGTCGTCCATCGCTTCGTCTTCACTACCGCGGGAGTCGAACAGACAGACAAACTGCAGGCGACACAGTTCGAATTCAAGGTTGCTGCCGCGCGCTTCTAGAACATCACTCCGCTCCCGTGCCCACTGTATCGCCGGCTGGAGATTCCGCTCATTACGTAGTTGGTGTAGTATGTGGTACATGTCGGCGAATTGCTGTTGCAGCTTCTCCGAGTTGAAGGTTCCTTCTGCGAGGTCCTTCTCCCATGCTTCTCGGATGTAGGGGTTGGGCGTGTTGAGGGTGGGCTCGGGATGTGGCGGCTGGCGGCTGGCTTCATCTACAAAGGTGGATGCTACGTCGAACTGGCCTTCGCGGAGGAGGTGCATAGCAATGGCACGGTTAATGAGTGAGGGATGTGATGATAGCGCATCATTATCCGCGGATGGTAGGGGCTTGTCCTTGAATTTCTGGTACACTGTTAGCTCTCTCTCTCTCTCTCTCTCTCTCTCTCTCTCTCTCTCTCTCTCTCTCTCGTGGGCTGCCCGGACAGAAAAGCGTACCTTGTCCAGTGCCTTGCCATACTTGTTCAGGCCAGCGTAGACGGGCTTAAGATCTTTCTGTGCCGTTTCCAAAGACTTCTTAAAGGGGTCTTGGAGTTTGGCGAGGGTCAAAGGCGCCGTCTTGGGATCTGGTCGTGGACTGGTTAGCAAGCTCTAGGGTGATATGGACAAGAAGATTATTACCCGCTGCGATCTTAGCGCGAGCTGCAGTGAGCATGTCAATCGCCTTTTGTACATCGTCGATGCTTGTAGAGAGGTTTGCGCTGCTCTCTAGCAGCTCCACTTGCTCGCGGAGGTCGTCCATGGTAGTGATAGTGAATAGTATGCGCTAAGGCGATGGTTATGATGGGGTGTGAGCCTTGGAGCTGGTAGAGTAAGGGTCAGCTAGCAGTAAAGAGCTGTTGTCTGGCCAGCAGCGCTCTCTCCTACTGTCCATCGTCGTGGGTGTTGGCGGGCTGGGGTTCGTGTCGAGCTCGCGATGGCTGTTGCCGCGGGCATGACGTGTGGGGGAACAGCGCCGACCGACGCTCCGCACGCATGATCAGCTCCGACATGTGCACAACCCTCGCCTATACCGACGTCGTTTCGCTATTCAGATGCAACACCGGGCTGGAAGCTGCTGGAAAGATGCATAAAGCGCGATTCAATTCGCTTTCCGTCATCTTGTCGCCTTCTGCCCGTTGGCTCGCGCTCGGGCATCGGCGAGACTCTGCGCCTACCTCTCTACCATGAGGAGCTTGCCTTCACAGCGCCTTGTAGTGGATCGAAAACACTATAGCTGAAAACCACTTTCTCTACGCTAGAATGGCGCATCCACTGCCAACATCACCGTCGCGGATGCATACGGAGAAGGAGCTTCGGAACCAGATGCCACCCCTGCAGACCATGTCAATTCAACGCAAGACGACAGCTCAATCCCGCCCACAGCCAGCTTCCAAAGCTCCTACCTCCGATAGGATACCAGATGAGGCTAAAATCAAGTCTCCCACGTCGCCCGCTGGCCACCAGCGCTTCGTCTTGACCGACGTGGTAGCCGCGCGATACATCGAGGAGGACCCAACAACCTCATGCCACGTCCTCGCCCGTCGCCAGAGGATCGAGGGCTATGAGATATACCTAGTCGAACAATGGGCGTGTTCGCGCACCCATCCCACCTTCCTCATCACGACGTATACCGGCAATCCAGAGGATACTGTGCTGGCCACAATCATAAGCGTTCCTAAGAACGAGGAGGAATGGTCACCGCAGATGCGTCTGTATTTCAGGTCGCTTACCGAATATCATGCGCGGAGAAAGGACACACCCTATGGTGCCCTGATGGTTACAAACCTCAGTGGTTTTCCCTCTTCCCTGACGGTAATCCCTATTCCTGGGGGTGACCTGAAGAAGTACCGCGAGCCCTTCTTTGTCAACGAGAACTTGAAGAGATTGGGTTGTTCAGGTCGGCTGGGCATAAAGCTCACGCCACCAAGCAGTGCGACGCAGGCCAAGTTCCAGCAACTATACCGGACGAGCGAAAAAATACCGTTCAACGCATCCGTAATTGAGCTTGTGAAGCTCTGTCAGGTTGCGCTTGTCTTGTTTGGGAAGCTAGAACCAGAGTATGCAGACGGGCTGCTGTGCGATGTTACAGAGAAAGCTATCAACGATTGGTGGATAGACTTCGGATCTGAATACTACACGGTAGAACCTCATGATGGCATTCTCGGTCCTACCACAGTCGCTGCCCTACTGGGCATGCTAATGGGTGCACGAAACAGGTTGAGTGCATGTAGCGCCGCAGTCGCAAAGGATGTATTTGACATTGAGGCAACTAAGCGTGGTATTGCACATTTTCAAAAATCCCATCATCTACCTAGAACTCGACGTCTCGATCGACACACGCTCGATAAGTTACGAAGAGCCTCAGCAAAGGCAGCCAGCAAGGAGGGTTGGGCCGTTCCCAGAGCCTTCAAATCTACAGTGGCTGAGCTAGGAGGCAAGGGTGGTGAGATGGTCATGGGTATTGTTGGGGCTGGACAGAAGGATGGCATCGCTGAAGTGGAGACTGTCGACATCGACCAGTTTGTGGAGCTTGTGAGGGGCGAACATGCAAAGTGGTTATGGCACGGAAAGCCTAGGAAGACAGCATCAGGAGACTCCATGTTTGATCGACTTCCTGGTGGGGAAGCACGCTCAACCTCGCCAGACAAACACGACCCCACATCGAAACCGCTTCACGGCGAGACAACGCTCGATCATCAGAACATCGCGAAGCGCGATACAGGGTCTTCAGAGATGAAGAAAGTAGACACCTTTACGCCAGATGGTCAGGAGAAGGAGAGTTTCAAAGACCCATCTTCTAAAAGAGCCGCTATCAAAGCCAAGTTAGAGTCTGGTAGCGGCTTTCATCACATAAAGAATGCTGTCGGCCTGCGTACTCATGCAAGTAAAATATCTCGAGAAGAACATGGACGACATGGGTTGCATCGAACAAAGAGTGGTACCCCACAATACACAGACTCACGAACGTCGATGGATTACTACGAGAGCCAGTCGGACGATCCCCATTCTCTCATGTCACCTCAGAGCACAGCCGGCGAAGAGCCAGCCTTTGCCAAACAGCTTACCGAAACGCCAGGCGACTCTGTCATTCCATTAAGTGACAGCAAGCTAGTTGGTGGTCGTCATGGATCCAACTTACGGAGTTCTGTTGTAGAAAGCGAAGCTTCAGATCATCCCGATGAACCACCAACTGTAGCGAGCTCTCTCGCGGGGTCTATCTACCATGGAGTCGATCTCAACGAAAACCTCCCCGTCGACCAAGCAAACGCAGTCCCACCTCTTTTACGTCGTACTCAATCCGGTGACCAATTTGGGTTCCACCAGCCATCTCGCAGCGACGACTGGTGGCCCCGCCACCTCTCCTTCAGCACCGCCGAGGAAAGTGTCCTCCGCTGGTCCACCATCAACGCTCAAGACGGCGACGAAGAAGCCATAACAGAAGACGACAACACCGCCACCATGGACACCATCACAGCCCGCAACGCAACCCAAAATCTACACTCGACACAGCTCAAACGCCTTCACAACCAGCTCCACACCCTCTCTTCCAAAGACCAAGCCTGGGTTCAAAATGCTGTCTCCTCTATCCTTGCCCTCTCCGACTCCGCAAACACGGATATTCAAACCCTGGAATCGATCTACTACCCCCATCTTGATACGTACCACAGTCTCCGCGAAGATGCTCACGCTACTGTGACGAATAACCGTGGTCAGCTTACGGCTAGTCTGAGGGAATTAGGCAATGTTGGGGATAAACTAGAGTATGAGATTAGTGCGCTAAGAGGCAAGGTCGAGGACATTGAGGATGTGATGGGTGAGTTTGAGAGACAGGTAGAATTTGTTGAGGGGAGGGTGAATGATTTGGATAGAGTGCTGGGTGAGAGGGAAGGCTGGTGGAGGTGGGGTATTAGGGTTCTGACTGGCGTTGGCACAGCGCCTGGGTAAAGGAAAAGGAATGTGTGGGAATACGAGTTTTTGTAACAGGAGAAAGGGTGTTGGGAATATACCCGTGTAATTTTTCGCGTCGTTTAATTCGTGCACTCTACTATGCTTATGTAGCAGTAGCCACTGTATAGATTTAGAATCTTCAAACATACCACAGTCCAACACGACGATAAGAAAACATGTGTATTGTGCTCACTAGGGTATCACTAAAACCTTTACGAAAAAAAAAGCCACCACAACCACCACCGTCATGCGCTCGTCCAGAGATCTACCTCCCAGCACCAGCGCCATTCCCCTCTCCACTTGTATCCCTCCCACTAGCCACCCTCTGCCTATGTTCTTCCTCAAGCAAACTCTGCTTCCTAACATACTCCATGACGATATCCTCCTCGGTCTTCTGTTTCTCCAACTTCTGCATGCGCTCATTCTCTGCCTTCTCACTCTCCTCTAGCACCTTCTTCAGCTCCGCATCGTCGTCGTCGTCGTCGTCATATACCTCGTTGTCATCAATATCACGCATCTCTATCCTATGACTCCTGTCATCAGCATCCGCAGCACCGATGGCTTGGCTCATGGCATCCATGACACCGCTTTCCTGCTGTGCGCCCTGAGACGAGTTGGCGTACTCGTCAGGGTGCTCCGCATGCATTTGAGCGAGTTGTTTAGATTCAGCGATGATGCGCTTGTAGTCCTCATCATCCTCGGTGTCGGCATCAGAATCCCATTCGTTATCGCTGTCAGCCTGTCTTCTCTTGGTCGTCTCAAGTAAACTCTTCCTCAAGGTTTCTTCGAGCGCCTTTTGCTCCTCTTCAGTCACGTTGGTTTTGCCTGCTTCTTCCATGCTGGCAGTCATGGCGCGGCGCAGTGCTTCCTCTTCGTCTTGCTGGGAGAGGTTACTACCAGCGGGAGCGCGCTCGAGTTCGGCTATCGATGCGCGTATGGCAGAGGCGACAAGCCGGTCTTCCTCAGGGTCGCCGCGCGAAGATTCAGCGACTGAGGCTGCAATGGCTCGCTCTAGTTCACGCTGATCTTCTTCCTCTTCTGCCCTGAGCTGTGCCTCAAGCTCAGTCTGCGATTGTTGAGATGGGGCGACCGATGGAGAACTCGAGGTGTTCGTGTCTTGTCGCCTCAAGGCACGTGTCCGTTCGGCTTCTTGTTGGCGCCAACTGGGAACTGTCGACCGGATTTCGGGCTCGACACCACGTCTCCTTGGAGGATCAGGATACGGTCCTGCTATGCTGCCTTGCAGAATGGAGTTCGCGTGCGCCGATTGCTGAACTCCAGGACCACTACTTTGGGAACTGAGCCTAGCGCAGCGCTCGTTCTTCTTATCTCGCTTCTGTTGGACTAGCGAATGGAGCGAATCCATATGCTCAGCTCCAACGTTCCGCTTCTTCTTAATGCCCCACTTCATGTGACCCCACGTCTTGACAATCTCATCGCGTTCTTCTTGCGTCACCTCGGATGCTTCATCGTATCCCTGTGCAATGCGCGCTGCGATGATGTAGTTCTGCACACTCTTTCCCTTGCTCTTGACCATTTCCTGGTAGAGTCCCTTCATGGCATAGCCAGGGACGGACCAAGCGCCGCCCATCACACGGAATGGAACGCTCATGATACCGCGCCCAACTCCTTTGACAAAGCCGATGCCACCTTCCTTCTTGGCGCCTTTGTAGGGGTCTGTCACAATACCGGTGATACCATCATATAGGCCGTAGCCGAATTCCTGTGGACGTTTTAGTAGAAGTCGCACGTGTTGTTCCACTCAACATACTTTGGCAGCTGTCCGCATCCCGCTCTGGAAGTCGGTAACTTTATCCACCTGTCGTACTTCAGCTCCGTAGAGCTTTGGTACATTGTGAAATCCCTTGGCAACGTTGAGAGAGAAGTCCATCGGTGACTTGAAGCCAGCACCAATGATCCTAGCTAGACCTTTTCCAGTGTCTACCGCAGAATCAACATTTTCTGCCATACTTGGTTTTGGCGCTGCATTTGGGGTCGCTGTTGAGCCAGTCGCGGATCTGGAGCGACTTCGCTCCCTAGACCGTGACCTTGAGTCTTGTGTAGATTCAGCAAATGCTTGAGACATGAATGTAGATCTGTGTGAAGGCGTACCAGGAGAACCAGGGCTAGTGATTGCTGGGTTGTCGGCTTGTATCCTGGCTATATCAGCAGCAGCATCGGCAGCGGTTGGCGTAGAGGCTCCGCTTCTGCCCGAGCGCTCGGAGGCACCAGTTCCACTTCGTGTTGTCTTCGGACGTCCACTGCTACTTCCTTCCCCTATCGAAGAGGTTCCTGTACCTGTTGCCTTCTCTTTGCCTTTCTTGGATCTGGCGTCAGGGTGAATGTTGAGTAACTTGAGGGTCTGAATCGGCATATCAGCAACACCCATCATCACCGAGGTTGCAGTTCCCATCAGAGCACCAGCTGCACCAGAGACTGGATCCCAAGGACCTTCATCCGGAACATACTCGCGAGGGCGGTATCTATATTTGTAAGTAGGTGGAACGATATAGCGATGTATTCGCTTACAGTTTCATCTCAGAGAAGTTCACTTCGCCTTGTTGGGCCAGTACAGTAGCTGCCTTGGCACTCAACTTGACGTTGGTACGCTTGAGCCTCCAGACAGCCGGTTTGTTTGGCATGATAGCACATCGCATTTCTTCGTAATTCAGCATCTGATGGAAGGACTGAGCGCCCTTCTGGGTTCCGTCCTCTTGCTTGATTTTGTCGCAAAGCTCTTGCGCCCGATCGAGCGACTCCGGCTTTAGCGCTTCGTTGATAGCTCCAGCAAGCTTCTCTGCTGTGAGATCTTTGTATGGGATGGGATCAGGCCCGGCGCCTGCCCTTGAGACCATGGCCCCCCAAAAGGCTTGGTCTCCAAAGAATGGCACAACAACTGTAGGCTTTCCAGTTGCGATACCAGCTGCCGTAGTACCGGCACCACCATGATGAACAACGGCAGAAACGCGCTTGAACAACCAGTCATGTGGGCAGTTGCCAAGCATAAAGACGCCATCAGGCTTCCCAAGATCTTCAGCTCCTAGCCCACCCCAGCCTTTGGATACCAACGCGCGCTTGCCGGTGATTTTCACGGCGTCGAAGATCATCTTAGTCATGGCATTTGGGTCGTCCACCACGATTGAACCAAAACCGATGTATACGGGTGGCTCACCAGCATCGAGAAAGGCTGCAAGGTCTGGATCTGGTGTATAATTTGAAGCGAGGTTGAGGAAGTAGAAGCCTGCGACAGAGATGTGGTGGTTCCAATCCTTAGGTTTAGGGATGAGCGCTGGAGACCTGAGAAGATTGAGCCAAGTTATCCACGACAATCCAGATAGACTTACCAGCAATACGTAAAAGGAATCTTCAATCGCGCGAGCATAGCTGGCGCCCAAACACCGCTGATAGGGTCCAGACGAAGGCTATCCTTGCGAAACCTGTTGATGACATCTCCGAGACCTTGCCATGTCAACACATCGACCATGATATATGACATGTAGTTTGTAATCGTCGGGTCTGCGTTCGTAGATTGGATGTTGGCAAGCGGGTGCGGGAATTGTTGGGTAGGCGACCATGGCATGCTGTTCAGGTCAGTATTTGTGTGTCACTGGAAGAAACAAGACGTACGTAAACATCACGTGCAGAGGTATGCCTAGTTTTTCGGCACAATGTATGTGTCCGAAGCTGGGAGGGTTTGCGATTATGGCGTCAGCAACGAATGGCTTGCGCAGTTGTTCTGGTAGTTGGTCCTCGATGCCCATCCACTCTTCGACGGTCTGCTGGAGGGGATCTACACCGAGACCATTACCTGTCTCTATGCAGGATCTCCATGTGCCACTCAGAATCTCGGCGATACCCTTCCTCCTCTTGCCAATGTCACCACTGCGCAATGTGTCGAAACCAGGCATCAACCCTGGATTCTTGACCATGAAGGCCATGAGCTCAGCGGGATCCCCGCCAATGCTGAAGAACTCCAGTCCATTTTCTATGACGAAGTCCTTGAAGGTCGGATGTGTCGCTAACCGAACCCTATGGCCGTATGTGTCTTTGAGCACCTTGCCCAGTGCAACGAATGGCTGGACATCACCACGAGAACCCACTACTTGTATGACTACGTTCAGTGGAGGTGGAGGGCTTTGGCCTGGCGCACCACCGAGGAACTCTGGGACGTAAGGTGGAGGCGGCTCGGGGTCTTCTTGTGCATGCGTGAGCTGACGCTGGATCTGTGGAAGGATGAGCTGCGAAAGGGCGCGGCTCTTTTGATCTATTCGGATATTGACACGCCCATCATCAGCAACCACGGCATTTGTGCCCAGCTCCTCGTTCTCAACCTGTCCTGGCAACTCGGTGTATGCGGGTGGTGGGTTCTCGAGGCTCGGTGCATCGTGGAAGGGAGCGTCATTAATGCCGGAGCTATGATGCGAACTTGAGGGTGGCCTACTCATCGGGTCAGTATGAGACCGCCACCAATTGTCTGGGAAGACTGACGGGATGTGTGTTTGCGTATGTTGCTGTGTTGGTGGGGCACTGTCGCGAAGCGCGTCATTGCCCTGCGGGGGGTTGTTTGAGCTCGCCATGTTGGTTGCAAAAAAAAAGGTACTCAAAGAGCGGGCATGGCGATAACAAAGCTTCGAGGAACAACGTCGGAAGAAGGTTGCTGGAACTAAGAATGGGTTATAGGCATTGCAAGCCTGTATCGCACGCATGGGGGATGCACATGCGCTATGACAGACATGCGGAGGTTATTGGCGTGTGATTGGCTGTGAATAGATCAAAGCCACCAGGCGGGGCTTCGTCATCGCTCAGCCCCAGGTGCCTTGCTACCTAGGCATGCCATTCGCGTCTCGCAACATTTTTCCGGTACGATTCGACGCTGAATTCGCTGATCTTGGCTGGTACCTGCCTGTGCATTTGACTTCTGCTTATTCTCGCTTATTCGGCCGATATGAAAATAGTGGGCTTGAATTCACCGAGCATACAGCCGTGATCAGGACAGGAGTTTGATGGAGATATCATATGTAACTATGTCGTGATACCATCTGGTAATATGACGACTCCAAAACCACCTCAAGTCTGCCTTGCCGACTTGCCGCATATATCGCGACCTCATTAGTGCAACCTTGTGCGTATCCGCGCGTATTCAGGTGCGTAATTCGTGTTGTCGCGGCAGCCCACATGGGGTATTCCGGTCCACGTAGTAACCCAAGAGGCTCCTGAATAGCTGCATGCAGTACCAAAGCTTGGACACCCGTACGCTGCGCTCAAGAACATCCGTGAAAGTCTTCTCAATGACACAGAAGCACTTGCGATCAACAGACACCTCTTGATCTGATATACGAAACTATTGTTACCATGACCCGACATCTACTTCTTTGCACAATCGTGTCAACCTTTCTTTCGCGGACTTGGAGGCGTCATCACACCTACCACATAGACGGCCACACAGAAACGCTCTCCTGAGACTGTTTACCATTCGCTTCAGAAGCAGCTGCTTTTTGCTTGTCTTCGTCCTTCTCTGGTCGCTCGCGAGATACGAATTCATCACTGCGGTCGGTGTTGCGCTTGGGTACTGCTGATGTCTCTAGGGCATGCTTTGCGAGCCAGATGAGTTGCTCTGTACGCGTCGTTGCTTTATCGTTGGCGAGGCGTATACATATCTTGTTGACAATGTGACCGTTAGTCGTCGTACCCTGTGTGACCTGCAGCTCGTGAACGGTACGATTAACGCACATGGTACGGTCGGACGCTGAGTTGGAGTTTTGTCTGAAATGGCGTTTGGAGGGGAACGATATAGGTCTGGCAAAAGTGCGCGCGATTTGGAGAGTGAGTTTAAACATAGTGGCTTGACTCTAAATAATTTGGAATTCTTGTCGATAGTGAGATCTGGAAGGGGGGTTGAGACGCGTCTGAGATGCGTGATGACTGCCAATTAGACGTGAATAAGAAAGGGAATAAAACAGGCTAGTAGGGTAATGAACTGAGAGACAACTGCAAGCTCGCAAAGAGGAAGGTAAAGGCCATTTCCATCTGACCCTGGTATAGGAAGGACCTCATGGCTATTGGTGCGCAAACAAACAACCTTCACTCAAACACAACTGCAGGGAGTAGCGACCCTGAGGCAATCCATGGGGTAAGAGCGACGCCTCTCTGATACTGCTATTTCGCAATTCATATTTCATATACGAACTTGATCACATGGATCGTCAATTGTGAGCTGACCTAGATCGATACTAGGAAATAGTTGGAAGTGAAAGGTACAAGTGAAAGCAGCGCTGATGATCCGATTGTGGAGACATCTGGAAGACGTGACACGCTTTCCTGTATTGGCTCTAGTCTGATTGCCCTGCAGCGATCTCCCCCACGTGAACCTGGCGCGTCATCAAGGCGCATCACGCGTCAACAGAGGCATTGGAGGTTGTTTGTGCTGTCTTTGCACCTGCACTCGAAACCCAGAAACTCGTCTACGGACCTCATTCTGCTTTAACTCCGCCCCTTCGTACAGCACAACTTGGAACCTAGGCTTCCGGTTCTAGCTTTCAGCTCGCATCCACCCAGCCACAAGCTCTAGCACTTATAAATACCACGTGCTCGTACACGTCCAGACCTGCACATTTCTTTTTATCCTGCTGAACAATCGACTGGACTGAACCTCGTTACAATGTTGCGTAGAAATGCTTTCATCGGAGCTGCACTCGTTACAACGGCTGCAGCATGGAACGTAGACGGTACGATACATACCCTCTTCGCGTGGCTAGCACTAAGTCCGCATAGTCCATAATCAGATCGGCTTCATGGCAGAGACATTTTTCACACCCGAAACGACTTCCGTCCTCGCAAAGATCCTCGAACCTGAGTACAACGGCTCCGTCGGGCGCTCCGCAGCATGGGCAGACGCGTACGCACACACTAGTGAAGGTCACTTCTCCTACCAGTGGCACTGGATAGACACGCATGATCGTCAGCCTGAACACTGCAATTTAGATTACACACGGGACTGCGCCAAGGGTGGATGCGTTGTTAGCGCTATCGCAAACCAGACCAAGATACTGCGGAAGTGTATAAATGAGGTGTACGCTGCAGAGTTAACTAGAGGCATAAACCTAACATGCTCCTATGCACTTAAGTGGGTGGCTCATTTCCTGGGAGACATCCACCAGCCTCTGCATGCGAGCGGCCGTGCTGTAGGGGGCAATACGTTCAAGGTAGTGTTTGGTGGAGTGTCAACACAATTACATGCTGTAAGTCTGCTTTCCGAATAACAAGACGAGGTGCTAACGAGCAAGGTCTGGGACGGATATCTACCATATTTTGCGGCAAATGTCCAGCACCCGTTCTCGAACCAATCGATCGATCCCTTCTTCTCCGGCCTTGTCACTCGTATCCGTAAAGATCAGTTCTACTCGGCGCCATACATGTGGCTATCATGTACAGATCCTGCTACTCCAGAGGAGTGCGCAACGAGCTGGGCAAAGGAGAGCAACAAATGGGATTGCGACTACGTATACAGTCGCGTAAGGAACGACACAGATCTTGGAATTGACGGATACGCAGTAGGTGCCGTGCCCATCGTAGAGCTGCAGATGAGCAAAGCTGCGTTCAGATTGGGTACCTGGCTGAATAAGCTTGTAGAAGGGGCCAAGAATGTTGCGAAAGAAGAGGAAGTGATGGAGCTTTGAGATTGCAGCCGAACAACTCAACTTGGACATCTCGAAACTACCATTGTACTTGTGCCATACCAATGTCACGTCATTTTGATTCTATACATGAAAGCTCAGCCACTACGGAACCGAGGATGCGAACCAGTGGCGTTGATGGTTTGCCTCCAGCCCTGCGAATATGCCGGGACCCCACATCGGCATAAGTTCCATCTCCTTCCCCACATCCATTATATACGCTCCCGTCCGCCTGCAGTAGCAATCACCAACTGAGTTACGCTTTCTCCTTGCGCAGTGAACGTATCTAGCAGCACTAATTTGAAGTTTCATACGATATGGCTTTCGACGAGCTCAATGATAAAATCACACCTGCAGTATGTACATTAAACGGCCCCACACTCGCCTTTCCGACTGGTCTTTAGTACAATCAAGCATACCAAGTCGCTTTTGGAGCATATGCTCTTTTCGGAAACAGATAAATCACAGTTTGGAGGTCTGACTAACGCATCTCCCAGAATCCCAGCCGGGAAACCTCACCGAACCGCGGCTCTTCCGTTCCTCAATCCGTCGCCATACCTAAGCCTTGTAAACCACTCCAACAATGGCAAGAAGAACAGAAAATCGACCGCAATGCGCAGATAAAACTCACCAAACTAGTGCACATGCGCTACCAGCATCCCAACCTCGATGAAATTACCACTTTCCTGCGTGACTTTGGTATGAGCGTAGCCCAGAAAGCAGAAGGCAAAAAATGGTTCAAAGGATACGGCGAAGACCAATACGTATACTACGCTCAACAAGGAGAGAAGAAGTTCCTAGGCGGATGTTTCGAAGTAGAGAGCTACGCAGAGCTAGAAAAAGCCTCCAAGATTCCTAGAGCAGGTTCTATCGAGGAATTGACCGACGCGCCAGGAGGCGGCCACATGATCACATTGCACGACCCAGAAGGCTTCCCCATCAACCTCATCTACGGCCAGACCAAAAAACAACCTGGCCCCTTCCCTGAAGTCCTGACCACAAATTACGAAAACGAAAAGCCGCGAGTCGCGCGGTTTCAACGCTTTAAATCTGGACCTGCCGCAGTGCATAAACTCGGCCACTACGGTCTTTGCGTACAAAATTTCCAAGCGGAAATGCAATGGTACACACGTACTTTTAACATTGTACCGACGGATTTCCTTTACATCAATACCCCCGAAGGTCAACAAAAAGACGTAGCAATCTTCGCCCACATCGACATTGGCCCATCCTACACAGACCACCACACCATTTTCCTGTCCACAAATCCCACATCTCACGTCCACCACTGCAGTTTCGAGGTCCACGACTTTGACACGCAGAACTTGGGTCATGAGTGGTTGGCACAAAAGGGGTATAAGAGCGTATGGGGTGTGGGTAGACATATACTGGGTAGCCAGTTGTTTGATTATTGGTGGGATACGACGGGAAACATGATTGAGCATTATGCCGATGGCGATCTCGTGAACGAGGAGACGCCCGTAGGCTGGGGAGAAGCGGGTGATGAATCGCTGGCGGTGTGGGGGCCGGAGGTTCCGAAGTGGTTCCTGGATTGATGAGCGATGAAGAGAAGTCAATGTAGAAGTATAGTATCGTATTCTGATGCTCAGTTTAGTTAAGCGATATGGGCTGTACATGTTGGTTTTTTTACCACATGATTTACCACTCCCTAGCCCTTCCCCACCCACGATCCGTAACCCCATCGTTCCCAAAATACCGCCCACTTACCCACTCCGTCTCCTCACCCAACCCACCATCAGAGTCTCCTTTACTGCCAAGCTGTCCAATACCCAACCGCACCGGTATCCTCGCCCCTTCCTCCAAAGTCTTAGGCGGCTTGCCGATCTGATTTCCCATGTCACTATTCACCCAACCGGGACAACAGCAGTTAATTGCCACACCCTCATTCGCCTTGGCCAGTACTACTGTAAGAGCGTTCATGAGTGCCTTACTGACTTGGTAAGATTTTGGTGGTGCGCCGAAGCCAGCGGATTCTTGGGCGTTGGATTGAACAGATTTGATGTATTCCTGTGCGAGGGTATCGATGTCTGGAATGAATGTTACGGATCGGAAGCGGGACTGTGTGGCCGATGGGTAGTTCGATAGGACTGAAGCCGTGCTGGATACGTTTACGATGCGGGCACCTGGTGTGCTTTTCATTTTGCCTTGTTCAAGGAACAGCTGGCACATTTGCTTGGTGCCATGGTAGTTGATGTTGATGGTTTGCTCTGCAGACTCTACTGTCTCGTTACTATTGTTGTTTATTCCGGCGTTATTGATCAAGACATCAATTTTCCCGTTGTCGTTAACTGCTGAGTTGAGGAAGGACGTTATGGATGACTTGTCTGAGACGTCGAGTTTTGCATATCGGATTTCGTTTGGAGGTTTAGCTTGGACTTTGAGATCTATGCCACCGCGAGAAGTGGCGTAGATGTGTAGAGGTTGTGGGTGCTCTGTGCTGGCCAGGAGATGAATGATGCCTTGTCCGATTCCGCGGTTTGACCCGGTGACAACTACTGTTAAAGGTGACGGCATAGCTTTCAGGACTGAATACAAATCGAATGGGTGCTAATAATACCTGTATGTTGGTCGTGTTTCTTTCGATATGTAAACTTAAGTACCCACCTAGGTATGTACATGTGGAAGTCGTGATGTCAGGCATGATCCATGACGTAGTGATCATCGCGCGACTGCGTAAAGAACGCGATGGTCTTTTTGACTATCTCGACTCAGTCGCTCTCATGTAGCGACCTTTTGCGTGGATCTTTCCTTCGCTTTTTGATGAAGCGTGATGCCACGCTGGATTTAAGTAAACAAGCGTTACCAGTTATTACACGATATTCTTAACAAGAAGGCGCGTACCTGGTAACGATCAGTTCAAAAGCTGCATTGAGAAGAGGGAGATCAAGGTAGATTTGGAGGATATTCCAGATGTTATTAAGCATGCTCGTCCTTGTTGGATCCTCAACATTAACTATTTTTAGAAAGAAAGAATAGAAGAACAGCAAATGTACTATAAGTAAGAGAAGCACTAATTGTTGCCTTCGCCTTGACGCCTTCTTCCAACTAGCTCCCCTCATACATAGTGGATACGACTGTCATTGACTCAACCAAGGCAAGCAATAGCAATCTCACCATTGACCTTCCTATCGTTGCTGAGGACAGGGATCCAGATTTCGACGGTGATCTCGCTAGGGTACCCAGTGACCTCGTAGTAGTCGTAGAGGGGGTAGAAGGTGACCTGGCCTTGATTGGGACAGTCCACGTCGAATGTAAGTCCCTCAGTAACCGTAAATGACTCTGATTCAGTAACTTCCACGCCCACGCTCGCTGTGAAGACTTCCCAAGAAGCTCCCATGCTCACCGAGGTAGTAACGCTAAAGGTCTGGGTTTCGGACGTCTCCCATGTGTAGCCAACACCACTAGACAGACGCGGACCGCGCTCGAAGTTGGTAGGGTGGCGGATGCCAAGTGCCTCGAAATTGAATTGGAAGTAGTCATCATTCTCATTCTGGCGCTTAGCAATCTCGCGGACGCCCAGACCGCGCTCTTTGAGAGCATCGCTGGCCATACGCTCGGCTGCGGATGCGGTATCGTTGCGCCACTCGAGGTACTCTGCCAGGCTGGAGTGACCCTTGGTCATGCCATTGGGAAGGCTTTCTCCCTTCAGGCCTTGGAAGAGTTCTCGCTTCATCATGCGCTTGCTTGGACCACCGTCCCCACCCTCGTCGTTGAAGACGTTCACGAACTCGAAGTTACCGGTGAACTCGCCTCCAGCACGGAGTACTGAGCACCTAGACTTGATGGGCTCGTACAGCTGGTAAACTTGACCTTCGGTGATGGAGCGAGGGTCACCCTCGCCATCGTTAGGTTCCTCTTGGAAGCAGTGTGTGACGAGACAATTCCCATCAATCCACCACCAATGCATACAAGAGGGAGCGGGATCGAGCTCGCCGTTGATGTGGGCGATTTCGGTGCTTCCCTCCATGCCAAAGTCTGTCATAAGAGACGCGCCTAAAACGATGAATGGTTAGAAAGCTTTCAAACAATTAAAAAAAAAAAGAAGTGGGCAAGGCAAACTAACAATCTTCCCAGCTGGGCCTGCGGTTGGCATCGCAAAAACGGACCTGGGCATTGGCGAGCCCAAGGCTCATAGCAAGAGAGATCAGGGTGAAGCTCTTCATCTTGAGGTAAGATATTAGATTGTATAGATCAGATTGTGTGTCTGTGTTGGACACTTGGTTTGGTTGATAGAGCGAGCTGTCGATCAGAGAAGATGCAGAGCAATATGGCAGGACAATAGTTCATTCTTATAGACATGTTGACAAGGTTCTGTCTCTTCTGAAGAGCCCGGCTTAGGTTACATGTCGTTGAATACGCCTTGTTGTGCTACGCATGAGGCATCCATTCATGATCGCACGATCACAATCCAAGCCAAGAGTAAGCAGAATGCTTCCGGTTGTATGAATCGAGAAGGTAGGGGAAGAATTTGGATCCATGTTTGAAGTCTCGAAGCCTCCGCCTGTTGGTTTTAACGACATAGAGAAGTGATCGTCCGTGTTTTTTATTTTATGTGGTAGTATGATGAGCAATCTTGTCACGGTATACTTCGTTTACGACGCAAATTCAGGTACTTCTCTGGGCGCCCAGAATTTTAGGGGCTTAAAGGAGGCTTCAGTCTGACTTTCAAGGCTTAGCCTACGTCAAAGTGTTGTTGGTGCTGTCTCCGGAGAACCACTGACGTAAACACGGCAAGTCCAAGGCCTAATTCAATAAATCTTGGCGCTCCTCCTCGAAGTAGTTGCATGTATCTAGGTAACGTCGTGGAAGGATAAATCGGCTAGACGGCAAATCGACAGGGCATATCATTCTGCCGGCTACCGGCTTACTTACTTCGTCACGCTACCACCTTTGCGAGAAGCTATAGACATGGGTCTATTATCTTGTGTTTGACCGATTGGTTGCCTCTACAGATAGATGGGCCTAAGTAGAGTCAGCTGCGGCCCGCCTTATGCTTCTCCATGGGTAGTGAGACTGTGAATCCATGTCTAGTCCCTCGCAAAGGTACCCGCGCAAAACGACGATTTCATATCGCTGGAAGGCGTTCTACAAGCTTACGGAAGAAGGCCCAGAAGATCTAAGCCAAGTTTACCTACCCCTATGGGCCGCTCGAAAAGAACGAGGACTACTAGAAGCTAAATCTTGATAAGAAGGCGCCCATTTTAAAAGAACTTCTGTGACATAGCAATTAGCAAAGATTGATATGCTCGTTTGTTACACTACTCTTAGAAGTAGTATAGCTTATAGAATTACGCATAATAGAAGTAGTTGGAAGATTATGTACACCATATACTCTTTTCAGGCAGTATTAGTTTGCCATCTAGAAGCTTTCTAATCTGCATCTTTAGCTACTCTTTAGCGTTAGTCTAATTGCCTCATCTTACAGGTATCAAAAGCTCGTTGATGTCGGTGCGGTGCAGGCCCGATAACTCAAGTAGGATCGTGCATTGCCTCTGCTCGTCAATGTTCCCTCGATCACACGATACGTAGCCGAGTTTCGTGTGAAGCATGATTCGGGACAATTAGGCTCCTCTAGGGCCTCAGCGTAGATCTGACGATAGTGGTCCAGTCGGTATGACACGTGAGGGGTGACGTTCAGAGTAAATCCAGGCTGCCAATCACGGAGGAGCAATTCCGAAAGAAGGGTGCAGCCAACGCAGCGTGGCACTACAAGACATTCGTCCCAGTCTAGTATACCATTAACGTTGCCATCATCGTCGACGAGAATGTTCTGGAGATCGAGATTCGGGTGCTGCAGAAGAAAAGTCTCTGGACCGTCAGCCTCGGAGTTCGATGACTTAGAGGTCTTCTTGGTAGGATGCGAGAAGATTGTATACAACACCTTCTCGATGCCGAGTGCGAGAAAGCGGAGTCTTGTGGGAGACCTGCGGGTTCTCCTTCGGCTATAAAGATGTTGCTTAGCAAGCCTACTCCAATTCCGCTAGCTCCAAGTTGGCTAGCTCGAGCCCACCTTAATCCAAAACTCTAACTATCTTTAATCCAGCCAAGTCGCTTGAGTTCGGCATTTCTCTAGTTTGTCATCCAAGTCGACCCACATCTTCTTGCAAGATTGTGCGCTCCACTGCTAACAGTAGTAGAGAAACGTGAGCTAACAGCGTCAAGCATTTCAATAACGTACGCCAGTGTGGATTAACAAGCAAAAAGAACAAAGAGTTTTTTTGCAACGGCTTAATAAGTTGAAGTTGAGCTGTCAAAATATATGTAGGGACCGTATCGCAACAATTGTCATGACAAAGAGATTTGCATTTTCCAATTCTCCATCGATTTCACTATCCTCTTCCCTTATTGATATCCTTATACGGCCTTTCTTGAACCGCTTCTATTGTCGACTTTCAAGGCTATCATGGTCCATTCTAAATTATTCGCTCCTATCCGAGTAGGTGGCATGGACCTCCAACACAGGGTCGCCATGGCGCCATTAACGCGTCTACGCGCGGACAGAGACCACGTACAACTCCCTATTGCGATAGAGTATTATGCTCAGCGAGCTGCCGTACCTGGGACCCTTATCGTCGCTGAAGCGACCCTGATCTCTCCGGCGCATGGTGGTGTTCCACACGCCCCTGCGCTATGGAACGCAGCGCACATCGCAGGTTGGAGGGAAATCACCAACGCAGTTCACGAGCGTGGATGTAGTATTGTGTGCCAACTGGTTGCTCCGGGACGAGCAGCGAACGCCGAGCAGCTCAAAGCAGGCGGGCATGAACTATTAAGCTCAAGTGCCGTGCCGATGCCTGGGCAGGGATTCGCACCGAAAGATGGACCAACTGTCGAACCTTGCGCAATGACTGAAGAGCAAATATGGGATTGCATTGCGGACTTTGCGCGAGCGGCAAAAAACGCTATAGCTGCTGGATTTGACGGCATAGAGATACACGGCGCAAACGGATATCTAGTCGACCAGTTTTTGCAAGACACATGCAACCAGCGCAGCGACACTTGGGGCGGAAGCGTCGAGAACCGCAGCAGATTCGGTATCGAGGTCGCAAAGGCTGTCGCGGCCGCCATTGGATCAGATCGTGTGGGCTTCCGCTTGAGCCCATGGAGTTCTTTCCAAGGCATGCTCATGTCCGACCCCATTCCCACATTCTCCTATCTCACCACGCAGCTCAAGAAGTTACAACTCGGCTATCTGCATATTATCGAGTCCCGGGTGAACAATAACGTCGACTGCGAGTCCACCAAGAGCATCGACTTCCTGCTTAACATCTGGGATAACGTAACACCTGTTCTTATCGCCGGTGGCAACACTCCGGAAAACGTTTTTGAAGCCGCCGATAAGAAGTATGCTGCATTAGATGTCGTGTTTGTCTTTGGACGGCACTTTGTGTCGAATCCAGATCTGCCATATAGGTTAAAGAATGGTGTGGAATTGAACAAGTATGATCGAAGTACCTTCTATACGCCAGAGAGTCCGAGGGGATATATTGACTATCCCTTCTGTAAGGGGTTCAAGCCTGTTGTAGGTTTGTGAAGTCTAGAGTTATGTAGGTTGATAGAGTCTGCATAATAGTAAAACTTAAGTTCAAACAGCTTACCCCCTAGTTTCGAGCTATCGCAATTTGACAGCTTGTTACGTGTTAGGACGCTCGTCGCCGAGCACTCATTTTGTCGCCTGCATCACTTGGACCTCCAGCTCTTTAGCTTCCTTGTACTATCTGTTACTAGATAGAACTATGGGACGTTGCACGTAGGATAGAATCTTTCTCCATTGTTATTATCCATTGTATGATACAATAGAGCATTCGAGATATGCAGAAGGTTGTGCGAGCTGCAGTAATCTATACTTCTTAGGATGAGGATCAGTTGAGATATTAGTCGAAGTTTAGCAACGGATAAGGGCAGTGAGAGTCGCCATTATCTACGCTTTTCCAACAATCACTTGGTTAGAAAGGCGTTTGATAGGGTATGAAGTGTTCAACACGAGATGAATTAATGTTAGTCCCACACACGATTGTAAACGAGGACAGAGATATCGAGAATTCACGCAAAAGCATTACATTCGTAGATAGCATAAGACAATCTCCATGTTCGTGAGTCAGCATGTTATATGCTAACTGAGCTAGGCCACTCATGCAAGTACTACATCGCAGTCATCATGGTACTCCAAGCCCTCAATGTAAGCCTAAGCGTCACATTTAGACCCCGCGGAGAAGACGTCATGTCTAGTACCGCCTTCCATACCCCTCCTCACCATATCCGCCTGAGCCACCATAGCCACCAGAACCGTGTTCTTGTCTCCTCTGACCATATTCATCTTCATCATCGCGGCGGCGACCATAGTTCTGAGCCTCTTCACCGAAACCACCAGGAACACCAGAGGCACCATAAGCCTGATCAGGTCGCTCACCACCGTATTCCAGACCCTCTGAACGACCATATCCACCAGAGCTGTAAGGGTCAGCACCATAACGAGAAGATTCGTGGCGACCGTACTCTTGACGGCCGTAGCTCGACTCCTCCTGGCGACGGCCATATCCAGATTCCTCTTGACGACCGTATCCGCCAGTGCTATAAGAGTCAGCACCATACTGCGGCTGCTGACGGCCGTAGCCCCCGGTTTCACCGCCGTATTCCTGACGTCCGTACCTGGATGGTTCTTCACGGCCGTAGCTTGATTCTTCCTGACGACGGCCGTAACCCGACTCCTCGCCGTAGCGCTGTTCTTGGCCATAGCCTCCCGAGTGGCCTCCGGAATGACGCTTGGGCGAGCGGCTGCTGCTCTTCTTGCGACGGTGCTCTTGCTCACGCGAGCGAGAGCGACGCCTGTGTTCACCCGACCCTGAGCGACGCTTGTCAGCATCATCCGAGTCTTCATCACCACTGCCATGATTCTTGTGTTTGTTACGCTTCTTCTCCTCCTTCTCACGCTTCTTGCGTTCCTTCTTCATTCGCTTCTCGTATGAGTCTTCACCGCCCGAATTGTTCGAATCATCGTCGTCGTCGGAGTGTTTCTTGGACTTACCACGTCGTCTGCACAGCTGTTAGCCTACGATCACCATAAAGCAAGTCGTCGACTTACTCCTTCTCCTCAGAGTAGTATTCTCCCGACCTATCGAAGCCTTCACGCTTCTCCTCGGAGCGCCATTCATTGCCGTGCTGGACACGACGCTCCTCCCGTCGCTCATATCCACCGGATCCACTATAGCTGCTGGTCTCGACTTTCTGCTCGTAGCTGTAGGATCCACCACGCTCATCTCGCTCCTGGCGAGAGTATTCCTCGCGACGTCCGCCACTTGGGTATTGTGTTTGCTCATACTCGGCGCGGCCGTAGCGATCACTGTCACCATAGGAAGATGCCTGGTGATGACCAGTTTCAGAGTATGACTGAGTGTAAGAGCCGTCTTGGCCGTAGCTCTCTTCCTTGCGACCCTTCTTTTCGTTGCCGCCAAATGCATCACCAAGCAGTGAGGCACCGACGCCTCCAACAAGGCCACCGACAAGCCCGCCTAGGGCGCCACCGCCGACGGCTTCGCCTGCAAGCTTGCCCACACGATCAGTGGCTTGCTGGATCTGTGGGTTGGCACCACCTTGTCCGCCGGAAGAACCGAAGTTGTTCGCCATACCCAGAGGTTTACCACATCCATGGCCCTTGTCGTGGACATTCTCCTTGTGGTTACGGAGGTTTTGTACGCCATCCCGACTGAGTTGATCACGGAACTCACGCTTGGCTCTGTTGTCTTTGGAGTCCCACCATTTCCCAACTGTGTCGAGCATGATCTGATGGCATTGTCCAGCCCCGCGGTCCCTTCCTCCACCATGTCTCTTCTCTGCCATAGCAACAGCAGGATGGTGAAATACGCCCTTGATGATGCGGTCAATAGTTTCCTCGGGGTCGGCCTCACCATCCCAGCACTGAACGACTTGCGGAACAGCCCAACTCAGCACGGCAGACGCTACTCGGCCTGCAGGTTCGTTGAGCACATTGGAGAAGTGATCCTTGGAAAGCATGCTGTGGGTTGGATCGGTTGAGTAGTCGTCGTTGAAGACAATGTGCTGCTTCTCGCGAGAGCTTGCAATGACCTCGCTGGATCCAGTCTCGAGCTCAGCCTTGACTTGGCTAAGAATAGGCAAGATATAGGGCGCAAGGAGACTGAAGACGAAGACGGTGACTTGGCTTTGAATCTCTTCAATCAGGTCTGGTAGAATTGGAATCTTCTCGATGAACTCAGCGATGGATTGCATGATCTCGTCGTGGAACTCCATAATGGGGTAGATTTGTTTGACGAGCTCTCCAATCTGCTCTGTAAAGGCTTCGGGCTCTTTGGGGGTGATTTGGATATTTCCCATGGCAGCAGCGTTGGCGTTGTCCGCGAGCTCGTCAGCCTTGCCAGATTCGTCTTTGCCGCCAAAGATGCCATCTGGAAGCTTAGCGAGAAGCTCCTGGATCTTGCTCTTGTTTTCGCTCCTTTCAGCATTGGCAATTGCGCCTTCGAGTTCCTGCAGCTCGGACTGTGTAGCCTTGTCGGTAATCTCTCCGCATACCGAGTGCAAAAAGTCGACACCACCGAATGTACCTGTTATAATGGGATATACCTGCTTCCCGGCGGCACGAACTTCAAACAGGGCGTTTCGGCCGACGTGAGGGAATATGTCTCGGTTCTCTTCCTCGAGTTCAATCAAGGCAAGCTCAACGTAATTGGAGTGGGCAGAGTAGTCCTCTAGACAATGGGTTGCGGTACCAAGCAGTCTCAAGGCCTCGTAGAAGTCGGGACCACGTCCTCCTGAGCGACGTCCAAGATCAATGCAACGCCTGAGTAGGTCTCGGACCATGCCAGCCGATGTTGTGATGCCCAAGTCTTCTGAGGCGATGTAGTTCTTCAGGCCGGTTCGCTCGTCGACGCTGAGCTCGCGCCTCTCGTCAACAGGGCCTCGAAGGCGGCGGTCGTAGTCGCGGGCGTCGAGGTTATCAGCGTAGTCCTGCATAGTCAGTATCTAGATGTCATCGGGTAGGCGGTGTGCTAACCTTGGGGTTGTCAATGTGCTCCTCGGGCCTGTAGCACCCAAGGCGGTCGCGAGTAACCTCAAACTCCTTTGTTCCGTAGCCGAAGCTCATGAAGCCGAGCACCCAGAGTAGGATGCGGATAGCCTCTGCAGAGACCATCTTGACAGTGCCGACATCAACAGCCTGTGAGTAGTCGCGTAGCCAGTTGCCAAAGTAGACGCGCTTGACATCCATCTTGCTGAACTTCTTGCCAGTCTGGCCGCTGATGAGTAGGGTAAGTAGGGTATCTTCGATATCTCCATGGCGCCAGTTCTGTCCTTCAATGGCGCTCAAGCTCGCAATGTTGCCAGCACCGAAAGCTGCAGTGGGGCGCGCCCAAAACACGAGGAGGATGAGGCATGGCAGCCAAATGTCGCTAATCTGCGGCATCGTGCGTGTGGTGTTGTAAGCTCTTGTGAATAATCAGGCAAGAGGTTATGAAGAGAGTGTAGACGTCGAGACAGACGGAGAGGTGAGCTGTGTATATGAATGTTGTTTAGCGCCTGTTTCAGCTCCAGTCTTGCCTAAGCTGCCCCGCCAAAGGCTGACGTAGAGGGGTCCATAACTCCACCTCCATGCCCTACGGATCGCCAGGGAGAAAAGTGTTCGACCAAACTACCTCTTACACTTATCAAACACGCCTATGCCCTTTCCATACTACAAACGCTCATCTTGAAGTGCCTGGTGATGTGAAAGATGATCATGTTGCCAGGTCTCCGATACCTAGTCCCGGACATTGCCACCCCCAGTATATACCTCCAGCTGCTACATACATTTACACAGTCACCCCATGCAAGGAACAACCAAACAGGTGTAGGAAACCCTGCTAATACGTTGCCTACAACAATACTAACACAAATAGTATATAACGTGGTTCATAAGCGAGCGGCCACCCCAAGCGAGTGGCCACCCCAACACTATCGCAGCGCACGCGCAGCAATATCGTCTCATGTCTCAACAACGCAACGTACAACCAGCTTATACTGAAGGAGATATAATCCTAGCTGTCTCTAATATTAAATTAAACCAGAACCTAAGTGTAAAGCGTGCTGCAGCAATCTACAACGTCCCCCGAACGACCGTACGCCGCCAACGCGCTAGACAACGCTCTCGACGCGAATGCGAGCCCAACTCGAAGCGCCTTACAAAGCTTAAAGAGGAGGTGATTGTGCAGCGCATACTAGATGAATCTCTACGAGGTGTACCACCCTTAAAGGCACACGTACGAGATATAGCTGATAGACTGCTGAGAGAGCGTGGTGGAAAGCCTACAGGCAAGAACTGGGTTGATAACTTCATTAAGCGTACACCTGAGCTGCGAACGCGATGGAGCCGTCCGTACGATCACCAGCGAGCTATCTGCGAGGACCCAGCGGTTATTAGGCCCTAGTTTACGCTTGTTCAATCGATGAAGGCTAAGTATAGTATCTTAGATGAGGATACCTAGAACTTTGATGAGTCTAGCTTCATAATGGGCAAGATATCCTCTCAGCTTGTTGTTACAGGCTCAGAGAAACCTAGAAAACAGAAGAAACTACAGCCTAGCGATCGCGAGTGGGTAACTCTAGTACAAGGCGTCTCTGCGACAGGGCGCGTTATCCCGCCCTTCCTCATCTTTGCAGGGAAGGTCCTTATTACCTCCTAGTTCGCAGATCTACCTCGCGATTAGATTATTACTGTCTCTCCTACTAACTGGATCAACAACGACCTCGCGCTTGCGTGGCTTAAGCACTTCGATGCACATACAAAGGCGTCCTCTGTTAGGGCATATAGGCTGCTTATTATCGACGGCCATGAGAGCCACTGCTCAGTAGATTTCTAGGACTACTGCAAGGAGAACAAGATTATCGCTCTCTGCATGCCATCTCACTTATCGCACCTCCTGCAGCCTCTTAACGTTGTCCCCCACTCGCTGTTAAAGCGCTACTACGGCGATAGGATCTCGCTCTTAGCACGCAGCCGCATCTACTATGTCAACAAGGAAACCTTCCTACTAGCCTTTAAAGAAGCTTATAAAAAGACGTTTATACTAGAGAACGTTCGCGCAGGCTTTTAAGGTGCTGGACTAGTCCCATATGACCCGGAGGCTGTGTTATCAAAGCTAGATGTGCAGCTGCGTACGCCAACGCCGCCTACACCAGGCACAGTCGCCTAGGAGGCGCAAACACCGCGCAACGCCCGCGAGATAGAGGCGCAATCTACGCTAATTCGAAATCGCATGCAACACTACCAAGGGTCACCAGCAAGCTCATTAGACGAGCAGGTCAAGCAGCTAGGTAAAGGCGCTCAGCAGATAGCTTATAATATAGTGTTAATGCGAGAGGAAGTAAAAAGCCTTCGAGAAGCTGTTGACACGCTTACAAAGCGTAAGACTCGTAAAAGGCGGTACGTACGTGCAGAGGAGACTCTAACAGTTAGTAAGGTATCTGACTTAATTGCTAAAATGGACGGTGGTAGGCGTGAGGACGGCGAGACGCCTGCGAAGAGGGTGCGCGCAGAGAGGCGCTGCGGCCGTTGCAGCGAAGTTGGGCACAACTCCCGCACCTGCAGGGTAGAAATAGGGGATGTAGATAATAGCGACGCTTCTGAATAATACTGTGGTATTGCGTACAATATAGTAATCTTTTGTAGTGTTGTGCTGCGTTGCTACGCGTGCGCTGCACTGGTGTTAGGGTGGCCACTCGCTTGGGGTGGCCGCTCGCTTATGAACCACGTTATAGATAACTTAGACGTCTATATTACTATAAGATGTCTTATAGTCTCTTATTATCTGCGGTTGTAAGATGCAGCGTAGTAGAAGAGTTTTCTACATGTATTTAGTTTCTTCTTTGCCCAAGGTGCAGCTATAGACCTTAGATAGACGTGTGTGTTGAGGGTGTCTTTGTAATTATTTTCGCCTTTGCGTAAACTAACAAATCCACACGAGACTCGGGGTGCGGTAACATTGGCAAGCGTGCAGGCGACGGTTGCGCACGGCAGATTGAGCCGTCGTCGAATAGATTGAACGTGTCGCTGAAGTATACGCATGCCCAAAATCTCAGATCGACGGTGTATTGTGAAATAGAGACGTCTCAATGGTGCTGCCATACCTGGCCACGTACAAAAGTGCAAGCCACATCAGGAGCGCCGGATAGAGCGTTACTGCATCGAGACGCTTGAGATGCAGTCTCATTGGAAGATGAGGGGATTGAGTTATCTTTTCTGCGGCCTGGTGCGCTGAATGGCTGAAAAAGGCAGTCTGGTGACGATGAGAGAGCGGTGGCTTGTTGGCCAGATGCGCGGTCGAGCAACCCTCCGGCTTATTTTCAGCCAGCCTTAGGCGACCCGAATTTACCGTACAAGAGCACATCGCAGCTGCCAGCAGCTCAGAGCGTGCAACACCACACGATTTGTATGTGCATCAAATCTATCGCAAATTCCATCTCGTACCAGTGCGACACAGAAAAATTGTATAGAACCAATGCGACGCCCGCGTGTTCATAGTCCGGCGAACGATGTTCGCGCATATGGGATATGGCCGTGAGGTAATTATAAGTGATGTCATTTTGGTAGCGAGTGATTAGAAATTAACCTATAAAAAAGGTCATACAACTCTAAAGCCAACGCCGACAAGGGAATGGTGCCCTCCATAATGCGATAACCCGCTCTATGTATCCCGAACCATGGTGCCAATTGGCTTCCAATTCCCAACGCCGCACCAGCTCAAACGAACAAAGGAAAATCCGTCAAATCATAAACCAACTTAGTAGTTGAAGACCGTCAGCGACGGGTTCAGTACGATGGGCAACAGGCAGTGCATGATGACGGTCACGGCCCAACTAGGTGCGGTTAGCGAAATGTCAATGATACTGGAGTAAGAGTTGGTACTTACGGCAAGACAGCAGTCAAACCAGTAATCTCCCAGCCGTGAGGAGCGAAGCATCCGAGGTAGATCATGGCTCCGATCATGCCAATCATGATCATGTACATCCACTTGAAGCGCTTCCAGATCTTGGGAATTTCTGCGAAGAAGTTGGAGTTGTCCTTCTCCTTGGCTGTGGCACCCCAACTCATGTCGATGCAGAACATATGCGAGCAGATGGCGAGGAGAATATGGAAGGAAACACCACCAAAGAAGATCATGAAGAAGGGCATCCACTTGAGGTTCTCGAAGAAGGCACCGAGCAGACTGGCCTCACCAATACGGTAACGCATGACGGCGAAGCAGACGTTGGACATTCCGTTGAAGACGATAAGCAAGACGATGAAGATCTTCCAGGATTCGACGTAGTACTTGTCAAGGTCACCGTTGAGCCATCCGACGAGGAAGTAGTTGAGGGCTCCAAGGGGAACAGCCGAACCGAGAGCGTAGTAGGAGAAGATGTAACCGCAAATGGAGATCTTGGACGACAGCTGGATGTTGGAGAAGATGAAGGTGCGGAAGAGCTTGGTGAAGGGCGACTTCCACAACCAGGTGTGGACGGGGTTGAAGACCAATTCGTTGCAGCCGTAGGCGTATTTCTCCCATCGGTCCAACTCGTCGAAGACGGATAGCGAAACACCCTCCTTGAAACCACGGCCGTGGTAACTGGCAAGGCGGACAATGTTACCCTTGATCTGGAGACGGAGCGCAATATCAAAGTCCTCGGAAACGTGGCTCTCGGACCAGAAGCAGACGTAACCCTCATCGTCCGGAGGATTACCAACGGACTGAACAGCTTGCCAACGCAAGAAGGCGTTGTGACCGACGAAGGGGGCGACCTCACCACTACCGACGGAGAAGCGGATAGCAGTGTAAACAAGGTTGGTGAAGTATGTAATACCGTTCTCAAAGTAATCCCAGGAAACTTGCATGACACCAGTGGCGTGCTGGACAATAGCGACTTCAGGCGATAGGAACATCTCGGCGGCACCGTACATGAGGCAGTCTTCGGGAACGATGGTATCGGAGTCGACAATGAGAATGATTTCACCCATGCGAATGTTACCACCAGCCTTTGCGCGAGGGTCAGCAGTAAGGACTTGGTCGAGAGCCTCGTGGTAGAGCGCAAGTTCCTCCTCCTCAGAGATGGAAGCGTTGCCCTTGTCATAGCGGTTATCAACAAGACTCTGGAGTACGTCTTCGACGCGGTTGGAGATGTTGAGAGCGAAGTTCATGTTGGAGGCCTTCTTGAACTTTCCGCGGCGGACGAAACCTTCATGGTTGTGCTTGGGGCGCGAGACCCATCCAATGTTGTTGTTCTCGTAGAATCGAAGGAACTTCTCGTTATCCTCCTCAGATCGGACAGCCATACCATCGTCGTTGATGAAGATGCGGGCGGTTCCACCACGGGACTCGTAGTAGGAAATGGCGGCTTGCAAACTGGCTACGGTGGGCTTGACAACACCCTCAAGTGACTCGGTGTAGATAGGCATTTGGATGGTGATAGTCGACGGCGTGAAACCCTGAGCGCGAGCTTGGGCGAGGTTGGGCTTGATGGCGGAGTGGAAGCGGCTGTTGGACTTGACACCAGTAACCGGTCCGAAAACCTCGAAGATATTACCCATGACGACTACGACGAAGAAAAGACCCAATGCGATCCACAATGGCTCTGTCAGGATGAGAAGGATACGGGGGTAGAAGTGGTCAGTCATTGTCTGGAGGATGATGGCCTTGTTGCCGAGACCGATGACGAGGATGATGATCAAGACCATAGCAAGACCGACGAAGATGGAGCTGGTGAAGATGAGAGGGCGTGCAAGCGACTCCTTGGGACCATCAGCCTTCTCGAGATCACCATCGATCTCTTCTGCGTTGATCTCAACATCGTCCTTCTTGCCATCGATAGCGAAGTCGACCGTAGATCCTCCAAGGGTAGAGTTGGCGCTGGACTGGATAGCGCTGTCGAAGCCACTGAAGGGGTTCTTAGATGTACCCCAGACCAAGGCTAAGATCCTCGACTCGATCTCCATTGCCTGGGAAAGGATAGCACCAAGTTCGTCATGCCAGACGAGGAGAAGCCTCTCCTGACGGATAAGAGCTGCGTATTGGAACTTGCGGATGGTACTAGAGGTTGCGACCTCCGCCATGGACTCGAAGATCTGGATTTGAGAACCGTTCTGGAACATCAACTCTGTCTCGAACGGCTCGAGAACGTCGAAGATGGCCTGGGTACCGTCGGTGCTCATGGTGAGGGCAACACCAGGGTTGATCCTCTTTACTGCTGAGAGGAGGTCCTTGTTGGCTGCAACGGGTTCTGTGACATATTCTCCTTGACCCTTTCGGATCAAAACACCCTCGCAGGAGCCGGGTGCCAGAGCACTGGAAGTCATCCATCGCATAGAGCATGCTTTGGCGTAGAGGTGCTTGATGATCTAAAAGGTGTGAGACATGTCGCTTAGGTTTGTTGTTGTTGTTGTACTTACAGCACGGTATCTTGAGTCCTCGTCAATCTTCATGGTCAAGGGCCGGTTCAGGCCAGGGCGCCCTGTAGGTGTCTGGGGTGTGGAGTAGCGCGAGTCGCTGACACTGCCACTGAATGACTGCCTGCTGGAGGGGATGAAGGGTCTGTCTCCATCGTTGGAAGGTGTGGCGGAAGACATGCTGAGGATGCCCCAAGAATTAAGATGTATGGTACGGGTATAGAGGGATGTTGCTAAGCGATTGTAGGTAGCAGACGAGCTGCCAAAAGACAAGTGCTGTGGTAGGAACCAAGAAACGAAGGAATGGGCAAGGAGCCCTGCGAAGATCAGTAAGAGCGCGAGATTGTAGAGACTGGAAAGAGATCGGAAGCGGTCGAAGAGCAGAGGTTATCAACGCGGCACAGTTGGTAGTGTCTACACAATTCTCTCCGACTACGCGAAACAGGGCCCCGCCACAATCCTTAGTGACCAGGTCAAAGATACACTCATGCTACACACTATCGAATGTTCGGCATACCCCTTGTCTAGCACGTTCGAGTCTCAACAAGACTTTTTACGCGAATGTTCCAATTGAGGTCACTGCGTCTGTCACAAACGCTATCTCACATACATGACAATCCAGAATCGGCGGCACCGCCAGACCACCGGCTGCACCTAGTGATCCTGTCATCTATCGATATTCCTGCCAGCGCACGCCCCGGTCGCTCTCCCGTCTGCTGGGCCTTGGTGGGCCTCAATGTTGGGATGGTGGCAATCTTACTAGCAGCGATGAACATATGTTTCGCCGGTGCAACACCATAAGTCTATCGGTCATCATCGAGATCGGAGTCAAAAGGGGTGATGGAATCGTGTGTCGCATTCGGGTACCTTGCACTTCTCACACTTGTGCCTGAGCTAAGTGGAACAACTTAGCTTAGCCGCTGCTATACTGGGCGCGCGCCACTCTTGACGTTTGGACCGGAGGAGAATTTACTTTTCGCGACGTTCGGTGACCCCCTTCGGCTTCACGTAGCGGGATTGTGTCCAGCCAGCCTCAGACGTTGTAGCGACTATGAGTCAGGTTGAAAGTGGAGACCCTTGTCCTTCTAGTCCTTCACCGAACCGGGCACTTGGTGTCCACGACTGTCCGATGTGGCCGGCCGCAATCACTGTGACGTCCTGCAAGCCAAGATGAGGTCCTCGTTCGCGCGTGCGCCATCCCGCTCAGCAAGCCGTACACAACTTCAGAGAGGGTACAAGACCCTGCAAATTGCTTTTACGAGATGCTCAGGTTCCGCGAGCGGTTGGATCCCACGTCGGCAACAAAGTCAATAATCAAAGCGCGCTATCATGCACGTCGCCCTTGATAAGCACCCTTGTAGACTCTCCCGTTGTTAAGATTAGAACGTTGTTCCGCTTCTATCTATTGACCCTGCAACCACATCTATCGAACAACACATAAAGCAGCTCGCCACCGTCCAGCCACACGTCACAGGTTTTCTGCCTCAACTCTATAATTTTGCATGACGCCATGCCCAGCTGGGCTATACCGAGTCAGTAGAATTGCTAGTTGACAGAGTTTCGACTGCAGCAGTGGAGCTACTAGACTTGCGACGCACCGTCGAGGGTAGTGTGTTTAACCGGTTCGCCGATAAGTCAATCGACAACAATGGGTCAGCAAGCCCAAGTGCAGGATTTAGCCACCGACGTGCAGATACGGAGGGAAGGACACAATATCGGAAGGGTGCATGCTGGCAGGCCGTCTGTGGGCTGACCCGCCAATGCATCGATGGCTCCCGTCAAGACCATGAACGTGCAACTCCAGGTCTACCCTTTGTCTGGGTACAAGCGTGGAAAATCCAAGCGAAGATCACGCGGGTTTTGGTAGGCGATCGGCCGGGCGCTAATCTAGACACGAACCATGGAATGATGTGCCGTGGCGTCCGACGACCAAATCATGCTCTCGAACGTTAAGCCTCAAGCCAAGCCTAACACAGTCGGTCAAATCCTTCCGTATAGCTAGTGGCATGTGGCTTTCCCCCTGACGTGCTGACTGCAAGGCTGTCACACTAGCCCTGTGCTTATCTCATGGCTTTTGACGTACCTGCGTCTAAAAGAACGCTAGTGACTTCGACACTACTGTGCGTTATCTCTAAGACCGTAACAGGCGACTGGGTTGAAACTGCCATGGGCACTGCCCGCCCCTTGCACTTGCAGAAGCCATCATGTCGAGAACGGTAGATACGCCTAGAGCCTGTTGAGTATTCTAAATCTAGGCTCTCGAATCAGAGAATCTCGCTCTTCCCGACGACGGTTCAGTCTACTATCGATTTATCGGTGCCGCAAAACTCAGCGCGGCGCTCGCTCGGCTTGTGGTATCGATACTTCAGCTCTCAACAACGTTCCCTGCATTGTTTTGGCGTACTCTTCTAATCTCCTTAGACGAGGTCGCGTACGGCAATAAACTACCTTGCCCATCGCTGAATACTTTGGCATTTCTGTATTCCGCATTTGACACTTTCAGTCATCCCAAATCACGACGATGCCTTCTTTCTTCAAGCGTAACAAGAAAGCAATCCCTGAGGAGGATGCTCCACCTCAGGCTCACTCCCAAGATGTCCCAGACCTTCCTGCCGGCATGTCACAAAGGATGCGTCCCGAGTCCTCATCACCGGGAACCTACATCCCCAGAAACCCCTCCAACCTTTCATTCGGAGGTCCAGTATATGGAAGCCAGTTTGGCAACGCTTCTGAGATACGGAAACAACCGCGGCCCTTCCGGAGTTACAGGTTACGGGGAGAGTATGCATAGTCCATCCTAAACGCTATCTACATTGAGCTGATCGGAACTGTAGGCGTGAGCAACCATGGGTCGACGATCCACGAATGAAGAAGACCAAAGTCGGCAACTGGATCACCCTCGGCTTCATCATCGTCGGTTTCGCCGTCAGTGGATATATCATGTACACTGGTGTGCAAGAGGCTCAAATACCTGATGTATGATCGACCCTCATCATTCTTTCCTTTGGCTAACATCTTGGCAGCAATGTCTTATCATGGAAGACAATTTCGAGAAGATTGATCCCGCCAACTGGGGTTACGAGATTCAGACTGGCGGATACGGCAACGGAGAGTTTGACTGGACAACCGATGACCCTAAGAACAGCTTCGTTGACGCGGAAGGTCTTCACATTGTGCCCACCCTCACCACCGAATCTACTAGCATCACAGCCGAGCAGATCGTCAATGGCTACACTCTGAACATCACCAAGGCAGATGGTGACGGCTCTTGCACGTCCACTGACTACAAGTCGTGCGGTATTCGCTCCAACTCGACCACCGGAGCTATCATCCCCCCTGTTCGCTCTGCACGCATGACCACCAAAGGCAAGAAGTCGATCAAGTACGGCCGCGTTGAAGTCGTTGCAAAGACAGCGAAAGGTGACTGGCTCTGGCCCGCCATTTGGATGATGCCCGAAGACAACGTATACGGTGATTGGCCACGTAGCGGAGAAATTGACATTGCTGAGTTCCGTGGCAATGACTACAAATACCCCGAAGGTCGCGACTTCGTCTCCTCTACGCTCCACTGGGGTCCCGACTACCAGCACGATGGCTACATCAACACTCACGGTACTTCCTTCTTCCGCCGCACAGACTTCGCATCCAGCTGGCACACATTCGGTCTCGAGTGGACTGAGGACTACCTCTTCTTGTACCTCGACAGCCGTCTCAAGCAGGTCATGTACTTCAAGTTCAACGAGAAGAACAAGCTATGGAAGAAGGGTGGCTTTAATGGTCTGACGACTAGCAATGGTACCCTGTTCGAAGACCCTTGGAAGCAAGGCGGCAAGAACGCGCCATTTGACGAGAAGTTTTACCTCATTCTTAATGTTGCCGTTGGTGCACAAAATGGCTGGTTCTTCGATGGCGAGGGCAACAAGCCATGGGTTGATGGCAGTGACTTTGCTGTCCGTGACTTCTGGAACGGTACGTTGATATCCACGTTACAATCGTATGAGCACTTTACTGACTTCTACAATAGCAAAGGACGACTGGCTCCCAACCTGGGGTGAGGGCACTGAGCGCGGTATGACCGTCAAGTCTGTCAAGATGTGGCAGGCCGGCAAGTGCTAAGCTCGGCCGCTTCTGACTGCCGAATCCTCATTCCATTTTTCTTTTCCAATTCCGAGGATCCACTTCGACATGCACGATCACGGACGCCTTAGCTTTCTTTTCTTTAACGGTAATCGTGGAACAAGGGCACATTAGACGAACGTTTTCTCATTTCTTTTTCTTACGGGCATGGTAGTGGCGCCAAGGCGTCCTTGGGCATCTAAAGTGCATTGTACATTTTACAGATAAGGACAAGCAATACTGTAGTATCTAATAGATTTTTTTCTGATCACTTACTCGCATAGCACCACACCATCCCGTCTGCAGCTTACTTGTGACGGTAGTTGACGACCTGCAGAGTAAATCTAGTGACACTATCGAACGCATCGCCGTGCATAATCTTCGCATAGGTACATCTCGTATTCCGCACTCATCGTCTCAACAGCCTTGCAGAAAACCCACTCCAGCATGCAACTTGCAGCCTTGCATTCATTGACTTGCAAATCACACCATCATCCTTCTTCCATCCCGGAAGCAGCAAACAACCGAACAATCCACCCTCGCCCAGTTTCAAAGCCCGTTCTCGCCCGCCCACGCATGCCTTCGCACCCCTGAGAAAATCACCCCCAATACGAATGCTAAAGCGCGATAAACTTTCTGTTGAGCCACTTTGCTAATCTCCACTTCGCCTAGCTCGCGACTCAGTCGGTTAATCCAAATGTAAAAATCGCAACGCCACTCCTAGCGAATCAGAGCGCGCGGATACGAGCACGACTGACGTGTTAAGCTTGCTGCAGGGGACGGAGACGCTTCCGCTTATCTGAGTGCGGGAAGGTGCGAACTGCGCCGCACTTAGGCATCGTCTCGTTTCTAGTTTCCTTGGTTCAAGCTGGTCAAGCTTGAGTAAGTTAGCAGTCTGGGTGGGTATTTGCTTTTCTGGTACCCTTATCGAGTCGGCTGTTTCGCACGTGGAGGCGTCCCTTTCTTTGCTTCCCCATCGGAAGATTAAGAGAATCATGGAGAAAGGCTCAGGGGCAGGTTTAGGGTACCATGGACTGATGATTGATGATGCAAGAAGGGGTCCATTTGATCAGAAGAGGGGCAACGACTAGGCAGCACGCCGTCTCGTCTCTCACGGCGCGACGTCCCATGTTGCCTACAATATCAAGGCATCATCCACTCTTACCCCCCAACATCAATTTTACTATTTCCGGGTTTTTCTCACTTGCGAACCGCGGCAGCAATGTTGGCCTCATAACCTAGACCACGAATTTACCGGTGGTAACTTACCTGGTCCATCGCCTTGCATACATGCCTGCATGCATACATAGCGATGCAGGTTGAAGAACAACGTGGGACGGCACAAGCCGCGGAGCAACAACCGGGCGCCTTGAAATTCCAGAATGTGTAGATTAGAATCGAGAACGCCACCACGGCTTCTTCCAATATATGTCGTCTATGCATCACGACGCTCGCTAAGACGTAGTAGATACTGCAACAACAGAGTATGTACAGTGCGATCGGGTTGTTATCTGCTATCATACATCTGGCCTGCTACTGTACCCTGTATCCCACTACACTACTGCACGTTAACATGTCAATCGATACCGCAATTGCTCAACCACTCAATCTTACATTCCAAGTATAGCAACCGACACATCGCAGCCGCACCCAGAACCGGGTACTCAGTTACCCGACGGGCCGTTGCTGCTGCTGCTTGCTCCTCAACATCAGATCAGCGTCCCTGTTGTCGTACCATGACCTTGACTTGGAAATCCCTCGGTTTAACAAACCAGTAATTCGTCGTTTCCCAGTCCGCAGCCTGCAGGTGGGGGGCGAGAGAAAAGTCAAAGTCGCGCACCAGCATGGGTATTAGCTTGGACATTTCTAACTGCGAAATGTGTCGTCCGATGCACGTCCGTGAGCCTAGGCCAAACTGTTGCCACGTTTTGCGTCAGCCGCTGTCCACCGAGAGAAGAAGTTAAACGAGATAACTGAGCTGGTGAGGCTGGCTGAGATAATGAGAAAAGGTGATTGATGATGCGTGGCGTTCCGAGAGTGGAAACGAAGCAGGCAAACAGTGGCGGCACATGCTGAACAAGGTGACATACCGGCATCCAATTTCGCTCCATGAGACTAAGCTTCTCTTTGTCGGAGCTGAGCCAGCGCTCAGGCCTGAACATGTGTGCGTCAGGACCGAAAACTGACGTGTCGCGATGGGCGACCCAGGAGTTGGTTCCGACGATTGTCTATCCAATCTGTCAGCACGCCACACGTGAAATTGATATACACAGCAACTTACGCCCTCGGGAAAGAATCGATCACATATGCTTGCTCCTCCAGCGGGTACTACGCGCTCAAGTGGTAGGCCCGTGGCGGGATGCATCCGCAGCGCTTCCTTCATAACGGCCTGAAGATAGGGCATATCCTGGCTTTCCTTGAACGTGATGTAATGGCCAATCTTTCCCTCGCGTTGCCGCTCGTCGATCTCTTGACGCAGTGTCTCAAAGGTCTGTGGGTTCTTGAGCATGTAGTACAGGATTGCAGAGAGACTGATGGCTGTAGTATCTGAACCAGCGGTCATGTTTGATACGCAGCCCACTGTGAGGTGGTACATGGAGAACGACTTTGGATCATCCGCATTCTTCTTGAAGAACTTGGTCAAAAAGTCCATGCTTGTTCCTTTTCCTTCTTCAGCACCGTCGACGGGTATACCCTTGGCATGTTCCTGCTGATGCTCCATAATACATTCCTGTGTGAATTTCATCACATACGCTCTTCCTGTTCCTTTTGGCCCAGCCAGAAAGTTCCTAATCGGAGCTAGGTATTTGTGCAGCCAGGAGTAGGTGCCTGTAAGAGTGGCATACCACAAGAGATCCTCGAGAGCCACAAGGATGCCACGGATATCCTCACCCTTGTCCAAGAAGCCCAGTCGCTTGGAGAAAGTTATCATTCCAATAACATCAAAGGCGTAACACTGAAGCCAATGTCCCATATCGGCATACGCGCCCGCACTCGCTACCTCTTGGAGGCGCTGGCTGAATAGGTCCGCACACTCATCAACATATGACTCGTAGTTGACAAGCGAGGACATGGTGTATGCGCTTTGGTATTGGCGCCGGTTTTCGCTGTGTCGTGGTATAGACTGGTCGGCAAAGAGAGACCATTGGTCAGGATGTGGGTTCTGCCACGTCGCGTACCACGAGGATTTTGGGAATTTGGCGCCATGACCGTAGATGGTCTTTTGGGCGCCTGGTGAGGAGAAGGAGTAGCGATTTGGACCGTAGCGAACTATCTCGCCTATGGTAAACATGTAAGTACGCGCATCCGAAAAAAGATACTGACGAAAGGGTAAAGCTTGCCATGCTTTCTATGCAGCTCAATGTTATCATGTTCGAATGACCCTCCCTTCACTCGCCATAGATACCACAGATCCGTGAATCGCGCTGCAATCGGACCAGGTACATCTCGCAATGGTGAGGAAACAGCCTTCAGGAACGGAAAAAGGATGCGCGCAACAAGTGCTACAGCAGCTGCCCAAGCAAGGACTACAAAATGCATTCTGATAATTCTACTCAATGATTCAAGAGCGAGATATCCGCGATGCCTCTTCAAGCTGATCCAGCGCGTCTCGTGCGATTTACTACATGTTTAAGTCTATCCAAGGCTTCATCGTGCGGGGAAGCGATGACGCGCGGAGACGTGCGGAAGAAGGGCGCGGGATGTGGAGTAGCGCTTAGCATGCGCTTGCAGGTGGTCTCGTGCGAACATCTCGTACGAAGTCTCAAAACCTCATGTGTATGCTATGCCAGATACTCAGTTGCTCCATGGTCGAACGGAGGCATACCGGACCTCGATGCCTCATGCGTAGCACTGTAGTGTAGACAGCGGGGTCATACAGCCGAGGTATAACGCGCACTTTGCACTAATCATGCATTGCACGTTGATTGAACCGCCGATCAATTGAGTGAACAAAGAAATCATTTCCATGTATTTGAACAATACACAGAAGTGAAGGGTATATGAAAGAGCAAGGAAGACGATGAGGTGAAGAGAGTTCTCAATCATCAGACCTCGGGACATTCAAATTTACGCGTCACGTCGAGTTATAATTATTGCAACAACGGAGTTCTCGTGTACGTGAACGCACAACTCCAATTCAGATGCAGATCGTCAACCCATATCGCAGCAAATGGAGATAGTCCTACTTCGAAAAATACAATACACCACACTGTTTACTACACACAAATCCCCACATTCCGACGTTTGGGCCATATCGGACAAACAAAAAATTGTTAAAAAGGTCCTTCGCGGTGGCTCTCGGGTCAGACGTGACCGAACTCATCGGTCTCTTTTTTTATTGTCGCTGGGGTGAGAGCCTCGATAATCACTGCAAACCAGTCTAGACTCCCCCGTGATGGATCGTTAACATCCTCCAGAGCCCAAGAGCTCTCCATCTGCTACTTCGAAACAGCTTTCTATCCTTACCGACTTGCTCCTGAAATACATACAGGCTTGGTAATAGTCATCCTAGCTGATGTAACAATACGTTGTCAACCGGAGACTGCGCCAAGTCGTTCCTTTAAAAAGCAGCATATGTTGCTTGATAGATATGAAGAACCAGTAAACCCAAGTAGGTCGAACAGTAGTTCGTCACTATGAAGCTATCATAATCATTAGGCCGGCTTTGAGACCCAGATGATGCTGTGGATGTTGCATGGTCATTACATGAGGCTCGGAGTAGGTAATCACATTGACGTACTTACGTGTTGCAAGTTAGTACTCTGTGCTACATCCAGCGAGCAATGCCCCAATTTAATTCGCTTCATTCTTTATGGTGTGTTGTGTTTAGAAGGCGAGCTGCCACATGTCGGCCAGTCGCTCATTGTTCTCGCCAAGCCCACCGTGGATGATAACACTGTCGTTGCCGCTCTCAGCCTTGACGACATCGGCATCAAACCAGCCACGCGGATCGGGAACACCATCGCTGCCATTAGGATGTAGTTGTGTCCACCATTTCTCGCTAATGTCGTATATCCAGACATCCTTCAACATCTTGCCTGCGCCAGCGTGACCAAGCGACGAAGGATCATGTTCACCGAAGAGAGTGAGAAGCTTGTCCTTCTTAGCAAGCTTGACTGGTAGAAGCACACAGACACTACGAGCCTCAGGCCCGTCATTTCCATCAGCCTTGAACGTCTCGGTCGACCAAGTGTTGTTGGAAATATCAAAGACATCGATACTACCACCCTGCTCGGTGGTGCCATCAAATCCGTTCATCCTGTATAGCTTGCCACCACTGTAGGCAATGGAGGTTCCTCCTCTGTGGGGTGCTGGAGCATCGGGAGCTTGTGTCCATGTACGATCTTTGACATTGAACATCCACAGATCTGAGAGGCGGCCACTTGCTGGACATCCAGCATGGAGGAAGAAAGTGTCCTTGCCATCACTGGTGGAGCAGTGATAGCTGCGAGCTGGTGGGTATGGTGCAGACGAATCAGTCGGCATGATATTTGACCAGGCTGAGCTTGCCGGATCGAAGCACCACACTGCGCCATGCTCCTCTATCGGGGCCATATCGATGCCGCCTCGACCAGAGAAAAGATACATCTTACCATCCAGTACGGCTGATGCACTTCCAACACGCGGAGTGGGTGCCGAAGAAATAGCCTTAGTTTCCAAATTCTTTGCATCTGTGGCGTCGTTAGTGGTGTACCCTGATGGCCTACTAGTAACGAGGGGAAGAAATACCAGACTTGAGCGAGAAGATGTCAACTTTGTCATCTATGGGTTCCCTTGGTTTCACCTCACCACCAAAGATGCAGACATTCTGATCGATCACAGATAGAACTTGTGATGATCTGCGGAGTCGCTCGTCGTCAAGAAGCCGCTTCCAGGAGCCTTTGAGCGTACTGATAGGCATACTGACAGGCATGCTGACAATTTGTGGGAGATTTGAACTGGGACGGACAGCAACTGATCAAGCCGAAACTGTGGCCCTTGATTACAGATATATAGCGCAGTCAAGGATTGAGAATTGCGTCATGCGCGGGTGGTAATACACTTGCTGTTTGCATTGCCTGGGCAGTGACATGTAGAATCCACTAAGCTGAAGACGCGCTAGTTCCAAACGGTGCTAGCCCCAAATGCACAGAGAGATCGTCATGGGCTAGCTCCATCCAAAAGTTCGCGACGCCTCGATCGCATCGTACGCGCGCACACATGCGACTCAACACGCCAGCATGAGGCTTCGATTGACAGTGCAGAGAAACGGCCTGCCCGCCGCCAACATTCTATGGAGTGTGCCTGAGACGAACAGTACGCAGGCTTACACCATCACGCGTCTACTCGAAGATGTCAACCTCATCATCCCGCTAGAGGCAGAGCACTGGGGCCTGGAGCACTATGTCGTCGAGGTGAGCGGCTTCGAGTGCCTGCACTTCATGCCCGTCATCAACTCGCTCAAGGAAGACGACCATGTCTCGTACGTATCCCTAAACCCTCTTCTACATTGGCGCCTGCTAATAACCTACCAGCATCCGACCACTCATGACTGCCGAAGTGCGCGCGCGCACCCTCACCGGCCGTGACCAAATCTCAGATGGAGGTCAGCACCTCGTCGATGGCGTTCCTTTTGGCCGACCCTACCTTCGACAGCCTAATCGACCCGCCGTTCGCATACCCCCGCGCAAACGACGCCGACTAGACGACGGACAGGCCGAGGATGATACCGAAGCTGTTGGACTGCTTACAGAAAATGGAGACACAACTGAAGTGCGCGAAGAGCTTGCGATGATGAACAGCCACAACCGGTCGGGGAATAAGGCATCACGGTCGCAACGAGCAGCCAAGTCGGTGCAGTTCAAGCGACCAGAAATAGAAGCATCTGATGATAGTGAGGAAGATGATGACGACTTTGCTCCTGAAGGGGCAGAGGACGAGGCTTCATCGTCTGATGCTTCGGATTCCGAATCAGACTCGGAATCGGAATCAGACGAAGGTGCAAACGCAGACACAAAGTCAGACGTGTCGTCCAGCGGCTCAGACACTTCAGATTCAGATTCAGATACTTCGAGCGACAGCGATTCCGACTCTGACGATAGCGACGCAAGCTCTCCGCCCGATGTCTTGTCATCCAAGGACGGTCGCAAGGCCAGGCCAGCTACACAGCATGTAACCCCTGGCCAAGGTCTAAAAACCACGAAGCTGAGGAATGCACGACGTACAAAGGCTAACCGTCTGCGTAGTCTGAAGGCTTCGGGGAAGCTTCCTGAAAATGCAACGCTCGCGGACCTGGCCGACTACGAAGAAGGGAGATATGGTCGAACCGAAGAAGAACCCGAACATACACAGCGCTTTGCCAAGTCTGAAGGCAAGAGGAAGCGGTTAGATGAAGATGAGCCGATAGAAGAGGTTGCGGACGATACATCAGAGCTCGAACGAAGGAAACAGGATCTGATGGCGAGATTTGGACAAAGTTCAGATGCGACAGCACCAGCAGACGAGCCTATGCAGTCAACGACTCCGGTCATGGAGAAAACAGAAGCATCGCTTGCCGCCCTAGGGGAAGAAGAGACACCAGCAAAGAAAGAGGCTCCCTCAAGAAGAATGCGACCAGATACGCGCGCCATTGGTCGAATACTTGCTCGGCAGGCTGCACCTGTTCTCAGGAAAACCAAGGCGAAAGCAGCACCCGAAGAACCTTCGGAGCCCGAGGGTGCCTCTGATCCCGACTTTTGGAAGACACGGATCAATCTCTCGGCATTTGAATGCTGGGAGGAGGAATTTGAGCTCAGCGCTCCGCCTTTCCCGTTCCAGCAGCACTGGGACCCAGCCAGCAAGCTTATGCGTGACAAAGCTGCGAAGAAGAAGCAGAAGAGACGGAGCTATGCGCCGCAGGAGGCAACGCCTGACGAAGAGGAGGAAGAGGAAGAAAAGATCATATTAGACTATGACGATGCTCCTGCAACTAACCCCGACTCTGAGACCATAAATGCAGCAGTGGAGGACCAGTTGCGCCAGGATCTTGCGATGGCTGCGCAGTCCGACCTACCACCGCTTCCTGAAGATATGAGCACATTGCCAGATCTCACATCATCCGACATGAAAGCCGGTGCCGTTATCGCATGCAAATTCTTCACCGTAAATCCCATCACCGTCACACCCGAGATTAGTGATTACAAAACAGCTACTGTTGAGCAAGAAGGCGACTCGGGGCCTGGCGCCGGCACGATACAGCTAAAGATCGCTTTGCGCGACCTCCCAAAGAGGGAGAAGAAGTTTGATAGCAAGGGCAATCGTATCTACAACGCTGCCGACGCTCTATTGATGGAGGAAGATGACGAGGAAGAGGGCTTGTGGGAAGGCCAATTCGGCGAGCTTCTAGAAGCGAAGCTTGTGAAGGCTGCGTAGAAAACATACGACAGAAGGTATGTGTCTCATCGGATACTTGTTTAACCATCTGCCTGACTACCAACCACACCTTTTACTTCATATCGCCTCTATCATACACGTTTCAATATACCCAATTTCATATATTCTTGACGCTCAATCATGTGAACGGTCTGCGAACACGAAGTGACCGATCGGTCTTGACCGGGGTCGTGGGATCTACCCCGCCAAACGTCATCAAGTTGCTTCCAGCCGCCGACCCTACCCAACTACTACGGGGTAAGTCACTGGTACTGAACTTCTCGTGTACACAGGGTCTTTGCCTGTATTTTCCATGTCCTACAAGCCTTTGCCCGCGGTGCAGCTACCATTCGGAGCGGTTTCTCCGTGCAGGCTTTTCCTCGGCACCACGAATCCAGGGTTTTAGTTCGCTGCCTAGTAACTGCCGAACTGTCGCAGTGGGGTAGCTTCAAGATTAGGTGCTAATAGGTACATCATGCGATTTTGGAGCGAACAAGCCGCGTACAAATTTTCGGCAGATGTGTTTCCTCTCTTCTGCTTACTGCTAAGACTCTAGTCAGACGACGATATCATTGTGTTTGACAGACAAAAGATTGTACAGTAACATTCATATAGCATATATTGTAGGTATTGAAAGAACGATGGTGACACGAAATGCTAACCATCGCACAGAACTAGACACAATGCCTCTCCCCACTGGTGTATACCGTGCCGACCACGTCGGCTCCTTCCTCCGCCCCAAAGCCGTCCTCGAAGCACGTACAAAGGCTGCTAATGGAGAGATCACCACTGACGAACTCCGCAAAGTCGAGGACGAGCACATCAACGATGTCGCAAAGAAGCAGATAGAAAACGGACTTCGCTCCGTTACCGATGGCGAGTTCCGTCGTGCATACTTCCACCTTGATTTCCTCAAGCACCTCGCTGGTATCGAGGAGAAGGGTCAGGTAGGAAACATCAGACACAAGGATGGCTTTTCGCCACCAACACTGGTGGTCAAGGGAAAGTTGGGGCACCCCGAGGCGATCCAAGTCAAGGACTTCGAATTCCTTGAGCAAGCGATCAAAAACAATGGTGGAAAGGCGAGCACAAAAGTATGCATCCCATCACCAACAATGGTACACTTCCGTGGCGGCCGCGCTTCCATCGACATCTCCGCATACCCCGACCTAGACGTCTTCTTCGAGGACCTCGCGCGCGTATACCAAGAAGAGCTAGACAGCCTTTACAAGGCCGGCTGCCGCTTCGTCCAACTCGACGACACGAACCTTGCCTACCTCTGCGACCCCGATATGCGTAAAGCCGCCGAGCAAGAACGCAACGAAGACCTAAGCACCCTACCCCGCAAATACGCCGAACTCATCAACAAAGCCATCGAGAAGCGACCTTCAGACATGAAGATCGGCATCCATCTCTGCCGCGGCAACTACCGTTCCAAGTGGTTTGCTTCTGGTGGCTACGAGCCCGTCTCCGAAGTCCTCTTCAAGGAACTGAACGTCGACGCGTACTTCCTCGAGTACGACGATGCGCGATCTGGCGACTTTTCTCCGCTGCGTCATTTGCCTGAACACAAGGTTGTTGTGCTCGGTGTTATGAGCAGTAAGAAGAACACCCTGGACGACAAGGACGAGATTGTTAAGAGGCTCCATGAGGCGGCTAAGATTGCACCAAAGGGTCTGGATCAGCTGTGTGTGAGCCACCAGTGTGGATTCAGCTCTACGGCCGAGGGCAACGAGTTGACTGAGGAGGAGCAATGGGCCAAGGTTAGACTGAGTGTGGAGATCGCTAAGCAGGTCTGGGGTGATGATATCAGCAAGTAAGCAGAGCCACGACTCAATGTGGACGAACTTGCAAAGTTGGAGTTGGTAATACTCTTTTGATTGGTATGTAAGAATTGATCGAACAGCGCCGACGTATGGCCACCCTTATTACAAGGACAGCGTATCGAAACACGAATGTAAAATCGAGATAGAAGCATGACCGAGGTGTTGATGTAGACGTGGTCTGACCTGATCTCAACGACAGGTCTATGTATGTAGTATAAAGTAACGGTTCAACCCCAGTAAGATCCAATGTATCAAAGATAACATTATTGCCGCGTAGCTCCCAGCTTATATCTCACTATCCCAAATACAGAAAAGAATAAGAGTAAAGACCCTCGAGGATGCCGCCGTGTGCTGTCCTAGTTTCCTTCCAGCTCTCCAGCATATCTCTGTAGAGAGTTCTTCCTGGAGGCAGTAACCATTCTCGGTACTTCGAAGAGACAGACCTCGTAGTATCTCGGACCACGGTACTTCTGCTTTCGGCGCTTTGGACGGACGTGGAAGTGTGTGACCATAGCATCGAGCACCACCTTTACGTGATCGTGCTCGACGTAATGCCCGAACATGTCCTTGGGGTGGCCGTTACGGCAAGCGTCAGGAGCGACGACTGGTGTGAGGGGCCCATGTTTCTGGTAGTTGTGGCAGATCTGGAGATTCAGGAGATCAGGTAACTTGCGCAATCCCTGATAGATTGACTTCCATGATCCGTCCGTTAGCGTTGTGTCGTATGCTGTAAACCAAAACAAAATCCTAGCCTGCTTGAGGAATCCCCGAAGTCGGCTACCGCTTATGTACAGATCGGAAAGCTGTAGCGATAACAAATCTTCGTACGAGCGGGTCATGATATGTCTAGAGAAGAGGTCTTCACAGCCATGACATATCCGAAGCTCAGGTACGCCTCTGCATCCCTGGAGTTCAAGGCGCTCAACATCAGTAGTAGCAGCCACGGCTTGCAACAGATTCGGATGGTTCAGGTGCATGTTCTGAATGTGAGCTCCAACTTGGCGGTTTTCGGTAACATTCTTGCGGCGACTCTGCGGAGTGAGGAAGACGGCTTTCTCGATATAGGATCGGAATTCCGACACAGATTCTGCCCACCGTCCCCACTCAGGCTTCTGAGAGTTCTCCACCCAGAGGTAGACAAATGCTACCTTCCGCGGGAATTCGGACAGCTGCAGTGCTCGTAGCACAGTTGTCTGTTCACCAATGATAAATCTTCCATAGGGTAATATCAATTCGATGAAAGAGTCGGCGTCATGTAGCTGGCGAAAACACTGCGCGAGCATATAGGCAGCTTCGCCAGATCTCATAAAGCTGTACTCGTCCTCCTGGGAGACAAACCACTCATAATCATCCACCGGCTGGGGTTTGGTGACATGGAACAAATGTATAGCTGCCATTCGGTTGCGGAAGGCGGGTATCTTGGATAAGTGTAGAAGTAAGGCGAGCGATGACGGGTTAAGCTCAAGCATTAGTTCGTGGACACCATACCGGATGCTTGCGTCGAAATTCGTCCTGGCGTAGATCTCTTTGCATGTCGAGCGCAGTGATGTAAAGTCTTTGTTTTCGTATGAATACTTCCCGTTCTTTAGGGCACTTGGTTGCCGCCCCGTGAAGCGACATACTCGACTGAGAAGCTCTACGGGAAGCTCGATCAATTCCATCGCGCGTGTTAGCTATTTTGATCTCGTTCGGACGACCGTCGTAGTCATCTGAGAAGAGGGCTGGTCAAGTAGTGTTGAGCGCGGAGAAGAGTTGGAGATCAAAAGTGGAAAGCTTAGGTTGATATAGTGTAGGTCTCAGGTGAATAGCTAAGGCAGCCTTGTAATGATCCAGTCTGTGCTCTGCAGCAACTATTTGAGTACGTCAAATTCAATGCCTTTCCCTAGTGGTGAATAGTGACGATATTGAAAGTGCTGTCTGGTTCGTAAGATCCATGTGATCTAGCCGAAACGTGCTACTTACGTTGATCCAATCATCGAAGAATTCCAAAATCCTCGGGACCTTCCGAGCGTTGTTTCTTGCGCATAAAGATGAATATAGTTGCAGTTATGTGAAGTGGAAAAGATTGCACACATGGGGAGACCAAACAATATTTGTCAAAGCGACGAAAATAGGCTTTGGGACAGACATAGCTTTGCATTTGACTATACGATCGACTGTCTGAGAGTGCAACGATCAAACAGAATAATGTCCAAACAGGTGGTAGCGACCGTCCTCAGACCCCAAACCGTAGAAACCTCAAACACTATTCCTCTCTTCCATTCTTCCTCTCCCCATCTTCATAAGCTTCTCAACCGAGAAATCATTCTAGCTAATCATTCCTGGACGCAGTACCAGTCTAAGCAGCGGCAGCGACCTCACGGCGCGCAAACCTAAGAGTGCGTTTGGCCCTGGTGAGTGAAAGACCATCGTAGCTGTTGATGCAAACCTGCAAAGTTCCACTCAGGGAGTTGGCTTGGCTCTGGAGGTCAGAAGCGCGTGACTGAACGGTATCGATCAGCCCGAATGCGATAGTCTGTATGTGACTGTTAGCAAGTGCGAACATAAGTTGGGCGTTGTATTTAGAAGAATATGGAAAATGAAGGGGGAAACTCACATCAACAACACCCTCGACTGATCTGAGCACAGATGCTACGGGCTGGCCAATGAAAGGAACTGTTTGGAACAATCCAGCCTTTCCAATGAGTATGTTAAGCAGAGCTTGATGGACACGGACAAACTGTTTTTAATCGTCAGCCACCATATACTCTGGTAAACGCGTAGTGTACTCACTTCGCGGAACGCGTTGAAGATAGCATCAGACTGCTCACCAGCCGGAACTGGAGGCATACCCTGCATCTGGGCGAGAGCAGTTGTGGCTGTGGTCACAATGTCGGTGAAGCCAATGATGATCTGCGGGAAAGGTCCTTGACCAATAAGAATCAACGGACCGTTGATGATGCTGATTTGCTGAGCTGGTGTCTGAAGTGCCTGGCTCTTCTGTGTCAGCATCTGGATGTTGCTGACAACCTGAGCGGGCGTTGTCTGAGCGGCAATGGGCACGGAGAGGGCCACGGCGGCAGTAAAGAGGTTGCGGAATGAGACCATGCTTGCGGTAGTAGGTAGCTAGAAGACCGGTGTTTGATAATTGATCAGTGAGGAGTGATGACTGCAGAGATGAAGCTGTGTGATGACCTGTCTCCACGGAGGATGGCAGTGTCTTTATACACAGCGTGCGATGCAGCTAAGCTCGAATTGTCGGAGCAAATACTTCCCATCGTCCTGTGAGGTGACTAGGTCTGCTGATCCTCCTGGGCAGGATGTTGAGATGCCAATCAAGCCCATTGCCCAGAGGTTGGGCGATGCAACGTACGCTACCGTCGAAAAGAACAAAGTTCAATGACAGATGAGGCATTGTAATACAATACACCTTGGCTTGACTGCTTCCACCCGGACCTCAGTATCTATCGCAGTCCATGAGATCCTTTTCACTATGATCACTCGAGCTCTGTGGTAGTCTCATAGTCTGCTCTAATATGTTCGAACAACAATATCAAAACTGCTTCCAGACATCCCAAAGACACACTCCTCTCTTCAGCATCGCGGTTAATGTTAGCTCACAGTGATCAGTAGTGTTGACTGAACTAGTCTCTGTTAGAGAGATCTCCCACGATATGTCGCCCAGTGGGGCTTCTGCGGCTGAATCGATACAGGGAATTGAGATCTTCGAGCTCCACTTTCCTCATCCCCTCTATTAGTGACATCCCACTACGAACAAAGAGAGAAAAGATATAGGTAAACAGCGCTAATGCACCAGGGCTCACGATAGCAGGTAGCTTCCAAACTCACAATATAAGCTTAGACCATGCCAATCATTTTCTAGGTTCTCCCTACCAAGCTACCTGTCTTGTCGTAGTATGGTAGATCGCTACTCTGCGTAAGCTAGTTGGCCTTGACGACCTGCATCAGTTCAGCTCAGGTCGTTTGGTTAGTAACGCTTTGTTGGCAAGTGCCGCCGGGAGAGGGTGTGGTAGCGGCGGATCCTATCCGTGGATCGGGTACAGCCGCTGAACATCCATGATGCAGCCCCCTGAACATGCACGAGCAAGCACACAAGTTCATCTAATCAAGGCCCCCAGCCTATCGAGCTAACAATTGAACAGATCTGCCAAGTCTCAAGCACATCTGCTTCTTCGCTGCCCGGAGTGGCCGGGACTGACGTCAAACCACGTGTATACCTGGATTATACCTTGTGTACATAGTCTAGTTTCACAACGCACAACGGCATGCAGACTACTACCCTGAAAAGGGGAAATGCGACATGCTCGCTGCGTGCACGCGGTCCGTCAGAAGCAATATCAAAAGGCCCGATAGATGTGTCGTTTCTTTTGAGAAGATCGAGGCCCGGAAGGCAGCCGAGGTCCCTGAGTCGCGCTTTCGCCGATCTACACCGTACCTGTGTCATACTACTGCTCTTTCACTTCGGCGAACAGGGAAGAAGAACCAGCGCATTAGCTCAGGCTGCTACGTAGGTACACATGCTCATCATTGAACCCTTACTTCGGCAACTCTGCTTCTCTCATTGCTGCACCTTTGTCGAGATGCTACAGGGATCACGACTTGGACTTCGGTGTATACTGGCTGATCTGACCTTCTTCCCAACCGGAGTAATGTTAGACCCTGGGTATCATAGCTCTGGCATAGTGTCCATGCTTTCGATGTACCTGGTAATCATCTCTAGGCTGCAACTCAGAAGTGGAGAAGATTGACAGCTGGTATGTAGCAGATAGCCGAGTAGTTGGGCGCTCGCTATTCGCCGTCGGGTATCTGGCCGTAATCTCCCACCTGTTCACAGCTGGAACCAGCCCTGTATGCTACTAAATTTACCTCCACTGGCAAAGAAACGAAGAGAAAAAAACATTTTGTGGCAACTTCCACGAGTAGAAATGAAGATGGCTGTTGTCCCGTACTCACTGCACTGCAATGCAATGCAACATATACGTGCCTAACCGGAGGCTCTCTACATGACGCTAGACTCCAGGTTCTGGCACTATAGAGGGACTTGCATCGTGAGCTTCATATTGTGTTGGAATAAGCCAAACGCCCTGACCGCTTTTGCCTGGGTCTGTTGACGTACCACATATCTTAGTATCGTGATTTCAGTCAGAGATGACGGCAAACCAGCTGTAGTACTATACCAGCCTCTTGCAGTGAGTGGTCCTTCCACTGGCTGCCACAGTGTTGGCAGGAGGACAAGGAATTTCCACGGATTCTAATTACTAGCTGCATACGTAAACCATCACGGTCGTCTACCTAACGTTCCGTCTCCACCTTGCTCTCAATACCTCAACAAAAGTCAAGCGAAGACCAGAGACAAAGCACTCCTCACTCAAGCGACGACGCCACAACATCACCATGTATCCATGTCCACCAATAGCAAGCGACTCTGTGCTCTACCCCTCAAATATCTGAGAGTGGGATATTGTCTATTTGACGACATCTACCACTGCGGATACTTTTACCTGTTCGAGACATCTCACAAGACACCTGGTATGGACGCTTGGTCCTGGCCAATCCCCTATCCAACCAAACGTACAGATGTCACCTTCTGTATTGAGTCTCGTGCTCAAGCCTTCTTCTTTACTTTTCTGCTCTCTACAATTAGAGGGTGCGGTTACATAGCTCCTATGAGCACCACTAGGTGACCTGGAATAGCTGGATAGCTCGCCGCAATGACGATGGAGTAGCAACCAGCAGAAGCGAGTGTCGTGTATGCACTCAATGGGAGGGCACCTCGGAAGCTGTATGGAGCAATGCTTATAGGGTCTAGTAACCTTTGGCTATGGTCGGTGGCTACACGAGGAGGCTCACAAGACCAAGTGGAAGAACAAACACGAATATGTATGAAGTGGCTGAGCCAGACCATAGTGGTAACATTGTTGTTACTACAAGGTAGCTGTTAGCGTTGTTAGCGTTATTAGTGACTAGCAACGATACCGCCAGCTTCCTACTCTGCTTACTTGCTTGGCATGCAATGGTATCAAAAGCCGTATTCTCAAGGTCATCATTACGTGGCTATGCTCTTCATCAGTAGAGCTTCCCTAATTTCCGTACGCCATTACATCGCATGGCCTAGATAAAATGACAACTGCCCTGAGGGGCGAACCCTACTGTCAACGAGATCTCCATCTTATGACGTCGGCACCGATGCCAACATCGGTAAAACGTCCTTGAACCTCACGGGCTTAAGTAAAAACTCATCAAATCCACTACTCCTTGCTTGCTTGCGCGCCTTCTCACTACCGAGACCCGTGAGTGCAAAGATGTACGCTCGCGCACCTCCGCCGTCTCCGGCAGCGCCATCTAAATTATGCTTAGATGCATCATTGGACTGTGACTGGGCAATCTTCTTTATCAACTCGTCTTCGATTCTCCGAATCTTGGATACTGCCTGAAAACCATCCATGACTGGCATGCTGATGTCCATGAAGATGCAATCATAGCTCATTTGTGGGTCTTCTTGTTCGGCGGCGGCTTGGTAGAGGCGCACTGCTTCTTCGCCGTCGGTAGCGCTGGAGTAGGGAACGTTGAGGCGTTTGGCAAAGGCGCATAGCATCTTAAGATTTATGGGATTATCGTCTACAAGAAGTAGGCGGTGAAATCTGCAAGCAGAATTAGGCTTGAGAAGGACAGCTGCTTGTACTAGTGATTGTGATTGTGGAGCAGGATTTGTCGTAGCGTCGAATGGGGGCTTATTCTGCAACGGCAGGCCATGGTGCGGAAGTGTCACGGTCTCTATGTGCGGGACTGCTTTTTTGGCAGTGTGGTATTGATCTAGTTGCTCCGTTGAGTCTGTCTCCGGTTTGGTTTCGATTTCTGCAGGCGGCATTCCATTGGCGTTCGCATCCTCCAGAGCTGATATTAGCGCAGATCCGAGCGACTTTCCCGTGACTAGCATTGTGTGCATGGGTCTCCAGGAGCCGACCTTATGAGATGTGCCGTTGGTGTTGCCCAGTTCGACCACGATTGGGCAGATGCTTGCCGCATACACAGGCAGCAGAGTTCTCAAATCGTAGGCGTGCATTGAGTCCAGCGCATGCGCGTCGACGAGGACTATATCCATGGCTGAAAGTGCGCTTGTCGAAATATTGATGACGCTCATGCCAAAGCGACCCTCACAAATATTACGAATTGATCGCTCGAGCGCTTCGGGAGGCGAAACGATACATGGAGCGGATTGGTTGCCTGGCTTCTCATGCGAGGACAGGCTGAGTAGACCGACCGTCTTTCCGCACAGAGGACTTCCCCGCGTGCTTGACACGTTCTGCTTTTGTATCTTTTGGTTAGCTGGAATGTTAATGGTAATCTTCGTCCCTTCTTCCAAGCGACTGGAGACTAAAATCTTGCCCTGTAGTGATTCTACAATGCTTTTCACTAAGCTCAATCCTAGGCCAGTCCCTGGACTCAATACGTTCTCTTGTGTGAAGGGCGTGAAGAGGTGATATTTGAGAAAATCCTCACTCATACCCACTCCGGTGTCCGTCACGGATAGGCTGATGTAAGCCTGTCTGCCATTCGCAGACTGCACGTCGTCTGCAGCCTCCACATATCTTAAGTCTACATGGATGTAGCCGGACCTGGTATACTTCAAAGCGTTGCTAACGACGTTGAGCAGAATTCGTTTCCAGGCGCCCTTCTCAATAATCACATTCCAATCACGGTCTCCTTCGATGTGTGTGGTGAGGACGACGGGCTCGGTTAGCGTCGTTACTCGCGGCTCAGCTAGCATGTCTTGACGCTCCTTTTTGAGGCCGGACACGAGTCGCGAAGAATGATCATGGCCCACTGAGACCGTCTCAACGACATCTTCAACCATAGACGCCAAGTCGACAGCCACTGCGTCATTGTGCACGTGAGTACCGGAACGAACGGAACGACCTTTGTCTCTTTCCCCAACGCTGGCACGGCTATTAACCTTGGAATATTCTAAGAGATGATCGAAGGTATCGAGGAGAGTAGAGGCACATGATTCGATCATAGTAATCTCCGGCATCAAGTTCGATCCCTGCGAGTTTTCTTGGATCAGCTCAATACTCGCCAGGATGCCATGTAACGGACTACGCAGCTCGTGGCTAATTGTTGAAACAAAGTCCGACTTGGATAGCGTGTTTGCGGACGCCTCCAATCGAAATATCTCGGCCATAAGTGAGTTTCCAAAGGCTGTCAACGAGTTGATATCGCCAGTATCGAGCGTTTTTCCCGTGTCGGATACCCACGCTAGGCACGTAGCATAACAGGCTTCTCTCTGATAATGCCACATGGGCAAAAATATCGCATACCGCGTCTTTGGCAAAGACTTGAAGAGATCAGTCCATTCGCTATCCTCAAGAGAATCGGGACTAGAGCCTGGCTCGCCGTCACCTCCATGTTGGATAACCCCTTGTTCATCTACAGCGAAAACGTGCCCTCGGATATATCTAGCTGTCAAGCGTTGGATGAGCGACTGAGACAGTTTCAAACTTGACTGCTGGCTTACTGCAACGTCTCTTTGGTAGCAGGAAAGCGGTGTCGCAACGGAATCGTTTGGCGATAACGAGGTCTCATCTGTGACTGTATCTTTTGACTGGCCACCTCTGTGTTTGCCAGTTGAAACAGTATCAAAGAAGACCAGGCCGTCCAGATCCATGGCATGACCAATATTCTCTGCAGCTCTCACAAAGAGATTTTCAAATTGAGTGGACAAGTCAGGCTTATGGGCTTTCGAATGAGCGTCTTGCGGAGAAGAAATGATGGCAGCCGGTTCGTGCACTGAAGAAGGTTGAGTGGAATCTGAGCCAGTGACGCGTGTCGTTGCGCTGTCAGATGGTATCGAACCGGTTTTTCTTTGGGTCGTAGCACTAAAGACATCGAGGTCGAATGGATCTGTATGAGCCTCGGAGCGTTCAGGAGCAACAGATTCTGAGACCTCATCGCATCCATCGCGCCAATCCGAAGCTACAAAACGGCGAAGACCTTGCATCATACTCGCTGCTCGCGATTTGGAGGCTTCGACGCGTCTCATGTCTAGGTATGAACTGATGGCCGAGGTGATTTCGCGCATGGTACTCAAAGACTTGGGATGCAGGAAATCTCTTTCCTTGTTGTCCACGACACAATAGCTTCCCAGTATATGTCCAGACATTGCAAATAGCGGTATCTCAAGGTAGGACACCATGTGTGGATGCCCAGCCACGAACGGGCGCTCGGCGAATGTGGGAATCTGGCGAAAGTCTTGTATATAGAAGTAAGACTTGTCGGCGACGACATAGGGATTGTCCGGTATGGATACGGGTCTGCCATGGAAGATGGACATTGTGTACGGGCATACTCCCCATTCAAGAGCGATTCGAGAAGTACCCAGTAACAGCGGGTCTGTTGGGTCTGCACTCGAAAGAGGCTGATGCCTCGTCATCTCTGCGCATATGAATTGGTTTCGGTTATCGATGAGGGAGAGGAATGCGCGGTCGCAATCCATCTTGTGCACGCCATGTTGGACGAGGGCATTGAGGGTTATGTCGCTGCTAGGGACTGGTTCGGGCGGCGGTCCTTCTGGGATATGGAACGGGAACGAAGCGGCAGAGAGGTATCTGGGGCTAGTTGTTAGCAATAGGAAACGCGTTTGGTGATGTAGATTGGTGATACTCACGCGGCGATTTCATATGCGCGTACCCGTTCGTGGTTATCGATAACTTTGGGTGGCGTCGTGGTGAAGCAGGGCGTCGTGGCCATAGTCCATATTACGTCACTCACATTAAGGGCGCACGGTAACTCGATGGAAGACTGTTGGTGCTGTTTGCGACATTTCGACGGGCCCCCAGCCCTCTTCTGGTCTTTAGCAAGCAGTCTTGGCGTTAGTCAGCCCATTCCCGAACGGCCCGCATATTCAAGCGCACAAGTACGGCGTAATTTCTCCTCAACTTCATTGATCGTGATGTCTCAACATAACGCCGACCTAACAGGGATCCTTCGCTGCTTAAGGCTAGATACTCAGTTTCGCATATTCATCGCACACTTCAGTCAGCTTCTTTCTCGTCCCGGGCTCCATAGCGCCATGCCCAGCATCATCTACAAAATGCAGCTTGCTCTCCGGCCACTCCTTATGCAGGTCCCACGCCGTGATCGGCGGGCAGACAACATCGTATCTCCCCTGCACAATCGTCGTCGGAATGTTCCTGATACGATCGACATTCTCCTTCTTCAACAATTGCCCGTCTTCCAACCACGCTTTATTAGTAAAGTAATGAATCTCGAGCCTTGCATGCGCAAGCAGGAAAGCTGGGTCTATAAGTTTCTTAAATGCACTAGGGTCAGGGTACCTGCAGTTTGGCATACAAAGTCAGCGCATGTCTTGCATGCAGTTCGCACATGGAGGTTACGTACAGAGTGCTGATAGAAAGCTCCCACCTGTTCCATGCCGTGGCTGCAGGATGGCTTATCGAAGGGTCCGAAGACATAAGACGTTTGTGGTAATTGCCAATATGATCGGAGCGTTCTTCCTCTGGTAGGAAGTTGATAAAGTCATCCCAGCAGTCAGGAAACAGCATTTGGACACCGCCCGGATGGTTCGTCCACTTGAGTTCGATATCGCGAACAGCGAATATGCCGCGTAGGACTAGACTACCCACACTTTCGGGATGCGTTTGTGCATAGGCCAGAGCAAGAGTGGAACCCCAAGAGCCGCCGAAAACAGTGTGCCACTTGGGGATGTTGAGATGCTTACGCAGAGCTTCAACGTCGGCGACAAGGTGCCAGGTTGTGTTGTTTGTGGTGTTGGCATTAGGGCGCGATTGACCACAGCCTCGCTGGTCGAGCAGGATCACCCGGTATTCAGAGGGGTTGAAGAAGACGGTGTTGGTTTTAGAGCAATTTCCGCCGGGTCCGCCATGGAGGAAGATGACTGGCTGGGATTAGTTATCAAGAAATTTGGCTGGGAGAGATGCTGCTCCCACCAGGTTTTCCATCCTTCTTGCCAAACTGCTGATAGTATAGTTCATGGACGTCGTCGACGCGCAGCCAATTCACATCCCAAGCATCTTCATGCTCATAGCCGGTGACCTGAGGTGCTTGAGCCATGCTTGTTGTGTAGTAGCTAGCAATTGATACGGCGGGATCAGACGATATGATTAAGCTTTGTAGTTGTGTTGGGCAAGGCAACCATAGTGATGGAGTCAGACTTCAAGGTGCGACTACCCCGCTTTCAGTATAGTAGGCCCCGCTGCGTGAAGAACACCTTCCTATTTAGCTACAGGCATACAAATTTCTGAGCACAGTATGTGTGGAAAAGATCAATTAACATATTAAGGTACGGGCTCCAACTCTGAAACGTACTACATAGGAATGAGGCTGACGACGAAAGCCTAGTACTTGAAGCCACCCGCTCTAGTACTCCACAATCCCTTCGGGTCAACACTCTTCTGCAATGCCTTGAACTTCTCGTAATCCTTGTAGCTCTGCATGACTGGCTGGTCCCACATAGCATCGTTCAGGAACAAAGGCATGTACATATCGCTTGGCATACCCGCCTCTGCTATCCATTGGGGCACAACCTTATCCAACCAAGCCGTCAGCTCTCTGGCGATACCGAAGGCAAGAGGATCGTCTGTGGGCAAGTTCCAGGCTCCTTGGTAGATAAGAATGATGCGGTCAGGATCAGAAGACGAAAGACCCATGGCGTTTCCGCCCTTGGATTCGGAGATCTTGCCAAAGCGAGACGGAAGTGGTTGGAAGTCAACGCTGAATTGAATGGCGCGAATGACGGGCAGTACGTTAAGGAAGACACCAGTGAGTTCGGCGAGCTTGTCACGAATCTCCCTGTACATCTGGGGGCGGGATGGGATGTATGGGACAGTGTAAGTGCGGAAGAACGAGCGGGAGTTCAAAAGTCGGACTGGCTCACCGTTCGCCCTCAGCTGACAATCGTCAGTTCTTGCACAGCATATTACGGTCAGATCATGGACTTACCAGCTCGGAGTACTTTTGTCGCTTAGGCAGACACAATGGGTTGAGGATCTTGAAGAAATCGGCAAAAGGACCCGATGTGGGCGGCTTGGGGCTGTCGTAAAAGTAGAAGAGAAGTTTCGTCTTGAGCCCGGCTGCGAGCACGAGGTCCGAGAAGATGATGGCAGCCTTGGGGTCCTCGGCGCCGCGGGCCATAAAGTTGTGCAAAGCAGCGTAAAGTGCTTCGGCCTTCGACTCGTCATATATGCAAGAACCGCCCCAGACGTCGCCCATGTGATGGACCTTGGCCTTGAATTGGGTGACGATACCAAACTGGCTTCCGGAACCACGCATGGCTTGCGCAAGGTCGGGATGTTTTGCGGCGTTGACGTTGACGATAGATCCGTTGGCCATGACGGTCTCCCATTCGACAATATTCTGGGGCTAGTCAGTATGAGTCTCATTAAGACATTGTGCGCAAACTGACATCAGCAGCGAGACCTTCTTGGGCACCAAGGAACGAAAGACCTCCACCCAGAAGCAACCCGCCAACACCGACGAGACCTTTTCTGTGTTAGTCTGTGTTCATGGTCGACTGCGATACCTCAAACCTACCAAGCCTTCCTCCAGCAATGGCCACTCCGCTCTTTTCTAGGTCGCCAATGACATCGTTCCATTCACCTCCAGGGCGGACATAGGCAACGTCCTCTGCTGCATCATACGTCGCCCCGACTAGACTGGTCATGGTGATGAGAACACCGTCTTGAACGGCAGCATGATTCGTGTTCGGGTCGTGCCCTCCACTCCGTGTAGCAAGCTTGACAGTAGGGTACTTGTTCAGAATCTTGATAGCGATGGATACATCCTGAGCAGACTCTGGCTGAACAATGCATGCGGGGTCGACTTCACGGAGATTCGTAGCCCAGTACTGCTGTGTTTCATGCAGGTACTCAAGCTTGAGGAGCCCAGGGGTCAGGACTTTGCCGGGAAGAGCGTTTTTGATTTCTGTGCATGCTTTGGTTGTGGCCTCGGTGGGAACAGCAAGAGCGGATTGGGCTCCTAAAAGCAGGGTCGCAAGTATGAAAGACGTGAGTTTGTCCATGTTGGAAGCTTAACGAAAGTAACAAAGGAGCGAGAGATCAAAGATAGTGATGAAAAAGTAAGGGGACTTAGAAAAACAACCTCTTCACGGGCGAGGTGCATTAAGTACCATCTTCTGAGTCTCTCCGACGTTAGATCGAGATGTCTCCGGTCTTCACTCCGGATGCCACGGCGGCCATACAGACGTGCAGCGCATCTACACAAGCTGGGTACGCCCTTGGCTAGGGCAGGTCGCGTGGAAGAACCGTGGAATACGGTAATACCCCTCCAATGGCGATCCATGAGTAAGGGAACAAACGCAGATCGTGTGTGAGGCCCTGCAAAGCTACAGACTTGAGCCGGACTCGAGCCCGATATTTGAGGGGAATGGACGCACCTCGTCCTCGTGCTATATAGTTTGCTAAAATGGGTATTTAGCCTGCATGGGACAAGACACATTCAGCGCTAGGGACGGTACTTGGTTGCTGATTTGCAGTACCGGTACCCGAAGGCTTCGTAGAATAAGCAGAGGGTGTGATGATGGTCATGGTGGAGACACTGGCGGTGGGCCCGAACTCAGGGGAATAGGACTTTTGTGGCATTAAACTTCTGGGCCATCTGACTGATATGCACGCACAGGCACACCAAAGAAGTAGATGACGAGTGTGAGCACGATAACTGATAAGTCCAGAGTGGAGCCGGACACGAAGGTGGGCGGTAGCAATTATCGTGATGATGACAAAACGGCTGTATGCAGGGCTGTTATAGACGGGCATAGTGCTCGAGGTGGTCGCATCATGTCCACGTTGGACAGGGTCGTGGCGGAAGGTACGGAACGGTTGGGGTCCGAGCTTGGTCGGTTGCTCCTTCTACCTGGGCATCGGGACCCAGGGATAAACAAACATTGACGAGAAGCTCAACGACGCCGCTTCATCCGACGCCGGTAGCCGACCACCACGGCTGCGACGAAAATGGACACGTACAATCTCAAGACCGCATCGACTTACATTAACAATTTACTGCTTGCCAGGGGGTTGTTACGCAATGGCAAGCCGATTGAATTTGCGCATCCGTCGAGGGGGGAGGGGGGGAAAGAGGCCACCATGGCCCAGATTATCAACTTGGTGCACGACTTGATATTAAAGCGTGATGTAGGCATACACAAGTTGTTGCAAGGAAGAATGAGTCCTAATGAGTAGATAGCGCGACCAAGAATACCGCGAATCCATCGCCGACACGTTACGAAACTTACGCTCAGAATCGACGCGCCAGACAGCAGCCCTCGAGAAGCAGCACAACCGCAATGCAGACCTATCGCGACAACTCTCCCTCGCCCAGGCGCAGGAGCAATCGGCGCGCAAAGCCTTACACATTGCCGAATCGTCGGCGCGAAAGTTGCGCGCAGAGATGCAGCGGCTTAAGACGACCGTCGACCAGATACGCACCAGCTGCACAAACGACGTGCGAAAGCGCGACAAAGAAATTGCAAGGCTTAAGAGTCACTTGACGAGCCAGCAGCGGGGCAATAAGACGGGTCTGGTAGGCTCGAGCATTACCATCAACCCCGGCACTACAGGCTTGAGCGCTGCTATGGGTCATGTGCGCGAAGAGACACCCAACATCGACGATCCCGAATACAATCTGAAGCAGGAGACGACCGAGTTTCTGACGCAACTAAGTCAGAGCTTGAGCGACGAGAATGACAACCTCATCGGCCTCGTACGGAGCACTTTGTTGACACTAAGAGAACTACAAGGCATGCCAGAAGTCAGTCGCAAACAAGACACAGAAGACGGTTCCCTCGTAGGCGACGAGGAAGACGACACGCAACAGGACATGCTGCACGCACTGCCCACCGATTACGAGACCTTAGCCGACGATATGGACACAGTGCTGGATAACCTGAAGAATCTCCTTACGAACCCGAACTTTGTGGCAGTGGAAGAAGTCGAGATGCGTGAGGAGGAGATACACAGGCTGAGGGCAGGCTGGGAGAAGATGGAGGCTCGGTTACGAGAGTCTTTTATACTCATGGACTCCTGGCGAAAGCGCATGACCAATGGCGACACCATCAACCTCGAAGAACTCAGAATGGGATTGGGGTTCGGTGAAGGTTTCGAGACGGTTGACAGGGAAGGATTCTCTGTAATTCAAGAAGAAAGTGAAGCCGACGAGGTCGAAAGTTCAGCCTTGGAAGAAGATGTGGACGATACAGAGGAGCAAGAAGAGGGTGATCAACTTCCCTCGCCTGAATCACACGAGAAGCCAGAAACAACCACTGGGCCCGGCATGTTCAGAATCAAGCTGCAACCCAGTCAGTCAGCGCTTAGAGAGAGCAACGGCAATAAGTCGCCCATTCGATCGCCCCGCAAGGTCGCCTTTTCGGCTTCCATTCCGAATACACCGTCTCAACATGATGAGGAGAATGCAGACGCGTCTGGGGTAGATCTAGTTGGTGCTGAGAAAACTAGTCGCCCAACTTCTGCAGCCAAACCACCACGATCTGAAGAACGAGCATCCAGACCAACGAGTCAAGACAGACTACGCCATGTACGTTATGATACCCTCCCAACACCACCCCATCGTTCGCTAAATCTAACAACTTACTACAGACCAAAAAGCGCCTATCGAGCCCACATACGCACCCCGAAGAGCGATCGCCGAAATTATCAGTCCAAGACAAACTACGAGAGGCCGCGAAAGCGGCCGCTGTAACCGATGGAGACATCTCCACCAAGAAGACGGACAAGAGCACCGAAGTGCCCGAGGAAAACCCTAAGAAGCGGGCACCTAGATCTCCAGTTAAGACACGAGTCGGTGGGAGGCCGAAGAGGAGGAAGAGCACGTTGACGCCAGAAGAATTGGCAAACCTCTTGGGCTGCTAGACCAGGTTGAAGCATACATGGTATTGATGATGACAACGTGGAGTGGGAGTTGATGGCGACTCAAGACCACCACAGCGTCTAGTCATGCAAGATCGTACGATCAAGTAGCTTCCCATCAAGATGCGAGTCTTGCATATTGAAAAGCCAGTCGGTGGAGTGACTGGTCTGCGTGACCGGTACTTTACTCTATTGGGTAGGCCATGAACGCCAGTGCGCCTGTAGTCTTCATGCACTGGTTGCGGCGCGTATGCCGAAATTCTTGCTCAGCTGGTTCATCAAAACTCGCTAGGCCCACAAGTGTACTCGCATGAGTTCGGTAAATGAACGAGAGTAGAAGGTTATGGTTTTGAAGGACGTCAACGAGAGACGACCTATCTGATCATGCAGATGGTCGATGGCACAGCAGCAACACAGCATCCGCCCTGCCTTCTGCGTGCCGAAGGGCCTACGTACCCGATAGCAGCGCTATCCACTTGGTGGAGATGCCTATGGTTGGGCATTGAGAACGTAATGTCATCCGTCGCTTCGCGTACCTGATGTCGAAGCGCTGTGCCTCTCCCGCTGCGTCCGCCATCCTCCCGCCATTTTCTTTTCTCCTGACAACTCAACTCCCTCAGAAGTCATGCCGTTGCATACACACCCTGCGCATCATCACGAAAGACACCGGTTTCCCTCCACATGGCGGACGTTGCGACCGCTATGTGGCCGAAGAAATGGCTCATGCTGCATCCAAGTGAAGTTGGTGATGGGATATTGTGGTTGGACAGCATTGCAAGCCACTAAGTTTATTAGCCGCCCATTGTCCTCGTTCGGGACATTTGATGATCAACGATATGGAGCTGCGCTCAGGTGATTGGATAGAAGTTGAGATGCGGGTTAGAAAAAGGCTGTAAATAGGTCTGTATGCGGCCGGGAGGATGGCTGCAACGCGATCAAGGTAGCAGCCCTTGAAAGTAAATTTCTCTGCATCTGTCGTCAGCCCTCGAGCCACAGTTCCCCCGTCGAATCTGCAGTGTGACAAAAACTTATCTGCACCTTGCACATCCCGACATCACATGGCTCACCCGGTCTCTACCTCTCATTGGTTTGGTGTTTTCACCCCAAGCCCGTGCGTTACGTGATGGTCCACTTATGTATTCCCCGCCCGCATTAGCGAATGAGGGCACAGAAGCAAGACGCCCGGCTACACACGACAAGGCCGCCCACCACTCCCACTTCACCATCAAGCGCTCGCTGTACATTCGATAGACTGCTCTCCACACCCGCTACCAGCTTACACCCTGCGAACATGGCGTGTGTACGCAGCCCAGGTAATCAATCGCTACCGGGGGCTGCGAGACCTGGCCCATAGTTGGCGTAGTGCAATATGCCGGTTTGCCAGCCCCTCGCTAACGCCCGATTGTCGCTCAGCAGCTGTGCGATGCAGTGTCTAGATAAGTAGACCTGGAGCCGCTCACATCTCGTCTTTTTTTCTTCAGCAAGTGTGTCAAGTTCAGAGCTGTTGTGTTCGTCTTTTGTCTATTCTTTTTTACCCCTCCCCTTCTCCCTCTCTACTCTCTCCCCAGGCCTGGTGCCATCTAATAATCACTACTCCATCGTCCACCTTTATACCCACCCTTTTTACAATAATCCAATTCTTTGTGGCCGGTCCACTTCAACGTAATACGCAGCTCTACTTGCTCGAAACGAACTTTCAAACTCACAACGACAACGCAATACTCGCAAATCCCTACGAAACTCTCAACACACAGCTTCATCAGCAATCTCGACGTCTATCCATTAGTTTGGCATCGGACAAATTCGAAAAGAACGATTACATCGTAATACCAATCCTTACAACAGAAAGAAAGAAATAACATCACAATGGCCGCTATCCAACTCAACTTCACTCTCCGCACCTCCTCCAACTGCAAGACCGTGCACTTGCTCGGTTCCTGGGATGGCTACCAGGGTCAGCTTCCGCTTTCCAAGGACCCCAAGAAGTCCGGTGGCTGGGTCGGATCCTTCAAGTTCCAAGGACAGACTCTGAAGCAGGGACAGCGTTACTGGTACTACGTACGTCTTCCATCTCGTATACCATGCGAAGTGCTGGAAACTGACATTTACCTAGTACATCATCGACGGCTACCACGTCTCGCACGACCCCGCCAAGGACCACACCACCGAGCCCACTACTGGCCGCAAGCTTAACATCATCGACATCCCGGCTGCCAAGTCGAGCTCAAAGACAACCACATCCAGCTCAGACCGCAAGTCGCGCCGCGTCTCGACCGCTTCCATTCCCAAAGGCCGCGGCCTCAGCCCAGAGCGCATTGTCGCACCAAGGCCGCAGCGCCCACACGAGACCCGCCAGGTCATCAACACCCAGTACGACAAGACCACACTTGAGGACCTCAACCGCCGCTTCGCCAAGCAACAAATCGCAGAGTCGTCCGATGAATCAGACTACGACTCCGACGAAGGCTCTGATGTTCCCTCGCTCACCAGCCGCTCCACAAACAGCTCTAGCCCGTCCAGTGTGAGCTCTGGTAGCTCATGCTGCACCTGTGAGCGCTATGGCATCACGCGCGCTGGTGACCGCGTCAAGCTCGACTGCGGTGGTGCGCGATGCGGATACTCTGACGATTCATCCGACTGCTCCTCCGAGGACGAGTACGTGTACGAGGAGAAGACCACCCGCCGCCAGGGTGTCGTCATCCGCTCTTAAGTGCATACCAACACCTTCTGGATACCATTGTCCCTTCATCGGCACCTATGTCTCTACGTCCTTTTTCGTAGCGTGCCGATGCGCCTTTTCAACATCTTTCTTCTGTGCATATTATGATTACAACTCTTCTTTCCTACCTTGTTCTATCAATGACAACCAGCCTCATGTTTCGAGGTTGGCCTTCCGCTCTTTCGGATCTTTACGACGGTTTATTGCTGCTGGTATCGGGGCTGCCCATGGGTTTTACGGTTGGGGAGATGATGAGGCAACTGCCTGCACTTTATGACAATAGCTTAACAGCTGCCCAAGAAACATCACAACACTAGATGTTCAACGTGCCAATGCACGTTCATGTAGAAACACTATAGTTTACTGAATCTATGAATTTGCATGGACTCGTGCGCGGAAAAAGAAACTTTTCTGTTCCAAACTTTCGCTATGAGCGACTATGTGACGTTGGGAATAATTACATATCGTGGTGTACTGATCTTGTTTCGACGCGCCGGAAAAGACGGTGTGCCGAACTTCAAAACAACCGTCCTCGAATGAGACGCCATTAAGGGAGGGATATAAGTGCTCATTGCAGATGCAGTGAGTGACTTTAGACCAGACGTCTCGAATCATCATACCCTGGAGAAGACATAATCCTTGTGAGCGCACTGCCGTATCACACAAATCCTACGGTATTTACCAACATGGCATCTGAGCTCGTCTGTCGTCACGTTAAGTCTTGCTTGTCCACCTCTAACATCTGAGCCAGAACCGCAATAGGCATGAGGTATTGTTTTGCTGCCTTTCCCGAGTAATCGAAGATAGATAATTCAGCATGTAACCAGGCTGGTCGAATGAGAGACGAGGGAACGAAGACGAAAGAAAATGGCGAAATGCGAAGGCGAGAGAATGACAGTGAAGGCAAAAAAAAAAGGACTTGAAGAAGGCGAGAGGAGGCTAGATGAGAATTGGTGAGACTTGACGCTTTGCATCAGTCGTCCTTGTGGAAGGCACGATACGCACCTGAGAAACCCGTGGCACTTCCACTCGTTCTTGAAGGTAGGATAGAGCTTCTACACCCGATCAACTCCAATGATGCTCATGTTCATTGCAAGATGAAATACGTACAGGAACGAGGGCGCGCATCGTCAAATGCCCAGGACACGCCAGCTTCCGCTTGCCTGTTCCTTTCCGGCCAGGAGACATTTCTATTAAGTATACCGAAAGAAGGTTGTAAAGCCTCTCGGAAAACACGATGTGTGTCGCCAGGTAGGGTTCGCATACGCTACTAAGTACACTACAGTTAAACACTGTTACTCGTCTCATCGGAATATTGATGTAAACTACTGCATATACCTTCAGGGTACCTTTGCATGGATGGGTACAACTCAGAGAAAACAAGAAATTCATTCTTCTCATAATGATAACACACGCCATTAGCGCAACATGATACGAATGTGCAAGCAAAACAAATAAAACACTACATGACTACTCCACAACACATGATCATGTCTCGCTGCAAGGCACCCTACAATCCTTGTCTAAGACATTTCAGCCCCATCATCTACCTCGACTCCGTTGCGCCACCAGATCCAGAACCGGTACCCACGCGAGAGTAGCTAAAACTGGTCGAATCCCGCTCGCCACGATGAGAATACCCGCTAAGCACTAAGCCTTATTCTAGTTTTGACAAAACCAGGTCCACATTGAGGCAGTGATTTCGTAAGGCGGGACGCGATAGTGGTAGTAGTGAGAATGAGAGTGTACACTAGTGAAGGCGCTTCTAGGCGTAGGCTCACGTGAGGTGGGACTCTGGTGCCAAGTGATCTTGGGCCGTATGATTGGAACGTGGCTTGACGAGTAAGACGCCGAGGTTCTTGATATCTCATCGATAGTTTGATGCAGCCAATTAGTATGTCTTATTCTTTGATCGTCTAGGGTGTGATTCTTGTTCTACGTTGCGCGATCCAGAAAGATTGCCGGGGTCTGTAACCGAAGAACGCACACGCTGTGGATGTCGGTTTGTCGGTGTTCTGTGGTCGTAGAACCCGAGCGGATTCCCAGACTAGTGTGATTGTGAGCAAGGCTATGGAAGGTGGAGCAGACCTGGACGAATGAGGATACCGGGGCGCTACATGTTCATATGAGGCAATGTAAGCACTGCTATCATATCTCGAGGTATTTGTTTGATATCCAATTAGATTTACTAACCTGACTTCTCATCCATGAAATGTCCCTTTGACCTCGAGCTAATGCAGGGGGTCCTTTGTAGCATCAGCATATTGGTGACGGTAGATTATGGCAGACCATGGATCCACGACCCGTCTTGCCGTTGTGGATACAACGGCTGAACACCCAGCATCCTCACAAGCGGCCCACAAGGCTGAATGGGTGTCTCGGCAGCGACCGTCCGGGAACCTTTCGGCTGGGACGCATCTACTACTGGATCTGGTATGTAACAATCCATGTCCAGTCCTCGTGGGCCGACAAATGGAGAAATAGATGCGCCAAAAGCGTTTGAAGAGCTATAGAAGTCGATCTGGTATGTTAACTCGCAATAAAAAGCCCTGGTTCATCAGACTAGACATAATGATAGGCCAAGCACGGAGAAGCTTGACAGATACACTGTTAGCTCGAATCTGGATAGTAGTCTTCTTCAATCTCGGCCATATGCACCAACGTGCTGGAAACATTGAAGGTGGTCCGAGAGCACACCATTGATATGCTTAGAGTTTAGCGAGCAGATGAGGGCACAGGAAGGATCTAGCCAACCGATGACGAGAAGCAATGGATGCCTAGCTCGCAAGGTATGACTGTGGAATAGCCACGCAAGCCTCAATCCATGGATACGAAGATGAAAGAACTAGATCTCCCCAGCGGCAGTCGCGGTATCCTTGAATATGGTAATGTGACCTTTTCGCCCTGCGCCCGAAGCTACGCGTGGTCGGTTACAGGGTGCATTCGTGAGCTTGCAGCGGAAGCAACGGCCCTCGTGGAGTCATGACGAGGCGAATCGCATCCACAGGGTCGTAAGGGCTCCGATTGACTGTGGCGCAATCAGCCGAACCGCCGAAATCGTAGGTGCCGAATATCGTTCACCGGCGACGTCGGAAACGGCCGGAGTATGAGTCGTCCTGCAGTGTGGTCGAAGTGTGGTCGAGATCTGTGATAGTAAAGAGAAGCGTGATGCAATGATAGAAACATGGAGTGGAGTGGAGAGTGGCGGTTCTCACACCGACGGATATGGCGAGTATTAGGTATATACTGGTAGGTTTGTAAGGTGAAGAGGCGGTAAAGTAACAACCCGCTAAAAGTGGGTCCACTTGGCGAAGATGACGTCGCACTGAACTCCATACGTACTCGTTAACACGCTACGATGCTTCATTCCATCACTTAGACACGAATTGCGTTGAGACTATAGCACGTTTTCGGATTGGATCTGATAAAGTATGAGAGCCGAGCCGGGCAAGATTCTCCGTCTTGGAATAGTGGGCTTCACTGCTGTGGCCTTGCGCAAGGCAGACTCAAACGTGTTCGTAAAAATAGCACAATGATATTGGAATTTAACGCTACGAACGGTGAGCAAGAAGATCAAATGATCTAGACTGATAACACTACTCCCAGTTCTATCAAAGACGGAAGCATTTCGTAACTCCCACGTCCTCGTGATCGTACAATGTCCACCAAAGCAAACTCCATCCATCCGTTACTTCCGTCTTCCATGCCTGTAACCCATCATGACAAATTCAAACCCTCCATAACTCCATGCTAATGCGTGTATCGTCGAAATTGTGAAAAGATGCGAAAGTAGAATTGCTGGAAAGACAGCACTGAGTGACCAGCTCAAGAAGATAATTGTATGGTGATGGGCAAATATGGGCTGTGAACAGGACCACAGTCCAGTTTTTTTTAGCCGCATGCAGGTTGCGAAGACATAGATCCATCGATCTATCGTAGGTATGCTGGAGAATATCCACCGCTTCCGTAACCAGAGTCTGGAAGGATGCCGGTATGGTAAGCTTGGGGTCGGTGGTTGTTATGAGTACTGCAAGCGTAACCGACGAGAACCGTCTTTTCTTGGATCATATGTCCTCGTTGACCATGGGCGGCGCATGGATCGATTGCGTGTTTGTAGTATAGGCATCGGCAGACCGAATAGCGTTCGATGACTTGGTAGCACATGTCGACGGGTATGCGTGTATGTATTGGTGCCCGATGACGAAGAAGTGGCAGATAGGTCTTGAAGATTTGATATAACGTGAATGCCAACGGTATGAAGCAATAGTAAAAGATATAACAGGTGTGAATTGAGTCTTGTAGCGATGAATCCTGACTCGACGTGGCAAGCCGTGGCATATATAGCGACAGAAGTGAAGACAATCAGGACGCATAGACCAGTGTGGGTCACACCCGGTAGGCATCGTTGACTATCCGCAGGTCCGTCAGGCAACGGGGACCAAGTGTAGGGATGAGTGCACAGTCAGCCGGACGGTGCTAAGATGGGATTGCCAGAGGTAACTAACACAGCCATTGCGGCCGTTAGCTTGTCGATGGTAGAGAAAGAGGTATGGCTCTGATACTCGGCAGGGTTCGTAGTTGGCTTTTTGGAGGCTCTTCAGCTGTTGTAGATGGTGCATATCATGTTCTGATTGGTCTCTAGCTGGGACCATGTAATATGCCCTGATCGCTGAGCACATCAGTAGAGCTATGAACAAGGCGCGCAGCAGAGCAAAGATGGGTAACAAGTGTTTGCGCAAAGGGAGCTAACCGGGGCTGCAAAACCCCTGTAGTGCGCGGACCATGTGAGCGTGCCATGATACCGCACGAGAGCTTATGTTCAAATCGGTGCGTACGTCTGCGAAGTAGGTGTCACGATATCTGCGTGACTCTGATCGTATCTGACAGCCCGCTTAGGTTCAGCCACACTTCCTGATATAGTGATTGACGTGTGGGTGGACACGGAGGGGCAGTGACTTTTCTGACGTAGATTACTCAGGCTCGGGCCTCTTCGCGGACCACGGCGCTTTCGCTGGAAGGTACTCGGCTGGTCCGTTGCGCCTGCCGCGCATGCCGGGCGCTGCTACCGATCCGAAGCTCCATTGTGCGAAGAAAAAGAGAGCGAGTGCGATAACAACGCGGATGTCGAAGTTGGGATGGGTGGAAGGCACGTGCGGAGTTTGTCGCTCCAATGAGTTTCCGTTGTGGGGCAATTGGCAGTATGAGGTATTCTTGGTGTTTCCGCCCTTCTCCATCTACCACGCTCCAATGGATCCGATCTATCTAATTGCAAAGTCGATTACTTTACATGACTGCGCAAGCTATCCGCTCTCACCAACTTCCCATTGAGGTGCATGGGCCTATAGAACTGCCTGAAGCTTCAGGCTGACCAGCTGAGTGCTGCCTGGCGGCCTACGGGTCGACGTACCAGCGCTACGTCGACGTTTTGAAATAACTGTTCATTCGCTTCTACCATTGGTCATACTTAATTACTGAGTAACTTCCTGCATCTGTCGAACATGCAAACGTCCCTCAATCACGTCAAGAGTTGAGCACACCGCCAATACCATTAGATGCGGGTAGCCTCAAGATACTTTGCTCGCGTCATGAGTTTATCGAAACAGTCTGGTCAATCCAACGGCAATCCTCTGGTTGGTTCGTTCGTTCGTGCGCCAGGTCCCCTGTTAGGGCTGAAGACCTACTGCCGGCTCTGTTACGCGGCTCGAGGCTGACCTGCAACGTTTGACAATCATGCAGCCCTATGCATCCTCCCGTTTTCTGGAACACGTGGTAGCGGTCAGTATGTCTCACGCAGCACCCCCAACGATTGCATCTGCGACCGCCAGTAACATCTTTGATGACTTCAATTATAATCACCTTTCGCATGATTGCGAGCGCTATGGAAAGTGTGCGCGTCACATGGGCCCCACCACATACTTCCTTGTTTAGAGAACGAAAAGCTTAGGTCTGCATCAGCCATCAGAGTATTTGGCCCCTCTCTTGCGTCTAGAGGCCTAGCACAACATTAGGATGAAGCAACTATGCTTGGGTTGGTCACTGAATCTGTCAAGGGTTGTTGTGTCCTCGTAACGGTGCATACAACTTCGTATCGACTCCATCTCCGGGGACCCCGATAAGCACAATCACAGTTCAGCTATTCCAAGGGCAATACGTAACGCTACAACAAGACCGCGGACATCAACCGCTGTACCGACCGCACCTGCAACCAGCGCGCGTAATCTCGTCTACCTTTAGGTACCAGCCAAAATATAGCAACACACCGGTGTACGACGCACTGCGCCAGGTGTCCCTTTCCTTCGGGCTTATAACGCTAGCAGACTTGCGATGACGCGCCTGTGCATCTAGGTTGATTCCTGATGATTGGGGTGAAGGCACTGCAGCAGCAGACATAAGATGGGTTAGCCAAGAAACGAGGTTGCTATATTGTAAGCGCCACAAAGCTGACAGAGCGGCCTTACTACCGATTTATACTCGCGCTTCGTAACCCTATCACGTTCCATATAATGACCCACACAGACAAGCGAGCATCCTCTGTCCAGACGGCCATCGCTTCATATGCTCCCAAGTAGCAATCCCAAGATATTCTACTTCACCGCTCCGACCCCGCGTCAGCTGACTTACATGAACTCAAATACCCCACGCGCCATCTTGTCCATCGTTCCCGTAGATCTGGAAACGGGCAACTGTCTCGGGTCCTATAGCGATGTCGGCGCTGCCCAGTCATCCACTCACCGGAAACAGGGCAAAAGATATATTCGATTGTTCCCCGTAAATTCCGACAGAGTTACCGATGATATAGGGTGCGAAATCACACTTGGGTTCTTCTATACATGGCATACACCGCCTTCTTTTTATCTCCGAATGTTTGGATGCTACGGTGGCACTCCACATGTTGGTGCCACCAAATTACAAGAAACTGTGGATCGGTAACAAGGTGTCATAGTCTTGACCGGAATTTCTACGCGTACTGCAGCAATACCAACAGCTTGACACATAGACACTCCAACAGCCGCCATTGTTCGTTCGAAATAAAGAATACGAGTCGATTAGTATTGAACGATCATTCTCCCATAGATAGTCTTCATCAATGACACCTCTACACCACCACAACGCCCATTTCGACGTAATTACGAGCGACTGCTATATGACCAGTACCAGCAACGATGTTCGAGCTTACCAGCCAAAGGCTTCCACCCATAAGCCGTCCCGTGCGATATATGCACTGTAGTCGCCACTACCAAGCCTGCCATCACCAACTCGTTCTTCCTGGGGGAGTATTGGTAGGGAAGATGGAATAGCAGGGACTTGGGCGTGTTCAGAAGCTCTCACTGCTTCACCTTCTCAACATCGTGCTGGTTGCTCTTCTCTTCAGAAAATCACAACAATATTTGCTATGCATGCATCGACAACGATTCTTTGATCAAAGTTACAGCGATGTTGGAAGATTACTAAGCAAACGATTAATCACGGAGTAGAATTCAAGTTACGATTTTATCACGCCAGACCATCATAGCACGACCAGTGTGGTAGTCGAATGTTTTGGTATTGATTGGTAACGTATAAAAGATTCTGAAAACTGATGGGTACCTACAAAAGGCAGACTTGGGGGTATAACCAAATCATTCGTCGATGCGAACAGGATCCTCTAAAGAAAACAAAAAAAAAGCCTCCAAGCGCCCCCGTGTTCTTTCAAGTAATCATAATGTCGTAATATTATACATTTCCCAACGATGAAGTCAAGTGTCGTGTTGTCTTTACATGAAGACACCAGCCAACACCATCATGCCAACTGCATAGTATCCAGCGTACTTTCCAACTGTCAAGTTGATAGCTGCGCTGTCCTCATCAGAGCCACCAGGCGCAGTTGTACCCTTCTCAAGAGTGCCGTTGAGAACAAGAGTCTTGGTACCGTTGACATCAGAAACAGTGACGAGAGTCTTGTTGAGCGCAGCATAGCTGCCGTTGCCAACAAGGTCGTTAATGTATTGTTGGTCATCATTCTCGTCACAGCCACAGACAAAGTCTTCCTCGCACACGCACATGACAGGAAGAGTCTCGTTGCGGCCCTGTGTTTGACGGGTCCATAGTGCGCGGCGGTCGTTGTTGTTGTTGTCGTCATCGTCGTTGGTAGCAGATTGGTTGTAGAATCGGTAGGGATTGTTGTAGTGGTAAGGATAGGTGCTGTAGAGCCACAGACCGGGCATGATGAGCAGCATGGTAGCGGGTAGGATCAAGGCACCGGCGATGAGTCCCTTGGGTGTTCGCGAACCAGCAGTGTAGGGTGTGGCGGCACCACCGCCGTAGTATCGTCCGCCAGCGAAGGTACGCGGTCGGCCTGAGCCTGCGCTCGTCGCACCGCCTGCATTTGAGGTCGGTGATGTACGTCCTGGGGCACCGCCGCCTCCGCCTGAGCGTCCACCGCCGCTGCCTCCACCGCCGCTTCCTCCTCCTCGTCCGCCGCCTCCTTTGCGACGCTCTAGTGTATGGTCCGGTGAAACAAGCTCAGAGGGGGGGACGACTCGTCGCTCTTCGAGAACATTGAGGGCGTTTGATTCGGGTATCGATGCGGCGCTAATTACATGTGCGGCAACGAAGCCAGTGAGGATCTGTGAGAATTTCATAGTGAAGTTGATGTGTGACGGTGACACGAGACTGTCGCGGATGTAATGCGCGACACCAGATGTCGGGTCGAGATGATACCGATGAAGCTACAGGAATGTTGTAGTGGTAGTGTGGTAAGAGAAAGCAGAACGTCAAAAGTTTGCTCTGTGATTTGTAACGGGTTGCTAGGTATAAGGGTAGGATTAATGTACGACTTTGTGAAAAGGCAAGCGCGGGTCTTTAAGGTTGTGCCGGTCAGAAACATGGGTTGCACTGCCCTGCGTCATGAAAGAAAGCCTGGGGCAAAGGAAAGCTTGGACGGTTGTGACCCGCCACCCTACCAGCTAAGGTTAACCTCGTAATTTGAATTGGGTGCCTGGCAAGCTGCCGGCAATCTGACCAATCTGTAGGCTAAATGTCATGGACCTTTGTGGCTGAACTGTGCTATTCTTTTGGGCGACGGTGAGCAGGTGCCGCAAAGGCGCCGTTAATCTGCTGGAACAGGCGCAATGCTGCACAAGTTCCCAGGCACAAGTTGGATACCTTCTCACACTCGACCACAACTAGCCACTCCTCGGAGATTCTTCAGTATCCAATGTTCATGACGTAGAAAACAATCAAGCGCATCCATTTACTCAGGGAAAATGACCTCATGGTTGCTGATCTGCCAAGACACTAGAAGACTTCCCGAACCAGATGTGTGGCCAAACGCATCACAAGATGAGGAACCAACAAACCAGCAGAGCAAGCTCGGCCGAATATCCGATTGCGCCTCGATGTAGTTTGCTAGCAGGAGGCATTGTAATCGTTATGAATCACTACTATGGAATATTGTCATTGGTGCGCACATGTGCTCGGGCCGTACTGGGCGTATGGAGCGGAAACAAACAAACGCCAAGAGCGCAATCTTAGGTGTATGCGTGACTGCATGCAGTGTTGGGCGCAAATAATAATGGATATTGTATGTTGTATGTCTCGATCTCGAAACACTTGGTGCTTTGTTGGCACGACCCGATAATGGATAATAGGTAGCATCGTGGCAGAATTGACAACAGGGACCGGCATGGAGGTCTTGGCAACTGTGACGGAGCATGATCATGCTACGATGCACGGCGCCTAAAGAGTAAACGATGCTTTGTGATTGTTGGATATTTGGTCGTACCATCTTACTTCTTTCTTCCGTTGACCGTTTTTCTTTCGCATAGCTTCTTGTTGTGCGTCGAAGCGACTTGGCTGTTCGATATGACTAACCCTCACTCTAGAAAACTTCAACACGATTGTTGCTGATTCGTTCGCGTAGCCCGACATGTTGTTTACTCCACATCCTAATCGAGCAACCGGGTCTCGAGCCGTCGGTGCTCGCGAGGCTGTGTATACGCCGGTCCCTTGGTCTGGGTTCAACGGGAGGCGCAGCCAGAGCATGTGGCGGGTCTGATGCTTCGTGACCGTAACTGCGGGCAGCAAGGCTGGCGAGGCAATGTGTTTATTGGTCGCCGGCCTTTGCGCAGCAGATGCGATTTACTCGGGGTATCATCGTCCTATGCCACCTTGTTGTGGTGGTTCAGCGGGGCCTCCATCCGATACTGTCTGGTATTTCAGGTATTCCTTCTCAAGTTCTCTCTGCATCTCGAAGTCGGCCTGTCGCTCGCGCTTGACTCGCTGCTGCTCGAAATCGCGAATGACGCCCATATGCATTGCCTGGTATATGTTAGATATTTTTCTTAACCATGTCAGTTTCAAGTACTCACTGCTTTATCGGCCTTTTGCGACCAGTGCACGAATGCTACGGTACCAATCGCGGTGACACACGTAGTCGCCAATGTGATCTGAGACGCTCGAGACATGGTGGGAACCGTGAAGTAATGTCGAGGTAGGTAACAGAGCCTTGTGTAAAGTTGGAGCGGGAACTCTGCGGAAAGGAGCTTGGACCCTAGAGCACCTGCCGCCAAGTCTACGGCCGCATCATGCCTCTCCGCAACTCTACCCTGTGATAGCCAACACCCCCACGATACCAAACTCAAGATGGTGAGTTTGCATGAAGCTTTAGACCGGAATTATCGCTGACAGTTGCAGTCCGCCCAAAACTCCGCGGGTATCCAGACCCTGCTCGACGTAAGGCAGCGCAGCCCACTTTAACCTCCGCATAGCTTACATAGCACACAGGCCGAGCGCGAAGCTCAGAAGATCGTCCAGCAAGGTATTTCGTGGTACAGGCCGCCGTTTGGGCGCGAGTGCTAACTGTTGAACAGCAAGAGAATGTAAACAACGCCCTATATGCCCAGCCAAAGCAGCGATCTAACCTACCCAGACCGTACCAAGCGAGTAAAGGACGCCCGAAGCGAAGCACAGAAGGAGATTGAGGACTACAGGAAAGAGAAAGAGTCCGAGTACCAGAAGTTCGAGAAGGAGGTGCGTTGGTGGACATGATGTTCTATATGCGTAACGAACGTGCAAGGCTGACTATGGCGCAGCACAGCTCAGGCAACCAGAAGGCTGAAGAGGACGCGAAGAAGGACACAGATGCCAAGGTCAAGGAGATTGACGAGATCGGCAACAAGTCCGGTAGCAAGGTTGTCGACCAACTTATCGAGGCCGTCGTAAATGCGCACCCCAAGCCACCGGGCAAACAGGATTAGAGCATCAACACGGGGAGCTTAGATGTAGAACAGAGTCAGATGAGTGGGATGCTACAGAAGAGACATGTAGCGAAGAGCGTTCCTTGTACATGAGCTTTGTGGGACCCAAGACAGTCAAGGTCGATCTACCACCTCAAACATGCAATCATCAGACGATTTACCGCGAGAACGGTAAAGGTAATCAAATTCAGCATGCACACTTCTCAGAGGCTTTGCCAGTCAATTCAGTATACGTTCTTCAAATGCATGCAGACCTCAACAGCACCCTTTGAACAGTAGACACCATTGGGTTCCAGATGTGTTCCCTCATACTGTGCATGTTGTATCGCATGTGTGACTTCTTCCTCTCACACGCTACAATTGTGGCTCACATGTTAATCCATCACATGCATCTGCATCTCTCGTTGCGGACCCTGGTCCACGTTCGTCGTTAGCTTCCCGAGGTCAGACCTACGTCACCGCTCTGGAACTTCGTAGTTTGAGACTCGCTTCAAACCGCAACACAATGCGCTGCACCCAATGATACGAACCTGTGCTCGAGTGACGACTCGCTCGTCTGCGTATAGAACCACGCCATACATAATCTCACCAATATACGCGACTCGTCAATTCAGTAGCTCGCAATGGCGCAAGGAAGACCCGCGCATCTCCGACTTTGGTCGCGAGATCATAGATGAGTTTGCCGTGATGCGCGAGAAATATGGTACATCCATGTTACATTCATATCCAACTCATGGCAATAGCTAACTCTCTGCAGATACACCTGTATGCGCGCGCCGTACTTCTTTTCAAACCGCATCCCCCTGACACTCGTAGAAACACACCATTGTCCTTGCCCACGGGCTACTAGGCTTCGATGAACTACGACTTGCCGGGCAGTTCATACCGGGCATACATTACTGGCGCGGCATAACAGATGCGTTGGCACACAAAGGCATCGAAGTCATCGTGGCTGCAGTTCCGCCTAGTGGAAGCATCGAGGCGCGGTCTGCAAAACTGGCTGAGAGTATTGCACTCAAGGCAAAAGGGAAACAGGTCAACATTATTGCGTGAGTCGGAAGACTGGACTGAGACATACTGGCTGGCACGTCGCTAATGGGTTGCAGGCATAGCATGGTACGAAGTACGCTAACATGGTGCAACACATAGCGACTGACATTTGTTTAGGGGTAATAATCGTTTGCACCTGAGCAGGATGGCTTTACTAATTTTGTGTAGAGGCCTCGATTCACGTTACATGATTAGCCAACTCCGACCGACTGACTTCAAGATACTCTCCTTGACCACCATAGCCACTCCACACAGGGGCTCTGCTTTTGCAGACTACATGTTTAAGACGATCGGTCGTACGTCAGTGGCAAACCCTTGAGCGAGTCTTACTAACCTATGTCAAGCCCGTCGAATCAAGCGCGTCTACAGCGTTATGGAGTATTTTGGCTTTGAGACTGGCGCTTTCTCACAACTCACACAAGAGTACATGCAGAACAGCTTTAATCCTAAGACACCGGACATACCTGACGTCAAGTACTACTCGTACGGCGCGTCTCTCGAACCGACTCGTTGGTCGGTTTTCGCACCTTCGCATAGCATCATCAAACCGAAAGAGGGTGTGAATGATGGGCTGGTCAGGTATGCAAATGACTAGCTTTCTATGTACTCGTTGTCGACTGATCACCTCAATAGCGTCTATTCCAGTCGATGGGGCGACTACAAAGGCACTTTGATCGGTGTAAGCCATCTCGACCTGATCAATTGGACAAACCGTCTCAAGTGGTTCTTCTGGGAACTTACGGGTAGCAAGCGCAAGTATGAAGTCATCATTCCTGGTCTAGGTCAAGTCAAAGCTGATGCTGTATAGCTTCAATGCCATCGCATTTTATCTTGACATCTGCGGTCAGTGGCTGTCCTTCAAACTACCTAGTGGCCAATTACTGACATGATTTCCAGACATGCTAGCTAAAGAAAATCTGTAGTTTCATTGGATCCTGTGGCAATAGGCCGCAAGTATCGAAGCCTTCTAGGTCGGATAAGTCCAACGTCAGAGCATTTGTAGCTTGTGTCGTGATCGGAATCGGACTCGCACTATATATGAAGGGTATCATTCAATCAGCCTCACGTGAGGAAGGGTGCGCCCAGTCACCCGATGCTCATGTAAGACAGGAGCTTGCTTCAGCCCGGAAGTGCGGCTATGGCTGTGGCTGTGTTCGGCAAACTGTCCGAATTGAGTACACGGCATGCTCAATATGCACACTCATAATTAAGTAGAGATGCAAAAGAAAAGCTAGATACAATGGGACAATGTCAAATATCTCATCAGAATTGGGCAAAAAGATGGTTCTGGCGGTCGATCTTGAGCGCATCTGGTTATGACGTTGTTAGACCCTGGCCTGATGGAGAACCCCGCGGGCTGCGCACCACAAACACTCTCACGACATGACACGCGTTCTCCTGGCTTAGCCGCTGCAATACCGACAGACTTCATGCGCTAAATTGTACTTTTACTCCCCAGTTGCAGCCTTAATCCTTGATTAAATGTCGACTCGCCTTTACAAGCTTCGCGACTACCCGTTTACCTAGGTGTGACCTGGAAACCAAATACCAGCCACTAATTCTAAACGCGAGCCTCCAGAATGATCGTCAACATAGTGCTTGAGCATCCCCACGAGCACTACACCAATCTCGATGTCATACAAGGCAGGGTCTTTCTGCGGGTGCCAAATCCGACCAACATTAGCAGCATTGTTGTAAAGCTCGAGGGCGAGAGCAGGACAAGGCTACTGGCACCCATACACCCAAACAGGCCAGATAAGCAGAGACCAGTCCTAGAAGTACACAAGTTCTTGTACAAAACACAAGTTGTATGGCCGACAAATGTGCGCCCCGAAGATGTCGCCCAGAATTCGAGAGCGGCCTATACCATCAACGCTGGGTCCTTTGAGTATCCGTTCCAATTCAAGGTAGGACGTGCAACACCTGTAAATAACTCCACGCAGAGCTAACCGGGGTTGCAGCTCCCTCTGAACACGCAATGTCAACAAACAAACAACCCCATCTCCAACGTTTCCTTCTCAAATGCGATACCCGAATTTGCAAAAACACCAACACAACACGTAAAGGCAACACTCCCTCCTACACTGAGTGGTTTTCCGGGCGAGGCGGAGATACGATACTATGTCAAAGTCACAGTGAATAGGCCGCAGTTCTTCAAGGAGAACCCGAGAGCTATAGCAAACTTCACTTTCCTCCCAATCGAACCTCCGAGACCAGACAAGACAGATGGAGAGGCATATGCGAGGCGACAACATGAGTTCCTGGAAAATGCGCCGAGCGTGGCTGCGGGCAAAAGGCTGAGCTTCTTCGATAGAAAGAACTCGGCGGGAAGTACTCCACCATCGCCAACATCAGGCAATGTACCACCTCGGGTAGCTATTGATGCGCGGTTGCCCAATCCTGCAATCCTCACCAGCAACCAAGACCTACCACTGAGACTACTCGTGAAGAATGTTAGCGCGCGTACAAAGAACATCTACCTACAGATGCTCCAGATTGAGTTGATAGGATACACCAAGGTGCGTGCGCACGAAGTGTCGCGTACAGAGTCGAACAGTTGGATACTGTGCTCCTTCAGTAACATGGCCATCCCGATTGGAAGTCCCTCAGACCCTATAGACACGGAAGTACCTATCAATCCCGAGTATTGGTCTGGAAAGCCGGTGCCCAACACTGTATCACCTAGCTTTACAGCCTGCAACCTCGCGCGTTTCTACGAGCTGGAGATACGTGTTGGCATTGGCTATGGAGGCTACAAGCACGGCGAAGATCAGCTCATCGTTTTACCACTTAGACTACCAGTCAAGGTTTATTCAGGCATTGCTCCACCCAAAGCGCTTTTAGAAGCTGGTTTCAATTCAGAAAAGCCCGCCACTCTTGCCCCGCCACCCCAAGCGGCCCCCCGTCCTCACACTCCAACGACACCAACGCATGGAGGCTTTGACAGTGTCAACGCGTTCTCTGGACAGCCAGTACAACCTCAGCATGCTCCTGCGTATGACGACGCCCCACCAAGCTACGAGGACGCGATTGGACAGGACCTTCCTCCGATCAACGGGTACAGAGGCAGTTACCAGCCTCCTCCTGTACCCGAAGGTGCACCAAGATTCTCTGATGAGAAGAGACGATGAGGGTCTATGCTACAAAGAAATTCGTTTCTATGAATTATATCCTAGCGATCATGTTCCCCCAAGGATGTAGACTACATGTTTGTCAACATGTCGACATAAAATATGGCGAATATCTTTAGGGTGCATTGTAGTTAGAAGATGGAGAGAAACGAGATTCTTGGCGAATGCAAACAGATGGAGCTACGCGGCGGATCAGCACTCTAAACACGTCGAGAACTGGCGAGGCGGACTGTTAGTGAGCGAGTCTAGGCGGGGGGTATGCGACCAACGAGGAGTTTTGGGCCGCAACAAACGGCCAAAAGAGCACGCGTGCTGCAACTGGAGTTGGGAGGATGCAGCAGTTTTGAAGATGAGGTCGATCTCTTTCTATCCAATAGTCACACTTACTAATGCATTTTCTGGAAGTATGGAGGAGCGAACTGAAACAACATGCCATAGCATAGAGCACGTCACAGGCTTCTCTTCAACTTTCAACATCCAATCACTATCATGTTTCATGCAGTTGTTCGAAACATGTGGACATCCAGAGTGCATTCCTTTGACAGGGTGGTATCCAAGTGCGGGGCATACAGTATGACCGGTGAAGCTACACGGCACATCGGTGTAGAGCGGCAGAATGGCACTATGCAAGCCATGCCAGCCATGCTGGCCAAGCAAGTGAGGCAAGTGAGGCATTTACGCGGTCGTGGTGCGTTGCATTCAGTTGGGCTCGCGACGACTTAGTAAAGTTATGTTGTTGTTGATGTGAGGTCTGCCTAATTTTGTGGTAAATCTGACGCGACGCCCATGTGTTCGTGATACTTGCATGGTGTTGACATTGCCCTAGTCACCACGCCACATGGCACGCGCCCTCCGGCTAGCAATCGATAACCTTGATCCAAAACAGACATTTCACCTTCAAAATAGACGCGCATAGCCGGCACCAATGCAACCACGGCATTTGTTGTTGTTGTGACCCTCGAATCGCGACTCACCAGAGCAACGATCGAAGCCCACTATGCGCACTAACAGACGCGTCGTGCCTGAGTTACGGGATGATCAACAGCCCTGCACGCGACGGAGTGCTGACCGCCAGTCGTGTGTGTCCAGCCACAACTTCCAAGACCAAGGTGCAGACACGATGCAAGACTACTGCAAGAGCCGCATACACTATCCCGTGCATGCTAACATCCGGTTGGCCAAAAAGGGTGAAACGTTTCAAGCCGGCTCCAGGCTGCAGCCCCACTTGACCACTTGGTCGAATCGTCGCGTCCAACACCATATATACACGTCCTCGCACCGCGAGATGGTCGTGTTTTTTGATCAATTCTTCGGCTGCTTCGAGTCAAGAGTTTGGAATCCCGTGGCGGGCTCGTTGGCATCTAGGGGAACGATGTTTGACTCACACTTGCAGCTCACGTGTAGTAGCGTTGGGCCCCGCTTTGCGACCATGCACCACGCTGTGGTAAATACGGCTGGCTATGAGGCCGTGGCTGTTCCCGTTGGATTTTTGTTTCCTGAGGTTCCCTTTTCTCTTTCGAATGCTGGATGTTTGAAACGACTTTTACGGTTTACTTGAGATTTACTACGAGATTGATACCTTGAAGAATAAACGCCCTTTTACGAACCCAACATCATTGTATGCGACGAACGCCACCATCACGACATGTACTCACAGCGATCATCGCCACCGCCACTGAAGCGCTCGCATTCGGGTGAGAGCCAGAACAGCTATGCCAGCGCTGCGACAACAGTGTCGCGCGCAAGCTCCAAGCTACTGTTTGGAGAGATCCCATTGACGCCTGCGACGACTGTAGATGGAAGATGTAAGTTGCTCCATCGCAATGCGCGCTGCATTCCTACTGACGCGACGAAGCAATTCGTTCCAATGGTTCCATCTGCAACTTGGTCCTTTCCACAAGCTCAGTCTTCCTGCGCTTTTGGCTAAACGATGCTTGTCGCGACAACGTACTGGACCACATGGAGTCCGAGGAACTCTCTAACTTCCGCCTCGTGTGTCATGACTTTTCGTCAAAAGCTGCGCCTCGACTCTTTGAAAAAATGACCGTAACCTTCAAGACCTCTACTTTCTCGAAACCTGCGCGTCTCGAAGCGCTATCAAGGATAGGCCGTCACGTCAAGACTTTCACCTTTCACATGCCACATGGTCCAGACACCTGCTTACCACCCATCATTGACCCTTGCACTGGCACAGAGAAGCAGTTCATCTACGAGCCGCAAGTTCAAATACCGCAACATGGTCCAGCCAAGGATAAAGCGCCCAAGTATGGGAGCTGGGAGATGCAAGACCTACTCATCAAGCAATATCCGCCGCTGTTTCATGCCGCGACGAATGTCCCTGCCTTTTGCGCTGCCTTCTCCGAACTGATCAACCTCACACACCTCAAGGTCTCGTGTCCCGGATCTACTGGCTCACTTCGACACCGACGAGGTGTAGTCGACTACGCGCTCATCTCTATCCGTATTGCCATTGAGCGTGCCCCATTATATAGTCTCTCTGCCCTGTCCCTTCATCCCATCCACCCTGGCGGCCTCTTGTACCTTCATCCCATGCACGGCTTCGGCAGCACACCTTCCTCAGCCAAGCGCTGGGGCCAAATCCGTCGCCTCTCAATCTGCATGGAAAGCATACCCTTCACCTCAAGCTCCTCACGTACACGCGCCCAATCCGTAGAACACCTACGCATCTTACACGCCTACCTCTCAACCCTCTCCCGCGGCCTAACTCGCCTCTTCTTCCGCTGGAAAGGCGAGCGCGGACCCTCTCCCTTGTCCTTGGATCGCGAACCCTGCATGCTTCCCAGCCAAGAGGAATCCACACACCCTTCCCTCCGCGGCCAGACTCACGGTCCACGTCCCCTCAAGTTCCCCCGCCTCCGCGTCATGGAACTAGAGAATGGGCTCATGGACTCTGCGCAAATCAGCGACTTCATCACAAAGCACAAGCGCAGCCTGCGCGAATTCAATTTCGAAGACGTCAAACTGCGCGAAGGAGATTGGGATCTCGCTCTCGAACCTCTGACCACCATCACCGGTAGCGATAGATGGAAGCAGTACCAAGAAGAGGTTATGGACGTTCCTATCATGCTTTCACCTGTTGATGCTGAGCCGAGAGTCATGGGCCCGTTGCTTGAGGAGGTTGAACAGGCGATTGAGGAGGTGAGTGGGAAGGAGAGGAGGGAACATGCACTGAGCAGGTGGTTGGGTAGACCGAGGCAGTCGAAGAAGGATAGCTTTTGGGGTGGGGGAAAAAGGTTTCTGCATCTTTCGGGGTGGAAGGGAAGTTCGCCTGTCATGGTGAGGTGAGCTGCACATTCTTGTTCAAACGTTACGGGTGTATGATACTTGTGGTCTGGGTACTGGGGAGTTTGCTGTGGCACATCGCGGTTGATACCCCTCGGGCACGGTTTCTGGCGTTCGCTTCCCTTTTCCTTTTCCTTTCTTTGTTCTCGTTTTGGTTTGGGTAATGGCCTGTCCCCTCTTTTCGTACTTTCCTTATTACGTCTTCCTTGCGCTCATTACGACTTCTACGTTCTTACGCCCCTTACGACTATACCTTTAAAATCATGTTTGTGTATATAATCACGACGATACGAGCAGCATAGTATACCTTGACGATCTTTGAATGACAATCTCCTTCTGTCCTTTCAGCCGGTGTTTTTCTTGCTGGACTACGTACGTCTTCTGGTGTGCAGTGTGATAATGATGTATACTCCGAAAGGATGATACCCTTGCCCCAAACCTTGGGTTGGATTACCGCGTCAGTGTGCCCAGTAGGTAATTCGCAAGCTTCAGCGTATTCGCAGACAAAGCTGTACCATTGTTGTATACAGAATGCATAGATTGAGGTACACAGAAGAATAAACTGTAGCAACGAGCTATGGAAGGACGCTAATAGCTAAGGCGTTGACCTTCATGATAGAGAAGACCTCGCGGGAAACATCTAAGCATTCTGGGAAGCCATAGTAGGAGCATTAGAAGGAAGAGAGGGATACTCAGTCGAGAGTAGATCAAGATATTAGGGTGGCTAAGCTCAATAATAGATATGTGGTCGTAGTAATGTCGCACACATGCATTGAAGATTGTGTTCTGTGTCTTTGGGTATATTCTCATGACCTGCGTTCATTCCACATCTACAACTTAGCCTGTGTCTGTACCTTCTTGAAGACGGGCTCTAGGCGGGTTGCAGCCATGACGTTCCCTTTAACCTTCAATTTCCCACTCATAAACATCTGCTGTGCATTTCCCTTGCCCTGCACCAGCTTCCCAAACTCCTCATCACTCAGCACTAGCGTGGCGGTAGCCTTCTTGCCTTCTGGCGCAGCGCCCTTTCCGACGGTACCGGTCTCCTTGAGATCAATGTACCATGTTTCTTGTGTTCCGGCTTTGTTCTTGAGTGTGAAGGCGAAGATTGCCTTGGCTTGCTTGATGGCGTCTTTGCGGTCGGCGTCGGAAGCGGAAAGCGAGCGCGAGATTTCGTCGAACGCGGCCGAGGAGGGGAAGTCGTCTAGTCATGTGTCAGTTGAAGTGCTCTGTCGCTTCGAGGACTAGAAATGCGCGTACCGTTCTTGAGAGACATCGTGGCTGTATGTTGCTAAGGCGATAATGCGGTCGAAGGTGCTCGTTCACGAAGGTAAGGACTGATGGTGATAGTACCTTGATAAAGGATGTTTGTGAAATTTAGACCGCGGATGGCGAGGATTCTGGGGTATATAACTGCGTTCGGAAGCTCGTGACAGCAATGATGATGTATGCAGCTTCGCTGTGAATCCGGGGAAGCATGTGAATGAGCGGGCCAAGACCCTGAAACGATCATGCCGAGGCATAACCGCTTTGCGACTGAGCACGTGGATGGATCGTAACGCTAACTCTTTTGGCAGGACTCGCATCTCTTGCCTCAATTTACTATTAGGTTTAATCATCCGTAGCAGGGGAAGACAATGGCAGGATCTCACGAGGTAACCAGAAGGTACTCGCAGTGCCTTACTTCCTTGTGCGTCGTTGCACCTATATGTTTCTTCACTAAGGGCTGAACTTGCGACTACAATGTTCGCATGTGAGGAAAGCAGGCGACTGACCATGCATCGCGGTATGTGTATGTAATTGACTTGAACGCTTCCGCATCATTGAATGTAGAACCGACATGTCCCCGGCGTCAACGACCAGGAATTATAATACATTCTCTTAAAAATAATGACACTTTATACCATCTTTACGGGCAGGTGTCTCGTCTAGAATTCTTAGAATTCGCAACCGTGCTAAGCTCCCCACGTGAGGACGCGCTACGACGCGTTTCACCTTGGCGCGTTTCCCTTTTCGTCTCATCGCATCATTCCACATGCTCAAGTTCAGCCACAATACTCTACCACACTTACCAACACTATGAAGAATGACCTTAACGAAACGTTCGGCGAAATCTTTGATGGCGATATCGCCGCTTTCCGCAAGCAGTTGCTAGAGATCCAACACATCAAAGCTGATCGGCAAAAGGCCGAAGAATGGGTGTCAAATCTTCGCTTTCTGGATATATCAAAAGTACCAGACTTGCAGGTGGAGAAAAAGAAGCAAGATCGCCGCTTCGCTCTAGCCAAGGCCCGCGACCCGTTGCATGATCGAAAGGTACCGTCGCGCGAAATATCTGTCACGGAGCGCGAAGACGACGACGGCGAAAATCCATATATTGCTGTCTCCTGGAAGTGGACTGAGCTTAAACACGAGGTTCTTTACGATGACCCCAAGCCGCCTGTCTTCGACTACCGGATCAAGAGGCCAGGTGCGAAGTCTCACAAGAGTAGTTTTCCAGACCTCTACATGGATCGGGTGATTCGGTTTGCGCAGAGCACCCAAGTATCGAGGCTATGGATCGATAAGGAGTGCATATACCAAATGCCAGGAGACGAGCATATGTGGCCAGACGACCAGGAACATGGTGTTCAAATCATGGATGTAGTCTATGGTGACAGCAACTTGTCGGTTGGGTTACTCACTGTGGAGCTTGCACACCAACACGAAGTCGACCTTCTATCAAAGCTGCTTCATGGCCACCTCTTTGTCGATCCTAAGAATAAAGATACTCCCAAACTAAGATCCGAAGTCGACGTAACGGCAGTACATATGCTTATTCTCCGCATCCTCAGTGATCCTCGCTGGTCACGTGGCTGGATTTTTCAGGAAGACCACTTGGCTTCAGACAGGATGACATTGCTCATACCATGTCCTGAAGAAATTCGCATAGATTGCGACTATGACTTTGGTGATATCGTTGGGGAACTGCAGATCAACCTTAAGGATCTCCGACAGAACGTGACCATGTTCTGCATGGCTTGCCCTGAGGAACAACAACAATGGCCCAATACCGAGATACTAGGAAAGCTCAAACAGTATAATATCTGCAACAAGATCTACATACCGCCCGAGAACGAGTATCCAGTGCAGTCTCGGAGCGAGGGCATCGATGATGATACCGGGGGCGGCGAGCTTGAAGGGCAAACGAGTGACTCGAGGGTTCTAGCTTTTCTGAATACTACCAACAGCGTACTGGAAGACATTTGCAACCGGCTGTTAAAGTATGAGGAGGACAGGATTGCCATCCTCGCAAACGCTTTGAGGTTCACTAAGCGAATAAACATTGCTAAAGGATCTCCCATACATGAGCCAGGAAAATACAGCCTCTCGGTAGCTTTACTCGCACTTATACTAATGAATGGGGAGATCTTGATGAGTACGTCACGGAAACAGGTTGACTGCCTGCATCCGCCCAACGAGAGCAATCTGATGCGGTACACTTTGCGCTCGTATCTAATGGCGTGTCGACACCATTTTACGATCCCTAACCTGAGACGCCAGCAGAGCTTTGTCGATCGCTGTCGTCTCAAATCACCAACTATTACCTCCCGTGGTCTTGAGACAAAAGGCTTTCTTTTCGACCTATTTTCCCGTGAGCGATTGGAGGATCGAGCAGATCAGCACAGCACCCTTCGCCTCACTGAATCAGATAGAGGTGCTTTGTCGGACTCGGGTCGAGGTCCTGTATCTCGGGGTTGGAAGCTCGACAAGAATGCACATATAGCGTTGGGTTTGATCATCCAGAAGCTGGAGGGGCTGTGGCCAGGCAGTAAGCTCGCTAGTCATATGCGCAGACACTTAGTGCTCGATCGACGCCCGCCGCGATCGAAGGACGTACCACCGTCCGCACCATATGTATTAGATATGTTGTTCGCAATCTATCAAGCTCTTCGCAACGACCAAGAGCTCCGCTTTGCGCGACTAGTTTCAGCGCCCCCAAATACGGAACCCGCTGCAATCTTCATCAAGCCGGAGCCGGACGGTTGGAGAACTGAGAATTCACTTGACTTGAGAGCTGACGGAGAGCCTATTTCCGCAAGGGTTTTCACGAGCTGGGATAAGGGACGCAACTTGTATAACAAAGAACGATTGGCAAGCTTGGAAGTCGGCGTAACATCCGACTTGGAGCATCAAGGGACATGGCAAGAGCGAGGTAGTTTTCTGTACAGCTACGGGTGGGTGAACGGAGTTTGGTATGCGGGAGGCGAAGCAATGGAAACCTGTGTCTTTCCCCTGGCGGGAATCACTAAACACCAACAGTCGGGGGATTCTTCGATAAGCAATGGGAGAAGGAAGAGGAAGAGAGGGACCGACGTCTAGGACAAGGCGTTCAGCGACTAACGTCCGGTATGGCACTGCGGTACAGCGTCCGATCAGGCTTTATCCGTCATCTCGTTCTTCACAGTAACCCAATCGTTCCCCGGCATACGCTCCCAGATCTCAAACTTCTTTGGTTTGATAAACAACGCCTCCGATTCCTCGAAGTATGGCTTATAGTATGGCTTGTGAAATTGTACCTGAAAAGCCATTGTTAAACTCGAACCCACGTACTCACTCAGTTTCTAGCAACACGTACATTTCGCAGCCATTCCACACTTTGGTTCCAATTCTCGACATACTTGATCTCTCCCGGTATGGCAGGATTCTGATATATCTCGAAGAAGATGCATTCTGGCTCCGCAGTTGCAGCATCATACGCGGGCTTAATCAAGGAGAAGAACTTGGGAACTGATTCGGGCGCAACAGTTACCTTGATGTGAACTGAGGCGCCAGGCCCGGTGTATGGCTGCTGGGACATTGTGGACTCAGTGGGTCAGAGTCGACGATGAAAAAGAGTTGCGGAGAGGACTGGAAGGACTTGGTGGAGTTTCCTGGAAAATATCCTGAGGGCATTATATCTATGGTGGTGGTTCGTCCGTAAAGGTCCGTTAACATGGCATGATTAATGATACTGTCCCAACCGGGGCAATGTGCGAGACGGGGCGATCGGTGCTTGCGACACACCTCATGAACATGGCATTTCTAGTCTGCTGTTAAAAGCAGCGGACTGTTCTATCGCATGATGCGGTATAAAAACAACTAGCGCTCTGCAATATAAAATGGTGTAGACTTTTGAGCCTAGACTGACACAGGCCCCATATCGAGTGGTGCATAGGTTGGTACCTCTGGACATTAGAAACTGGACGTAACTACGCACCGATCATACGAAATATGTCCATCGTTTGTTTTGAGAAGTCCTATCTTTGATAAAGAGCGCAAAATTTTTGCGATGGTCTAATGAGGACGTCTCTTCGACTAAAACTATCAACGAACTGTCAATCAGCAAACTGCCAGCCTAGCTACATCAAGGGCCACCATCCCACATATGACCAAATTCAGAGACTTGTGGTTGCGAAACCATGTAGGCACACTTTTGCCCTGTTGTAATGAGAAACGCGACGCGTATGCGCGTCCTCTGCTCACGGGACGCTAGCAATGGCGTCATGCCCATTCCCGAGGTCTACTCAAATGTGATGGCCAGGGAACGCGCTAAACCTCTCCCCACCTCCTCAATTCTGTCAACTACCACATACTTGTATGCGTAGAGTCGTGACAGCCTCCTGCAAGATGTAAAACTATTGCTAGGGTTCAAATGGGCTGAACTCCTCACGTTTCTTCTATCTCCGCTCTTCCCCGCATCGCAATGCCAGCACCGACAGCAGCTTCTGCAACGAATCGACGCAAAGCGACTACTGACAAGCTGGCACCACGGAAACGCGCACCTATCGCTTGTCAGTTTTGTCGACTTCGTAAGACCAAATGTGACGGTGTTAAGCCTGTTTGTAGCTTTTGTGAACATCACCAAGCACAATGCATCTGGGGCGTGGCAACCGACGAGATTGCGAGCACACCCGCTGAGAAGGAAATACTTCAACGTCTGGATGAGCTAAAAGACCTATTATCAGATGTAAGACAGACCGCTTCGAATATCGCCGAGCCCCACTACAGCACCTCAACGCCACAAACACAACGACCAGCTACGCCCATCACTGCAGCTTCGCAAAACACCACTCTAGATCCGTTAGCAAACTTAGCTTCGCCATTTACACATACGCGATGCGAGAAGGTCCTAGCATGGCCTATCTTCCACAGCGTGGTTGACCCGAACGATGTCGCTATCGAATCATTCGTCTTGGAGTGTGACAACTCAGTGGTGCTTGAGGACGACATGTCTATATCACCGAGTGAGACTTGTTTGGATGCCCAAGTTGCTGGTTTGGGTGTTCGGACTGATCAATTGTTGCCGCTTTGCCGCAAGTTTTTGGACCACGTACATCCTAGGAATCCGATGCTTGATGAGGTGCAGCTTATCCGATACGCTGAGCATGTTGCTGAGTGCGGCTTGGAATGGGATGGACCTTCATGTCTTGTCGTATGTAGATGATCACATGTCAAATTTGGGCTCAGACTGATCGACCGTATAGTTAGTTGCAAGCGCCCTCGCTTGTTATACCGCACCTTGGGAACGCGGCGATCTCGACTACCATTCGTCTGCAGATTCAGTGACCGAGGATGCTGTATCTGCTCAAGCCTATTACTTTGCTGCTAAGCAACGGTTCGGTCTCCTTGGGTGGTCCTTGGTGGACATCCACTGCCTTTTCTTCGCATCGGTATACGAAAAGTATGCACTAAACCCTCTTCAAGCATGGTTCTATATCCAACAGGCCTCTACTCGCTTGCAGGCGTACTTGAGGCGCCAGACAAACACCTTACGCTCCAAGAGTCGTACCGTGCGGTCAAACGAACTCGTGCAGCGCGTATTCTGGTCTGTTTACAAAGCCGAACACGAATTGCTACCTGAACTCCCTTTCAGATCCAGTGGCATAGAGATCTTTACACGAATCGACTCCATGTTTCCCTCGCCTTCAACCTTTGAGGCGAAAAGTGATAGTGCCTCTGCATTCAACGAGCAAGACCCTGGGTCCAAGGAACGAAGCTGGGCATTTTATCTAGCTGAGATTTCCATTCGGCGCACAATAACCGACACTATATTTACCCTCTACCGTAAGGGCGAGAGCTACTGGCTCAATCACATTGGATCGCTAGTACGCCAATGCGAAGATTCGGAAGAACATATCCAGTTGTGGCACTCGCACCTCCCGCCGTCAGTCCGATTCGATCCCGACGGAAACCCGGACAATGAGCTTGCATTCTTTCTGAAGGGTCGCTTCTCCTCGTGGCGGGGCTATATACTCCGGCCCGTGCTATACTATGCCCTTCACCGTCCCTCTCAACAAGCCTTGACGCCTCAAATATTGGCCTGCGCCCGGGAACTCGTTACTGTGTGTGCGGAAAGCATCGTTCACTACGACCAGCATAACCGGCATGGTGGGACTTGGTTCGTCTGCCGACTATCCTTCACCTCGGCACTTCTACTACTAAGTGTAGTGATCAAAGGCGACGTCGACGTTCTTCCACCAGCGAATTGGGATTCGCTCATTGTCATGTCCATCTCAACTTTGCGAAAGTGGGAAGTCCAGTCCGCCGACATTTGGAGACTGCGCATAACTCTGGAGCGGCTTTACACTGTAGTTTGCCCTCGTGCAACTACGCCTACATACCAAGCTTAGAATTATGGCAGCAAAGAGGGCTTCTGATGTACGTTGGTATTACCCCAGCCTTCTGCGATATCGCCTCGACTAAAGCTTGAGGGCTTCCCGCATAACATGATCCTGCATGCGACACTTCCAAGTGACTAATCGACAATATCACGGCTGATCCAATACCAGCTTGCCCAAGCGCAATATAGAGAGAATGAGCTTCTTCGTATTCAATTCTGGCTTTCTAGCAGTAATTGACATATCCGAACTCGTGGCCACAATCGAACATGCCAGTCTCAGCGTAATATGTTTCCCAGTGCGCGACCATCTCCCCGAGCTTTTTCGGTTCCTCCTCCGCCAAGTCATGTATCTCTCCTGGATCCTCTGCAACATTGTATAGTTCCCATTGCTCTCGGCCGCGAGGCGCCGTCATCCACAACTGAAGATGGTCAGTACATCTCTGTGAGCTAATTATTCTGTACTCACAGCTTTCCAAGGCCCCTTTCGAATTGCCCGAAGACCGAACAGCTCCCAACCAGTGATCTCTTCGTTCTCGTCATGGAAACCGGGTTGGCTACCCTCTAAGTGAGGTACCCATGTAGCGCCTCTTACCGGCACCACTTCCCGACCCCTAAAATTGCTACCCGGTGGCTTGACACCAGCCAGATCCAATACCGTTGGCAGAATATCCATGACCGTACAGAAAGATTCTGTGAACGAACCAGTCGGCAAAGACTTGCCACCATCGTGCGACGGAGGGTATCGTATCAGGCATGGACACCGTATACCACCCTCTGTAATCCAAGTTTTGAAGCCTCTCGAAGGTGCCATTGACGCCGACGCCCACTCGGAGCCGTACCATACGAAGCTGTTACTAGCGCCCATATTCTCTAAACTATTATCATAGTACTTGTCGATGATCTTGTTGACTGTGCCCACGGTACCCATTAGTGGAAGAGCCTCGAGCATTGCGCCCTCGGCACCATTGTCGGACATGAATAGTATGAAAGTATTGTCTAGCTCGCCGCTCTCCTCAAGGTGTTCTACTACCCGACCAATGTTCTCGTCGATAGATTCAACCATAGCAGCGTACACCTCCATTTTCCGCGCGGACTTAGCGCGTTCTTGTGCGCTCATCATATTCCAGTCATCCCTAGGCATAGGTGCGGCATCTACGTCGGACTTAACGATACCCAAGTCGATCAACTTCTGAAGTCGCTCACTGCGGAGCGCATCCGGGCCGTCATTGTACCTTCCCTTGTACTTCTCGATCAGACTGCGGGGCGCTTGTAAAGGCCAGTGAGGCGCTGTAAAAGGCAGGTAAGCAAAGAACGGCTTCTCTTCGTCTTTTCGGTCGTTGAGGTAGTTTATTAATTCGTCGGTGAATGAAGTCGTTGAATAGAAGTCTGCAGGAACGTCGCTCGGGTCTGTTCGGTTGAGATACTTGTCGTTGCGCATCCAAAATTTGTCTGCGTACATTGGGGTGAAGACAGCATCCTTGGGATTGTCCAGTTGCGGTTCCCAGTTGTAGTGGTTACCACAACCGGAAAGGAACACGAACGAATCGTCAAAACCGCGCGCATGAGGAGATGTCTCTTTGGTAAGACCGAGATGCCTGTGTAGTGAGCCATTGTCGTCGCCTGGCGCATTTATCAGACTTACCACTTCCCACTCATGATCGTACGGTATCCGGCATCTTGTAAGATCTCACTCAACGCAGCAACACGGAAGTTGAGGTAGCCTTCATAGCCAGGTTTTCCTTCGTAGTTCTGCTTGACCGCCATATGTTCCATCAGCTGTCCAAGGCCTGCGATATGGTTGTCGGTGCCTGACAGCAACATTGACCTTGTTGGTGAGCATGCTGATGCCGTATGAAAGTTTGTCAAGCGGACTCCTGTTTCCGCGACCTTCTGAAGGTTGGGCGTATTGATCTCGCCGCCAAAGGGCGAGATATCGCTGTATCCTAGGATATGTCAATGCTGTGTACATGAGATCCCTAGATTTACACAAACCTAGATCATCTGCAACGACAATGAGGAAGTTTGGGCGCTTCTGTGCTGGCATGGAACCCATGGTCGATGCGGTGCGGAGCATTCGTGGACGCGCTCTGGATGGGCGACCACACGATTAAAAGATATCAAGAACATCGTTGGTCATTGTTCGAAGATTGAGCCCAGACTTCACGCTGGAGTTGACGCGCGACCATGCAGCCCAGATGTTGTAGGCCCTAGCCTGTTGGGGCGCCGAGCTGCACATCTCCGTTCTTCCCCGTCAATGACCCTCGAATCCGCTAGCGTGGTTTTCATCCCCGTCCATCCCCGTCATCCTCTGATAGCTGTTGACTCGTGTCGATCGGAACACAAACTTTGACTTTCCTTTTGTGTCAATTTCTTTCCCCAGATGATACTGCGAGACCTGGGGCAATGGTGAGTGTCCCGATAATGCCATCCTAGTCCACTCTGTCGCCAACGCCTGCCACCGAGTAACGACACCTGCGATATCCCTTAGACGTGCGCACTCACTGTACAAGTATTTCTCTGCGGTGCTGCGACACTGATTCTGCAGTTCTGATCATTCTTTAATTGTTGTCGACTACACTCGAGTTCGACGTTTGGTATCTCGTTAGCATGCAGGCCACCGAGGGCAAAGATGGCGTCTTCATGAAGATGTTACGATGTTTCAATGGTCGACTCACATAATCTGTTGGAATTATTGCTCTCAGTCAGATCAATTTTGGCCTCGACCAAGGCGTGTTCAACAACACCCAGGCAATGTCACCATTCGCTCGTAAGTTTGGTGTATTCAATGCGAAAACTCAAACGTATGTGCTTCAAACAACTCCCTATATGGCATACTAATAAAGAGAAGCTACGAGCTCGAGACATACTATCTCTCCCTATTGAGCAGTCTTACCTACGTCGGCTTCGCCTTCGGTCTTGTCACGGGCAACATCCTCAGCGCTAAGATCGGACGAAAGAGGTGCTTCATGGTGATGTGCTTCTGGGCCATCCTGGGCGCGACCATCTGCATAACCACGATGACGAACAAATGGCAGATGGTAGTCGGGCGTATCATATCGTACGTATATATCGGTATGGAACTGGCGCTTGTACCCGTAACACAGTCCGAGCTTGTCCCAGCACCGGTACGAGGTGCCACCGTCGGTACATATCAGTCTGCGCTGCTTATCGGTCAGCTCATTGCGTCACTGATATGCCGAGGCACTGGCGATATCAACGATGACAGGTCCTGGCGCATTCCACTTGGCATACTGTTCATCATCCCGGCCATTATGCTATGCACTGTGTGGTACATACCCGAAAGTCCACGGTGGCTGCTGCAAAAGGATAGACCTGAAGAAGCTATTAAAAACTTGCACTTATTGCGCCAGGGCAAGTTCACCGAAGAAGAGATTCAACAAGAATATCGCGGATTCCAGAGCACATTGAATGTGACCGTTGAGAAGGGAAGGTTTATTGAGCTATTCCAAGGAAGTAAGTGTTACCAAAAAGCAGTACGACGCCTATGTGGTGTCATTTTTGCAGGGAACTCGTGGTTCAACAAAGACTGACGAGAATTATAGCCAATCTAAAACGCACACTCATCGTCTTGGGTGTAAACATCTTCCTGCAGCTGACAGGGCAGAACTTCGTTTCCGTCTACGGCGCCATCTTCATCAAGAGCATAGGTGTCATCAATCCGTTCACCATGACCTCCATCAATACTGCCGTGAGCATCGTATTTGTTTTCATATCCCAGCTCGCAACGGACAAGACTGGCCGGGTGTAAGTTGTAGGCCACCTCCTCCGCTATTACCATCTACTAATACAATATCATTAGACCCCTGATGTTCGTTGGCGCAATCATTCAATGCAGTGGACTCATGACCATGGGAGGTCTCGGAACAGTCGCCAGTCCTTCCTACTCAATCAAAGCTGCTATCGTAAGCATGGTAACCGTCTTCGGCGTCGGCTTCCAACTCGGCTGGGCACCTCTTTCGCACGTCGTGGCCGCGGAAATCCCAACTCAGCGCCTCCGTGATACAACTTATGCACTCGGCTCCGTCTTCAACATTGCCATCCAATTCGCTGTTTCTTTTTCCATCCCCTACCTACTCAACGAGCCGTATGCCGGGCTGGGAAGCAAGGTTGGGTTCATTTTCGGGGCTACGGCAGCGGGCGCGGTGCTTTTCACGTGGTTTTCTATTCCTGAATGCAGTGGTAAGACGCTGGAGGAGATCGACGAACTGTTTCTCGAAGGTGTGCCTATCAGGAAGTTTGGAAATGCTAGAGTGAGTTCGCCGAATGCGGAATTTGAGGGCAACGGGAAGAAAGGTGATATGAAGATTGAATCAGTTAAGGTCTAGAGATTCATGTCGCAAATCTCAATGTAATAGCTTCCCAACCCGTGAACGCAAACTTCGGATGCTCTGTTATTAAACGATTGTGCAGGCATCTGATTCGCCGGTGCAATACTACTCTTCAATGTCATTCAAGGCCCAGCAACAACCATCTAGTCACTATATGTCGTCGCCAAACGAAAATTTCATCCTGACCCCCTCTCTCAACCCACTAAAGTTTCTGCTTACTTCAGCGTCCTCACTCTTTCAGTCGTAGCGTAGGGCATGGGGATGCTTCAGCGAACATACCACTGGTCCCGCCTTGCATTCTTGATCCGTGGCCCGATGGAAGATGCTGAACAGCTGCTGATTATGAAACAAGACCTATTGCGAAAACTCATCGACGTAGTAGGAATCCAGGTGACACAGCTGGAAATGGAAGCACGGACAGCCGGTAGGAAAAAGATAGGAATCCAGACAGATACCGAGAAAACTAGCAAATTCATGACTGCGACAAGTTTCCATCTTGGCTACTGGAAGCTGATCATCAAAGCTTTGGGGGATTGCTTGAACTTGCTTCCTGAGTCGTAGGCGAGATTTGACGTAGATTACGCTCAAAACGCCTGATGCTTCCAAAGCGATTGAGGAGCTGGCACCATCACTAAAGCCATTCACTGAGCCGCCATGGGAGGCAATGACAGGGTGTGGACGTCTGAATCGACGTTGGTAGGTATCTTACGGACGGTTGATGAGAGGCGGACAAACTTGTGCAAGAGAGATATGGAGCCAGGTGAGTGTTTGATCATGGGCCAAAACTTGGTGCATAAACAAGAACAGGGTTGCTTATTATGAGGGTCTTCTAATCTACAAAGTCTTTAAATCATAAAATCTTGTATCTATGAGCGCTAATCAACGCCTGCCCAGCCACTTGCGCTGTCTAGTCTATAATTTGTCTTGATCTATGCCCATCCAATTCTATAAAGATTATATCCACTCTCATCACCTCGTCCAATACTCTTCCTCTTCTCCACGAACTCTGTCTCCAGTATCTGGAATGTCAAGCCATCATCTCTCTTTGGACACAACTCAGGGACGAAAGCCGCTTCAACAGTATCGGGAATACCTTCAAACTTTCCAGTTTTGCGCACCGTGACCATTAGCCAGAAAGCTCCGTTTGGAGCAAGGAGGTGGGCTGCACAGTCACGGAGCCAGGCGGCGTGCTCAGGAGCGTAGACAACATCTGAGGCGATGAGGAGATCGGATGTCGATTCCATGGGTGCAGGAGGTTGGGCCCAGTCCAGTATCGCGGTCTCAACAGGCGGCGTGTCATAGGAACTGGAAGGAAAGTTGGTCTCGATGTTCACGGTACAATTCTCCAGAACAGCCGGATGATAATCAGTCGCTGTGATTCTGCCAGGTGCGACACCAATCGCAGGAAGTAGTTTTGCGACTGCCAAACTCACAAGCCCTGTGCCAGCACCGAGCTCGATGATCTCCCGCCTGTCCGCAGCACTATCTTGGCCCATTCCAAATCGCTCTGGATCTGCGCACATCATGCCACTAAGTATGATGCTTGCACCCCAAGACTGAAGTCCGACGGCCGTGTGGTCTGTACTCGATAGTGGCGCGTCATTTAGGGTAACCTGAATGGGCACTCCAGTGGATGTGAGGAAAGAGAAATCTCGCGTCAGGGCCTCTTCCTTGTCGTCAGTAGACTCAAACAGGCTCGAAAGAATGAAGCCCGCATCATCTACAAGTCTTTCTCGCACTTCATCATCGATTTCCATCTCTTCTGAGCGCGCAAGAAGCGAGTTCAGCCATTGAGTGGTAAAAGTGCGCTCGAACGGGTCGGCGCGGAGAGCTGCTGTCACCTCTTCGGGCGTGGCTTCGCTATCATCATCTTCGCCTTCGTCTTGAGACGCGTAACCAGAATCCGCGGGTTCTGGTGGTGATGCAATGGAAGTGTGCTCTCGTTTTGATGTCGTGTGTGCGATGGCAGTCGGAAGGCGTACAGGACAGTACAGTACCTGCAGATTCTTGAGTGCGGCGAAAACCTGATCTTCAGATGCCGACAGCAGCGAACGAATAGGTGGTAGACTGCTTGATGGTGGCAGACAACTGCCTATGAAGCTGACACTCATCTGACGCCTCGCTAACGAACGAACGAACGAACAGACCAGGGAACGCACACAGGGGAAAGGAATGTGGAGAGAAGGAATGAATGAACTGGAGAAGGCGTGGAGACAGGGTTCGACTATAATTTAAGAAGCGAAGACAAGGGACAATTTGGCGATACTTAGTTTAGCCTCACGCTCGGGCAAAATCGTGACATCTAGAACTTTTCACCGCCTATCGTTTGGCATCGTGTGGGCGTTTATAAGGGTGAATACAAATGCACATGCTGGGCTTGCTTTGACATCCTTGAATGGATTTGGTCACAACATCAGCCAAATACAAGATATGCGGATCGTAGGCCATAGTACAAAGAATCGTGCCTTCATATGTACTCCAAGTTGTTTCGCGAATTTTGCGTGGGATGGCAAGCGCCACGTGGATCGCTAAGCCGAGCCTCATCGACGCTATTCGTGAAGAGGTCTAGTGTCCATCTCTGTAGACTCAATCGTCCAAGATCCAATCTTCGGTCAACCCCGGCAAATTCGAGTCGCGCCGACGAAAATAACCTTGAAACATCTTGGTATACCCTATCCGGAATCTCTCCAACAGCACGTTGATTGTAGCACTAGTGGCTTGGGATCGCCTTGCGCGATATGGTGTCCAAGCTGCTCAGTCTCCGACAGCACGGTTCCTCGGGATCACGTTGTTTGCTTATTTCGGTAGAGCATGATAGGCATGGGAGCCCACTAACTTCATCCACGACGCTTCAGCCGTCGCGCTAGCTACGCCTTCGTAGGAGTTTTCTCTTGTACTTAGGGAAGTTTCTGATCTTAACAAATAGCGTGCACCATATCGCTGGTTGAGCAACTGTGAAGACGCTCCAGAATATGTTTTATCAGAAGGATGTCTGCGCACGTGAGATCATCGTCTCCGATTGGTCTCGCTACGACTATTTCACGCCAAGATACAACGACACGATTCTCAATTTACTCCGATCGAGTGGAAAAGAAGGAGTGCTGATTCACATACTCTAAGTAGTGACCCTACTGCATCGTTCTATTGGAAACATCACTCTTCCAACTTCTCACTTGCGCAAAGATCCAGCACGCATCCCGTTTTTCACTAAGTCAAGACAAGACGTAAGGAAATGACACTTTTGGTGAGAAGAGGTACAATTTTTTCGTTCTTATATCGCAAAGCAAAATCTGTGATATGAATACGGAACCTAGCCTACAGATTGTCGTTGTTATCATCTGCCTATGTTTCCATATACTGCCCAACTCGGGTTCATCACTCCATCTAAATCTTCGTGCCTTCTCTGTTGATCTCTTTTGAACTATGTTACCTTGGACAACTCGACTAGAATGTCTTGGAATCGGATTGTAATTACTCTGTGCTTCTGCTTACTCATGGTTCATGTCATCGCCGCTTACATATACTATCTAGTTAATTGCTGGCGATAGCCCTACAGGCCATGCTAGAAGCAGGAAAGCAAATGATTCAAGTCTTAAGGAGGTTATGAGGAAAGCTTGTAGTGAGGATAGCAATGAGTTCCACCCGACATCCTAGTGCTGCTACCTGTCGAGTCTGGTAATCACGCGAGTTCGAACTCATCCTTATCAGGCCGGCCAAATACTATCCTAAGTTTAGTGAAGGACAACAACACATTGATAGGTATGCGATAAGTTGCGTAATGTGCGACGAGACTATTTAGCTTATAAAAGAGGGGTACCACTCACTTCTAACTCGTCTGATCATTAAAGCATAGTGATCTGCGTTGGCAAAGACATTTTCGGAGACTGATACTTCACTGCTACTAATGGGCAAGCTACAGATGATAAAGTGAAGCATTATAGCAGGAATTAACTCCAGAAGTGGGGTGTGGGCTAGAGATGGGTAAAACAGGAAGGAGTTTCGGGCGCGAACATCCGATGACCGGACCTAACTCGCCCCACCAACGAAATCTTATCAGATCGATTTGACGCTGGATTCATAGTAGCCAGCGGATATCCAATTCGATCCGAATACTGCGTCCTTCTTGTTGAAAGTATCTGCAATTATTATGGCTACAGTAAAGAATCTGCGAATAGGCGTTGACGTCGGCGGGCAAGTACTGTGCAAATGAGCTAGAAGAGCCGTAAGGCTAACATTACCCATAGGACGAACACTGATGGAGTCATCATCGATCCCACGAGATCAAGTGAAGATGGACGGGGAATTATTGCTTGGTACGAGTCCGATGTCCGCATGCTCATCAACACGTTTTCTTGCTTAGGCTCCTTCCTCACGAACTCCAACAAACACAAATCATAATGGCTACTCGAATCCGATACAACGTTTTTGAGAATGAGAGCTCATACCAAGGTTTAGGCACAAGGCTCCCACCACTACCAACCCAAGCCATGGCATCGCCGACGCCATCACTACCATGTTCAAATCCGCCTCTGTAGATCCATCCTCCGTTGCGAGCGTGACAATAGGAACCACTCACTTTGTCAATGCTGTAGTGACCCGTGATAGGATGCGCCTCTCACAAGTCGCGGTAATCCGTCTTTCCGGACCTTTCAGCAAACATGCACCGCCATGTGTCGACTGGCCAGCTTCTCTGCGGAACATCATCCTTGGGCATTACGCTCTCATCAAGGGAGGCCTAGAAGTAGATGGCAGTGTGATATCTGATATTAAAGAGCAGGACATTGTGGAGCAATGCAGCCTTATCAAAGAGAAGGGAATCAGAAGTATAGTAGTGAACGGCGTCTTCAGTCCTATCGATACAGTAGAGAAGCAAGAAGAGCGTGCTGCCGACATCATCAAGCGCGAACTAGGAGAAAAGGTTGATATAGTTCTCAGCAAGACTGTCGCCAACCTCGGATTCCTAGAGCGAGAGAACGCCGCGATATTGAATGCCTCAATCCTATCCTTTGCAAGAAAGACGATAGCATCATTTCAGACACCAATTAAGGAGCTCGGACTTAGCTGCCCTGTCTTCATTACTCAGAATGATGGCACGATACTAAGTGGCGAGGCGGCAAGTCGGCTGCCCATCCGAACTTTCTCATCTGGCCCAACAAACAGTATGCGAGGCGCTGCTTTCCTTGTCGGAAGGCAGGAAGACGGCGAGGCAATGATGGTTGTTGACATTGGTGGAACAACCACTGATGTGGGCTTGTTGCTCGCAAACGGCTTTCCCAGGCAGCAAGCCGCATACTCGGAGCTTTCTGGAGTTAGAATGAATTTTTCATATCCCGATGTAAAGAGTATAGGACTAGGAGGCGGTAGCTTGGTACGAAGAGTTGGAAAGAGAATGCAAGTAGGACCAGAGTCAGTAGGGTACAAGCTGCCAGAAAAGGCGCTTGTCTTTGGCGGCGACGTGCCTACGGCAACTGACTACACTGTCGCGGCCTCCTCTGATGTTGCAATAGGACATCCAGAAAAGGTGCGAGCGAAGCTGCAGGAAGACGACATACAAGCATTTAAAGCCGAGACGAAGAGCATGCTTGAGAATATCATTGACAAGATGAAGACATCACCTGATGATCTCCCCGTTCTGCTCGTCGGCGGTGGTGCGGTGATAGCTCCAGATGAGCTGAAGGGAGCGAGTAGAGTAATCAAACCTCAATGGTCGGGTGTAGCCAACGCTATTGGTGCTGCGATGGCGCGTGTAAGCGCCGTCATCGATACTGTCAAGTCAACTGAGAAGCAGACCCAGAAAGAACTACTAGCTGAGATATGCGAGGAAGCTAAACAGAAGACCATCGAGGCAGGTGCCTCAGCGGAAACGGTTTCCATCGTTGAGGTAGAAGATCTTCCGTTGCAGTATGTCGCTAACAAAACGCGTTTTATGGTCAGAGCTGCGGGAGATTTTGACTTCTCACGGGCAGGAGATTTTGCGGATCTGAATGTCACTAAGGAGGGAGACACTGTAGAGACTGGGTTAGAACACGCAAGCGATGCCATCGCAGCGCCTTCGAGCGAGGATGCAGCTAACGAAGTTGACGCAACACCAGAAGTTGACATTACTGCGTATAAGCCTAGAGTAGTTAACCGGGAGTGGTGGGTATCAGAGACCGATCTAGACTGGATTACCATCGGTTGCTACATCCTAGGCACCGGTGGAGGAGGCTCTCCGTACTCTACTATGCTCCGGGTACGCGGCATTCTACGATCTGGTGGAAGTGTTCGCGTCGTGAGTCCAGACGATCTCAAAGACGACGCGCGAGTAGGAAGTGGCGGTGGTGCTGGCAGCCCAACAGTCGGTATCGAGAAGCTCTCCGCTGATGAGTAAGTTTTGTATTGACATGACACTCTGCTTTTGCTAACGCTTGTGTAGAATGATGGATGCTCAAAATCACCTATATGATCTCATCAAGGGCGGCTACGCGACGCACATCATACCCCTAGAGATCGGCGGCTCGAACGGTTTGCAAGGCCTCGTCTTGGGTGCTTCGACCAACATGAATGTACCATGCGTAGACGGTGACTGGATGGGCCGAGCATATCCAACTAAATGGCAAACAACACCCGTCGTATTTGGCGAGCGAGAAATCGTCTTCGCGCCAGTCGCAGTGGCCGATGGCAACGGTAATACGCTATATATGCCCACTGCAACGAGTGACTTGAAGGTCGAACAAGTCATTAGAGCAGCATTGAGTCAGATGGGAAGCGCTGTCGGAACAGCTGATGCACCGGTTACGGGCTCCGAGACAAGACGATGGGCTGTCGAACACACAATCTCGCTGTCCTGGAGGATAGGAAGAGAGGTAGCACGCGCGCGCAAAGAGAACAGAATCGACAATGTGGCGCAATCAATCATCGACGCGGTCGGAGGCGCTGAAACAGGTCGCGCGCTTTTCAAAGGGAAGATCGTCGGCGTAGAGCGCAAACTGTACATGGGCCACGTGTATGGTGAAGTGATCGTAGAAGGCACCGGAAGCGAGTATCAAGGCAAGATCAAGATACCCTTCAAGAACGAGAACATTGCTGCGATTCGGATACCGGATGGCGGAGAAAGTAAGACTGGTGAGGAGAAGAATGAAGACGTACTCGCCATTGTGCCTGACCTTGTTGCGGTCATCGATGCGCAAAATGGCGAGGCTATTGGAACGCCAGAGTATCGTTACGGACTGCTAGTCTCAGTGATTGGTATCACTGCAAGTGAGCGCTGGACTAGTCCGAAAGGGATTGAGATTGGGGGGCCGAAGGCATTTGGATTGGACCACTTGAAGTACAAACCTCTGGGAAAGTTTGTGAAACCTGTCAGCGTTATTGACGAGTATGACAGAAAGCAATGAGTGCCAAGTGCAGAGATTGACAGGATGATCTCTGAAAAGGAGCGCAATGTCTTAGGTCGTTTCTTGCATCTATAATGCTTCGGCTTGCTCCATGCCAGGATACAGCGGCAAGATGATCTTCACAGCAGCCTCGTAGCTCGTGAATAGTATGCCACCACTAAACACGGTGCGCCCCAATCTCATCGTTGTGCCTTTCCAGAATCCTTTGATACCATAATCCAACAATACACTCTTTACAGCCTCGGCAGTGCTTGTACCTTTTGCGCTCTGTGATCTCGTCTTGATAACATCAAAAGGCTGCGTAGAGAGGGTCGTCACGACGCCTGCTACCGATCCGTTTGCAAAATTAACAGCAGTGTTCTGTTCGATGTTCTTGGTCTTCTCAAAGTCTTTGAGAATATTGTACGTTCCCATCCGGAATGCTGTCGCTGATGCTTGTTTGAGGGTGGTACCTGCGAACCCACGGTAAAGACCGAGTATACCGTGCTCTTTCCAGATCGTTGTAGTTGCATGGAAACCGGAGCGAAAACGTTTTTCGTTTCTGGCGTCATCAATAAGTGCCGTTTTGATGCGCTCGGTAGGTGTGACTGCAGTGATCGATGCGACTACCCCAGCAGTCATGCCGGCCAACAGATTGCGAAGAGGGGACAGTGTGCCAGTATCCGGGTCTGCGAAGGATGACTTAATCTGGTCGAAGAAGAGAAAGCGAACGGCATCTTTGCCTACTGAACCAAAGACCAGGGCTCCGCAGCCTTTGTAAAGCGCTTTGATTCCCTCCTTTTGATAGACCTGAGTCACGACGAGGAAAGGATTCCGCGGTGTCGGAACGCCTTTCTCAGCTCTCAACTGTACACGCGTTTTCGCGAACTCTAGAGGGTACTGCAAGTGAAATAAGTCACGGGACCAGGACCGGAATGCCTCTTTGGACGTACCGAAAGAAAGCCTTCCACACCGCCAGCAATGCCGCCGGCTGCCAAAGAGACTACCGCGGGTGTATTCTTGTCCTTGCAATCGTCAATACAGCGCTTTAGAGATCTTGGGCGAGCTTACATTGCCTCCTGAAACCATTTGCGTCTAGGAATATTAGGATAAAGATGATGTTGTGATGACAAGTGATGCGGTCGGCGGGAAAGATGCAGATACCTAGGTATGCAGCCAGCCGATAGCCGAGCCAACGGCTCCGGCCTCAGCAACGCCGACGCGAAATCGACGCGTCGAAACGAAATAATACGGTTACGGAACCATGATCACGAAATTGACTTCACGGTCATACACACTCCTCTCACGTTTCAATACTACGGAGACGGGGTTGAGAATCTCATTTAGTGTATATACGTATGACGTCACCCGGTTATCGAGCAATTCCTGTATGGAAGCCACTCGCAGCACGCCAATGCAAGACGGCTGAACTATGCTCTAGGAGGTCATAAGAAATTCCTACTACTCCTTGAAGGCCAACCGTCACATCTGGTCAATCATGTCCTACCAAATACGATCTGGCTACCTTCGTTCGCGCTGATTCCATGCTACCAAGACCCGCAATACCGGATTCCGTTCACCCACCTATTATGAGGACTTGATTGGCACGAGACTCGGTTTTGAACTTGCATTTAATTACTTGTGTGACCGGGTTGTCTGCTATGACTAGGCTGCCGCATCGTCTAACTTGAACAAACTATCGAATCGATTGTCCCTTGCTGCAGCATAAGCAGCCATCTTCTCGTCGTCACTATCGTCATCGCTCTCGTCTTGCGCATCATTAATGGGCTTGCCCAGTTTCTTGAGGGCGGCATCCACGTTCCAAGCAATCCTTTCAGCGCCTACTCTTGCTCCGACCAGGTTCGGTGCTCCAGGCCCAAGTCTCAATCCGGCCAGTCGTCCTGTCACGAACAGGGGAACATCGTCATTCCACATCAGGTCTTCATTCAGGCATGGTAAGCCTCCCACATACTTAATTGGATATTGTTGTTGGATGTTTTGAAGATAGGGGATGGTGCGGATGTCGGACTGGATACCGGTTGCAAAGACCATGTAGTCGACAGGCGGGAGCTTGAGGATTGATTCTGTCGAAGAGACCTCACAGGCCCATGTTTTTGAGAACTGTTCCCATGATACGGATTGAAGTTTGGTATAAGTATGGAGCTCGATCTTCCCGTGCGCGATATGCATATCAAGAATCTTCCGGTACCGCGGTGTCATACTGCCTCCGTTGCGGGCTTGCACTATCATCTCAAAGCGCTCTACGAACTATTGTCAGCCATGATCACCAAGCAAGAGTGTCGAATCACCTTCGTCTGTATCTGCCGTCCAGAATTCGGCTTGCTTGAAGTTCCGGAACTTGCCAACCCACTCTAGGTCTACGTCGAAGTGCTTCACCTTTAGTGGTCCACGCATGAGCATCCATACTTTGTTGACGCCCCGTTTGATCGCCAAATCTGCGAGTTGGATGCTCGTCAAACCGCCACCGACGATGAGCATGCTGGTCGACTGGCGAGCCTTGATTTTAGCTGTTACATGAGGTGGTGGAAACTGCTTGATCTGCATCGCGTGGGCGAATCCTTCGTGTGGACGTTGAGCAGGTAGACCAGGAACGGAGGGTATTGATGGCGTATTTCCAGGACCAATAGCCAGAATAACTAGGTGTGCGAAGCATACGCCTTGGTCTGTTTCGACTCGGAACACTTTCTTCTCATCCACCATCGCACTATCGGAGATGACACTTCCGAACTCTGCCTCGTCAAACTTCGAGATCTCGTCGTATTCAATGTCCACGACGCTCTCTTTCCTCAACAGATCCTTGCCAAGCCGGTATCTTTCGACGACCTCTTCGCAATGTGCGTCAAACAGATCGGTACGCGGTACAAAGTAGTCTTTTCGATCCCTTTCATCAACATCTGGTGTGCGACCTAGAAATCGACCTTGCGACTTCAGGTTCCTCTTCTTTTTGTGCTTGCTAACTTCCTTTCCGGCAACGCCAGGTAGGGCTTGGATGTCCTTTTCCCTCTCCTTCTCGTACGTGTACCCGAGCAGTGCATCGCGATCGGCGGGATCAACGTGGAAGAACATTGGACTTCGGAGATAATCAATGTGGAAAGTCTTGAACAGGCGTTTCCATCTGGACATCCAGTCTGCTCCATCTGCATCAAGGACCAGCATATCTATTGCTTCCTCGGATGATGTCTCATGGTCGCAACCACAGTCTGAGTTACCAGGGGTTGAGGGTGGCGTTGGCAATGAGTCCTTATTTGTTCGGTAGTTTTTGATGTTCATCTTCCGGCCATGTTTCCGGATCCAATGGTACCGTTGGTGCTCATCATCTGTGAAGGTTGCTGATGGTGTCTGTTCACGGAGTCGTGCTGCTATTGCTAAACCAGCTGGCCCGCCGCCAACAATAAGTACGTCGTGGATGTGCATTGTGTTGCAGTATGGAAATGCCGGGTTGAAATTCTGATCAACTGTGTAGATTATGAAACGTCAAAATACTTCCAATGTCTTGTGCCCATGTGAGTACCTGATGGCTAGTGTGCCAAATTGGGCGACATCCATCATGGTGCTAAAGGTACCCCGATGATGAGGACACGACCTCACTCAGACAACCGGTCGGTGCCAGGGGCACAGGTCGCTTCAAGTGCACCTTCAATCATGGCTTGTTTGGAGAAGAACAATTATTCAAATGTATGGGCGCAAGTGGGTCACAGTTTTGTTCATGAGAATCCGTCTATTCTTTCAAACAACATGGTACGATTCGTGATGCTTGTGACCCTCAGTAGTTGCAAACGTCCGCCAACTCGCAGGAGTACTCAAGCTCGACACCCGTTGTGACCTTGCGTCTTCCATCTCAATCGCACTGGTGATAAATTGTGGGTCGTTGTCTTCTCTCTGCTTCCCCAGACCGCCATTCATATCTTCCTGGCTCTCCGTACGCCGGAATATATCTCGGAAGCCTCTAGGTATCTGTTGTGGTCTAGGTTCTGGCCAATAAGCGTGGGTACGCGAGGACTGCTGCGCTCGCGTGACTGAGCTAGGCCCGTATGGATTATCCGCAGTATATTTGTGCGAACTCCAGTTTCTCAGGCCGAAGACGCGTTGAATAAGTGGGTAGGTAAGGGGCAGGTTGGCGCAGAGTATGGCTGTGTACGACTCTCGGAGGTACCAAATCGTCCACTCGGTCCCGAATGGGTTTGTAAATGAGTAGTACTTATTAAGGGCTGCAGCGACTATGGTGAACGCTCCTATACAGAAGATCACAAAGAGGATAGTCTTGTTTTTCTTCGGTAGGCGAACTTTGAAGAGCAGCGGCATGGGTATGCTCAGAATGATCAAATCACTGGAGATGTTGAAGACCGCGTTGGTGATGAGATGATTGGTTGCTGCCGAACATTGTTCTGGTACCGTAAGTAATTTGTGATCAAGGGTTGCAAAGTCACTCACTCGAATTGGGGGGTACTGCCCAATACTGACTGAACGGTCTGCACCAGACCCCGAGATACAGCACTTCCATGACCACAAATGCGACGGCGACGTAGATAGAGGTGGCGACTACGATCTTGTGTTGCGGTAGAACCAGCGTCATACGGTTGTACATTATGAGCAAGCAGGCCTTGACCAACCATATCGTAAGGAGTTGCATCTGCTCTGCTACCACGACGAGCTTGGATCCGTATATACGCATGTTGATCTCAGTCTCGGAGTATTGGGAGACATCGTCTCCGGGCGGTATTAAGTTGCCTACAATTCGATGCAAGAAATTAGCAAACGTCTCACACGTATTTTGTACATAGGATTTACGTACTGCTAGTCTTTGTGATCTGGTGCATGATAGCGATAAGCACTGTGTCCGTAGCCTTAAATATTGATCAGCACCTACAGTCGCTCGACGTTGTGGGCCACAAACCATAGCTACAATAATTAGGTAATCATCCCATTGTAACAATTTCCATGATCCCCGATGTATTCTTCGTGAAATAAGTCGAATAATGACAACGAACCAGCACACGCCATAGAAAATTCCAGCTTCAGGCTCGAGCACTCCCGACATAGGTATTTGGTTGGCCCGAGAGCCGAGAGAGTTGCGACGTTCAAAGGTTGGGCCAGCGGACGGCGACTAGTCCGGGTTTGGGTTGCTCAGGGCTTTGGCGGCTGTTAAGTAAACGTTGTTGTAAATATCGTGTATAGGGCTCTTGGAAGTGATAGGACCACGAGGCGTTGGAAAACAAAACAGATCGTCGAAAAAGTGCCGAGCGCCCAGTCAGCAGCCGTGTGTTGTGACCACAGGCACAATCTTGTGAAAGACGGGTGTGAATTCAGTAGTCACTCGGCATTTACTTTGTGGTGTCGGCGGCTTTTCGTCACTGGTAGCTTCATTGACAGTTTAATGGGCGCTCTGGGATGTTGCTCTGGGGTATCGCTGTCGGAGGTCGCTTTGGGGTGGTCGCACAGTGTTCCAAGTGGAAGTATTTGGGCTGAGGAGACAGCGCTCAGAAACTGAGATCCCCCGGACCCCAAGATATCAGGCTAGTCACCTAAAGTGTCGCAAGTGCCACTTTTAATGGAGCTTTGCGTTCTTCGATGATCTACGCAATCGGCCAAGGACGGTCATCCAGCTTCGACACTTGTGGGACTGGCGGCAGTGCGGATTGGATGACGCGCTCCCCTGACAGCCCCAACCCAGGACTGAGTCGTCAAATTCAAAGTCCGCGGCAATATCGCAATGTTGGTTGTTGACCGGAAACCTTTCGCGACGTTTTGTGGTACGATTGAAGAAGAACTGTTACAGCAAGTCAAATGCAGAATGAGTTTTTCGGCGCTGCTTCGGTGATTTTGCAGTGATGCAAAGTGCGACTTTAGGCGACCACCGTTCATATCATAGGCATCTTATACCATCCGTTACCAGCGGCCCTGCGGGCTTGACTCGAGGGAGGTTTTGTAGTGACATCGCAGTGGAAAGGCCATGGCTTCTGGAAAGTTTCGCGGGGCGTGTTAGCCCGGGGGAGTGACATGTTTTGTGTCCTACGGGCCGGGCGGCACCGCTATTCTACGCCTCAATTGGCGGACCCTGGCCGTAAGCGTACTACTCACGACCCGCAGAATCGTCGACCTTGCTTCAGGCGTTCAATGTGAGGTGGAGGAAAATCGCGCAGTTACAACAAGCTCCCAGGAACCTTGTCGTAGATAAAACCGAAGGAGAAGCGTTGTTATGCGCACTCTTGGCGCAGGCGGCATCTCTGCCTCACAAACGAGAGCGTACGGAAATCGCAGTGCTACGTCAAATACACTCAGCCCAAATACCCTCGAGCACAGACACAATAATCACAAGACAGATCTGCACAACTAATGAACTGCTACTACGATCTACCGTTAGTCATCAACCTCGCGATCTCCAGCGAAGGGGCAGCGAACTCACCAGAATAGCATCCAGAAGAAGATAGGGAAAGGTATGTTCGTTAGGCGGCTAGGGCAGCGAGATCAAGTCGGAGATAATTTAGAGAACACTGAAATACACCTGTGTGGTGAGCGCGATGACGACCCGGACAGCGACCTGGAAGACGCAATCCTCGACAATAAAACTGAAAAGCTTTAAGCGAAGATCCAGCCGTCATTCAGCGAGCAACCTCGCCGGATTCATCAAGGCCATGCTTTTGCCTATCTGTATCTACGGACTATGGCAAGGAAGCCAGTCAGTGATATACAAAATGGGCATTATATCACTAGACTCGCTGGGCCGGAATCAGTGCTGTTTTCCTTCATCAAGGAGGGTTTGGATGAGCACGACCTCTCTCCCGACCTACAGCATATGAAATGTACGCAACTCGGACTTGTAAAACATGATACATAAGAGAAATGGAGATGAAACGTCGGCTACGGCCATCTTTCGTACCAGTGCTACGGCGCCGGCTACAGGAGCCCGTTTCACGCGTCTCGAGACAGAACCCTAGTCTACCAAGGTCATAGCAGATGTGGGATAGCGGCGCAGGTTAAAGAGGAAGAGAACGAAGGAGGGAAGTCGAAGAAGCAGATCTTGGAAGACTATATGCACCTACTATTGTGTTTCGCTGTGGCATAATTCAATATCGTGTGTACAGCAGGTCCAATAACCGACACAATACTACTACCTACGGCCTGGACGTTGCAGCCAGATTTACCATTACACATGGTCTCGCTATACCGACCAGCGTATCAACAATCCTGTCTGCCTAGCCGAACTCACCGTGTTTCAAAATTTTATATCGATATTGTAGACGATTGCGAATACCTCCAGCATGCACCTTAGTAGTTACTAAATGAGGTACAGGTTGACAAATGCGAGCTTCTTTATACAGGTGGCTGCGATTGCTTTGTATCAGATCGGGTTTCAGGATAAGACCGTTTCCTACTGGGTTTTCGACCTGGCCTTGACTCACAGTATCGATACGTCTTACGAACAAGCTTTGATCAACAACATCTCTGGGGTTGGCATTAGCGATAGGATCGACGGGCGGGATAACAGTTGATTGTGTGTCACGTGGCTTAAGATCAGTAATCCCTGATGGAAGGAAGCAAGCAACTCTTTAATGTCGTCTATATGGTAGCGACTCATGAAAGAGTTTGTTAGGTATAGTGGTTGAGCATAGGCTACTAAGCTTGCGCGTAGGATACGTTCCTGCTAGCTACGGTGAGCGATTCTTAGGTGTCCAGCAGTGTCACAACGGGTAATACCTACGCGGAGCTTATCGCTCCTCGAACGCCATGTGGAACCCAACGGGTGAGGCCGTCATACGGAAGTCTATACCTGTTGAAGCATGTCCAGCCGTATCGCAGTGTTGTAGGATGTAAACCCTAGTGCTAGATATCGGAATAATTCCGTCGTGACACCCGTGGATCCTAATCTTAGACAACACGAACACGAGCACAAACATAAGCAGTCTCCTTCTCTGTGCCACCTCTGAAGTCGCCAGATGCTACGTATGCCTCGTAGCACAGAATACCACGGATTGAAAGATACAATTACCCAACCTCCTAATATACAGCTTCTTCGTGATTCGCTTTGGGGTCGCGTGCCGGCAGGGGCACGCGATCTCCTCCACACCTCCTACTGACTAGGGTAGTCTAGCCGAACGCCGAACCATGCACTGATAAAGAGATAGCACCTCGCCCGTCGTCATTCGCCGCGCAAACGCCTATCATCCATACTAATGGGTTATGACGCTGCTTCCGGACACTGCCCAGACGTCGTAGCATGGCTTCGCGTGTACTCTCCCACTTGGAGTAGGGACACCCCGCTTACGACCCTGCTGCGCGATGATATGCAGACTGGGGTGTGGGCGTATATAGACGAGTTGCTGCACTTTGCGCGTTGCTAGAGTTCTAGTATACCAACTCGTGTCGCGATTTTTTCACTAGTTGAGCGCGTTCTTCGACTGCGACTGCGACTGCGACTGCGACTGCGACTGCGACGACGACGCGCGCGCATGCATTTTCCCTTGTAACAATGACAACCTCCCATCACCGGAACCGCTCCGTCGCGGAGGAACCTGTAACTTCTGTTCTTCCAGACGGCGATATACCTTACGACCCCACGCATTCTCTTAACCCAGACGAAGAAGCTCTGGCGGCGCTTGGATACAAATCCGAGTTCAAGAGAGAATTTTCACTCTTTACCACATTCTGTGTCAGCTTTGCAGTTCTGGGTCTATTACCCAGTTTTGCATCTACACTTTACTATGGCATGGGCTACGCGGGTACGGCTGGTATGACTTGGGGCTGGGTCGTGGCGATGATAGGAATTCAATGTGTGGCTATGAGTATGGCGGAGCTGTGTAGTAGTATGCCGACGAGCGGAGGGTTGTATTATGCTTCTGCAGTCCTGGCACCGCCTGGCTGGGGACCTTTTGCAGCGTGGCTTACTGGTTGGAGCAATTGGCTCGCTCAGATCACAGCAGCACCGTCAGGCAAGTACAAGACCGATATTCTTTTCTTGGTTGATATGGGCATGCAGTTGACTGTTTTGAGCAGTCAATTATGGGATTGCGGCCATGATACTTGCGGCGGCTAGTATCAACAACCCGTCTTACGTCCCGACAGATTATCAGACGTTTCTGTTGACGGTCTTTATCATGATACTGCATGCCACTCTTTCCTCAATGCCGACACGATGGCTGGCACAACTCAATTCCGCTGGTTCAACATTCAACTTCATCGCGCTCATCGTGGTTCTCATCATGATACCTGCCGGTACAGACCGCACGGATCGCGGCCTACCTCGTTTTGCCCCTTCCAGCGAGGTCTGGGGCACGATTTATGAGGGGACATCCTTTCCAGCAGGCATCTCAGTTCTGATGTCCTTCATCGGCGTCATCTGGACCATGTCAGGCTACGATTCACCCTTTCATCTTGCAGAGGAATGCTCCAATGCTAACCTGGCTTCTCCCCGCGCTATCGTCCTGACTTCTGCTACTGGGGGTTTGTTCGGCTGGTTCCTCCAGCTAGTCGTTGCGTATACCGTCGTTGATATCGACCTAGTCCTTGACTCTGAGCTCGGACAGCCATTCGCTGCGTACCTAATGCAATGCATGTCGCAAAAGATGACGTTGGCCATCCTTGCTCTAACCATCATCGCGGGGTTCAGCATGGGTCAAGGATGTATGATCGCTGCAAGCAGGGTCACATTCGCTTATGCTCGTGACGATTGTTTTCCTTTGAGCAAATACTGGAAAAGGGTTAATCGACATACTCAGACACCTGCAAATGCAGTGTGGTTTAACTGCGCAATCGGCATATTGTGCCTGCTGCTTATCTTTGGTGGAGAGCTGGCAGTCGGGGCGCTGTTCTCGATTGGCGCTATCGCGGCTTTTGTGTAAGTTTTTGTGAGCATGGTGTGATTGCTCTGCTAATATGTGACAGCGCGTTTACCATACCAATCTTCATCCGCGTCTTCTTCGTAGGCAATCGCTTCAGACCGGGTCCCTGGAACCTAGGGAAATACTCCAGTGCTATAGGCAGCGTCGCATGCGCCTTTGTCTTGCTCATGATACCTATCCTCTGCTTTCCCAGTGTAACTGGAGCGGACTTGACGTAAGGTCCCAGCAGCACTCTCATATTATCTCGACAGGACTAACGCACTTGCAGAGCGGCAGACATGAACTGGACGTGTGTTGTTTACGGCGGTCCAATGTTATTGGTGACGATATGGTGGTTCGTCTCAGCGCATAAATGGTTCAAAGGACCAAAGGTAAACATCGAGCACATGATGCTCGGTCGGGAGGAAGCTGTTGTAATGGGACAGGGGTCAGTGGGTGATGGGAAGGATGGCGATAGCTTGTTGGGGGATGTTCAAGCACCGGAGAAGATTGCAAAGTCCTAAACAGAGGTGAAGCTGGAGGTTGCGCAGCCAATTTAGGAACAATAGAGCTGTATGATGTTACTAATGCAGGAGACGAATATTACTGCTTCCGGCGATGGTGTCTGCAAGGTTACGCGTACCCCTACCCTTGTACGGGGGAGTCGATTATGACGATAATAAAGACCATGCCTACGGGTGTCTTGAAGGTATATCAAGACGGAGGGATTCGGCGAACGCGGAAACAATGGTTGCGGTATGGGTTGGCGGCGATCAATTTTGGGTCCCGCAGGCACATCTCATCACGGAGGGATGATTCTGGCAATCTCGGCGAAGATGGTGGGCCATCAGCCATCCACTCTCGCCCGTCCTTTCCCTCGGCAACGATATAGCTGCTCGTCATAAAATCAATAGTGTATATATATTTACTAAAAATTAAATATCCATCGATCAGCTACTCAGCCTTCTAGGTTGGTCAATCTTCAGTAGTATAGTGGTCAGTATTTCCGCTTGTCACCATTTCTGGCAACTCGCGGGAGACCGGGGTTCAATTCCCCGCTGGAGAGAAGTGTATCTTTTTGTGTTTTGGTCTTTATGCATTTTTGCCTTCTTGTCTTGGTGTGGCTGGGCGCTGGAAAATCTCTTGACTCCGGGACGAGAAGTCATTCTCCCCGCTGTTCTTCGGCCAACCCTGTTTGTTTTTGTCTTCGCTCGTGCAAGCAACAGCGGAAGTCTATGATTGATCATGGACTTCTTACATGCTGCTGCGTTGGACTTTGCATACATCCTTGCCAAGCAGCGTGTCGCGCCGCGCGGATGAGCCCTCGCAGCTACCTCCGCCTCACCAACCTATCCAGACTTTCCAGAATATACCAAGACCTCACGATATTCGCATCATCACAAAGCTATAACAGTGTTAAAAACGTCATTGTTGTCTGCCTTTATGCGCAGGCTCGACGCGTATTACGCCGTAGCGCTGGAAAACGAGTACACTTCATGCACCCCGAGACTGCGTTTACCAAGATCATCAAGGCGCTCCGTCCCGTGTCACGTCTCGTTGGTTCGAAATAACCCTGAGGCTCTGTCGCGGATGCTTCGGCTTGTTTCAGCTCCACATGCATTCAGGAGCAGTGATGCCGATGCCACTCAAGCCAAGACTGACGAGAAGCCAAGGTATCTCCCCGAGCAGCAGAAACATATATCGTGGTGAATTCGTCAGCTTCAGATTGTGTCGTAGACTTGCGCCTATAGGAGTGTCTTCTTGTACACCTTCTGGACCACAGCGTCATTCGGTATTCGCGTGTTCGACACATCCTGGCATGTCCGTAATCGAGGTGTGTGCCCACACTCCGTGATTACCATATCCGATAGCAAAGTCCGACCACTACGCGTTCAGAGCCTAAGCCTTGATTATGCCCTAACGTGGAGCTACGAGCTGCTAGTAGCGTAATCAACATACGGAGTAAATGCTAGAATCTCTGTGCTCAAGACAAGCACAGCGAAGCTCTTGGGATGGATATGCCAATGCCGCCATCCTAGGTCGGCTGTCAACCTAACGCTCACAGGCGTTCGAGTATACTGTTGCATACGAAAGCTACTTTAGCTTCCAAGAGAATATCGCCGTAGCATTCGTCACCTACTGTTGCTAGTCTCTTCGACGATGTCTTGGAAGACCTCGATCAAGTCCCTTTTCTGCCCTCTCTTATTTACCCAAGCTAGCACCCAATAGCAATAAGTTGTCACTCGCTCCAAGCTACAAATATAATAGTTTTCCGTCAACATCCGCTTCGACTCATTCCAAAGCCATGTATGCTTCTCCGAGATTTCTCAACTGCAAATTCTTCATTTGGCTATCACTTTTCCTCATCGGTTTCCCGCTCCTCCTCCTTTGGAACCGATCTAGCTTAGAGGTCCTTTCTGTCCCGTATGCCCGACCACTTCCGAAGCCCATTCCGCAGTTCGTTGCACACGGCGACTCGAAATGTTTATCAGAAGTTCCGCCTGAGCTCATCGAAGAGGCTACGGCGACGCGTGCTACATGTCGAAAGTACTCCCCTTTTGCAACCGGAAGGGCGCGCATAGCGACCGTCACAGCACATTTCGGCAAGCCTCAAGAATACTACCAGAAAGCGTTCCAGACACATCTCCTTCACGCCTTGGTTCACGGTACCGAGGTTAGAGTGATGTGCGACCCGATCGTAGACGATCTGTGGAACAAACCAGCCTTCATACTCAACCTGCTCATGCGCGAGATGCTGAAACCAGAAAAAGAGCGGCTGGAGTGGATTCAATGGGTCGATCGGGATACCATCATCCTTGATCAATGTCGTCCTATATCGAGCTTCCTGCCCCCAGAGAAAGCACGCTTCGGCTCGTGGTGGCGCCGTGACGACGAGCAACCCCAAGCTCCAGCAAACACAACACATATGCTTGTGACCAAAGACTGGAACGGTCTCAACAACGGTATCTTCCTTCTTCGTGTCAACAGCTGGGCCATCGAACTCTTCACCGCTATCCTTGCCTTTCGCCACTACAACCCGGAAGTCGATCTCCCTTTTACCGAACAATCTGCCATGGAACACGTCCTACAAACCGACCAATTCAGAGATGAAGCGCGATTCGTGCCACAGCATTGGTTCAATGGATACGAAGAGGGTGGGGCACAAAAGTTTGAGGAAAGAGAGGATGTGGAGGGTTTGGACGAACGACACGTAAGAAGAGGTGATTACCTGGTTCATTTTGCTGGGCGTGGGAAGAGGGGAGATCTGTTGAACGAATGGAGTGAGATGCTGAACAAGTCAGGGATTGTATGGAAAAAGGACAGAGTGCAAAGAGATGTCTCGGGTGAAGTCGAGACATTTTGGAGAGATCTTGGGTATGGGGTATGAAGCAGTTTGGTAGATAGATGAGCTAATTTGGTCTCTTTGATCTAGACATCATGTATTTCGTTTACATTCGATATCTTCGCAACTCAGTAATAGCTTGAGCTTGGTGCATAGTCCGCCTTTGTGCCTGGGAAAGCGCCAGCAGGAGGACTGCGCTCGTCTTCGTCCGCGCTGTCATCTTCGTTCCCTTCAAAGGCCTCGCTCGGGTCTGGAGGCGCCCGCATCCGAATCAAAGCATCCTCATCCAGCGCTGGGACAATGAACATCTTCGTTGTGTGATACTCGCGCCCAGAAGGCATGCTTGCGAGCAACGGTTCTGAAGGAGGTACCAGTTGAACGCCAACCTAGTATCGTCAGTCACACTCAAAACACCAGAAATAGAGGAGTAAACATACGGTATCATTCTGCTTTTCCCACTTCTTCAGCAACATATCGACAATTCGTCCCTCTTCAAACTTGCCGGCATCAGTACCCCAATCTACACCCTTTTCAATCTTGCGATCTTCCCTCTTCTCCTGCCACTCCTTTTTCAGTTTGGAGAAGCCAGACGCCTTCTTCTCTTCCTCCGCTCCTAATGATGCAAACCCTAGTTCCTTCTTTGCGCCCCGTAGCCACGCAATGCCCTCTCCTGTTTTGCCACCTGCCTCGGCGTCGCAGGCGAGGAACCGACAGGCTTTACCCTTCGCCGTCCGTCGCAAATCATCCACGTATTTCAACAAGTCGTCGTTGATCTTCGAGGAGCGACCCAGCATGGCTTGAGCTTTGGCAGCGTGTTCCGACGAGGCAAGGCACAGTCGAGCGAAGAGATGCGCGCGGACCTTGGGTATATCGACACCTCTGAACATCCAGTCCTTGCTCTGCTTATTTCTATCTTCTATTACGACGGCTGGGTATGGGTCGTCTTTCAGGACTGTAATGAGTGTAGCCTCAGCCATAGTCAACTCTGCCAACGCCCCCAAGACGGACGCGGATATGTCTACGGCCGCAGGCTGTGAATTATACTGTCCTGACCGGTTCACCAAGTATGTATGTATGGAGTTTGCTTCGAGAAAATGCTTCATGGCAGCACCGATGGCAGTCGCGCGTTGTTCGGGCGAGGGTACGGTCGCATTGTAGAGTGTATGCAACTGTGCTCGAGCCTGCAGGCTGTATACGTATGCCAGTGTCGACAGTGTATAGCATAGCTCGCTCTCCAGGCTCTTGAGCTTCACTCTTGCCGGTTCACGACCCGGTGTTGACGATCCCAACGTTGAGCGCCATTCCACTTCCAGCTCTTTGACCAAGACCAGGTCGATCTCTTCGCCGGCGCAGCTCGCACCACTCAAACCTGCGTCAAGGGCGAACAAATAAGGTATGTAGTCGTTAAGGGCGGATGTTACGGTGGAGAGGTTCGAGGCTTGTGAGGCAGGCGGTATGCGCTTGTGTCGCTTGAGCACATCGCGTAGGACGCCTCGCGCAGTGGTTGCGCAGTTTGGTAGGGAAGGGTGTGTGCTGCTGTTGAAGTAATCGGTAAAGGATATACTGGATGTAGTTGGCAGGACGAAGGGAAAGGGCATCTTGTGGGGAGTTGAATGTTGCTGTTCGGAGCGGTCGTTGATGCAGGTACGCGGTCGTAGCGGGGTTGAGGAGCTAGCCTTGGCTTCATTATATCATGGGCGTAGGAGCAACAAAGAGATCGGTGTACGCCTAGAACCGAACATGTCCAACTTTGAATGTATCACGTCAGTCAAAAGAAATATACGCACTGTACCACTGCAGTTGTACACTTGTTCCAATAATTCGTGCTACATCAGTCTCTCCTCCGGCATGTGTATGTACAGATTCGCCAGTAAGAGAGGGTCGTTGCATCTCTTCAGCAGATGCTTGTCGAACGCCATAAACCCTTGTCATCGTGCTGGTGGTATTTCCCGCTGCGTGCCGTGTATGGTCTATCCGTTGTCCGTCCTTTCCTGCGAGTGACCACCGCTGTTGGCGGATTGGCTTATCGCTTGAGCGCATCGTCGACGTAGTTCTGTTGTGCGAAGAGATATCCCTTGATCTTTGCGTCTTTGAGGAGCTCAAAGTAACGCTCTGTTCAGCCCGTTAGCCTTCGCTCCCTCATGTTCATACCTCCGTCAGGCGACCTTGCGCCGCTATATCCACCCCAGGGCACCAATAATTTTTTTTCTACCAAGCATGTTTTTCTAGTCCATAGATGTGACGGAATACCTACCTCGCAGATGACCACACTTCTCCAAATGGTTAACCCCCTCCCTCCTGTAGCACTTGCCCATCTCCTCCCTCACCAACCTCGCCATCATGCTCCTCACCCACTGCTCCCTGATAATGGCATCTTGTGCGCCCTTGAGCGCAGTGTTGTCCTCGTAATCGACACCATCAAAGGTTGGCGCAACCTTGGGCTTTTTGGCGAGGAAGAGTTCGGACTCTGGCGTCGGCATTGCGGCGGCAAGAGGGTGCGTTCGGAGTTGGAGGTCGTGTAAATGGTTTTCGAGGACTCCGTCGAGTGAAGATCTGTCGTGCGACGGGGCAATTGACGGCGTTGCGAGGTGTGGTAGTCGTGATGTTGTGAGCTTTGAAAGGGCCGAGCTGCGATTGGCGGTTCGTGCACGTGACATAGCATCACCACCTGCACCTTTCTGGCCCCAGTTCCGAGTCTGACATATTTCCTCTGTCCCCATGGATACAAGTATCTCATAGTTACGTTATCTCATCTTTATCCTTTTCCCTTCCTCGATCCCACCATTCTCCTACTGCTGCTCCTACACCAACACTCCAACCCATACCTGGCCGCTGATTCTCATTACCTTTCCTGCTTACGTTTCCTTGATATTTCCTATGCCATCTCGCGGGATCGATTTTGATCTCACGTATCGACGAGTATAACACGCGTAGTCTTTTGTCCCTCTCATCCTCACAAGCAGAGCATATGCACTCAAGTTTGATGGTGTGGAGAGAGTGTACACGACCATCTTTGCATGGCTCAATAGTGTTTGTCATTGTTGTCGGTAAATGTGGTGGTGGATTATCGACTTCTTGGGTAGCGGTAGGTGAGGGCGAATGCGGTGAAACAGTCCGATCATTTGTGTTTAGAGGCTGAGGAACGTTTGTAGCTGGTGTAAGACTCATATCCTGCGTCTTGTTCACGCCTATTGAGTTATTGAAACCTAAAGACTTTGATGTATCGCTGCAGCTGATCGTGATATCCGCTCCCTCTTCCGAGTTGTCCTCTGGCAACAACGTCCTTTGCGAGTCTGTACACCTGCGACTACCTCTGAACCCCGTATCCTCATCTTGACTCTGCACCAGGTCCTTCGGTCTCTTCCTAGTCTTTCTGCGTGTATCCTTACAGTGCCTAACCGGCGTCTCTGAAAAGGTCGAGTGGCCGCAACCGATAAAAATGTATAACCGATAGTAGCACATGGTGCAAATACAGAGCGGAGTCTGAAAGGATGGGCCTATGCCATAAGATATCATTGCACGGTGATGACATGTCTCGCCGAACACATCGTTCACGGAACGTGTGATAGGGCTGCTTTGTCTACTTCAATGCGGCTTTATTTAAATCGGTAGTCACAAAGACTTCTCAGCGACGGGTCGTGCCCTGTGAGTAAGTGGCAATGTGCGCAGGAACACAATATGACTGGGACGCTCTGACTAGTCTGCGACCTGGTTTGGGTTTTTGTGTCATGTCTTCGCATACGAAGAAGCGGTTTTGTCTGCAAACATACCTTAGCTGTAATGCATGTTACTGGTAAACACCATGATTTGTTTAGCGCAGCGGCACAAAACGTGAACAAGAACGCGAGACCTAGGTAAGACTAAGACGCACAGACAGCTCTTTGGCTTGACAGGGCTTTGGTTATTACAATATTACATACTATAGTATCTTTACAATCTACATCCAGAACTTTTGGTCCAAAACACCTACCCCATGCTTGGCGATATATGAATTCGTTGAGAATCATCATGCCGTCGTCTCCTTGTCCTTTGCAACATCAGGATCACTAGCTTGCGCTTCGGGGTCAAGCGGTAATGTCCCTTTGCTAGCTCTCTTCTTGCGCCTCTCTGCACGCTCGGCTTCCCTCTCGAGCCTCTTAGCCTTCTCTGCTTCGATTCCAGTCTTGGTCTCCTCGTGCTGCTTATTGAGCTTGTTGCGCGTGATCAAAAGACTGACTGCAAGTCCCACAACAGCGAACGCGACGTAGAGTATCCACATGGTACTTAGTGAGTCTGCGAAGGCCTTTCGCGCAATGGCCTTTTGCTCATTGGGGAGGGATTGGATGAGCCCGACGTTGGCGCCAGCGGAGCCTCCACCAAACCTCGCCGCGGTCTCAGCGCCAAGCGAAGCGGCAAGCTGAGACTGCTTTGACTTCATTTCGTTGTTGAAGACGACTCCCCCTACAACGACCGAGATTGCCGATCCGAGATTACGGGTAAAACCAAAAGTAGCGGTCGCAGTAGCGATGTCGCGTTTCTAGCAAGGATGTCAGCATCGATTATCTAACGAATAGCATCTGTAGTCGTTCTACAGCAACCCCACCCCTAGCGTCATGCTAGATGATCACATGTGCAGGAGCAGAAAAAGGAACCCAGGATGGAACTTACCGGCACAAGACTCTGGAGGGCGATGAGCGGGGATTGAAAGTTTGGACCAACCCCAATTCCAGCAATGATTTGGAATATGATGATCTTGGCCCAGGAAGTGTTGACGTCAAAATCGATGAAGAGTCCAAAGCCCAGTGTCATCAAGATCATACCAGACCAAATCATAGGCAGATACTGCCCAGTCTTCTTTATAAAGATACCGGTGAAGGCGGAAAGGAACGATAGCGACAGGGCAGTAGGTAGCAGGTAAACACCAGAAAGGATGGGTGTCGCGCCAAGCACGGCCTGGAAATAGAGTGGCAGGAAGTAGCTGCCGCTGATAAAAACGAAGGCATGGAAGAAACAAGTAGCCAAAGCAGCCAGATTTGAACGCTTCGAGAAGAGATCGAGGGGCATAAGAGGGTACGGTGCCACCCGCCACTCAATGAGGAAGAAAATGCCAATGACGACGGCTCCGAAGATGATGAGACACAGTACTGTCGCGGAATCCCAAGGGTGCGATATACCTCCGAATTCCAAGCCGAGTAGTAGCATAACAACTCCACCGACCATGGTGAGCGATCCCAACCAGTCGACAGCCTTGAGGCCTTCTCGGAGCGGCGTCCTTGGTGTCTTGATATCGAGGAAGAACAAAAGGATAAGAAAAGCGACTCCGTCGAAAGGTAGGTTGATATAGAAACACCATCGCCAAGAGACTTTCTGGGTGAAGAGCCCTCCAACGACGGGCCCGAGTGAACTTGCCAATGCCCACACACCACCAATGATACCAAAATATTGTCCTCGATCTCGCACAGAGAAGAGATCTGAGATGGCGATATTCACAAGTGTGATGAGGCCTCCTCCGCCAATGCCCTGAATTACTCTTGAAGCAATCAACATGTCCATATTGACGGAAACACCCGCAAGGAGCGAGCCCACGAAGAAAATCGCATTCGTGAGTAACAATATAGGCTTCCTTCCGAAGATATCAGATATCTTGCCCCAGATCGGTGTAGCTGCCGACTGTGCGATGAGGTATGCCGAACCTATCCATGTGTATCCCGCTGCGCTGTTGAACTCTGCCGAGATCGTAGGTAAAGCGGTTGTGACGATGGTGATGTCCAGGGCAACGAGCAGAACCGCCACAGCCAGAGAGAGCATGATCAAGAAGATCTGTAGCTTTGTTCTTTGCGGGTGTTCGCCATCTTGCGCACCAGGTGCTGTCGGCGCAGCAGCGGCGCCATTCGCTCCAGCCTCGGCCTCTCCTACACCTTTCTCGGCATTTTGTGTAGTTGCATCTCTTTCAGTAAGACTGACATCGGTCGAAGAAGGGCTCGTAATATCGTGATCTTTATTCGGCGCGTTCGCATCAAGGTGTGCGTCCCCAGCTGGGACTGTCGCATCGTGTGTTGCGCTCATATTAGATATTGCTAAGGCACGACTATTGAAAATTCCAAGTGTGACGAGGCCGTGACATGTTATAAGGGTGCACAAAGTGTAAAACTGTGTAAAACGTTTGCGACACGCGCTGAAAGAAACTGGGTCGTTCTCGCGCCTCTCGGGGCTCTGGAACACCGAGCAAGGAGCGTCATTGCGTACATATGTCACTGAGATCGATCGCGCAAAGCTGGATCATGTGTGGCTGCTGGTATGCATTTTGCCGGAAATAAAGCCCTGGGCTGCTGCAGTCCGCGGACTGGATAAACGCTCAAGAGATTGCCGTACGGTACTCCGTGTGATGTGCGACTAAGGATGCGCTTTCGACGTTCGTGGCCTCCAGGAAGGCGCAGTTCAGCCCTGAGGACCGAAAAGTTTCGACTGAGAAGTAGCTGTTGTACGAGGTTGCGCAGGCTAACAGGGTATGCCACACCGTTATCTTCGGCTTCCTACAAGAGGCATTGCCATAGACGTTGTGCGGCGGACTGACATGCGGCAGAGACGCAGTGACACATAACTGCCGCGGGGCGAAAACCTCATCAAAGATGCCGCGGGAAGAGAAAGGAGAGAGCACGATAGTTGTTTAATATCCCAAGTTTCTGATATTTACACCAAGGCCCTAAGCATATGATTACTTTTCAACCCCATCTCATCTCCACTGTAATACCCGTGGATAGCTTGTTCTTCGCGTGCTCTAGGGTGAGCTATGATTAGCACGTCGATAACTAGCAAAAGGGCATTTCAGTCGCATGGAGCTTAAGAGGGAGCTCGACCTTCACACCGAAACGTAGCGTGAAGCTATCTGCAGTCTTTTACTTTGTCAAAAAGATTGCATGCGACAAGGCGAGTACCTTTGGGGCTCCTTTTAGTGCGAGGTAACTACTCTTGACACGCACGCAAGATGTGGTTTTTACTACGATGTGCGTGCTTTGGTGTTGTCCTGCCCGAACAGGCTTCTAGGCAGTCTAGAAGTCAAAGACTGTTTACTTGGCTTGTTGACGTTCCGTTGGATGGAGAGAACGTCATTCTCCACAAAATCCCCAGGCGCCGAGCGAGGGATGCAGCGGACGCTCGTGTGGAGGAGCAGGCGTTTGGACGAGTACCATGAATGGTTTTCGTCATATGCTGAAGCATCGGTGAGGTCGCGGGGGGGGGAACTGGCTTGGTGTTGAGAAGCTAGATGTAGGGCTAGTCTAAGGTGCAGGACATGTCGAGTGGGGGATGCGTCGCATTGCAGATGGCTTTCGCATCTTTGTCAATAGCAGTCGGTCGAGTGGAGTCAACAATGTCAGCATACATCAGCAGTTGTCTCCCAAGGCTTCCCCGCAACCTTTATCCAACCTTTTCGGCGCCCTCGAGGTGCAGCAACGGCCGGACGCATGTCGGAGAGGACAGACCCCTGGCAATATGCTGCAAAGGACGCGAGGAGGCGTATCCACGCGAGAATGATTAGCAACGGTCTAGGCTTTTCATCCTTCTTTCTGTTGGGCTGCAGGCCGATCAACCGAAGCCTCTTCTGCAGCTACTCGATAGACTGCGCTGCAGCGCCTGTGCCCGGATGGCAAACGTCTTGCTCGACGCATTGCGGTGGAGCGATCGGTCCTTTGTGGCAGGCTCTGGGGTGTGACGTGAAAGCTGCCTTGACGGTACCAGACGGCTTATCATTTGCAGTTTGCAGGGGATCCTCTTACAAGGTTCCAAGGTCGTGAAATTCCCAGCCTAGCCGCAACCCCGCAAGCCTACTGGGTCTGCGGTTGATGGTTCTAGGTCGAAGCTTTCGCACCATCGCCGTCGCCATCCAAGCCTGTTGACAATCTCCTCCGCCACGCCTCCTACTACCAATCTCCCCCCAACAACTGCATTCACCCACGCCGTTGCGTCGTCACTCCGCATTCCAGAGAACGCACCACCTCAGTCCCTCCCCCGCAGCCCCATATACAACCGGCCAATATCCGCAGCCACTCTCAGCCACGAGCCGCATGTCGACACCGACCAGCCAGGGAATTTTCGTCGAGGCCGTGTGGCACAAGCTGTGATAGATATTGAGGCATTGACCGACGCCCGGCCAGTATGACGGCCATGTTGTCTCTCCCGCGAGACAACGCGCCCTTCCAACGCTCCCCCTCGTCCTCGTCGCTCGCCTACGACTCCTACAGTCCCATCCGCAAGAACCAGTACTCGCTGCCCGACTTGCGCTCCCCCTCGCTGAGCAGCTCCTCACGCACATCGTCAATGCATTCAACGCCCTCAAGTAGCGTCTCTCTCGACAAATCAGACGAGTCAAGCAGCGACGACGATGGCCTGTCGTTTCCAAACTACAGCTCAGCGCGGCAGTACAAAAAGGGTGTCAAGTCTATCGATGTGGTCTCGCTGAAGCCTGCAAGTGCAGCCATGCGACCGGGCACCCTCCCCTCACCCTCGCCCACCGAAGCCTTCTCCTCTGATACTCCCATGACCACACCCGACCCTATGCCCATATCCGAAGACGACACGGCAGTGCGCAAGGAGCCCTCACATCACGTCGACTACCTCTCATACGAGTGGCGGGAAGAGGACATCTGGTCATCGTGGCGGCATATTGTGGAGCACCGTAGCGTCTACGGTGAGCGCTCCAGGCTCGAAAATGCCTCATGGCGAACGTGGGCCAAGGCCCAGTTTAAGCTAAAGACGGTGTCGCCCGAAACATTGAATTGGTGAGTTCCGAATATTTCGATCTGCATCTTCGGCAGGGGTGTCGATCACCCCCATCCGTGCACCATCTTGCAGGTTTTTCGGTCTTGGGCTGTATTAACGAACCGCCTAGGCTAAAAGACGTGGACGTGACATGGCTCTACGGACCCATGCAGCCTGCCTCGAATCGCTTCTGCTCGCAACAGAATTCTGAGCCCGCTAGCCGCTTGTCCAAAACCAACTCGTTCGTCAATGGCGTCAAGAAGCCAATTCTCAAGAAGCGCAGCATGTCAGAAGCGATGCTACAAAAGTCATTGTCATCATCATCATTACTCCAACAGGCCGCCGAGTCGGTGCAGGCCCAGCAAACAACCGGTGTGACGCTGGAGTTGCGGAGGCCCCGACCAATCATTGGCCGTGTAACCCCCGATTTCCCCACATCCTCCACCATGTCCCGAGGTTTGCTCTGGGAAGGCACGGACTACTTCTCCTCCAAATCCACATCCGGACTGCACACGCCCGATCACGGAGAAAAACGGCATATTCGCTTCGATGACAAGGTCGAGCAGTGTATTGCTGTCGAGTGCAAAGACGCCGACGATGAAGAGGACGACTGCAACCACAACCCTTGGGCCAAGTACCAGGAAAACGATTCGTCATCCGATGAGGGCGTCGTGATGATGAAGCGATCTCGCCGGAAGAAGCCTCTTTCACGGACGCCCTCATCAGTCAGCATCAGCACTGACAACAAGACCATTGCGAAACTCCCATCCACGACGCTCAAGTATCGGACAGATTCACCCGACGTTACCGAGACTCAGCAATCACACTCTCTTGGTATGTGGAAGTCGCGTAGTGGATTGTCTCCATCGCCTTCGTCGGAGACCCTGAAGCCGTCAAACCCGTCACGAAATTTCCTGCTGGAGGAGGACGACGAAGAGAGTGAGGAGTACCTGAAGCCCTCTAGCGCTTACGGCTCGAAAAGGCCCGGCACACCCACAGCCTCTGATCCTTACTCATTACGACGCAGTGGGTCGTCTGCATCACTGGAAAGCGGCGGCCTTCGTAGAACACCATCGGGTATGTTCATGCCATTTGAGGGCGACGAAGAAGAGCCTCTGCCGCCTACTCTAATAGGCAGAGTTGTTGACACAGTAAACACTGCACGAGATATAGGGCATGTCATCTGGAATGCGGCATGGAGTAATTAGCACTTTGACTTTAGCGCATGGCGTTCGCGGCTTGTACTACTCTTACGGGAAGGACTTGGACGGGTAGCATACATACGCACATCATATCTTACGGCCTGGCTAGGCGGCGGAGTTCTGGGATACCTTGACTGAAGCGTCGTTGGCCACATGCATTGGTGTGACTATGGATATAGCTCACCCACAATCGATACCACATATATTAGTCAGCAGTGCTTAGTGATGCGTCCAACAGTACTCGGTGATGCGAATCTCTTGTGTTGGTCGTACAATGCATGGGCGTGATCAATGTGAATTTTGTTGTGCACAACGTGGCATGTCTGGAAGCCCCGTCGGAACTCAGGGATCAGCTTGCAGGGCATTCCTTATCTTGAAAAGTAATGGGTTCGGGAGTCCAAGAGTTGCGACTACATAGTACGTTGTTCTTCCAGTCTGGCATGTGCGCTAGTGATAGCGCTAAAGAGTGCTCCGCAAACAAAGAAGGAGCGAAAGCGAGTGTGAGAAGGTGCCTGGATGACGAGCGCCAACCCGCCGTGACTGTATACAATGAATGAATTGCTCAAGTGAAAGTGTATCAGATCAGGCCAGCTGTCACTTGCGTGAAGCAATTCCAGAATCATCCATGGCATATGTAGCCGTTGAGCGCATGGGGCGACTAGTGGCTGGTGGAGACATATGGAGCTTCGCTGCATGTGCCCGCGCCCGCTTCCTAAAGTGAAAGGTGTCCAAACCACATATTTATCAACCAGCTTCCCCCAAGCCTTCAGTCCGTGAACCCTTTTCCTCCACTTCAACCCAATTCAAGACCTCTGATCTATCCTAGACAGCAGGCAAGCACAATGCGTTTTGCAATTGGTGCTACCGTTGCGCTCGCTGCCGCCGTCGTGCGCGCAGACGATGCCAGCTCTTCCGAATCCGCATCTTCCTCGGCCTCTGTCGCAAAGCCTACCTTTACTGTACGTCTCTAGGATAACCAATCAACAAGTCACCGCACTAACACAATCTAGCCCACAAAACTCAAGGCACCTTTCCTCGAGCAGTTCACCGACGACTGGGAGTCCCGATGGAAGCCCTCGCACGCAAAGAAGGATGTCAAGGCCGACGATGAGGAGTGGGCATACGTTGGTACTTGGTCCGTCGAGGAGCCTTCTGTATTCAAGGGCATGGAGGGCGACAAGGGACTGGTTATCAAGGACAAGGCTGCTCATCATGCCATCTCCGCCAAGTTCCCCAAGGCCATTGACAACAAGGATGACACCCTCGTTGTTCAGTACGAAGTCAAGCTTCAGGGTAGGTTTCTCACCATCCGTTAGACTGTCGCAATGTCCTAACAAATGCATAGACGGCCTCGAGTGCGGTGGTGCGTACATGAAGCTCCTCCAGGACAACGCAGCTCTCCACGCTGAGGAGTTCTCCAACGCTTCTCCCTACATCATCATGTTCGGTCCCGACAAGTGCGGTGCCACCAACAAGGTACGAATCCTCTCGCAATCTGACGCTTTCAAGCTAACTTTCTAGGTCCACTTCATCTTCCGCCACAAGAACCCCAAGACTGGCGAGTATGAGGAGAAGCACCTCAAGAACCCTCCCATGGCCCGTATCGTAAAGACCACCAGCCTTTACACCCTCATCGTCAAGCCCGACCAGAGCTTCGAGATGAAGATTGACGGCGAGTCCGTTCGCAACGGTACTCTCTTGGAGGACTTCACTCCCTCCGTCAACCCCGACGCGGAGATTGATGATCCCAACGACACAAAGCCCGAAGACTGGGTTGACGAGGCCCGCACCGCTGACCCCGAGGCTACCAAGCCCGAGGACTGGGACGAGGACGCGCCATTTGAGATTGTCGATGAGGAGGCTACCAAGCCTGAAGACTGGCTTGAGGATGAGCCCACTACTATTCCCGACCCCGAGGCCGAGAAGCCTGAGGACTGGGATGACGAGGAGGACGGTGACTGGGTTCCTCCTACCGTTCCCAACCCCAAGTGCGATGAAGTCTCTGGTTGCGGCAAATGGGAGCCTCCTATGAAGAAGAACCCTGCCTACAAGGGCAAGTGGACCGCTCCCTTCATCGACAACCCGGCTTACAAGGGCGTCTGGGCTCCCAAGAAGATTGCCAACCCCGACTACTTCGAGGACAAGACTCCTGCCAACTTCGAGCCCATCGGCGCTGTAAGTTGACATCATCTTTACTCTACAAACTCTTTGCTAACTTGCCATAGATTGGTTTCGAAATCTGGACCATGCAGAAGGACATTCTCTTCGACAACATCTACATTGGTCACTCCATTGTCGACGCTGAGAAGCTCAAGGCTGAGACCTTCGACCTCAAGCACCCCGCTGAGAAGGCTGACGAGGAGGCCAACAAGCCCAAGCCCAAGGACACTCCCAAGTCGCCCTCCGACCTTGTCTTCAAGGATGACCCAGTTCTTTACGTCAAGGAGAAGCTGAACCTCTTCATCGAGATCGCCAAGCGCGACCCCGTTGAGGCTATCAAGTTCGTTCCTGAGGTCGCTGGTGGTATCGGTGTTATCGCTGTTACCATCTTTGCTATCCTTGCCTCCGTCCTTCTTGGCTCTGGCGCTGCTCCTTCCCAGGAACAGCTCAAGGCCCAGGCGAACAAGGCTAAGAAGGCTGCTGTTGACGCCAAGGACAAGGCCACTGAGGCTGTCGCCACTGGAGCTGAGAAGGCCCAGGCTGAGGTCAACAAGCGCACTACTCGATCAAACGCCTCTTAGGTAGTTTTGACTAAGGCGTGGGAAGCCAAGTACCCCACCGAAAAAGTAGGGTATGGGAGCAGAATATCAGAGGGTCCGTCTAGAGGATAACCTTGACCCTCCACGATTGGATTCTTGATTTGTAGTATCATATCATTTTGAGGTTCACGGCGCTATGACTATGTATTTAGGTTTTATTCCCAGGAATGGGATTTGCAGCGCCCGGGTACGGGTTTGGGAAAGATCGAGTATAAGAATCTATATTCAGATTCATCATTAAGCATTTTACGTATCAAACCTGTGTATCAGTGTACGTGACATGACATGACATGTGTACCCGTGGACACAGTAATAGGCGTGATGACCGGACATAAGAGCAGCGGCTATACAAACGCCGTACACGCCGCCGCGGAAGAGCATTGTGGATAAGCCTTCGATATCCACGAACCTCGGGAGTGGGAGGAGTGGGGCCAGCTCTAGAGGTCCGGAAACAGCTCCCAAAGGGCAAGCCGGAATCACTTTCCCTTAACAGCCGCAAGCGACGTGGACTCTTCTCTAATATCGTTCAATTTCCATGTCTTGATTATTTGGAGAACTTGTTCAATTTCAATTGCATCTCGCGTTGCTCCCCACATCCGGCAATCGACTTGCACCATGTTCTCCCGCACAGCGCTCTCACGCCTCCCAAGACTAACCGCCCGCTCGTCTCTCTCGCGCGCAGCTCCTCTGTGTACTAGGATGTCGTCGCCACTCAGCCAAAGCAAAGTTGCCGCACGGCGACTGCATGCCACGGCTCAGCATCTGAAGCCAGCATCTTCTGCGGCAGCCGAGTCGTACCCTATGAACCACGAGCCAATTCAGTCGCCCGCAGACACACAAAACTTTATCGATAATAAGTTCGTGGCTTCAAAAGCAACACAATGGATTGATCTACATGATCCCGCAACCAACAACCTGGTGACACGCGTACCCCAGAGCACAGATGAGGAGCTCAAGGCTGCAGTGGACAGCGCTGAGAAAGCCTTCAAGCCATGGAAGGAGACCAGCTTGCTTCACAGGCAGCAGATTTTGTTCAAGTACACACATTTGATCCGCGAGAACTGGGATCGCTTGGCTGCTAGCATTACACTGGAACAGGGCAAGACATTCGCGGACGCGCGTGGTGATGTGCTCCGTGGCTTGCAGGTTGCGGAGACTGCCTGCGGTATCACGACACAGATGACTGGCGAGGTTCTCGAGGTCGCCAAGGACATGGAGACACGCAGCTATAGAGAGCCGTTGGGCGTTGTGGCTGCCATCTGCCCTTTCAGTGAGTACACGACTGGTAGTAAATGAGGTTTGTGCTAACGTGCTACCCCAGACTTCCCCGCTATGATTCCTCTCTGGACCATCCCCATCGCCGCTGTTACGGGTAACACTGTTGTTATCAAGCCCTCGGAACGCGACCCCGGTGCCTGCATGATTCTTGCTGAGCTTGCTGAGAAGGCTGGATTCCCGCCTGGCGTTATCAACATTGTACACGGTGCGGCTAAGACGGTTGACTTCATCATCGACGAGCCCCGCATCAAGGCGATAAGCTTCGTTGGTAGCAACAAGGCTGGAGAGTACATCTACTCTCGCGCGTCGGCTCAGGGCAAGCGTGTTCAGGCCAACTTGGGCGCGAAGAACCACGCAGCTGTCCTTCCTGACTGCAACAAGAACCATGCCTTGAACGCCATTGCTGGTGCTGCCTTCGGTGCTGCCGGTCAGCGATGCATGGCTCTGAGCACTCTGGTTATGATTGGCGAGACCAAGGATTGGGTCCCGGAGATTGCTGAGCGTGCAAAAGAACTTTCGATGAACGGTGGCTTCGAAGAGGGCGCAGATCTTGGTCCTGTTATCAGCCCTCAGTCGAAGCAAAGGATTGAGGCGCTCATTGCGAGTGCCGAGGAAGAGGGCGCGACTATCCTCCTTGACGGACGTGGCCAGAAGCCCCCGTCCGACAAGTATGCCAACGGCAACTGGGTAAGTCGTTCTAATGTATGGGGTTGGCACTGTACTGACTGAGCCGTCTAGGTCGGCCCTACCATCATCGCCAACGTCAAGCCTCATATGAAGTGCTACACTGAGGAGATCTTCGGTCCTGTCCTTGTCTGCTTGAACGTCGAGACTATCGACGAGGCTATTGATATGATCAACGCCAACGAGTACGGTAACGGAACTGCCATCTTCACTCGCTCAGGTGCTACTGCCGGTCGCTTCCAGCGTGAGATTGAGGCTGGTCAGGTTGGTATCAATGTGCCAATTCCAGTGCCTGTAAGTTTTCCTTGAGCTTAGCAGTAGTAGACGTATACTAACATCAGCCAGCTTCCCATGTTCTCCTTCACTGGCAACAAGAAGTCGGTTGCGGGCGGTGGTGCAAACACATTCTACGGCAAGCCTGGTCTCCAATTCTACACACAACAAAAGACGGTGACAAGTCTGTGGAGGAGTGAGGATGCTGTTGCGACCAAGGCGTCGGTCAACATGCCTACGCACAGCTAGATGGTGGGCTGGAGAAAACAGATTATGGTATATCACAAATATGAAGAACAAGCAATGATCATGAATTGTGCGTGAGGATCATCTTGATGCGAAAGCGAAGTGTGTCCCGTGTGCAGGCCGGAAGTCCGGCGGGATGAGCCCAACAAAAGTCTTGGCATTTTTTGAAACGTCGCAGCCGTGGCTTGGAAGAAGCTTGCAGTGGGCGGTTACGGTTGTGGTATCCACCCCGGCGCATCATTCATGTCATGGTGATCTACAGTATGCATCGATTTGGCACTTTTCCCGTCCATATTTGATGCGCAACCTTAATGGCATTTTACACGTCTCAAAAAGCGGCAGAATGCGGATTTGCCAATCCCGATTCATGCAGCGTCCGGCTACTCGACTAGTCTTTTGTTGGATATGTATGCAGGCTTTGTAGCTAGTGGCATGGTGTACCAGACCTAACATTTGCGAGAGGCTGTGCTGGGATGCAGGACGAATACTGAATGCGAGCGAGCGAGTGCAATGCCGCGGTAGGCAGGTTGTGCTGTGCTGCCAATTAACGGGTGGTTGTTTGAAGTGTCTCAGGTGCAGAATGAATGGTGTTGTGGTGTTGTGGTGTTGTGGTGGTTGGAGATAACGGGGTTGGCTGGAAGCCAGGCAGAAAGCTAGACCGCATGCAATATTGAGACTATTGGAGCTTTCCAAATTTGCTGGAGTTGCTTGGATACGAGGCCGCTTGGTGGCGAGGTAGGCGGTGCAGCAAGACTTTAGTCTTCAAGTTCTGGCAGGAGGACAATTGACAAGTGACAATTGACGTGGTAAAGGATGGCTGGAGGTACATGTGGCATATGCACAGTGTAGAGAGGCGTGGAGAGCGATAAGAAGACCCCTGCACGGTATTTCAACTTATCATCGGCTTGCGCGTTTCAGAAGTCGTGCATGGGTGCGCGGATCCCCCAAGACTTAGCTCAATGGCTGGCTGGCCGTGATGACGAGTGAAAGAGCCCAACGCGCGTCGTAGTCAGCTCATTCAATCAACTCCCCAAACTCTCAATCTCACCCAAATTCTCATCACCTGCAATTGTCATCGCATTCTTGAACCTACTTGTTTGCTTCTGCGACGTTTCCCCGTCTCAGCTATTCATTAAAGTACCCACGTCGCGCGCTACGTGCACATCGCGCTCCCACCAAGCTCCGCAATACCCGCTCACCAGCCTCGTTGGCCGTAGCTTGTTAGACTTTCCCAAGAAAAAAACTGGGTATTGCCCAACGCCGCAATAATGGAGCAAGCGACTCAGCAGCAATCGCGCCCGCGCGGTCTCAGCTTTCACAGTAACAAGAGCAACAAAAGTCGCGACGTTGCAACTCCGAAGAGCCCTTCCAAGAAACACGAAAGGAAGACCAGCGACCATTACGATCCAAACTCAAAGGCGAATCCTAACGCCGCCATGAATGAACAGCAGCCCAGTAGGCCATGCTCGTCGCCGTAATCACATGGACTCTGCTGACGTGCCCCAGTCGCTGAGGCTCTCACCAAGCCCACTCTTGCCTCTCTCCGCTCGTTCCAGCATACCGACACGGCTGGTAACCCCATTGGTAAGTTGTGCTCTCGTCATTGTAAACCGTACCACGTCATCTAACGGCGCTCAGCCGATCCCGATCTCTCCAATCCCACACGTTCGCGATGGGAGCGCCCACTTGACACCATTCGCTCCTTCGAGGCTGCCATTGATGGCGAATATAGACGACGCGCTCAATCAATGCGCGCCGACCAGACCGATGTTATGAGCGGCTACGGAAGCCGACGGAGCAGCTACTACGGTGGCGGCGGCGGCGGCGGATACAACGACCAGAACCGTTTCTCGACCGCCAGCGGCTACTTCCCTCAAAGACAAACTCAGCGCGACAGCTACGCCGATGGTTATGGCCATGGTGGACCTGTGGGCGGACCACCGCAACGTATGCGATATGGCAACCGCATGCAGTCTGATCCGGGGTGGAACAACAGGCAAAGCCAACAAGGTGTTTATCCCGTGAACGGTTACCAACAGTCGCGCGATACAGTAAACACCAATGGCTCGAACGGAAGCCACAGCGACGGTCCATACTCCAACGACCCCAGCCACAGCGATAATAGCTCCATCGAAAGAGGCATTCCTGTGCAACCACCACAACAGGATATGAGTGGACAGTACGGATTCAACGGATTCGGAAGAGGCCCCATTATGGAAGAGTACGCACAGGAGCCGGGCCAGTATTCACAAGGCCCACAACCCCCAGCTCACGGCATGCCACCACCACCCCCAAAACATGCCACTCAGGCAGCACCGATCAAACTGGGCGGCGGTGGGCCGCCAGCCACTGAAAACACGAGGCCGGCCATGTTGTCCAAGAAGAGCAGCGATGCAGGCGAAAAGCGCAAGAGCTGGTTCAAGAGACGATTCAGCAAAGAGTAGGCCATGAAGGATAATCTGAAGGAAAACTTGGCTGGCTTCTACGAATAGCGCCCCCAGGATTCCGTTGAACGATGAGAGGCGTGGGTTTGCCATGATGATGAATGAATGTCTTCACCATGGGCTCTGGAGTCTTCTGGTCGAATCACTGTTACGCAACCCTGCGTACACAGCATGATGGCGTTAGTACGGCGTTTTAGGGATGCGGGAAGTACATGTTCCGCGATTGTCACTCCTTGTAGTTTTGAGATGTGCTGCTACAGTAGAAGCCCGCTCGATGAGCCGGCTGGTAATGTGGTAATCATAATGGTCTGATGAGCAACTTTGGTATTTGATTTGATCATTTTTGGGTGGTGCTGTGATTCTCGATATTGTCTCTCTGATTCACCGGCTTTTGTGATCAGCTCATGTGCCGCGAAGACAAATGTTGCGCATGCACTTTCCGGGCTATGGCTGGTCCTTCACCCAGTATGCATAGAAACCTCGGTTCCGGGCAAGAACTACAACTTCTTCTTAGACTTTTCCGCTTCTTCACGCATCTCTTCTTGATCGTCTTTAAACGCCATGACCACGTACGCGATCAAGACGACGTTCGCCATGAGTGCTGCCAAACCACCCGCCCATGTTGCGTTGCCTAGACAAAGTCAATACATTCTATTTCGTCACACAAGATAAACAACCCACCCTGGAAGACAAAGTTGACGGTAAAGAAGTACGTGCCGATTGGCAGCGTGATCATGGCAAAGGTGAAGCTCATCAACTTCCAAATAACTGATCTGTGGTCATTGTAAGCTACATGTCCATGCTGTTCCTACCAAAAGCGACTCACGATGGCACCGCTGGGGAGGTGTTGGACGGCTCGGGAGCACCCTTTCCATCGTAGTCTAGAGACGACTTCTCCTCGTTTACAATTCTTCTAGTCGTCATGTTTTGGGCCGTCGGTATGTCGTGGTGTTCTGTCTCGTGAGTGACTGACAGGGCCCCGTGCCGAATCCAGTAACGTAATTGAACAGGCTCAGGCTCGGGAAGGTCCAAGCTCAAGGATCTCTCTCAACGCGTAAAGTGGTTCTCTTAACGCGTGAATTGTTTATGGTGATCCCCGTCCCAAGGCAAACCCTTCTTTCCCTGCCTGCGCTTCTAGTACAAGGTGTTTTGGTCTACACGGCTATGCCCCCTGCTTTGTTCAGCACTCCGCGCCTTTGTTTGTTCGCTTGAGCCATTGTTTTCTGCATCTTCCTTTGCTGTCTTCTACTCTTCCACCGCGAACGAGGCGGCAAAAAGCCGATTACAATACCACCACTACGCCCCCCCTCCACCTCAACTCCCTATCATAATACGGTTACACAATGTATCGTCGCGATCCTATACTTTCGTCTTCACCACCGCCAGTCGCAACGCGCGCTTCTTCGCAAAGCGACGACGAGCGAGACACCTACGTCACGCAGCCTACGCAAATCCTCGGGGAGCGCTCGCCCTTCTTTGCGGCGCCGTCTGATGCCACGCAACCCACACTCATAGTCACACCGCGCGCTCATCCAGTCCAGCCCGCAGCTTCCTCGTCGCAATTACAAGTCCCGCGTTCCTCGCCCGCCCCGCAGCGTTCCTCGCCGCCTGTCATGTCGCCTTCGCAATCGCAACGTCCATATGGCGGTTATAGCAACCCAATGGCACCCCCTGGTACAGGCTTCTTCCCCCCACAAGCGGTTCGCAAGCCAGTCGTTGATCTTACCTCGGACGATCCGCCTGTCGAGCGCGACCCGGACGAGGACGAGTCGGAGTACAGGTCTAACATACCATTGTCCAAGATTGAGATGTCTATGACATCGAGGATCGAGGAGACACCACAGAAGCCGACTTGGGATCTGTCGAGTTACAAGTACGGCAACGACCAGTCACGCAAACGGTCAGCAGAACAGTATGGTTCGAGTACACCACCCAAAAGACAGAAACCTATGCAGCCCCAAGGCGGCCCTTCACGCGCTATACCTATAGACCTGACGGAAGACAAAGAAATGACCATGGAAGATATTCATGACATCAGCATGTACGCGAAGGTCAATCGACTGAGAGCTATATATCCGAATCGCTCTGTCAAACAGCTACACGACGCCTTGACTAAGAGAAAGGGCAACTTCAATGATGCTTCCGAGTATCTGGCGGAGCAAGAGTCGGAGGATGAGCTGCTTCGGTCTTCCCCTCAACCAGGCGTGGCCCGTAAAAGCTCAGCGCCAGTCGTGAAGAAGACGGCACAGCGCGGGTTGAAGCAACCTGTGCAGTCATTGCAGAACAAGTACTCGAAATTGGGCGCGACTCAGAACAGCCCGGTCAAGATCGACAGTCCCGAGAAGGAGCCACCGAAACAGAAACGTAGACTCAAGAGCGGAAAGGATCGCAAAAAGGCCGTATTCTCGCCTTCACCCGAGCCCATACCCCAACGACCGCAACAGCAACCGAAGAAGGAAGCGCCGATCGTTGTCTCTTCCGACGAGGACGAGGGTATTGCTGCCGATCTCGTTGTCGACGACGACTCGGAAGCAGGTGGCTCAGTGGCAGAGAACAATTTTGATGAAAGTGCCTTGTTGAACTTCTTCAATACCTGTACTGTGGAGGCCATGGTCGACTTGTCAAGTCACAAAGAAGAGGATGTCAAGGAGATTTTCAAGCAGCGTCCGTTCGCTTCTCTTGACGCTGTTCGTAAAGTCCATGTAGATCTTACGCCAGTAGAAAAAGGCAAGAAGAAGGCGCGCAAGCCACGCATAACAACTGGACAACGGCTTGTGGAATCTACCGAGGGCATGTGGAATGCATACTCCACAATTGACTCGGTTGTTCAGCAGTGCGAAGCCCTGGGCAAGCCGATGGTCGCAGGCATGGCTCGGTGGGGCATTGATATCTTTGGCGCTTCTACGGAGGATGGAGTCGAGTTGACGAGTCTGGACGATAGTAGCGATACGAACTCTTCTCGCGACTCGGGTTACCATACCCCCCGGAGTGCCAACGGCAGCGATACGGAGTCTAAGAGTATACGGAAGGCCGTCAGTCGCTCGAAGCTCTTGACACAACCGGCAAACATGAACGACGACATCGAACTCAAAGATTATCAGGTCGTAGGCCTCAACTGGCTGAACCTCCTATGGAAGACCAAAACTTCAGGCATTCTGGCCGACGATATGGGTCTGGGAAAGACTTGCCAGATTATTGCTTTTCTGTCACATCTTAAAGAGCAAGACGAGGGGAGGCCTGCGCTTATAGTTGTGCCTGGATCGACACTGGAGAATTGGTGTCGTGAGTTTGAACGTTTTTCCAAGACGATCAACTTTACGCCGTACTATGGATCACAGGCGGAGCGGTTCTCGCATCAAGAAAGCATCCTTCACAACATCAAGCAAAGAACGTGCGATGTAATCATTACGACGTACGATCTTACCTTCAGGAAGGAGGACCTAGCCTTCCTTAGGAAGTGCAGACCCGAGATTTGTATCTTTGACGAAGGGCACATGCTTAAGAACGCCAACACAATTCGGTACAAGAGTTTGATGAAGATTCAGGCAACTTGCAGGATCTTGTTGACAGGAACTCCGCTTCAAAACAGTCTTCAGGAGCTCATGTCAATCCTGGGTTTCCTGATGCCGCAGGTGTTTTATGGCGATCAGCAGGAGGAGGTTCAGGAGATGTTGCAGATTTTATTCAAGCACAAGGCCAAGACTATGGAAAGCGATTCACATAGCTCTTTGCTTTCTGCGCAGCGTATCCAACGCGCTCGTACGATGCTGACGCCTTTTATTCTCCGAAGAAAGAAGGCTCAGGTGCTCAAGCATCTACCGAAGAAGACCTCCCGTGTCGAGTACTGTGATCTTACCGGTACACAGAGGACGCTCTACAATGAGCAGTTGACCAAGCAGCGCAAGATTCTTGAAGACCGAGCGGCAGGCATACCCGTCAAAGACCACGCCAACGTCATGATGAAGCTCCGGCAAGCAGCCATCCACCCCTTACTCTTCCGTCACCGGTACAACGACGAAAAGATCCGAAAGATGTCCAAAGCTTGTCTCAAGGAAGAAATGTTCGCCGAAAGCAATCCAGACATCATCTACGAAGAACTCGAGCTGTACCAAGACTACCAATGCCACCAACTCGCCTCCAAGTACCGCGCGCTTAAGAAATTTGAGCTCAAAGACCACGAATGGATGGACTCTGGCAAAGTATCTGCACTTCTCGCCTTGCTCAAGAAGTACAAAGAAAACGGCGACCGCGCACTAGTCTTCTCGCAATTCACATCTGTCATGGATATCCTCGGCTGGGTCTTTGATGACCACGACATCAACTTTATGCGCATGGATGGCTCCACCCCGATTCAAGAACGCCAGTCTCTCATGGACGTCTTCTACCAAGACGAATCTATTCAACTCTTCATGATCAGCACGAAGAGTGGTGGTGCAGGTATCAATCTTGCCTGCGCGAACAAAGTCATCATCTTCGACTCGAGTTTCAATCCTCAGGACGATATTCAGGCGGAGAATCGTGCGCATCGTGTGGGTCAGACGAGAGAAGTTGAGGTGGTTAGATTGGTCACCAAGGGCACGGTCGAGGAGCAGATTTACGCGCTTGGTGTGAGTAAGCTGGAGTTGGATAAGATGGTTCAGGGTGAAGATGCAGACGAGGGGCCCAAGGGCAAAGGGAAGAAGAAGGATGATGCGGGGGCTGCAGCCGGCGGGTTGAGTAAAGCTGAGGAAGCGGGTATCGAGGCTGTGGAGAAGATGATGATGGCGCAGCTCAATGCGCCGCCGGCTGGAGATGAAGACAAGGGAGATGAGGGTGCAAATGTTGAGGGGGATGTTAAAGAGCAATTTTTGCATGGCTTGAAGAAGGCGGGTTTGGATGTCGCTGCTTAATTCAACGCTGCTAGTATGATGGGGTAAAGCGGACGGAGTGTTGTTGGTATACGTTTTGAAGGGGTTGTTCTCGATGGGCAGACGGCTTGATTAGACGTGGTTTTCCCTGTATTGCATAGTCGGCATCCAGCGTTGGCGTTCATGAGGCATCATGTTGAGTCAAAACATCCAGCATTGTCCAAACATGATTATACATATTCTTCTACTACAATATTAGACTTGAAACTATATACAGCGCCGCGTGTTCCAGTATCCATACATCCTCAACCTTAGTCCTTTACACTCACACCAGCTTTACTGGCATCCTTAGCACCCTGTTTCTGCGTCTTTGGCGCATCTTCTTCATCTTCCTCTGAACTCTCTTCCTCTTCATCGCTATCATCCTCTTCTGAAGTCTCCTCTGCTCCGTCTTCCTTAGCCTGTGTTGCTGGTTTCCCTTTTGTAGCCAATGGTGCCGGTTTCTTCTCATCTTCGCTGTCCTCCTCTTCACTCTCTTCTTCCTCCTCGTCACTATCTTCCTCTTCTTCACTGCTCTCCTCAGTAGCCGTAGGCGCTTTCGCGTCTGCCTTTGCCGAGGTCTTAGCCGCGGTAGTTACTTCATTCGCATCATCCTCCTCCTCTGAACTCTCCTCCTCGGATTCTTCCTCGGATTCTTCCTCTGATTCTTCATCCTCCTCCTCCTCCTCCTCCTCCTCCTCCTCCTGCTCCTCCTTTTTCGTCGAACTTATTGGGCCAGCACTAAGTGCAGGGTTCTTTGCGTCTTTATGCATAGACGGAGGTGCATGTACAGGTTTCTGCAGATCCGAGAGCTTGGGAATACTCGGTTGCGCTGCAGCCTTTGTGCCCTTTGTGCCCTTCGACTTTGTATCTTTGCTCTTCGTGTCTTTGCTACTTGATGACTTCGACTTTGACTTTGCTGGGGCCTTTCCAAGACCGAAGAGACCTCCTGTTGGTTTCCTTGTAGACTTTGCCTTGGAGTCCTTTGAGGATGTGGGTTTTGCTTTGGTATCTTTTGTCTTGCTGTCCTTTGCTTTCGCGTCTTTTGCCTTTGCGTCTTTCGCTTTAGTGTCTTTGCTCGTGCTCGGTGTAACGGCTTTCGCGTCTTTCGTCGTCGTACTAGATGTAGCGGGTTTGGCCTCCGTCTTGGTGGTTGAGACAGCAGCCTTTGTGTCTTTCGTCGCGGTCGGCGTAGCAGGCGTCGCAAGCTTCGGCGTCTCGGGCAATGGGACGGATTTCGGTGAGAGAATCCCACTAGGATCTTCTTTTGTAGGGCTTTTCTTCGACGTCGCTGAGGTCGGGGTGTTCGTCTTCTCTGCCAGCAATGGGTTCGTAGTTTTGATGTTGCTTGGGATGGGCTTCAACGAAGCGGCCTTCTTCGCAGCTTCAGCACCCAGCTCACGGAGCGCCAGGTTTGTCTCCAGACTAGGTGTGACAACATTCTCCTTCTTCGCAGCTGCGCTCGTGGATGAGAAAGAAGAGGTGGTTGTAGCAGGCGCAGCCATAGGCGGGGGTCCGGGTTTCGCAGGAAAGGGGGTGAAGGCTGATGTGACGCCCAGCGCTTCTCGGATCTCGTCGTACTCGTTCCATTCTTCGATCTCTGTGATGCCCTGTGTGATGAATATTAACCTTCCGTCCTAGCTATGCGCTGTCTTTTATACCTACTCCTAAGACATATCCCTCCTTGACTATCAACGGTAGCTTCTTCCCGCTTGCTCTCCGCTGGAACAGCTTCTTTGCGAGTTCATCTGTCGCTGTATCCACTCCCTTGAATGGGATTTTGTTCGCTCTCAGAATTGTCTCAATTCGGGAGGTAGCTGTGACGATGTGGGAAGAACCGGCGGTAAGTGAAGTGAAAAGGTAGATTGTTGGATCGTTATCGTACCTAGATAACGGTGTACGAAGTCAGCGTATGTCTCACATGCAACTTGTCCAGGGACATTTCTTACACGCTGAGCTCCGTCATTGTGATGGCTTGGGCGACGTCGATGCGGGGTAGGTAGTGTTGTTGTACGCGACACCAAGACGATGGAAACAGAAGAATTAAAACAGCGAATGGGTGTATGTTTGCGCAGACTTTATAGAGCTAGAGACGACGTGTCGCAACTGTAGTTTCACAGCAATGCTAGATTCAGGGTCGCGCTTGACCATGCGTCGATCCCCGCTGGACCCTGCGCACGTGCACTGCATAAAGTCCGAGTATAGTCATGTCCGTCTTCAAGCTAGGTTGTTTCACTACTCAAGGGTTTAACTGTAGTTTATGGGTGCCAGTACTTCAACTGCTCACACATTTGCGTAGCAATCAATACAATCCTGCTGCCTCTGTAAGTGTTTCTGTGATGTTCCAATTTAACTCCAGCGATCCACAGCACACACGAGTAATGATAGTTACGCCCAAGCACAACCATCATAAAGAGATATGCTTGTATTATTATTCATATCGAGCGAATGACATTACATACTATCAGGAAAAAAACATAACTAGTACTTCGTTTCTCTTGACTAGACATTATGCGGGCGTGGGACCATTCGAGAATTTGCCAGCAAGAACAGTCATTAGGGCGTCACTGACTTCGAATTCCTCGAGGACTGCGCCAAAGCTAGACAACATCAGTAAATACTCTGATCCAATCACCTTGCTTTCAACTTACCCGTAGCAGCGGACTTTGGCAAGAAGCTCTGTTTTTATGAGCTCAATGTCCTGTTTGGAGAGATCCCGAATGTTCTCGTCTTGTAGGATCTTCGCCCAGGCCATAATAGGCGTAATCTCCCCATCAAGGGGCAGACGGTTGCTGAGATCGAGCAGCTTCATCAAATCCGGCATCTTGACGTCCGGCATCTGATGTGGATACTTCTCCTCTGGGCAATTCGTGATATGCGCGTCGGGAGGTGCCGTGGCCATGAGCGCATGGCCGCTAATGTTCTCGTCGGCGTCGTGGGCGCGTACCATTAAAAACTGCATGTGGTCCATGCAAGGTCGCTCGAGCCTGTCAGACGCAATCGTCAGAACAGAGCTTGTAAAGATAAAGAATGACGTACGGAAGTCGAACAGAACGAAGAGAAAAGACGTAAGCGCATTACTGCTGGGGTGGAGGAGAAAGGTAGGGCGATCGGTCGTACGTTAAAACGAAGTCTATCCCAATCTGGTCATAGTCAAGCCCGTGCTGTTGTTGGTGATGCGTCTGTTGGGCTTGTTGTTGTAGAGTCAAGGGCTGACCGCTCATACCATCATGAGAACCTGATCCGCGTGTTGGTGATGATGTATAGCCAGTTGATGCTGATCCTGGCCCGTAGCCTGATACACTGCCCGTAGAACTTCCATAGGCAGAGCTATCAACTCTGCCCATGCCGTTGCTCGCCGGGCTGGAAGTGTCGAAGGAAATGCCATGTGCCATGAGCAATTCTCTCAGTCGTCGGTTCTCTTCTGCGAAAGCGTCTCGTTCCCGTGATGTAGCGGCAAAGGTGTCCTTTAGACGTATCACCTCCTGTTCGAGGGCCTTGATGTACAATTCTTTTCTTTCCCGATGTGTTCTTGCCGACGAGTTAGTGCGTGATATCGCCCGTGCCATTCCTGAGTTTACCTTTGTGCCTGACGGTTCAGCTCTTGTCGCCGTGTCAAAGCAGGCTTGCTATCCGGTTTAGGTCCTCTTCTTTTCGGTGGCTGACCATCTTGCAAGGGTTAGTAACCCAATCGAGCCGAGACGTTGGTCGACGAACCTCTCGTAGTCTTTTTGTCAGTCAGACTCTTGAAGAATCCAAATTGCGCCAAAGGACTTTTGGATTCGCTGCCTACAGATTGCCACTGCCCTGTACTCTCCATGTCCGACGCAAATCCAGCCAAGCTACCTCTCCTGCTGCTGCTCATACTCATCTCTGAGAAACACTCGGAAGGTCGACGAGAAGCGGCAGGAGAAGGGTACTCGTTGGCAGCGCCGGATGGAGAGTAGATGGGCGCCATGGTCAGCACGTGCGCATCGGGCCAGGACATATAACGAGCATGCGACATGGTGTTTCGGTATTATGCGGAGGATTAAGAAAACAAAAAGAAATTAGGTACGTGTATGTGTGATAAGCTTGGACGGGAAATGAAGGTAGTGCAGCCATGTATATGTAGTGTCTCCAGAGCCTTGTATCGACTGAGGCACGCAAGAGTTCCCATGCTGGTTTGTCGTTCATGCGCCGTTGTCAACGTCCGGCATGCAGGCGAGCCGTGAGGCACGTGTGCAACGTTCATGCTGACACCTGTAAAGCTTGCCCTGACGAGACTGGTCTTGTCTCTGCAGCACGTTTCCGGGAGTGGGGAGAGGACGCAAGAGTGCTTCAACAGGAGCGGACCAATGGTGGAGGGCGTCTCCGCGTGCCAAGAACAAGGTGTAGGAGTCGCGAAGCGGAGACAAAACAGATCCAACGTCAAAACACCGAGGGATTAAAGCACTGGAGAACGCCAAGAGAGAGCCTACATACCACTGCTATTTTCGCGATAATTCGCGTCCCCAGAGGAGGGATCGGTCTTGATAGTCGTAGCCATGCTATGTGAGCTGCATTGATCAACACGCACACCTATGGATACAACGGTTGTCTCTTTCGGCGCCGAATTGGCGGAGAAGCCGTCGAATTGCAGTGAGCGATACGCTAGAGGTTGGTCAGTCCACAAGTCGACGTTGAACCCCTGCGCACATCCGAAACGTACAACTGTCTGTATCGTCGGCACCCAACAATGACGATTAGACAGGCCGCAGTGAGACGCGTCTTTGTGGTAGAATGGCTGAGCAAGAAGACTTGGGGCTTACATCTGGTTCTCAATGTTGCCGAGGTTCAGTACCTGGTGCTTCCGAGTCGAGCGAGACGGCGATGAGGGAAAGATGGACGTAATGGGCGACAAGTGGTCGACGCAATTGAGACAAGCGATGGTGCTCTTGGCGTCGCAGAGTCGGGTGTAGCACAGCAGAGGGCAAGCTGGTCTGAAGGATGTGCCAGGGATAACTCTTACACTTGCAGTGCGATGTTCAACGCGATTTAGTAGCAAGCCAGGCACGAAATAATGCACTACGCACTGGAAGATCGTCGGCGGGAACACAGCCCAAGCTAACGATTTGGAATCTGCGTGATTCCGGGCCTGGAGGTTGGAAGATGAGGCGGTCAGTGCACAAGATCGAGCCGAACAGTTTTTGGGTCAATCAGAGCCAGAGCGCGGAAGCAGCTTGAGATCCGCTGGTGTTTAGCGGCTCGAGTCTGCGGCTCTGCACCTCGTCCGGTCTAGAGCTTGCAGATGGCTGACGGTGGAGTGGCGCGATGCGACACGTAATATCTCAGCTTCACAGTGCAAAAAGAAAGCGTCGGTACGCAAAACCCGATGGCTTTCGTGTCATGTATTCCGTTCGCTGCATGGCTAGAGAGCTGAGGTGGTATAGGCCTGCCGTAACCACGCTTGGCGGACCTCGATCCCGACAAGTCTCGGGAAGCATCTTCTGCTGTGGCGAGTGCATCGTACTCTACCACACTTCTTCGAGTGATAGAGTTGCCGATGCAGCTAATCACTACATTTCTTCAAATCGACCGCTTACGACATAGCGCGTCTATAGCACTTAGCTCGACACATGGGATTAAAAACCAATTAGAAAGCAAATCAGGGTCCCCTGCCACACTTGATACACTCGAGGCTGTTGATTTAACTTCCATTATACTACATAGTCTGCTCTGGATTGGTCGGGTAAACTGCGGGCTTTGACCAGACCTTGCAGCCGTATCGGAGGGCCTTAAGGCTTGTTGTCGAGGATCTTCTCAATCTCCTCCATGAGCTCCGGTGTCAACTTGTCGAGCAACTTGATTGCGCCACAGTTGTCCTTGACCTGTTCGGGCTTCGTCGCACCAAGAATGACTGTAGACACATTCGGGTTTTTGGCTGCCCAAGCAAGAGCGAGTTGAGTAGTGGTACCTCCTAGCTTTTCCGCAATCTTGGTTAGCTCCTTGACCTTCTTGATCTTAGCTTGTCCTTCTTCGCTCTTCAACGCCTCGATTGAGTTCTTGAAGAATTCGGGGTTCGTGGCAAAGCGGGAGTCCTCAGGAATGCCGTCGTTGTATTTGCCAGTCAGCATGCCTGACGCCTAAAGATTGGTATACAAAGTCAGTATATGTCTCACATGCAGTTATATAGGATTGTTATTTACCAAAGGCGACCAGATGGTCGTGCCGTATTGGTACTTCTTGTACAAAGGAGCATATTCCTTCTCGAATCGCTCACGGTGGAAAGCGTTGTACTGAGGCTGCTCGACGATAGGGGCGATAAGGTTGTACTTCTCGGCAATATCGCATGCTTCCTGGATCTGCTCCGCAGACCACTCGGAGGTTCCCCAGTAGTATGCCAAGTTCATCTGAATAGTCTGCGTGAAGGCTTCTACAATCTCCTTCATTCCAACGCTAACAGAATATCAGTGAATGCCCAGAAGATTGTGCGGATTATTGCATACTCAGGGTCGTAGCGATGAGCAAAGACAACGTCGACGTAGGAGTGATCGAGGCGCTTCAAAGAACTCTTCAAGCCCTCGACAATGTGCTTCTTGGACAGGCCCCTACACATCCGTTAGTTAGGTAAAGGCATGCACAGCACTCATCTTACCTAGTGTTTGGCTCCTTCCTCTGAGTTCCGAAAAAAACCTTGTCAACACTGTCAGCCCCAATTCGTGGCATTATAACGCTAGGCATATCCTACCTTTGTGGACAAGACGTACTCGTCACGCGGCCATTGCAGCTCCTTGAAGGCCTTTCCCATTTCAAGTTCGCACTCGCCAGCTGCGTAGACCTCTGCAGTGTCAAAGAAATTAATGCCGTGGTTCCAGGCTTCTTGCATGCAGTCCTTCACGATGGAGCCCTTTTGGGTTCCTCCGTAGGTCAACCAACCACCAAGAGACAGGACCGACACCTTCAACCCAGCGGGTCCCAGGCGACGGAACTGCATGCTACAGTCACATTAGCCAACGCTCGGATGGAATAGATATAGGGATACAGAGCTTCGAGCTGCGGATTGGTGATAATTTGCTCAACCAGCCAAGCTCTTCTGCATCCTGATAGTTGGCGTGCAACTCACTCCTTGGGATCAAACTTGGTTTCGACGGCAGGCATTGTGAATATGTACGACGAATAATTTGTTAAGGGAAGAGTTTAGTTGAATAAGATTTCAATCGCTGGAACAGAGCGTAATGAGGGGCAGGACATGGGCAAGCAACTTGGTGGGGCAAGCCCGTGGTGGTGGCGGATCAACACCAATGATGTCAATCATTGCAAATGTAGCGGGCGGGACCGGAGTTAGTCTTCAAAGTCCGTGGTAGCGGCACTTGCAGCTGTTGAAATGCGGGAGAATAGCCGCGGGCCTTAGAGAGACATACCTGAAGGGTTGGGGGGAAGCTCAGCTCCCTATAGACTAAGCGCTGAAGCGGCGCAACTGTCCCCTTTGCTGACGGCTTTTCGAGTGGGGCAGCTGCGGCTGAAAGCTACCTGACACAAGAGCACAAGCATGCGACCATATTCTCTCACCCTCGGCCAACCACAAGAGATCGCTTAACTATTCGTCGGATGCCTTGTGCCACAGCATTTACCTTACAATCTTGTTGTAGTGGTGCTAGAAGCCGTTTTAACTCCTGTCGGCCAGTGTTGGCAAAAGCTTGACCTCGCTCGTTTCACGTTTCGAAACACCCCCGGCCGGTCATTGACGCACATCCAATCACAGTCGCACAACATGTATTCACGCGCATTGCCTGTCACCTCGAGAAGTAATGATTGGCAGTGACTTCTCGTTGATCTGGGGTCACGGTAGGACGGGTTCCTGACTATCATGCTGACGAGCTGTTCGGAGGGAGGCCCTAAGGCGCACCGCGTATATCTTGACCTTTCCCCTTCCTTCACTACACTGCCTCGTCACGGTCGCTCAATCCCTTATTTAGATCACCTGTTTCTGCTGGGCTGAATCAGATTCAATTCAACGTCACTCATTTATAAGATACTATCTCCCGCCGTTCACTTCAATACAACATCCGCATTCAAGAATTTTCGAGTATTACTTAGTACTTCAGAACGCCACCTCGTACTAGAATTATTCTCCAAGACCTCAACACCTTTTCTCAACCTTATCGAACAACTTCTACACGAGAGTATTAGACTTATTCCGTCCACCAACCTACGAATAACATGGGTTTCAAGAAGAGCATGCTTTTTGCGAGTGCCTTTGCACTCTGCGCCTTGGCAGCACCTATCCCTGACTGCCCCGACGATGTCCCTGAGACCGATGCAACAGGGCTGACCGCAGCCAACTTGATCGCCATCTCGCCTGCCACCCAGTCCTGCGCTGGTGCGTCATTCCCCGATGAATGCGCCGATGCAACACAAGCCGCCACCGCTCTCAACAAGGCTTTCGACACCTACAAGATCACCTCCAAGGGCGAGAAGGCTGCCATAGTCGCTTATGAGATCTTCGAGAGCGGTGACTTCAAGTACAAGAAGAACCATTTCCCAGGCCGTCCTGGTCAAGGCACAAGGAGTAAGTCAAATTACTAGGTGGATCATACGTGATACATGAACTGACTTTACATGCGTTTAGTGATGGCAATGCCACCGTTCGTTGAGAAGTACGCTACCGCTATTGCTGGCGCAGACGCCGTCACACAAGCAAAGGCTGCAGGAGGAACCGCTGCTCTGGACGCAGTACTTGCTCTTGTCAACAGCGACGATGAAAAGAGTTTTGGCTCCGCGGCCTGGTTCGTTACCACTCAGTGCAGTGCAGACGTTCGAGATGGTCTTGTCGCAGGTACCGCAGACGGTTGGCACAAGTTCTTGACCGACTGTGTTGGCACAACACTTGATCCTACACGCGACACTCCCTGGACTGCTGCAACGGCTACCATCCAGTGAGGGTATTCAGAAACCTCGGAGTGTTGAGTTGGTACCACATGGTACTTCTTACATAGCGCATTGGCTTGAAAAGGTCTCTTCTATTCTTCTTGGTATTTTACTGGGCTTTTTCAATATAGCTACTTCTTATGAGCTTATCTATATGACTACATCGAGTATTGTTTATCTTTTCCGTTCTATGAACAATACGTTACAACATATGCAGTGTCTCATTGTCACATCAAGCATGTGCTCATTTATCGAAACGAGAAGACTAGGCGTGATGATCAGCGTTAGAAGGGGTAGAAGAGTATAATGGTGGAAAGGAAGGGTACTTTGCGGTAAACTATGTTTAAATATTATGCTAATACAGATAGACCGGCAGGGGACGAAAGCTAAAATACTGCGCTCTTTGAAGAGAATGAAGAAGCCGCCAACCGGCTTAAATACACATATATACAAGCAAATATAATCATCGAGTCCACAATGAAGATAGAGAAGACACTTCCACCAATCAAAGCGGTGACACCTCTCCCCAAGCACCGACGTCCTCTCTGGCCATGATCTCTCCACACTCAGGACACGTACATCCATCAAGTCCATGCATACTTGCACACTGTCTAACCCACGACTGTAGACATCCAACACAAGTAGCAGGTTCATGCCAACAGTTTGCCGTGATCCTGCGCTCACTAAACTCCCATACAGGTCTTGCCGTCTTGCACATAATACACGTGCGCTCAACGGCTGGTGTGTTGCGTCTGGAACTAGGTGTTCCCGCTCGAGGACTCCCGGAGATGTCGAAGGTAGGGCGCTGATATTGCTGTTGGGCTGTGCAGCTCATATTCGGAGAGGGTAAGGCGATTATACTGCTGCGCTGTGATTGCATCGACACAGGGCGTGATTGCATCGACACAGGGCGTGATTGCATCGACACAGGGCGTGATTGCATCGACACAGGGCGTGATTGCATTGAGACTGGACGTACTTGTGGGACGTTTTCGACGGATAGCCGGGAGAGCATCGTGGTTGGCGATAACGAGTTTCCGCTGCTGCGGCGTCGGTCTGCGGAGGCGGCAGGACTTGGGGGGCCGCCGGCCCAGGGGGCGAAGGGCGCTGGAAGGGGTGCTTCGAGTTGGGCAGATTTGACGCTCATGTCCAAGGGAGAGTAGGTCGGTGTTGGGATGAGATCGACGGTTGATAGGCGTTTGGCTGCTGCTGAATCTTGACTGACTTCGGCTTCGTAGACGTGCAGGTTTTCTTGCGTCAGGTTCATTCTCCGTAGGTCTTCGACTACGGTTGTAAACTTCGGTTGCTCGTGTGTGGCCGATGAGTCTCTTCTTCTGGCCCCAAAGTTTTTCAAGGCCTGAGGTATTGTCGACCATCTGTGCTTGGTCTTCTTTTCGGGCTTACTTTTCTCTTCGATGGCCTCGAAAGCATCCAACGTGGATTGTATGGGCGTTGCTGGTGTGGCCGAAAACACTGGTGGTGGGGAAAACGCAAGTTTCGAAGATGTCACAGGGGTAGGTGGGCCGACTTCGTCGTCTCCATATTGCTGATAAACCATATCGTTTTCAATATTCTCTCCTAAGACAGCTTTGGGTACACTCCCTGACGTTAGCCGGGAGGAGTTCATTGGATAGCTGTTATTTCGTAGCCCTCGCGAGGAGGCAATCTTAGCGCCCGAGCGATTTCGTTGGTGGTAGGTTGCGAAGGACGTAGGCCGTGGCCGTGACTGCATTGGTGGACTGTCCAACGCAGTGAAACTCTGAGGATGGTATGAGATGGGACGTTGCGTTTGTGAGACCTTCGCGTCGTTCATCGGAGGATATGTCCACTGCGAAGGGTGTACTTGTGGCCTCTCACATTCGCAACTGCCCCGTGAAGAGATGCTACTCCTTGGCTTCTCCGGACTATCAAGAGACGACGACATAGGGCGTTGGCCCGGTGTGTTGGGGCTCATCGTGGACGGCGAAGCAATCCATTCGGGCGATAGCAGGTGTTGCGGGTTATATGATACCGGTCGTGTGAGTGGTAGTGGTCGTCGCTTGACAAAGGATGTGTCGAGTTTGGTGTTTGGCGTTCTTTCCGGGAGCTTCCTCAATGTTGTTTCGGGATTGAAAGATGAAGTCGGACGATCCGGGTTCGTCCATTTGTCCAACAGATCAGAGTCACTATCTTCCTTTGGTTCCTCTTCGATGACCTCCGGCTTCTCCTCAACGATCGGTGGCTTCTTCTCTTCGGCCTCTCTCTTCTGCTCTTTTGTCACCTCGGGGTGCTGGTCCCTTTCTTGTTCGACATCGGAGACCTCCAAATGCTCGTACATCGGTCGTTCTAGCCATCGCGTTGTTACGGACTTCTCCCGTTGTAAATTTCGTAAAGCTTCTTCAGAGTCCGCGATCAAGCCAAGCATGTGTTGCGCTTTTGCAGAATCCCTCTTAATCGGCCGTGGATGCCTCAAAAGTGGATGTACGTCATCTTGGACATGACTCTGCGCCACAGCCGCCATTTTCTATGAGGCCGTTCAGCCGAAACGAGGGAGGCCTGAAGAAATACCAACGACAACAAACGTGGTTGGGGAAAACGAAACAGTGGGCACGAGCAACACAATAAATCAAGAGGCAGGATCAACCCCTCGTAACGACGTGGGACAGCGTCCCTCCATTATCAGCAACATGCCGCGACCCTACCACTACCACGGACCCCGGCACGGTACGACTTTACTGTGTGGCTGGCAGCAGCACAGAACCGATCTGCCCGTTTCAAGCCCTTGCGCAGAAAGCCCGGAGCTGCGTAAATCACCGTTAGCTTGGCTCGCGCAACACTGCGCCTTCGATTATTCGTTGCTAGGCCCCGTATTGCGAGGCCTGCAGTCATGATAGTTCGGCGGTTTTGGGAAGTCCCCGCTGGGTGAGACGTATTTTTAGAACCAGTAGCAGGTCTTGGTGGGCTTCTGCGGATAACCCACGAGATGCCGCGACGCTTGTGGCCACGAAGAAACTCTCTTGCAACGATTGCAATCACGTCGACGTCAAGGTACGAAGTTTGATGATGACGAAGCATAATTCGCACTGGCGGTGTGAACATCTCGTGATGGCTGGCGCAATGTCAGGTAACGAAGAAGATCAGCGAGCCACATAATCTACTGACGAACAGTGCTCGCTGTTGTGCCAGTGCTTCGATTTAGTTCCTCAAGTGGGTCCGTTGCCTCTGGTGCTCGAGACAACAGAAGACCTAGAGCTCCTCGGCTTCTTGGAATTATTTTGGCAGGGAGTAGCCACTCCGTGTGCTACCCAACGTAGAAGAGACGCGCATGCAGGCGAGGCGCCACCAGGGCGACAGAAGTCAAGGCTGAGCAGACCAACCTTGTCTTGCGCCTTCGAAGATCATGCGGCATACGGCGATGACTTTCGGGACGATCAGAAGAAGCAACGCGTCGGCTCCGCATTTTTGCAGGCCGTTGCATCTGTAGTTGTCAAGTAAGCTGGTACTTCACTTTGCGTAGAACCCGAGGACAATGCATCATCTATGAACTGGTGCGGGTGGACGGGTAAAGCTAAATGGCCTACGTTCGCCCGTTGGTATATGGCTGTGCCGCGTTTCGATATATTGCGAGGCGGACTAGGGTACCAGTCGTAGGCACACTGAGAAGGATGGTTACGCCGCTTGGCTTGGGTGTGGCGGGTATCAATGAAGTCATGTCTGTGAGCCTTGTAGTGGAGTGATGCAGCCTGGGTACCTTTTGCACGCCTATTGAGACGAGTCTAAGCCATCAGTTTCAAGAAGGAAGGGGGGAGCGGGTGACTAATCCAGGCGCGCTAGCACCAATGCGGCCACCGCCAAGGATGGCATCGCGAAACTTTGGAGAAGCTCACAGGTTGCCATCGCCTCAATCACACCAACCCCAACTCAACCGTCACAACCTGCTGCAAACATGGCCGGGCCGCGCGCAGGAAACTCTAGGGCCAACGGTGCCGCCAACGGGGACACGTCGAACAACAAGCAGTCGCTCAACGAGCCCCTCGATAAGGAGCTCTATGGCGGAAACAATGGCGACTACGTCAGCTCCATCGCCGTTGCTGATGACGACAACGACATGGAGGACGTCCAACTGAATGGTCGGAGCCTTGTCGGACAGTACACGGCATCCAAGGAGATGATGAACGAATTCGCGCACGGCGATGCGGGAGAGGCGGATATCCTCGACAGTCGCGAGAAGCAGGCCCAGATCGCATCGCGCGAGACGGACTACCAACGACGACGATTCGACCGCGCGCTCTCTCCGTCGCGAGCTGACCCATTTGCAAAAGATGGCGAAGACGCCGGCCAGTCGTACAAGGACGTGATGAAGCAACGGGAGTTTGAGCGCGAAGAGGCGCGTGTAAAGAAGTTAATTGAGGAGAAGGAGAGGTCAGGGGGAAACGAGGTACTCGACCATAAGCCCACGCTCAAGGACGATGAGTCCACTCCTGTCGATGGCGACAAGACTCCACCTATGAAGAAGACTCGCAAGAGGAGACGGTGGGACGAGGCTGGCGACGCTGAAACCCCTGCGATCAAAGAAGAGGCCGAAGACGTCAAGGTTGAGTCGGAGCCTAAGAAACGATCACGATGGTCACCAGCACCTGAAGACGAGAAGGCGGAGGCTGCTCAACCAACCCGATCACGTTGGGATACTACTGCTGTCGCCCCTGCCAGCGCTGCAACACCCGCTCCCGCTACCAACGGCGCCCGCCCCGTCGCGCAGACATTCGCATTCGGTACCGACATCTCGAACCGCAACGCTCCCTTGTCTGACGAGCAGCTCGACATGATGCTTCCTGGCGAAGCTGAAGGTTACAAGGTCCTCGAGGCACCTCCGGGGTACGAGCCAGTGCGGCGACCAGTGGGCATGCCAGTACTTCCTACGGGATATCAGGGTTTCTTGATCCCGGAAGCAGATAACAGCTTGGCTGCCATGGGCAAGCAGCTGCCCACAGAGATTCCTGGTGTTGGTGATCTGCAGTTCTTCAAGAACGAGGACATGAAATACTTTGGAAAGCTCACAGATGGTGCGGACGAGAACGACATGACCGTGGAGGAATTGAAAGAGCGCAAGATCATGCGATTGTTGCTCAAGGTCAAGAACGGAACACCGCCCATGCGAAAGACCGCGCTTCGACAACTTACAGACAACGCCCGGCAGTTCGGTGCCGGGGCCCTCTTCAATCAGATCCTGCCACTTCTGATGGAGCGCACGCTGGAGGATCAGGAGCGACATTTGCTCGTCAAAGTCATCGATCGTGTTCTCTACAAGCTCGATGATCTCGTTCGGCCCTACGTTCACAAGATCCTCGTTGTTATTGAGCCTCTCCTTATCGACCAGGATTATTATGCACGTGTCGAAGGTCGAGAGATTATTTCCAACCTTGCAAAGGCCGCTGGTCTCGCTCACATGATCAGTACAATGCGTCCCGATTTAGACCACCAAGATGAATACGTCCGAAACACTACCGCTCGAGCCTTCGCCGTCGTCGCATCTGCCCTCGGTATTCCCGCCCTTCTCCCCTTCCTCCGAGCTGTATGTCGATCCAAGAAGTCATGGCACGCGCGTCATACTGGTGTGAAGATTGTTCAGCAGATTCCTATCTTGATGGGTTGTGCTATTCTTCCTCATCTCAAGGGACTTGTGGAGTGCATCGGCGAGAACCTGAACGACGAACAGCCAAAGGTTCGCATGGTCACAGCTCTTGCCCTTGCAGCCCTGGCTGAAGCTGCGAGCCCCTACGGTATCGAGTCCTTTGACGACATCTTGAATCCTCTCTGGACCGGAGCCCGTCGCCAGCGTGGCAAGGCTCTTGCATCCTTCCTGAAGGCTGTCGGTTATGTTATCCCGCTCATGGACGAGGAGTACTCTAACTACTACACAAGTCAAATTATGGAGATTGTCATTCGCGAGTTTCAATCGCCCGATGAAGAGATGAAGAAGGTTGTGCTCAAGGTCGTTTCCCAGTGTTCAAACACTGCAGGAGTGACTCCAGTCTACCTCAAGGACAACGTTCTGCCTGAGTTCTTCAAGCATTTCTGGGTGCGCCGTATGGCTCTCGACAAACGCAACTACCGACAGGTAGTCGACACTACCGTAGACTTAGCGCAGAAGGCCGGTGTCGCTGAGATAGTTGGCCGCATTGTCAACAACATGAAGGATGAGAACGAAGCATACCGCAAGATGACGGTCGAGACTGTTGACAAGGTCATCAGCACCCTAGGAGCCCATGACGTCGATCAGCGTTTGGAAGAACAGCTCATCGACGGTGTGCTTGTTGCTTTCCAGGACCAGACCATTGAGGACCCTATTGTCATTGACGGTTTTGCTACAGTTGTCAACGCACTGGGTGAGCGTACTAAGACATATCTTCCTCAGATCGTTGCGACGGTTCTTGCCAGGCTCAACAACAAGTCAGCCACGGTCCGCCAACAAGCAGCAGACCTCATCTCCCGAATCACCTTCGTAATGCAAAAGTGTGACGAGGACCCACAGCTCATCAAACTTGCGCAGGCACTATACGAATACCTTGGTGAAGAGTACCCTGAGGTTCTTGGTTCCATCCTTGGTGCTCTTCGCGCTATCGTCACAGTCGTTGGTCTTCACGCCATGCAACCGCCCATCAAAGATTTATTGCCCCGCCTTACACCCATTCTTCGCAACCGACACGAGAAGGTACAAGAGAACACAATCGATTTGGTAGGACGTATTGCTGATCGAGGCGCAAACTATGTCAACCCTCGCGAATGGATGCGAATCTGCTTCGAACTCCTAGATATGCTCAAGGCTCACAAGAAGGGTATCCGTCGTGCTGCCAACAACACTTTCGGTTACATCGCCAAAGCTATCGGTCCTCAGGATGTATTGGCTACCCTTCTTGGCAACCTTCGAGTTCAGGAGCGTCAGTCTCGTGTCTGTACCGCTGTCGCTATTGGTATCGTTGCTGAGACTTGTGCACCCTTCACAGTCCTCCCGGCTCTTATGAACGAATATCGCGTACCGGAGCTCAATGTACAGAACGGTGTGCTTAAATCGTTATCCTTCATGTTTGAGTACATTGGCGAGATGGCGAAGGACTACGTCTATGCCATCACACCACTTCTAGAGGATGCCCTCATCGATCGAGACCAAGTGCATCGACAGACTGCTGCCTCGGTAGTCAAGCATGTTGCTCTTGGCTGTGTCGGTCTCGATTGTGAAGATGCAATGATTCACCTGCTCAATCTTCTTTGGCCAAATTTGTTCGAAACCAGTCCTCACGTCATTGACCGCATCATCGAGGCTATTGAGGGTGTCCGCAATGCCATAGGTACCCCACTCGTTATGAATTATGTCTGGGCCGGTCTCTTCCACCCAGCCCGCAAAGTGCGACAACCCTACTGGCGTATCTACAATGATGCCTACGTTCAGAACGCCGATGCCATGGTTCCAGCTTACCCAACTTTTGAGGAGGATGAGGTCAGGAGACACGAGCTGGATATTTTCATCTAAACGTAAGATCCCCAGTACCTTTCTTTGCTTTCTTCTCCGGGGCCACTATCCGGGGATTTGTTGCACTTTCTTGTCTTCAGCGAACTGGAAATTGGTTATAGTTTGAGCAGTGGTAAGCCAATCTCTTTGGAGCGTGGCCTTATCTAGCTTATTATGTACATCACAGTATGGTTGGATCGGAGTATGCGGCGTTACAGTACGCTGAGATCAGGAAGCGTGAGTCGCCGCCACCAGGCCACTTCAGTTAGGACCTCTTATGGTAACAAAAAGATAATCTGTACCCACTTTACACGCTGATCACCTTTAGGTTTCCGTGAAGTTATCCCATCTTCCCTAGCCCTTGATCGTTGTAACAAGGTAAGTCGGTGCTTGTCGTTGTCCTGTATGCTGAACTATCGAAGAAACTCGAGTGCGCTTCCCCTTACTAGGCAGAGTGTCCCATTTTGCCATATACTTACACATATCATACCAGGATAAGTACACGTGCTTCACTCGTTCTCGTCCTCATTAATCATAAACTGCGTTGGTTACTCCCGTCGTCCATTAGACCCGCAATGTAGAAACGGTCTTGACCGGACTGTGCTTGGATGTTATCGGACTTGAGCTTCAGTCTCTCGCCACATTCGCTAGCCTTCGTTTGGGTTGGACAAAGGATCGACTTCCGGTGTGTTGTTTACTCAGCACAAGCTTGAGCCCATTGGATGTACAGTTTATAGCCATTATATAACATGATTATGCAGAGTCAAGGCACAATTAAAGATACCCTAATGCCGACTACTTGGTACACGTCTGCATAGCGAAGTACATCCTAAACTTTGACATCATGGCACATTGTGAGATCATCTCGCTCTTTTATTGAATCCTTACATCAATACCCGTCACCCACATCCAACATCGTGTCGGATATTATCCAATGGACCGAAGGCTGTCCAGGAAGAAATGCTGGAAGCGCTGCATTACTTGGAAGACCTTGTTATCTACGCGTAACTTGATGTTGCTAATAAAGTTGAGAGGTAACGCGAACTTGGAGAAGCGGATATTTGGCAAGAAATAGACGAGAAGAGATGCGCTCTTCCATACACCTCATGATACGGGTATGTAACCCTGCCCGCAATTGGTAGTTGATACGAGAATCGCAGAAGCTGTAATTCAGGCATGCATGTTACCGAGCCAGCGAGTGGCATTTCTCAGCTGCACCTCTCAGCTGACTTCGCATACCACTCGCGTCACGGTAGCGTGTGTCAACACACCCGATTCGCGGTAGCAGCAGGACGCCTTACATGACACGGCAACGAGACTATGGGTCGATCATTGGAACAATTTCGCAAAAGGAAGGAATAGTAGCTTGGGCGTAGGACGTAGTACGATACTTTAGGCAGCAGCTATTGATATTAAGAAGTCCAAACACCCTCCAATCTTACATCTCTCCCGCTATCTGCAAGCTCTTACATCGTATTTGACCAAAAATTGCGCCGATCCTTCACAAGAAGAAGAATATACAATAGCAAAGTATGTCAGACACTGCCGAACCCGACATTGCGCTCCCCACCGCCCCATCGGCCGACGCTCCAAAGAAAACCTACGACGCATCATGCCACTGCGGCGCTTTCAGATACTCTGTGGCTGCTTCACCTCCACTTGATGACCCAAATGCGGTTGTAATGGAGTGTAACTGTAGCATCTGTGTATGCAACGGCTATCTGTTCATTTACGTGCCTAACGAACTCGTTGTTTTCACCGAGGGCAGCATTGAACAGTTCAAAGTAAGCTTGATATGAGTGAAGTGAGCTCTTAGAAGGCTTAGGTGCACTGACACTAATACACAGTCTTACTCGTTCGGCTTTAAGAGGATGAATCATTACTTCTGCGGCACTTGCGGCGTATCCTGTATGGTCCGCTCCAAAGGCCCTGATTTCTTTCCTGGGATGACTTGCGTCAATGTGCGCATGTTGCAAGGTGTGGAGCTTGAGGACTTGAAGCGCAAGCCTGGTGATGGGAAGAACTATTGAAGGGGTTGTGCTTGGCGCAGATAACGTAAGGAGGAGACAATGTAAGGTTAATAGTCACCGAACATGAGATGATCTGATGTGTATGTCGACAAGGCAAGGTTTTGCTGTTGTGCAGCTCCTGATGTACGGCTTGTACAAAATGCTGACAAAACGGGCATGATCGATTAGAAATGCGGTCTCGCCCTACAGAGCAGATGATTCGCTCATGTAGCCCCAGACAGGGCGCAATACAGTCTGTCCTATCATACCAACCCAGGAACTTCGTATCTATATATCGCTACCTCACTCCCCATACTCTGCTATTTATCACTTGGTGCAATTCGATCATCGACAAGCCTCTCCCATACCAAATCTCAATCATGTCTCCTTCCCTTTCAACACCCAACACTTCGTCTACACCAACTTCGCCAGGGCGTTGGGTAGTCACAGAATTCGGCAAGCCATCTGTACTAGAATGGGAAGCTTTTGATCCCCTGGCCTCGCTGTCTGCTGGCAGAATTCTCATCCGCATCCTTGTGGCTGGTATCGCGGGAGTCGATAATATCCAACGTTGTGGCGGCTACCCTCATCCTTTGGCGAAAGACCCCGGCTTCACACCTGGCTATGACCTCGTAGGCGAGATAATAGCGCTAGGTGACTCTGTACCAAACGAGAAAGGATTAAGGGTCGGAGACAGAGTAGCGGCATTGAGCATCTTCGGCGCGCATGCGACACATATCGTGCTACCGTATGAAGAAGTCATGAAGTTGGAGAAGGACGATGATCCGCTGAAGATATGCGCACTGCCGCTGAACTACATGACAGCGTGGGGTATGTTGAAGCACAGCGGTGTGGATTTACCGCCCGGCACGAGCATCTTGATCGGAAGTGCAAGTGGAGGACTGGGAACGGCTGTTGCGCAGCTGGTCAAGGCCTTCGATATGGGAATCAGGATGATTGGAACATGTTCGCCTAGCAAGTTCGAATATGTGCGCTCATTGGGTGTGGAGCCGCTTGATCGAAGTGCTCCGAATCTTGTCGAGCAGGTTCACGCGCTGACAGACGGGAAAGGGGTAGATGTTGCATATGACGGTGTTTGTAGCGAGAAAACTGTCCACGACTTCCTCGCAGCTACCAAGCAAGACGTTGGCAAAGTGGTCATCTTTGGGGTTATGGGGAATATTGCTGCTGATGGGAGTAAAATGCTGGGAGGCACCGACAAATTGTTTGAAGCACTACTACAGCCACCGCGAGTATGCTTCTGGGCACTTGACATAGAGTTCCCGAAGAAGAAGGAAGTGGCAGAGTTCTATGCGGTAGTAGAGAAGGTGAGAGAGGGGAAATTGGATCCGATTGTTGCGAAACTTCTAAGGCTGAGCGACGCAGTGCCAGCACACGAGCTTCTTATAAATGGGAGCGCTATCAAGGGAAAGATGTTATTTGCAGTAGGTGAGGATATAGCTACGTTATATGGCGTATAACTGCCTACATGGCAGGATACACGCTCGAGTATTATATAGCTGAACGCTATCAAAGATGAACAGTCAATCAAACCGAGGCAAATAATAACTGTCAGACGACCTTTTGAAGGATACGTAAGACGCGAAGGATGAAATAGGATGACCAACTCTTCACATGTGTTCGAGAAGCCCTGCACAGCAAATCTTCTTGGAATCCACAATATTCTTGTCGCAATGTTACTGTAACTGCGCGGCATCATTCTTTGGTGTTACTAAATTGCGCCCTGGTATATTGATGCGTCTCTCTTTAGTTTCGACATCTTGCATGATATCAGTACATGCATCAGTTCTTCTATTGCGTGCCTGTTGTTTGACTGACCTCCGTTTCTCAATGTGTTTGATATGGGGCCCAGGAGGAAGTTCAGACCTAGTAGATCTGATTGGGGATTCACTAGTGTTCATACGATGGTACATTTTCGATTCCTTGGTGAGCTCCTCGGTGCTGCGCTAGCTCATCCCCTATTAGCCAGTATATGTGCTTGAGTTCCCAAAACAAATTGGTTAGTCTGTCTCATTGTGTAATGTTTTCCACTAGACTATGCTGCATTATCATATTCAAGGCATGATTGGAAGCTATGTTACCAATCCAAGTTCTCTGAATTACATGCTCTTTCGAAACTCATTTACACTAACAAGGTCAGTCCGGAAATTCATCGATGAATAGGGTGCAGGATAATAGTGCGATGATCAAGCTGGAGAAAGAGACAGTGGGGTGTGAGTCGCTTCTTGTGAATACAGCTATGCATGGACTAGGAAGAGGTTGGGTGGTGGATCTTGTAATGTAGAAGTCGGCAACGGACAGTATGTCGAGCGGTTCATTGTATACAATGGAGTGCACGCTAACAACGAGGAGGCAATACAACCAGATACCAACATGTTAATAAGAATTCCTCCCAGTGCCAGCCCAGTCGAGCAAGACATGTATCCTGTTGTGATCAACCAAGGGCTCGAACTCTGCACAAGCATCGGCACCACTATATCGATAAGCAAGCCAAAGCATTAAATATGGAGCAGCAAATGTGCAGCCTCGAAAGGGTTACGAGCAATGCTTTAGCATGATGGGGCGTGTAGTCTTACGCTGGCTATACTGCCTGAGACTCATGATCCAAACAGGCAAGATGATTATCGTAAGTCCATGACTGGACCTGAGTTGGCATGCCATTGTCCTCGGACCAAGTCCAGTCCACAGGTCAAGGACGCGTCTTGCGTCAGGAAGCACACTTCGAAAGCGCTGAGACATCGCACGCCCTGTCAGCTGCCTTAATGCAGCCCGAGCTACTACGTGGGAGTAGGAGGATGTTCCACGAAACGGAATCGTTGGACGTGGAGAATACTGGGGCAGCGGCGAAGAGGAAAGCTTTATGCATCAGTCATGTCATCGACAAGACGTACTTGGCCTGGCCACTGGCGCTATCCTTCATCGCTGCAACGATTCTAGCGGTTATCGCGGGAGTCGTAACGCGCAGTGCATCATCGGGCGTGGAGTTAGGAGGATTCGTAGGCGTCGGCGTCGTGTTGTCATGATCGTACATGTTATGGCTCCTAGGATAGCTCACACATCTATGCGCTTGAACCTCTGACCACCGTCATCGTCCTTCTCCAGCAACCCCCTCATTTGTCTGGCTCTCCTCTCTACCTCTCATGCGCTGCCCATCCTACTTTCTTCAGTGCGCCACCCCTCCATATGTGTCAATAGTGGCACGATAGCTGAGCTCTTCCAAAATACTACGCCCCTCCTCCATGTGTGCACGCGCGTAGCCACAAGGAATGCAATGCCCATGATGACTTCCAACGCTGTCCTTGATATGGTTGAAAGAAGGGCGACAACAGTATTCAGCGTAATGTTGTGAACGAAATGCCAACTGGACAGGGACCTCTCCTGGTAAACCTTGAGTATGATTATTATAACAACGACGCACATGAGACTGAAAACTGCAGCTACAAACTCCCGTTGCCAATCTTCTAAGTGAAAACTTTCGGAACGCTTAGGCGGATTGTAGTGCTGTTCGACGCTAGTTTGTTCCTTCATAGCTATGGATTCCGGTCTTTCTGAGCTCCATGCGAGGCGGTTGTTGAGCAGTCTTTCTGTGTAAGCGTCCTGATCCTGGTCCGAAATGCCATGTAAGTGCTTCTGTCTAAGACTGCCCGTGAGCGGATCGTACTTTTGGCCGTGCCCTAGTGACTGTATTGAGACAGAGCGAGATGAAGCCATGCTACAAAGTTTGAAAGAGTTGCGGTAGCCTTGTATTTCGAACTCTTAGACAAGTGGACAGGACTGAATATTATTTATATGCGACGAGGCCGCTAAGTGGGAGACTTAAACTAACCTGGGGCCAAAAGCGGCTGAGGTGTGGTATAGATCCTACTTGGTTGTGATCAGGCGCCCTGCCTCTTGACGCCTAATGGTGGGTCTCCCAATCATGTATAAACTCGACCGTTCAGGGCATTAAAGCCAAACTATTGCAGGGGGTATCGTGCGACTTGAAAAGGAATTAAGAGAAAACATAATAGAAAGCGTTACAGCTCGTCAAATCCACGCAATCGTTCATCGTCTTCCAGTACGAGCTGCGCGTCGACGGTCTCCAGGATTTGGCTTGCGGTACTGATTGACGGCCCTATGATCGCCTCTTTTGCTATGTCTGGTATGTCCGCATTGAGGATGGCGTCTCTGGTCGCGGGATCGAGAGTGTTCTGCGGTTCCTGTACATTGTTGGTTGGCTGAGACGGGCGGACGAGAACGAGAGCTAGTATGACTGCAGCTATGAGGCTGGCTATACCCCAGAACATGCGCACGCGATCTACTTCATGTCAGTTTGAATAGAATCAGAATGAATGTGTGGAGACAGCCATACGGGTATTCCTCGCCTGCCACTGTGCTTCAGACTTGGCCCTCGCATCAACGCGCTCTTTCGCTCGTTCGAGTCTTGCTGTCAAGGCGTCTGCTTTTTCTTTCCCCGCTTTGATTCGCTCTTCTAGCCCGCTGACCTGCTCTTGTTGTGCCTTGAAGCCATCGAAAGCTTCCACTTGACCAGTCACGTCTTCTACTAGCTCTGTGGTGTCCGACTCAAAATTTCCATGGAGCTCTTTAGTCAAGCCAGATAGCTCTTGCAGCGTTCCGATAGTCTGACGCAGTACAGACACCTTCTCGAGGATGGAATAGTATGTATCGTCCAGGCGGCGCGAGGTCTTGAAAGACTGGTCGGAAAGGGATTGAAGGGCAGCGCGGAGGTCTCTACGTGCCATGTTAGAGAAGTCATGTTGTAGGAAGTGCTATGTGTTGCATAGTAGATGACGCAGACGTACCGTTCTCTAGCCTCGACCCTCTTTGCCTCTAGCTCCACATCTGCCTGCCGGAGTGGTCTCCGCGGCGGAATGATAATGGCTGGGTTGGTTTCCTCCTTTCCATTCACGCTGCCATCGGCCTGTCCTGGGGAGACGCTCTCTCTGCGACTGTGACTAGGACTGGTGTCTCTACTCCCTCGTGCCTGCCTCAGCAAGTCTCCAAAGCTAGTAGGCGGCTGTATCTGAATGGCCGACTGCATGACTTCCTTTGCAGCATGGCGTTTGCTGGAGCTATGGCGGTGATGGCCATCGTGACGGTCGTGATGGTGTCGCGAAGACTTGTGCTTGTGTAGATGCGAATGCGACTTCTTTTCGGGGTCAGACGTCACACGTGTCGCCGATCGGGAGCTGTAGAGATTTGGGCGCAACGATCTGGGATCAGCCATACCGGAATGGAAATGAAGCCCCTCCATGCCTAAGTATCATTTTGGGTGGTTTGGTCGGCGCGGTGAGGTAGTGACGGGTGCTGGGTCTCAAGATCGACGAGTTCCAAGCTTTCGTGTGTCATGACAGGGGTCTGTAATGGCGGAGACACGAATCATGCCCAAACAATGGTTGTAATTGCAAATTCAGCACATACTCAGCCGTAAATTGCTTGTGCAAGTAGTCACACGTCTGTGAGCATAGTGTGCTCAGTACAAAATAGTAATGTAGGATCCTGAACCATGAGGAGGGTTGTGTAATGATTGCTTTTTGCTCCTTCTTCCACTGTCAGAAGTTTGCGTAGGGTATCGTTGCTTGCATCTACATCTCCGGGGCGTTCAACATTATCTCGCCCTGTTCACGGACTGCACTGGTCCCAGTCGCTCCTGCCTTTTTTGGCGGTATACGGATACTGCGTCGCCCTTGCCTCTACGCCTGTATGGCAAGCTCTCTGAAAGCTCTCTGAAAGCTCTCTGCAACGGCATTTCCTTCATCGTGTCTTCCACTTTGGCTGTAGTCTTGCCACTACCGAGCTCACGACTTCAGCATCTTGTTGCGCTTCTCTCTCCTCTTCAGGCGCTCGACGCGCTTCTTGTGCATCTTCTCTTCCATCTTGGCGAATCGCTCTCGTTCTTCTTTCGCGGCGCGCTTGGTCTTGATAGCCTCGACTCGTCGCTATTGAACAGTCAGCTGTCGTCTGTTCTTAGCCAAAGTCATGGCTTCCTACCTGTCGCTCAGACTCCTTCTCTTCCTTCAGCTCCTTCTCCTTCGCCTTGACAGCAGCGAGCGCCTTCCTCTCCTCGCTACGCTTCTCCCATGAGGTTTGGCCCGCCTTTGGTCGGAACGGGCCCTTGTTGTCGTGCCACTGCTTGCCTGGAGAAAGTGAGAATGTCATCGTGCAATCTCTACACACAGCTGTCGCATACCGTTCTTCTTCATGCCCTTGACAGGAGCATTTTCCGTCGCGGGAGGCGCCTCGATTGTTACAGACTCGGACATGTTTGCGGTGTTGCGCGACCAGTGGCTCGGAAGTTTTGAGGTAAGAAAAGTTATCGATAGCGCTCAAAGGGTCTCGCATGCGCCCAAAGCGGTTTAGGACGGCTTACACGGCCGCGATGCAAGATCGATCTGATAACATGCAAAGTTATCAGATCATCTGATAGCCTTGGAGCAAAGTGTGGATTTTGGGCGCATAATGCGCGGTTTAGTCCCTCACATCCATAGATTATACGGCACGCAGATGATCTGAATCAGTAGGCGCTGTGTGCTTTCGACTGACTGCAGAATTTTCTTGAGCTAGAGCCTGATTTGCACGTTGGGCTGTTATTGCATTCACCCAAAGTCGCACACGACCCGCAGCCCGCTGCCTACTTCCTTAGTAACTCTCTTCGTCGTGTTACACACTTCCGACCTTCGTTCCACTCGCGATACCATATACGTCGTCGTCGTACCTCATCATTGACATGGGCTCCGCTTCATAACAGTAGCCACGCGCCCTCTCACCGCCCACGACTCTTCGCACGCAAAACATGCGCACCGCTTCATAGACACATATTGAACACACCTGTACATACTCGTTGAGGAGCCATATATACCCCTGATTCATGGAAGCACAAAAGAGTTCGGTGTCGGTGGTGGGGGGAAGAGGCAGGCTGCCGAACCCGGTCATAATGGAAGAGGCCCAGAGTCCTGCTGCGGCACAAGCCATTGGCAAGGGAGAAGAAGCCTTGAAGGATGTCCTATGTGGATCAGCAGCTGGAATTGTGGGAAAGTACATCGAGTACCCTTTCGACACCATCAAGGTTCGGCTGCAGTCACAGCCCGACCAGGTACCACTCCGCTACACCGGGCCGTTGGATTGCTTCAAGAAATCTCTACAACAGGATGGCTTCACCGGTATATACAGAGGAATTAGTGCACCTTTGGTAGGAGCTGCTGTGGAGACCAGCACTCTGTTCTTCAGTGTGAGTAGCGTGCATACGAAGGAGTAAATCATGCTGACACGCTTTGCAGTACCGTCTGGCTGGCGATGCGCTCAAGTCTTCAGGATTCTATCCAGAATTGAAGAGACACCCGGACCGAGACCTACCCTACTCTGGCATGATCTTTTGCGGAATGATTGCCGGTGCCATCACATCACTTTTCCTTACACCAATTGAACTTGTCAAATGCAAGATGCAAGTCCCTCTAGAAGCGCATGGCAACGTTGTGGCCGCGCCAACTATCCGCAGTGTCATTGCTTCCATTTATCGTCATCAGGGCCTTACCGGCTACTGGCATGGACAGTTCGGAACCTTGATACGCGAGACAGGAGGCGGCGCAGCATGGTTCGGTGGTTATGAAGGCATGAAGATTCTCTTCAAGGGCTCTAGCACTTCAGCTAAGGAGGAAGATCTTCCAGTCTGGCAGCGCATGGCCTCTGGTTCCGTCGCAGGTGGAGCCTACAACTTCATGTTCTACCCTGCCGATACCATCAAGTCGAGGATGCAGACGGAGGATGTCAAGCAGTTGACTGGTGGAAAGTCTACATTTAGCGCTGTAGGAAAAGCGCTTTGGCAGCAACATGGTATCAAAGGCATGTACCGTGGATGTGGCATCACAGTTGCAAGATCTATACCCAGCTCTGCATTCATCTTTACTGTATATGAGGAGCTGAAGAAGCGATGGCCTACCCGACGGGCAGAGTAGAAAAGCGTCGCGGTTTCGCGACGATAACGCGGGACTTGATGGCAGCAGCATATCACGGTGTTTGAAGGGCGTTTGTATAGCATCAGGCGAGAGTGTCGAGATACCATATATTGTTACTTTGAGCGCATAGAAAGGGAACAGTAGTCTTAGATTATAGAGCGCGCATGAGCAGCAGCACACACGCAAAGCCAACATGGGAACCTCACCCTTGTCATTCTGCCTTCACATGTCAATGCGCAAACATCCCTGTTCCATTATCTCCTTAGCGCGAAGCTGCTCCAATGTGGGGAAGCAGCAGCGACCGGCAATGTGACGCGAGCCGAGGATCAAATGCCAGCAGCCATTCCGCGACTGCGACTCTAGTTGCTCTTAACTATACCCGACCACAAACCTCGTTCACCCTCCCAATGTCAGCCTCATGATACGTGCATTGTATTTTGATACTTCTTGCTCCTCCTTCGCTTCTCTCTTCCAGGGCTTCCGCGACTATAAAAGGTAGCGACAAACGTCATCGCAACGCGCGCGCGCGGACCGAGGCTCGTCTTCGCCGAACACAAGCAAGAACCACACCACACAACTCAGCACATACACACAAACACCATGGACAGGTTACACGCCCTCGAAGTATGTTGGAAGGAGACAAGATTGCGCATTCTTTGGAAGGCTGACTGACGGGTTCAATAGGCTGCGCTAGAGAAGATTGTGTTAGATCCCAAGTACCACGATATCCTCACATTGGTAAAAGGTGTAAGGAATGGCATCGTATATGGAAGTAAAGTGCGGTTTCCGCATGCGCTTGTGTAGGTTGGCCCGAGACTATATGTTAAGGGTAAATGGATAGCTGACGTGTGGTTTAGAATGATCTTTCTCTTCAGATCCGGAAGGTACGTCGAACTCCCTCCTACTTCGAACCTCGCGCACGCTTTGAGAGCCTAGGAGAGCATTTACTGACAAAGCGCTAAACAGTATCCGATCAAAATGCTCACTCGTCTACAAAGCGACCCGCCAACATGCCCGTAACCTTGGCCTCTTCGCCCTCGTCTACAAGTCCACCATGCTCTTCCTCCGACACACTTCCCCGACCGGCAAAGAAAGGCACTACGATTCCTTCCTCGCCGGTCTACTAGGCGGCTACACAGTCTTCGGTCGCACAATCCACAACTCCGTGTCTCAGCAAATCGTCATCTACGTAGCTGCACGCGTATGCTTAGCATTAGCAAAGCTAGCAGTACAACCACGACATGTTGGGGGCGGAGCTAGTGGACAAGGAGTAAAGGGAGGTAGTGGTGGGTGGGAGCTATTTGGCAACGGGGAGATGAGGAAAAAGATGGCGAAGAATGGTTGGCCGGTTTTTGCCAGTCTGAGTTGGGCGATGGTCATGTATATCTTCAGGTGGCATCCTGAGAGTGTGCAAAGCAGTCTGAGGAGTAGTATGAGTTATATGTGGGTATCCTTGGAAGCTGAAGTAACATGGGGCTGTGCTAACAAGTGGACAGTTATGTACAGTCGGATGACTGGGATTCGCTACGGACGTTGCTTTGGCATAACAAATAAGCAGAGTGAAAAGGAAGGAAATATATAGATGTACGAGGTATCATGGTCAGATGTGGAACCCGGCATCTGGAGTCAAATCCATGGGGAATTTCATGCATTTCCGTCAGCGCATTATATTGTGACAGGAATAGAAAGAGAATAGAAGAGAACATACAAAGCAACACATCACGTAGGCATCGTTATTTCAGCTCTATCCACCAATAGCGAAATCTCCCGACTGAGTGGGTTAGAAGCGGAACTACTACACGACATGGCCTCAAATATCCGTCAAAAAGAGCGATGCAACTACACAACATGTTAAAATGAAGCGACCAATGTTGCCTGATGCAGACCGATGTCCTTGGTTTGTGATTGCACACGGTGTTCGCCGGTGGCTTTTACCCCACTTACGGAGATGATGTAGGCGGCCTCCGGTGAGCCTTTCTAGGACATCCACACGCGATACGTTCGAGACGTTGTACTTCAAATGCCGTCATCAGGCTGAACAAAGTACATCCCGGCTACTTTCGGATTACCAGTCATCTCAGCTTTATCCTGTGTTATCCTTCGGTCGCGTGGTTACTCAAGGGTACTCTCGACTTGTAAGACTGAAGTTGCTGGCCGGTGTCGGAATACAGTAAGAGATGAACGAAAGACATTTGCCCTTTTTGCGTGACATTGGCTGCAGAGGAAGCGGGGAAGAGGTCCAGTGATAGCATCTTGAAGCCCTGTAGTCGACCAACTCAGGCCTGAGGTAAAGCAACGTGTCTCTCGCGAAAGCGGCTACGAGTATCCGTGTGCTCAATCGCTTTGTGTCTGGATGCCGATCGTCGGTCGTATGATTTGAACATAAAGCCTGCGTAGCTTTCGTACTGATCCTGCTTTTCGATCCCTCTCCAGTGTCTGTTTGTTCGGAGCCCTGGAGGTATTTTGATCTGTGTAATTAGCCTGTATACCATCACCTTTGTAAAAGTCGTCGTCTCCTTGTAACAAACCTTCGGCTATTGTCATTCTGTTTCTTCTGCCTATTTCCACAATGTACGACCACGATGACCCGAACAGTCCTTTGAATCAACCGTCTCTAGATAGACCATCTTCAGACAGGCCGCCCCAGTTTAATTGGAGAAACTGCGGATATGATTGTGGAGAAGGATGTGAGAAGGCTAGCGAGGACGAAGGCGGTGGTGGAGTTAGCGATGGAGAGACAGCGGTTGATGCGGATGAGGACCAAAGTTCGATGACTGGACTACAAGATGAAGATATCAGGACGGCTCAAGATACGGACGACGCCACGACAGATTCCTCAAACCTAGACCCGATGGACTGTGTTGACACTGTTGTTTATGGACAACCGCCTGAAGGACATACCACCATGTCAGGAAGTCTGATAGTCGAACCGTGTGTCACAGCGGATAACAGCCCAGTGCCCTCCGCCAGCGGAAGCGCTCGCAGCCGATCGCCTGATCCGGGGGTTCTTTATTGGATTACCAGCATGCCAATAGCAACACCGTTGCCATTGGAATACCATTTTTTACAAACGCCCCTACGTCTCAGTCCTCAGTACGAGCACTGCCGAGGGGACCCGGCGTCTCATCTGGTCGTCCCGGATCGCTCGCCTCTTTGGTATTTGATGGAACAGTCATGGAATGGGTATGCACCTGCATATGGATATATTTCTCCACCGTAGTTTGGGGCCTTGCAAGACTTGATCGGACGGCTTTTGGTTTAAGGATATGGAGTTTGTTATGCCGGTGCCCTCTATTTGGATGTTGGGGTTTACATTGTGTTTGAGAATTTTGTTAGCAGTCTGAGCTCTTAGGTGCTTCTTATGGCGTTTGGTTAGGTTTTGTTAATAAATATGTATACAAAGAAACTGTCGATTTTCTCAAACGGAGGAGAAAACGCTCGAATAGCTGTGATCCGGTGTACAATCCAAAGCCGGGTAGAAAACGACATGAATGTAGGCTGAGCGAGAAGCAGAGACGCGCATGAAGTGGAGAACCCAGGTAATGGTACGACTGTCCATTTGTGGTTGTTGTTACCGTCCATGTGTCAACCTTGGAAGTCACCCGGGAACGCCCGAACCTACCGGGTCCCCATCAATTTTCTTCTTGTGACAACACTGCACAGTCACCGCGAGATCCCAACTGAGTATGCTGTCTAAGCATGTCACCAGTGACCCACAGCTGCACGTATTGATGAAATTATGTCGCTAAATATTTATAAACATGCCATCATGGCGACGCATATGGGAAGAGAAATCTTGCCCGCGGGCATCAGCCGCCAGCGTGGGTATACGATGCGCAGACCCTCTGATGGCTCCTGAACGGAGACACTTGCGCGGCCAGGGTCCCTATCATTAGAACATTGATTAGCACCTAAATGCCGCATTGCATTCGCTGCAATGCAAAGACTTGATCAGCTTCTGTCATGCCAGAAGGCTGTAGTCGTTCTTCAACAAGCGGGCGTGGAGTCGTGGAGAAGCGTATGCCATCTGTCGATCCCCCAGGTAGCTTGTCGCTGATTCTTCGTGTTCGTCGACATGGAATTGTCTAGTCTTCATCGTAGACCCACACGGCTTCTCTCCACCTTCGCGCCGCGTACTGCTTAACGAATTAATGTGCCCAAGATGCGGTCGGGGGCTGACTGTTGAGCTGACTCGACTGACCGCCGCACATGCTGTGGCTTGTCATCGGGCAGCTACTTGACATCCATAGAGCCCTAGAACTTTCCACTATAGCCCCTTTAGTTTAAGTGCCGTAGATAACTTTGGTGTCAATAGCGGTGCACGCATTGATAAGACAATTTAATTGCCTCGATTTGGCTGGTTGGAGAGCTGGTCGGAGCGCTATCCTACTCTCAACAATGAAACACCAACATTGATCACCCAACGAGCTCCTCCCACGATTGATCGTTCAGCCACGCCGTAGCAGAGCCGCCCAGGATATAACTGACGGCGCCCGCTATCAGTACATTACTTTTACCCAAACTCGCAAACCCCGCTGTAGCTCTCGGGCTGTTCATGCGACTCTCTACACCATACGTCATCCTGCACCACAAGCTCTAGATCTTCCTCGACATCGTGCCATTTCACATGTTTCCCGGCAAACTCTACTTCAGACGCTTTCCGCAGTTCGACAAACCCCTGGCTGTGTGGGAACTGCGATACGGGCTACGGTGGGTTGAAGCTTCAACCGTCCACAAAAGCAAATGTGCACGCGACTGACATTGTCAAAGTTTACACGAATATCCTTGAGCCCTACGAACCCACAAATCAACCACCGCATACCAGACCTCCCTCCAAAGCAAGCCTGTATTGGTTGCATCCTCTAGCCCTCCGATTCCCCCCAGAACATACAGCCAACGAGGCTTGCATGTGCTTAATTCTGCACCGAGCATCGTCCGCGAAGCAGCTGGCACGCCCAGAAACGCCCGTTCACTTTTATATGCCTCCGAAATATTCCGAATAAATTCCCCGCTTTGGTGCGCTTCCGCATCACCCCAGATACCAGGTGTCTGCCACTAGTGTACCCGGGCGACCGAATAATCTTGCTATTGGCGACACCATATTGTCAGTGACATATAGCATTACCAATACAAGTATAGCATAAGGGATTACCCTTCAAGTGCTGGATATACTTAAGATGGCGTCAGCAGCTCCTCCCAGGCGGTTCAAGGTCGAGCCTATCGAGACGACTGTCTCGTCCTCCAAGGACAAGGCTCAAGCAGACCAGGCAGAGAGGCCGAAACCACGAAGATTCGCACCACAGCCAATAGAGACAACAACATCGAGCTCCAAATCTAGCCGTAAATTTACGCCCGAGCCTGTTGAGACTACCAAGAGATCCAACCGTCGCTTTGCTCCCGAGCCAATAGAGACGACAACACGAAGCAGTCGTCAGAAATTTGCCAAGGATTGGGAAGAACAGACATCACCCACAGGGAAGTTCAAAGCCAATCCTATGGAAGCCGTTGCAAACTGTAATGCTCCGTTCAAGGGTACGCTAAAGCTGCCTACGAAGAAATTCAGGCCGCAATTGATTGAGACTGCCCAGAGGCATCGCAAAGCGGGAGACGATATGCCCACATTACTACCGTCGGACAAGACTGAGGCAACGCCGGACTCAGCGATAAGTGCCCGGAAAGCAAGGATATTGGGAATACCTCCCACACCGCCAACAAACACACCGACTTTTGATATTACTCAGAACCCTTTGTTTTTGGAGATACAACGCAACGCCTCACCGTGTAGGCGCCGGTCGTACTTTAGCTGCTCACAACACTCGTTCCGTGTTCCAGACTTAGACCCGATTGAGTCTTCAGAATCCGAAGCGTCTGTCCCGCCATCACCCACCGAGTCACTACCCTACACTTCGGATCATTCATTCATGTATAAAGAAGCTACTCGACGACGAGAGAGTGTCGACGATAGTTCTGCCGGCTACCTCCTTGAGTTGGCTGCTAAGGCTGCTGAAAAGCAGCTTCGAGAACAGGCGTTAGCTGCATTTCCAAATAGCGATTTCCACGAGCCCGTGGCTCATTATGTGGATCATGATACCGAAGGCTCAGAGCCATCGGTCACCGAGGCCAAGCAGCAACAGCAGCGAGAGTCGTCTTTCACGCAGGTCAATTGGGATCTAGTGGCTATGCGTGAGTATCGAGAGAAGCAAATAGCCGACAAAGAGAAGCAGAAGCCGAAAGAATATGTCAAGCCTGCCTTCAGTCCGTTCGGAAACCCAGCCGGCTTTCTCGATGCTGCCACAGCCAAGAAGTTTGCGAATGAACGGAAAGATCCTGAATTAGAGCGTCAACGTAGAGAAGCTCGACCTCCAATGCTCGGACAGGATATCAAATTTCCGCGATGCGAATCGCCGGAACCATCTCGCTTTGACCCCACTCAAGGGTGTGATGCAGTTAGGACAGCTATGTGCTATCTCTCCGAACAGTCTAAGGCTGCGTCTGAAAAGGGGGAAAGTTTATGGTGTGGGAAAGGCAACGGCAGACAAACAAGCACAACACCTTCACTGTGGTCTAACGCCAACAGCCGAGCTTCGAGCACCCATGGCTTGTGGGGTGGGTTTTGCGTCAACGGTGGAGACAAGTCCCCACGCGGGCCGACGGGCCTGCTCACACCCCACAACGAGAAGCCAAATCCAATGTCACCCTGCCCAACGCCCTCTACGAGCCTGTTGCCACCTACGCCTCCTGCATCTAGCTCTGGCATCACTTTTGAGAACACAGGCTTCTCAGGTATCGATGAGAAGCTCGCTGTTGAGCAGTCCATCGAAGAAGAATTCGGTGACAACTTTGTCACTCAAGTGTACAACTATTTATCTCTTGGATACCCGTCAATGGCCCGTCCATTCGATGAGGAACTTTCAAAGATATCACATATTCCCATTTCCGAGCTAAGACAAGACGACCACCTTGCATCATCCCGCGGTTACATTCGTCTTGGCAAAGACGGTAACCTGAAGGACACCGAGATTACCGAGGAGACATGCATGCGCTGGCGCGCCTTACGCATTTACATCCAAGAGTGGGCGAGGCAACATCCCAACATGGCTGAAGACGAGTTTATGGTTGGTGGGCGTGGGACTGCGGTCAGGAAAGGCAGTTGGGCACTTTAGATGAGTGTTTCCGTCGTGGATCCCACCTTTCTCATGCATGTAGCTTTCCGAGCCCTTAGCGTGTACATTCACCGTTTTCCCGGCGTTGTTTCTAGTACACATGGTCGACCCTTGCCCGCATTTTGTGGCTTGGTACCTGGACGTAGATCTCCTATGGAGCTGTTCCGGTTTCTCCGTTATTGATCTAATGGAGAAATGCGGGTTGGACCTGCATATTTTCTTATCTTCAGAATGTACAAACGTTTCTTTTTAGATAGATCCATTGTAATCAAGTCTCGGCCGATTTCGAACAGCCTATGAAATGATGGAGTTGACAGTGCCAGGGTCTACTTAGCGAATGACATCCGCGTTTCGGCTCGACTCAAATGGGTCGAAGTTGCTTTTTTTTGTTATCTTTGACAACTACTTCTGTCACACCTCGCCTCCCCCAGACAACGCCTTTGCGTGAGAAATTGCCGCACTCACGCGCTTATGTGGCAGCAAGGTTTGTATCTTAATGCCGAAGCCTCACTGCGCCCGTATGCAGCCCGCGTCGCTCGCGTGATTCTAGAGGCTGATTTAGACGAACAGCACTAGATGTAAGCATCGCTTATACATCGACCTCTCAGGCGATTGAGGTACGGATATATCGGACTATGATTCATCTCCGCTATATAATTGTAAGATATCTGCCGTGCGGCTGGAGGCGCCCGTCTCAGACAGCACGTGCTTGCACACGTTCCCACCACCCTGGCCCTTCGTTGCATCCCGCGCTTCGTTTGAGTACAAGCGTCTTCTCCTATCAAACGTCTCACCAATTGCAGGCGCATTCTAATATTCTTGCCAGACGTCAATCGCCTGGCACGTTATACTAACTACGTAGGTCGACCGTGATGTTGATAACCACGACAGGGTCCTTCACGGCACAGACCCTTGAAGGATCTGAAGTAGGGATTATTGTTGCGCGGAAATGTTCATGTAGAAACAGCATCAGGGTAATTTCCCCATCCGTGGGACTAAATGCTGAACATGGCCTGACTTCCGGGTGCGTGGGTAGGTACAACGACATCATATCTGCCTTGGCTGGGTTATCGAGTAATCGCGGCCTACAACCTTTGACTTCTTATCTACTATCCCATTGAAGATGCTTACCTTTTAACAAGTTATGCCCAAATAGAAGTACGAAGAGATACGATGCACGAAGCATCACACGAGAAGAGAGTACAACCATTGACAGCAAGCATTCCTTGAATCGCAAGTCGCATGGACGGCACCCTGTGAACGACTTACTTGCAAACCAGAACAATATATATTTCGACACAACGATCCACCATCGCAAATCTCCAACATGTCTGATTTTCCAGAACAGTTAGCTTCGCAGTCATGGACGTTATATGGGATCGGCATGGTTGTCATCGTCCTTCGCACGTTAGTAACACCTAGTGTGAGGATATAGTGATACTCATTCTTAGTCATAGATTTGCACGATGGCGTCGAGTCCGAGGCCTGAGCGGCTTTGCAGCAGATGACTGGATCATGGTAACGGCTGTACCACTTTTTTACACCGGGCTGATAGTATGCCTAAACATCATCGCGACAGGAGGTGGAAGTAATCTCTTCCCGCCAGAGCAGTTCTCCACATTCACACGGGAAGAGATCGACGAGCGAATCAAAGGGTCCAAGATCGTGGTTGTTTCCGAGCAAGTACGTTGACAGAGCTTGGAACGTGCGAATACATAACAACGCACAGCTAACATCCATTAGTGCATGCTGAACGTCATTTGGTCTTTGAAAGCCTGCATGCTGTTCATGTTTGCTCGCATGTTGACCGGAACAACAAACATGAAGTGGATCAAAGCGACTGCATTATGGATCGTTGTTGGCTGGTTCGGCGTCGAGATTGCCTTTTTCAGTGCATGCCGTCCGTTCGTAGGATATTGGGCAGTGCCGCCCCCAAACCCGCAATGCACGACACTGGAGCACTTCGCGATCGTACAGGCAACTTTCAATTTAAGCAGCGATGTCCTTATCATCGCTGTGCCGATACCGATGATCATGTCGCTTTCCCTCCCTCTGAAACAGAAGGTTGTGCTGGGCATACTGTTTAGCATGGGTACTTTTGTTGTAAGCTCCCTTTCCTTTTCTTGCTCCCAACTTTCCTCCCACTAACACGCTTGGTTAGATCGTTGCAGCAATTCTGACAAAGATCTACAATCTCTCAGATGTATATGCCACGACATACATGCTGTGGTACACCCGTGAAGCTTCCGTTGCTGTCTACGTCGCCAATCTCCCTGGTATCTGGCCTCTTCTCCGCGAACACGTACGTTTCCTTCGTGAGCACACAGGGTCTTACGCCACCAGGCAATCAAAACTGCCTGGATACGGCTCACAAGGATATGGAAACATGTTCAGAAGCAAGCACCAAAGCCGCGTGCGCACATTTACCAATTTCGGCTCGGATGATGTTGAACTCGCATGTGATATAAATCCAGGCGCGAAGTCGATGCACACCTCCGAGAAGCAGATACTGGGAAGTGAAAACCCGTTCATGGGAGGGGAAGATACTCAGGAACCCGATGAGATGCCATCGGCGATGGGAGTAGGGAGTGGTTGGAAGGGGATGAATGGTGTGGCTGGTATGGGTGTACAAGTCGACACGGAGGTGGAGATTCAGAGTGATCGGTGGATGGGAAGTCGACTGGAGTTGGCGCAGTCGAGGATGGTACGGTGCGAAGGCCCTGGCGCGTAGGCAGGAAGATGATACAACGCACTTGCGTAGATATTGTTAAGTGACGCTCTTTATTGGCTCTAATTGATGTCTTGATTCCCATCCCATCTCGAGCCAGACGTTACCCAATCGAGCAATTATAGAAATTGTTGATTGCGGTAGAAACTCCTTCACCTTACACCGCATTCCCAACATTATCTGCATCCATGCATCTCTACAAACACTACTAATTCGACGAAACAGCACTACTTTCAAGACCAACACGTATATTTCGTCTCAACCTTGTATAGAGGTTACTGCACTAGGCAAGTATTCAAAGGCGTCGATTGCTGTTCGACGTTCTTCACCTATACCACCCCCGGAACAGGCTCTTAAGCATACAGGCGATGCGTAGACGTTTGCTCTACTTAGTGAACAAGTCCTATTTAAGTAAGTTTGGCATTATCATTAATTCTAGTCTAGGTATATTCACTCAACGAGCAATTGCAAGAGAGCTGGTAATAGTTATGAAATAGGCAAGTTCTAGTACTGTCGATTCTAGCAGGTGTCTATTCACTCAACGGAGGCTTTAGGAGATACTGTAGGTACTCAGAGTGCTTCGTGAGGCAAGCCGTTCATATCCGTTGATGGAAGAAGACACATTTCGCGTCTGCTGCAAAAGTGCCGGATAAGGCAGCTACATCGGACATTGATAGTAGTGGACAAATTTCGGTAAATGTTCACGATGCGGTATCGTGGAAACGTATTTATGTGCACTCGCATCTCGGTTGCCCGTTGATGGCGTCATTGGCAAGAGCGCGCTAATTCCCACCGAGGATTAGTCCCCCCGTGACAGCGCGATCTCGCGTGTCACTGTGCCTGTGGCAAGGCCGTACTTGCATTAGATCGAATTGCCATTTCGCAGCTTGCTGCGACCACGAAATGGCGCTCAATCCTCGAAGTCCCTCCGTACATAATCAGATGATTACACGGTTCACCAAGCATCCGAAATCCACCAACTTCGATGGCGAGCAAGATCGATCGGCCAAGCGCCAGAAGACAGGCAACAGCCCCAAGAAACCACTGCCAACACCACGGAGGGCCATCAAGCGCGAAGTGCTCGACTCTGAGGACGATAGTGAGGGCACTTTGATTAAAGAAGAGGAAAAAGAACACAAGACAGATCTAGAGAGTGCATTACCTCAAGTCGACACAGGCGATGACGCCATCAAAGCATACGAGGCGTACAAGGCAGAGGAGGAGAGCAAGACTGAAGGAGCTGATGAACGTTTGGAGAAACGTACATGGGTCCAAGGCAAAAGCTCGCTCTATGTCGATGCATTCAACTTAGCATTGGATACTGTGTTGGATGAGGAAGGCCACCTCTTTGATGAGGCCGAAACAGAAGTCTTTCTGATATGGAGAAACTTAGGTTACGAAGCGCAATATTTGTAAGTCCAAAGCTGGAGTGAAAGACGATCTAGGCGGTTACTGATTGCGTTCTCATTCATAGATATGTACGCCTGTTCCTTCGCAAGACGTCTGCATGGCATCGCATAAAGAACCTAGGTTACCACAGTGATATCTCAGACCTTGACGCTACCGCCGAGATATTGCAACGCACATACGATCTTCCTATATCTTCCTCGAAAGTCGAGTCACATCCGGGCGAGTTGGAGGCACCAGCGGGGACCACATTGGGCACCTCGTTCACGTTCGCGGACCGGTCCGAAGAGGAGATAAGCACACTAGAAGAGGCATCGTCGCTATTGAAACTCGATGAACTAAAGGCTCTTGCGAAAGATGCCAAGGTCAAGGGGAAGAACAAGGGTGAGCTTTTGAAAGCCTTACGACGCACAAGCCAGAAACAAGCCGGCCTGGGCTACGTTGGGTTGAAGCGGTCGGACTCAGAGATGTCGCGTGGATCCTCCGCGTCCAGATCTCGACCTGAAACGCCAGAAGTCGAGCTGGAACCCGAAGGCGATCTCTCCGACGATGCCAATCGAGATGCGCACTTCACGCGTAGGATCATGCAAGGGACGGGGCCTTGTATACGACTCTCACTGGGTGCTTTGAAGCTTTTCGAACGCGTACACCTCGTATTCTACCGCTCCACTGAGTGGACTGAGAAGTCGTTGACGACCATCATCTTGGCGAAGATAGCACGTCGGAACTTTCCAGAGTACATCGTCTCTCGATCAGCAAACATTTTCGCCTCACGGTCACTGTTGCTAGAGTATGAAGCTTCCATACGAACACAATACCGGATAGATAGTATTTTGGAGTTCAACGGAAGACCAACAGAGAAGGGGTACCAAGCGATCATAGATACTTTTGAGAAGGTATATCCGCGATGGCAAGTCTTGGTTCAAGAAGAGCAACAGAAGGAGGATAGTGTTTACCACAGCGGCGAAGGTTCATACCTACGTCGACTTTCGCCAGCCTGGGTGTATACGCGTATCATTCACAAAGCGCTTGACGTGCTCAGACGCAGGAAAGAGCATGAGCGCGAGCATGAGCTCTTGACCGAACTACTGCATCAGCGACTGTTCCATCATTCCCGTAGAGGAGCATGGTATCAGCGCAAAGCTTTACTTGAAGAACACTATATGGCTCCGTTGACTGACCCTGAGAAGAGAAGTGCGGAGAGACAGAAGAGGCACTGGAAGCTCATTGCTCTGCAGACCTGTGAAGACGGACTGCAGGATAACCTTGTGCATGTCATATACCACTATGATTTGCAGAAGCGCATCACCAAACTTGAACTGTCTCTTAACTTTGCTAAACGAATGCAACACGACTTCTCACACGTCCGCTTAACGAAGCCGGTTGAAGTTGCTATGGAGGGAACGCGCATCGAACGCGAACGCCCTTTGTTGTCAAGACGAAATAGCTCTCCACATCCAAAATCCGGTCAACGGGGCGGAAAGACGAGATGGATCGACCCGCGCGAGGACGGCGAGTGCTCAGTAGAAGCAATGTGTCTCTCACACTACCGCAACCAAGGCTGGAAAGGCTATCACAGTGAAGGCGGTATTGTGCGCACACTCTTCGCATACCTGTTCTTCGATGTCCTATTCACGTACGTACCCAACGTCTTCCAGACACCATACCAGACTTGTCCGTTGGATCTATATACCGATGCCTTCTATCCCTCCCGTATATCGGAGATCAATGCACGCTTGAACGAAATATCAAACGGCGACGCACCAGCCATCATCCAAAGAATCTACGACAACCATCACGAGCGTCGTACTTGCGTTGTAGGTCTAGACTGGACGTATGATGTTCTAGACCTGGTTGAGATCGCTCGTTGCTTCGATGGTGAAGCACTGGCAACCGTGTGCAAGGTCATGGCGCAAGAGTACGGGCAGAGAGGTGGTGGTGTACCGGATCTGTTTCTCTGGCGAGTGCCAGAAGAAGGGAAGAAGGGCGAAGTCAAGTTCGCAGAAGTGAAGAGTGAAAATGACCGTTTAAGTGACACGCAGAGGCTTTGGATACATGTGCTTTCTAGTGCAGGTGTGAGGGTCGAGCTTTGCGCTGCGGTGGCGAAGGAGGTGAAGGTCGTTTGAGGTGAGAGGAGACGTGCGTACTTGCCGATATGGACAGCTACAACATCAGAGGTCTGTTTGTTGTTGCTAACTCGGTTGGAATGTTTTGTATCCATCTACGACACTCCTTCTGTGTTACTCACCTTCGGCGTTCAGCAATCTCCGAAACTCCATGATGGCACGAGTTGTAGGTAGCAGAGCTCGAACTGCGGAGAACCCGGATGTTATGTAAGTAACGGCGGAACTCTCACTCTGCGTGTGATTTGGCTGATGTCGCCGTAGCACCGTGCGGAACCAGCGAAAGTCAGCCTTTCTACGACTTCCAGACGAGATCCGCAATGCGATCTATGTCTAGGCTCTTATTGGGATGTACAGCAAATTAAACCCCGAGACCTCAGAGTCATTTGTTGGACCGCCTGTCCGTCGCGCCCCGCTCCCTACGGAACTTTGGCTTCTTGCCACTAGCCGTCAGATCCATGTTGAGACACACCTTCTGCTGTTCAAGCTCAACGCTTCCCAAATCCCGCCCGAGAATCTCAGAATCTTTGTGAACAAGCTCACCAACGCGCAGCGTGATGCTATCACCACATTCAAGGTTGCATAAAGAGCATTTCAGTTCACTAGTGGAATTATGCCGGCGAGTGAGAGAAAATCGTTGCAGGATCATGCATGGGCCGGCCTTTTGGCTTTGGGTAGAATTAAAGGCCTTAAGCGCGTGATGATCTATGATGTGCAACAATGGTTTCTTCCTGGGAAAAATGTATGGACCTGTCACCGCAAAAAGGAGATATCTGCATGAATTGATTATCGTGCTGGACCTGAGAGATTGAGATCGTTTGGGGGTAAGCTACCTGTCGAGGAGTCTCAACTTGGAGCGAGTAGGACATCACTGTCTCTGCAGAGCCCGAATAAAACTTGCGTGTGTATCGGCGTTTCTGGTTGGTTACACATGTGCTATGAGGTCTGCTATCTTCTCCTTCAAGTTTGATAGCATGAATAGTGAATACACGAAAGCGTGTTTGGCGTGGAGCCAGTACTCAAGGGCGAATTTGACCTTCATCACTCCATGATGGAACCTTCCAGATGCATGGAATTGTGTGAACTACGTGGGCTAAAGTAAGTTATCGTTCTGTAGAAGAATCCTGCTGATGTTTTAGACATATCTGTCGAAGCGTATAATACTGTGTTGGAATGCGTTAGGTATTGCGCACAGAATGTGGGGCTTAAGGTGATCGTTGATAAGTCGTCAGCACGGTAGGTTTATTACAAGACTACCAAGAATCTCAAAACGATTGTTTAACTAACGGTAGATCAACGATAAGTCGCTCACACCTAAAAGGTTGCTCAAGGTAACCAGGCTCCAAGGAGTAAGGACTAACTGTCTCGGTAGCGGGCAAGATGACGACTAAGCTATCCAATGTGGTGGCGGAGGAAGAGGAATGTGCGTCGGCTATGATGGGTCGCTGTAATGGAAAGGCGCGCTTACACAGTGAAGGTCAAGTTTGTCGTTCATACTTTGCGGCAGTACGTCGGATATCTTGCTGGTACTTGAGTCAGGATCGAGTTGCACACGGGGGTGTGGTATGGCAATTCATGGAATTAAATTCTGCACACTCTAACGGGAGAATGGCGTGGTATCGTTCAATTGAACAGCCCTACGCAGCCGCTTCAGGGTATTCGCTCCTTCATATCATGCTCCGAGCTGTGAGCTTTGAGCAGATATAGTAAATGCTCTTCAATGTCACATTTGTTTCCCACGAACTCCGTCAAATGTAGTCAACCTTTTGTAGCGTGCACTGCCAAATGCTTGTGTATGCCCAATCCTGCGCCGTGTGTATGCTAATCGAAATCGTCGAAATTTGGTTCGTAACGTGTATGCGCTGCGCTCAGCCGAGAACTAGTAGGTAAACTATCATGAGAGTGTTGATTAACATCAACGGTACTACTACTGTGTCAGTACGTCTGTGTTGGCTGTATGTTCCACCCCTACAAGGTATGTGGGGGATGGAGACAATGGTGGGGTAGACGTACACCTCATCAGTGTCCGTACTGAGGAGACGAGATTGATCAGTCGCGCTTTTATGCTGGCATCATCCTGACGGCCGAAACCGGCAGGTTCTGCAGATGCTGTCCAGCCAACTGTAACCTGGGTCAGTCGGATGCTCTATTGTAGATTCGCGTCTTCTGGTGTATGTATAGATGTGCGAGGACCGTGGAGGTCACAGAGACCTGGCAAACGTACTGCGCGCGAGGAAACGATCTTCGGAGAGGATTGCTATGGCGTTGACGAGGAGTACCGCGACTGCGCATGTTAGCGAGGGAGTCTATCAGATGCGACTTCACATGTCGTACCGGTGAATAACCCGCCGAGCCCGAAGAAGAACATTTGGGAGATTTTAGCAGGGTCGTGTTGTTGTGTCGTGTACTACTATATGTAACGAGGGTATTGGTGAGGGTTGCAGATGTTGATGTGTCTGCCTATCAGAAAGACAGCTGTCGTCGACTTCAACCTCACGGATTATGTAAGCCCGAGATCCATGCGGAACCCCTGCCAAAGTGATTTTCGAAGTATCTCAAATGCATCGATATTCAAAAGAAAGTTACTCCAAAGAAACGGCATTGGTACGCTGAACTCGCTATGGCTGTACCAGTGCGACTCCTATATATGACGGTGCGCCATAACTTCGGACACGCTTTATGAGCATCGTAAATATAGGAATTTCTCGATCGCCGTGGATCGTTTGCCAATCGCATTTTGACAAGGCGGTAATTTGAACCGCCTATCGATCATACTCCATATATGCCAGTACATCAGTGTAGCACATAAATATTAGTGGGGATCATTATCAGAATACCTGGTCGACATCTTCACCATATGCTGCTCGATGTCCAAAATGTACCTAGATAGCACAAGAAGGGGAAACCCTTAACCGAACAATGTTCAGGGCACCCACGGTGATCGCCATATGCCAAACAGGACGGTCAAAGGAATGGACCCCTAAGATTCCACGCCAAACATACATCAAGCCCTGTTCCATCGAATGGCAGGGCTCGGGCAAGTACCCACGGCCGGCTATGGATGCGCGCCGTCTCATAGTCCGTCCTTCCAGCTGCCCAATTTGCGTCATTGCCATAGCACCCACTGAACCGGAAGCGCGGTTCTAGAACCTTTGTGTCGAGAGAGGGTTGTTTGACCCTCACTCACACATTTTCTTGCTGTGCTTCCGTTGTGTGCGTCGCCGTTGCTCAGTTTACGATTTTCGCAGCATCGCCATTTACTTTCCCAACCGATGAAAGGGTCTAGAACCGATCTGACCGCTTACACGACTCGTACATGTGATCCCCACACCACTCCAAAGCGCATCCACAGACATTGCCCAACGTCCCAACTTCCTGACCTCGCGCTTCTCCCTCTCAAATACGGTTGCGCACGACTTTCCTCATGGTCTGGCTAGGGCGTTCGCTTCATGTTGTTGTCGGGTCTGATTGAGGCGTTCTAAATCGGTTCTTCCTTCCCGTTCACGAGTGCGGCCACTATCTCCGAACACGAGTCGCGTCACGATCCTAGGCGGCCATACACTCGCGCCACCACAACACCGTAATCATAATGGCAGAGACCGACAGCGGCGATGGCGGATACTTCGCCATGGGGGAGCGCGCCAGGTCCGAGTCCCCAAACTCGATACGCAGCGACTCCATGTCAATGCATCTCGACGAGCCGTCAGCCACCATGGCGTCTTTTACTGCGCTACAGTACTTGCCCGTACCAGTCCTTGTCTTATCTGCGCAAAAAACTGTAGTATTGGCGAACGAGGCTATGGGTCGCCTCTTTGGTATCGATTTTGAAAGTGTTCATTATCTTTCCATCTCAGAGGTGTTACAGGATAAGACCATGGGTGATCTTGGTGTAGACATTTTACAAAACGGCTCTCCGATCCTGATTACATGGGAGGTTCGTCTTCACTCGCAAATCTGCGAACAGAGTATTCAGGCTTACAGACAATTAACTTTAATAGAGCTTTCTGGATTGCGTAATAGACGATTCAACAGTAAGTAGCTTGGATGAAGACGGAGATTCCCACATGGGAAGTGGCCACACTACACCGACTGCAGCGAACATGCCATATCAAACGAACAACAAATCAACAGAATCTTTACCGCCCTTAAGCAGTACGAACCTTGCTCGAACCATGGTACGCGATGTATCAGTAGATGTGGTTATTGCGCCGCTTGCTTTGAGTCCCGAAGGCACGTTGCAAAAATCGGAAAAGAAAGCAGCGTATGAAAACGCAATGCAGGCATCTTGCATCATCTCTATCTGGAGTATTGAGGAGACCCAATATTACACGTTGACTTTCACGAGTGCAACCGCTGCTGATAGTGCGCGGAGTGCACAACCCTCTAGTCGTATAGTTACTCGAACAAACACAGAAGCTCGTCTCGACAAGTCACGTAGCTCAGGTTCAAGCTCTTCTTCCGGCCGTCGCTCAGGGAGCAGTTCAAATTCGGCTTCTAAAGCTGTTACGCCTACACTACAACAGCCAGAATTCCCTCCTCGGGGCCCTCCAACTAGGAGCAAGGGCGATATTGGGAATTCCGCCTCTGTATTTCAAAAGGCGACACAGCTAAAAGATGCTATTTTGAACTCTATTACCATGCCCGCTTACGGTATGTTCAATTTCAATCTCCCCTTTCCAACTTTCACTAACCCTTGGACAGCAATGTGGAAAGACGAATCCTTCGGTATCCCGAACAAGGCCCTCCTGCGACTGCTTCCGAAAGATGCGTCCTATGTACCCGGCGACCAAAGAGATTTTCTCGCTCAATTCTCCTGTTGGACCGAGGACTTCCAGCGCCTTCTAAATCTTGACGAATTCCCCATCATCGAGGTGTGCCGCACACGAGAGAGGGTCGAGAAGCGGCGCATTGGTATGCGACATCCGCAAACGGGCACTCGCATTACATATGAGATTAACGGAGAGCCTGTATTTCATGAAGAGACTGGGGATTTCCTCGGCGGTATAGTAATCTTCAAGGATATCACCGAATACACCAAGCAGATCGCTGCCCAGATCGAAGAGAACGAGAAGCAGTTTGAGTATATTACGAACTTCATGCCGGTCATGGTGTGGACAACTACGCCTGATGGGCTCCATGACTGGTTCTCACAGCGGTGGTACGACTACACAGGGTTGACGGTTGATCGGTCACTAGGCGAAGGCTGGCGTCTACCATTCCACCCAGATGACATGGCCGCAACTGCCGAACGTTGGTTCCATTCCCTCAAGACAGGCGACGAATACAATACGGAATACAGATGCCGGCGCTATGATGGCCAGTGGCGCTGGATGCTGGGACGAGCTGTACCCTTCTACGACGACTCTGGGCGTATAGTCAAGTGGTTTGGCACATGCACCGATATCCACGATCTGGTCCTAGCACGTCAGGAGGCTCGTCAAACAAGAGAGCAATTACAGCAGGTCATTCAACACGCGAAAATTGTCCTCTGGGTGATCGATCGCAACAATGAAGTTAAAGTGCTAGAAGGAGATGTTGAGCCTAGCGAACGATTCAGAAAGGATCAGTTGGTTGGAAAAGATGTTTTTGATGTCTTCAACCTGCAGGGTAACGATCGGAAGCGTTGGCATGGACCTATCCAGGAGATATTACAAGGCAAGCAATCAGCTGAAATCGTGAATGGAGGATACATGTCGGAGGCTCGCTATTACCGAACTCGCCTAGTGCCGCTCATGAGCGCTTCTCGGACTGCAGGCATTGAAGGCAATGCCTTTGTGGACGGCGTGATTGGCGTGTCCATGAATATCACTGAGCTACGAGAAAGGGAGGAACAACTAAAAGAACAAGAGAAAGAGAACTCGAGGCTCCTGGCCAATGAAGCGGCGGCGAAAGAGGCAAGTCGCATGAAGTCGCAGTTTTTGGCCAACATGTCACACGAGATTCGAACGCCTATAGCAGGGGTTATCGGCATGAGTGAACTTCTATTCGACATGAATCTGGACGACGAGCAGAAAGAATGCGCGGAGAACATCCATCGAAGCGCGAACAGCCTCCTAACGGTGATAAACGACATCCTAGACTTTTCGAAGGTTGAATCAGGTCGACTGGACGTGGAAGAGGTACAGTTTAGTCTCAGCGTAGTACTAAGAGATGTGAACAAGGTACGCCATCTACCATAGTGTCTGACCCTACATTTTTATTAACTAGTCTAGATGATGTCTTTTGCTGCCCAAAGGAAAGGTCTTGATTACCAGAGTTCAATACAAGACGAGGTGCAGGCGGATCTCCGGGTGATGGGAGACCCAGGTAGGTTACGACAAATTCTTACCAACGTGCTCACCAACAGCATCAAGTTTACCTCAGTGGGCACTGTAAAGCTTGCTGTATCGATCAGTCAGGAGTCAAAGGATATGGTAACGGTGAATTTCAGGGTGGATGACAGCGGAATTGGAATAGAAGAGGAGGTCCGCAAGCGATTGTTCCAACCATTCAGTCAAGCGGACTCGTCCACGGCTCGACGTTTCGGCGGAACTGGTTTAGGATTGACCATCAGCAAGAACCTGGTTGAGCTCATGAAGGGTCAGATATGGCTGGACTCAAAATTGGGGCAAGGCACTACTGCTACTTTCTGGATACCATTCACCCGTGCACCATCACAAGACGGGGACTCAGCGTTGGTTCATCTAGAGTCTATCCCGGATCGACTTCAGAGTGATATGTCAGTTTCATGTGGAAGCTCGGAAGGTCACACACCACCGTTGACACCTCAACTCGCCAACGGAAGCTCACCATACCCGCTGCTGAAATCAACTATTCCGGATCATCTGATGAACCTCTCTGAAAGCGAAAGACAACACATTCACGTCCTGGTCGTCGAAGACAAGTAAGTTTCACTCGAGCACATGATCGTGGAAGTCGACATCTGACAAATAACCAGCCATATCAACCAACAAATCGCACTTAAGACCATCAAAAAGCTTCACTTTTCTGTCAATGCGGTGTGGAACGGCCAGGAGGCACTGGAGTATCTGATGCAGGAGTTCGGCCCTTCGCACCCACGCCCGGATATCATCTTGATGGATGTGCAGGTAAGGCAGCTGTGAATCGTTGCACATAGTGTCTGCTAACAGAAAATGTAGATGCCTATCCGAGATGGGTATTCTGCTACCCATGCCATCCGGACAGAAGCGCCGTGGCGCAACATGCCCGAAATTCGAGGTGTTCCAATTGTTGCAATGACGGCCAGTGCTATTCAAGGCGATAAGGAGAAGTGTGTTTCATGCGGAATGGATGTAAGTCTACATCATCAACTTCGAGGTTGTGATATACTAGATACTAAGACGCTGTAGGATTATCTCGCCAAGCCAGTCAAAGGCAAGCTGCTGGAGAAGGCAAGTTACCCCAAGCCACCTGGTGGGTCTGCTAACGATCCGAAGATGCTCGTCAAGTGGGCACTCGAAGGTCGGCGAAAGATGGCAAAAGGCAAGCCAGCCACAAGCGACAATGATCGACATGGCGTCGCAGCCCCAAGCGCCAACGTGGGCTTTAGGGCAAAAGATCACCCGCGGACGGCAGGCATCTCGGTTGAACCTGAAACAACGGCGCAGGCACTGACCGATGAACTTGACCGCCTCCATTACCATAGCGATGCAGCATTCGCAAGGTCCAACGAGAATGAGGGTGAGCGGGCTATGCGGCGTATTCACGCCGAGGAGAGAGACACGAAATTGCGCGACGAGAAGCTGCTTTCCTTGGTTGGGCCACAGCTCCTCCATCACAAGAGCTCTCAGGGGCCACAGAACGAACCATCAATGCCTTTGACCGAGGCAAATATTGAGAAATTAGTTCACGAACAAGACGCGGATTTGCCTGTCGCGAGGAAGTCGGATTCACTGGATGAGGTCAACTCGAACAGGACGAACAATGCTCACAGTATGAGTAACACGAGACAGTCTACCTTGACACGGCCCGGCCTTCAACAATCGCGCCATCATGATAGCGAACGGACAGTTGTTGAGCACGCCGCTCGATGAACAATACAGGAATGAATGTCCCAATACGACGTCCGTCATCTCGATATCGATAGAGCCTCTATAAGGCGGGAAGGCACCCGCACCATTCTTTTGCAGAGCACGCATTGACAGCGCACTGCTGCGCTATCAACTCGAAAGGTGAAAGTCAGTCTGCAAGAAAGAAGTCATGCAGGTGCGCTTAGACATATCGACCACAGCACTGGAAACTTCTTTGAAAGATAGGGATGTATCACAGGGGAGCGACTGTAAGTTAGACGTTGGTGTTGCTCGGCGACCACTCAGCCTCACTTCATTGGCAAGACCTTTAATGCCAAAGCACGGCCTTGCCCATTCAGGTCCCGAGGAGTGAGCACCCATGCGACAGCCTGTCAGAAAGGGGGATGCAGCTTTCCTCATGCAGTATGTACGTGCTCTTGGATATCATGTGCCTCTAAGCACATCCTGGTCTTCCGATAATTCTCCTGTGAGCCGGTCAAAGAATGCAAAGGCGGGTTGCAACTCGAGTCAACTGTCGAGAGAACCCCACCAGCGTGCTACAAGCATTGGCATTGCGCGTCCTCTCGGGCGCATAAAGGAGAGATGTCGTGGTAGTAACGCCTGTGATGCCGGGTCATCAAATTAGGAAGGAAAAAGATTTTGATCTGCGAACTACAGCGCAATCTCGTGGCCACGCATCTCGATGTGGAAAGTGTTTGCTTTTCTATTCCAATTCCTTGGCTTGACAGTGATGATCATATACCTTGTCCGTTAGCAAGTGGGAACTCTCTGAAGATCATGCGATTACATTTGAACATGCAGAATCTCCAGCTCAAACCTTGATACAGCACAGACGAGCCTTACGCAGCCACCCCCAAGATTGACAGCCTGACAGCCCGCGTTACTCCCGCAGTTTCGACGAACGTTACATCGGGCGGCTTGAGCACTCGCAAGTGCAGTCTGCCGAGTCGTAGCGTTCTCTTGGCTCACTACGCCTCGATTGGCTGAAGCGTACAATTGCACCGCTGCCCGTCACTAGTCTTTTTCTTAGTAAATGGACCTGCTGGCTAATGTACCAGAGTATCGGGCTCATTTGATTCGCTGCCTCGCCGACCACTTTCTTTTGTGGTTTTACTGCTGGCCTTTTGTCGCTGGTTTTAGGCGTTGTTCGGTTCACCTGCTGCCCGGCTCTAGCAAGAGTTTGTTTGGGCGCTATGGGTTCATGAAGCGGTTGTTGAGCACTAGTTGGATTCAAGGCTTGGCGGAACGCATCTGCGCGACCAGTTCTGCGCATCGCATCGCAGTGCAGCTTCCAGCGCGAACGTTTTCAACACGTGCCCCTGACAATCATACACTGCTGATCGATCTCGCAGAGCCGCACATCTGGCTCACTTGGAGATCGCGGGGAACGCTTGTTGAAGATCCCCAGGACTATAGGATGCTGTCGCACGTAGAGTGTCTACATTTCCACATGCATCTCAAGAGCCGACTTTGCTTCTCCACACACCTTGTGCTATCGCTCGTGTTGCAGAGCTAGCTTGTGATCTCGGAAATAAAAAACAATCCGCCCTAGAGCTTATCGAGTAGCCAAATGACTTGGCAAGTGGGCAGAGCATGTCCAGAGACAACGGCTAATAAACTTCGGTGATCTGGCAGGGCTTGCGAATGCAGGGTCCAATGTTCAAATGCCGAGCCAGTTCTGACCGGCTACCGACAGCCTACGATCTTTGCGGCGGTCGTGACTGTCGTGCTTTGGTAGATAGCGCTGAGAATGGGTCACGTCCACTTCTTTTTGGCTTGTGTGGTAATGCTGCTGATGCGATGCATAGCAACCCGTCAGATGCCGTACTCATTTCACAATCCACTCCGTTAGGGTACCACTCCCGCCGACAGATGCACAGGCAAAGTGGCGCCAAAGGCAGACGCAGAGAAGTGGAGACCAGACGCTCAAGTGACTTTGATAGTGCACTCTGCAAGCTCGATGTTGAGCGGGATGGCGCTGCTCCAACAGATCTTGCCCTGCATGACAAGGCCCCGCGGAGGCACGAACAGTGAGGGGGATTTTAAGAGTTGCTTCGTGCGTTTGCGATGCAAGGCGGCCCTTTTGTCCCAACACCTAACCATTCATGTCTACAAAGCATGCGGCGGTGAGATGGTAGTTTCCGAGTGCATGCTTTCTGCCGGTTTGCCACTTGCATTCAAACAAATCTTCCAAGCCACGATGCGAGGTTGGACGCCCAGCACGGCGTTCTGCTCGCTGGTATAACACATCACAACAATGGCTGGGGTGCAAGCATAGCATGGTCAATATCTCTGGCGGCAAATCGTCTGCATGCCTTGACCGCTCCTACATCATCCTGCATGGCTTTCACTGTCGCCAGGTACGGCTTGCGAGTTGCTCCAATGACAGTTCGCTTATGCAGTTAGCGTCTGTGCTAAGGTGGGCTTCATATGACGACATTGCCAGCAAGCACCCATGATGCGTCCACATTCTTTCACACCATTCACCAGTGCTCGTGTCAGCGGGGTGTACAGATGGGTCTTGGCTCTCATCATTCCTCCCAGCAAACCACCCGGTCCGCGTCAATGAGAGGCCGAAGATACGGAGCACAAAGCGAGCGCTCCCAATCGCCGACACTCTGCCACCAGCGCACGATATCGTCATTGGTGGATATAGTAACCGCCCATACAGCCCTGCTACACATGACGCCTTCATCCAAAGGTAAATAGATATTGGGGATTGCAATTGATTGGAGCTAAAGTGCCACTTCCTCAATATTCGGTTTGGCGTGGGTGTTGTCGAGTACAGAACGCTGTGCGCAGCAGGTACACCGACATGGCTGTGTTGCCCCTATTGGGCAAGGCAGTTCCCGCGATAGAGGCCGTATGCTGCAACCCGTGACCCGCCATCAAGCTAAGCTACAGTCATTGCGGCCAAAGCAACATGGACGGCGATCAAACGCTTGCCCATTGCTTAGGTATGCGCACAGGCACCGCTTCAGGGGACTACTGTGTAATTTCACTTCGGGCGCTTTTTTTCTGAGTGCGCCGTGCACGCCACAGAGTCAGGAGAGGGGCGGAACCAACGCTAGGACAGATGCTCACAGAGTTCGAGTTTACGCAACAACGTGGAGATGGTTGTACGGTCCGATTCCGCGACGCGAAAGCAGACTCTCCGGCCAGTGTCCGGCGCGATGCACCTCCAAACCGCAAGCTTGCGAAGCCGCTCTTTCGGTCCCTTTCTTGGTTGGGGTGGCGCGTGCGCCTAGGCGACCGTTGTTCTGCAGCGTCGAGTGTCGACAGTGTCAGAAGCAAAGCTTAGGGGGTGATCAGATATCGCCAGGATGAGGACACAGGGCAACTCGATGGGCTGCCGCACTCGTCAGCATCACTGCGGAGCATTTCACTCTGACAGCTTATCAGGCTAGCGTTCATTGACCAAAACGGCAGCATGCAATTGTGAGTGAATAGACTAGTCCTCTTCAATACCCCTCATCGACCCTGGCCTGGTGGAGGCACGCCAAAACAAAAGCCAAAAAGCCCTCCCGCGACTACCGCCCGCTGATTCGCAGTGGGCTTGCAAAGACAAGAGGCTTGCCTAGCGGCGAGGGCTTGTTTGGCGCACCACTGGCCTCTCACGGGTGACAGAGGTGCCGGTGATAGTGAAATGGAGAAGCGGTAGACGCTGGCTTGAGTGAACGGGAGCTGAAGGCTGTTGAGCCCACAGTGCTCAATGGCGCGGATACCACATCGGCCGTGGGCAGGCCATTGAATAACGCTCCCCACACGCTTAAAAGCAGCGTGCACTGAGGTGCTTTAGCGCACTCGATCCCTGTCTTCACCGACGTAGGTGCGTCCGGGGCCTTCAGCCAACTTGCCTGCTTGCTATGCTTGGCTGCCAGCCTATGATGGAGGTGCTGTGAAGCCAGAAGACGTAAACCCTCCAAGCAGCGGAATTTATCAATCAGTGTTCCCCGACTAAATGTCCACTGATCAACAGTCACCAACCTCTAAGCTTTACTCAATTCTAAATTGTCCCTTGCCATAAGTCGTACCAGAGACTATCAATACTGCTTTCATCATCGTTACCTTCACATCCTTACTTCTTTGTCGCTGGTTTGCTTTTGTAGCGAATAACGTTACCGAACCTTCCACGGCGACACGCAACACGCAACCCAGCCCACACGGTCCGCCCCTGCACCCGCTGGGCATTCTGCTCCTTGCAAGCACTGTGCTTGACTTGAAACGCTCGAGCGCCTGCCTCCCAGTCGCTGGTGTCCGCTTTCGCCCTACACCTAATCTCGCTGGTTCATCGCCACGGCTCCTGCTTAGTACAGGTCAACTGATCGACATACCAAAGGGATTATCTTTACTCAACTCGGACTACCACAGCACGGGAGTCCCCAGTGTCAAAGTGAATTCAAAAGGTCGCAGATCCCACCGCTGAGTACCTGTGATCGACTGTCTCCACGTTTTCTACCCTCGAACTATCACGTTTCACACCTGGATCTACGAGTTGAGTGTCTATTGTAACACTCATATTCGTCTTCTTGTACCACCTTCCCCTCCGGACCTGTACACCTCACTACCTGTCGTCTCGAATACGCAATGGCAATGGCAGTCGACAACCGTCAACAACCCCAGCTTAGCAGCATGGGTTACGAACACATGCGCTACCCCCAACAACAACCACACTTCACCAACCCGTGGGTGTCCACCGGTGCCTCGCAGCAGCAACTGTACCAAACCACCGTCGCACCCAATGTCGACGCGCAGCGGCCTACCAGCATTGCCATCCCGTACCACGGTCTGCCAGTCACAGCTCCCCCCATGGGGCAAGGTATTACTCTCCCGGATGGCACTTTTGGAACACAAAACTTACTTGATGCCTCTGAAGATATTATGTCGCGGTACCCAACTGGTTATGCGACATCCGGGTCACCACCAAACCAAACATATGCTCCCACTTCAGCGCCCTACTCTCAGGTGGAATATGGCAACACAGAACGGAGCCCATACGCATACCAACAGGATGCTTCTCGTCGCTCTTCACATCCGTCAGTCCCCTCAATAGCGTTCTACGAGTCCGTAGAAAGTGCGGCCCAACGACAACGCCAAAGTTCACTTGTTGACTTTAGCAGAATGAACACACAGCAACCGCGCAATAGCTTTAGCGATGCGCTTGATGCGAGCCGTGGCATGGTTTCCTTGAGCCAGTCAGACATTACTCCGAGGAATATCTATGGCTCTCAAGGAACCAGCCGCAGCTCGACAGACTCATACGGCTTCCCTTCGGCGCATTCGACACACTCGTCCATCTCGTCAGGCAGCTATGGTCCGAATGGATACTACGGCGGCGAGGGCTCTGTAACAGACTACAGCTCGGCCTCGGAGTCTGTCGACCTGAGCAACTCGCGCACTCTGCCCCGCCCCAATGCGCTTTTGGGAGCAAACATGCCTCCAGCGCCCGCCTCGATGATGAGCCAGTTCAGCTCAAAGGTGTCCTCCAGCTCGCAAAAGAAGCACAAGTGCAAGATTTGCGACAAGCGCTTCACACGACCGAGTTCGCTACAAACGCACATGTACAGCCACACAGGCGAGAAGCGTAAGTTCCTCCAAGCACATGATCATTTTGCAGCGCTAACATGACAACAGCCTTTGCATGTGAAGTTGATGGCTGCGGTCGCCACTTCTCAGTTGTCTCCAACCTGAGGAGACACCGGAAGGTCCACAAGAACGACGGCAGTATCGACCATCCCTCACCAGAGAGTGTCGATCATTAGAAGATCAACACGCCGGTTGCATCTAGTGCTTTGCTTGTCTAGACCACGTCCCGACCGCCTCGTCGCATGTCTCCAGTACATCTAATGTTTTGAGATACCACCGTCGCGCGTTTCTTAGTCACGACTATAGATCCAACGACAACAAGCTCGGACGGCCCTCTCTCTTCTACCTATCGCTGCACACCACGGTTTTTACTGAGATACCACCTGGTCCTCTCTTTTCGAAGTGAGTGACCACCACGGCGTTCTGGTGTTCCGAATCACGAGTATTCCGTTTCCGAGCGATTTTCCACCCTGTAACATTACGCGTTTGTCTCACCTAGGCCTGGTTTTGTTCCCGCCCGGACTTGCTTATTTAATCATTCAACATTGCTCGACAGGGCTTTGACCCATGGTCGACATGGAGCATGTTGTCATCACCATTCGCTTATACCCTTTAATATTTTAGACTCTCTTTTAGCAACCACCTTCCCGACATAGAGTCGTGGGACGGGTGGTTAGCACAATGACGTTTTGTATAGTAGTAGCTTGGAGCGCGTGCGCATAAGTGCCACCCAGAGATGGGGCACAAGCCAGGATAGGATGGCTTTGGATACGACATTGAGTCGTCGAGTACAGGCAGCGGGAGAAAATGACGCATCCCTCCATACTGTGGATAGGAGTGCGGCAGAATCAAAGACCCTTGTTTTATCCCATGCACATCAGTTTCCGTTTCTACATCTCAAATTCCTTCCGACCAGCTGACATAGTGACGGTAGCAGCCTTCTGATTCGGTGCCATGGCGCGTTTTCCGTTCGTCATTCGAGATGCCTCGGTCCTGGATTCGACCAACGCGACGAAGTCACGGCCTTGTCTCCGCAATGCCATCATCTGGCGGCCTGTGAGCGGTCGGCTTACAACAAGGGCTGGGTCTTGGCATCCGTCATGAAGCGTCAGTCCCTTGCTAGCCGCCGCCGGACCCTGAAAACATGTCTTACCTCAGCGAGTGAGATGTCTGCCGCTGCACCTTGGGCCGTCTCAGGCTTTGGTTCTATGCTATCATTTGCTTCACACCTACTGGTTCCGTTCTCCAGGTTGACCCTGTCGCAAAATCCGAGTTGTACGCACGAGATCGAGCGGGGCGCAACGATGTCACTCTGTTTCACTCGAAAAAACGCAAAGTGCCCGTGTGTGCTGACGTCGGGCTTTCTTTCTGCATCGCGTCGGCTGCGGGACTTTTTATTTCTCTTCTACTCGAGGGCTACCAATCACAGAGGTCGCTTGTAACGGTGGGTCACACACTGGAGAAGGACCGAAAGCAGCCTGAGATGAGATCGTAGCGTGCCTGACGGCTGTATACTCCTACCATTTTTCGAGAAAAGATCGTCATAAGGACGCGACGACTTACAGCAACGCGAAACGCAAGGCAACATATCGCGTTACGAAAAGGTGACGATGCAACTGCGTGACTCTCTGTTGCGCTTGCTGTTGGTTTCCGCCGCGGTCTGTTGGTGACCGGACAAAGCTGCAATTTAGCTTGCAATACCGCCGAAGCACCACTCAGGATCAAGTATTTCCGCCAGGCTCCTAAGCAGCTGTGTTTTTGCCACCCGCTCCGGCTCCTCTATTTCGGTCTGTGAAACTTTATGGCCACCACACGGAATTGCAAGCCATCATGCAAGCCAGTGTTGCATTTTGGCCGTTTGTCTCGTAACGGAGAAGGCCTTTTACTCTACGAAGCCCCGACGATCGCATCTTCAAGCAGTCCCACGGACCGACGAGCCCACGAAGCGAAGGCGGGAAGTCTTAGCACAAGCGGACTTGTGTCGTTGGGTTATAGTTCTGCATACCATGATATCCCAGGATGCGAAGTCTACAGCCTGCCAGCATGCACCGCCTGCGTTTTTGTTCTCCGCCCGCGTCTCAGGTTAACCGACCGTGGCTGGCAGTATAATCTCAATCCTGGCCGTCCTTTGCACCTTCTCGAATACAACCAGATGAACCTTGGAATTATATGCATTGATACCCATGTAATACTTGATTTGTACGAAAAGAAGGGTCTCCGCAACGGTGAACGACAAGGGTTGTAAGAGTGTAATGTGGCCATGCACTTTATTCTTACTGTACATTGCGACTGCTGCGCTATGAGCAAGTGCGGGAAGAAGTTGTTCGCCTCGTTTGTTTCCAGATTACCACGAATCCTTCGCAATCTTTTGGATGCCACAAGCGGGACTTGCATTTTGCATTGTACTTGTTGATCCACTATACTAGCCCTCCTCAAGCATGAATTCCGCTTCGCTGAGATGAAGCCGCCAGCAGAGACTGCGGACGTGGCTTGCACGAAATAGAAGGCCAAGCAGCACTCCACCAGCACTCCTCCGACCACTCGAAGCAAGCAACAAGTCAAGCATCGAGCAATCTCCACCACGAACGCGAGCTAGTCAACACAGATGCGTTGTCGGCCGCCGGTGGTGGTGCAGTACGTTATCTTCTATTAAGTGGGTCTCATCGAGATTGATCCAACCCCGCGTTCGCAAGTCTGATCTACACCAGTTTCAGCTCCCCCGTGCCTGTTGTAAGGTACCCACAAGTTGAACACGCGCAGGTTGGGGAGTCTAACCGACCCCTTTGTGCCTTCCTATTTTGTTGGTAGGTCTGTTAGATTTTGTGTCTCGGGACCCATAGGACGCGCAATCGTAACTTGAGCAAATTACCTGCTTCAAGATACCTTGTTAATCTTTTGTAATTTCAGGATCTTTGTATCCCGCCGCTTTTGAAGCAAGCCGTGTCGGAGTGTTTGACCAGATGCTCACTCGCGGCCGTAGGAAATCTTTTGTCGCTTCGTCTTGTTGCCTTCCTCGTCGTCTTCGTCTGCTGCCTTCTTCTTTTTACTGCCTCCCGGCCTCGCACCGTTTGTAGGTTGGCTCGACTCGCGCGTAGGGAAGGATGAAGTAGGCGTAGGAGCATGCGATGGAGTCGCAGAGCCTGGCGTTGAGGATTCCTGGAAAGCAATCAGCATCAGTTCTCTCTAGCTGCCCGCAAGAGAGTCTAGTATCCCCCGACATACCCTCAAGAAGCTTGTAGAGCTCCGACTGAATATCCGGTCTGCATCGCTGATGGGAGCCTTCCGCCTGGTCGCAGTGCCTGCTCCTCCTGTCGTCGTAGTGGTCGCCGCGCCCTTGATGTAATTGTCGAAGCCCTTGATGATATTCCCGGCGCTCGTCTCTTCGAGGTATTGTGTCTCGACTCGTAGGATACTATCTTCGAGTTGTAGCTGCCATGAGAGTCAACACAAAGGCTCACAACGCGTCATATGCTGTACTGACGAGATTGTTGTCGATCAGACGCTTCTTGTTTAGCGATTCGCGCAAGTCGCGTCGTAGTCTTTCGTAGTAGGGCATACCGCGCGAGCTGTCTGCGCCTGTGGTGTTGGCGCTTCCTGGGGCCGCGTTTTCGGCCATCGTGATGCTTCGGGTGTGTTTTTGGGTAGTAGCGGAGACAGGAGTTTGCGGTAGCAGCAGTTGTCGTCGGTCTTTAGCCCGGCAGTTCCCAAGTCAACGGTTGCGGTTTCCCTTGCGTGAACGCGGAGGCTAGCGTCTGTGAGCTCGGGCCTCTCTGAGCAAACGCAACTTCTACATCGTAATCAAACAAGACATCGCACCACGCTTCCTTCTCTCTTGTCGGTTAACTACCTCCACGTCCCCCGCACAGTCGCCGACGGCTCCCGTACACCAACGTCGCATATACCTGCTTCTGACGCGCCCAAGGACCCCGCGCCGACCTCCCGACCTTCTCAGTCGCAACATCAAATCCAGAAAGAACTTGCCTGCGTGACAGCGACAGAAATCGCACCGACCGCATAACCATCAGACTTGTTCTACGCTGCCGGTGACCTTGCAAATAATATCGGCACTTTTGCAAAAGCACCAGCGACTCCGCGCCAAATCTATACCGCGTCTCGAGAAGCACTGCCTGGACCATGGCAATGGACGCTAAGGAGATTGAGCTCCGTGGCAAGGCCATCGGCAAGGCTGTATCAGAGGGTGAGCCCAGCGCTTCTGTGCTGAAGCTGCTCAATGATCTGAAGACGGGTGTGCACGCGACCGAGGACCTCTTGCGCTCAACACGAATCGGTGTCACTATCAACCGTCTGCGAACCCACAAGGACCCCGCTGTACAAAAACTCGCGACAGAGTTGGTGGCAAAATGGAGGGACGAGGTCAAAAAGAAGCAGCCACCCAAGAAGGATGGCCCAGCAAAGGCCACCGCAAATGGAGGTGCAGCATCCTCGCCCGCTCCTCCACCGTCAGGAACCGCGTCTCCAGCACCGAGTCTGGCCAAGAAGAAGCACGATGTACCCGCCGACAAGCGCAACCACAAGACAGACAAGGTCAAATACCAAGTCACCGGAAATGAGGCCCGCGACAACTGCGTAAGGCTAATGTACGATGGCCTGGCCTTCATGAGCGAAGCGAGTAAGCATGGACTTTCCAACTGCCTTGTACATGACTGACATGCCCAGTGCCCGACGAAATTCTCAGCGTCGCCAAGCAAATCGAAGCCGCCGCCTACAGCAACGCCGGTAGTGTAAATGATGCCTACAAGGGCAAGATGCGCTCGCTCTTCCAGAACCTCAAGAGCAAATCGAATCCCCAACTCCGCAGGCGTGTGCTCGCTGGCGAGGTGCCCCCGAACAAGTTTGTTGTCATGACACACGACGAGATGAAGTCGGATGCGCAACGAGAAGAGGAAAAGAAGCTGGAACAAATCAACATGAACCAGGCCATGGTTGCACAGGTGGAAAAGGCCATTTCCAAGGAGTTCCAGTGTGGAAAGTGCAAGCAGAAGATGGTCAGCTACAGTCAAGCGCAGACCAGGTCCGCTGATGAACCGATGACGACGTTCTGCGAGTGCATGAACTGCGGTAATCGGTGGAAGTTTTCATAGAAGGGGCCTTGATGGTGTGGGTATGTGTTGCAGAACACGGGTGTGCAGGGTGTACGAGTAGAGCAGATTGCAGCGAAAATCGTAGTAGCGGGCGTTTACAAAGGGACATGGAAGGCGTCAGTCTACCGCGGAAGGGTGTCTGCATTTCAAGTTTTCCAGTCTAGTTTGCACAAAGCAGGTGCAGACTTATCTTCTTTCGACAGTGGTCGACGTGGTCATCTATTCAGATATAATCTTGAACCAATTTCTTCATCTATATTGCTACTGTCGTGCTCCTCTCTCACTCTCTCACATTGCGATGGAGCGAGTGTTGATACTCAAGCCAAGGCAACATGACGCTCTCAATAAACTCTGTATTCATTTTTGAGCAACTGCTCCAAGGGCTCATGAGAAAAACAGACCAAGTGCAAACATCAAGTCGGCTGGTTTCTTAAAGACATGTCATTAGTCGAATGGTACGGACAAGTTTGCTTCAACGGACGATGATCAGCAATCCACTGAGGAACTGTACAATTTGCGATTCTGTCAAACACTCAATTCTGCTAAACGAGTACGCTATAGCAACGAATATCCGAAGTTGATATGCACAACATACCATCCATCCATACGGGGTGGTAATTACAACGCCATCAGCAAGCGAAAAAAAAAAGGAACAAACTATGCAACATTGATGCATCGCCAACGCTTTGGTAGAAAGACTGTTGCTCCAGTCTAGCCCCGTTCAGATATGTCTAGAGCTAGAGCTCAAATCCAAACCGTGCAATACAACAACAACGACAACGACAACAACCTCCTCTTCTACGGCCGAATATTCTCTTAAAACTTGAACGTACTCTTCTTCCTTCCCAAGCTGAAACGGTTCTTGGCGTCCTTGTCCGTGTCTGTAGTTGGTGTATCCGGCGGGGCGGGCTCGTCGTCTTGCTTGTCCTTGCCCCAGAACTTGGGTTTCCCTTTGAGACTCATCGAGGTATGCCTAAAACGACTCAATCCGCTCATACCCTTGACGCTGCCAAAGCCATTCGCCGGCTTCTCTTTGTCGCCACCAGCACCAGCAGTTGCAGGTGGTAGTACCTCACCACTCGCGACGCGCTTCTTCTCCTCTTCGACTGCCGATGCTTTGCTAGCTTCGAGCGCAGCACGAAGGTCGTCTTCTTGTTTGCGGTAGTTTTCGCGCCGTTGGATTTCCATCTCTTTGCGCTTTTGCTTCGCTTGCTTCTCAAGCTCCTTTTCTTGAGCCTTGCGCTCCTTCTCTTCTTTGCCCTTGCCGAAGAGCCCGAGATTACTTTTCCGTGCGCCAAGGACGGGGACTTGTGTCGTGGTGTGTTCGACTGGGTGGTGGTCGGTGTTGGTTTCGACTTGTGCGAGTGGCGGGGCGGTAGCTGCGTGGTCAAGGCTCGCGAATTTGTCGGCCTCTTCGACTGTAGGTGTCGTTGCGTTGTGAAAGGTGTGGTATGCCTGGCCGTTGACACCATTCGACTTGGGCGTTGTGACTTCTTCCTGTGTCATCTTGGCGGCTTGCTCTGCTGCAGCCAGGGCGTCGGCTTCCTGCTCCTTCATCATGGCTTCTTCTGTTGTCTCTTGGTAGAACAAGACGTAGGCGCAAGCCAGGACATTTTCTCCACCAAAGAAGTTCCTGACGTAGGCCTTGTCTACCGGCTCGACCATCTCGTCATCAAACAGTAACCAGCCTCGATCTTGTGTCTTGATGATGGATACGTAGTGGCCATGATAGGGTCCGCCTCCTATGTGCACCACCACTGCATATAGCTCGTACAGCCTGTCTGGGTCTTCTGCGTCGTCGGTGGTGTTGAACAACCGGAGATAGAAGGGGTATACGACGCGGTGGAAGAGCTTCTGTAGTCGCTGGAGATCCTCCGTGTACTTGAAACGCTTGAGATGCAAAGCAAGAATCTTGGGTAACCGCTTGATCTTCATCCTCTTTTCCGCCTCTTGCAAACCTCCGCAGTTGTCACAATGGAACTTGTTCCGCTCACACAACATCTCCTCTTCTGAGAACTTGCGCAAACAGCTTGTCACGGACGAATGCTGTTCTAGATCGACAGAAAGGTCCAGGAATGCCTCGTCTCGCTGGGAAGTGTTTTCGCAAGTGAGACATCGGGTTTCGGATGTTAATGTGCCTTCGAACAGCTCGTGTACCCATCCGGAATTCGATTTTGCAGAGGCCACTGAGTTTCGCGCGGTTACTACTTCGCCGTTGGTTATTGTCTCCTCGTTGTCCGTTATCTCTTCCACCTGAGCTGGGCGGGTCTTGGAGTAATGCTCGACGTTCTCTACAACTTCGTTGAGCAATAAGTTGAGGAACTCGTGTGCGTCCTGGTGCATGGGTGTCCGAAACATTTCGTTGTCTCGCCGCAGTATCTCAAGAAGCTTGTGTGGGCTGACGACGCCTATGCGCGATCTGTGTGCTATTACGGCTTCGAATATGTCTTTTAGTGATGAGAATAGCGATTCGTTCATGCCGTATGCGTTTGCGTTCTCGTAGTCCATCTGCAGCACGGGGCCAGCGGCCAAGGCCTGCTTCTTCTTGTACTCGGGCGAGTCCTTGTTGTCCTCGGGCTTGGTGCCTGGGGGCTGGTTTGTCGCGCCCGGAGTGGTTGCCGGTTTTGCAGGACTTTTCGCATTTGGGCTGGAGAGAGATGTGCGCCCCGTTGGGGAGAGAGCTGAATTCTGGCCATTTGGGAGGTTTGTGTTGAGTCTGGGTAGGCCTGATGAGGGCCTCTCGAGGGCTTCTGGGGGCGAGCGGGCGGGGAAGTTGATGACCTGTTCTCGGAAGGGTACTGAGTAGTATAGACACTGTACTATTGAGTTGCAGTAGCTGGTGGCCAGTCAGCATGTATTGAGAGGGGTGTGGGTTGCGCGGTGTGCGTACCATGTGCTTCCAAACTAGAGCATGGCGTGGTCAGCAGGCGGACTTCCAAAGGGCGATTACGTAGCCGGACTTACATTCTCGAAGCCGAAGAACTTGTCGCTACCGTCGCCGCGCAGAGGGCCGGCGTTGAGGAGCAGCTTCTCCAGCGGCGTGACTTCTGGCGCGTTGGGGTCTTTCTTGACGGGTATGGTGCCGGTCGCTGGAGTCAAGGGTGGCTGTGGACATGTCAGCACCAGCCATTGCCGATCAGCGCGCGCGACCCTGGGTCGCTCTCAGGACTTACAGCACCAGACTTGATGCGACTGAAAAAGGAACTCATGGCTGGGGTGCAGTGCGCAGCAGGGAGGGGTAGGGGTGCAGACGATGGAGGACTAATGCGACAGGACTTCAGGCGACGGAGGCACGGTTGTGGGAATGTGTCGGGGTAGTAGGTGCTGGGTGCGGGCCCAGGGATATGGAAGGAGCGAAGGGCAACATGGAGTCCTTTGCGAGCGAGCGAGGAGTGAAGGATGCAGCAATTCACGCAACAGCGGCTTGGAAGGCTGGCACGTTGGGGAAGCAGAGCCGGGGCGGACCAATGCGAGGCGAGGCGAGGCTTTGCTCTTTGGGATAGCTAACGCGACTAGAGGCCCCATGAGAGAGGCCGAGAGTTCCCCACGACCTGGCACACGCGACCCCGCCAACGAGGAACCGCTCGGGACTAACGCGCTGAAGCCGCAAGTTCCCTCCAATGCTGACCCGACCAGCGAATTGTGTCACCGACCCGGTGGGGCTTTATACCGGAGAACATGCATAGAACAACTTGCGTGGTTCCGCGATTCTCCCATCTCAGCAGACGCTTCCTTTCCCAGTGCCCAGCCAACCGTGTGCCTGACGAGCAGGACGCTCAACCGCCATGCATCCTGCATCGAGGCTAAACTCCCACCAGTCATGCGCCGCGCTTCTAGAACAAGACTGACAAGCAACCAACCGTGGCGCTTGTTGGCGGCCCCTCGTAGAGATCGCCATTGGAGAACGGAGGAACGTCTTCTAGCGTCTTCCCGTATTGTGGTTGTGACATGCACTGTGCGAGTCCGGAGCATGACGGCAGGTCCATGTCGAATATACTGGCAATTCAACCCTGATGTTCATCTTAGCATATAGCTCAGGGTATGCACATAATTCAACAGCAAGCAGGCACGTCCCCGTCTACGCTACACGCACGGTACGCATCCCCCGCACACAGCTTGCACGACAAGGCACCAGGGTGGGTCCGGACGAGAGTGTGTGCCAAGTAGCGCTGAGCAAGGCGCAAGTCACGCATTGCATCATGCACTAGACTTGTATTACTGTCGTCGACGACATATTACAGAAAGCGGACATCCGCTAGACACCATCGCTCCACAGAAAAAGCCTCGAGGGCGGGTATGCATTGTTGTGCGCCTGTCGCTGCAAATAGCCACGCGACATCTCATCCACCCTTTTACCCGAACTCCATCGCAACTTCCATGCGAACAATAGGAAACCACAAACACCCGGGAATGCTAATCGCGCCCAGTATACAAATATGACACATGGATAATACAACAAAACAAGGCCACCACCACAGCAGCCTCAGAGTCTCCGCAGTCGCTTGCCAGCCCCCAGCTCAATGGCCGTGCGACTGTTGAGGATGAGTTCTTCGTTGCCGCCTTCTGGCGGGTTGGCCTGGATATACTCGCGCCGTATGCGTGCAGCTTCCTTATCCCACGTCTCTACGCGTTCTTTGAAGTTTGCTGTGCTCGCCGTCGCATCGTCTCGTGCTGTGCTGGCTTGGTCGAGGTACGGCTGTTTGACTTCCTGCTCTGCTGTACGCCATCTCAAGCCGACAGCATTACGGATCTCCTGTTTCGGTGCTTTGGCCTCGGGGTTGCCCGTCCTCGCTTTGTGAGCATCGTCGCACTCCTGCTTGCATATGTACCAGAAATCTTTGGTGAACAGCAGGAATGGATTGACACCTGTACGTCCTGGCCTGATCGGACGCTCGCCAATTCGATCCAGAATAGCCCCTATGATAGCAGCTTCGTAGTCTTCGTCGCGTTGTATCCGCCCAGATTTGTTGTCTCTTGACGTTGACGCTGGAACAGCAGGCTCGAATCGGCGTTTCGTCTCAACACTGGGTGTCGTTGGAGATTGTTCCACCTTGATCACCTTTTTCTCAACAAGCGGACTAGGTACCTTGATAGGCCCGAGAATTGTCTCAGCAACCTCCGCAGCGACCCGAAGGCCTGACAGATATGCGCCATGCACTGTTGCAGGATGTGTGCCACAAGTCGCTTCACCTGCAAAGTGCACTGGACCGTGTGGTCGCGCCATGACATCGTAGTCACCTGCTTGTGTCTTTGGCCCAACGTATGAGTAGCTGCCTCGAGCGAATGGGTCTCTCTTCCACCGCGTCACGATCGCTTCCGACGGTAGGGGGACGTGGTTCGGCGCGAACATCGCATCGAGTCGATCCGTGACCTCTTTTACGAGCTGATCATTCGACGTCGCCTCCGCGTAGTGAGCAGCGTCGCCTGCCATCAGCGCTATCAGCACTGGCTTTCCGCTCGTCTTTATACAGTTCCAAAAGAGATAGAACCGTCCTCGTTTTGTAGAGTAGTCTTCTAGTCGCATGCTGGCTTCGTCTTCTGCTTTATTGAGCAGGCCGAACATGTCTCGGTCTGGCTCCCAGAAGGCTTTTTCGTACACAAGAATAATCTACATATATTGTCAGAAAGGGTAGCAATGTCCATCTAATTCGACTAACCTTGTTAAGGAGACCAAATCCCATTCGCTCGATAACGTCCTGCTTCCAGTCAGGAAGAGGAGGTTCGAACTTGATCGATCCGGATTTTAGCACCCCCAGAGGGGTTGTCAGAACAACCTGGTCGGCTTCATGGACTTCGCCGTTTGCGCACTCGATCCTGACAGCTTTGCCCTTATGCTGCTCATCGGTATTATAATGGACAGCTTTGATGGGGGTGCTGAAACGGACGTCCAACTGACTGGGACACTGCCATAGACCGCGCGGGACCTGTTGATAGCCTCCTATCACCTCACTATGTTCACCCTCGAATTCGTTGCCAATGTCCTGATCCCAGCCGCTCAGACTGAGCTGATTGACACTTACAGCATTCGCGTACTCAAGATTAGCATGATGCCAACTTAACAGACGCATATCTCTAGGCTTGAGATCGACCAGTGACTGGTATTGCAGGAGACCTTCGTCCATTGTCTGTCCAAGTGTGGGGTACTCAGATGCTTTGGCGATCGTGTCGAGATCTAAAGACTGCGTCTTCGATGCACCTGTCTTGAGCTCCCAACCCATACTTTGGACCGTTTCGGCTGCCGTGATGTCCGGGTTGAAGCCCGCGCTGAGTTGATACGCTCTACCTGCTAGCTTCTCTACCCCCGTTGTTGGTTTTTCTTGCTTCGTTGACGCTGTGCTCGTAGCATTCGCGGACAAAGGGGCATCGGAATGTTCTAGCTCGGCAACGGTGGGCCCATCAACATCGGCTGGCTCGCGGCCAAAGGCCATCATGTTACGGTCACCTTCCACCGTCCTGTGAGCTGCTGGTTTATTCCGGTATACTGCCGCCCGTTCCAAGACATCATTATACAGCTTCTCCACGAGAATGTCTTGACCCCTCTCCACCACCGTCCCGTCATAGTCATAAAGTATGGTATTATCGCGAAGGCCATGGTAAGGTATACCGAGTTGACCTCGGATGATCGCGTTCAACGGGTTGCCGTGCTCGAATCCGGTAACGATTTGAGCGCCCATCTCAGCCGTACAACGATGTCCAGGTGGGAGCGTAGAGCTAAACTGATTGAGAAAGGGATGCGAGTAAACCCGGCCACCAACACGCGGACGAGCTTCAAGTATAGTGATCTTTGGTGGGAGTTCTCCCGCTTCTGTTAACTGGTCACCAAGCTGGGCGAACAATCCTTCCAGATGGCGAGCGCATCCTAACCCTGACATACCCGCACCAACCACAATGATTGAGCGTCTCCGTGCGACTTTGGCTTTTGATTTCGGGAGTGTACCGGTAGTGTCAGGCACTTCGGCGCATCCGAAGTTGATGTACCCGTTCCGCATGAGCCATAGATATGCTACCCTCGCTAGACCGAAGTAACGCTTGTCGCGAGCACATCCTGCAGCTTCTTCGAGAGAAACGTACACCAGAGGATTACGATGCCATAACCGGAGTATCGCGTTCCTGATGTTCAGGTAGATGGTGACTTGGGCGTGAGTGACGTGATCTCGTAACAGCTCGTACTCAGCAGGATGCAGGGTGAACGGGTTCAGCCGGCTGTTCTCCGCTGCTAGAATGCACTGTCGGCCAAACTCCGGCCACGAGAGCTCTGCAGGTATGCTTGAATTCGCCTTCATCTCATTGACCTTTCCTTTTACCGGAAGTGAGTTTGTTCTCCGATGCTTCTTCTGTTGCTCGTGCGACTGTGGAAGCTCAGGAGTTGAAGATAATTGTGATGCGCGACTCAGGCTCTGTGGTGTTCTAGCCATGAATGCAGTATCCACTCGAGGATTCTTTAATGATAAATGGGATTTCGCGTCATTTCCGTTGACAGTCGTATGCGAACTGCCGTCGTTTAGATGCGGAATTTGTTTGTTCTGCATATTAGTCATGCCGTTGATGGCTGAGTTTGGTGTGAATGGTTTTTGCAGTGGCGAAGGAGTGTAGTTGATCCCATATCCATTAACGAAAGCGCCTGGAGTAGACTCTTCCCCCTCGTGACTCGTACCCAGTTCCGGTGTATCGTGTGAATCGCCGTAGTGCACGGACGACGCACTCGATTCCCTGCCGTAGTCCAAGTTACTAAACCCAGGTATAGGTGCGATACCGCCTTTCAGATGTATGCTATCATTGGACATTGGCATCGATAGGAGATCATCGTGAGTTTGGTCGAAGAGGTACGAGCCGTCATCGAGTGCGGTGGGATCGGCTGTGGATGCGATGGAGAACATGTTGACGGAGATCTGGTGAGGGAAAATGGGAGGCACCTGACAAGGAAGCGGCTACGGGCCGCAGTCAGTAGTCGACCACAATTCCACTGAAATTGTTAGTATGTGTAACGAGTGAGATTTATTGCGAAAGCATGAGAGGTTCGGTTGAAGTTGTATCGATGGTGATGGCAGGGTGCAGGTGGACGATAGACTGATGCCCAGACCTATGGAGGTCGAGGCACGAAAAGAAACGCACCATACCCACCTAGGTAAACTCCGTCCGAGCCAACCCCGTCGTTCCTGACCTCGTCCCTCTCCCGGCCACCTCGGAGCATCCATGTACCATCTATCATGGCGATGGCGGGCGTGTACAAAGATCTTATTGTTAATGTGTAGCTTGCCATCTAGGAAGCGCCGACATCTGCAAGCCGACCCCGCTCTTACGGAAGCGAGGAGTACTACAACTCGTTGCGATACCCAGCTCGAGCCATCCACATCTCCATCTCAAAGGCCTCTCATCTAGGCCTGTGCGTCGTACGAGACACGCACATACTCTCCTCTTACTGCGTCGGCAGTCATGGTAGCATGGCTCCGAGACTTTCAATTGTCCAACACATATCTTCATTCATCCTATTGTGCGTCATGAGGTAAAGTTCATGCGGCGCAACTAACCGTGACGACTGATAGAGCATTGGAAAGGCACCAGAAAAAGATTGAGTGGATGGTATGAGATACAGTAGGTTATATCCGATATGTATATATCACTTTGATCGGATAAGACTGATGAAGATATACAGGACCCTAGAAGCCACCTATCTTCATAGACTCCTGCGCAAGCCTTTCCCGATCTGAAGTCGAAACTGCGACTGTATCACACGCATCGACCGAAATTCATCATCTGCATCGTCTATGCGAGTCGCTATCCTCCGACTTTTCAATATCATATTCCAACGCTCTTCATCGCGTTGTAGGCCACAAAGATACCAACCGAGATACCATCTGCTCTTTTTAGGACTTATATGTCGACCAGTACACACCTGCTTGGTGTCATGTGGATCACGATGACCTCCATCGCGGATGGCATACTTTTGAGGCCGATGACAGGCGCTCCACCATGGGTCAGGGCTACTGAACTCCGCTAGCACGACTCCTGGTTGGTTCTCTGATGGCTGGAGCACACAAAACTCGAGCAAGCATCTGCTCTTGGAAAAGGATATGCTTCTACTGTGTTGTGCCACAGTTTCGTAGCTCTAGGCTAAGTGCTAGCTGGGCAGTTTGGACCTCACGTCTTTGTGAATTCCTCAGCTTGCTGAAAACAATAAAAGTCTTGATAAACGTATCGGGTGCATTTTCCTTCCCCAAGTCGCTCAAGATTATGAGACCTGATCATGGAGCCCTTGATGATTTATGGTAATCACGTGGTGCATTTTGTAGACGCTAACGTTCCGCACGCCGAGGCGATTGTGTCGCGCCAATTGCCAACATTGGAACACACCGTCTTTTGTCTTCACTCTTCCAACTCACGAGCTCGCATAATAAACAATGCGATGGCCTTGGTCACGCAACGACGATGACCAAAAGAAAAGCGGACTGCCTCAGTGGGCCGCTCCAACGAAGTCGGATAATTGGTCAAGCACGTTGTTTGAGCCACGGACACTGATTCCGGCAGTCGCTCTTACAGTCTCAACTATTGCTGGTGTCCGGCTCTACAAGACTTATCTGCGTCGCATACCAACCGTCAATCACATCAAACCAAACTACTACCGTCGCAAGGGCATATTTGGCCAGGTTACAAGTGTTGGAGATGCAGATAATTTCAGGCTATTCCACACACCAGGTGGGAGAATAGCTGGGTGGGGTATCCTGCCCTGGAAGAAGGTACCTAAGAAAAGAGAGGACTTGGTCAGACAGACAGTAAGTGCTTTGGAACAAGACCAGCACTAGGCATTACGGTGGGTTGCACTCCATTCGATCAACAGCTAACCCTATGCCCAGCTTCACATTCGAATTGCTGGGGTCGATGCTCCAGAACTTGCACACTGGGGCCGAGAAGCTCAGCCGTTTGCGAAAGAGGCCCATGAATGGCTCATCAATCTGATCCACAACCGCCGAGTCCGCGCATATATATACAGACGTGATCAGTACGACCGCATAGTAGCCCAAGTCTTTGTGCGCAGATGGTTCTTCAAGAAAGACGTAGGGTTGGAGATGTTGAAAGCTGGATTGGCCACGATATACGAGGCCAAGACAGGTGCCGAGTTTGGTACCGCTGAAGACAAATATCGCGCTGCGGAAAAGAAGGCTCGCGAGAGCAGAGTCGGGATGTGGGCGAAGCCGAGCTTCACACAAAGGTTGGTAGGCGCAAGTAGTAAGACACTGGAGAGCCCACGCGAATACAAAAATCGACACAATGCAGCGGACAAGGCAAAAAAGGCAGGATGAGGAAGTTCGGCAAGAGGAACTGCTATACCGCTAGTCATGTGCAGGAGCAGACGAGTGCTGCGATCAAGGCAGGAATGCGCCAGCCTTGTTCATTGTGCCGGCCCAAGCCATGAGGAGTCACCAACGGTCCGAAGACCCCACAAAGCGAATTAGCGTATTGGCATTTAGGATAATTGGCATCTTGGGGGTATCTGGGTTATGATGACTCCAAAGAAAGTGTCCTCGGGTGTACGGGTTGTCGGCTTGCTCTATGACCAAATGTGTATGTTTGGAAGAGTCGCGACTCATGTTACAAGTCCTAAACAGATGTATGACTACTAAAAAAAGTGCACATGGTATTGAAAGTAGTAATGCAATGACGCTCGCAACGCACTGATGCAGGAGCTAGCTCCCGTGTGACTGTACCCATTGAGAAAGCTCTGCGCGACCATGTCAAAATTTCTTCTCATCCGTGCTGTGTGCCAGATGCTGGGGATCTGAGTTTCGGCGCCGTAATCGGTCCTCCGCATCCATATTCTCCACGACGGAATGGAAACAACTGTGAATGTTGCAATTGCATCGGACCTACTCATGACTGGATCGCGCATCCTGCGTGCATCGGATTTGAAAGATGCAGTCTATAAGAGCAAGAGCAAATGCAAATGCAAATGACTGCATACTACCCTTTATCCATCGCGTCTTTGAGGATCGCCGACGGTCTTATCTGTGCGTTATCGGAGATAGCTTGATTGGCCCGTCGCGCATCATTGGAATTTTTTGGCTGCCGCATCACATCTTCCCCACAGATTATACATAAACCCTGAGGGAGTCATTCGCGCTCTGCTCAACCGGGTCGAGCTATAGCCCTTCAATTGCACCTGTCGACCACCGAGCGACCTTCTTCCCGCGCGTTCGACGCCTTATCCTCCCTCTACATCCTTTGTCAAGCTCGAAGCTCTCCAGTTGCTTGACTGCCTGCAAATGGCTCTCTGCGGACGTCTAGCACGTCGCGTACCTTCCCTTACAGGTCATACCCGCTCCATTGCACCTTCCACATACTCTCGAAGTTTCACAACCCGAAGTGCTCGGCCGTTGACTTCGCTCCGCTCCAGCACTGAGTCACCTGCCGCTCTCCGACAGCTGCGGGCATTCACAAAGGTCGCGTCGACACTTAACAAGACACAGACCGCGCCCAATGCAGAGGCATACCTGAAGAGCGGCGTCATTTCTGGCGCGCAGAATCTGGTTGATGTCAAGAAAGTCCTGGTCATTGGTAGTGGTGGTCTCAGCATTGGTCAAGCCGGAGAGTTTGATTACTCAGGTGCGCATAGAAACTCGTGCACATGCAGATTCGCGCCGTACTAATCAGACATTAGGTTCACAAGCACTCAAGGCCCTGAAGGAAGCTGGCGTCAAGTCCGTCCTTCTCAACCCCAATATTGCTACCATCCAAACGTCCCACGTGCTTGCCGACGAGATCTACTACCTGCCTGTAACTCCCGAATACGCCGAATATGTCATCCAGAAGGAAAGGCCTGATGGCATCTTCCTCAGCTTCGGTGGACAGACTGCGCTGAACCTGGGTGTCCAGATGGATGCCAAGGGTATTTTCGAGAAGTACGGTGTCAAGGTGCTTGGAACCAGCGTCCAGACTTTGAAGACCAGTGAGGACCGTGATCTCTTTGCGCGCGCTCTCGACGAGATCAACATTCCCATCGCCAAGTCGATTGCCGTTTCCACTGTCGACGAGGCACTGGACGCGGCCGAGAAGGTCGGATACCCCATTATCGTCCGTGCCGCGTACGCGCTCGGTGGTCTCGGTTCGGGTTTCGCAAACAACCCAGAGGAGCTGAAGAACTTGTCAGCCCGGTCGCTCACATTGTCACCTCAAATCTTGGTTGAGAAGTCTCTCAAGGGCTGGAAGGAGGCCGAGTACGAGGTCGTTCGTGATGCCAGCGACAACTGCATCACAGTCTGCAACATGGAAAACTTCGACCCTCTTGGTGTACACACCGGTGACAGTATCGTCGTATCGCCAAGTCAGACATTCAGCGACGAGGAATACCACATGCTCCGGTCTGCGTCCATTAAGATCGTCCGTCATTTGGGAGTCGTAGGCGAGTGCAACGTGCAGTACTGTCTCCAGCCAGATGGTCTTGACTACAGGGTCATCGAAGTCAACGCTCGTCTCTCTCGTTCATCTGCATTGGCATCCAAGGCAACTGGATACCCTCTGGCGTACACTGCGGCAAAGATTGGTCTCGGACATACGCTCCCTGAACTGCCCAACGCCGTCACTAAGACTACCACCGCAAACTTCGAGCCCAGCTTGGATTATGTCGTCACTAAGATGCCTCGATGGGATCTCAGCAAGTTCCAAAACGTCAAGCGCGACATCGGCAGTTCTATGAAGTCTGTCGGTGAGGTTATGGCCATTGGTCGCACATTCGAGGAGTCCTTCCAGAAGGCTTGCCGCCAAGTCGACCCCAAGTACCTCGGTTTCCAGGGCGAGAAGTACGGCGAGAACCTTGACGAGGAACTCAAGAACCCCACCGATCGCCGATGGCTTGCCGTTGGTCAGGCACTGTTCCACGAAGGTTACACTGTCGATAGGGTTCACGACCTCACTAAGATCGACAAGTGGTTCTTGTACAAGCTCCAGAACATCGTCGACCTCACCCATGAGCTCGAGGAAATAGGCAGCTTGTTTGGTCTCAAGAAGGACATCATCCTCAAGGCTAAGAAGCTTGGTTTCTCTGACAAGCAGATCGCGAAGGCTGTTAACAGCACCGAGGATGAGGTTCGCGCACGCAGGAAGAGCTTCGGCATCAAGCCGTGGGTCAAGAGGATTGATACTTTGGCTGCTGAGTAAGTACATTAGATTGCACTTGAGAGATGAGACACATACTGACTTTGCACTCCAGATTCCCCGCTAATACGAGTACGAAAACTTGATGCCCTCCCCTCGATATACCAAACTTTGCTAACGATGCGTAGATTACCTCTACGTAAGTACCTGATCTTTTTTCTTTTTTCCTAACATTTCCTTCGCAACAACCACCACCATCGACTTTGGACGCCGTCCAGTTGATGCCGTCGTTCCTTTTCTTCCAGTTGCACTGCAATCGCCAGTGTCGAATTTGGACGCTGCCCAAGCACGGACATGCAGACCGCGTCTACATCGGATGCGCCACAGCGTCAGACCGGGGTATGCTCCTTCGCTTCTACCAATACGACAAGGAAACGTGCCTTCCTAAGTACTACAAGGCAAGTCTGAGGGAAGGCTTTACTGTGTTGCACCGAGGCCTGCTATGCTGGACGCCGTCCATTGCTCCAACCGCTTTACAGCCTATATTCCGCCTGCTCTTCCTTCTGCTAGAAGCCACTTTCGCATACATCTTCTGGGCTATGAGAACCCAAACAGCAAAGACTACGGCATGGCACACATCCGTCCCTGGGATCGTTTTGCGCTCGAGTATACTGGGCTGTGCTCTCATTGCTGCCTGGACGAAGGTATCCTTGGTGACTTCTCGCTATCTGCAGAACAGCTCCAAGAGTCGGCTGTCAAGAAAAAGGAGCGTTGCCGTGAAAAGCACCATCACCGAAACGCCGACTACCACTTCAAGCAGATGGAGACGAACTACCATGACTACCTGGATGAAGTGGGAGTTCGGGTCCGCCTACATAGGGCTCAGAAGCACAAAGAGCGCAGGGCATGGGAGAAGGCCAACCGAGCGAAGCACGCCATCAAGAAGATATACCATTGCAACCTTTGCAACACAGTATGTCAACCGCAGTCCGACCTTACCGAACACGAAGGTAACGGCAAGCATCTCCGCAACTTAGCTGCCGCTTTTGGTGACTACCGCTACAATTGCGACCCCTGAGGCTATCACAACAACAAGTTGAGCCTATACAATATCCACTGTCGTACGAAGCGCCACCGGCGATTGGTTGCTGAATCCTCGAGCTCCCAGCTCGTGTGGGTGTCGTCAACGTGTCATACGTTTTGGAACACTTTTTTTTGAATCTCTCTGGAGTCTGTGACGATCTCCAGGACCTCTTTTCGTCATCTCAACAAAACAGTTTACGCTCCTTCGTATTCGCTAACCCATACTTTTAGACCACCTACAACGCCTCGTCTCACGACGTGACTTTTGATGACCACGGTATCCTGGTTCTGGGATCGGGCGTCTACCGGATCGGAAGTTCAGTCGAATTCGATTGGTGTGCTGTCAACGCTACCCGCTCTCTCAACGCCCTCGGAAAGAAGACTGTCATGATCAACTACAACCCCGAGACATATTCTGTAAGTAGCACCGATACCTTCATTGAACCATGATTAACATCTGTTCAGACCGACTTTGACGTCGCCGACAAGCTGTACTTCGAAGAACTCAGCTACGAGCGTGTTATGGATATCTACGAGTTGGAGACCGCTAGCGGTGTTGTTGTCTCTGTCGGTGGCCAACTTCCCCAGAACATTGCGCTCAAGCTTCAAGAGTCTGGAAAGGCAAAGATTCTCGGAACTGATCCTCACGACATTGACAAGGCCGAAGATCGCCACAAGTTCTCTTCCATCCTGGACTCAATCGGTGTTGACCAACCCGCCTGGAAGGAGCTTACCTCATACGAGGACGCGAAGAAGTTCGCAAACTCTGTCGGCTACCCAGTTCTTGTTCGTCCATCATATGTCCTGTCAGGTGCTGCCATGACTGTTATCCGCGGTGAGGACGAGCTGAAGGAGAAGCTTCTTGCTGCTTCCAACGTTTCGCCCGATCACCCAGTCGTCATCACTCAATTCATTGACGGCGCTCAAGAGATCGACTGCGATGCTGTTGCTTCCAACGGAAACGTTCTCGTCCACGCTGTCAGTGAGCACGTCGAGAACGCTGGTGTCCACTCCGGAGACGCGACCCTGGTGCTGCCCCCTGTCAACCTCGACAAGCGCATCCAAGAACGCGTCAAGGAGATCGCAGACAAGGTTGCCAAGGCCTGGAACATCACTGGTCCCTTCAACATGCAGATCATCAAGGAGGAGGTTGAGGGCTCTGAGCCAAACCTCAAGGTCATCGAGTGCAACCTACGTGCCTCTCGTTCATTCCCCTTCGTCAGCAAAGTCCTTGGTACCAACTTCATTGAAGTTGCCACTAAGGCTCTCGTTGGCCGTGACGTGCCCGAACCAACTGACCTCATGAGCGTTGAGAGGAACTATGTCGCCACCAAGGTTCCCCAATTCTCCTGGACTAGGTTGGCAGGTGCTGACCCCTACCTTGGCGTTGAGATGTCATCCACTGGTGAAATGGCCTGCTTCGGTAAGGACCTCGTTGAGGCCTACTGGGCTTCCGCACAGTCGCAGATGAACTTCCGCCTTCCCCAGCCCGGTGAGGGCCTCCTCTTCGGTGGTGATGTCACTCCCGGTTCGCTCCACTCCAACTCCCTTATCCAGGTCGCCAAGTACGTGCATGCACTGGGCTACAGGTTCCTTGCTGCCAACAAGGATGTAAAGGAGCTTCTGGAGAAGAACACCGAAGGCATCAGCGTTGACGTCATCGAATTCCCCAAGGACGACAAGAGGAAACTCCGTGAGGTATTTGAGAAGAACGACATTCGTGGCTGCTTCAACCTGGCTAAGTTCAGGGCGAATGGTCTATTCGACGAGGACTACGTAATGAGGAGGAATGCGGTTGACTTTGGTGTGCCGCTATTCATGGAGCCCAAGGTGAGTTCATCGGTTTTACCATTCATGGCATGAGAAGCTAACTTTAACGCAGACTGCCGTTCTCTTTGCGCAATGTATGAGTGAGAAACTGCCCAAGAAGGAGGGCATCCCCAGTGAAGTCAGGTCATGGAGCGACTTCGTTGGTGGACGACCATTGTAGAAGGTTATTGGTTATTGGGACAATGTTTGATGTCTCATAGGGAGAAGAAGGATTCATTGTAGAAGATATACCCAGATGTAGGGTCAGGTTGGGTCAGGATCTAAGGAAGGGAGGATCAGGATGAAGATTATGTTCTCATGTGTATAGCGTTTCCAGCTCATGATCAACTGTATCAGCAGGTCAGTGAAGTTGGGTGACTTCCTTTTACTTTCAATTTACTTGAAAAGTTTACCGCTCATGTGGCTAGATACTTAAGGATATATTTAGTTATACTCTAATCTACTGGTCACTGCAGCGGCTGTGTCCAAGATGCCGTTCGTGGTCATGCGAAACCCTTACGTAGTATTTCACCTAGGTATCACTGGTTTGTTTGCTGTTTCCAAAACTACAGCGCTCTTGCCTTCGAAGAAGATCGGGGTTTTTTTTTCCAGAGTTGTATCACCTAACCTCCTGGAGCCTGAAGGTAGTCAATGTGTTCTAAGGTACTCTTTATCGACGTAGAACTTGCTGAATACCTTTAAGATGCAATATGTTTACGTACGACTCAGAAAAAAAACGATCTCCTTTGTACATAGACGGTGTTGATCTGTACGCCTGGGGAACTAAACAGTGACACAGAAATGCGCTGTCACCCTCCTTTTAGCCCCTCTTATCTCTACTACGTCTTGTAGCTCAAAGCTCTATCCATCACGACCACGCAAGTCAATCATCTTCTCATGGGACTTGAGAAAGTTGAAGTTGTGTTCGGTTTCGAGCATACGGATGCGGGAAAGTTCGAGAAATGGCGCAACGGAACTTGGGAATGCAATGGCGCACAACGTTGGTAGACATGTACAAGTTACGTGTAAGTAGCAAGGATCTCCAATTCGAGAAGGGATCCGAGGGCCTTGCTTTGGAAGTAAGAACTACTGTACTGGGAATTATTCTCCGGCATTGTCCTACAGACTCAGGACGGGGGGAATACTCGACTTGAGACCAACGATAACACTTGTGCTATAAGGATAAATGGCTATATTGAGTCTATAGATGCGTCCATAACTAGCAGGCCAACAACACTGCTACATTATACGTGCATTCAATAGCACCGACTAACTCATCACTTTCCATGGAGTCGTAGCCACGACCCCAAGACTCACAAAAATTCAAACCAAACCGAACGCCAAACCAGCGCCATGCCGAGTGATATCAATATGCAAGGAGATAAAACGCCAACTATACCTGCAAATTTGTGTTTCGCCAAATGCTATGCATATTACGTCGTAACCGTTGTCGTCGTAAGTTCTTCAAACGCGGATTCCCGCACCAGAACCCCATCGTAGCTTCCGCAGACCTAGGCCGGTACCCTTCATGCCTGCGGCTGCTTCTTTACCGCAGCGTCCAGCCTCGGAACCTGCAGCACCAATCTGTCCCATGGCCTCAGTATGGCCAGCTTCCTTTCCAACGACGTAGCCAGCCGAGAAGCCGATGGCACTGACAAGGACTACGACGCCAGCGCTAACAACCCAGGTAAGCAGCGTCGGGCTGATCTCCTCAATCATCATCGGGCTTGTCTTGCGTGCCTTTTTGGCAACACGGCGGTCTTTGCTGCTGCTACGCACACCAGCTACAGGCGGACTCGCTTTGCGCTTGGACTTGTCTGAAGGGCTGCTGCTAGTGCTGCACGGAGGTGATGCGGTCTCCTCGGATATGTTACCTAATGCTACAGACTCTGGGACCATGCGGAGGGAGGATGGATCGACCCGAGTGGATGAGGGAGGGTTCGCGCGAGGTTGACCTGGCTTCGGGAGGCCTCGCACGGCAGCAGCGGCAGAGAGCAACGTGGACAGGCTGGCGCGCAGGGCTTCATCGTGATCGGGCTGGTAGTTGGGTGCAGCGGCATTGTAAGGATGATGCTGAGGATATGAGTGCTGTCGTTGTCCTGCTGGCCTCACGTTCCTGCGAGGTGTGTATAACGTGCCAGACTGCGATCGGATAGCTTGCTGGTTGTTCGGGTGCGAGAATGCGTTTGGTCGTGGCTGAAACTCTCGCCTTGAAGAGCGTGGATAGTTGACGGCCGTTGCGTTCTCATCGTCGTCATCATCCTCCCTCTCTGACATAGTCTCCGAAGACGCGACAGACTGTGGATGTCTCAAAGGGGATGGGCCGATGGCCTCGTTCGAGGATGTCATGACCCTGTCCGACTCACTTTCACTCTCTTCATACTCCTCCTGACTGCTATTACCCCCTGCTGTGACTCTGTGCCCAGTTCCTATTGAGAACTGACCGCCACCTCGCGGGCGTCTGTTGTGCCGCCTGTGCGCATTCGAGTCGTGCTGTACCGTGAGTCCTGTCGTGATGATCTCATCGGTCGCAGATGATAGGGAGGTTGAGGAAGGCGCGGATGCGAGATCGATCCATGACTCTGTAAGACATGTAAGCTGGCATTCAACAGAAAGGTACAGAGAAGTATTTCAAGGAAGATGGATCGTACCCTCTGAGCGTTGCCTCGAGGACGAAGCGATATGGCGCGAAGGAGGCATGGCTTGGTCCTGGTGGTGCGTATCTTCAGCTCCTATAGTCTGTCTGCCTGCGCGCGGTGGACGATGATCATGCATCGCGCCCTGACCTTCAGGAATCCGAGTCTCAATAAAAGCGCTGAAATGTTGCACCTTCGGCGATAGTCCTTATATGCTTGGACCCTAGGTTGACCGGACGTGGGGAGTATGCGCTCAAGTGGACCCCAAGGGCCGTTCCGACTTCGGTTCTTTGTTTGGACTGGCGATGCTACAGATTCCTGATACAAGCAAGAAGGACCAGGGCAGCTCTGAAACAGCTTATCGGCGCCCAGAAACAACGAGTGGAACTGAAAGCCGACCCGATCCTGTCGCTGCGTCGCTGCAAGTCGCAGTTGGAGATAAGACTTAGGCCGCGAGCGAGCTGACGCTATGTACACTGGCTCCCCAAGTTGCGCACGGCCAGGGTCTAGGCGTGATATGACGTTTCGTGGGGAAGGGAGGGAAGCGCAGATCGGGGTCGTCGCGTTGGGCGGGGTACGAAGGAACACGACCGACAGCGAGTGTTGGAAGAGGAAACAGAGAAGTAGGTGTAAGGAATATCTCGAGGTTGAAGTTGGGCAAAGTAGACGGATGCTCGTTCCTGGCCCCGTGTCCCGTGTGCTCGCTGGCGTATGACCATTGGCAATAGGTGTGGGACATGGACGAATCAGACGTCGCTCACTCCCTTTCCTGTTTGAGGCTGGCCAATATAGACGTGCTCACCTGCCCTTGTACAAGACATGCGCATGTATCTTCTGAGCTCATTTGCCTTGTGGTCTACGGTTTGCAAGACATGATCGCGTAGCCTCGTCCATCATCACGACGCAGGGCCATGCGAGTGCTCATACAGATACACTAACTATCACTCCACCTACCTCGAGGCTTCCAAGGTTGTTTACAACACGCCATCTATCACGTCATTATCCACCATGTCAAGCGAGTTGAGCTGCGCCACGTATACTTTCTTCTTCTTCCTCTTCCATGTGGAGATGACTAGGGAAGAGAGGCCTTTTACAGGAGATGCCGCTTCCCCCAGATACCATACATCCTGGCTCGCCATTGTCGGCTTGGTCTGCTTCTTCCTGATCTCACAGACTGCCCCTAAAGTCTGGAGCACCTCATAGGTTCAGTGTAAACAACTGGGGGGACCTTGCAATGACAATAACAACCCTGCGAATAAGAATCCAAACACACCATCCGTCTCGGTACCAGTTGGCCGAAAGTCAATTTCGTATGGTACAAGTACAGGACATCGACTCCGATCCATGCAGAAATCATGCCACCTCACATTGTCGTACATCCCCCTCTATGCGTGCGGGTATTATAACAAAATCAGAAGCCGAACCACAGGCTTATAGGATATCCAAAATATGTCAGAAATGCGTTCCAGTTCATCCAGACCATACCTCCCCCTTGTTTCGTGAAAGCCCTAGTTCTTCTTCTTCTCATCCTTCTTACCTTCCTTCTTACTTCGACTCTTGAAGAAGTCTGAAATACCGTCCTTGAATTTCTCCCAAGGTGTACGGTTCAGGTGGTTGCTAAGTTGGCGGTACTTGTACATCTCGGCCCAGCAATCACGACCCCATTCGCAGCCAGCCATGTTGACCAAGAAGTCGCGATCTCGTTCTTGGTAGTGAATGTCGGGGTTGTCGCCGTTTTCACCACATGCACCCGGTGGGAAGCTCATAATCTGGCGCTGCTGAATGAAGGCAACATGAGGCCTGATCCAGGGCTGGTTCTGGTACATGTACTCGAAAGCGTCCTGCTCTTTGTGCTCCCACTCCATGTGCTTTTGCTCGTAGCCGACCGGGTCCCACCAGATGTCAAGCAGTCTGTCGGTCCACACGCTTCTTTTGACCATGAACGAGCCCAAGTTGAAGCCACCACAGTCCTGAGGTAGCAGCATGTTGACAGAATCGACCTTGCCATCTCCCACCGGCGAGCGTGTTTCGGGGTCGAGATATTCGTCCGTCAGAGGATGCGTAATGTTGAGGGGGTTGTATACGTTGATGTCACGGTATGTCACGTCTTGTAGTTGTTTGAAGACATGCTTTTGGAGAGAGTAGGTCGGCTCCATGATGAACGTGTTCGTGTCAAGCCACCAGAACCTGCGACACGTTAGCTTGTATATCTTCGTCTCCACATAGCACGTACCATTCAGCATGTGGGTACTTTCGCATAGCGTTGCGAATGGTGTCGACCTTTTCCCAGCTTTCTCTCCACTCGTGCGCATAACGCTTCTTGGTGCTCATGTCCACAATCTCCAATTCATAGCCCCAGTTCCTTGTGTACTTCTTCTTGTTCTTGACGCTGTCTCGTTCGATAGCCCACTCGCGGGGGCCCTTCCATTCCATAACACCTCCACCTTGGTTCGCTGCGAGTATGACGACGTACTTGCTGCCGCCGCCAAACCATGCGGACCGTCTGTACATGCGACGTAGGGCTGTAATTGTCAATGCCAGTCGACAGAGAGGGTTAGAGAGCGTGCCAACTTACGTGTGTTTGAATTGTAGAAGATGAAGAAGAATACAACGAACAGGACCAATGCGACTCGCTTCCGCAGACGCCACATTGTCCAGGCTATGCCGTTCAGAAATCGCATGACTTTGTTTTGGGACCGTCCACGGCCTAGTTTCTCCTTGTCGCCGTGGTTGAAGGGCAGGCTTGTGGATATCCTGCGAAAGTGCTTGCCAAAGAAGCCTTGGTTTCTCGGTGTGAAGCCGGGATATCCCTTGACTTCAGCGCTCCGCGCTTGAGCCGATGCCCAAGTAACATTTTGTGAAGAAGAACTATTCGCGTATGGGCTAGTCCGCCCGCCATTGTAGTCTGGCGTGTTCAGACCCGGGCTCGACCACCCCCCAGGCTGAGGTGAAGGCGATCTTGACATTTCGAAGGCGCCTGGAGTGCCAGGAATCGAGGGTAAGGCTTCGCCCAGCGAGCGGCCGTGAAGACCGCTGGTTGTGCCTAGCCTGCTTCTCGACTCTGCGCTGTCCGGAAGATTGATATTATTCGGCGGCAGTTGCCTTGCAGCAGAGGAGCGCCTCCTGCGTTGTCCGGCGGAAGCGGAGAAGGAGGATTGGGAAGCCAGCGTGACTTTATCCGCGTTGAACGGTCGCGTGGAATGTAACAAGGACGCCGGCGTGTGGCTCGCGGCGACAAGAAAGTCAGCTAGCTACAATCGCTGATGTGATTCGACGGCAGCTGCTCAAGGATGCGGTGCCGCAGAGGCAGACTTCTTGATATTACTGAGGACAGCTGGCGGATAGTACCCAAGTCCTCAAGCGGCAGGAGCGAGGCGGTCGCACTTGGGGCGGAAGGGAGCGTCGGGGAGGATGCGGTGCAACGTCGAAACCTCGTCTCGTCAGTGGCAATTGGCAAAACGAGAGACTGCGAACGATATAATACTACAGCTCGTCAAAGCGTCGTTGTTGAAAAGGAGCTGACGATAAACCAATTTGGGTCTTCGAGTTCGCTGCTTGGCATAGATCCAAAAGGAGTGGAACTAGTGCTGGCTTAGATCTCCACCTTGCCTTGCGCGCACTTCAATCCTGACTTGTTGTCACCCCAAATTTCTCCACCGCAGTATTGAATGTTTGATTTACGACCTTGTGAGGCTCCAGGCTGCTGGAGGACAGCGGAAGGCGCTGATAGACAGCAGCTGTGGCATCGTGTAGTGATATTAATAACCCGTATTCGGATAGCTGCACCGACATCGCCAGCAGACATACGGATGCCGTTGACAGTAGCTGTCAGGAGTTGTTGTGCGTCCGTCAACGCCGGATGCAGATTCTGACGTTTCCTCAAATGATATCAGCATGTTGCAGTGTGCTTGCATGTCCACGGGTACTTCGACAGGATAAATGCGAACGCATGGTCGCAGCTTCGGCTGACCAGACGGTGCACGCTCAAGCAATGGCCGCCTGGCCGTGGACGCCGCAGATATATAAGCATGTCACTACATGCTATAGCATCTGATACTTTGCACCCCAGTGCATCTAGGAGCAACAATGGGACGCATCATACAAAGTGGTGGCACATGGGCTCAGGGCCACAAACAACTGGTCGGCTGAACACGACTGACTCAATCTCCACGAGTTCGCCATCGCTACCAGTGACCGTGTTCTCATGGGATCGGAGAAGAGTGTCCCAACGATACTTATAAAGGCTTCCACCAAAGGATAGGCAGGGAAATGGTCGGCGCATACAGACCGCACTGACGGCTAGCTAGCGCCATCTTGGCGGCGCCTTTCTCGTCCAACGGTTGGTGGCCGCCCTGATTGATCTGGCGCTTGAGTTACGTCGTCCTCTCCTCTGACTGGCTCACCTCAACTTTCACTAGACACGACATCCAGCTATGCCTTTGGAGCGTCTCAGATCTTGCATAGTGTTGTACATTTCCAGCCCAGCGAATCCAGGGCGGTTACTGAGCCTCAAGCCTGGAATCATGGCGCTCAATATGAAGCAGATCCACCTGGTGGCTCCAATCACCTTCACTCGGTACCCGTTGACAACGCCTGTTGCAACCAGCACGCTTTGACTCATTCATTCGTGACCGGCGGCTCTGGAAGATTAGAGGCTAGAGTAAAAGTCTAGGTGAAGGAGCTATGCACTATGCGGTATGGCAGCGGTTTGCCTGGTAGGCGGCAGGGCCATCGTTGGGCCATGTAAAGATCTGGGGTCGTGTGTCCGACCAAGAGCCTCACCATTCTCCTTTTGTTCCGCCTTTACCGTCTTCCGTACCTCTTTATCACTGTCTTTTGCCGTTCTCGCTGTTGCTTTATGCCGTTTTCTTCGTTTTGTTTTTTTGTCGTCACGTAATAGATTTCGGGCCCCGCAACACACCAACACAATAGCAGGAACAATAGCGCTGCGACACAACTGTATCAGTTTCATCACCGGATCGATATCGGGACAATTAGTTGTTGTGACGGCCTTCTTTGAAGACACAGCTCTGTTGTTCCCACACCTTCTTCCAGTTTTGGTCGCCCACGAAGGGAAGACACGGACGGACAACGCCAACCATGAATTCGACGAGAAGAGACTTTTACGGCCAGCAACCACCCCTTACATCATTTCCAAGATCGACATTCAATACCGCATACCATACGGATGGCGAAGCTTACGCACACGACCCACATACCGATTCAGAAGAACAAATATCGGTGCACTTCACTGATGGCTTTGAGGGAAGCCGAAACCTAGACAGGTCAACCTTCGACACCGAGACCCATGTTGACTCACAACGAACAACGTCAAGGCAGAACTCGCGATCCTTTGCAGAACGCGTTTCAAGGCAGAAAAGTCGGAGGCGAGAGCTTCTGGGAAGGCCAGCGAAACCAGGTATCACTGTCGATACGAGCTTCACAAGGCATAGAGGCACCGAACCCCATCAAGTATTCCCTCACGGAACAGAGAGGGGCAGCGGATCCGTCAGGAGGTCGCCATGGTTCGGGTTGGGACGGTCTTCGACCAGGAACAAGGGCTTGGGCATCACCAAGGGTACACCTCAACCAGACATTACACATCGGAAGAAGCCCAGCGTCGACCGAAGCGAAGCTGATACCGCTATCTCCATGACACCTGGGAGCAAATCGTGGCAAGAAATCTCGCCTTGGGACCGACGCATACCAATTGGAATATCGGTCCCGACTGATAGCATTTCTGACTTTAGCACGCTTCAGCCCAACCGGCATCGCGCTGGCAGTGATGCCACTCTCGTAACCCCAAGCATCATCATCACTCCTGCTGCAGTGAAGTCAGTATGGTCTCCAGATACGCCCTTCACAGAATCAGATTACACGCCCAGCATTTACTCTCGCTACCAATCAACCTTTGCGAACTCCAACGTTCCTCCAGTACCGGCTTTACCTGCCGGTATGTCACAGGCACCAGGCAACGATACTACCCGAGATACGCAAGGAGCGACTGGTCATGCCAGAAATGACACTCTAGATTCAGCAGGGACTGCCTTTGAAGAGGACGATGACTCCAAAAGGAAGGATCGTATCATGTCTACCAGTACTGTTTTCGAAGAGGATGAGACGCCTCTAAGAGAAAGGACTATAGAGAATTCTTTGGCTATTGATACCTCCATGGTGCCCACTCCACGGCGGTCACAAGGATGGTGGAATGTCATCACCACCCCGTTCGTCATGACACCGAAATCGTCCACGTGGACCGAACCCGGGCATGATGGCGATCGAACACCGGACGTGCCAATAGTGCCTCTCCAATATGGTACACGTAAAAGGAGCGAGTCAATATCTCTCACAAAAGGGCCCGATAACACAGCGGTTTCGGTATCCAGTGTTCCAGCACAGAGAGACTCAGAGAAGGCGGTATTCCACTCAACTCCAGAACCTTCTTCCGAGCCTCATCATGGCGTTACGTCTCCTCTTTCTGCCATGTCGGCTTCGCCAGTTGTTGGTACAGCAGCTATTGGAACCGTCTTAATGCCTCGTCAGGTCGAGGAGCCGCGGCAGATCAACGTCAACATTGAGTTGCAAGATAGGCGACCGATGGCGGACAGTTATTCCGTTCGGGCTAATTATCCACCACCTCCACAGCACTTGCACACGTCAGCGCCAGCACCACAAGTGAAGAGTGGAGCGTCTCCATCCGCAAATGCCAACAGCTCGCAGCAAAGCTTGCCAGTTTTTGCCCCGCCACCCAAGTTCGCCCAAAAAAGCTCGCACTGGAGCTACGACAACGTCAGTCGTTCCAGCTCGCAAGCATCTTCTCCTAACCTCAAAGGAGGGAAGAAGCACCGCAAGGTCTGTAATATGATGAGCATCTGGCCGTTCGGAAAGAAGAGAAGCCAGAAAAGTCAAGGCGCTGAGAGAGAGAAGAAAAAGAAGAGAGGCATTTGCTTCTGGGGATGCTGTTGTTGTCTGATCTTTCTCATATTACTGGCAATCATCATTCCGGTGGTTGTAGTACTTACAAGGAAGGGCAGTGACAACGACAATGACAACAAGCCCACGCCGACTCAACCGAGTGCAGATATCGGTAGCCAGTGGCTCAACCTAACAGACTACCCTCCCATACCTATCGGTATTTTGACTGTCGCCCAACCCGAAGCAGTAGAGGAAGAGAGTGGTTGCGTTGCGCCAACTACGTTGTGGAGCTGTGCGCTGCCGAAAGAGCTTCAGCAGTCCGTCGCGCCAAACAAACCCGACCAGCCGAACTTCAAAATCGAAATCACCTTTGGGAATGGAAGCGTAGCTGAGTTGCCCAAGTCTCAGCGTGCAAAGAGGGCCGTGAATCCTGTCTCAGCTGGAGCCTTTATTCGGTCATTGTTGCATGCACGTGCCGCAGCTTCGCCCTCTCCCGCCCCTCCATCGATTGCCGATATGAGTTTTCTGGGTCAGACTACGGACGGTAATTCGGCGCCTTTTGAAGGCGAAGATACCGGCTTGTTCATTAGTATGCAAGATCCCACTGTCAGCGCGTCGCGACTGATGAAGCGTGTTGATGCGAGCGACCCGACGAACATCACCGCAGTGATCCCACCACCAATGTTAGCTTCGGACGGAACTGCTGCGCCTGCGAACTTGTTACCTTTCCCATCGGCACAACCTCTTCGATTGTACAACCGCGGAAAAGATAACGAGCACTATGGCTTTTACAACTATTTCGATCGCTCCATCTTCTTGAAGCAGATTAACGGCACCAACCGTGGCGGCAATCCTGCAGATGTTGACGGAGGAAGTACAAAGGATGCCGCCAAGCTGAGGTGTACGTACTCACAGACACGTTTCCTGGTACAAATCTGGACTCGCAGCAAAGAAAGCAAGACCTTGTTGCAGCGTTCGGCTTCGGACGCATCAAACATATTCAAGCGGCCAGGCACCTTCCCGTACCCAGTCACGGTCACTATTGACCGTCATGGTGGCGATCCAGCGAAAAAGAACCTCTATTGCTACGAGATGGAGGACGATGGCTCGATCAAAGATGAGGAATCGAAGAAGTCGTTCCAGTTCGAAGACCGCGGGTTCGGAGGCAACCTCGTCAAAGGCACACAGGGGCAAGGGAGCGTCAGTGGAAACATCGACGGGGGGACTGGCGGCTGCCGATGTCAGTGGCAGAACTGGTTAAGTTAGGGGGGTCCACTCGCTTTGGACTCTAGCGACGAATTTTTCCTTGTGTTGCATGAATATTTCCAGATTGCTGGAATTTTGCATAGCGTTTGGTCTTTTGCGCATATACGGTACAACGCCTTTTCATATCTCTCACCTTTATTGTTATCATCAAGAATGGGGTTTCTCTTGTTGGCAACATGATTGAGCTCACTTCTAATACTCACCCACTGGATGGCATTCTTGTATAAAATATATCTACCTTGACTCCATAGTTATAGCTAATACATACTGATATCAACTACTCTGCACTGACCCTCCACATGTCTATGAATCGTGAGTGTTCCAAACTGCCACTAGGGCTAAGTGTAGACATGACATATGTTTGTCCCACATGCGGCTCGGCGAACCTTTTGGAGGGATTGTGGATAATGTGCAGTGCCGTCGGATGTTACCGTGGCATCTCCGCTGTCATCCCCGGGCCCATATGTTTAACCAGTTCAAATGCAGCATATCAATCACAGACTAGGGGTGGGGCTCGTGAGCAAACTTGAGGGAGGAAGAGCAATCAAGCGGGTGATGATGGCAAGGCGTCTATCTCGGTACTTGCAATGCAGGATCAGAGATCGCCTTCTCGTGCAGGATCGAAGTATCTCATAGGTTCATCTAGATCCCGCCATGGTGGTAGTTCGTGACGAAGCTCGGGGTATGGAGAGGTATTCCCCTTGTAGTCCCAACCCAACAGTGCATAGCAGAGATTTCCTGGGATGTATGTTTATTTAACGGCAGCAAGCAAGCAGCGCCCCTGCTTGGTTTGACATACTCGGAGACAATGAGCACCGTGTCGCCCTGCCGACATTATTGGTGATGTTGAGGGGGACATGGGACGATGGCAACGGACAAAGTGTGGATACTCCGCAGTATGAACGAGGATGCATGAGGCTAAGCGTCCTGGCAGCCCTGCACGTCCCGTCTTGGCCCAGAGTCGCGGACCCCGCCATGTCCATTGATCTCGCCCACGTTCTCTGTACGCCCTTCTGATTGGCTTGCTGAGACCTCATCCTTCAAAAGCCTTTCGTTGCCTCGTACGTGCGAAGGAGTGGCAACGCGGCAGGAATGCGTCAATGGCGTAGCAGGGCTAGGCGTCTGATCTCCTGCCATGCCTCTTAACCGCAGGCTTGGTGTGCTTGTGCGAGCCTCCAGAAGGCTTATCAAAAACGTCATGGCTCCAGCAGCTATCGCGAACAGCACCTTGCAATGTCAGAAATCTGGGGACAGATCCATACCGCACAAAGTGTTTGTCGACAGCCTCGAAATTCGTGACTATGGGGCATAGAGCAAGGTATGTAGCAGATGCACTCGCTCGAGGCCCAATTAGAGGGCGCTGCTTGCGCCGAAAAAGCTGGGATTGACTGTCGCGTGAGCTCCTTCCAGACTGGGGTGGGGCTCCAAAACCTCTAGCATCCTCGCGTCCACAGTAACGTTATGCCCCCGCCGGAAGCGACGGTCTCTACACTAGAATTTTCTTCGCATCCTTGGACCCTTATATAACCTGTAGCTTGTCGGCTTGTGCGAAATGCTCAGCTTTGTTCACTCAAGTTCGCGCTCTCTTTGCGCCTTTGCCTCATCTTTCTCCCCCGGCTGAACGTGTGGGTGGCTACCTCTTTGACCCTCAATCCCTACGTACCGGGCTTTTGCGGCGACACTTCAGAACGCAAGGACGCATCACGAGTAATTGAGGCGTGCATCCATCATCAATCTGCGCATACCCTCTCCTAGGAAAGTTCGCCATCGGACCGCCCGGCTATTACTAGGATCTGGCATTGCGTCGATTCGCAGATCCCATCGACCACTCAGAAGCCACCTCATCGAACGTGGTACTGTTCTGCATTGTACGTGAAACTACTCGCGCGACAGACATCATCGGATTGCCGTAATATCTGTGGGACAACCCGCCGTCTTGGATTGCGATCAACGCGCATATAAGCTTCGACTAGGACCCGTGGTTCTGGGCAAAGTTTCTTCCAGCCATCCCCACTACCAGCATACAACAACGAGTTCGGCTTAGGCCTCGTTGTATTCTTGCTACCATGGCGAATTCTCACGAATTCACGCCACCATCTCTCCGGGATTATGGTGTTGCTGCACCCCATGGACCCAACATGACCGGCGAGCACCAAGCTACCCAGGAAATCGACATCCGGAATGATATGAGCGAGAACGAGTCTAGTGTATTCCATGCCCTGCTCCACCCTGACGACCTTTACAATGCCAACGGTACCTACTGGGCAGATATGCCCCTGGGTCAACGGGTCAGGTTTATTGGACAAGTCGACAAAGCTGAAGCAAAAGCCGAAGCAACCTACTTCTGGGATATGTTCAAGAAAGACCCGCTTGCGCCTTTGGGTCACTACTTCCGAACCTGCGTGATTCCTGGTATGGGTCTTGGTCTCGAGGGGTAAGTTGTAATATCTTGTTGCTCGAGTCATTACTGACATCAACCTAGCTACGTCCTCTTCTCCATTGGTAACGTCAGGCCTCTTCTGCAGGCTGCTTTCCCGGCATGCTGGGGTAAAGCCGAGATTTGCAACGAGACCTGGCTACAGGCTATCGACTACCTCGAGATCTGTGGTATCATTGTCGGTCAAATCCTTGTCGGTGTCGTGGGAGACTGGCTCGGCCGTCGCTTCGGCCTTATCCAAGACGCTGTTATCATGTTTGTCGGTCTTCTCATGCTCACTGCCGCCTGGGGTGTCACTCAGAACGGATGGGTCATCTGCTATGTCTGGGCTCTCTTCTTCTACGGTATCGGTGTCGGAGGCGAGTACCCCATGACAGCGACTGCTGGTATGGAGAACGCCGTCGGCTCCGGAAAGGTCTCTACCAAGGACGACCGTCTTCATCGTGGCAGGAAAGTTACTAGTGCTTTCCTGATGCAAGGTTGGGGACAGTTCTTCAACCAGGTCATTCTGATCATCTTGCTCCTCATCTTCCATGGCGGATCATCACCCCCATACTCCAAGACCTTGGCCCAGTGGACTTACCGTGTTTCCTTCGCCATTCCCGCTGTCGGTACTCTCTGGCTCGTCTACTTCCGTTACTACAAGATGAAGTCGGCTTCAAGGCAGCTCGCGCTTTCCAAGAAGAAGTCCAACGTTACCGGTTACGACGTTCAATCTTTGAAGCTCACTTTCACATACTTTGGTCCCCGTCTTCTGGCGACTGCTGGTGCTTGGTTCGCCAACGATGTTTTCTTCTACGGCAACAAGCTCTTCCAGAACGAATTTATCAGCATCATCACGCCTGGCAACAAGTCTGTCATGACCGGCTGGTTATACAACCTGATCAACGTCGGTGTATCGCTTTGTGGCTACTATCTTGCTTCCTTGCTCATTGACAACAAGCTTTACGGACGCAAGTGGATGATGATTGTAGGTTTCTTGGCCGACTTCGTCCTCTTCATTATCCCCGGTTTCGCCTTGGACTACTTCACGTCGCCTGAGAACATCCACGGTTTCCAAGCCATGTACTTCTTGTCCTCATTCTTCAACCAATTTGGTCCCAACAGTGTCACTTTCCTCGTCGCTGCCGAAGTATTCCCTACACCGGTTCGCGCCACCGCCCACGGTTTCAGTGCTGCTTGCGGTAAGGCTGGTGCCCTGCTCGCCGCCGTCCTGTACAACTACATCGACACTCAAACCAAGTTCTACTTTGTCCCTTGGTTCGGTCTTGCTGGTGCTCTTCTCACCCTGCTCTTCCTCCCAGACACCACCGGTCTGGATCTTAAAGAGCAAGAGCGTCGCTGGGCATACATTCGCGCCGGCAAAGAGCACGACTACCACGGTATTGCCATTCACTGGAAGCATCTGTCCTGGTGGGAGCGCTTCCGTGGCCAGCACAAGGACTACGACGCCAAGCTTGACTATGAGCAGAAGATCACCGAGATGCGCGCAGAGTGGCTTGAACGCCAGCAACACAAGTTCTCTGAGAAGAACGGCTGGGAAGGTGCTGACCCTGACGAGGACGACCATCTCGATGTACACAACTACTTCAAGCGCACCACACCTGGCTCGTCAAAGGGCCCTGAACCCTTGATGGCGCCCAATTCGGTGTCGGGAAGCGACTCGGCAGATGAGATTACGAGGGAGAAGAACGGACAGCTCTAGAGGAGCTATGAAGTAACATTCTGTTATAGATCCGTTTGATAGAATGTTGATTGTTAGCGTTATCGTTCTTTTTAAGCATTGCAAAGGCGTTTTCATCTTTGCGCGCTCGACGCAGAGTTTGTATTATGGTATGAATAATGAAGATCGTTATGATCAGTGCTTTGATCTGTTCAAACCTTTCCTGTTCCTATTGCAAGTTGTTGAGTTTGCTGAGACAGGCGGAGCGGCAGAAGCAACCATCGGACTTGTCGATGCATTGTTGAACTGGGTCAAAAGCAATATGAGCACGCCTAGGCAAGCTTCTTCGGATACAGACAGTAACCTGCAGCTTGTGTTCGGTGCTCAATGTATGTACATAACATTATGCACAGCATTCTCATGCACAAAAGTCCTCTGCAGTTGATCGATCCGAATAATAGAAAAGCCCTCAGCGCTTAGCCCCGGGCAAACCTGATAAACCATGTGAGGTTTCGCAATCAGCGAACACAACGTCAAGGCAGCCGCGTACCTGCAACTGGTGGCGCATTCAAGGAAAATACTAAACTTTACCGGTAACTTTCCTAGATCTCGGTACACAGGACGTTTCAGCGATCAGCCATCGTAGCAGGAGGACCTGAGAAGGTTGGTAGCCGGGGCAACAATATCCCGCCCGCTTTTTTTCTCCACGATGTGCGGGCGGTTTGGCGGTGACAGATGCTTGACTCTAGTCGGCGCTACTATGACAGCTTGAGAACCGCAGAGAAGTCTGTGTGTCGTGTGTGGTAGCTACCTAGGTAGATATGGGACCTGCGCAAGTGTGCAGCATGCCAGACGCAAGTGGTAGTAGCGACGGACAGACAGGATGGAAGGAATGTTCCTGAAGCTTTCGGCTTTTTCGCCGAACATGGACTGCACAAGCTTCACACTCTAGTATCTTCTATTGTGATCGCGCCGTAGTCACGCCGGCCGCCAGTTCATACCACATCACCTTCTAGCGACGTGAACGCAAGACGTCAAACATGAGACGGGAAGGATGACTGCGACGTCATGATCTCCTTCCCCTGGAATCGTTATCACGGCAGCGGCAAGAAATCATGCGAAACGAGATTACGAGCATGGACCTTGCTGCGAAGTCCAGAGAATGGACTGGGGTTGACCGTGCATTTTGACCTTTTCCTGCATGCGCCCATGTATGAGTGTACTATCTATGTAGGTACAGATTGGACTTTGTTTGTTTCGGTATATTGCGTTTGCAAGGGCTCCAGGCAAGATTGTTGAGTGTTCGGGCATGGAGAGATGGTTTGGTGTTAGTGGCATTCTGTTGAAGCAAGGGATCATCAGGAGAGGAATATTTTGTAGAGGCATCGATTGATTGCGCGTTAGCGAAGAGCGAAACTACGACGAGGGACACGCGTCACCCACGACCACGAGTATCAACAAAAATAATGCAGCTGCCGAAGATCGTATGAATCCCGGGTGCTGTTGCTAAGGATAGCAAAAGGATAGAAAAGAGTGGCGAACAGACGAAACACGGTCAAGACAGCGATGCGCAGGCAAACTGTTGCCAACAATATCCTGAGGGCTGCATAGGGCCACCTGTACCGGGCAACGATCTACATCTGTTATGGGCAGGCTTGAGCCGATCGAATGGTGACGGACCTGCCCCTGGCACTATGAGTGCTAGTGACATGGCCGGTGGGCGGGAGGCGTTTGCTGGCGTTGCGATAAGGTGCGCACAAGCGAGTTGCAGTGGAGAGACGTTGCGTGGCACCGCGAAAAGGCCTCCTCAGCAGTCAAACTCTTCATTGCTGCTTGCGTGTTTGAGCTGAATGTTGCTTGTGGCTGGGGCTGTAACCCTTAGGTGGCGGGCCACACGTCGACGTTCGCTATCGTCCAATCCCGAGCATCACGCACGCAATCAAAACGAAGCAATTCGGCGGGATTCACCAGCACGACAGCCTCTCCAACAGGGGACTAGCCCCGCCCAACGGTTCGAGTGGGCTAACTGGGAAGAAAGCGACTGAAATTCTTGGAACGATGCTTGTACATGTGCCAATCGAGGATGGGGATTGCGTCTGTGCGCCGGGACTGGGTTGTTCTACTCTTGTCGAAACACACGGGCGCAAAGCCTCGCCAATTACTCCCTTTCCACGTACACTTATGCACGGGGCACCATTGGGTAAGAGTGGGTCCCCCACCGCATTGCGACACAACAGCCGCAAGTCTTGCGTGAGTGTCGCCCTGCTGTCCCAGGCGAATAAATAGATCACTTGCGACCTCCCTCCTGTATCCTCATCCACTCCCACGCACAAACAGATTCACCCGCTCAACTCTACCAATCTACGAGTCGATCATCCAGTCGCTATCTTCAAGTCAAGTACTCTTTAGCAACTCTTAATACCCCAAACCCTCACCACCAAACACATCATCAACATGCGTTTCACTATCGCCTCCGTTGCCATCATGGCTGGTGCTGTCGCCGCTGTTCCTCAGTACAGCGTCCAGCCCATCTCCCAGATCTCCGACGGTCAGATCCAGGCTCCTCCTGCCACCAGCGCTGTCGGTTCCGCTGTCCCTCTCCCATCGCCTACCGACGTCTCCGTCCCCGCTGGTGTCACCACTGCCCTCTCCTCCGCTGTTGGCGACATCACATCTACTGGTAAGTCATCTTCTCACTCTGTTGTATACCAGCATGAAACTAACAACACCACAGTCGCCGCTACTGAGTCCGTCACCTCTGTCGTTGTTGTCCCCACTGCTACCCCCATTGCTCCCAGCGGCTCCCTGGTCACCCCCATCGTTGGCGGAAACTCCACTGCCTCTGCCACTGGCTCCGCTGCCGTCTCTGCGTCAACCTCCTCATCTGAGGAGTCCGCCACCTCTGGTGCCGGCAGCAGCTCCACCGAGAGCCCTTCCGCCCCCGAGTCCACTGGTGCCGCCGCCGGCAACATGGTCTCCTTCGGTGGCCTCGTCTTCGCCATCGGTGCCGCTGTCTTCGCATAAGCGCATCGTCTTCTCCATCACCACCAACTCTTTTTTCTCTTCTTCACGATATACCAACAACTCAGTCACGATTGGGTTGCATGTTTGTTTTAAAAAGCAACACGGAGTAACACAGCATTAATGGTGGGGTCTTTAATTTGGGGACTTCAAATGGCGCGAATTGGATGGGGTATGAATGAGATCGGATTCATGTATCCTGCTAATGCGACAATGTTCCACGGGGCTGCATACACATGGTTTGGCATGTATAGATAGTTAATTCAAATAAGATATTGGCCGCTGAGAAGCGCCATGAAACATTCTTCTTTTGTGTTTGTGAAATACTCTGGACGTTGAGACCTTTGCCTGATATGTCGCTTGAAAGCGATACTTGGCTGCGGGTAATTGACACACGTGAAAGCTCGAAAGTGTGCAGTTCAACGCGGAAGCTGTGGTACCTGGAACAGACCACGCCAATGCATGCAAGATAATCATAAAACTGCCTTTGATCATGCACTAGCCCTATCCCCCATACTGACCTTTGTCACGCATCTGCAAGGCCCATCATTCATTTCTTCACGCAGCTCTATCATCCGCTTCCTACTGCTCCTCTTCTTCTTCCTGCACAGCGAAGTACGTCTCTTATCGTGCACGCAACACGAGAAAGACAGCGGGCGGCCCCGAACCAACGAGCTTGCGACGTTGCATTAGCTCGTCAACACTAAGGAAAAACGCTACTTGGGCAAGCCGCAAGCTTTAAAGCTAGAGAACGATATTTTAGCTCTTGGCCAATATTGGGCTAACCAGTGAACCACGGTGTGCGTCTCAACCAATTCCTTTGGCTCTGAGAACCTTGTAAGATGGAAGGAGAGGAAGTGGTGCGCACGTGCTAGGAATGAATAGTTGCATTTCAGGTTTTAGAATTTACTATCGTATGGTATTGATAAAGGCGTCGAAGAGACCCCACGCGTTCAATGTCTAGATGACCGTGGTGGGAGGTTGTATAATAACTTGTCCCAGCGAATGAACCCTATCAGGTGCGAGAGAGCGCATGAAAGGTGCAGTATGAGATTGTGCAGAGCAAGTCAAATAATATAAATCTTCCGGGTATCATTCTCCAAGAATACAAACGTTGACTATCTTGCTTCAATAACCTGCGTGAGCAGCTGTCCGAACGGATTCAGTCCCTCGTCCGCGGTGAAGATGCGCTTCGGTATCTCAAACTCAACTTCTGGCTCCTTTTTCAAATCGCGGTCTAGTTCGACATCAAGCAGCGCCGTGTATGAGTGGTCCAAAAAGTCCTCCAGATTGTATGCCCGCTTGGTAAACTGCTCCGAGATGATCTTCGCCAGTGTCGCCACGTTAGGGTGGTAATGCGATTGCAATGACTCTAGCTCCCAGACACTGCTTTCGATGGCGTTTGTGACGAGGGGATCTTGCTCTTCCATGTCGAACGGATCGTCCATGCCCTCCTCTTCCAGCTCCTCCTGCATAGCTGGATCCCGGATCTCGCGGTGCATCATGAAGGTGCAGGCTGGATGTTTCTTAAACATGTTGTATGCCCAGGGTACTACGACGACTACACCAGCCGGCGGTCCATGGAGTGCTAGCCGCGAAAGACGCTTGATGAAACTGGCGACGAGGTTCGCGGGCAGATGGGAGGAGGACATGAATGTGTCTAGTAGGCGGAAGAAACGTGACCGGTGTTTGGAGTGGAGAAGGCCTTCGTCTAGAAGGGAATACAGCTTGAGGTAGAATGACGGGTAGTCCAGGTTCTTCTCTGAGATCAGGTAGTAGATTCCGGACAAAGCCAGTAGAGAGGTTGCGCCGCCCACGTTGTAAGAGTCGGTCAAGAAGTCTGATAAGATTTCAGGCTGTTGGAACCATGGTGCGATCTGGTGGGAGAAATTGTGCAGGATAGTTTTCCGTTGCTCCTTGGAGAGACCTGTGCGCATGGTCGCTAACCATGCTGCTTGCGCCTTCTCCTTGTATGCTTGAAGAGATGGTATCGGGCTCTTCCCTTGTACCTGTACGTAGAAGTTTTGGATGTCGGTCTTGGATTTGGGGACTTCGGTAAGCGTGTATAGGAGGGACAGGCTGTTCGCAGCTACGAGTTGGCGCGTTGTGATGTCGAGATCGCTGTCGAGGAGGTCCCTGATTGTGTTAGTAGATGCTTTGTAGTTCAGCGGGTGTAGGCACGTACTTGATGGTCTGGAATGTCTGGTATCGGATATCGTCAAACTGCTTCAGATACTTCTCCGCAAACTCCTCCCGGTTCAGATCATCCAGGGGAAGGCATAGCAATACCCGGATGAGTCTCGGCAGCGGTCCATTCTTGATCTTGTAGTCTTTCGATGACTTTGCCTCTTCTTTGACTAACCGCATAACCAGTGTCAGGGCCACAGACTGCTTCGGGGGGTGTTCGCTGCGGAGGAAGTCGTCTATCAGAACGTCGCAGAGCTCTCGGTAGCGCTCCTTCAACCAAGAAACAATGACGCCCTCTGCCTCGCTCATGCCCTTGCTCTTCACCATGTCGCCTGTCACCAGTAGTCGTGAGAAGACTCGGCAGAGGGCGACTGCGGCGAGTATTGGGCCTTCATCCTCCGCGTCTGCTTGCTTCGCTCGCTGCAGAAGAGTTGCAATATTGTTGTAGTGCTTCCGCGATTCGAGGATTTGTTTTTCGAGTTGTACAATTTCGGTCTGGATATCCTCGCCGTCGTCGCTGGGTGATTTGCGCCTGCTCTTGGATTTGGATTCGCCGCGCTCTGGTTTGCTTGGATCCCTCTTCCTCTTCACACCAGACATGCTGGCAGACTTTGCACCCGACATGTTTTTCTCAGACTCGTCTCTTGGCGTGGTGTTGAATTGCTGGCGAGCGCAAAAAAGTTGGCGATGTCGAAAAGTCAAGGCCGGGCGAAGTTCGGCTAGCGCGCATCGGCGTCGGCGCTTGGCTCAAGATTGGACGCAGCATCACGAAAAGCTAGCTTTCGACGACGACAAAGCACCCCAACTCCCCACTCTCATCAGACAGCCATGGCCTCACGTCTTGCAAGGAGCGCCGTCGGTGAGTAGCAGCTTTCCGATGAATATCAAATGCCATTGACCCCTGTGCTCACCCACAATAGGCGCCGCCCGTCTCCGCCCATCGCTCCCTCTCCGCGCCCTGCCCTCCATCGCCGTCCAGGCCCGCTACCAGTCCAACCTGCCCCAGGAGGACCCCAAGAAGAAGGCCCAGTCCGTCCTCGACGCGATACCCGTCCCCGGCAACAGCCCCCTCACCAAGGCCGCCGTTCTCTCCGCCGGAGCCGGTCTCAGTGTCGCCGCTATTAGCAACGAGCTCTACGTCGTCAACGAGGAGTCCATTGTCGCCCTCTCGCTCCTGACCATCTTCTGGGCTGTTGCCAAGTACGCTGGACCTGCGTGGGGAGATTATGCGCAACAGCAGGTGGACAAGATCTCCGGCATCTTGAACGCTGCCCGCCAGGACCACACCACCGCTGTCAAGCAGCGCATTGAGAGCGTCCAGGACCTTGGCGGTGTCATTGACATCACCAAGACCCTGTTCGAGGTTTCCAAGGTGCGACACTACGATTCAGGACATGCAAGGGCAGTAGACTGATGAAATCACAGGAGACCGCTCAGCTTGAGGCTCAGGCTTTCGAGCTCGAGCAGAAGACAGCCATCGCTGCCGAGGCCAAGTCTGTCCTCGACTCGTGGGTCCGCTACGAGGGCCAGGTCAAGCAGAGGCAACAGAAGGAGCTTGCCGAGGCTATCATCGCTAAGATTGAGAAGGAGCTCGACAACCCCAAGACCCTCAAGCAGATCCTTGACCAGAGCGTCACTGACATTGAGAGTATGTTGCATTATACTCGGAATGCATGACATGAGCTAACAAACATTAGGGATCGTTTCCCAGAAGGCATAAGCGTCCTATAGCATCCACCAGTCAAGTCATCCAATGTTATATAAACCTGTGCAATAGTCAAGCTCGTTCAATATAGAGTTACCCAGGCTTGGGAAAAGGCCGAAATTGATTTCGTTCTGTCTCCTGAATACATGCGTTTTGTCTGCTACCCCTCCCTGATCAGCGCTTCAGCTAGGCGAAGATGGTGGGTATCTGGTAAACTCTCATTCTAGGTTATTTACCGTATGGTCTGAAGCGGCGGTGAAAGTGTGACTCGGCCTCCTCACATAACTAACCATGTCCCTCAACTCACGTCCAGCGCTCTCGTATACACCTAAGAGGGCCTGCGCTACTGAAGCCTGGAGTATAGAATTCAATCTGAAGACCCTGGGAACACTCGGACCCCCACTCTCATCATTCTTACACAATCTTAACCGCGAACGACGAAGCTCAACCAAGTCTGCCCTCAACCACTGTTCATAAAAGAGGTGATCAATGCAGATGATGACTACAACGGCCAACAAACTATCCAGTCGCCCCTAAGTACTATATCTCGAGAACGGAATGGTCTCAGTCGAAGAGACACCCCTGTCCCTAAAGAAGCAGTAAGTCCTACATTAGCATGTAGTCTCCTGGATGTTAGCCACTAATACTCTCACCATTGGCACGACGCACAACAGTACCACCCGTCTCCTACGACTCCCAGCCGAAATTCGTACCAAGATCTACGCCCTCGTTCTCGGCAACATGATCATTTGACCCAATTGCTAAGCTTCTTGTCGAAACCTGATTCTCTTCTTCCTATTTGTCTCGATTATCTCGTGCTCTAACCGAGCTGTTCGGGCAAAACATCATTTAATCCAAGCGAATCTAAGCCTGGGGTAAGATTTTCTAGCCCCCACTGACCTAGGATCACGAGCATTGACCTGGTGGCGTCAGGACGCTCCCCAGAGAGTACCGTGAGTAGGAGCATTAGCCATCTGCCAAACATATTCATATGGCGGTGAAACGGCTAGTATCTGCCTCAAAACTGTTTCTGGCCAATACTTCAGGATGCAGAGTGTAGATCTTTCCAGAATAGTTCACAGTTTCTTGGTCCACGTGATGAGCAGCGTTATCTTCGCTCGATCAGTGTTCTAGAGCTTCAATGTTGCGCTCACGTTGGAACAAACAGGTTGCTCAAGGATCGATATAGAGCAGAGCTTACCACGATGTGCTTCGAATTGGGATCCTGCTTACCCTTCGGGGGAGTACTACCACACTGGCTAGAGACATGTCAGCGCCCATTTGCGTCCGGTTCGCTGTTTGATTGCGTCTAGGCACCAATGCCGGATACCAATGTGCCGCCTGCCGGGGTGGCTGGTGCTGGGCGGCCTCCCAGCTCAACGCGAACGAGAGCTCGGCTCAGCTTCCAACGACCCGTTCGCGACACGCTACAGTCTTTCTTCTCCATGCTTCAGAATCACAAGCTTCAGCTCGCGCATGCTCGATCTGAGTTACTAGAGTCTTCATACCCTAAAAGCCTACGCGCGGAAGCGATCATGTGAGTCTGTATTCAGGTTATACTGTCAGTGTTTCGTAGCTTAGCAAGACCACCTACCAATACTTCACTCGAGAAAGCAGCTTATACATCCACAGACTAGCCACAGATTAACATACCCCTTCCTTCGCCAGCCCAATCATCGAAAGCGCGAATACCTAGCTCGCTTCAGTCCGTCCAACCACGCCTCTTCCTACTGGGAGGGGACTGCTTGCTCTCGATATACCAACAAGCGAACTTTCCACCAATTGCACCCATGTGGACCAGCACTCGTCTCAGGCTTGCCAGCCTACCTCCCTGTACCGTCAGGGCGGTCGAAACGATCATATAAACATCCACTGTTGCTCGAGAAGGAGCCGAGAGATATATGCGAACCCATTCATCATACCCTCCAAGGGCCCATGCGTTACAACAAAGTAGCCGACATGCTCTTCCAAAGTCGTCGCTGCAGGCTTTCGGTTGCGCGTTGCCTCAGACTACCTAGGTAGGACAGGAAGGTTGCGAGACCTCACAACTTGGAGGTATGTAGGCAAAGATTATAAGGGAAACCAACCTGACACTTTCTGATTACAAACGCGGTTTCCATCCAACAACAACATTTGTAGAGGGGTTGCTTCATTCTTGGCTGTTGGAGCGACCGCGCGCCTCCCGCATATCCTGCGCTTATGGTTGACACTACCGACTACAAACGTACCAATTGTAGCAGCATGCCACCCTCCCATTCATTTTGCCTGCATCCCGCTTTACAGCGCCCACTCGCCGACTGCTTGCCTACTACAGCCGGTGGGGAATGCTTATTCCAACCGCATACTGAATGGATATAACTGTATCCATTGCGACGTCGAGATGAAAGCGAGCATATGGGCGGATAAACAATGTTGTGCCATATTTGGTGTGGAATGAATGTTGCTTGCAATTCTGAGTAGCAGGAAAGGGTGTAAAAATTGAACCGAGTGCATCTAATTGCTGCCTCTTACGATTTCTTTCTAATAGCTTCCGATCTTGGTTCATAGTCAGCATGCAATTCGCAGCTTCGGCTATTTTCGATATTTCTTCCTGAAGACGTATCAAATATCACAGAGAAACCTGTGCTACAACCAAACTCTCAAATACTGTGATGTTAGGAAGCTTGGTCGGCTACGGAGTCTGGCATAGTCCTTGGTCTTGAGCAGCTGGTGGATGGATTGCACGCGCTCTACGGTGACTATGAGGTATCCACAATTAGACAATATATCAGCAAAATACTGGGCAATCGGCGAGAGACCTCGTCGTCGTGTATATCATTGTTAGCGCCTTCACTCTGATCAACGGGGTTGCATCATGCGTCATGTTGTCAGACTGCGTATCCTTTACATGGATTCCATTTACCATCGCTGTCACTACAAGTAGCAACCAGCCGTCAAACTTCACAGCAAATGAAACGCCTGAATGATCGGATCTGCAGGGGTTGGATGTTGATAGGTTCACCGTCGCGCGCGGATGTTGCTTACGGCGCCGTGGTCCTCCATTCTTCGGTAGCCCAAGGCCAATGCACCCTCATCTCCCATCGGTGCGCTCTGAACATTCAGACCTCTCGAACCCTCTAGAAACATGATCTCCTCTGCTATCTCTTTACTTTTCCGGATGACCGTTCGGATTTCAACCACTGATTTTGGTCGCTTTCGCGCAACAACACAGATATTGCAGCTTCTGTACTAGCGATAGATGCTCTCAGAGTGCCCCAAACGACCCAAACACACCAGAGAGAATGCACGTCTCATTAGGCATACAAGCTTGCTCCTCGTCGAGACGTTGAGAGCTCTTCAGCTGCCCATCAGGGAACGGGAACAGTGTATTTGTACTACCTCCCTTTCACGTTGCCTGCTCCTCCGACTACCAAGAGCTAACGCGTCTCCTTAGCATTGATCCAGATTTCGATAAACGTCCATCCATCCGGAACCTAGTAGCACGTACTCTAGCCAACGTTAAGCGACTTTCTACGTAACGCGAATCCACCTGCCTTTTCCGATACATCCCGAAGTCAATTCAAGGAGGCACTACATATACACAAGGTGCGAGTGGTCTTATATCTGGGACGCAAAACTATCTCTAGCTCGATCGCTGAGAGGGATGTGTAACCACGGGTGGGATACTGTTGCGGAGCAAAGCTGCATCTCTAGATGGGATCCCCTGATTGACTAGACTCGATAAAGGCGCGATACTATGATGCTCAGGCTATCTGGGCAAGGCTTTTGAGGTTCCTGGAAGCTGTCTCGAGCTGTGGCATGGTGCACTGTTGGTGGTAAGTACAGCAATGCTAGAAGGCAACAACAATGCGCTACGTATATGGACGCGTCAAATTCTCGTAAGATCCGACCTACGTATCGTGTTTTTATGTTTTGATGAACTCTAAAAGCGAAGTGGTGGGATGAGAGTCGGACAATATGTATGTGCTTGTTGCACAGGCCGTATATCCTATGCTTCCTCAAAAACAATTCACTGCTGCTTCACTCATGCGCTGTTTTGGAGAGTCCTTGCTCTGATTATTGGAACGGAACTTGGATGAAAATGCAAGTAGCTATTGACGTTCCCGTATCTTGTCGAGTTCACGCGACGAGAGACACAGTTCTTACACCATCTCGTTCAAGTGGTCTGCTTCCTCTTACTGATCACCTTCAAAGTCGAGTAGGCTATGTATAGAGCCTGGGGCTGGAAGTGAGGGTTTCGGGGCTAGGGAGTGACGCATCGTGAGGTTACTGGGGTGCGCGATGCCATCGACTGGCTCGCTCAACGCGTTCCGTGACTCGTTGATTGAGGCTCATTGCTGGCGTTTTGATCTCTGTTGCCTGATCCGGCGCTCTCACCGTCTCCGTCCGTAGGCGGGGGAGTGTGGCCTGTCCGTTTCGGGGTTGTAGACTTAGAGGAGGCGCGTAGCTCTATACTTGAGTTAGCCTGCTAAGAGCTTCCAGTCAATGTCGCGGCGTATCAGACCATGCATTTTTAGGCCTTCCTCTGTGATGAGTCGGATGGGAGGACGAGGCATAGTGAATAACGCCGTGGACAAGATGTATTTCGACGCTGGGCGGATGTGGCTTGGGAAAGACTTAAGTCGGTTTATGGGAGTACTCTGTAGAAGATAGTAGTATCAAAATAGCATGTAAATGACAATTTTGAAGTTGGGGAATTTCCTAAGCGATTGATTGTGGCTTAGGGGGAAGAGGATACACGACCGAAACAGCAGCCAGCCTCACGTGCGTGATCCGGTCTTCCGTACTTATCAGTCATCTTTGTGAAAGCGACTCAAGCATATCCTTAGAGCGAGTTCTCTACGCGCGCCCCTATCTTATTATTAGTAGTAAATCTTGTTTAATGAACCCGAGATGGAACTCAGAAGACTCTTCATAGTCATGTACTGACAAAATAAACGAGTTGTGGCTACCGGCTTAGTAGGTTGATGGATTTTGGTCTAGCTGCTGCTGCTGTCGTTTCCTTTGGATGTGAACTATTTCCGAGTTACATCGAATAGGCATGCCTAAAAAGAGACACGCAGTACCGATGCATAAGCGCTTGGGTGAGCGATCACCGTCAACATGTATGCCTCGAGACTTCGATTATAGACGTTCCGGATGAAGCACTAGACATGTGACTTGAAACGCACTGTTCCGATTCGGTCCTAGTGTATCATTGGCGGTGAGAGGGTACAGGCTTCCATTTCCAGGGGATTAGACGACACTACCATTCCAACACCACAACACATCGCTTATTGAGTGACCTGCCAGTCGTTTGTGATAGTTACGAAAACCACCATCGCCTGAAAATATCTACAGTACTGTCAGTAAGTGTTGCTTCAGAAAGAGGAGTCATGCTGTCTTACGCTGTCACAAGTATGAATAGAGGCATAGACCGCGGACCCATGAGTTGTGCTGACGCGGTGAGAAGTAGACAGAACAACGGCATAATAATCATTCGGGATGTTTGCTCCTGGACAACTGTGAAAGTGGCGATCGGTGCGATTAGAATCAGAATGGCCAAGACATAAACTGAGGCATTCGCGACGGCTGAAACGATCTTCTCATGGACAAACTCAACATCGGTCCCAGCGGCCATCGGCTCCCTTCGATGCATAGGCAATATATGCAACAGAACTTTCGAAGGTCGAACAATATACTTGATCACCCGGTCCATAAGGAATTCCCGGATAAACTGCGCCATCGGCTCAAGATCATCGCTTTCGACCGTGGCCAAGTCGTTTGGTATAGGTTGACCTATATCTCCGTATAGTGAAGCCATCTCCCCGTTTGCAGCGCGTCCATCACCGCCGTTGTAGGTGCGATACAGGTGCATATTGGCTTTCGAAGGTAGTGGCGCCATGCTCATCTTCTGGAAACCCTCAATGACTCGACCTTTCACAATGGTTAGCTACGGCTTGTGCATTCGTATGGTGGGGATTACATGCAGTGGAGCAGCAGGCTATCGACTAAGGCATCCATTGCTCTTGTATGTGCAGACTCCTCTGGATAAATGTCCTCTTGGACAACATCGTTGGATGACACATCTTGCCAAAGGGACGCATCAGCAGCTCGCATGTATCGATGGACTTTGCTCTCGATATATGCTATAGCACGTGCCCACTCCTTACTGAACCTTTCGTGTATACAAGCCTGCCGATATTGCGCTATGATCTCGAAGAGTTCGCCGCGCTCGCGCAAAGCCGCAATACATTCCTTCGTGGATGGCGCACCACAGGGGAGACGTGAGTTAGGTTCGGTAGCCATTACAAGAAGCGAGAGTCTCCTAGAACGATGCAAGGCGTCCAAAAAAGAAGACGAGGAAGAAAGTCGTCGTGGAGAATTGCGTGCGCCATGAGGGAAGGTCCAGAGTATATAAGTATGGTATGAAGACAGGGACGTCGTCAACGAATAGAAAGACGGACCACAGCGAGATCTTTGGACCTGCCGTCACCCCTGTTTTCGTAAGAGCCTCAATATGAGCTGTCAGACAAACATGCAGCACCAGAATGCCGCGACAAGACGCAGGATATGCACAAGCAAGGCTGATGGGTAGAGTCATAGCTACCGCACCTAGTCTTCTATTACACCGCTTGAGGCCATCTCTGGGACCACATCAATCGGACACACACGAGTGCTCACCGGAAATGAGACTTCAGACACCGTGATAGGCTTGACGGTAAGCTCAGGGAAAGACAAGGCCGCACATAAAGAGAGATAGCCACATTCGACGTCCACGATCAGTCAAAAGCCATAGGAAGCGCAGTTTTTCGCGGCCTTGGGGGGCTATGCCGATGCGTAAAAAGAGACGACCGGGGTTGTGAGATGGTGTGCGGACATGCATGCTGTGAGAACATCCTCTGGAAGCTGACCGTCACACGCTACGATCGCTGGCTCGACCCGTGCCGATAACTCCGCGCGAAACGCATTGCGCTCTCAAGAGATGGCTCAAGAGATGGCCAAAGAGTTGGAGTTCATGGTTGTAAAGAAGCAGTGCTGGAGCTCTTGAGTTTAGTGCTCCTGCTAAGTAACAAGCGAACTTTGGTACCGAAGGCCGCCAAACTTCGACGACCCCGCCGTAACAAATCGTCCTAAGATCTATGCTCTCGAGCCATGTACTTACTCACTGCATTCCCGGACCGATACTGCATTGGAGTCAGCTCACCGAGAGTGCGCAGGTTACATTCAGGCAACGATTGCACTTTCTTCCTTTGTCGCTGCGCAAAGACGTCTTCTGACAGCGAGAAGACAGCCCGTGTTCGCTCACAACTCCAGTGTGCCGCTGACGCGCTCTCGCGCTATCAGATGACTCTGCCTTACAGCAGCACATGCTGTGCGACAATGGAGTCAAACGGATCAAGGTTGACTGCACACATTGGAACAGTGCGCCCATGGCGATGTCTTCTTACGAGACGATCTCTACGACAACTGTACTGATACAATCCCTGCGTCTAGCTATTTGCGATCATAGTCTGACCACCATCCTGTCGGTATTGACAATACGCGCCCATTCCTGCAGCTCGAACGGATCCTTCGACCTCGACGGACAGCGAAGACAACCACTACACAACCAGGAGCCAAATGATATCTTTTGACGACCCTCCTCAGCTGGCTACCCATGCATCTTGGGCCTTCGTTGTTGTTCCAGTAGTATTGGTCGTTCTGGGAGTCTACACCGCCTCTATGCTGAAGCCGTCAGCCTTGTCGTTGTCGATCCGCTCGCGAAGTGATGATGGATTGCTCCCTCGCTCAACAATACAGATACTTGTGTTGCTACCGTGGCTATTTGCATCATGTCCAAGCGATCAGAAAAGCTCAAACTGCCTCCCATAGTCTAACGAAGATCATCCGTGGCGCCACTTGCGTGGTCAAATCCTCACCGCCAGACCTTTGTTATCCTTGGGTTTGTATGGGCGTTGACCTTATCTTCTCGGTCAGAGTTGAAGAGTCGAAAACAGAACAGTGACTGGACTCTGATTGCGAATCATGATGTACTTGGAGGGACAGCCGAATTATAGCACCTCACCAATTGAATGACCGTGATCTATCTATTCATGGTGGTATCACAGAACGGCGGTGGCGCAACATTGATGCAAGCATGTATTCTGCACTCAATTAGGATGAGACGGTGTCGATGTGACCCGCATATTTAATTCATTGAGTCGCGACTTTACACACCCAATAAATCGTTTTTAAGTGCCTTCATCGCACTTCGCTACCAAACTAACCTTTGCACTCTCTGAGCCCGCTGTGTCCTCACCCTCGCCGGAGCCCTGATATTCTTTTTCGCAGTCTTCCACTTCTTCTCAACATCTGCATAGCGATCCTCACCTTTCCAATTTCCCACAACCCTGTCCACCGTGCTAATTCGCGCATCCAGATGCTCCAAGCCAGGTGTTAGCTCAAGCACCTCCTTATAGTGCTCCGGATCCCAGGCCAACATGTCGGGTGTGTAGTCGATGGGACCGGAGTGGTCTTCACCTCCCATGTCAGATATCGTCAAGCTCTTCAAACTTCCGTGGAGGCTCTGCAGTATGACGCACAAATAGTATGTTAAGATGTCGATGCTTTTTACACCAAAGTCGAGAGTGTGAAGAGATTTGATTGAGGCTAGGAAACCTGCTAGAACGGGAAGGCTATCGTTCTGAGAGTATGGATCCCATGTCCCATTGCGATGTGGGCGATATGGTGACCAGTGGGTCCGTAAGTTGATGTGGAATCTGAGGTATTTAAGATTGATAGCGCGGTTGGTGAGGGAAGCGATGAATTCGTGTGACGCGCCCTTGGGGAGGTCCAGGCGTTGTAGGCGTTCCCAAGACGTTGCACGCGCCCAAAGGTTGCAGTTTTCCGCTGTCAATGCAAACTCGTCATGTCTCAAGGCCAACTCCAAGAGCGCGGGAAATCGATCGCCAAGCTGAAAGTCGAAGTTGAACACACTGTATGTGACGCTTTCCCAGTCTTCGAACTGCGCACGTTGGAGGACTCCGTCAACGTCGAGCGTAGAGATACGCAGAACTTGAAGGCTAGCTGGCAGAATGTTCTTGATCAAGGACAGTTCACTCAGGGAGTGTCCTGTATGCTCGGGTATGGTTGAGTAAATTTCCGTATCAAGAGTGTACAGCTGAGGAGAAGAAAGCAGACTGCGGCTAAGGGGTTGGAATGTGCGGTTTCGCAGTATGAAGTGCAAATGCGCTAAAGGGTACAGTTCGTGAAATAAGTCGAGCATGGCTGGCGGAGGCGCGCAGTTCGCACTCCAAGTAAGGTCCTGTAAGTTTTTGACGCTCCTTAGGATATCCTCTAGCACGGGCGATATTTCGAGTTCAAACTTGTCTTCATCCTTGAATGGGCCTATCTTAAGATGCCTGACATACTCTCTAGTAGCCTCATCTCTATCTTTGAGCCTTTCTAGCATCTTTGATGATAGACTCGGCCCAAGAAGGGTGCGATCATGGATCGTAAAGTCGCGAAAGAACAAGTATTGAGACTCATTGCGACATGCTTTCGAAACGAGGCGAAAGTTTAAGAAGGCTTCCCGATCAGTTTCGTAAATCTAACAGATGTGATCAGAGGACGGGAATGTCGTGTAGCAATTAATCAGGTACGCACGTCTTCCATGACGATAAGAAGGATCACCAACGGCACACGGAGTAGGTGGGAACCGGGCTTTGCAGTCATCTTGCTTGGTGGTCGCTTCATACGGCGAAGAGGGGACATCTTAGCGTGGAGAAAGTGAGGATAGAAGTTACGGACAACGAAGAAGAGTGAGGGCCTTTACCCCAGACTGCTGCCTGGCTTTCTTTCGCGTTGGTGATGGATATATGAGGCTATTATAACAAAGAGGGCGCAGCAGCGTATTTATCCGTTCCTGTACGCAAAACAACTCCTACTGGCCCCTTTGAGCCCGTTGAGGTTAGACTGCACATCGCGAGGCTGAGCGAGTTACATGCCGCAGTTGCCTCACACCCGCAGCTCCTTTGCATGCGCTCGCGTTCGGGACATGCAGTCGAGCATTAGTGACATGTCTGGTCTGGCTAGAATATCGCTTATTGCTCACACTCTACTGAAGATAATCGAAGAAAGTGCTTGTTTTAATGCTGTTGTAGTGAGGTCGGTTGAAGAGTGGAAAGGCCAGGGTGCAGCCCCGCGCTTCAAACACCACACATGAATGATGATTGGGCGGCGTCGTTAGCACTCTTCCTCCAAGGTTGACTACAGTCTATCTCAGCGTGAAGAGTGGTAGTGCAAGCATTGACTAGTACTGCTATGCAGCCTATTGTTGCCTACTAAAAGTTGTTAGCGCAATGTTAACCACCCTTGCTTCTACTTGAGTTTGCCCACCGCCATCACTGTGAACTCGCCTTCGATCCAGCTCACTACTGATCTCGATTCAGCATAAAAAAACATTAGTAGCTGGCAAGTGGAAATGGCTGAACCTTTGCTGGAGGATGCACCCGTTCACTTCCCGTCGAACGGTATGGTGTCCATGGAACATTTGTCTGCACATCTCCTACCCATGTACGTTTCAAGACAGAATCAAGCGACATTCCATTAAACTAACATCTTTCAGTATTCAGCACAACTCCCAAAGTCGTCATCTCCCACTACGTACAGAAATCCGGCACAAGATTTTTCAACTCGTCCTTGGCTCATTCAATGTCAGACCCTGCTGGGCATATATCAACAATGAAGCAAACAAATGATATGAACTGGTAGATCTGAAGTGTCTACCTCAATTATGTCGCTAGATATATGCCGAAACAAGTCTCATGGAGTTGGCCTATAACGACTCTGTTCTCGATAAAGTCGAGTTGTTGCAGATGAAGACTACACAGCGTTCCACAAAGATGGGTCGCGCATTGAGGCCGGGTCAATGCGGCGCTATTGTCTCGATAACAGTTTGCATCCATGACATGACGTACTTGTACGAAATGACTGAGGCTTATGACCATAGTTCTCGTTTTTCCCCTGGGGGGAAGCGGGCGCTTGATAGACTTATTCTCCACCCTGCAGCAAGTGGAAATGGCTTGATATTGTTTTCGCATAGCCTGTTCAGAGGGTCTTGCTGAGAAAGTTGTTTTTTGTCTCGAGAAGTGTACGCTAGGGTAAAAAAGGGAAACTCGAAGCCGAGAGTATCGACTGCTTGTCACTACAGTTCTTGAAAGTGTAGTCGAGCTGGTTGACATTAAGTAATGTCCCCCAGGCCTGTACGTGCTGAGCGGTACACGGCGTTGACTAGATTGGTCGATGGCCTAAATCGCATCCATCTGGGTAGATGACACGACAATCTGGATCTCAAAACTGAGTCCAATCAATAGGCACGTTTCTCATATGTCACATACCCCTGACATGCCCATTCACAGCCGGACAACAGCTTGGCACAGTGAGTCATCCCAATACAAGTGGCGGTGTATATGAATAAATGCTAGATTGAGGGGTATGTAACACCATGACTCGCATGCTCCAACATCAACAGCAGAAGCAACACCATACAGTAACGTGCACATACCAGATACACTCCCCATACATGCATACATACAAGAAAAACGATGACACACATGAAAAGCGACCACCGCATACTGATGCCTACAAGACATAAAAAGACCACAGAGTGTGAAGATGTCGAATCAGGTCGACGATAGCCATTTTGAAAAGCTCCAGATAATGCATACTTGCGCTATTATGCTGAACGAATGATTGTCGTTTCGAAAAATGTAAAGGTGATTGTTTTGGTCTTTGGGTATACGGGAAAAGGGGGTTCGTCGTGAGGAAGGTCGTAACAAGAGGGAGGGTATCGATGGAAAAGAAGTAGTTGAGTTGAACAGGAAGACGGCTATGGCCACCAGTTCATCCTCTTGTAACTTTCAATGACCTCCTCGACCTTTTCTCTTGTGATCTTCTCTATGTTGTATCTGTCATTGTATTAGCATATTGTCACCTCTAATACATTCTGTGTTGAAGAGAATGACTTACTTGAATCCCGTCTCCTTCTCGAACAAACTTCCATCCATACTCAGATCTGCATCTTTCAGCAGCTCCTTCTCCATGTATGGTGTCAGCGGTGTCGATGAGCTGATGCCGGCTTTTTGCTGCAGTTCTGCCCATGGGTCTAGAGTCTCGTCGTTTACTTCATCGACGACATGATCAAGGTTCAGTCGTGCAAAAGCCGAGATGAGTGTGCCGTGGAAGCCGGTTTCGATGTTGAAGATCTCGCCCATGAGCTGAGCTGTTTGTTTTTGAGCTGTAACGCAATGTCAGTACTGCAGTAAATCGAATGCTGAAAAGTGGAAGGCCGTACAATGATTTGCATGATCCACGATGTTGAACGTGGGTGCCGGTCTGCGTCCTGGAGGGCCCTTCATATACCACTCCACACCATGCCATAGCGCCCTCGTAGAGTCCTCAACATGCACTAGATTCGTTCTTAGGTCTTCCTTCCACAAGAAACGCATCTCTTTTCCCTTGCTCTGGTATACCCTGGCCATGCAAAGCGCCGTGCTCAAGAATTTGCTCGTGTACGGCCCATAGACATGTGCCATCCTCATAACCATGAGGTTCAGTCCGTCGATCTTGGCCAAGTCTTCCTCAGCCTTGAGTTTCCACTTCGCCAGATTTGACCATGGCTTCGGCTTATCTGACTCTTTGCTGGGTGTGCTGTCGGATTTGTAGACCATGCCGGTACTGATTTCGACGAAGCATTTGACTTTGCGTTTCGCGGCCTCGCGTCCGATAGCCATGGATAGGCCGTAGGAGCGGAGTTCGTACACCTTTTCATCCTGGGCGAAGCGGGTCTCGCCGCCGCAGTTAAAGACATAGTCGAATTCTGCGCCGCCTTCACGATCGAATATTCGAGGCAGGGATTCTGTAGGGTTCGAGTTAGCCTCGAACGTCTCGTTGTAGACATCCGTTGCACCGAGAGATGCGGTCAGGGGTACGCACTTTCCTGCGCCGCATCCGCCTGTATGAATCGGTCTCTCGAGCACGCTTCTTTAAATTCGGGTGCGAGCCATGCTAGTTCTGGGAGGTGTTTATCGACGATGCGTATCTGCGATGCGAGCTTGTTGTCGTGAATGTACTTGGTGAGGTGTCGTCCGGTGTAGCCTAATCCACATGGTCAGCTCTCCTGTCATGCTTGGATGGTACTCAGCGTAAGCCTTACCCAAGCCTCCTATTATCAGCACCGAAGGCTTGGTCGCCTCTTCTGAAGCCATTTCTGGGGGTCGCGTATGTTCCTGATTTACGTTTGCTGTGCGCGCAACAATTAGTCGCTAGGAGATTTTGGATGGCGCAGTGGGCGGATGGTGTCTTGTAATGTCAAAGTCGGGGGTGGAGATTTGAGCGTTGCGGATCGCGCTCAGACCCTCGTTGCGATAATCCAACAGCGAAGGACAATATCACGGCTGCTGTAGGCGAGGCAATTCTCTGCGATCGTCTGCCCTGCTCGCGTTGGGAAGAAGATAACACGCGGCCCTCGCGATCGTGGGTGCTGGGCTGGAACAAGAGGGACTAATCGCGAAGAGGGATGCTCACAGTAGGATACCGCGGCACAACAACGATGTCATATAGCTCAGGCCCAATATGTACGACTCATTGACCTGCAGGAGAGGGGACAGGTCAGGCCGATATTCAAGTATGCACACCCAAGCCCGACGATAATTCTCTTCAGAGGAGAGCCACCTGCATCACTGAGGCCATTCGCATTGAGAAAAAAACAAAACATGCACGCCTATAACAGCCAGCCAGCCATGGCGAGGCACTTGTGGCTGATCATATGCACACCATAATGGTCCGCTCCGCAAGCAAGTCGACCGAGATTAGTGTGGGCATTGTTCTTCATGTAGCGAGACCCCGATGCATTGTATTGAAGGCGTCTTTCGCCACCACCATCTATGGATGCAGGTGTTATGCAGACACCATGTTTGTACTCTGTCGCATCACGCCAGCTTCAGAACATGACGTTTACTGTTCCTTTCTCCTGGAGATAGAGCGGTTGTCGCGGGAGATGTACAAGAAGCGGGCGGTGAACGACGGCGCGCTCCTCCCGCAGTGCTGGACCTTGTCTCAAGCATCAAAACTTGGTCGCATGACAGCCCAAGGTGGGGGTTTATTCAGGGGCAAGTGCAGTCCGTTGTTCGAACGAACAAATTTACCAGGCAATCCCTTGCTGACGTAGCAATCCATCTTTGGGCTTCCTCAGACGTCGTTGTATAATGTGTAAGCCACATTCGCGATCTATTGACGAGCGATTGCCGAATAAGAAGCAAACATATGCGGAGTGCTCATTCACCTTTCCCTTTAGGACTGCAATGCTGGGGTTGCTCTTCTAGCTTAACGTCTAGCCTGCATAAAACCCTCGCTTCATGACAACATCAAATGTTCTATGGAAGCAGGCATTGCGAAGGAATGTTCGCTTCGCGGCACTCTTCATATGCGTTCATTACTATGGACCCTGGCTCAAGTAAGAGCTCGTAGCCGGCCGAGTGCTCGTTGTTGTTGCGACCCTGCGCTGCCGCGTCTACTCTCCAGCCCAATGCCGTCGGCAGCTTAGACTTTACTCGTCAAGCTTCAGGACGGCGACGTAAACACCCAAAATGTGTACCTGCATCATGTCACACGGCTTCCGGGTGCCGAGATCTATCGGTGCCTCGTAGCACAGCATAGGCATCTAGAGACGCCCCGATCTGTACCTCCTAGCAATAAAGCAAAGCAGGTACATAACTCCTCCCACTGGCTGCGACGCACTCTTTTCGCCGCTATATACCACATCCCTTTCCTGCATGGTTGTGCGACGCAGCCGATGTGCAAGTTCTGCAGCCAGGTCTGACTCGGTGGTGGTGCATCTCCAGCCATGCATGCACAACCTTATGTCGAACAGCCGTTCATGCATAGCACGCTGACTAACGATGGTGATCGTCCCGCACTTGCATATGCATCAGTGATCAAAATCATTTGAGTATCTCTATTCGATATATTGTTAAAGACGAAAGGCTAGATCTGAGAGCTACTATGAATATCTCGACGCTATGTGGTGACTCCTTAAGCATAATAAGATCAGAAAGACACTTCGCATGCTCGCCCGATTGTGCCACCTATCCGTTTGTACACAGAAGTAGTACTAAATCTCATCATGCTTTTTTGCTAAATACCGCCCATTCAGTCTTACCCTGGAATGCTGTGCGCACCCGATGCAAATCTACGAACATGTCCGAAGACAGAAGACAACCACCCTGCATGCATGCTTTGTTCTAGAACTCCCAGGTTTCATCAACCGACTTGATGGCCCAGTCGAACTTCTCCCGAAGTGTCTTAGAGAAGAACTTCTCAATGGGGACGTCGAACTTCTTGGAGAAGACTACAGTGAGACGGGGATCGATGTAGTTCTGATTGTGGTTAGCCAAATGTCATGCCAGATGGATGTGGGTTGACTTACAATCTTAGATGTGCCTAGGGCAACTTCCTTGTTGCCCTCCTTGTCCTCCATCTGGATCTTCATGTTCTCGATGCGCTGATTGAGCTTATCGACGTTGGCCTCGAGCTTTTCAACAGTTGGGCCCTTGCCCTCGGCTTCAACCTTGCCAGTCTTGTTCTCCTTCTTGTACTTAGCAGCTAGCTCGTTGACCTTGTCCATGCGCTCTTCAAGCTCCTTAGGCTTCATCTCCTTCTCGCCTTCGGCCTTGAGCTTCTCATTGTCCTTTTCGAACTTCTTGGTGATCTTTTGGCGCATCTCTTCGACCTCCGCGTCCTGGTGCTGCTTGACCCATTCGTCGTCGAGATCTTCAGGTCGCTCAAAGTACTCAGCGCCCTTCTTTTTCTTGATCTTGGGGTCTACATCGATCATCATCATTTTGGTCCTCCAAACTTGATAACGAAGACCATTAATCTAACAAACATTAGCATAGGTGAGTATCGGATTGGGTTATAACAACATACCTTCTCGTTCATCTTTTCAATGGAGGTGGCGTGACTTGCGGCGACAGTACGCTTGTGGTTACACAAGATGGCAACTTCGCGATTGGCGTCGTTGTAAGCCTTCACCTTCTCCTGAATCGTGCCAGTAGCCTTCATCTCCTTCAGTAAGCGAGCCATTGTGTAGGAGGCGTTGTAGGTACGGAAAACCTTTGCGGTAAGACCAGGCATGTAGCTTGTAAGATGCTTGTTGAGACCCGACGTGGTCAGTCGATCGAAGATGTCATCGCCTGTGGTCTTGGGCTCCTTCTTGAAAAGTTTCAGGTTCTTAAAGACTTGTGGATCGACCTTGACTTCGTCGTAGAATCGAATACTGTCTTTACCCAAGAAATCAAAAATGACAGTCTCTGGGGGCTTCAGGGTGATATGCTGAAACTTCAGCGAGCAGCAACCGACTGTATCAGCCTCATCTTCTCCCTTCTCGTTGCCAGCACGGAGGGCGAATTGATCGATGAGGTAGATGGCAGTAGCACGCTGACGGTCAGCCATCATCTTGGAATTAAGATCCTTTCGGTAGTCCTTCCGGATACGATCAATATGCTTCTTGAGTTCTCGCGCCTTCTCAAACTTCTTGAAATCGCTCTGACCCTTAATGTCGGAGTTGGCAGCAAGCATGACGTACTTGTAGGCACCGTTGATGTTTTCTTGCCACATAGCTAGCCATGTACCTTCGTGATCGTGCTTGATCTCCTTCCAACGATGACCCACGGGCGGCTCAGGGACCTTGGCCTTCTCGCCAATGTTGATCGTGATCTGCTCGGGCATAACGCGCTTCTTTACACGCCCAGTCTTGGGGTGCTCACCGCGACCACGGAAAAGGCCAGGAGGTTCAACACGGAAGTTGCCGACCTTCTGCTTGCGACCATCCCACATGCAGTACATGTACTCTGCCTCGGCGGCCTCCTTCTCGGCCTTGAGTGCCTTCTTCTCTGCTGCCGGGAGAGCCTTCTTCTTTGCGCGCTCCGCGTCGAACCATTCGAAGATGGGCTTGAAGTCGCACTTCTCGAACTTCTTGATCTTGACTGTGTTTCCGTCCTTATCCTTGCCGTGTCCAGTCTTGTCCAGGTAAGTAGTAAAATCTTCAAAGAAGTTTTTGTTGAAGGTTGGGTTCTCGACGTTGTGGGTAGAGTTCAGCATACTTCCGTAGAAGGTAGCCACCTCCTCAGCCTCTGGGTGCAGAGTGACAGGTACGCCGTCGTAGACCAATTTGACGTGCTTAGGGAGCGGCTCGTACTCCGGAGGAAAGACAACACCGGCGTGTTCCAATGTATCCCACTTCTTGGTACCATCACTCTTGCCTGGGTCTTCCCACCAGCGGTACTCGTCCTCCTCAGCCTCAGCCTCGTCATCTTGCTCTGTCTCCTCTTTCTTGACTTTGCCCTTGCCCTTCTTTGCAGGTGCGGCGGCGGCGGAAGCGGCAGGTTTCGCTTTAGTGACCTTCTTCGGGGCAGCCTTTTTCGCGAGCGGAGCATCAGAATCGGACTCCTCCTTCTTAACACCATTCGCCTTCTTCGCTGGCACCTTTTTCTTCGCAAGAGGAACGTCATCGTCGCTGTCACTCTCTACTTTCTGCTTGCGTTTTGGGGCGGCCTTCTCCTTGTTGCGCAAAGCCTGCGCCTCTTTTGCGGCGGCCTTTTCAATAGACTCCTTCTTCTTTGTGAGCTTCTTAGCAAGAGGCACGTCAGAGTCCGCAGACTCTCCGATCTGTTCGGCGCTTGCTTTCGGGAGAACCCTAGCCTTTAAGGGCACATCGCTGAGCTCTGAGTCGGAGTCATCCATGGGAGGTTTGGCTTGCTGTGAGGTCCGCCGCCGCTTACTCTACCGAGAGGTTAGCTCATCGCAATGCGCATAAGATACGTTCAGGGCGACCTACCAAAGGCTTATCGTCATCTTCTGAGCTACTGGCGTCCTTGTACGATTTGCCGTTGGTGACGCTACTGCGCGACTTGCGCTTTCCGTTGGTCTCAGGCGCATCCACATCCATTTTGTCATCGTCGTCAACCGGGCCCATACGGATTGAGATGCCGGGCTCGACGTGACCGTTGGAAGGGACTTCGGCGTCCATTTTCCTGTCTTCGGCTTTGGTGATCTGTTCGTTTGACTTGACTATGGGAGAATTATTGTTAGCCATCTTGAGTCTTCAGCACAGCTACAATGGAAGCGCCAGATTGAGCGGGAATCGGGTGGAGGCGAAGGTTGTTGGAGGTTGGGTGGTGAGAGCGTTGAATTTGACAAGGGCGATGGGCGCGTGAGAGGGAGATAGTCGTGGCGCGTGCAAATAGCGCAGGTTGCTGGACGCACTCACCTTGGTCTTTTCCTCTCACTAGGGGAGTGTCGTCGTCTGAGGAAGACATGATGCGAAAGACAGGCACGCGCTGAGATTGTGGATAATAAAAACAGGACGGGTGTGCTCAGCGAAGTCTGGCGCCGATCGAGGAAACCTAGCGGATGCGAAAGAGCGGACCCTATGTAAGGGCAGTAGTCGTGGAGAAACGCGTGCCGGGCAAGGGCAAACACGTCGTGCGATTGATGCGATGTCGAAGAACGGAGGAGGAAAGACGCAGGTGACGGGCGAGGGACAAGAGGAATGCTGAGTTTAAGTGAAGCGCAGCGCCAGGGAGCCACCACTTGCCCAGCTGTGCTTCACTAAGTCCATCGGCGCACGGGCGTTCGGCCTTCATCAAATCTGGACCAGTGACTTTCGTAACAGATGCGTAACCTCACCACCGATCCATGCACGGAGACACTGCAAGTAGGCTACAAAAGAGAGCAGACATGACGAAAACCGCTTGTTTTTCCTAATATACGGAACGATGCGTCAAGGCTCTGGCAGGTAGTGCTTGCCACCTGTTCATCCAGTTGCTCCTGCCTATGTCCGTCTAATGTTGTCATGACGATATCGTGTTTGGGGCCATTTTTGGACGTTAAGAGCGTTGGGGGTCCGCCAAAGACACATTTCACATTGCACTCGAGTTACCATAAACGTGGTGGCGCTGGTAAAAGGCACCACGCCCGGCGTCCAGTGTTGGAGAGACTCACGTGACACTTGGCAGGTTAGCGCGCAAAGCAATTCAGCATCCCGATTGCCCGACACAGCTCCCGCTCAGCAAAGACAGCAGTGAAGCACCACCACACGGCTGTCGCCATCTCCACTCATCTCAATTCGTAGCCATGATGATCTCACGAGCTGCGCGCCCGGCCTTCAAGGCGGGCATGGCCGCCGCCGCCGCCCGGTACGCTCCCACCTAGCCCGCAGCTTTTCTCGCGCCCTGCAACCCCCCATTGCCGGATCAATTGCATCGCCAACTGCGTCAAGTGCTGACTGGAAATCGTGTATATAGTCCTGCCACCCTTACCGTCTCCAACGCCGCCGGCTATGCCACCCTCCGTGAAATCGAGGGCCGTCTCAAGTCGATTCGCAACATCGAGAAGATCACCAAGACCATGAAGGTCGTCGCCTCCACCAAGCTCACCCGCGCCCAGAGGGCCATGACCGAGTCCCGCAAGTACGGTCAGACCTCCAACACCGTTTTCGAGAGCGCCGAGACCAAGCCAATCGAGGGTGATGGCAAGAAGAACCTGGTTATCGTCTGCAGCTCCGACAAGGGTCTTTGCGGTGGTATCCACTCCGGAATGTCGAGGAAGGTCAGGGCCATGCTTCTTGAGGCTCCCGAGACTGAGCTGGCCGTCATTGGCGAGAAGTGCAAGGCGCAACTGGGTCGTTCCAACGGAAAGAACATGGTTCTGTCCTTCGCTGGTGCCGGAAAGGACGTTCCTACCTTTGCCGACTCCCTGCACATTGCCGACCAGATCTCCATGCTGCCCACCGACTACGCTTCCGTCAAGATCGTCTACAACAAGTTCATCAACGCTTCGAGTTACGAGGCCACCATCCAGGAGGCTTACTCTGAGGAGGCTATTGCCCAGTCTGGTACGTCACAGCTTTGTAGTGGGATGAGCCATGTCTAACTGTGTATCTAGCCAACTTCGCTGCTTTCGAGATTGAGGACGAGGTTCTCCCCAACCTCCGCGAGTACGCTCTCGCCAACTCGCTCTTCTGGGCGCTGGCTGAGGGTCACGCTTGCGAGCAGTCTGCGCGTCAAAACGCCATGGACAACGCTTCCAAGAACGCTGGAGATATGATCAACAAGTTCCAGATTCTCTACAACCGAACGCGTCAAGCCGTCATTACTGGCGAACTTGTCGAGATTATTACCGGTGCGGCTGCTTCCGAGGGTTAAGCGCTCTAGGAGCTTTAGACTTGATATCCCGAGGATCTGGTTCCATCTCCCTCATGGGCTGTGTAGAATAAACATCTGTTCATAGCTCTTTTGTATCAGCCAGTTCGTGGAAATTGTTCATGGTCTAGATCTTGTGTCTGCGTGCGCCATGTGTGCTTCTTGACCGCATCTGCGCCACTGGGTCTACGTCACACCTGGGCAGCACTGTGCACATTTAGGGTCATATTCATCACGTGCGCCATCCTTCCTGCGTCGTGGTCGTCGCAGATATGTAGGCTAAATGCATCCTCGGCCATTCAGAGAGCGCATCGTCTCCTTGTAATCTTGCCATCACTCCCTCACTAGATGGAAAATATGGCCTGGCTAGAAGCCCTGGGCATGTTCTACGGCGCATCGTCATGGGCCTTTAAATCAGCCACCTACAGGTATTTGCGATGTTTCTCATTTTCCTATTGGATATATCCAGGACTAATGTACGGTGTATGTTCCGGGCAGACCCCGTGCGCACAAGCTATCTACGCGACTATGTCATTGATCGCACAGCCAGCAACCAAAAAGTCTTGTCGCCAGGTGACCATGCCACTACTCAGCAACGCGGACATTATTCACACCAACAGCTATGGCACTGTAAATCAAGCAACACATACAGGGTGCTTCAAACCTTCTGCGTGCTTTAACCCAAGTGATGCGGTGCCTGACCCTCTTTGGCGAGCTTAGCTCTCGATAAGGGTAGGGATGGCTTGTCCGTGAAACGCAACCTGCGTCGTTGAAACAACCGCCCCTCTGATCACACCCTCGCTGCAGAAATAGTACGGCAGGGCCTTAGGCACCTTATAATATGGCCTGCTATGGGCGTTCGCATTGCTTTTATCAGCGGCCGCATTGCTTTTATTATCGTTCGCATTGATTTTCCACGAAGTGCTCCGGAAGCCGCAGTTATATTCTACCGTTTTCGAAGAGCTGGTACTTACCCTGAAACATACAGAGGTCTCAATAGCAAGATCAACCACAAGGGGAAAGAGCACTTGCACTGTTGCTCCTAGCTTGCTTGCGTCGCTAGCTGCTCTACGCATATCGACAACCTCAACAACTCAACCCTGAAGCTGGCTTCACTTCTTTCTTTCGATGAGGCTGCGCTTCCCTCTTTTCGACCTGTCTCTATCCTAACCACTTCTCGTCGGAGCGAACCTTCGCAACAACACTTCTCTCACTGCGCTTTCTTAAACTTTGATCTGGATCAACTCTCGACGACCAACAACTTCAAACGTCTAAGCAACATGTTGGCGCAGGCTAGAATTAATACATTGAAGGAGAAGATGCAAGTTCTCAAGGATCTATATGCGAGTCGACGCTACACGCAGTGCGCAAATCTTGGCGAGCATCTACTGAGCGAAGTTGATAACAGGGTACGTAACGATGCACATGACGCCGCCCACTTTCTTTAGGTTGGAGGCTGGCCAAGGCAGGCGCAAAACGTGAGAAGCAGGAGCTGACCACCAACAGACTCATCCTGTACACAATGCTTACCTAAACTTCTACATGGCCCTCTCCCACGACACATTGGCAAGAGAAGCGACACTCAAAAACCGCTACAAAGAACTAAATGCGGCGGAGAAGTACTACAGTGAGACTATCGTCGCTCTTACACCACCCTCGCCATCCTCTACTGCGCCGACCATCGACGGGGAGCAGCCTATGACACCAGACTCGGCCACTATTCCGGACGAGCAGGCCTGGTCTCGACGATTATCCAGGACGAGGTCCTTCGACTCCACTAGCAGTTATCGCAGCTCGACATCCAGCACGGATTCCTACGCCTTTGACTTGGAGCAGGACCCAGATCTTGCACTTAGGAATTTTCGCTTCCCATCGCCACCGGGGAAAGTTGCAGACTCGAGTACGCCTGCTGAGTCCAAAACTCTGTCCCAGTACTTCAAGAACGACAGTGTGCTATCACCGCTGTCAACCGAGCAGGTACGATCGAAACCAGTGGCCCGACTACCGAATGGTGCCCCCGCCTTCGTCCGTATGGTAGAGGGTCACCTTGCTAGTGTGCGTACCCTGAAGGAAACGACTGGTGTACGGGGTGTACGATTCGCCTTCCCAACTCCTTCGCCCTCACCCACGAAGTCGTGGTTCAGAGATTCGAAAAGCAGTCCCCTGTCAGAGGAAGAGGAGAGGGAAAACCTACGGGAGAAGAGGAGGAAGGTGACATTCCGGCCACGCTTCGACCCTGAGAGCGTGCGGAAGCTTTGCAACGACGCCCTGGCAGAGCTTTGATGAATGTCGGACCTGATTTTCGGTGGAACGGTCTCCAAAACCCATGTGCGCGTAGTCGAGGCTGATGACGAACGCATATGGCGATTCAAGTCACCAAGGTCAACAACGATTTGCATGTTCGATACGATTTTTTTTTGTGTTTATTTAGCAAGGTGTCCCAGAAGGACAAAGTCTCATATACCCCAGCCTGGAGTCTTTCGCAGTTCTCTTTGTAGATTTTTTGATTTATGCATGCATGTATGTATACGCCTGGTCACGAAGTTTTAACATGTATTAGTATAGACAAACTTTTTTCTTCTTTCCAAGTCGTATCTTGCTGTTGCTAAGGTACGGGTGTCCAAGGCCAATGCAGATACCATAGCGCCATTGAGTAGCTCTGTATGACGATGATTGCCATGCTATAATACACCCTCGAAGCTCATATAATATTCTTCCTTGAGAATATATTGACACAAAAAAACTCCAAGTGTCTGCAAAGGTCAGTTTACCCAGGTATAACTCATAGGAAACCAGACTCGTAGGCTTCAGATGTGAAGATCAGCGCAGGAGGTTGGCTCGTTGAATGCGAGATGGAATGTATAACATGATCATTTGCCATCCCTGTCGATACATGCTCGTATGCAGGTGCCGACTGGTCTAACCGTTGAAGAAGAAAAAACTCGCTCAGTGATATCGTGGACTTTTGAAACCCGCCACCGTAATGCCCTAAAACGCCGTTGCAATGCAAGCTCCTCCACACACTCTCCTCGTATGGACGTGCTTTATTTCTGCATTTCATCCAACCCCCTCTTAATCCTCTGGCACTTGATCTTGAGCAGCTTAACGCTCTCCAAAAACAGCTCGTCGCTCTCCCACTGACCCGTGCTCTCCACTTTGAAGATGAAGTGATCCCGTATCCGGCCCAGCTTGACCTTGTCCTTGAACTCGGGATGTCTTAGGCACTCTCTGCTGACAGTGTCGTTCATAGCGTTCTCGACTACGGCTTTGGGCTCGCCTTCCTTGCCTTCCAGCTCAGAGTGTTTTTGCACGTCTTCAGAGGTGACCTTGTCGAGTTTGATCACACCACGGGGGAAGCAGCGGGCGAATTTCTTCGCGTCGGCGCCGATGATAGGTTTCGTAATGTCAATGGTAGGCATGAGGCGGTACGAAGCTGTTGCCACGGGCGAAAACTTGGCGTGATCTTGTCCGATGCCCTTGATAGCGTGCATACTCAGAGCTATGCTCTGACCGGGTCTCATCTTGGCGATTAGGATGTCCGGGTTGGTTGATCGAATCTCCTTTCCTTCGCTATGCGCAAACACCTCCTTTTGGCGACCATGAGGCTCAAAGACAATGTCTTTAGCGTAGACGTTGTGGCCGACGTAGAGCTTATCGGGATCGGTTTCCCCGGCTACTGCTCGTTGTAGACCGCCGTCTTGCCATTTGCATTCTACGTCGAGGCGTAGTACCACAGTGTTATAGTCTGCGGGTGTTCCTGAACCTGCATCGTCGTCTGTCGGCTTCTTGTACCATTTCATCCAGCGTAGACCCTCGCGGTCGCCGCACAAGGGGATGAGGCCGAGGCGGTGGGCGAGCACTTCGTCTTGGATGATGGATGTATTTTGGTAGATGAAAACGTCTTCTATGGCAAGCGTAGGGATTTCAGAGAGGAGAATGCGGCGAAAGGCGTTGGAGACGGAGGTGTCGATGCCAGTGAGGGAGAATTCGGTGTTATTGGGCGAGTGCTTGTGGAAGGTGACGTTGAAGTTCTGGACTTGTAGTTAGTATGCAGCCAAGTGTATGTAGGAGTTCCAATGTAGTCGCACATACCTCTTTGAAGTAGTCCAGGTCCCATTCATGATTCTCGCCCGGCCAGTGTCCTGGAAAGTCGGTAGACTGCTGGTTGGTGACAGTCTCTGGGCCAACTCCAAGCGTCTAGTGGTTGCATTAGTGGAGAACAAAGTATATATTCCAGGTCGCGTAAGTACCTTGCGCTTCATCAGTTCCTGTGCACTCGGTGTCGACATGGTTGCGGCGTTGAGGTCAAGTTTGGTGTTTTGGGTGGGGAGCACTTTCTAATGTTCACAAAAAGTTCGAGGAAGGCGCCGGCGCGCCAAGACCCACCCGGCCAATGGCGGTAGACTCATTCTGGTAGCATCATCGATATGAGGAAAGCTCCCCTCCAACGCCACGACCTCATTCTCCACTCTACACGCCCATTGAGGCCCTATACTCAACGTAGGGAGAGATACAATCACCATGCCCGTCTCCTTTGCGCGTCTGGCCGGCCCCGCGGCGAAGCGAGTGTGCCTCAACGCCTCCCGACCCCAGCTCCGAACCGCAATCCCTTCACGACCCATTGCGCGATGCCTGTCAACTACATTCCCCCGCCGATACGCTCAAGTCGAAGAGAGCCAGCGGACACGATTGGTCCAGACAGATTCCAACTTTGGTGGCGTTGCACCCGCAGAGTCAGCCCAGGAAACCAGGGCGGAAGAGGATGACCATGTCGACACCAGGAAGATCCGGCATTACACTGTCAACTTCGGTCCCCAGCATCCCGCCGCCCACGGTGTGTTGCGTCTGATTCTCGAGTTGAACGGTGAAGAGATTGTGCGCGCCGACCCCCACGTTGGATTGCTGCACAGAGGCACAGAGAAGCTCATCGAGTACCGGACATACCTCCAGGCCTTGCCATACTTTGACCGACTCGACTATGTCTCTATGATGACCAACGAGCAGTGCTTCTCGCTGGCTGTCGAGAAGCTGCTTAACATCGACATTCCAATTCGCGCCAAGTACATCCGTACCTTGTTCGGTGAAATCACCCGCATCTTGAACCATCTCATGTCGGTTTTGTCTCACGCCATGGACGTTGGTGCGCTGACGCCTTTTTTGTGGGGTTTCGAGGAGCGTGAGAAGCTCATGGTGAGTTGCGCGTGGCGATACTGTGGATCCCACTTGCTGATTACATGTAGGAATTCTACGAACGTGTTTCCGGTGCCCGTCTCCACGCAGCCTACGTCCGCCCCGGTGGTGTGTCACAGGATCTTCCACTCGGTCTGCTCGACGATATCTACCAATGGGCTACCCAATTTGGTGACCGCATCGACGAGACTGAGGAGATGTTGACAGACAATCGTATCTGGATTGGCCGTACAAAGGGCGTTGGTGTTGTCTCAGCTGCTGACGCCATCAACTACTCCTTCTCCGGTGTTATGCTTCGAGGATCTGGTGTTCCCTGGGACGTCCGCAAGTCGCAGCCATACGACGCCTACGACAGGGTTGACTTCGATGTCCCAGTTGGTGTCAACGGTGACTGCTACGACCGTTACCTCTGCCGTATGGAGGAGTTCCGTCAATCCCTTCGCATTATTCACCAGTGCTTGAACGACATGCCAGCCGGCCCCGTCAAGGTTGAGGATTACAAGATCGCACCTCCACCACGTGCCGCTATGAAGGAGAACATGGAGGCGCTCATCCACCACTTCTTGCTTTTCAGCAAGGGTTACACTGTTCCACCCGGTGAGACATACAGCGCTATTGAGGCGCCCAAGGGAGAGATGGGTGTCTTCTTGGTCTCAGATGGTAGCGAGAGGCCGTACAGGTGTAAGATCAGGGCACCTGGATTCGCACACTTGGCCTGCATGGACCAGATCTCAAGAGGTCATTTGCTCGCAGATGCTGTAGCAATAATTGGTACTATGGACCTAGTATTCGGCGAGGTGGACAGATGATTGGGACAGGTATGAATGTATTTCCTACATGGGGAGCAGAAGAGATCAATTTAATTCAATGTACTCAGATGTGATGCCATTATTCCTGTCGGATCATGCTAGGGATGTACTTTACAAGGTCTGATCGCGGTCCAATGCTCCATCGATGGCAGCGATCAATTCATTTATGTACCCACATCCACGAGCGTTCGCCGTCGCCAGTTGCTCACCGTGGATCGCGAAGACTTGCGAACTCAGCGCTATCAAAACTGTCTTGTCCACGGTATCTCCAATCTTGGTCATCGGTTCTCCAAGCGACTTGTGATTCTGGATTCCCCCATGTTGCTTACGAAGTTGTTTGGCGTGCCGCGTGAAGAAACCCTTGAGCTCACACAAGCTTTGTCTCAGAGCCAAGACGAAGGGGGCCATGTCGTACTCGCTCTGAGTGGACGCTGTCCATGTGGACGAAACATATTTGGTCTCCATGACGAGGTTGATATCGAGTGGACAGATGCTGGGGTAGGATGCCTTGACCTCTTCGACCATCTGCGTAGCTTCAACTTCCTTCAAATCACCACTGAGGTTGTAGAAAGCGAGGGTGCCGTCGTGAGCTTGGCTTCTTCGCAAGATTAGGTAGGATATTCTTGACTGTTTGCTCCAGAGCGTCTAATGCAGTGCGTTCTCTACTCAGTTTCTGTCGTTCGGCCTCTTGCATTCGATTTCTCAAAATGGCATCTTCGAGTGACATTGGAAGGACGGACATGTGTGCGTGCGCGTTCGAAGGTGGTTCCGGAATTGCTGTTCCAGGAGCAAGGGGCGTTCGGTATGTTACAAACATTACTGCGTTGAGAAAGTGTTTAGAGGTGTCGATTGCGGTCTGATTTCCTTCACCTACACCACCCTACCTGTAACATCTGCGTTTAAACATCAAGTGGTATATGCCCCGAGGTTACGTCACTGTCTCATTTATAACTCGAGGAACGCTAGTTTCCCCGCCTGCGTAGCCCAACGTAAAATGAATACAATTTCGTTTTGAGAGTATTACATGCATGTTTCCTGTTCCAATATCGCTCTGGATGCCAATGCATGTGGCAGACTATGAGTATATGCTGGAAACCCAGAGAGATCACGCAGCTGTTACACTGTACAGCATGAGTTCGATACATGATTCTAGACCAGTTATGAACTTCAGTCTCAGGTTCACTCATTATATTGTAAGTTCTGGCAAGACGACATGAATTTTACATTATAGGTACTGACAAGTGACATGGAGGTAGACCTGCTCCGGTGTGGTATACATTATTCGTTTCCCTTCCTTTTTTACAAGAACATGCCTGCGGCAGAGCCGAACACCATGATTCCAAATAGCAAAAGCCCAGCTTTCGAAGACGCGCCATGTACCACATGCACTGCACTGGCGGCGCCCGTCGAGCCTGCAGCCGATGTACTAGCACTCGCGCTCGCATCGCTACTGGCACTCGCAGTTCCGCTTTCGCTCATCGTCTCAGTCGACGTCGACTGAGCAGCCGTGCCACTGCTGCTGCTGCTGCTGCTGCTAGCTGCGTCCGGGTCCGTCAAATTCCTATTGATCTCATCAAAAGGTGGGCTGCAGATGACAATCTCAACCCTCTTGCTCAAGCATTCTCCCAGGTCCAAGAAGCTCTGATCGTCCGTGGTCGAGCACGATGCTGTGCAGGGGAACGGGCTACCCGATGCGGTGGTGTCGTTGCTCGAACAGCATGCGTACATGTCCCAGAAAGCATGCTCGTTGACGTCAGCATCGTTGCTGATGACACATCCGCCATTGAGGCCCTCTGGCCGACCGATAGGGTGGTTGGATGGTTGCGCAGATTGCTCAGGGCTAACGGAATTCGAGGCGCATCCCACCGCAGGGCCGTAGCTGAATATGGACGGAAACTCGGTGGGTTTGGTGAAGGGACTAGGCGAAGCATTTGTGTAGGTCGTGTAGACGTAGTTGTAGGTTGTCGTCGGTGTTGTGGTAGTAGTAGTAGTCGTCATCCTGAATAGTTGTGCTGAGTGTGAGGCGAGTGGAAGGATCGGAAGGGCCCAGTGTTATCTCAAGAGGCTGAAGACGTCAGGACCGAAAAGCAAAGAAATAGACTTTAGCTATAAAGCGACGAACAAGCTGACGCGTCTGAAGAACCGAGCTATATCGTATCACAGTGAAAAGAAGCGGTGTCTCGAACGTAGGCGGAAGAATACGAGGTGTGACAGGCCATTGATACGAGCTTAGGAGCCCCGATCTAGAAGGTGAGCGTACCTAGGTAGGCGCTTTCCTAGTTTCTTAAAATAGCAGGCAAGATCATCGAGGGTAGTAAAGAAACTGCGTTTCCTGGTGTCGAGATGGATGCAAGACTTTGCGAATAGCTCATACAATGTTTGTTGCACAGCAAACAAACAAGTGAAGTGAACAAAAGCGCGTGGGGAAAGCATCTTCGCCAGTGAGCTTTACGATGGATGCGGGGCTCGCTGGCTTAGCGTGGCAGCCTAAGCTCTTCGCTAACTCTCATTGGTGGATCGGTTTTCAGCTCCCAGTCTGGTACCAGCTCGAGGCTTGCCAGACTCGTAGTCGCGAGACAGTATCAATAGCACGCCTGCAGCCAGGCGATCATGCAACTCAAAGGTACATAGTCATCTCATGACAAAGTACACGTTCAATATCGAGCACGAGAGCTTAGACAGCAGTTTGAGCCAAAGTAGCACATTCTTTTTCGTTTCACCATTCTTGCAGAAAGAGATTCAGTTACACATCAAACAAACAAGGAACTAAAAAGTGGTTTGAACGATTGATTTCTCATCTTGGTATCATAGTTGCTATGCAAAAGATAGCCCATTAACATCATACTAACATCATCACACTCATATTCTTTCTCATAAACACCATCTATGCCTTCTCGTCGATAGAATGGTGAACACCAACAGTGCGGTCTCCGTGCACACTGCTCCTCCTCAGGGTTGGGTCCTTGTCGTAATCCTGGTCAAGCTGGTTCATCTCATCCTCAGTCTCATTGAGGTGGTGGAACAAAATCCAGATGACGCAGCCAGCGATGAACGACGCAACAGCAAGACCAGCAAACATCCACTGGATCTTGGGGTCGACGACAAGCGGGTTGAGCGCCTCGGAGATGGCAGATCCGAAAGCGTTGGTGAGGAGGTACATGGACTGGACAAAGGACTTCATGCTGGGAGGGGCTTTGGTGTATGCGTACTCAAGACCAGTGACCGAGGCGAAGATCTCAGAGAGACCAATGAGCATGTAAGCACCGGTTTGGGCGGCAATGTGGATGTTGTTACCCTGGTGAACGCCATCGACAAGATCAGCGTCGCAGTTGCCGGGATGCGCGTAGCAAGGACCGGACTGGTAGATGTAGTATTGAATAACGCAAGCGTAAACCATGGCGAAGGATGCAATCCAGAATCCGGCTACGATACGGTTGATCGGCGGGAATGGGATCTTGTGCTTGCGGAGTGTAGGCATGAGCCATTGGTCAACAATAGGCAAGAAAACGATAATGGCGATGGGGTCGAAGTTCTGCATGAGATCGTTGGGAATACCGTGGCCACGCATTTGACCGGCCTGGGTGACGAAGTTGTTGGAGAAGTTGCCATAGACGACCCAGTAGATGGGGTAGAAGGCGAAAACCTGGCAAGCGACGAGAGCACGCTTGACCTCATCGACGAAGTGGTCGTCCCAGTTGAGCAGCTTGGTCTTGCCCATGCCGGCCTGGTAAGAGGGCTTAGCAGCGTCCATCTTCCGGTTCTTGATCATCAACCAGATAACGCGGAAGGCATTGGTGATGATGGATCCTTGAGGAGGTCGAACAACGTAGACCTTGCGACCGAGGACGAGGACGAGCAGTCCGACGAAGAAGACGCAGAGACAGAGCAAGTAAGCGGACCAGAAGTCGATGTCACGCTCCATGTAGGGGGTAGCGAGCAGAGACAGAGATCCGGCGTTGATGCACCAGTAGAAGATCTGTTTCCGTTAGTTAGTAAAGTGCCAGATTAGCCGCAATTTGATAAAAACGTACCATGTAAATCCTCTGGATAGTGATCGCAGGATCAATGATGACCTTCTCGCCAGTTTTGTCATCATGGCCGATGACCATTTGTCTCCTCTTGTACTGATCGGCAATCAACGGCGCAACGTTGGACTTGATGCCACCAGTTCCGAGACCAATGACAATAATGGCAACGATGAAACCACCAAGACCAGCGCCGTGGTCGAGAGCAGCCGGGATAGATGTGCAGGTGAGGATGATAAGACCGACGATGTAGACGCAGCAGAAGATGACGATAGTGTTGTACTTTCCGAGGTATTGATCGGCGATGATGGCACCAAGGATAGGAGTAACGTAGCACCAGAACTGGAAGAAGGTAGAGAGACCAGTGGCTCCCTGGTGGCCCATACCGAGCGCACCGCGACCTTCCTCACCACTGCGAGGGCGCGAGATGTAGTTTTGGAAGATACCGGAAGCACCATAGTAAGTGAAACGCTCACAGAGCTCGACAATGGCGACCAAGAAAGCGCTCTTGGGGAGAGGCTCTCCGACCTTGCGGAGGGTCTTCAATTCCTCAGCGGTAGGCCTGATACCGCCAATGCCATCCTCCTCTTGGACAAAGGAAGCAGCATCGGAGCCGGAGCCGGTAGTGAGTGCACCGGGCTTCTCGAGATTGTAGTGGGTATTAACGTGCGCGCCGGCAACGTTGGAGTCGTTGAGGGTAGCGCCGTATAGATGAGGGTGCTGGTCAGCGACCTCTTGGCCGTGCTGGAGTGCCTCCGCGCTGTCAAGAATGTTAGTAAACCGTCTCAATCCCAGCAGACCCGAATACAAAAGGGCCGCCGAGCAAGTATATAACATACGCAGTAGTCTCGTGGGCGGTAGCCATGGCTTCAAAGCTCAATCGCAACCAAAGACGGCGTCAATGGAAAGGCAGCCCAGAGCGAGTATAACCAGAGGTAAAAAAGAAGTTCCGGTAACACCTGGAGTCTTAACAGAAGAACGAAGACACCTCCATATTTAACCCGCACCCTCGTTGAGCACGCGCGGAATCCTCCTTCCAGTCATCTATCCAATGGCTCCGACGTTCGCCTCTGTCGCTCACAGTCTGTGGGACCAAGCACGCACAAGCACTCTCGCCAGGGCCGATGTAACGTCTTGATAGACCTGGTGCTAACCAGATAAGCGTAGTCGTCCGGCACAAAGCCTGTCGAAGCCTTCCCTTGGCAGCTTAGTGGCGCCACTGCCCGCTCGGCGTGCAGTTAACCGATTCGCCACCAAGCCGGAACACCTGCAAGCACCTGCCAAACGTGGCGATTGCATGCGGTGATCTTACGTTGGTGTTTTCGACAAAGTAGTTGGGTTACCACACTCCATCACGTCGTGCCGAACTGCCGGGCCCTTGTGTGTGGAAATGCGTGCCTTGTGGTTCGCGCGTTGGCTGCGGCGATGGCCAACCCCGGCATCATCAATACTCGTATTTTAAAAAAAACCCGCATGCGTAACTTTAGCTGCAGTCATGCTAATTGTGCCGCCACAGAGATAGGAAGGCATCGGCAATCCTACAACCAACATATTCCATTTCCAATCCAGCACTTGCCGACCCATAGTCTTTCAAATCTCCAGCCTTCCAGACACTCATCTGTTTGCAGAAAATTTGCCTGGCCGACCCACTCCGATTGCGGAAAGTAGAAATGGTTCTGACTTTGTCTCCGGGTTCAGGGACCAAGTCCGCCGAATCTAACGACCTCGGTTTCTTTCCACACAAATCTGACTCTAGCTCGGGCGACGCCGAGAGGGTAGAGAGGGAGATAAGCTTCTGACCCGCAGTGGAGCTGTTCACGACCATCTCGCCTAGACACGCTCGATTGGGGATTCCTGCCACGAAGTGACCAATGAGTCTGGGAGGATCTCCGCATCGTGCGCTTACGAGCTACTTAGTGGGGAATTTAAGCGGTGGTTGGGTTTTCGATGGTGGTGGAGCATCTTTGCTTGATAGCGGTGACCGAGGATCAGGCGAGCAACAGGTGTCAGACGAACATATTGCAACTCGACACGTTGTATTGAAATGTCGCATGCCGTCTGAACAGCGATGCTTGTGATGCTTGTGATGCTTGTGATGGGAATGTCTCAAACCAAGCCCATCTCCGCTTCAATCATCGTTCCACCTCAGTCGCGACCTGTAATTTCCGCTACGAGCACGGCTAAGCTGTAGTGCCCAGACACGGAAGGCGCGGTCAAGCTTTCTTACCGACATGAATCTACCTGTCAGCGGCGCAATGGCGCACCTGAAGCTCGGGTCGCCCATGTCTTCCTTGTATAAGCGCACAATCCCCGCGTTAATCCCGGCCTTGTCCTTGATTATGCGTCGTGCTGGCCGCCGTGTGCCTTGACCTAATGCTTCCAGAAGGTTACGCCTGCAGGAGCATGGCGGTAATGGAAGATGGTGACCCACGGCCCAACCCACAGATCCGGAAGCTGGTTATCCTGGTGCCCACATAAGCTCCATAATTTAGACTTGGTATATGCTTGAAGCCCTTCGTGTCGCAGGGCGTATGTGTGGAGATGTTGCCCACTTGGGTATACTAACCAACACGAGCGTTCCACAATGTCAGCACGGGACAACTGAGACACGCGACTATCTCGCTCAGTGGCAGCTAGTGGTTTGTTGGAGAGGTTGGTGTAAACGGTTGAAGAGATAGGGACAAGAAACATGATCCACGTTTCGCCATCACTTCTACATTATGTTCAACTACCATCTATTCCTCCAATGCATAACCATGCCGCCCGTTTCCATTTGATCCTCTACCCGCAACACATAATTAGCGACCAAGATGTCGCCCAGCCTTTTCATACAAGACACCTCCTAGACAGAAGAAACATTGACACATGCACGCGTCGGGGTACTCTGAAGATAAACATATAATACAAGCAGTGCCAAACAAAAGGAAAAGAATCAATGCTTATGACGGTGGAGCGTTGGAACCGGTAGTGTTGGGATCACAACATTGCTTTCCTCCACCACAGGTGTCGGGACATTCCAGAAGACAAGCATCAGGGCCGCCCTTTACGCTGGGGTTCTTGCTGACGCGGCCACCATCTTCGGCACCGCTTTCGTCTGATCCATGCGCCGAGTGGTCGTGGCTAGCATCAAGGCAGAACTCCGGCTGGATGGTAGAAGAGTGGATGCCGTACTGGTGAAGGCATTCCCGGATTTGGCGTGCAAGATCCATGTAGCGTGCTGAGCCCTCACCCTTGAAGTCAAAGTCGACCTGGACGTGGAGCGATGCAATAAGCTTCGTGTCTGATAATTGCCAAACGTGGAGGTGGTGGCAGGAGACGATGCCTGTGAGATCAGTGATGTCCTCGGTGATATCATCGATGGACAGGTTCTCCGGAACGGCTTGGAGAAGGATACGAGATGCAGCCTTGCACAGGGGTAGAGCAGACAAAAGGATGATGACGGTGATGAGCAGAGATACGGCGGGATCAGCGTACATCCTCCAGGAGAAGTCGGTGAGCCAGATGAACAGAGCAGTGCCAATGACACCAATGTTGCCGAGAGCATCTCCCATGACGTGTAGGAAGACACCTCGCATGTTGAGATCGGCGTGAGAGTGACCGTGTCCACCTCCAGATGCCTCTTTCTTGGGCTGGTTGTGGTTATGGCCCTTGTGTTGATCCTTCTTGTTAGTCTTGCCGTGTGCATGCGAGTGGTCGTGCGAGCCGTGGCCCTTGGGCTTGGATAGAAGCGAAGTCTGCTCAGTAGGCTCCTCATCATCTACGACATCGTTGTCCTCTTCATCAGCCTCGTCGTCGTGCGCGCGCGAAGACTCGATAATGCTGTTCCTGAAGGACGAAGGGTGTACGTAAATCTCGTCGATTGTGGCGTAGTTGCGCGAGTGCGATCGGCTGTGGCGCTTGTTCTTCTTTCCAGGAGTAGATGAGCGGCGTCTGTCTGCGTCAGGGTTGGATGCAACGCCGTTGGACTTGGTGGGGGTTTGTGTGAGGTTTGACGGGAAGCCGACGCGGTTCTGGGGCAGCACATCTGCAATATTACCGCTCTCATCTGCGACCGCATGGTCATGCGCATCTACGCCATGAGAATGACCCTCCTCAGCGTGCGAGTGTGCATCGTGCCCGTGAGAGTGGCCGCCGTGACCGTGACCGTGGTCGTGGAAGAGGAAGAGACCGATGATGTTGGATGCGAGGCCGCAAGATCCGACGATAAGGATGACGACTGGGTGCGAAACGTTCTGTGGCTCGACAAATCGCTGGATGGCTTCGAGGAAGATGGAGAGACACAGCGCGACCAGGAAGACACCGTTGATCAGGGCACCTAGAGTCTCGGCACGTTGCCACTACTCCAAGTTAGCATAGTCGCTGCGTGCCAGCACTGGAGCTACTTACTCCGTAGGTGTATGTCTTTGAATTGGTCTTTTGGCTAGCCACCTTGACTGCCCACAGTCCGACAAGGAGCGAGATGACATCGTTCAACTGTGCGAGGGGTCAGCATGCGCCTCCGCATTTCACGTGAAGCCACATGTACACACCATGTGAAAAGAGTCGGCAACCAGCGCCAAAGAGTGCACCGTATATCCCGCAATCAGCTCGACGAAGAAGAATGCCGTGTCGATGGCGAGCAATATCATAATTCGCGTCGATTTAGAGAGCCCCATGTTGGCGATATCGGCGCGCCGTTCACGCAGTACTAGGGGTGTATTTTATGGCGGCGCGAGAGATGCGATCGAAGCTTCGGAGCCTTATACACGATCGCGAAGGTGGGCAGGGGGCAGTGTTGTGTTGGAGAGTTGGAGAAAAAGGGTTGGGCTCACGGTTCGCAAGGTTGTCGCGTAGGAGAATAAGAAGCGGAGTGGCGCTATTGCGTCAGGCCTCACCCAGCGCAGATGTGGAAGCTGATCCATGTTCCAGACGTACCGCACCACAAACTAGCTATGTTTGTGCGACTGACATTTGTCCAAGCGTAGCAGCATGAAGCGTCCTTAACGGCCCGTATCTACATGTAGTAACCCGTACTCAACACAACTTTAACCGCCTCATGTTGGCAAGCTCTCGTTTGTGTCCGCACGTCTGTAGCATGTATACTGCTCGCTACTTTCAATGGTTTGAACGCGTACCCATAACTTTGACCAAGCGAGTCATTTTCCGTTGCCAGTATATCCACAAATACTGGCAAAGCTTTCCAACGCTTTGCCCCGCATAGTCACTATGGTTTGCTACCGCTTGCCGCAATGCGTGCCGCAGTTCCACAGTGCCACAGTGCCACAGCTTGAACAGTGAATACGGCTAGTTGGTTGCGAAGGGTCTGAAATGGGCCCACCGCAAACGGTGACATACCGTTGGTAGCGTGCCTGTTTGAGACATGTTCGAAGCTTAGTGATACTTGTAGAACTCCTACATGACTAGTGCTACACTTCTGCTCGTGGCTGGTGCGCTGACTAGCCGTATCTGCGCTATATATAGTGTATGTAGCATGTGAACCATCATTCGTCTCTGAGAAGACCACCATGTACACTACCCATTCCCAAAATACGTCTTCTCGATATCAACCCCAACAATCACTGCAAATGTCCCCAATAGCAAACATCCTATCAACACCATCACGAGCCCTACTTCCCACCCTCCCGCCATCGCCTTTCCTCTCACAAGCGCCCTCTGTAGTCTCCAAAATCTAATCGCCCCCAATAGAACCACAACAATAGCCATGCAGATGAAGGTTACTGCAAGTGGTTTCCCGACTTTGTAAAAACCAAAGTGCGGGTTAGGCGTAGTTGAATGCTGCAAGTGGAAGAGCTGGGCAATCAGAATGCCCGTCATGACAAGAATGAGTGAGGTACGGAGATAGCCTAGGAAGGTGCGTTCAAGTGCTGAGCGCCTAGTTAGCTGTCGGACTGTGTGAGGGACGAGTGGAAAGGAGACGTGCCTAAGTGATCTCTATGTGCTCCTTCCTCGATGCTAAGGCTAATATGTGTAGTCCAGAACTGGGTGATTGCATCATACCACCGCTTCGTCCTGTCTACTCCTCCTCTACCACGTCCTTGCTGATATACATCGACCTGTGCACTTGCCCCACTGACATTAGAAGTATGGTTCCCCGGGTAGTCTCTGGAGCCATCTGTCGAGCTGCGCAGCAACGCATTGCGCGATCGTAAACTGGTGAGACTGAGTGTCGCACGCGGTTCATTGAGTGTAGTAACTCTTTCGCGACGTACAGGTCCTAGCTCCTGCGAGAAGCGTTGCTGCTCGTAGTGCACTGCAGCTTCAGAATCAGGATGCAGTTCGGCATGGGGGTGATTATGTAGTGCAGCCGAAGGCAGGCCAAGTGGTGATAGTGCGCGAGGCGGTGCTGGGTCGCTCATCGGTCAGATGTGCAAACGTGACACAATAGAGAAAGTGCAAAGCTTAGGAACATAATGTCAGTCGTGATAGCGATCGCGTAGAACGCATGCGACGATACCCGAGAGTAGTCCCTTCGGAGAAGAGCGGGAGTGAAACAAGCAGGCGTGACGCTTGGGGTTGTGGGGATGCGTCGGCACGTCGGCCGGGTGGCCGCACTTGCCTTTACAAGCAGACACCGAACCCGTCCAAGAACGACGACGGACGATAGATGTTATGATTACGTCTGTATGTATAGCAGTGCTTCGCCATCGTTATATTCCCCTTATGCCAGCGACATTTCTAAGCAAGCGCCAACCCGCCCACCACCACAACAGCGGCGACATACACCTGCTCCATAACCCCATGTGTCGCTCTTGCCGCAGCACCGCTCGAAGTACTCGAGGGAGCAGCTTCTGTGCTTGACGGCGCTGAACTACTTGTAGTAGTAGAAGAAGAAGAAGGAGGGGGAGAAGAAGAAGAAGCAGTATTAGTAGAAGTAGGAGCACTTGCCGATCCAATCTCGTCAACACCGTCTGGCGCATTGTACAACTCATTCCCATCGCTCGCCATCGTCCATCCCAACGCAGTGCCATCACTGCTCACAGCTTTTCCACGCACAAAGCCCTTCAGCTGCGCATCTGACAGATCAATCGTTGTTTCGAATCCTGTCCTTCTTGCAATAGTGACGTTGGTCCAGGTGCGTGAATCGCTAGCATTGGCCGTGCATACAACCCAGCTCTCAACCTCGGTGGCACCGTTCCAAGAGAAGAATGCCGTATTTCCGTCTTGATCCCAGTGCACATCTGGCTTGGTCGATGGCTTGCCTTCCCATTGTTGGCGGTACGCACGATATGCGTTTACCACGTTGCTCTTGCCGAACTGTACATCGAGGAGGATATTGCCTTGATGATCCAACTCGGTGAAGAAAGGCTGGCTGCCAAACCCAAGCATGAAGTTTGTGGTTTCATTGGAAGGGTCGATGGCTTGCAAGCTGCCTTCGAATGTTGCAAAGGTCTTGCCTTGATTGGTGAATTCAGTGATGAGTTTGACAGTCTTCTCGTCCTGATTGACATCGAGTAAAAGGCCTCGCGAGTAGCTAATGGTCTCGGTGGGTCCATTGTCGAAAATAGTCATGCGAGTTTGGTCGTCGTTCAGCCAGCGAGCATCGTGTTGGAAAGCAAAGTTGGCAGCTGGGTCGACGTCAAAGTCTGATTGCTTACCCTGAAGCCGCCAGATGATGCTTCCGTCCTGGCCAGATATCTTATAGATGCAGTCCATAACACGCGCTGAAACTAAGTAGTCGCCATTGCTATCCTTCTCGACGGAGTTGATATGGAAATAGTCCCACGGCGCTTGTTCGGACTGGCCAACATCTGATGGTAGCGAGTTGTACGACTCGTTGATTCCAACATGAGTGCTCGCATTCCACTCGAAGACAAGCTCGCCAGTCTCGATATTGATCTCCTGGAACGTATTCTCAAACAGCCAACCATTCTCAATACCTCCTGATGCGGTCAAATCCCATGGAATACCATGGTAGATCAAGACGAGCGCTGTATCGTCGGCAGTGATGTCAAACTCATGAATATCGCCCATTTCTTCACCGAAGTGGTTGACCTGAAAGTGCGCAATCTCGTCATAGCTTTGGTTGAGGATATGATACGAACCTCGTCCGTAGCCGTTCAGCAGCTCTCCAGACCAGAGTGTAAGTACAGGTTCGCCCTTGTAGGTTTGTGTCTTGAAATCGAAGGGCTCGCTGTAGTTCCCTGTCCACACGAGCGACCCCATGCGATCATCCGAGAATTCTGGTTATACAAGTTAGTACATGGATGCGGTATTACACGATAGGCTTGATCTAGCCCAAATGCAGGGATATCCAAAACCTAACCATCTTCCTGGAAAACAAAGAAACATACCAAATATCGCTGGCCAATTCTGCCCACTCGTAGGCAGACCATTGATCCCTAGAAACACATACCCGCTCTGCAACGCCGTCCCATTCCGATTGATCTGCATCTGCGGTGGCTTCACCTCCGCATTCGACATGTACGTTTGGTACGGCGTGCCGCTTGGGTCTGAAGCTCCATAGCTGTCGAAGTCATAGCTGACAGAATCCTGTGCGGCAACAAAAGGCAGTAGCAGAGATGAGAGCTTCAACAGCGACAGGCTAGCTCGAGTAGCGACTGAGTGAACTCCGTGCATGATGACGGCACACACGTAACGACCGACTGAAGTACAACCAGATGAAAGCGACAGAGACCAGTAACCAAGGTATCCAGAGCACAAAGAAAAGCACAAGCAGGTTGAGAGCAGAAGGGATACAGAAGTACCGAAAGGCGGTAGCCTACAATGTATCCCGACCAGTGTGCGGCTTGTTGGATTCCCAGCTCATCTCCCCAATCCGGTCTGTCGATTGCTTACACTTGGCCCGGATAAGCAGAGCAAGCCACGCTTACCAGGTCTAACACGCCTTCTTGGGCGCCCGGACAGGTCATGGGGGATGCGACCCTCTAGATGCAGCTTGTAGCTTGTACTTGGACAACTGCAGGGTGTGGGGCCGCGGCATGACATACCTAGTACCAGACTTTCCCATCCTACAAACCTTCCATCACACGTACAATAATGCTAACAGGGCGCTGGCTATGGCTACACATCTGATGTGCAGAGAACACACCCGTACGCTGGACAGATTTGGCATGACGAAGAATAAACAGCAATTGAGTGTCAGGCGTGCTAACGGCTCGCGTTGACTGTACGGCTGATTGTGCTGTACGCCACATATCAATGGCGGTTGGTGCGTCGAGCGGGCTGGGAACATGATTCGTACGTTATCGCCACATTCTTTCACTCTCGCTTATCGGTTTCCCTGTTTGACGGAAGATTAGTGATGGCTAGAACGGCACCATGACTCCACGCACGTGAGACGATATCCTGGTAAATAAGGCATTGTGATGTCAAGCCGCAGTGCATTTGTTCGGTTCAGCATACCGTCTTGACCTCTTGGTCTGTTATGTAGACTGACTCTATTTGCTCATGAACTTGCTCGCAATGTTGAGCGCGCTGCCGAGAGCGCCTCCAGAGCTACCACCGCCGCTTCCACCGCTGCCTCCGCCCATCTGCGACTTCAAGTAGAACTTGAGAGCCATCTGTGCAGCCTGCGCAATGGCGTCTTGCTTAGTAGCAGCCGGATCCTGCGTATGTCAGTAATAATCACAGGTTTATGGAAAGCTTTTGACCTACAGTCTTGCCCTCGCTTTGTTGCTTGTCAAACAGCTGGGCTGCCTGACCCATGGCCATACCGATGAACTTGTTCTGTCCGCCCTTGGCATCCTCGTTGCTGCTGTTGTTGAACATCTTCATGGCTTGCATAGCGGCAGCAGCGCCGACATTGTTTGAGCTGGCTTGCTCGTTACCGCCATGGCCACCGCCACCATAGAACTTCTCGTGCTGCTTGACTGCATCGTCTTCATCCACATCCTCGTCCTTGAGTTTGTCCTTCTTGCCGGACAGCATACCGAGCACATTACTGAAAAGGTCATTGTCGCCGCTGTTTCCAGACTCGCTCGAAGCGTGCTGGGCCGCACCCGAGAAATCGTCCGAGGCACCACCATAGCCACCGCCGCCGCCGTAGGACGTGCCAGAAGAGTGTTGGCCTCCATGGTTGCCTGATCCGCCATACCCTCCGGCGTTGCCTCCATAGCTGCTGCCTCCTGAGGGACGGTCGTTGTAGTTGTCACCGCCTGAGTAGCCACCGCTTGGACGGGATTCCTGACGCCTGTCATCACCATAGCCACCACTCGGGCGGTCGTTGTAGTTGTCGCCGCCTGAGTAGCCCCCGCTAGGACGGGACTCTTGACGCCTGTCGTCCCCGTAGCCTCCACTAGGACGGTCGTTGGCGTATCCTCCACCCTCGTGTCGTCGTCCACCGTGGTCTTCGCGCCTGTCATCGCCTAGTGCTGGGCCACCGTAGCCGCCTTCCTGTGGCCTTCCATATTCTTCTCTGCGCTCACCACCACCACCGCCACCACCACCACCGTAACCGCCAGAAGAGCCATAGCCTCCTCCTCCACCTCTCCTCTCTTCGTCGCCTAGAGCAGGTCCGCCAAAGCCACCTTCCTGAGGCCGGCTGTATTCTTCGCGACGGTCACGGCCGCCGCCATACCCGCCCTGTTGGTGTTCGCGACGGTCATCTCCGCGACCACCGTAGCCAGACTCCTGGCCGTACTCGCGACGATCGTCGTTGTATGACATGTTGGAGATTTAAAAGTCTATTTTCTTGTTAGTGATGATCAAGTAAAATATAACAGACTGCTGATGCATAGTGCCGATGCGATGATGAAGCGTAACATCCAGGCTCGATAGCTCGGTCTATGTGCTAAACACTTCCCGAGAGCGATACGAACATCCGAGAAAGGAAGCTCTTAGATGGTCGTAAAGGAGCAATGGACTTACAAGGTGCAATGGACTGAAGTGTGTGTGTGGATTGAGAGTTTGTAAAGTTTCAATGTGTGGATGTGTATGATGAGGAGGATGTCAGGCACCTAAGTGGCAGCTATAGCCCCTGTCGGCCTTGGAAGTTGCCTGCCCCTCCAATGCCCCTCGCTAGTGACGTATACCTGCACCCACCACGCGGCAAGCTTCCCTGTCGTGATCCGCATTAGTGTTACAGCAAATGCATATCACGTCACGTCGGGCAATTCAATGATTAGCGGTCAGGATCATCAGGTTATAATTGAATGCTCGTGCAACCATAGTCTCAAAATAACACTCGATGTATCATAGAACTCGAAAGAGACAGCTTGCATCCACGAGATGGCGCGCACAGCCAATTGACCATTATCCTATGATGCCAGCCTCTAGTAGTCATCGCTCCTCTTGTTTGAACCTCCATACCCTGAACTCTCGCGGTCATTGGACCCATAGCTGTCCTCATTCTTGCGTCCAGAGCTTCCGTACGAATCGTTGTCATCCCGACCCGCAGAGCCTCCGTAACCCGAAGAAGTGTTTCCCGAGCCATAGGAGGATTCCTCGGAAGCTCCAATGCCGCCAGGGACCTTGTTGCTTGAGCCGAAGTCGTCATTGTCATCACGGTTTGATGAGCCATAGCTTGACTTGTTCTTGCTGCCATATGAGTCGTCATCATCCTTACGGTCGGATGAGCTATAGTTGGACTGTTTATTGCCACCGTATGAGTCTTCCTTGTCGTTGTCGTTGCGGTTCGAAGAGCCGTAGCTGGATTGCTTGTTGCTGCCGTACGAGTCCTCGTCTTTGTCGTTGCGGTTTGATGAACCATAGCCTGAAGACTTGCTCTCCGAACCATAAGTGTTCTCGCTGTCGTTACGGCCCGAGGAGCCATAGCTCGACTGTTTGTTGCTACCGTACGAGTCGTCATCGTCATTGCGCTTTGATGAGCCGAACTCGGAGGTCTGATTGCCAGACCCATAGGAGTCGTCATTGCGGTTGGAAGAGCCATATCCTGATGACTTCTTCTCAGATCCATAGGTATCCTCGTCCTGATCCCGACCCGATGATCCAAGAGTGGAAGATTGCTTGTTCGAGCCGTATGTATCTTCGTCGTCATTTCTGCGCGTAGAAGATCCGTAGGAAGTGTTGTCGTTGTCATTCGACCCATAGCTGGACTTCTTGTTGCCGTAGGAGGAGTCCTCCTGGTCATTTCCATATCCAGAGGATTTAGATCCGTACTCGTTGTCCTCACGATTGCTGCTACCGTAGCCTGAGGTACGGTCCTCGCGATCGTTATCGTTGTAAGACATGATGAAGATTGGTGCTTGGTTGGAAGACTTGTGGACTGAGATTGTGTTGTGCAAAAGGAAGTTGGGGCTTATTGAACGCTGACAGTCATGGCAGGCCTCTGCATCTTTATATACACTCTTTGAATGGCAACGTATGCCTACCCCTCCATCGCCCCGCATCACCAAAAGCAGGTTCGGTGTTGTTCCTCCCGCTTGTGCTGTATGGATATCGCTGCGACCCCTGTGAAGCTGAGCCGTGAGCTACGGACCGCTCTAGATCTCGGCAAAGGCCGAGTGCGCGATGGTACAACGTTAACTCATCGCCAAAAATGCTATGGCGAGTTTCTCAGTTCCCATCATGTCACCGCAGAGCCACCGCACAGATGTGGCGGAGCAAGGTACTAGGACTTCCGATGTGGCCTGTCATAGTCCAGAACAATCTCTTCAGCTACCTTAGTATAACAGCGAGCGCACCGAAGCTGGAACTGCGGGATTAATGTAGTGGCTGAATCATGATAAACTGTGTTCGGATGCATCTGGAGTGTTAGAGGGGTAGCTTCCAGGTGGGCGAATAGAGCAAGGGCGATCGGACACGGGATGACCGACAGGTGGGACACCGAGCACGCAAGCGACATGGATTGCGAACTTGATGTATGAGGGCTGTGTACTCAAGCGTTTCTGGTAACGGTCAGATGGAGAGAAAGCTAGTCGAGATACAGAAGAGAGATATGGGGGTTGGCAAGCCATGCGTGATCGCGCTCATATGGTAGGTACATTCTGCTAGTCTGTGCACGTGACAGACCGAACAGGCTTGAACGAACACAAACCCATGGATAGCTAAAGTTGGCTTCTGAACGATCAACACTGTAAGTAATTTCACATACACACGTCACCCACGGATACCTTCATTCTGATTTACCAGCCGTCTAGGCGTTGCCGTTCGCTCCTGTGCCCACCATCTTCATCATCTTGACCAACGCATCCGTTTTACCATACCCCACTGCATCTCTGGTTTCCTTCATCAAGCTGCTACAGTCAGTTCCGTTACACGGTAATCGCATCGTTGTTTTCTACCTCCATCCGGTGCAGAACCACACCCCGTAGTCTTCTGACTTTTCGCCTTCTCGTCTGCACCTTGACCCTGTAGATTTACGCACGTACTCTTTGCAAAATGGTTCACAGCATAGATACGTCTGCTGTTCGATCCATCTTGTGGCTTCATTCGTCCCAGGGTATGAAGGTCTTGCAAATCCCTCCAGGCTCCGCTTTGTATCATATTTCCGTTTCCCTCTAATTCTCGGTTGGTGGGTGTAACCAAACAAGCGACATAGATCTTTGGCGTGGTTGTGGCCATATGGCTACTTGTCCTATGTAGAAGGCCACTTCCCTTAGTACAGGCGTTTCTCTAGCTTTTAGGTAAAGTATCAGGCATAACCTCCTGTAATCCAGCAATAGCATGCTGGAGCTTTCCTACCATTGACAATTGACCGAAAAGTTCAGCAATTGAAAGCGCCGTACTACCATCTTACGTGATGATAGACAAATCAGCACCCCCCTCGGTGAGAACATCAACTACACTCTCATGCTCGTTCACGACTGCCTCGATCATAGGTGTCCAATTGTCCCAACTCCGTGCGTTAATGTCGCAGCCATACCCCTTGAGTCTCTTCGCTATGCCCAAGTCGCCCCCACGGCAAGCTCGGTAGAGTAGAGTTGCTCCGGACACTGAAGGAATATGTGGGTCAGCCCTATACTCTAGCAACGTTTCCAGTACCTCTGACGCACAGAATTCGGCGGCGAAATGGACCGGAGTCATAAGTCTCGGAAATTCTGGTTTCGAAGTCGGCTTATTAGCATTCGCGCCATGGCGTAGCAGGTAATTCGTCATGTAAAGGTTGTTTTCTTTCGCTGTTACAGTAAGGCATGTCAAACCGTTCTCAAAGTTGTGGTCCAACAAGGGTAGTCGATGGATCAGGCTTCTTGCAACGTCATTCAGTTGGAGCCAAATGCATATGCATATAGGGGAATAACCGACAAAGTCAGTATAGGGGTATATGCTCGCAACCAGGTCCTGCCATCTCTTATAACAAGGCGGTCCCTCGTCGGTGTCTAGGAATAAATCCAGAAAAGGTATGGTCGTGTTTCTTAGTATCCAGTAATTTCCTGCGATCATGGAATGCTTGAACCAATTGAGTGCGGCATATCGTCGAAACGTGTAGCTGTTACCAAAATCCAAATCTAGACCGCACTTCAGTGGCATATTGAAGCTATCGAATGTGAGATATTGAAGGCATATACCAGTTATCCACGCGTGTGCTGCTTCTTTATCGACGTAGAATACACTGGCTGGACCTTGTCGGATGGCATCGGAGCAGAGATACTCTTGGAATGAGTAGTGACAAAGTTTCACTACGCTGCGTAGTGACCCCAATCCTTCAATCCGAACAAGAGCAGAGACAGTTTCTAATGCGTCGTATGGATCCGTGGATACGGTGTCTTGATCTAGGTCGCGCTCGTCGGGTTGCATGGCGAAGACTTCTGATAATTTGCGAGCCGTAAAGGGCTCAGCAGCAGCCACAAGACACCGGAACAATTTTTGCATCTCTCCGATCCTTGTCGGGTACCATGTCGCAATACCACATAGAAGTGTTTGGTACGTGTATCCAAGTCCATTAGGTAATCTTTGTATCTTGTTTTTGATTTCCTTGTCCGACTTTGATGTACAAATGTAGTCGATGCGCAACCGTGCTTGTCATATTCTAGATTTCGTTAATCGTCTGTCCTAAACCATACATGATGCTTGCTGAGCTTTGCACCACAGTATACCCAGGGTGAGAGAAAGTGAACTTACGTGCCCGCATGGAAAAAAACGCATTGCTGTATGGCAGGCAAGATGCTATCGTTCCTGATTTTCTGTACGCCTTTGGCGAGACGTAGTCGAAGTTCCTCCTTAATGTAATGCTGGATGTCGGAACGCATGTTCTCCGCAAGAACGACATGTGCCATGACAAGGGTCGGATATCGCTCTTGAATACGAGCATCGAATCGGCTCGTCAAAAAGACTCTGATATGGCAACCCGCATTTTTTCCGGAGTCGTGTATCCTCGCGAGACTTTGGGCTATAGTATCGCCCTCAGTAGACTCATCAAGTGCATCCACAATAATAAAAACCTCCTTGAGACTTTCCACAGTGGAGCAGATCAGTGGTATATGCTCATCTTTATTGCAAGGGCGACTACCTTCCTTGAACTTCTCTTTGTATAGTACTCTGCCTCGTTCGAGACACAAAGACGAAGCTTCAATCATTCGCCTCACGATGCTCGCGGCAAAATTTTCATGTGTTGTTTTTGCGCGATCACGATGCTCGCAGAAGAAGTAGACGACTGCTGTGGTATATGTACATAGCTGCTGGACGTCTCGGATGATAGAAGCACAGAAAAGCGTTTTTCCCGATCCTGGAAGGCCCGTTACCCACATGGTGCCAATATCTGAGTCTTTCCAATCCCGTACCTACTTGGAATGTAAGAGCCATGTTCCAGTGCCGGAATATGGCAGCTCAAAGCACTTGCAAGGCTGACATGGGCACCATCGGATGGCGTTGGAGAAACCCACATTACCACCTTACGTGCTTCGTCACGACTCACCTGCGTACTGAGCTGTTCGGACACATGCTTCATATCATCTGAGAGTAGGTCTTGTCCTATCTCGATGCGCCGCATCGCGGACCCGTGGACCGTTTAGGCCAGATGCTCAACATGGAGCATGTATACTCACGCCGAGTTAACCTCGATGGCATTCGCAAGTAAACAGCGCATACGATGAAGTCTCTGCAAGGCACCTTTCGTCTCTTTCTCTTTGAACGACCACATCAACTTCTTTCCAAAACTCCTCGCTTCTTGACCATTGACCTGCTCGCATTTGGCCAGCGCCCATTCGATCGAGTTGAGTGTAGATTGACACTCTTCAAAGATGCCAATGCATTAGAGGGCCTGCAGCGCATCGTCCGAAGCGTTTTTAGGTGTTGATTCTGCGGCTTGCTGAAGTTGAGCGAGAAGGCTATTGACAGCAGCAGTTTCCGTCAGCAGACTCCGGATCTCGCTAGGCGCTTGCGCGACTTTAGATAAGAAACTATATCCCTCGATGAGTAAGGCACCACTTAATTGCACGAGCTGAGCGACAGATGCGACCGTGCTAATGATATCAGCCATGAGAATTGAATGCCGGCAAACACACGAAATTGATCGTTGTGAGTGTGCGGAGTGTAGGAGTCTGCAAGGGCAGGTGGGGAGCACCTCTCTCAGGGTCATCCGATGCTGCTTCCAAGAATCAATGTCGTATCTGCAGTCCTAGCTTTACACAGACTTCAGATTCTGGAGCCTAGAACACGACTGCAAGAGCATACACTCAAAAATCGATTTAAACTATGTCCATCTTGCCACCCAGCACAAATCATCAAACATCCCTCCAGGATCTTTCCGTTGGCAGTGCCTCTTCGTCTACCTCATTTCTCCCCTGAAATGCTTCCACTAAACCCCTCATTTCCTTCAGATCCTGAACAAGTATGCTGACATTCTGTTTCGCCATTAACAAAAGAGCGTCAAGTTCCTTCTTCTTAAGAGGGCCCTGTGCTGCTCTGCTAAACGACTGAGGCTGAGGCTGAACCACATAACTTTCTGGCCTATGAAAGTCCAACAGCTCGTTGTCCTGAGTGCTAGTATTTGAGGCACGTGAGAACATGCAGGCTAAAGGCCCACGGTACTTTCCGCGCCTTCTCTGGATATCGTTAAGTGTGCGCCAAACCTCCCATTCGCGCTCCCAGCATCCGGCCAAAACCTTGTTGCTGAAATCTACTATGCGCTTGAGTTCTGCAGTCTCTTCCTGTAAACTGAGATTCCCTGCATCGAGTTCCCTAATTTGGAGGTGCCTTTGCTCCAGGTGCGTGCTAAGATCCGGAATGAGATCCTCTTCTACGCCAATGACGCGATCTTGGAGACCGTAGATAGCAGTATGTAACTTTCGGACAAGATGTATGTCTACCGGTGTAACCGACGTGGAATTGCTGGGTAGCATGGGGCCAGGAAATGGCGGAGGATGCGGAGGAGCTGAATCCTGGATGCCGTTGTAGTGAAGAACGAGCTCGGATGGTGTTAGTAGAGAACGGAGGAGGACGAAGACATGCTCTGGTACACAATCAGGGGGTGACGGTGGGTGATGGCGGGGGTCGTCACTTGAATCATCGCTGGAGCTTGATGACGGAGGGTAATAACCTGGTGGTACACCATTGGTCAGTTGGGTTCGGCTCTCTTCATTGCCTCCTCGTAGTGGCAGATTAGTGGGCGTGGGAGAACGGTAGACAGTGTCATTTGGACTCAAATGACTGTAATGTCTAAGACTAACATCATTGGATAATCGTTGCTCTTGCTGCTGCTCTTCATTTTCTACGATACCCTCCAGTGACTGCGACCGAGGTGATTGCCCATGATGAAGACGATCATGAAACTCACTTCCAGCAATCGGGTAACTAAAGTTTGGAACAAGGTCGACATCTACCATAGTAGTAGGGGGGGTATTTCCAAACCCTGTACCAACAGTGGTAGAGCTACGTTGTACCCTTTCTCTGATTCTTGCCCGGATTCCGGGATCGACAGCCTTATTGTGTAGTATACTGTTAATCACTGAATTCCATTTCAGTAGTTCGGGCTGTTCGGTTCTGATCGACGCACTACCTGGCAGTCTTGTTGAAGCATGGGCCTGGGTTCGTATTTGTGATGAGGTTGCTTGAACTGTTGAGGGAGACGAGTCAGTCTGTAACACTATGTCAAGAGTAGTTTCAGAGGCAGCTATCGGATGCGGTGGTACGGTGGACATTGACGTCGTCGGTAAGATGCGTACTGGAGTAAATGCATCCACATTGACCACCCCACCGAGGTCGGTGTATACACAATTATCCATAGGGAAGTCCATGAAACCGTCCCATTCCCTAGTACCAGGTGTGATCGGTCCCCGAGGTGGAGACGGCTGTCTAGGAGGTGATAGTATACGCTCTGAAACCTGTGCTCGCCGAACTGCAGGCGTCCGGCCACTCCGCTCCTCCCACTGCCTTAGGTTTTCTGTATTCTGTGACGCCGTCAAGTATTCACTCGGTACAGGCCTTGGAGGCGGCTTCCGCTCTCCTTGAGTGTTCGGACGTCTTACTGGGGTCCTATGCACCTCCTGCCTAAGCTCTCCACCCGGCGGGCCAGCGTATATTGGCTCTACGTCAGATGCCAGCATGATGCTGTTGAAAAAAAGCTGCTCTCGCGGATATATGTGGCCTGTGTATGGACCTCTGTCGATGATTACCGGGAGTTCGTCAGGCGAACCACTACCTCTGGGCCCAATACGTCCGTCATCAAGGTCGTTCTCAATCTTGTCAAGTGCCCTCTTCCTCTCCCTCTCACGTTGTCTCTCCAGCTGTTTTGGTGTAGGAGACGGCTCGTGGATCGTGTAATAATGAGCAGGGCGCTGAAAGGGGTGTTTGAGCCGCTGGAATGATGGCATATTCGTGGTTTGGGCGCTGGAACTCGGGTGTCGTAGATGCTAGATGCTAGATGCTAGATGATCCAAGAAGGCCAGGATGTGGGAACTAGTGCTCGATCATGAGGACGCATGTGTTGTTTGGCCATTCCATGTGTTCGATTGTGACAAAAGGGCGTTTGTGGTTGTCCTTGCTGGTGATTCGCTTCAGTGGCAATCGCAGAGCTTTGCGTGACCATGTTGATGTCCGAACACGTCAATCTGCCGTAGGGTTGTGTTAGCATTCAGGCTATCTTAGCACAGAGAACAGGAAGGGCACGATGGATGTTGTGAGAAAGGCGGTCCTGAGTAGAAAGGGTACCGTGATGTATTTAGGCCTGAGGGTATTATTGCCGACAGCGTTATAAATATACACTACTTGTATTGTAGTCTCTTCCAGTGAGACACCTACTGCGAAGCCATGATCGTTGTTCGGGGTATGCAACAATCGTAAATGCGCCAGGGTAAAAGAAGAAACCGCTCCATGACTATGCAACCGCGAGAATGCAGATGAAACGCCCCCATACCGTGTAATCGTAAACCGTAACGCCGAAGAACCTCAAAACCTCTTCTTAGCCTTGGCAGCCATGGCCGCTAATTTCTTCTTTCGTTCTTCCTTCTCACGCTTCAGTCGGTTCTCCTCAGCCAGTGCCTCAGCGTCTTCCTTCTTAGCAACCTTGAGGGCTATCTGTTCCTCCTCTTCGACGTCCCAGATACCACCTTCCATGTCAGAGGAACCATCCGAGGCATAGTCTTCTTCTTCGTCTTCCATATCACTAAGTTCGTCCCAGTCTGCATAACCGTCGTAGCGTCCCTTGGCCGGGTTCGGTTTTGCCTTGACGGCTGGTGTTCCATTGCGACTTGATGTTGCAGGTGCACTTGCTGGACGGGCAGTTCCTTTGTATCCAACTTCGACAGGCTTCTTGGCCGGCCGTGCTGTACCTTGATAACCAACCTCAACTGGCTTCTTCTTGTCTTTTGATAGGTCGGCTCTTGGGTCTAGGGTTCGTGAGGGTAGTCCAGCAATGGGCTTCTTGCCCTTTGCCCCGGCGCTTGCTTCTGCCTTGAGTGCCAAGCGCTCTTTTCGTGACAATATCTTTGTTGGCTCATGCTTGATTGGCGGAGCAATAGGCTTTGTCGCGTCCTTCTCTTTGGCTTTCTGAAGCATAGCGAGATATCCTTTCTTAGGTGCGGCGGACGAGGCTGGTGTTGATGTGGTGGAGGCGGGTGTAGGCTTGGGCGCAGGCGCAGTGGTCTTGGGTCTAGCAGCGGGTGCATTTGACGACTGTAAAGGCTTCCGGATGGGTGGGATTGCTGGTTTCGATGATGCTGGTGCGGCAGTTCCACGGTATGGGACAGCTGTGGTAGATGGGGATGGAGTAGGTTTCGACGTGGCAGGTGACGAGGTGGCACGCGCCACACCATTTGCCTGCGCTGATCCCCCGACAGCCTCCTTCCTCTGTATCTTGGCTTGTCCACTCTCGACCGGTCCTGATGCCTTGCGCTTCAGCTGAGGCATCTGCGATGCGCCATTTGCCCCTCCAACTGGTCGCGACACTGGCCTAGGGGCTCCGGCAGGCGGGGCTTGTTTGGGTACTGTCGCCTGTGTCTTCACGCTCGGGTCGATTATAGACATGATGTCTTTGAGAGACTAAATGATTCAGTCAGCACACGGGAGCCGGCGTGAATGAAGTTGGCGGACTCACATTCATAGTGGGCAGCTGATAAGCGTTTGACTCAGGGCTACCGGTCGTCAAATCGATTGGAGGGCAAGTTGTACATGCTTTCCGGGTAAGAATCTCCGGTGTAAATAGTCGTCGGTGACTGATCGCGCGCGCGGACGAGGCGAGGCGCACGGGACCGGTCGAAGATTGAAGAGGCGAGCGGCCAGAGAATGAGCGGTCGGCGGCGGCGCAGACAGGTCGGTTTTATACCTTCGGCTTTGCCTAGCCCAGCCACACGTGACAAGGCGGGCGTTTTGCGCTAGGCGCTTCGTGGTATAGCGCAAGTAGCGAAATCCCACCAGAAGTCAATATTCGCGGACCTCGAACTTTTTCTTCTGAACGACAACCTACAGCACGAACTTGTAGCTTCAGTCTCCGGCCCCGACGGTACGCATCACTCTGGATTTCTTTCCAGCGGCGCAATACTGACAAGCGCAGGTTAAATCGATTGAACTCCTGTTCCTACACGAATCACCAAAACCGCAATCACAATGAAGCACCTCGCGGCATACCTCCTCCTCGGCCTTGGTGGCAACACCTCGCCCTCTGCTGCCGACGTCAAGGTAAGAGATCTACCCACGCCTCTCTATATCGTTGTCTAAACCTAACACTGCAACAGGCCGTCCTTGAGTCCGTTGGTATTGAGGCTGACTCCGACCGTCTCGACAAGCTGATCTCCGAGCTCGAGGGCAAGGACATCAACGAGCTCATCCAGTCCGGTTCCGAGAAGCTCGCTTCCGTTCCCTCTGGTGGTTCCGGTGGTGCTGCCGCTTCCGGTGGTGCTGCCGCCGCTGGTGGCTCCGCTGAGGCTGAGGCCGCTCCTGAGGCCGCTAAGGAGGAGGAGAAGGAGGAGTCTGACGACGACATGGGTTTCGGTCTCTTCGACTAAGCGCATCGCCGAACTACGTCCGATTACGAAGTATGATACCGCCAATCTCTCGACTATCACGAGAATCATGCGTCATGAGTACGATTTGGGGAGTGTCGAGCGTGCACTGCAAGGGATATGGAGAAGGATACCGCGGCACTTGTAGAATAATTGCCTGCTGAGATACCCGGAACGAAGCCATGCACCTCCAAGTATCACAGCAAGTCTACTTGTCTTTTGTTACTACGCCATGCCCTTGTGATAATCGTGGTTATTTGAATGCGTAGTTATTGACCAAGGGCGAGTCGTTCCGGCGTGCGTTATGTTCCTGCTCGCAACAGTTTTGTCGAACCTTGTGGATTATATGTCACTCGTGGAATTGATAAGAAGTTGCGATGATCGTGAACAAGCATACTAAAGGCCATCATAGTCTCCGCCAACCACTGGAGCAACTACTGGGATACCCAGATAGGCTTGAAAGGGTAGTTTTCATGTAAACCTATCGCGAAGATCACCGCAATCGCTTCATGCTTCTCCTATGAGTGTGGTTGAGATAGCAACCCTATCGTGCATATCAAATGGAGTAGCGTTGTAGCAGAGTACTGAGACGATAGCCGATTTTTTGACATAATGCCCATCATGTTTATATGTTCCCATCGTGTTGGCACCTCGTACTAGGAAGAAACTGAACAGGTGCAGAGGTAAGAAACTGCGGTGCTGTCTACAACAGCATGTTTTAGGAAGAACAACAGTATTCATTACCTTATAGACTTCTCGTTTATATATTATGTACACTGTGTTCCTGTTCTAGTTTGTTGTAAGGTGGAAGAATGACTGCAGCTGGACCCGCGCTAAGGGATCTCGCTTAGCGCACGGAGCAGCTACACCTTCTAATTGTGAGCAACATCGAAATTAGACGACCGACAACTACCCTCGCGACCCCAACGAAGTTCTCCCATCAGCTACTTCGACAATCGCAAACATGGCTGACGCTGACTACGATCCCGAGGCCGCAGCTGGTACGCTCTTGCCCTCCCAACGAGCCCTTTCCACACACCCGCACCGCTTTCCTTGGATACATACACGCACAATGTGACAGGACATGGCTAACGAAACCAACAGCCCTTAAGGCGAAGAGGGCGTTCCGCAAGTTCTCTTACCGCGGTGTTGACCTCGACCAGTACGTCTCCCGATCCCCACGACTCTCCAAATCCGACGGGAAATGTATACAAATGGTGGCGGTATTCTGATTGATTGCAGGCTCCTCGACCTTGGCTCTGAGGAACTCCGCGACCTCGTCCACGCCCGTGCCCGCCGCAGGTTCAACCGTGGTCTCAAGCGCAAGCCCATGGGTCTCATCAAGAAGCTCAGGAAGTCCAAGCGTAGGCAACACTGTCCGCACAGTCGACGGGATATTGCTAACTCAAAACAGAGGAGGCCAAGCCCAACGAGAAGCCCGACCTCGTCAAGACCCACCTCCGTGACATGATTGTCGTCCCCGAGATGATCGGCAGCGTCATCGGTGTCTACTCCGGAAAGGAGTTCAACCAGGTCGAAATCAAGCCTGAGATGGTCGGCCACTACCTCGCAGAGTTCTCCATCTCATACAGGCCTGTCAAGCACGGAAGGCCGGGTATTGGTGCCACTCACTCTTCCCGTTTCATTCCTCTCAAGTAAACGAACTGGGTTTTGGTTGCATGGGTTCTTTCGTGGGGCGGATATGTACTTGACGACCTACAATGAATACAGGTGTTAGGTTCATTTACTCTCGATGGCTATGACGTACACAACGATCATGGCGGGCATGAAGATAGGGTGTAGATAGCACCACCATCACATTCGAGATACCTCCACACTGCTTCCTTTGCTAAGTGATGTGTACTTGTTGCGATTGAGACTTGTCAAATCCACTCACTGTACAACACTTGACATGTCATTCAACACTAGATGGAGAGACACGGCACACTACTAAATCCAAGGAGAGTGGTAATTACATTGGGTATAGTTAAACTAAGGAATGAGCAGTGTGTACTTCCTCTACCTTCCAAGGCGCATCTCAACCTTTGCAAAGTTATACAGGGCTCGTAAGAAGACTTGATAATTGACACCCTTGTTGTCCGGCAGGTGGCTTGTTGTAGGTTAGTAAAGAGTTTGACATTTGAGTAGGGGTAAACTTACAAGATCTCGGTCAACCTTAGCTGCCACGGTGGATACCCCTTGAGTTGCACTGTAGGACTAAAGAGAATCAAGAGATCCGGCTCACTCGAGACATGGTCGTTCAACTGGGCGTCAATCAAATCGGTGTTGATCTGCTCTTGTCTTACATCGCCCTTTTGCGCCATCTCGGCTAGTGTGCGTGTCAAGTCGACGATGGTGTCGCGGCCGTCGTGTTCAGAGAGAAGGAGAACGGTGAGGTGCTGACGTTCGTCCTCTTTAAGATCGTCATCGGCGCTCTGAGGAGGCGTGTTGGGAGGGGAGTATGATGATAGGTGGGGTGCGCGAAGGGAGAGAGTGGGCTTTCTACGGGGGCCGAAGTAGGCTTCTAGGGTTGACCAGATGGAGGCGTGGGTTTGAGGCAGGTAGTTCTTGAGTACGCCTGTTGAATGTTGTCAGCCATTTCCCTACCCTTGCGTATTTTGTTTGGCAGGAAGATTGTAGACTTACCCGTCCGTTCATAGACACTCAGAAACGGTATGCCGGCACTCGCTGCCCAGGCTGCTATCTCACAGACATCGTTCACTAATCCTTCCAATCCGGCTGTACCCTGGCTTCCATCGTCCTCTTGATATTCAACAATGACACTGAGGTGCTTCGGCAGTTTCTCAAGGTCCTTGACATCGTGGGCTATGAACTCTGGCGTACGGTGATGGTACTTGAGCAGAGAGACAACTTTCCCTCTCACGAGTCGGTAGGCGCGGCGGAAACGGAAAAAGATGCTGAACAGGAGCGCGACGACATGGTAGATAGCGAGATGGAGGAAGGTCCTGATGGGGCCTGCAAGAGGCTTGCGGTTCTGTGATGCGCGTTGGCGGCGGTCGCGAAGGGCCTTCTTCTTTTGCGCTTCCTTTTCGCTATCCGATGGTTCAGAGGGAAGGAAAGGCTTTAACAGTTCCTCGCGCTGCTGGACCGAGAGTTGCTTGCTTCGTCTAAAAGCGGCTTCTTGCTTGGGGGTCAGGCCTGTGGTAGCCATTGCGGGCGGTGTGGAGGGTGTTGAGCGACAAAATGAGCTGGACAGTCGACGTCTATGTATGGGGAATGAGGCAGTTAGAGTTTAACAGAAGGAGGGAAATAATGCGCGCGTTAGCTGGCCATGTCTGGTAGACATAAGATGATGGAATATCCCAGTGAGGCTGGTGCATACGAGGTACGTGTGGCGGCCGTTCCTGCCGAGCGTAAGCCAAGTATAGACGCGCATCCTGCCTGCTCCGCCATGCGCTGAGGCGTCATTACGTGGAAGCTGTCGCAAGTATCTTGAGGCTGTAGATACTCAAGCTGATTGTTTTGGATCTTTGTATACGTCCTACCAAGACAGGATTGGTGGCATCATAGTGCATGAGGTTACCCGTTGCTCCTTCGGCTGGAGCTGCTGCGACTGCGGCCCAGGGACCGAGGCGTGGGGTGCGACAAGCCACAATCGTCGACTTGGACATGTTACCAGCTAGATCACAACGCGCAAATACACCTACAATCAGAAAGACCTACTCTCTGCACCATGCGGGAGTGAAAGAGTAACATCCGCTAGCACACCTGGCAACTTCATGCTTTGCGACGATTCAAAACACCAGCTCCGGGGCAATCGAAGCGGCATTGGCCCGCTGAGTAGCTGCGATAGACGCCCTTAATACCATACTCGAGTGATACCCAACGCTGCAGGCGCATTTTTTCTTCTCTCTTCTACAACAATGCAGCGCATCAGCTCCGACGGATCGTCGGTACTTACCCACCAGACTTCGAGGACATCGATACGCGCACCACAGTTCACCCTAGAGAAGTTCACCGTAAGCAGCCATACAAGTTCAGGGGAGTTTTTATATTGACTTCCGCAGAGCAAAGACTTTCTAGTCAAGGACTTCATCGAGGATCTCTCCCAAATCGCCGTACCTGCGACACGAAGGTCTGGAGGCGCCGCTAGTCAGCAGACATTTGACCCGAAACCGCTTATCCGCACTTTCGAACATGCCCTCACACGACTCAACAGTCTATCCGAAGACCTGGAGGAGAAGGAGTCTGAGCTTTCAACAGCTGTGCGCCGTGCAGAGCTACAACACAACCAGAATGTTGAATCGCTAGGGAGGAGGCTGGAGGCGGCTATGGACAGGTTCCAAAGGCTAGACAGTTCGCTGAATGGCAATGACGAGGGAGGCTCAGACACAGGGGGCAACGTTGCGATGCGCATTGGAGAGCGACTCGAAGAGCTCGATCGCCAACGGAAAAGAGCCCTAGACGCAAAGTTCCTGATTGAATGCTGGCAGGAGGTCAGCGAACGGGGCGAACTCATGATCCTCGAGGACCAACGAAAGAACGGCGACATAGTGCGATGCGCCGAGATTGCACGCCAGCTGCTGCGCATCAGCACGCGTCTCGACCCAGAGGGCAGCCAGCGAGTCAACGGAGACGTACCGAACGGTATGAAGAGGAGAACTGTACATCAGTCAAGACACAACACGAAGGAGGTCATCGAGAAATTCTTGGAGAATCTTGAGCAGGATCTCCTCAGCAAGTTCCAGGAATGTTATGCACGTCCAAACTATGCTGGCATGCGCGACTGTGCCATTGCGCTGAAGGGCTTCAATGACGGAGCTAGTGTCATCGGAACCTATGTCAACCAGCATTCTTTCTTCATCGACCGCATGCAGTTGAACGGAGAAGAGCTGGCGACGGATGTAGAAACTTGGGATCGCCTTCAGGATCCTGATGCGGAACCACCAGGTGTAGAGCCCACACTGCAGTCTCTCATCGACGAAGTCAAGATCGTCGTTCAAGATGAATCTGCCATCATTAAACGAGCATTCCCGTACTACGAGGAGGTGCTGATCAAATTTCTGGAGCGCATCTTTCAGCAGTCAATACAAAGTCGGTTGGAGATGGTGCTCGACAAAGCAGGAGAGCTGTCATCACTCGCTTTTCTTCGCTCATTACAAGCCTCCAGAAGCTACATCACACAATTGGTGGATGACTTGAAATCACATGGGTTGACAGAGCATCCAGAGCCTGCTACATCGGCCGTCGCTGCTACGCTTGACCAGCAGTTGGAAGAGCTCTTCTCCTCCTACTTTATCGGAGAGAAATACATTGAGCGAGAGAAGAAGAATTTGGAAGAGTTGTACTCGTCGTTGCTGCTCAAGTTTACCATTTACCACTCGCGGCGCAGCAAGATGCCTACTTCCTACTTTGGGTCGCTGGCTCAGCGAGGCAAAGAGTTGGCGGCGTCCGCTCGCGACAAGTATATGGAACGACTGGAAAGTACCGAATTGCCCGCCAGTCAAAAGGCGACGCTTCTCCGTATTGCTGGCTTGAAGGAAGATCAGCAGGAGAAGAAGGACATTGAGGTGACCGATGAGGATGGCAAGCTGTCGCTACCAGTCGCCAAGCGTATGCTCAAGTGGTTGGCAGAAGGTGTCGGGCGTGGGCTCGAGCTTTCGCCTGGTAACGAGACACCCAAGGATGTGCAGATACTGCTTAACCTTCTACTACGGCAGATGGGCGAGATCTACCTGGAGACAGCACTAGACGCGTAAGTCATAAATTCCTAAGCTGAACACATCACTAACATTGATCCAGCGCACAGGATCATGCCGTTTCGCAAGAGAACTCCAAGACACCCCCTGATCTCACTCACCTCCCATCGCTGCATGCCATCACTACAATCCTACATCTTCTCCAACAAACCACTACAACTATCCTTCTCCCCCTCTGTACACCCAACCTCACCATCCACCGCGAAATCGAGAAGTCCACTAACAACACAACGTCAACTCTCGAGTCAAAATTGTCCAACATTCTCAATCTCACATTAACAGCGTCGCTGAACTGGGTGAGCAGATGTTTGTCTCAACAAAAGAAGACCGACTTCAGGCCCAAAGAGGAAGACCTCATGGTAACAAGCGAGACGCAAGCTTGTCGCGACGTCTCTGCATTCCTGACCCGCGTCGCCTCCCAAGCCTCTGCTGCCCTCTCTGGTCGCAACCTCTCTTTATTCCTCGCTGAACTCGCTCGTGGTCTGCGGTCCCTCGTTCTAGCCCACTTGCTCAAGTTCTCCATCTCACAAGTAGGCGGTCTCAGTGTATCCAAAGACATGAACCGCTACGTTGAGCTCGTAAGAGGATGGCCTACAGGCGATGAGCTGGAGCCTGGAGCTATGGATGTTCTGACGGATGTCAGTACGTTGTTCATCATTGGACCTGAGGCGCTGAGGGACAGGCTCAGGGCCGCGGGTGGGCAAGATGCGCAAGAGCTAAAGGGGTTCATTGCCAGGAGGGACGATGTTGGAACTGTTGGGGTGCAAAGTGTGCTTAGTGGCTTGTAAAGTCTTTACATTCTTATGAGACTTGCGAAACTATTGCGAGCTACATGTGGGGCAATTATATTCATACAAGGATCGTGATAATGATCTATCTGCTTAATTTCAGCCCTTTCGCAGGTGTGACAGATCACAACGCTCACTGCTGGCACGTTGCGAGTTCGCGACACCTACGCTGCCCATATCGTTACGTCAGACGCACTCTACCCAGATGGTGACGGCGTGTCTATTTACTTCAAGTTTACGTTCACATTCGTAGTCATTACTCGTCGCTCACCATCCACCACACACTAGCTGACTATATATCGCATCATCCTCGACAATCAAGCCCACCGCGCTCTACTCCTAATCATCGCCCGCTGGGAGATCGAAAGGCGCGACCAAGAGATTACTGCACCTACTAAGACTAGTCGTATCACAAATCATAGGAGCACTATCGTGACTGGAAGCGAGGCGCGGCCCCAGGCAGCTATGTGAGCGTTTTCAACCCCTCGTGACGTTCGAGAGTCGCCAACGGATTGGTCTCTAGCACTCAGTATAACAGCAACTATCCACTCCTGCATCTGCTAGGCGAGATCCGAAACCAGATATACCATTACGTTATTGGAGGTCATGAGGCTGCCCCAATCTATGGGGAAGAAAACACGAACTACGTGGAACTGGAAGTTTCTCTCTACAATGAAGCTGGTGAAACCGAGCGATGCTGGGCCGATCCATTCAATCTCAGTCATGTATGCAAGTAGCTCAACCAGAAAACTAAAGCCTTGCCCTACACACTCACCGTCTTCCAAGCAAGACTGTGTACCGAGTTTGGTATGTTACTGAGCTTGCTCAAGGAGGACAAAATGAAGCTCATTATACTATTTCGTTCGGTTTCAAATACCACCACAACGTCGATAGTTGGTGGTACGAGGTTACAATTCCGGATGGATTGTACGACTGTACTAGCAAGAAGGCCGCTGTGTCTCGTGTTACTTTTAGTGCAGGCTAAGAGAGCATGGTGAGGCGATAGGTTGGATATACAGATGCGAGTATCTTTCTCGAGAACAACATCTTCAGTATATTGAGCAGACTGAATAGATATACTTCGAATTAGAGTTCGCAAATAAAGAGTAGAGGGTAGTAATGAGCTTTCACATGCGTACTCTTAGTTCAGTAAAACTAATCTTTCTCGGTTATCTCCTGCTAGAGCGCGTGCTTGCGATCCGACTCAACACACATTTTCTAATGATTGTTAGCTGCACACTACGTCTGCAATAATCCCTTCTTTGATCTCAGCGACGATGATAAGAGTCTAGATACTTTCTTGAGCGTAGAATCGCAGTCGGAAACTATCATCGGTGCGTGGGGAGTTCATTACAGATACCCAGACCTTTCTTTGTAGATCGCCTCAAATCTCTCAAACACATGCTGGTTATGAGCTGACAGTAGCTCCTGGGTAAGTAAATCTGACCTACATAGCCCGTTAGCAATAACATATTGTTAGTCTACGCTCATGAAGAATGACTAAATCACGAGCATACCCTGACCTTTACCTCCATCCCTCTAATAACCCTCCCCACCTCCTCGAAACACTCCCGCATGGGAACAGTCGCTTCTACACCGCTCGGACCCCACATCCTTATCTCCTTGACCTCTTCATCCGTCAGCGACGTAGTCGAGAAGATGGCGTGAACAGGCGGTAGACACTCCACAACCCTTACAACCAAGTCCAGATGGGTAAGCCCTGTGAACTTCGCTAGAACGCTCGATGCAAACCACAGTTTTGACTGGCCCATCACACAATCCACTTTACCAAACAGACCGATGCTATACAATGGAAGAGCGAGCTTCCGGATTAGTGACAAGTTGTGTGCACCGATTCGTTGCCAGAAACTCGTAATAAGAGGCAGGTAAGCCTTGTTTGCGATGCATCGGTACAACGCAGACACTGCAAAAAGCAAAGAAGTAAGCCCATACTTCTTTTGATGTCTGCCAGCTTGTCAGGAGGAAGTTGTGAAGTATGCCAAAGGCAGACATTGGAGGACTTGAATGTTATGGCGGTAGTGGAGGCGGACTATAACGGATAACACAGTGGAGTGGTGCTTGTTGAAGATATATCGGTAAATCTGCTGGCGGATCTCGAGAGGAAGTTGTTCGAGGTGCGATCGGGCTATCCGGGTTGATGTGGGCGAAGAAATATGACTTGGTGTTGCTGAAAATAAAAAAGCCGTAATGCTAACATCATTTGAACAAAGCAGCCTGACAGCTCTGTAGGACTTTTGGAATGTGAAGCCGGCGGGCCGCCAAGGTGAAGCGATGAATCAGGTAAAGGCTACAATCAACTATGTGAGTGCAATATTGGAGTGATTCGGGCTCGATAAGCAGCCTGAGCGATTGAGTAAATTTGGGGTAGGAGCGTCTCGTAACTTCGAAAGACCCCTATTAACCACCATAAACAGCCGATTGTCAATACATTACATGCTAACATCTGTTCGACCCGCTTATTGGTACACTGTTATAATTTTGCTGGTTTGTCAAATGCAAAGAGCGACCTCCCCTTCTTCTCTCCATCTTGCCACACCCACCCGCTCTTACCCACAATCTCTCCCATACCACTAGCCATTTTTCGCATTGTGCTATCATCACCATGATTTGCGAGAAACCTTTTGTCACTGCTTTTCAAGCGACCGATGATGTGAGCTCGAAGCGGGCTGCCGTCGCGGTTGAACTCTACGGTGTATGTTTCGACAACAGCCTCGCCGTCTGGATCAAAAATGAGCTCCGGCACTGGCACATCAGTGATCTGCGGTGGAAGCGGGTTGTCCGTAGGATAGAAGCCGTCTTTTCTAGGTTCTTTCGACAAGATCACGACATACTGATAGCTCAAGACACCGCCATTGCAGAGAACCAGTCCTTTGTCACCTTTGCCGTCTCTTAGTTGTCTCGTCATATCGGTGAGTGCGTGCATCGAATAGTTATTGCCAGCTCCACCGAACGACGTCAGGCCGCCAAGTACTGTCAATGGTTTGTTGCCACCAACGACAGGTAGCCCGAGATGTTGCGCCGCAATCTTAGGCACGATTGGAAAACAAGAGTAGATGTCAAGGATATCCATCTCCTCCTTGGTCGCACCAGAAACCTTCAAACTGGCATCAATGGAGTGAGAGATACTGGGCGAAGAATAGAAGTTCGGTCGTTTCCAAAACTCGTCTGCATCTTTCGTTCCTGCGCCACCAAGCGGATATACCCATTTCGACTCTGGTGTACCTAGTTGTTTGGCGAAAGATGTCGATGTAAGGATAATGGCAGAAGCAAGATTAACAGTGTTGAAAGCATTCATAAGCAAGGGATCTACGCAAATCCGATGTAAGCGTTGGCTCCTAATGTGGAAAGAGGGAGGTCGTACAAGGATGACATATCATTCTGTTCTTCTTTCCAATCGTCCCGATCTCTTCTTCACTACTTGAACTTCCGTAACTCCATGCATACTCATTCTTCTTGGCGACTTCAGAAAATTCAGCATACAGCTTTGCGCTTTCATCGTGGTTTGCTTTCAGCGTCTGTCCGCGATGCGCACGGAATGCATTCTCGTAAAGTGGGTAGACATGTATCGGTGCACCGATCTTATGAATAGCGCCGAGGTCTTCGCGAGAGTCAGTAGAGGAGAGTGATTGCCAAAGAGAGGAAACCGCACTATTTCCTAGGTCTCGGCCTGTTGGTGTAAAGACCGAATCTACGGCTTCGGATGGCGCTGTCCAGCCCGGTGGGGGGAGCTTCTTTGCAGCTGCGCATGCCGATACTGGTAGAGTTAGTGATGGTGGTGGCGATGACAAGGAAAGATAGGTGGAACGCACATGAAGCTAATGCCTCACCCCCGGTTACAACCGCGACTTTACATTCGCCTTTTGCAATTCTCTTGGCCGCCTCGTCGAAGAGCTTCCCCGGTTTATCACCCCCATGCTCAGAGTATCCCTTCCATTTGAGGGTCCGTTCAACGCTCAGCTTCTCTGCCAGAAGCCCCGGCAGATCCGGGTACGGCCAAGTCCACGTCTTGACGACATCGATGCTGTCGATCGCTGACTGGAGATCGGTTTGCGAAGAACACGCAGTGTCGCCGATGGCTTTCCGAATGGCTTCCAGCATCAATGTTGCGGGCTCTTTTGCATCCGCGATGGCGTTTGAGCGATTCTTGATGTCGCCCACGCCGATAATGACGGGGGTGTTTGAGGACACCATGCTGGTTTACGAGATGGGCTGCAAAGCGAATGCGTATTGAACCTTCGTTTGCACAAAGCAGCGTCTAGTCATGGTCGCATACTGCAAAGATTGAGGAATGATATTAATTACATTTGAGAGAGTCATGACTGGCGTGAGGAGTAGGATTTGCCGAGGTACACACTCGGCGCGGACTACGGCGCGACTCCCAGGGATTACTTATAGTCTCCTCGGGCTTTTACCCGCCTGGATCTGAATCGGCACGAGATACGTGTATGTAGAAGTAAGGATCGCATATGAGTAGGATGAGGGTGGATGTGTTCTAGCTGGAGAGATGCGATGGTAATACCTCGGCACCTAGATAGTGAAGGGAGCTACTCTAGTGATATCATATGATGCAGGTACAAACATCCGAACCTGGTTCGAATAGGTACAAGTATGTGTTGAACTGCCAATGTTTCAATTCGAGGCTACTCTTTTCGATTCGGCCCACATACAGAGATGCCGATCACAAGACCGCCTTCAATACCACCGAGCGAGTAAGTCTTCACGTTGACAGGTAAGTTCCTTCCGCCACTTTTGGTGCGGTACTGGCTGGGGCGTTCCAATCTCTCCATGCAGCATATAGCAACACGACGAAAGCCTGTCCCTCAGGGTTAACACCCTCCAGTGGCGTCCTCTGGCCCTCATTCAGAGAGTTGACGACCGGGGCCGCTATACCAGTCTCCTCATCTATATGACGACCAACAGCTTCCAGCTTCGTTGTCGCCCACTCCGTATACCGCTCTCCGAAAATTACAGGCTCGAGGATCGCCATCCTGAAAGCTGTAGCAGCCATTAATGCCGTCCCAGCGACCTCTGCAAACCAACTCTCGTCATCGAGATAATTGCGTAGCAAGCCCGAAGTATCAGTATCAGCTTCCATGGCGCCATCAAGAATCCCTCGAGTCATCTTCAGTAACGCCTTCTGCTCGTCCTCGGTTTCCGACGCATATTGAGATTTCCGTAAAGTAGCCAAGACCCTCGCCATTCCAGCTGCAGCCCAAGCATTGCTCGTACACCATGCGCCGTCATCACTCTTCACACTGCCTACACTCTTACCATTGGCTATGTGTTGCCAATACCCTTTTTGCGTACTCAGCACCTCGCAGTATAGCTTGCATTGCCGGACGCTCTCCTTCACCATGCCTATATCTGCGGTGAAGATACCGTGGTAGGCGAGGGCAGGTGGTACCATGTAGATGAAATCCGCCCATAGGGAAGGGTACGCATCGCGGTGCGATATGGCATCATTAGGATATCTAGGCGTAGTAGAAAGCAGATCGCGCAGTTGGCGGTCTACGGCGGAGAGATATGGGTTGTCAGACCCGGGGAACGTTGCTGACTTGGAAAGGAGGAGAGCAGGGATGCAGAGGGATGTTGGATCGGAAGATGAACCTAACATTGCTGTCAGCATACTGTTCCTCTTCATGATGTGTCCAGTAAGTACTGAAGTCGCAGGGCTTACCATTTCCTTCACAAAGTCTCTTACTGTCAGTTTGTATGAATGGCTTCACATACTGCAGTGCTTCTATATCCTCGATCCCCAACTCTGGTATCTTACCCCCCGGAAATGGGTTATAAAAGACACCAACTTGAGGGTTCCGGTACTCGAGTAGCGCTTCGAACACGGTCCCATACTCCCAGCTGTGAGCTGCGTTTTCTCGCGCTCTAGCTAGCACTTTGTCAACCAGAATCTGCGGAATCATATTGTGTACTTTGCGACCGATGTGTCTGTATCGGTGCTTCGAGCCGACTGGGGCATGGAGCCTCAGGGCGCGTGAAGATACATCTGCGAAATATGACGTTGGCGTCGCCTGCGCCCGGTGGCACGCTGGGCGCCTTCGCTTCCTGCCGCGGAAAGAAGCTTGGTGAGGGGTTGTTCCTTCTTCCAAGCTCTTTTGCCGAAGCTTGACCCAACGGACTTAACTTGACAACGACAAGAAACAACATGCTTTTCGAGACAGGCTCGAGAGGTGAAGGGGCGGGCAAGTTGTCGTGGGTTTGCATGGGCGCGTATGACCGCCGTATGGCGTGATTTATCAGAGCTTAGCTACTTTACGGCTAAGATTTGAGAAGTGCTAGCTCTAGAGGTATGTGTAGCATCTTGGTGCCTGCCTTCGAAAGCGCGCACAGGTAGAAGGGCCGACATCAAAAGACATCCAAGGGTGTACGCAAGACTGTAGGGCCAACGATCTTGACTGGGAATGAAGGGCAATGCAGTGTAATCAAACTGACGTGATCTGGTGGTAACACCCCGGTTTTTCTCGAGTATTGGTAGGAAACACCAACACCAACAACGTTGCAGAGCCGGATCCTCGCATGGTGTCGTGGATCCTAGGCAACATACCTTGTATGCCTCGCTTCGAAGCTTCTCTATTGCAACATTGTGATATTCATGTGGAGCAGTTCAGCGGGGTGCACACGTTGACTGAGGTTGCGATAATGTAATGCCAAACGGTAGTAGAAGTTTCGTCTAGTACTGGGAGTGTAGCGTGAAGCAAACCTCCTCTAGTCCGGAATCCGGATACATAACTAAAGCTGCTAGGCTGATGTTTAGTTTGACAGTGGGTCGCGCCATGTTTGCATAGCCCTAAGATTGGTGTACCCACCAAGAGACCCGCAACGAATATCCTCCAAGCGACATCCAAGCTCATGGGATCCTCTCTGGATGAAAGTGTTACGTTTTCGAATCTCAGCGGTACGAAGCTGAAGATAAGAGTATCAATTGTAGTGGGACACTGTGATAACGAAGTAGGCCTAATTGCATTGCAGGTTCAAGGTGAAAATTTTCTAAGCAAATTTCGATTCGTCGCCCTACCAAGCGTGTTTGTACGCGGCAAATGCAGTCTTGGTGTCATTCGGGCGCTTGTCCGGTGAAAACACACAATGTCACCAATGCCGCTCCCCAATGAAGCATGAACCGCCATCAGCACGAACCGCCATCCCCACGATCCCCAGGTTCGGCAGTAAACTGCCAGTCTCCATTCACTCCGTGATAAACTCCACGCCTACCCAGACCCATCTCGCAAACCATCGGCGGGTACCTCATGCGCTAGGACTTCTAGTCGCGTTTCCAGAAGCTTGTCCCAGCTCTAGACAACGCCTGACTTGAACCTCAACTTCACAATGCGCGGTTTTCATCGGCTCAGCATCTTAAGACCTCACCCCGCACATCGGCCCGCTTGCAATTCACCCTTCAAACACCAATAGATGGACGGTGCCCGTGGCGCAAGGGAGTAAAACCGAAGGATTCCGCTGCGCGCAGAGTGGACGTCATCCGACGTCTCAAGCAATAGGGCGCAACCACCACAACGAACGAGGTGATTTCCCCCGCCTTTTTTCCCTGTAGTTTGCCACTACCTAACGATAATTGGTTCCCCAGACTCCCCTACTCATGGTTCTGACAAGGGTCTGGGCCATGATCCCATACGATGGAGAATGAGGTTAGCCACCGAGCGTACCACGTTTGGAAAGGTCCGACATGGAGTATTCCTGCTCCCGCGCCGGGCCATAAACCACATTTGAAAAGTCTGCTATCACGACCGGTGCATCCTTCACCCGTCCTTGACATAGCCTTCTATATAACCGTCTGACATTCCCGCGTTGGGGGAAAGCAAGATTGGTATTGAATCAAGCCTTCCTTCGTCTCGCAATACATCATGCCGAACCACTACATGGCCGACGAGAAGCCTGAGGCTGCGCCGTATGGCTACGAAGAGAATCAGGTTGGCTTCGAGGAGCCTTTTGTCCATGGCGCTGCTACTGTCGGCGGCGAGACTGGACGAGGAGGAGACACACATCGTGGTTTGAAGAGTCGACACATCCAGTTCCTGTAAGTTCTTGTTCTCCGGGGTCGCTAAATCGACTGCTAACACTACATCAGTGCGCTTGGTGGTGCTATCGGAACCGGCCTCTTCATCGGATCTGGATCTATTCTTGCCCTCGTCGGCCCTGCTCCGTTGTTCATGGCCTACCTCAGTATGATGCTTGTCGTCTACAATGTGATGAATAACTTGGCCGAAATCGTTACTTACCTTCCCATGCGCGGAATCACCATCCCTTACTTCATCAAGCGATTTGTAGACCCCAGCTTAGCCTTTGCTGCCGGATGGAATTACTGGTACGCATACGCGATTCTCGTCGCTGCCGAAGCCACGGCTGGAGCCATTCTTCTGGACTATTGGGAGACGCCTGTTCACAGCGCCGTCTGGATCACCATCTTCCTCATAGTCGTTTTGTTCCTTAACATCGTCGCAGTCGAAGTTTTCGGAGAAGCAGAATTCTGGTTTGCCTCGATCAAGTTCTTGACCATCATCGGACTAGTCATCCTAGGTTTCGTTATCATGCTTGGTGGAAGTCCCAATGATCAGGGCCGACTCGGATTTCGATACTGGAACAACCCAGGCGCATTCAAACCGTACATAGTGGAGGGGAACTCCGGGCGTTTCTTGGCCTACTGGACTGCTTTTGTCCGTGCTGGTTTCGCCTTCATCACCTCACCTGAACTAATCGCGCTTGCTGCTGGCGAGACCATCGCTCCCCGCCGCAACATCCCCAAGGCTGCGGGTCGCTTCATTTACCGTCTAGCCATCTTCTACGGTTTGGGCAGCTTCATCATCGGAGTTATCGTTCCATCTGACGATGACCGTCTCCTCAGTGGTAGCTCCAACGCTTCTGCCTCTCCCTTCGTCATTGGTATCCAACGTGCTGGTATCCAGGGACTGAACCACGTCGTCAACGCAGCCGTCTTGACATCTGCCTGGTCTGCCGGAAACGCTTTCTTGTACTCCGGATCTCGTGTTCTTTACGGTATGGCTCTTAACGGAGAAGCGCCTAAGATCTTTGGCAAAACCAGCAAAAAGGGTGTACCATACGTGGCTGTCCTCGCTACCTGGGCTATCGGTCTTCTCGCTTACCTGAATGTCTCAAATACCGGCGCCCAGGTCTTCTTGTGGTTCTCCAACATCTCTACCATCTCCGGATTTATTGCCTGGATTGTGGTTATGATCACCTACATCCGCTTCCGCAAGGCCATGATTTTCAACAACTTGCTTGAGTCACTCCCTTACCGCACACCGTTCCAGCCATACCTTACATACTTTGTCCTCGGCGTAGTGTCGCTCCTGACCCTCACCAACGGTTTCCAAGTCTTTGTGCCATCCAAATGGTCCGTATCCGATTTCCTGGCCGCCTACATCACCATTCCGATTTTCATCGTGCTTTACGCCGGCCACAAGATCTACTTCAGGACGGCGTTTGCGATTAAGATTGAGAACATTGATGTTACAACTGGTGTGCGGGAGATGAACGAGCTGTGCAAGGACGATATCTCTGGTGCGCCTGTGCCGAAGAACGTTATGCAAAAGATTTGGTACTGGATTGCATAGATTGGCACCAAACGAGGACATTATGTTTTCGACGTGCATGTTTTTGAGCTTTCTTTATTAGATACCATCAATCAATGACATCGTTATGACCATCCAGTCCGCCTATCCTTTTCCATACAAACGTGCTGAGTCTATGGTGCAAAGATTAGATCATGGTCTGGAAATAGCAGATCAAACATATGAGGAGCCTAACAAAGTCATTGCTAGTCTTCCCTTGTTTCTGCATTTAGTCTGTAAGATCATGGATTCTTTCGCGATAACGCAACGCAACGAGCCACCCACACCTTCCGCAATCAAAGTTACACCATATTACGTATTCAAGGGGTAACTCTGACTCTTAAGCTCTCGAAACACCTTTAAATGTATCTTCACTCGCTTCCTATATTTTTTCTTCGTTCAAGGATTTTGAGACTAGCTTTTCTGCTACGATACCACACATCAACTCAAATACAAGAGCAAAGAAATCTACCATGACACGAGAATCAAGTCCCAATCAAGATCTTCCTTACGAAGAGTGGTACGCACTAGGTGAAGTGACTGCAGCGCGTAACGCACCACGGCCGCACCAACACGACGCTGTCCTCCTGGAGCTATCTCTGCTCTTATCAATACGCGAAGATGTTTTTCGCATTGCCGATATCTCGCACACCAAACGAAACCATTGCTATGGCGGAACTTTTGCATAGGGCTAGACATCCGAGCACACGTGCTGGCTACCTTTAAGGCACTCTTTGATGCGTGGTACAAGCGAAGATTTTACGTCAACTCTGGAGGTAAGGTCCACTGAGATGGATAATACGTAGTAACGAAGAAGGTTGTACTTTGGGACAAAATGCCTACGGATGCACTCTCCTGGGCCGTTACCAGCCTGCGTTAAAACCCGAGGAGGCCCGGGGCTTATCCAGGAAGCCAAGACAATTCTCAAGAGAGGCTTGTTGAGATTTAGCCCTCGTCTTTACCATGCCTGAGAGGTTTCTGCACCTTCTGGCAGCGATACTACGTGCCAAATCACCGCCGCTATACTTCAACCTGTCAAGACTGTTACTACCAATCTCACCATTAGAGAGGTCCTTCCAAGTTCCGCCATACAAATATGACGACTTTCCTGTCCGAATCGTACCTCTACATACCTTACTCTGAAAGTGTTCGCTATATCGCGCATCGATACATGTGCAACATAATACATAGATGACACCTTTAGATTACAGCTTTCGTAGATGCAATTACACTTTGGGAAAGAACCCAGGCACACATTGGGGAATCGACACCAGTTGCAAAAGGATTGACGCGGTACGAAGAAGCCATGGCTAGATGGTTCCCAAGACGCGGTCGAAAAGCCTGTGTGCCAAGTCCAACGTGTCTGGCGAGTCGAATGACAGCTCCAGCCTGGGATGTTTCGAAAACGTACAGGATCACGAAGCTATACAAGAAGGCATGTAACGACGATGACTTTGTAATATCGTTCAACTTCGTTGAGAGCATCCAACACGTTGGAGCACTAAGTGAACATCGAATCCGCCGTGCAGTACTTCAACTGAGGAACATTATCGCACCAGAACGTGCACTCGCGTGGAGTTTGTCGATTCCTGGCAAAAGGTCCCTAGGTAGCCGAGTCCCCATGTCGTCTAGATACGCTACTTCGCACTTTCTCAAGGCTGTTCAATGACACTTGCCTCATTCGGTGCATCCATAGGTTGCTACAGCTAACGCACTTAGAGCGAAAGCACTCTTCACGATATGACGTGAGTTCTTATATAGATAGTTGCTTTCATCTTGAGGCTCTGTTTGTGCTAATGCATGTATAGCTTTGATCCCCGCGATCAGAGCCTGTATCGCATCATCGATTATGAAGCCTTGAATCGAAGCCAGAGGCCCCGCATCTTCTGTGCTCACGCGTTATGTCTAGCAAAATCTGTCCAAACGCCAAGGTGACGAACGCCTCGTCCGCAGACCATATTCTGATCTCCATCCCCCATTGGACGACACGAAGCGAGCTTCAAGCATACCTATAATACAGTAGCTGTTGTCTTTACATTTCGGTTAGGGAGCCGAGTACTCGCGCAACGGACACTATGACACTAGGCATACGAAGCGTGAAGCGCGAGACAAACATCATCTTGTTTAGAAACAGCCACATGGATGAAGGTCTTGAAGATCTTGCCTTGAGTCTGTTCAGTACCAAGGTGTTCCGTTGACATGTTTGGAACAAACTTACCTAGGTATGCTTTCGCTGAAGCTTTATACTTTGATCAGGCGAAATGCATTCGGGAGAACGAAACGACCTATCCATCTCCGTAACTGGATGGCACATCGCCTTTTTTTTTGGCCTAGCGTTTTTGAACTGCACACCCTGCTAGTGCTCGTATATGCACGAGTGCATTGCATAGATATTCCTCGGACTGGGGTACATCCACGTGTCTACGACGCGGAAGTGAGCGATTGCGGCAGCCTGCATTACCCTTGTCAACAACCTGCATGACATGCTTGTCGCATCGTAACAGAAAGCAACAAGCTACTGATGCGAGTCCAGAACTGTTGATAGGATACTTTTGAACATTGTCGATTTCGTAGATACGTCTAGACGACCAGGCCTCCGGACCCTAGGAGAACGATAGCTCAATGAACCTGACGACAGCAAGGTACATTTTCAGACCTGGCGAGGCTTCTCTGTCAAATTAGAGAAATTCGGAAATGAACAGTGATGTATCACGATCCTAAAGCACCAATGGGCGAAGTGCCAATCGCTCTCACCGGTTCAAGCCACACGTCTGCACGTTTGGCTCGGCATCGGCAACACCTATATGGATCAGCGAGTCATGCAACTGCATCTTTCCTGGACCGATGCTGTCCAAAGCCGTTTTGTGACAACTCGCTAATGTACCTTTGCCCTTGCCATCACATTTCAGCCTCATCCGGATCGGCTGCAGATATCACCGGATCAACAACAAGGGATCGTTCTTTGAGGGGTGAGCGACTTTGGTTGTTGTATCATTAGATAGCTCAAAGAAAGTATCAGGCAGGCTTGCGATAACCGTTCTCACAACAACTGTTGTCAAATTCGTCCCAACTGGACACCCACGTATGAACGAAGGATCGATGACCAGCACGGCCTATCGAATGTCATCATCTTACCGTCACCGTACATCTACTTCGCTACCACTGGAATCGACGATCATGTTTAGGAACCAGACGTTACCTTGAGATTGTCTTGAGATATGAGCTGCGTTGTTCTTTCTCACCGCCGTGGGGGCTGAGCCTTGACTGACCAGATACACATTTAACTGACCCTACCACAACTATAGATTCTGAATTGCGAAATACGCAATGATGCGAACCTAGCCTTTATCTGGCAAATGGTGCCTCGGGCTGGCCACAGGGCAATCACTTCCTCCAAGGCATTGAACCCCTTGGGCAGCTGAAGGAAGCATCGTAAATTGCGCAAGCGTAAGGCTGTCCCGGGCAGCATGGGCGGCGACGGTATGCGCACGTCATCAACCATGAGGTGTCGTTGTTGGTGTACGCTCTGCGGGGGCGGAGTACGTGCCGCAAAACCGCGGCAACACCGAGAAGTCTACTCGCCGTTCATGGATCGGCCCGCACAGCTTCACAGCTAGTTGCGCATTTAGAATGCTTCCTATATGTCAGCTTCGGATTCAAACATACGGTCCTCAGTGTTGCAATTCTTCGACCGAAAGAAATTCCTAACACCGTCTGTCATCCATGTGCAAAGCTTGGAAGGGTTGCAATCGTCAACTTCACCGCCAGTTTAACTGAATGAGGGTGACGAGGCCAACCTATCAGATATGGCGAGTACTGAGAAGTATGCGTAGCAGCCGGTGAAGATACAAGGACATTGTGTTCCTCCGTGATTTGTTGCCAGTACACCCTCTTCGCGCACGAGTGCAAGTCCGGAGAAGACGACGACCATTGTCTGTACGTCAATTTATGGCACAAGATCCTTCGCCTTCTTACATCCTTGAGTAGTCGTTGCCATTGTGCAGGTCGTAGAATTCCAGGCGGTAATACGGCTGTGAAGGCTCCAGGTGACGCTGTCGCAATGCAAGATTTCGTCCAGAATATGTATCCAGTAAGCCCATGACTCGCAGGGCTCGCGATACCACAGCTGTTCATTGCAAGGTGTCGCAGCCTTCTCTTCCTCTTTTCCAACCTTTTCGCGATCTATTTAGTCCAATCCAGGCTTAGCAATTTCCTGGTTCGACTGACACGGAAGAAACGAACGCGCGAAGGATTTCGAACTTCGGATATGATGCAGGGTATCCGTTATCGTTATTCTGGACTGTACGATGACTTCGCCAAATTCCCAGAGCTTGCAAAGTTTCGGCGATATCTGGACTACTGGTCTTGGATGCTGTACAACGAAAATCGGGAGATTGAACAGAAAATCCGAGAATGCAACAAGATCGTCGCAAACATCCATAGTATACCTCCGGTTCGTAACGTCTTCACGCTAATGGACTATCATCAAGCCTATGTATCGGAAGAGGATCCCACACTGAAGACAGAAATCGATAACCTGAAAAAACTGATTAGGCGATATGGTGGGCCACATTCTACTCACTGCGCTGAGCGATATGCTGACGAACAGTGATTACAGGGAAAGACCTTACTCTCGCCCACGCCATTGCCAACTTACCTGATCAGTCCGAAATATGGGCAAAACACTTCTCCGAGCGCAAAACGTCGTTCCAAGATGGTCGTTTCGGCCCGACGAAGGAGGATGCTACCATATACACCCAAATCCCATCGCATGCGGACACTTGCTCTCTCAGAGCTAGCGAAGCAGATCAACAAGATTACTTGACAAGTTTTGCGATCCGTCATCTTAAATCGATCAACATCCGTTTAAGGAAGTGGATCGCTCGCCGTCCAAAACAACAGTGCCAAGAGGAAGACGTCGCTCCGGAACGTTTCGTTGAGCTCGAGAAGATTGTCACAATAGCCAATGTGCTCTCTGGAATTTATGTTCCTGTACTTTTGGCCGGATGCCTTGGGGTTCTTAGCAGTATCGGATCTGAGAAACGGCGCATCGTCGTGCTCGGTGCCTTTGGCTTGCTGCTCACCACATTACTAAATTTGTGCGTTCCGACGCTGAAACGGAGCGACATGTTCGCGATCACAGCGGCTTTCTTTGCGGTGGGTGGAATATATGTGGGGGCAAAGAGCATTTGATTAACGGTTACGGAAACTAAGAGGTTGGTGTTGATGATCCGGAGTGAGTGCGGGTGGCGGTCGTGACGCCGCCATGGCTCGTGCGTGTGCCATCGGACCTTTCCCCCTTGCATACCAAGCCGACGTGTTCTAACATAGGGATGGACCTCTTCACTCAAGCACTGTACCGTATGTACAATACATTAGGTCTGGCCTGTACTCATTCTTGTCACTGTTCAGGATTGGAAATCAGACTGTACCTAGGTACTACGTACTGTTTTGTTCAGCTTTGGTATCAATAATTTCCCCGGCCGTTAGCCGTTTCCTTGCGCACGGCTCCACCAAAGTTTAAATCCTCCGCACGCTATCACGTCGTAAGTTCAGCCAGCCACCATGCAGTGCCCAGGTGTGATAGTGGAGATGCGAGTTGTGTCGAGAGCCTCGACACGGAACGCCGAACCCACGTACGAACAGATCTATCGTTGTTACGAGACAATCACAGAAAGAACTCTCGAACGTTTAGGGTCACCGCGGGAAGCTCAGTCCCTGAGTGTTCAGAGTAGAGTCTTACACCATCTCCAGGTTGATCATGGTGTAAGAAGTTCTAATTATGGAATATACCGAAAGGGTATCCTGGAATGTCACAGACCATCAACAATCTCCACCAGGCACCCTTCGGCGGGATCATTGACATAGCGTCTGGTCGTTTAACGTCCCAAACTCTATTCCTTTGGAAAGAGATGTGCACAAGCATCAGCACGAGCCGGCAGTGTCGGGTATTACCATCGTGGTGAACCACGAGATAGCAATATCCGAGTGTAGCTATTGGGATGCCTTAACCACCCGAAATCTTGGGTTGGATCTCGTTACGACCCTCCAGGGTAGGTCCCCTGTGCAATAAGAGCCGCACACCGGGCCGATACGATGAACTACAAGCAGTGACTAACCGCTGAACTATTTCCTTGCTAGCTTCCACTCTTTCGTCCAGTTTCTAGAGATTTGCTTCACTATATATCTTAGCCATTGAATCGCCGCACTTTCCATTCACTTCTCGAAAACAACCCCAGACCATAACAAAGACCCTCAACGTCTAAGACTCATAGCTATGTCTAAACCACAAGTGCCAATCAGCTCACCGAAACCCCTTAGTAGGTTTAGCTTCTCTCTGGATGGTCACTCACTGACACTTCGTCAGCCCCAGTAGCAATGGATAAGCAGTGATTGAGGATATGGTGCAGTGGATCTTTCAGTAGCTGCTTCTTCCACCAATCAATGGTCTGTACATTACCAGTCTACACACGTTGCTCATCTCTCAGAAGATCACTGACATTTCTAGTTAAGTTCTCAGCTAGCATTGCCTTTCGTGCCATCACTACTATAATGCACACCTTCCTCGACACCGCTTTGGCGGTCTGCGACCTACTATATACCGGCTTAGGATGTCGTTCATCGGTCACCATATATGCTTCTTTAGGGACGGTACAAGGGAGGCGCTGTAGGAAAGACTGCGTCGCACAAGAGGGAAACTAGTTGAGCATCTCTACACACTTGCCAAACGACATGCCAACCTTTATTATAACTTTTAATACAACAAAGACTTTGCCACGTCTTCAGCGGCTTTCGAGTTGGCGATGACCGGGCAATGTATTCTTTCACCAACAGAGTATGTGTATGAGCATAGCAAGCTCGCAGCCGTTTGCACTCTCGTTTCCATCCAATTTTTATCCTACCCAATATTGTGTTCTCGCCGACGCGGATCAACAGACTTGATTTTCTGCACACTCATATGAGAAGCACAAGACGCTGGTGTTATCGTTCTCATAGGCCCATCTTGTGTATCCTGCGCCGTACGAGTCGCCGCGTGCCGCTCTCTCACCTGGAGACGTTCTGCAGCGACTGCGGAGGGAACCAATTTTTCGAGGTTGTACGTAACATGTACGCTATGTTTTGCCTTGACGTACTGACAAGACAGAAGCAAGCACATATCTTTAGGATGCGATATCGCTGCTACATAGTCGCAACTCAAAAGATAAGAGTTTCTTTGTTGTAACCACCCGGGCTGTCGAAATAAGCAATTCCAACATTACGGGAGTGTCCGCAGTGCATACCCGCAAGCCAACAGTATGATTACACCCTAAGGATTTATACGCAAGGATTCTTGGGATTGCGGTACTTGTGGTCGGCAGATTGAAATGTGCGGCGTAGTGGATTGAGGCCGCGCCGGTATTCACCAGGAAAGAAAAATCGGATTTCTACCTGATAGGATAATTAAGGTCGCCTGTCTCTTCAATTAAGTTGAGTATAGTACTAGCACGATTTGGGGGAACCTTGTAAGATCAAGACGACGCACATGGAACCCATGTCGATAAAACACTAGAGGATGTGTATGCGCATATTGGAATGGAAGGTGCGAAAGACGCAGTGACAATTGGATAGATACGGTTTCGATGTCAGAGTACTTGGACAAAGTTAAAGTAGGGTGTTGTGAAAGTGTGAGGGGCTTAGTCGCGTCTTTCACGCGTAACCCAAATGCCTTGCAGGTAGCTTTGACTGGTTTCCGGGGGCCGCAAGCGTCGAGGATCTGCGCATACCTCCACCTCCGCGTTCAAGCCAGGCTAGGCTGCTTGGTCTTGAATGTAAAGCTCTAGACACCATATAAATCGACGGTTTCATCTAACCACAAAGCAATCAAGAGAATGCCCTCTGGTTTACCCGTAGCAAGAGAAGAATCTACAGCTGCTCGTCTTCTCTCTGTGACGACTCCACGGCTGGGGCAAGCCCTTAGGATCGACGAAGCGCATGGTCCTTCGTGGCAGGCAGCAACGGGCGTACTGTATCTGTGCCATCCCTGCGTCAAACTTAGAATACTACGCCCCAGAATCCTTCGACATTCTCCTGGGCCGGCGATGTAGCGGACCTACATCGAGACCCGTCAAGCGAGATTTGAGCTGATACGGCGCACAACGTTGTCACTCAATATATGAAATTGAAGAAGTGCATGCGGACCGAAACGAGAATGTCTTCTTGTGCATTGACAGACACCTGTAAAACGTTCGAATTGATTGGCACTGTCAACGTCAACAATTACATGCCGTCCTCTTGCACATTACGACACAGTTGACCGAATACCCAGGCGAAGTGCCGAAAAAACAAAATCGCTATCGCTTGTCGGTACAACGGCTACCATTGACAGCATATCTTCACCCCTGCCAGCGCCTCCAAATACTTGTTGACCGGTCAGCCTATGACTCGCAGTGCAGGCAAGTGACCAGGACAACAGCACATCCTCAGAAGACCGCCTTATCCCACGGATAGGCTCGTAAATGTCTACTCTTGTGAAAGCTCAAGGAGAAGCAGGCGGGGCCCCTTGTACGCCTTGATTGCTCGACAGCGCGGCTTGAGACTGATTGCTAGTCGGTATATGGTGCTGTTGAGCGCTGATTGCCGGCCCGCGGTTCACAATCGAAGCGACTCTGTTGGCTTCTTGCAAAATTTGCTGTGTGTACCGCCATTTAGCCCAGTACTCCGGATCTTTCAGCAAAGCTGGACCACAATCTCAGTACAAACGTTGATATCGTATCACACGTCAAAATCCACTTACCTTCTATCTGACGGCCATCATATGTGACCAAAAGATCATTCGGCTGTATTTCCGAGCTCATCCTTTCCAATTGGGCTGGTCGCTGTAGTGGTGCAGGCAATATGTATAGAATCGTGAGACCGTAAAGTAAGGAGAGTAGATCTCGAGCAAGTAATCCACATAATTTATACTCCCGGAATCGACAGTATCTAGTCGAACAAGTGAGCGGTGAGAATCTGAGCTGGCATATTGGAGCACGCATTCGGGTACGTAATCCCGTCCCTGGAATAGCCTCAGGCATATACAGTAACTATGCTCGGGGTACCAGGCTGCGCGGTTGTAGTCTTCTGTAGACTTGGTCCCATGTTTCCTGACTCTTCCAGGCTTTGCACATTGGCAAAGAAAGGCCGAAGCTGTTGTAGCCCTCATAGCTCCATCTTCCAGCGGAGATAATGATCTCAGGTTATTTGATCTCTTCGCAAATCAAGCCGTGGAGACCAATCATCCAGTGTCGCTTTGACTTGGCGGAGGGCCCCTGCTCAAAGCGGAACCCAGGCTTCGGGGATTGTTGTCTTCCAGGGTGTCGCACGCCCTCATTATGTGGGCATCTGTCTGATACGAAAGCCCCTTGGCGCACAGGCCGAGACGGGCGATGGCGACATGCTTGCCGTAGGAGAACATAGGTTGTCGGAGCGTCGTAGATCTTTCGGCTCCAAAATAACATCGTATTGTCTTGACGCGAAAGGCACTCGGCTGACGCTAGATATGGTGAAGACAACGCCACGACGAGTGATCTTGGTCTAGTATGTGGCGTTCCGGTCCCCAGTCGGTCCATGTTTGCGTGCAGTCGCCTCGTTGCCTGCTGACAGACAATTAAGATGAGAACTCCTGCGGAAAATTCGCTGTGCAATAGTGATATGTACTACTCTTATCTTTCTGGGGCGCAGCGGCATACGATTACGCTTCTAGAGACGCCGCGGGGTCTGCGCAGAGCTCCATCTCACGTTGTTTTCGGCATTCAGAATGCTTTGCAGGCCATCGAGGTAGCAAGTGCTGGCTGGGTTTGCGTTGGCCGATGCTGTTGAGAGCCGTCCTTCAACAGCAAGGTTACCAGCACAGCGCACACACTTTCTTTGTCAGCTTGTCCTTCAAACAGCATGAGTGGGTTATGCTTACCTCGCCAACATAGAGATAAACTGCTGATTTTGGAACAAGATACTGCAGATTGTGATGGTTAAAGCTATAATGATCACTCCAGCGATACTGGATGCGCTCCCAGCTGTGAGGTATAACGATGTTACCGCCGCATACATTAGCAACGAAGCAGCGACGTTACCTATCGACAGCAAGACCATGTCGAGTCTGCGATTGCTGAACTTGTAATGGCCATATATATCTGGTCGTCTCCTAGACCCGGTCAAGAGTATCTGCAGCCACCCTGGGAGTTTCGGTATCCATAGCAAGAACTTGTCCTTCAAGAATCTACTCACCGTACTAGGGCTTGGTCGATCCACCACTTGAATCATATCAGGTGCGTGACTTGTCGGTTCTGCCAGAGAACCCCAGACTGCCGAATCAAGCCCCGCAAAAGAAGTGATGTTCTTAGCGATGAACCCTTGAATGAGGTGGATTTCCTTTGGTTCATAGCCTTTTTGAGCAAGGCGATCAAAGCGCATTAGTGCTTCCTCTACTCAATGTCAACCTATGTCGGGTACAGGTTTGTTGAGCATTACATACCGTATTCTTTCATCTCTGATTTGAGTGCCTCATACACCTTTTTTTGTGTATCACAAGCCCCTGTACTATAGCCTTGTGCTTTGAGATGAGCAAAATCCTTCGAGAAGAGTCGTTTTTTGAGGTCATTGTCTTGGGCGTCTTCGTGTTCAAGCGTTTCAAGTTTTTTCTCAAGTGTCGCCAACTCATGCTGACGGTAAAGCAGAAGGCGGACTGCTAGCGCGGAAAACCTTCGCAGATGCAGATACCTACTACAGCGCGAAAGAAAAGAGGCGAGCTCAGGATACGCCTTGTAGTTCGATGTCGAGTGGTTGAGCAGATTGTTCGGAGCTTGTTGTGCCGACGATGGCTGTGGGTGCATCGGGTAATTGGCCGGGTTTGCCATTGGTCCGAGGAATCGCAGAGAGTGAGTGCGACGTTGAGAGCAATAGTAAGACTTCAAACGCAGAGAAGTTGAGCAAAGATGAGAGGAGGTTTCGTTGAGACACGAAATATTTGTTCGGGAATGGTGAGAAAAGAATGTCCGGGAACTATTCCAAAGAGGATCAGGCTACGTTGTTGAAGAGCTTGAGTGCGGCGGAATGTCTGTCTTGACGTTTGTGACTTGTCGGCTGAGCTTGAATAGATGAGACTTCGTAGTGCTTTGTAGTGCTGAGGTGCAATGTCGTCCTGTAAGACTATATATCCATCGGGTCACAGAAAGCAACCGCATCATTCGCGTCGATAGTCATTGGCCAAATGCTGAGTTATTCACCTAAGGAAGAGCGTAGGTAAGAGAAACCGTCGCGACGATACCCAGCATTCGTCGAAATCCAGTCCCCAGCTGAGCCGCAAAAGAGGTGTGGTGTCTGACTCGCGCTTACTGAAAAGCTGTCTCTGGCTGCTGCAATGAAGGAGTGTTTGCTGATTCGATTTTCGTCGCTTGAGTGCGGGGGCAGACGCCCATATAGCTGCAGTCCAAGTTCCAGGGGTGGTGGAGATGCAAAGCCACTGGTGGAGTGCCTGCGCCTCTGACATCGAGAGAGAACCTGTACGACCACAACATCAATCGGAGCCCGAAAAGACAAGAGTTACGGCGTGTATATTCAACGTATGCTGAGAGTAGAAGCGCCAGGGAGACTCATGCGTGTTTTACACATGACCAGTGCAACGCGCTCGCAAGGCCGATGGGTGACCGCGATAGGTGTTCAGAGCTTCTGGTTGACTTCCTAAAGATAAACAGAATGTCTTTCGACGGCTCTGAACGCAGAGATGACCCAACCTACATCACAAGGGGAAATGGTGAATGCAGAGACGGCGGTAGCTTATTAGTTACATACCATCGACACTGAGGATATGAGATTGCAAGCGCCGTTCGAGATAACAATGGAAAGTTTGATCTGATGTTGCCATACCACGGCTGCACGCCACTGGTGGGTATTCTAGTAGACATGTAGTATCTGCTGGATTGCGGCGGCTTATTTCTCAACAGACAGCTGCTATCACGCGCAGAACAAACGATGCTCAATGGACGTGAAGGAGCGAAGTCGAAACTGGATTGCGGTAGATGATGTTGGGGTCGCTCCACAATACGAAGTAATTGGACTAGCACTCAGTGTTGGGCGGTGCGCTAAAAACGAGGCCAGACAACGACGGTGCACATTTGAACTTTTAGACATCACAGCTTGCATACGCATGCTGGTAAATAGGCAGTTTGCGTGTCTAACCTTGAAGTTACAGTTGTCCAAGCCCACTGAGAGATAGCAAAACGATGAAGCTTCGTGAAGTTTGTCGCTAGGAGGCCCAGACAAATGGTGAAAAGTCTCACGGAACCCGTCACAAGCGGTCGTACTTCGAAGTAATATTATAGGTAATACTCTATGCCACCCCCATGCTTTTCAGATCACGCCCCGGAACCAACATTATATTCCCGCCGTGACTAACATCACGCGATCATATGTGTGCATACGACTCTCCAAGCCAATTCGAGTGTCAGACGAGACCACTGGTAACCACTAAAGTCGAAACTTCTCTCTATTGCTCAGCACTTAGCGCCAGAGCCAAGCCTGGGGGTATCATTCTCCTCTCCATCTCTCCGAATCCTCAGCCTGAGCGTGATGCGTGTCAGGTGCGATATTCAGCCTCCGCCTGGATGAAAGGCGCTTCGTAATGTTCTGGAGCTCCGATGAGCAGGATCGTAGCGGATCAATAGTCTCCTCGTCCCCTTCCGCCTCTGCCCCTTCCTCTTCCGCGCTTCTTGCGGTCCCAGTTGCCCCTAAAGCCGCGACCGCCTTGGTGACCGTTCCTATCGTCACGCTCGCGTTCCTCCTCTTCTCTCCTCATCATCTCGCGTTCGCGCTCTATCCGCTCGGCTTCGAGCTCCTCAGGACTCTTCTCCACACGCACCTCAGGCTTCTGGAGATCGGTAGGGAACCGTGGGTGTGCCCCGTACTTGCAGCCCTTCCCTTCGGGACAGAAACCGCAGAGGTAAAAGGGACATAGCTTCTCCTTCTTGTTGTGTTTGAGCGCGCAGTACGGACCAAGCGGACAGAACCCTCTGTCGTAGTGTGGGCATGAGGGACGCTTGGCTTCGGGGTCGATGTGTAGGTAAAGACAGTCATCACCGTTAGAGCACGTCTGGGTTCGGGCGTAGTATGAGCACTCGGGCATTCGTCGTAGGTTGTACTCGTGAAGAAACTCGCATGTCTCGCCCTTCTTGCACAGACCACGCAACCAATGCTTGCATACAAGACTGGGATAAGTTAGCTTGCGAGTGTTGTATACGCTTCATCACGCGACTACATACTTGTTGTATGACGACGAGACATTGTGTTTGTTCGGGCATCTATTGCCGTCCGGGCAATGGCCCTGGAGGTACGCCTTGCATACTGGGCGGTCCGGATTGAGGCCAAAGCGATATTCGCGCCGAAGGAACTCGCTGAACTTGAAGGTGTATTGTGGTTGCTGGCTTTCTACAGGCTTCGGTTCTGGTGCTGGCGTTGGTACGGGATTCATAACCTCGGTCATCGTAGGGCGTTGTAAACTGACGCGCTTCAGCTGTCTTGTGGGAGTGGGCTGTGCGCGATGGATATAAGGAACAAAGTTGTAGTTCTCCGTTGTTAATGTGACATCGCAAGTACTAGAATATGCGCAGCATCACTGCCAAGACTTGAGGGACGCGACTTCACGTGGACGCTAAGAGAAGGTGCGGCTTCTTTGTTCTCGACGGCGATCACCGTGTGTAATCCCGTATCCACAACTGCAGCTTGCCAAAAACGTCGTACATGGCGGCTGCATCCCGCTCGGTCTTGACTGACCCTGATCTACTCGTTGCGTTTGCGTTTCCAACGTGCCGTCGAACCGATATATACATCTGATGCAACCCTGGGACCCCACGTATGCGACGCTCTTCGGTGTTCACTTCACTCTCCACGGCCCGTCGGTACGCTTTGCATGATGTGTGCACCTTCGTCAACGTGTTCGCAGTCAGCCACGATCGTTTCCAGGTTTTTATCCTGTGCGGGGTCGCCTTTGTACTCGGTCACCATTCATGCAACGCGGCGTTTGATGCTTCTTGGCTACTCTCCTTCTAGCCGCTTTCGCGATATCTTCTCCCCACAGTATCCGGAAGACCGTTCCTGGTCGTGTAATCAGCATTCAGTATTCCATCTACCATTCTGCAACCCACTGAGAAGCCACTCCGGCTCAACACTGATGTTCCTTAGACAATCATCTTTGCGTTACCATATCCTTGCACTCGCGCCTTTATCAGGTAGTGTCGAACCACTTCGGGTGGATTCGAACAGTTTGCTCTTGAAGCACTAGGGTCCACATTAAGACGTCGGAATATTGACAAAATTGCGGCCTCATCCGCAACGCAGACCTGCTTCCCGCGATCAATGATGCTTGGTAGCACATTCCTAGTGTGAATTTGTAGCTCATCAGTTGCCAGACTGGGCTTCACCGTTCAATCTGTAGTAGAGCCGCTATAGCAAGTCCCGCATAGGAGCCTTCGCTCGTTCAAGGATGACTGCGCGGTCCGTTGACTTCAAGGCGATCATCAAAGGCATTGCATCACCGATGGCTTCTGGCGCCACTATTGATTGCCGTGCATTTATATTCACATACAAACAAGAGGTACCCCAGAATTATCTTCGGCGACCTGAAGTCGTCCATTCGTCTTCCTTTCTCAGCCAACATCCAAGCCACAAGGATAGTCGACACACATAGCTCTTGCTATTGGTTTACATACGCACCTATCTCAATCTTCACTACCAAGACCATATCTCGAAACCTAACACGAGAAAGAGCTTCCGATATCCGTTCAGCTTCACCCTTTACGATCCGGCTACCGGCCTTTACCTGCAGGGCGCCCTGACGTGCAGGAAGCTAAGCCATAGCTTACGACGACCGAAAATGAGCCGACACTACTTCAACCCGCCTGGTCACGACACCACCTTTTCCACACCGCTGCAAGCTATGTATTGGAACGGAGTTTACTATCCTAACTGGCGCATCTATCGCGATCAGCCACCTGTATCGCTGAACTACGATGTCATTTCACATGTGTTCTACGCATTTGCCTGGTACGCTAAGCACTGAAGAGAGTTGCTAAATACGTGGGCTAACATGGTAACAGGGTGAAAGATGATGGGACTGTATACGTAGGTCTATCAGGTGCATAGAAGCTTCCCTAGCTGACTCGTTCTACAGCTAAGCGATGAATGGGCGGATGCTCAAATTGATGTTCCAGGCACTGACGACATTCCTGCAGCGAAAGGATGTCTTAACTCTTTCGCCCTCTTGAAGCGAAAGTACACCAGATTACGGGTTGTACTGTCTGTTGGTGGCGGTGGGAAAGGTAGTGAGCCTTTCGCGGGTGTTGCCAGGGACCCTGCCTGCCGTGAACGTTTTGCTCAGTCGTCTTTGGCATTGGTACAGCAATTTGGTATCGATGGAATTGACAGTCAGTATACCAATTGCAATGGTGATGCATAAGCTGACCAGGCAACAGTCGACTGGGAACACCCTTCAGATGCTAGCCAAGGCCAGGATTACATCGCCCTCCTGGCTTCACTCCGTCAGTACTTGCCAGCTCCCCAATACACACTCTCTTCGGCACTTCCAGCGGGCGAATGGGCCCTCCAACATATCAATCTGGCGCACGCTTCGCACTACCTGGACATGATCAACCTCATGGCTTATGACTACAGCGGACCTTGGGTGGAGAAATGCGGTCATCAAGCTCAACTATTCACACCACACATTCCACATAGCCCCGAAGCCGCAATATCCTGCCACTCGGCTGTCTCCTACATGATGCAGCAAGGCGTCCCAAGACACAAGATCGTCATGGGTGTGCCAGCATACGGCCGAAGTTTCACCGGGACCCGTGGTATAGGCCATTCGTTCTCTGGTCAAGCAGGAGAGGAGGGCACCTTCGAGTACCGAGACTTGCCACGTCCGGGTGCGGAAGAGCACGTAGACGAGCAGCTTGGCGCAGCCTACTGTATTGGTGGTGATGGAGGTTTAGTCACGTACGATACCCCGCAAACTGTCAGAATGAAGGCCAACTACGTGCGACAAAACGGACTAGGTGGACTCTTCTATTGGACCGGTACAGGTGATGCAAGCTCGCTCACTCAGAAAGATCGCAGTCTGGTGTACAATGGCTTCCTAGGTCTATTTCCGCAATAGATACTACGTGGCTGTATTCTAAAATTGTATAGCATCCAAATGTATTGATGAGTGCTGTTGTGCCTAAATGCTGCTGTTCATGCTCCGTACATGTTGGATGCTGATGTCTCCATACGTAAGGGCTGCTCTAGTGGGATGCGCTCGGACCCTCGGACCCTTGATCGAGGCCTGGGGACGCGTGGGATGTTAGCTCTTGAAGCATGAAGAAGAGTGCGGAATTGCCGATAATACTACGTCGCACGTACTGCTTCCCAAATAACATAGGATACATCTGACCTTGTCCCGTACCCTTAACGTGCCCTATTCGCCGCTGCAACGATTGCAACCGTGTACCACGGGCGCATGCGATTGATGCGGACTCCCGCCGAACCATATGCCTGCACCGTCCACCTCGCTGGAATCTAGTACGCCGTCCTAATAACAATCGCAGGCATGGATTCGACGCTGACGCTCAATGCAGCTGACTACGATCCCATTGACCATCTGAACGCCCTCTTCTCCCACCCCGCCGCGCTCTCCTCCGTCTCTGCCACCTCCGACGCCCTCCGCAACTACCAGGATGACCTTGACGAAGACATTGCAGGCGTTGTCGCCTCGCAGTCTAGCTCAGATGCCGACAGCATCCAGCGTATACAAGCTGCAAAGGCAGAGCTGGCGGACCTCTTCAAGAAGATTGAGAGTGTCCGAGAGCGGGCAATGCAGACAGAACAGACCATCACCGAGATGACTGCAGACATAAAGCGCTTGGATAGTACGAAGAAGAACCTGACGCTCTCTATGACAGCGTTGAAGCGCCTTCAGATGTTGACGACGGCATACGAACAACTACGGAGCCTTAGCAAGTCACGGCAATATCGAGAATGCGCACAATTACTGCAGGCCGTGATACAACTTGTGGCACACTTCAAGAGTTACCGCTCTATAGACCAGATTGCAACCCTGAGTCGCAACGTGGCGGATGTGCAGGGTGAATTGCTGGAGCAGGTCTGCGAGGATTTCGAGGTGACATTCGCCAAGGGGGAGACAGCGTCACGAAAGGCCATGCTCGCAGAAGCCTGCCTGGTCATCGATGCGCTTGGGGAACATGCTCGTACACGGCTCATCAACTGGTACTGCAATACGCAGCTGCGCGAATACCGTCAGGTCTTCCGGGGCAACGATGAAGTGAGCCACCCATGTTTGCCCGTGGTGATAGCACGCTAATAATGACAGGCTGGATCATTAGACAATATTGGACGGAGATACAGCTGGTTCAACCGAATGATGAAGACATACGACGTCGAACATGCTTCCATCTTCCCAGCCTATTGGCGGGTGAATGAGATGCTGGCCAACTCGTTCTGCGAAGGAACCCGTGAAGACTTCAAGTCCATATTGCAAAAGTCCGTACGGAGAGGCGACGGGCAGAGTCTGGATGTCGAATTGCTCCTCTCATGCTTGCAGGAGACGCTTGACTTTGAGCACAGCTTGGAAAGGCGGTTTGCTAATGAGGTTCGTGAAGATTGGCTGTCAAGTCGTTCAACATGCTTACCCAGTGCAGTCTCGCTCTTCGATAGATACGGTAGCTTCCAAGGACGACCGACCGCATGGCTTCAGTCAAGCTATCTCCGAGGCTTTTGAACCCTACATGAGTCTTTGGGTCGAGTCTCAAGACAAGTACGTTACACATGTGTACTCAAGAGTTGCAACGCTGACTTTATAGGCAACTTGCAAATCTTATGCCAAAGTATCGACAACAGCCCCTCCGTAATCCAGAAGAGGATTTCTCTCCTCAAGCTGTGATACCCTCATCGACAGAGCTGTTCCAATTCTATCGTCTGACTTTGGCGCAGTGCGCTAAGCTTTCGACTGGCACGAGGTTGCAGGAGCTATCCATGACTTTTGCTAAGTATCTAGATCAGTACGGCCAGCAGGTGCTCTACTACTTTCTTAGCGAGAAGGCAGGAGCGCAAGGACCCTCCGTCGAAGATGCTGTCCTTATTCTTAACACTGCAGACTATTGCTACATGACCTGCAACCAACTAGAAGAAAAGATTCGAGGTCGCATAGATGAGGAGTTTAAAGAGAAGGTTGATCTGCAGAGCCAGGCCGACGCCTTCATGGGTATTGCTAGCGCCACAGTTCGAATGCTTGTCCGGAAAGTCGAGATCGCTTGTGAACCTAGCTGGAGGGAGATGCGAAATACGCCGTGGGCGAAACTCGAGAGTGTTGGCGACCAAAGTAGTTATGTGGCAGAGCTTTTGCGCAACGTCAAGGAGAGGTCTGGGGAAATCCTGAAGTATCTTCACAAGCAGCAGTATGCGCGAGCTTTCAGCGACAACCTCGTCGATATGATGGCTTCCACGTACATTGCGAATATAATGCAATGTAAGCCAATCTCCGAAGTTGGCGCGGAGCAGATGCTGCTGGATTCCTACGTGCTGAAGAAGGGCTTCACGGAACTTCCCGCGCTCAATGAGGAGCCTGGTACAGCACCACCGGCAAGGTATGTTGCTCAAGCATCTTCTGATCTGCCCAGGCGCACTACTAACCATCCTACCAGCTTCATCAAACGCGTGAATCACTCCATGTCCAAGATCGACCCTCTTCTCAAGACGCTGCAAGTCCGTCCCTCGCCGCCAGAAGCCCTCGTGCAAGCCTACCTTATCCACATTGCCGACAAGTCCGATACCAACTTCCGCAAGATTCTCGATCTCAAGGGAATCCGCAAGGCTGAGCAAACCCAACTTCTCGACCTCTTCTCTGCCTTCCGTGCATCACCCAACCACGAAAACCTTGTGCAAAACTCGCCATTCCTTACACCACTGCAGATTCAGGCTGCAGGTAGCGTTGGAAGTGCGGCAGGAAGTGTAATGGGCACGATGGGAACACCGAGTCTAGGTGGAGGCAGATTTGACGCAGCGGGTCTGGGCAACATGCTCGTTAATGCCGCGAGGGATGGTGTTGATCGATTTGGTAGTCCTGCGCCAGGCCAGCAGCAGCAGGCTGGAGGTGCCGATGGAGGCGCAAACCTGGAGAGTAACCTGAAGAATATTGGCAAGTTCTTCAGGAGGGATGTTGGAGGGTTCAGAGGATTTGGACGGAGTGAGGACGGACGATAGACGAACACAGGAGTGGTGTTCGCTGTTGGATCCTGGTAGAACATTAGGAGCAGTAATAGATTTACATAAAGGACTCGTGTATTCTAGCATCGTTGGGGTATCATAATCTGCATCTCAAATCCTGTCCAAGAACCTAGTATCCTCAAGCCGAAACAAATAAACTGTCATCACTTGGTTCTTCCTCTCTCTCCAGATCTCTCATGTAAATGTCCTCACTTCCTATCATCCCCTCACCATCGCTTATCACCATGGCCTCTCTTCGTCTCCTCCTCACTTCGCCCTGAGAGCTACCGCCCATTCTAGGCTGGATAACATCCCATCGGAATCCATTGCTTGGTAACAAAGAGTCGTCCCTCCAGACACCCATGTCACCTAACAGATTGAACGCCAACTGCGCGCGATGCAACACTTCCCCATCTGCACAGTACAAGTCCTTGATAAGCAGATCCTTGGCAGACTTGGAGGCGTAGAAACGTGTACACAGGATCTTTGTAGCGGAGGCGCGGATATCGTTGTTGTGGCTTGTCGCCAGTGTCAAGAGAGAACTTGTCTTGATCGCGTCTTCTTGGTGGGTAGGCGGACCGGAGGGGATGGTACGTCGTTGTTGGGGGATGTTTTGTGGGTTTCGAATCTCAGTGAGGGTGCGAATGTTGTGGAGTCCATAGGAGACTTGCTGGACGGCTATGAACGTGAAGACGCCTAAGAGATGGGTTAGCGGGGTTGGTCAGGTTGATGGAGGGAGGATGTACCAAGGCCGAGCCAGAGCCAGTGATCGGGAATGTTGGATGCCATAGCGAGGGATATGTGGTCATGTTGTGAGGTATATGGCGGCGAGGTCTGGAGACATGATGCCGTCGTGAATGCACTTGCGCGTGGACAATGACGGCCGTCGCGTGTGAAGGTGGGGAGCGGAGCGGCGCTGCGCTGCAGGTCGTGGCGCTAGACAGGGGTCACCCATGCCGAAGTTTTGGTCTTCAAAATAATTTCAAGCCGACCATCTCGATGTCGCCCACGAGCTCTCTCAGCGCCGAATACCCTGTTCAAAGGTCCCCGGACCTCTAGATAGCCACAAAGATGCCGCCGTCTCAGCTAAAGCGGCTCAAGGCCTCTCTCCGCGAACAAGGCATTACCGGCCCGCAAAAGTCGAAGAAGCAGAAGAAGTCGCAATCCAAGAACGCCGACCACCACGAACGAAAAGCCTCTGCGCTCGCTTCGATTCGCGAATCCTTCAATCCCTTCGAGTTCAAGCATCTTGCGCGCCCTCACAAACACGAGTATGTCTCTGCGCAGGCCGAAAATGCTCCCAAGAAGATCCTCGGTAGGCCCGGTGTTACCAAGAGCGCAGGCGAGGAGGCACGTAGGAAGTCGCTGCTTCCGGAGATGCACCGCAAGAACAAGGTCGGAGGCATCCTGGATAGGCGGATAGGTGAAGATGACCCGACGATGAGCTTAGAGGACCGTGAGATGGCGCGTTTTGAGAGGGAACAACAGCGCAAGAGGGGTGGCAATGTGTTCGACCTTGAGGACGATGCCGATGAGGTTGAGCTTACTCATGGTGGACAATCTCTGCGTTTTGACGACGAGATTGGAGAGGAAGACTACGACGCGGCCAGTATTGCTGGGTCAAGCGACGGCGAAGATGGCTTCTTGAAGAAGAAGAGGCGGAGAGACGACGAAGATGGCGATGTGGATGGCGACGCGGCTGCAGACGAGCCAGAGAGGAAGAAGAGCAAAGCAGAGGTCATGAAGGAAGTCGTGGCCAAGTCAAAGCAGCACAAATACGAGCGTCAAGCACAAAAAGAGGACGACGATGAGTTACGGGATGAGCTCGACAAGGACCTCAACGACGTACTGGCCGCTCTACGAGGACACATTAACAAGAAGCCCGAGCCTGAGAAGCCCAAGGACTCCCAGGTCAACGAGTTTGGCATGAACGCCGACCGCGCTGCGCTTCTAGCTGGAGCCACACAGCAAGACAAGGATAGAGAGTACGATACACGCGTGCGCCAACTCATGCAAGATTCTCGAGCGAAGCCGACGGAACGGACAAAGACGGAAGACGAGAAGGCTAGGGAAGAGGCTAATCGCTTGAAGGAACTCGAGCAAAAACGAATGAAGAGAATGCGCGGAGAGCCCGTCAGCGACGACGAAGAGCCGCGCAAGAACGACGTTGAGGAGCAAGACGAAGATGAAGACGAAGACTACGATAGCATGCCAGATGATGCTGCCGAGTTCGGTCTGAAAGCACCAGGCCAGCTGAGACCCGAGGGCGTTGAAGATGAGGACGACTTCATCATGGACGACGACCTCGTTGCTACCGACTCAGAAGCAGACATGTCTGACGATGAGTCTGACGCTGGTTCTGCGATTGACGACACAATGGCCATGGATGAAGAGGACGCAGACTTCTTGAAGCACGTCATGCCGGAGCGGAAAGAGCAGCCCAAGGCTGTCAATGGCGTGCTCACCCTCGGTATCGAGCCTTCGTCGAAGCTGGCGTTTACGTATAAATGCCCGCGGTCTCACGAAGAGCTATTGAGTGTATTCAAGGATGTTGCACCCAACGATACCTCCACTGCCATCCAGAGGATACGTGCGCTCTACCACGCTGGATTACACTCCGACAACAAGCACAAGCTTGCCGACTTCGCATGTGCACTCATCGATCACATCTTCTACCTATCGAATCAGACACCGGCTGCATCGTTAGCTGTGGTCGAAGCGATCATCCGTCATGTTCATTCCATGTCGCGGTCATACCCAGTTCAGATTGCCACCAAATTCCGAGAACACTTGAAGCAGCTTCAGGTATCGAATGATCCAACTCCAGGTGATCTGGCTCTACTTTCCGCTATCGGATCCATCTTCCCTACCTCCGATCACTTCCACCAAGTTGTCACTCCCGCCATCACACTCATGGCACGTTGGATGGGACTTACTTCACCTACTTCTACTAAAGACGTCGCTACCGGCGCTCTCATTGGTGCGCTATGTCTGCAATACCAAAGACTATCGAAGAGATATATCCCTGAGTTCATACGCTATACCGCACTCTCGCTGAAATCAGAGCACGCCACGCCTGCTCTCTTGGCAGCTCACAGCAAGAACGTCATTACAGCTGCCGAACTCTGGAGTGCCTCATCCGCGTTCATCGAGATTTTCACCCCTCTGCTTACACCCCTCAAATCCGCAAACCAGACGTCCACCTACCAAAACCTCCGCGCTCGCCTATCTCTTGCGCGCTCCAAACGGCGACCTCTTCTCCTCCACCACCACCGCCCCCTGCCCATCAAGTCCAGCATTCCCAAATTCGAAGAATCCTTCGATCCCAACCGCCACTACGACCCCGACAAGGAGCGCTCGGAAGCCAAGAAGCTGCAGAAGGAATACAAGCGCGAGAAGAAGGGTGCGCTTAGGGAGTTGCGCAAGGATGCCAACTTCATTGCGAGAGAGACGCTCAAGGAGAAGAAGGAGAAGGATAAGGCGTATGAGACCAAGTACAGGAGGCTTGTGGCAGAGATCCAGGGTGAAGAAGGGAGGGAGAAGAATGCTTATGATCGGGCGAAGAAGGCTAGGAAGAGAGGTTAGGGAGAGTGAGGTCTAAAAGGAATGGGGATTCCTGGTTTTAGTGCATTGGTAACGGCGTTGCTGAATCCGTTGTTTTACGATGGTGATGGAGCAGTATTGAGTGCTGTAGTCATTTGCTACCGCTTCGTGAACCAGGCGTATAACAGTCCGCTACAAAATACATTTTTCTTGACATTACGTGTTGAGTGTGCCAAAATGTACATGTAGACTTTCACCGTGATAATGATGTATTTTCACTCATTCTTAGAAAGATGAAGTAATTGGTAGCACCTGAGCATTTCTTTTGTCCTCGCTTCAACCTCACTTCGACATCAGTGCACATTTTCCTCGACTAGCGCTGCTTCTTGTTCTAGTAACATCTATCTGCCTTGTCAATCACCGTTGTTTTCCTATAGTCGACCGTTAGCAAGCACACACTCTCATTCCTCGTCCGTCTTCTACTCTACTCAGTATCTACCACTCACCGTCCACTGTCCAATATCCACCATCGACCAAGTCAACATCAGAATCATGGCCTACATTCCTGCGCGCGAAGCAATGCATGCCCCTAAACATATTCTCGTGACGTAAAGATCGATACTGATTGTTGCAGAACTCTTCGCAACCCACGCGGATCCACGCTTCTCTGCCTTCCAGCTGAGATCCGTAAGCAAATATATTCCCATGTACTAGGCAGCGTTGAGTTTCAGTTTGGTCTCTGGACCTCTTCCCCCTTCGAGTCTTTCGCCCCCCAAGATGCGCGATCACACGGGCAATGTGACCTGGGCTCGTCAGGCTACGTTCTCGCACTCACGACCACTTCGCGACAAATACACTCTGAGACGATGTTATTACCCTTGGAGCTGAACTCCCTTGGACTTTATGACTACTACCCCTGGTGTGAGCTCGTTGAGACTCTCTTACCAAAACAGTGCAATGCCATTCGCACAATTCGCTTGTTGATAGATGGGTATTGTTGCACCGGACAAGTCGACAATGACCTTGTAACACTTTCCCCTTATCTTCGTGAGAGCGGTTTAATGTTTAATGGTCTTAGAGAAGTCGCCCTCGAGCTTAATGACCTAACTCTGATGACGCACTCGACAGACCTTGTGGTAAAACGGGCGAAGAAAGATGTAGAGTCGAAGGTGCATGTTAGGGTAGAGAAGGTAGCATACAATATTCTGAGAGACATGGCGTACTATTATCCATAAAGTGGAAGTGAAACTTTGGATGGTTTGATTGGGTGAGGCAATCGCTCGCTATTTGTCGAATGGAATCTCTATGTAATGTAATACAACGCTTTTGGTATCTTCAATGAAAGAGTTTGACCCTTCTGGGACAACAACCTATAGAAATCTGGATTCATATATATATGACAGTCAAGAGATCACTCTACGCCTCAAATGGCTGCATGTTGTTATCACTTTCAGAGACTGAACAGCTTGCTCAAGTCAATAGTAGGTTTCTGCTTATATGTGATCACAGAGATGTGAATATACAAGGGAGTTCTGTTTCCTGAGTTATGCTTCAAGCAGACAGGTTCCCTAAGATTCTTACTATCTTGTATTCTGCAGATATATTGATGTTACCACAGCGACTTCTACGGTACTTTTGCAATGCCGATCACAACTTAGAAAGAACACGCTATTTCGTAGACACCATGCACTCGGCCAAACTCTGTCTAGATATCGCTGTGGGATAATATCCTGCAACCGATGTTGTACGTAGTAGATCCATCTACGAGTAGGTCTCGGGTGGGCACATCTGCTCGCATTACAACATAGTAACGTCGGCCTAGATCGGATGGACGGACTAATCTGACTCGGCACTGGGTCCTTCTGGTGGAGGTATCGTGTCGTACAACTCCGGAGAAGTCTTCAAGGTGGGCAACCGTGTGGGTTGCGAGTACGAAGGACTGAGGGTCAGCCAAGAAGGGGAGTCGGGGAGTGATGACACCGAGGGCGCGAGGCTAGTTTGATGCGGGAGCGGCGCTCCTTTGGGAAGCAACCCATCCGTAGTATCGGAAGTGTTGAGTTTCAATCACAGCGGAGAATGGTCAGGCAGCAACTCGTAAAATCTAGACCAGAGGTATCGTGAAAACCTATCAATGGTGTTTGCTGGCGCATGGCATTGACAATGGCGGTATGCACTTCTTGTAATCCCACTTCCTAAAAGGACGAGAACCCCACATTCAAAGGCGTCTGCTCGCCTAGTCAGGACCAGTTTTCCCCACGTGCGGCTGCCATCCTGCACAGAACCTTATTCGAACCGACAAACTTCTTCTCTACAATGGATCCAGTATCGGTTCTATCACGGGCGTTTTGTGGTTTGCAGACACGGTTGCCCTGGATTGGATCCAAGTTCCCGTCGAGGATCCAAGTGCCGTCTCAACGTACCCGCTAAGCCGGCTTTCCCCAGAGGATGACGTCAGGTTTGACTTTTCGACATCACGACTGTGCTCAACAAAGAGCCTTGAGATTTTGAAAATGCCGCCTCTTGCGATTGGAGAATACTTCGTTGCAAGCGTGCAAAAAGATTGCTGCACGTACTGTAGGTAGGCCTCGGGCTGAATGTCGTGCTCAGCAAGGTGGATCGAGGCAAAAGAAATGCAAATAGTAGAACGTCAAATGAGGATGTTATCACGAATGCTCTGGAAGGATCCGCCTGTGCCAATTATGCCACACCTCAATCACTCACCAAGCTCACTTGGCGTGCTTGCACACCGAAGTCGACATCTTTGCTCCCGAGCACGCAATTCGGGCCTTGCCTGTTTTATTGGGTACTAGGGCGAGCCGTCAGCGACCATCACATCCTTCGCGCCTCATCCCTGTCGCCGCACCCGCATACCCTTGCAAGCTCGACCCATCTGCCTCCAGATTGAAGCCGGTACCGCGGCGAAAAGCGTCACAGTCGCTTGAACTTCGTTAGATTTGATCGGCATATCAGGGCAGCATTATGTCACTTGTGAGAACCCTTCACCTAAGTGTTGCTTGGAAACACTTCTTACCTACCTCAAGCCCTCTGTCATAGCAGTGGCCTTATAGTCTTGACATTTCTCAGACTGCGAGCCATTTAGCAGCCTATATCGGATCCCTTCAACACCGATTCCGATTCAGTAACGGTAGCGATCACGCAATATTCCACCAGGTCAAGCAATTCGGAGGCGTTTTCAAGGCTTCGGTCCTTCCCACATCCAGTACACTCAAGCTTCCCAATCTATCTCGACTTCGAAGCTCACCGGGCCGATCCTGCAGCCCAGACCAGCACTGCATCACTTTCATTTGCCCTGGAGACACCGCGTGTGGTTCAGCTTTAAGCCACCAATTGCTTGTGCTGTGCTTGTGCACACGTCCCAGCTCGGCGGTCCTCATAGATAAGCTTTCAAACGCCTGGCAGTTCTTGTCCTTGCTTCTGAAGCTTATTCGGCCTTGTCAAACTTGGTACTGGACTTAAGCACGTGGCATTCCAAGTGCTGAACCAGTGCGCCTTCTTTCGAGCGCGTTGAAGACATTTTATCTTTACCATGGCTTCTACAGCCAACAAAGTCGGCCTGAGCCTGGCAAAGGTCCTGGGCATCGACCTGCACTACCGTAACGAAACTGGATCAGAGCGTGTAACCCGAGGCGAAAGCGTCTTTACTATCGACTCAGCGGACACCTATGTTGAAGACGAACCTACTGCGAAGGAATGGATCCAAGATACTCTTCCCAGTGGTCCCGAGCTGAGAGCGTACTGCTACAGCCTGTTTCCGTTCCTCCACTGGATAGGTCGCTACAACGTACAATGGCTAATTGGAGACCTTGTTGCTGGTATGTCGAGCTCCAATATGACTTTTGTGTGACTACTGACTCTCGCTAGGTATCACCGTTGGCGCTGTTGTCGTTCCTCAGGGTATGGCTTATGCAAAGCTCGCTGAGCTTCCTGTCGAATTCGGACTGTACTCTTCATTCATGGGTGTACTCATCTACTGGTTCTTTGCTACCTCAAAAGATATCACCATCGGACCCGTCGCGGTTCTATCCACAGTAACCGGCGGCGTTGTGCTATCAGCGGAGGAGAAATTGGCTGGTCAAAATATCTCGCGCGACATGATCGCATCTTCCTTGGCCATCATCGCCGGATCGATCGTTCTTTTCTTGGGTCTGGCCCGTATGGGCTGGATTGTGGATCTCATCTCATTGCCTGCGATCTCAGCGTTCATGACCGGTTCCGCACTCAGTATCGCTGCTGGCCAGTTTCCAACCATGATGGGTATCACAGGTTTCTCGACTAGGGACCCCACATATAGAGTGGTGATCAACTCGCTCAAGCACCTCGGACGAACCAACCTCAACGCATCATTCGGTCTGACCTGCCTCTTCCTCCTATATGGCATCCGTTTTACTTGTGGCCAGCTCGCAAAGCGCTTCCCCACCCGCGCGAAGCTGTTCTTCTTCATTAACACCCTGCGAACAGTGTTTGTTATCTTGCTGTATATCTTGTTCAGCTACCTGGCAAACAGAGAGCACAGGGCCAACGGAACCAAGCCGATCATCACCACCCTTGGAAACGTTCCACGAGGTAAGATGCTTCTCAACCTTGATAAATACCAATACTTACATTGTCAGGATTCCAACACGCGCGCGTACCCAAGGTCACGATCCCTATCATTAAGTCGTTCGCCACCGAATTGCCATCGACGGTCATCGTCCTCCTCATTGAGCACATCTCCATCGCTAAGTCTTTTGGACGAGTGAACAACTACGTTATCAACCCATCGCAAGAGCTTGTGGCCATCGGCGTCTCCAACTGTCTGGGCCCCTTTCTGGGAGCATACCCCGCAACCGGTTCTTTCTCACGTACTGCCATCAAGTCTAAGGCTGGTGTCCGTACGCCTTTCGCAGGTGTCATTACGGCCGTTGTAGTGCTGCTCGCTATCTACGCACTTCCAGCTATGTTTTGGTATATTCCCAACGCGGCGCTGTCGGCAGTCATCATCCACGCAGTGCTCGACTTGATTACGCCACCAAACACCGTGTACCAGTTCTGGAGAATCTCACCACTTGAGGTCTTGATCTTCTTCATCGGTGTTCTCGTCACTGTCTTTTCCAGCATCGAGAACGGTATCTTCGTTACAGTTTCCGTATCGGCCGGCATGTTCGCTTTCCGTCTGTTCAAAGCCAAGGGCCGTTTTATGGGCAGAGCCAAGATCCACTCCGTTATTGGCGATCATTTGCTGGACCCACACGAAGAAGACAAGGTGCCTTCCCCTGGTTATAAGCAGAAGCCTACAGAGGGAGAGCACTCCATTCGCGAAGTTTTCCTACCCATTGATCACAAGGATGGATCCAACCCGAGCATTCAGTTGGAAGACCCTTACCCAGGTATCTTCATTTACCGCTTCAGCGAAGGCTTCAACTACCCCAATGCGAATCACTACCTCGACCAACTCACCGAAATCGTCTTCGCTAAGACACGCCGTACAAACCAAGCGACTTACAACAGACCCGGCGACCGCCCATGGAATGACCCTGGCCCTCGCCGCGGAAAAGAATCTCAAACGGAAGACGAGCGGCCCACACTCAAGGCTATCATTCTCGACTTTTCGTCTGTGAACAACGTCGATCTTACTTCGATACAAAACTTGATTGACGTAAGGAATCAGCTCGACAAGTACGCAGCTCCAGACACGGTCGATTGGCACTTCTGCAACATCAACAACCGCTGGACCAAGCGCTCTCTTGCCGCAGCCGGTTTCGGTTACTACACTCCCGAGACGCCCGACAGCGGCATTACACACCGCTGGAAACCCATCTTCAGTGTCGCCGAAATTGGTGGTTCAGACTCGGCTGCCGCGCAAGCAGAAGCACGCGAGAACCTCCTCGCCCAACGCACATTGTCTCAAGTACGAAGTCACGACATCGAAGCCGCACATCCAGAATCGGGCGACAGCTCCGAGACGAATAGCATATCCAAGCAATTGGAACACAGCAAAGCGTATGGAAATGCTGAGGCTGGGGATACTAGGCAAAGGGGCCGGATAGCGGTTGTTCAAGGGCTGAACAGGCCGCTATTTCATGTTGATGTTACGGCCGCGCTTAACAGTGCGTTGGCTAATGCGCAGAGGAAGAGTCACTAAGCAGTTTCGTGGTCTTTCGGTAGTGGTAATGCAGCTTTTTTCTTCCTTTTAGTATATATGTTGTCAGTACATAGAGATGATATCTATTTGTGCTCGGCTGATGGCCTGGAGCGTATTTTTGCGCGTTCAAAAACTAGTGTTACGATTTGCATGCGTGATGATATATGTGAATGCGCAAAGTCAGTCTTTTTGTTGGCTGACGTGAGGTAAGCTAGCCTGTTCAGGCCTATTAGGATGGCAAGGGTAAGGCTTGGTAGGTCATTGTTTGTGACATTGTCATTCTATCTACACGATACTCGTGCTGCTGCTTCGATACGCGTGGGTATATGTACCACACCATGCTCCATATACAAACAATCAACGCCATGCTATGCTCCGTCCTAAATCATTTTTGCGTCGCTCCAAACCGTGGAAGAAAAGTCCCGCTCCTCATTCCTCCTAGTGGTAAAGTGATGTCGTCCAGAAACTGTCTGTACATGATAGAAACACCCGCTCTCTGCTGTACAGACGTCCGTGTTGTCCAAGTGGGAAGAGTTGTTCGAGTTGTGATATTGTGAAGATAGTATCACACGAAAACATCTAGTTGTATGCTTCAGCTGGCAAAGACTCGCGACTTTGTGCGAACAGGATGCCTGCCTGCTCGATATTCCACTGTCCAGCCTCCAGGCACTGAATGGCGTAATCGCGCTTAAGGTTGGTTTCACGCTGGACATAAAGGATCATTTCTTCTTTCCTTTGCTGCTCCGGATCAGCAATTGCGGGTATGGGTGTGGGTATTGGTGTAGTAGACGCCGGTATTTGTTGTGCGTTTGCTGCGGTGTTGTTTGCCGCTGCGGCGTCAGGACGAACCTGATTGCCATTCAAGATTTTGAGTTTGGGAAACCAAGAAATGATCTCATCTTCCCAGTTTGGAGTTGGAAACGGGTCGACAATGAGGTGTTCGACATTCCTGAAACGACCTTTCCAAGGCTTTAGCGCGTCCAGCGTTGCGAAAGCGTTGTTACTGAGATCGAGATTTTGGATGTGGCGGAAGTGATTGCAGAGTTGGTAAACGGCGTGTGTGTTTTGGAGGTTGTTGCTGGCGAGTGTGACGCTGTGGATTGCTTGCTCTTTTGCTTCTTGCGTTTCCAGAATGGCATCGCAAACGATCATGAGGGCAGGGAAGAACTTCTTCTGTGCGCCTTCTGAGGCGAACATGCCGGATTGGAGGATCTCTTGGTCGCTAGCGATAGTGGAAAGATTGAGCAGCTTGTTAGCTGCGTCGTATCGTCGTCCGAGGAAGCCTTCCATGAGCGGATACGATGGATTTGACTTCAGCCTTTCAAGAGTCTCTTTGTCGATTGCCGGCTCTCGTGAGCGGTTGTCGTGTTGGCGGTTATCGTGTTGAAAATGGTTTTGACCACCCCTGAATCCTCCTCTTCCTCGTCCCCGTCCCCTGCCCCGTCCACGTGAGGAGTCACCATCGAGCATCATCTGATCGTCATCGTGGTTTTGTGGTGTGAAGGAGACGCTCCAGTTCCCGCGTCCTCGACCCCGACCACGTCCTCGTCCGCCTCTTGGTTGATCGTTCATTCTTGTCGGAGTACGTTGGTTGTTTTGTTGTAGAAGTGTATGTGAGCAAGCAAGACCGAGGAAATGGGATTGTCTATAAAGGTCGGGCGTCCGTGCGTTGCCAAGCCACGTTTTCTCGCCCTCTAACAATCGTCATTGGTCACGATCCACGGAACCTTCGACGTCGGACCAAAGTTTACTGTTATTGTATCTTACCTGCATCTATCGTTCTGCGCCGATTAGCTATGCCTGCTCATCGACTGCTCTGTTCTAGGTCCATACAACAATAGTTTCCTGCCTTCGCTCTTCGTATTGTAATCAGGCAGCAATGCAGCTAGGCAACCACTCTGATGATAGCCTGAAGACACTCGCCCTGTTAAGACTTGGTGGCTTCTCTAAGAGTTTTCAAAAGGTAGTTGGATATCACCTTCTCGTCTATACCAATCCTACACGAGAAAGATTCGAGTCTCTCGTTGCATGTTACACACCCTGCATTCCAAAATAAAAGAATCTAGGTACTATAAGCCAAAAAATGCTGGTAAAATGTAGCATGATAGAAGGCAAGACAAATTGTTCATAAGACGACTGAAAGCAATGTTGGCGTGAACATATGTTTTTTGTTAGATGTCTAACCTAGATAATACAAGGTTTGTTTGAGAAAAATTTCCGTCTTTCTACACCCCACCCTCCACACCAACCATATGTAAAGATGGGTTAAGTCTTTCCGAAGATACCCTGCGACGCCGAAAACTCCAGACACGAACGCGCGTAAATGCAACAATGAGACGGTCCACGGAAAGACCTTGAGGCAGCAATAGCCATCTACTGTGAATGGATTTTCTTAATCCTGTTCACACCCTCGTATAGTGCGCGGTCCACGGCTGCTGCGACGGTAAGAGTACCGCCGATTACGGCGCAGAGACCAACGAGGAAGCCAGAGAAAGTCTTATCACGAACTTCACGGTTAATGACCTTCATTGGTGAGATGTCCTGTTGCGGATATTAGTAACCATGTTCAAGCATCAAGGGCAAGGAACTCCAAAACTTACATAAGAGAAGAAAACACCAGGGATACCTCCTCTAGCATGGACTCTCTCCTTGTGACCCTCCTTCTCATCAGTACCACCCTGGAGACTCCTATGATGGCTGGTCACAGAATACTGATGCGTCTCAATACTGCCCTTGTATGTAGCATCAATGGTAGCGCCAAGGAGTTCATCTTGTTTCCCAGGACGGCTAGTCTCCTTCTCCCATCCGAGTGGCAGGTAGGCCGTTGACACGACCTTGATGAAGTACATGTAGTTGTATGCCTTCTCGTCGGTGTGTTGCTCGGTGTCGTCGAGAGGATTGATATGGTGGTTCGACCATCCACCTGCGGCAGAGCCCTGGTGTTTCCTCTGCAGGTCTTGGACAACCACATCGCTGAGCTGAGGGCCAAAGCGAAGCTGGTGAACCCGATGGGTGAAGGTATGCGCATACTCGTCCTTGAAATAATTCTCGAGATCGTGGACGTGTAGGTTGCCGTTCGAGAAGGACTTTCCGGGAGCGATGTGAAAGTTTCCAACAACCTTGTTGACACGGATACTGCCCTCAAGACGACATCCTTCCTGGCGTTGTTGATCGAGATGTTCGGCGTAGTGCTCTCGCTCGCATTGTTCGACTCCCTCTCCACGACCGAAGGACCATGAGATTGAGGCGTAGGCATCGCGGACTTCGTCGCAGGTGTTACAGCAGCCGGGTTTGATTGCATTGGTGGGAGCAGGTGCGCCATAACATTCGCCGCAGTAGTCGGGAGCCAGATGTGACGCTTCGTCCGCGTGCCTGAAGTTGTTGTTAGCACTTTGCTGCTTCAGGATATCCTCTTCGGTCCAAATGCACTCTATATAGACTTACAGATCCAAAGCCTTGATATCAATAACCTTGCTGCCCTCCTTCTCAGGACTCAGTCGGACCTTGTTGATACCATGCGTGACGCCCATTTGTAACTCTCCAGATACATCCATAACATCAAGTGTGAGCAACTCGCATGGTACCCGTGGGAAGGTTACGTTCAAGGCAATCTCCATGCGTTCGCCTCTACCCTTGTCAACCACCAACTCCGGCCGTATAGTCACTCTTCTGTAGTCTGACCACTCGCCCCACGTTAACCAGAAGATGACCAACAAGCTGACTATGGTGACAATTCCACCGGATGTTGTGCGTACGCGCGCATCTTCGACCGTCTTGGTAAAGGCATCGAGCCTCGTGAATCGCGATTTGGCAGGCATGTTGGCGGGCTACCGCTGGAGGGTAGTTAAGATTTGAGGAGTTTCGAAGCGGGTTGTACGTTCTACCAGCGAGCTCTGCGATAGACGGGAGTTTCGGGGTGAGAGCGCGGGGCGAAGGGTGGAACCGAAAGTCGCTCAGTATGTGGTAGTACCTCGTGCCTTGTACTTGAGACCAACCTCACTTGCACTGTAAACGCAATTGGCGCTGCGTTTGGGGAAAGAAGAAGGTCAAAGAATGAATATCAGCACAATTCGTGCCAAAGCCGCAGTATCATTGTACAAAGAAGGGAAATGGTGAGCAAGTTCAACGCGTGGACGCGGCAGCGTTTCGGCTGAACTAAAAGGACAGCTATGCGACTGAACACTAGCTCCGAGCGTTGCGCCGCGCTAGAGTGCTTCTGGTAGGTGCGCATACCCAGCACGTGGGTGCATTGTGCCGCCAGCACCAAGAGTTAATTAGTACAAATGGGAGCACATACGCTGTGGAAGTATGAAGAGAGTTGAAGTGATTCTATTAGGTCTTGGAGACAACCAGAGTGCTCTACCATGATGCTATACAAAAGTGACCAGATCGGCGCTATGCGACCTGGCAGGCATATAAATAGTCTACGAAGCGAGAACGTTCCTGAGCATGCTGTTGAAACCATCGCTGAGCTTGTACAGTTCCACAATAGGCGGCTTTTTCGGTTCACCTGCCTTTCTCCTGAGTTTCTCAGCAGCGCGAGCCCGGCTCTTGCGTTCGGCTTCGATTGGATCCGCTACATCTGTATCGTCCATGTCTTCTGAGTCGGTTGAGTCGCTACCATCATCATCGAGTTCAAGATCCTGGAGATCCATCTAAAACCACATTAGTATACGATCAAAATGTTGTGGGAGAGAAAGACATACCGCATTGAGTCCAAAGTCGCTCGACTTGAAGCCAGCGATGCCACCCATAAGCGGATCAGGATCATCACCACCGCTCGCCATTTTCTGCCTGGTCTTGTCTGAATGCCACTTCTTCCTCGCCATTTGCCACTTGATCAGACTATTGATCTCGCGAATTGCCTTGTTCTTGTCGATCATATTTGAGTCCATGCCGCCCTGGAAGAGTGCATTCATATCGAGCTTACCACCACTTCCAGGGCCGTGGCGGAGGAAGTCCAAGATACCCTCTAGCCAACCCATGAGCTGGTCGAAGAGACCATTGTCGTGTTTGTGGACTTCGTGAACGAACTTGTAGAAGTTACCCTCATGACGGGCGCATAAATCAATAAAGGCCTGCACCGTTTGATTAGGGTCTGCTGAGACTTCTTGCCGTTGACAAGCCTCGATCGTCTTGATAGTGTCATCGGCGAACATGGCGAAGTCTGTGATACTGTTGTATACGTTTGCAGATTTGTAGACGCGAACGAGCGGTTCGTAGAAGATAGTGAACAAATCTCGGAAGAGTTGGAGAGTTGTCGGCTAAAAGAACGTCAGTCACTCATTCCAAATATCGTTGTCCTGTCAAACTTACCTCTTCGATGATTTGCAACATCATCAACTTATCTCTCTGTCTGAGACAGAGCTTCAAGTATTGCTTCAAGTGCGCGAAGAGCTCAGCGCCTGATCGCATCTCTTTCTCGACCTGACCGGTCGTGTTAGTGGCTGTACTGACATTGCTGCGGCTGCTAGTTGTTCTGCTGGGGCGGCTCGATCTCACATTTTCGACCGCGTTGTTCCATGCAACGTAGGCATTGAAAACCTTCTCCACTTGTTGCGAAGACAACTCAGGTTCGAAAAATTCCGAACGTAGTATAGTAACCACCACGTCAACATTATCGCGTGCGGCTTCCTGTCGTATCGCTTCCTTGACACCTTCGTCTGCTTGTACGTATGCTTTGATCTTGTCGCAAAGCACGTCATCCTTGATCCTAGTTGAGCCGAGTGTGTCGATTGTCTTTTGCACAGAGTTTACACCGTCATTGATAGCCATACCGAATATGCGTTGAAGTAGTGAGCGGGCGCCAAACGGCTGTGCTAGGAACAGATCCAGGACTCCGCTCATGACAGCTGCAGGGTTGGCTATCCTAATGACGTTCTTGAGGACACCATATGGAACAAGGGAATGTATGCGCTTCGCTTGCGCAAACAGCTCGGGAGAGTTGTCTTCCGCTAAGAACAAATGGTAGATGGTAGCAGCCACTTCTATCCGTAACCACTCTGCGAACTTTTGGTACTCTGGTTTGAGGTCTGCGATGGTGTTCTTGACCCTGATTTCTTGGAACAAGTGGGAGAGACCATTGCTCTCTACGATCTCTCTCCTGAACTTCTCCATGTGGATGTCTAGCTCCGCTGCTCGCTTTCGCGCGACCTCGTAAAATTGTCTCTGCTCTTCTATGCGCTTCTTATCCATTTCTTCTCGCCTCTGGATGTCTTCCATCTCTTCCTCGTTGACCTCAATAGGATTGCGTGTGAGGAACTCGGCCATAGCGTTCGACTGGGCGATTC